CATCACGCGAAATTCCCGTGTCGGAGTCGTCTAACTGGATCTGCGGATATTGGCCGAGTTTGCTCTCCAAAACAGCCGGCTGAGGTCGGGAGAGGATAATGAGCTTCAGTCGTGGCCTTGTCTTTTCCCCAGACTTCGACAGGTAATTCGTAACGGCATCGAGAAGCTGCTTGAGTGATTCCTTTTCGCATTCATCCAAACCGTCCAGAACACAGACAACCTGGGAAGACGTGCTTTGCTGAAGAAGGGTCAGGAAAACCCTCCATAACGCGACAAAACTGGAAATGGTATATTTGGTTGTTTCCGTCCCATCAAAGGAAATCTTGATATCTTTGGCCAGAAGAGGATAGAGGTCGATCCATTGATGCAGGATGCCTCTCATGATGGTCAATGCGGTGTTCCGATTCTTGTCGCGGTTACTGCAGAAGTAGTAGAGGAGAATATTGTTGGCGGCGTCAACCACTGGCTGAAGCACCTCGGTGATATAAATCGCCAGCATGGTCTTCCCCTTTCCCGGTCCACCTGAGATCCAGAGGAGCGGATGATTCGCATCTGCCAGCCACTCTTGATAATGGGGATGCTGTATGAGCCATTCGCAGGTGCCATCAACCCTACGCCCTTTCAATGCAACGAGGGACTTCCGATCGACCTCGGGTCTTGTCAGAAGCAAAGCGTCAAGAACGGGCGCGGCCTCGGCATACGAGCTTGTGGACAGAGGTATCGTCTTGGACACCGTGGGTATGAAAGAGAGGACCTCTTTTGCATATGCTGCGGCAGCCGCTGCGGCGTAAGCGTGCCAGATCTCTGACCCGTGCGAATCTGCATAGTCGCAAACTCCTCGGATGACCAAGTACTGGGCAGCATCCCTCAGCCCGGTTGCTTCCATCTCGAAACAGAGAATGCCATGTTTTTGTGCGAATTTGTCCCGGGTCGCTCCGTGGCGCGTCAAATGATGGCTGGAGGCAATCAGGCCATAATGAACAATGGGGTCCTGGACCTCCCGAGGCTGCCGGGATCGGATCTTATCTGGGTCGCAATGACTGCATCCGCTGTTTTCGGGTTCGATAGTTGAATGATCATAATTCGGCTCGAACAGGACGTCTTGCTCTGGGCCAGGGTAGGCAAAGGTGACGGGCTCTTTCTGCATGATCTCGGAGATGTACAGTGGCATCTTACTTTCATCAAAAATGGCGGCTGTCTCGGCCTTACCCACTGCTGTGAGAAGTAACGGTGTTGGATGATCTAACGCTCTGCCGCGAAAAAACTGATCTTCCGTTGGCTCCCCGTTCATGTCATACTGGACGACACCCGGCCAGCCAGCTGTCGACTTGCCGACAACAACATCACCAAGACGAATATCCTCCTTCGTATCAGGCACTGCACCCGCAATGCCGACCATAAGAGTGAACCGGACAGATATGTAGCTTGCGTGCAACTGTGTAGCCACGTCGGCCACCGACGTTTTACCACACAGCCTGGAATTCGGATACGCCACAACGACATTGTGGCCTTGAAGGCTCCCCAGAATGTAGTTGTTCTTGTCGTCTGAGTTCCGGTCCAGAGGTAGATTGTCATGGACGCGATCAAGCGCTGCTTTGGCTGCAGCGACCTCTATAGGCAGCGCGCAAACCCACCCGATTGCGTAGTCGTCACGGGACACCATCTCCGGCTTGGGCGCAGGTAAAGAAATGAGAGACTCCAGGAGCGTCGGAATCGACGCGGTGTGTTAGGTATGTCGAAGCTGGACTTTCTGACCAGTCTTTAGACAAGGTCGACTTTCCACACCACAGACAGGCTCTCGATCAGCGTCCTCCTTAGTCTCATCATGGGCGTGTCAGTCGACTTGCTGGTGTCCACCCTCACCTCAGAAACGCAGATAACCTGGAATACAGCCAATCAAAGTCTCAAAAATCCTGGTCTATCCGAAACACGCAAATTGTCTCAGCAGCCGCACCACACATAAAGAGTACTTTTGGAGAACGGCACTAGCACGGACCGAGTAACCGTGGCAGTGCCCGACAGGCTTCATGTCCCGGTGCCCCTGGGCGGCCCCGTTATCGTCGCGAGGACCAATTGCACAATTGGGGGCCGACTACCCTGGCTTGAATAACCTGATGTTATTGGTTCCTGCTTGATTCGTGTACCCATATACGAGCCGTTGGGGCCACAAAGGCTGGCGCTTAGCATGAACAAATGATTAGTACAAAGGCCAACAGTGCAAGAAACAAAGCAACACGGAAACCTCTTTCTTCATCTTGTATTTCCACTTACTCTCAAAATCCGGCCTCCTCGCGTTGCATTATCATCACACAACAGCAAATGGTATCCGCTCTCCGTCTTCGAGTTTCGCCCCCCCAGCCGCCAGAGGCGCACAAAAAGGGGGTGATGGCATCCATCAGCGACACCGCATCCAAGCCCGGCAAGGCAGGACGCCCAGTTCTTCTCTCGTTCGATGAGATGCCGGAATGGTACCGACGTGAATCCAACCCGTGGATCCTCCATGGCTATCGGCCTATCTCAGGCTCGGCTCATGCTTCTTTCTGCAGTTGGTCATACATTCACAACGAGTCGGTCAACATCTATACCCACCTCATCCCGGCCGTTTTCTTCCTACTCGGCGAATGGTATATCCAGCAGTACCTGACCAGTAGATACTCCGGGGTCACTGGCGCCGATTTCGCTGCTTTCTCCATCTTCATGTTAGCGGCCGTCACGTGTCTATCGTTGTCGGCGACGTACCACACCTTGATGAACCACTCCCAACACGTGGAGCATTTCTGCCTGCGATTGGACATGCTGGGTGTAGTCATCTTCATCCTGGGGGACCTTGTCTTGGGAATATATGTGGTTTTCTGGTGTGACCCTTTGCCACGCAATATATACTGGGCTATGGTTAGTCAATCTCCATGTGCACAAATTTGTTTTCCTCATCTCAGACCTGGTATTTGAGTCTAACGCTCTTCTTTCCTCGTGTGATAGATTGGAGTTTTTGGGTCATTAACTATCCTCATGACAATGCATCCCAAGTTCCAGGGCTCAAAGTATCGCCTCTTCCGAGCGTTAATGTTCGTGGCGACTGGCTTGTGCGGTGTTGCGCCCTTGATCCATGGACTTAATGTGTTCGGTATATCGCAAATGATGAGAAAAGCTCTTCCCTATACTCTGGCAAAAGCTGGCTGTCTTCTATCTGGGACTTCCTTTTATGCGGTAAGTCTCCGTTTTCGCACACAAGAGAGAAATTCACCCTGACACATGTGCTCCTAAGACCAGGTTTCCCGAAAGTCGATATCCTGGCAAATTCGACCTATGGGGCTCCCATTCGATCTTTCATGTCCTGGTGGTATTCGCCGCTGTGGTCCAGTTGATGGGATATCTGGATGCCTTCGACTATGCTCACGTAAATCTTACTTGCTCGTCTCTTTGAGTAATGTATACATGCCGAGTATTCCAGGAGAACCAATGCACACGAGTCTACCGTTCTTCAATCTGGCATTGCGGACGAGCTCCGAAAACGGTAGCGAACTCTCATCGTCGTCAGAAATTCGCTGCGCGACAATGATCCAGGTGTCTTCCATCAGCGGCTGAGGTATGAAGCTAGCATTTGAGCCTTTCCTCTTTTCCGAAGTCGATCGGAAAATATTTCTTGTCCCTGGTCGACACAGAAAAGATTTCATTGTGTGATGTTGAGATGCTGCTTTCTTCATCATATATAAGCTCTGAAAATGCTTCCTGCAGAGCTTGCGAGCGTCCTTCTTCTGGCAACCACGGATGGAGTCATCTGGCCGCTTGCTGCCATAAACTGGAAATGTGGTCCGGCTTTTGTTGTAGACTATCCGCACATTTTGAACCACCGTTGAGATTAGCACAAGAAACAACACTAGACGCCTGGTTCCCTTAACAAGCATTGTTTTGAAATGAAAACGATGTGTGTATAGGTAGAAAGTGTTATAAATCGCTCTACGTGGGATAAGTCTACGGACTAAGTAGATTTACTTGAGGGGAGTATGAATGAGTCACTGACGCCTGAGGGCAAGGGTACGTGGTTACTTATGACGGCGTATTAGTGAAGCAACACTCCCATATCCTAAAGGTAGGTGTTCGAATATCAGTAATCTCAAGACAGAGGATTCCACAGATAGTCAGTTTGTGGGGGGGGTGGGGGGGTCGGGGGGGCTAGGCCAGGTTTGGGCTCTATTTTATGCTTCATGAGAACAAGCTAGACGGGGAAATCAGACAGAAGGGGAGGGACCTCAGCAACGGGAAAGGAAGGGCAGAACCATGTCCTTGGGGGCCTAGAAACAGGCCACATCTCCTACTCGGCGCGGAGACATGGCGAAAGGACGTATTGGGACTGTCGCAGGTGAGCGGGGCGACGTGGAGGGTGTGCAGGCGGGTGAGTAGAGGTGTAAAAAAGCAAGTGTGAGTCGCGCAGTGACGGGTTTAAAGCGGCACAGTGAGTTCCGAGTAGATTTTAACTCTGCTTCAGGCGCCAAGACTTGACCACGGAGCAGAGGCATTGGTGGAGCAGCATGTGTCTCTCTGCCTTAGGCGCCGACCCCATTTTCAGAACACCTCAGCCTTGTCCTGGCAAGGACCAATCTTGCCTTACTTTGCCTGCGACATCGAAGTCATTTTTGCTTCTGAGCCTCTGCTCAGCCTTTGTGGAGTCTTATTTTCTAATCTGGATGATATCCAGTATCTGCCCATACCTCTCCAGGGCTTATTTTACTTCTCTTCGATTTTGTGATTCTTCTGCATCGAACTTTTCCTCTAGTCTCGGCTTCACAACCCATTTACGTGCCCTGCACCTCAAGACCTCCAACCGACCCTTCATATCCAGACACAACCCGACCGCCCACCATAAATTATCATCGAGGCGTGCCGCTGCATGCTTCCGACCTGCAAAGTTCCTACCGAGTAGTAGCTTTCAGATTCCCCCAACGACCTCCCTAACAACCTCAATAAGTTCTCGCCTTTTCTCTGCCTCTCCTGGTTCTACTATGTCTGCCAATGGCGAAGTTCGACTCAAGAGAAGGACAAGCCCGACCTCGGCCCTAGAGAGGCCCAAGAAACAATTGAAGCCAGAGAATGGAGTTCCTACACCCGGCGACGCTACCCCTCAAAATGGCTCTGTGTACGATATTGAGGCCAAGTTGAACTCGGTCCCCATCATCAATCCTGTTCCAGCCGCGGGCAATTCTCCGGAATGGCAGGCTACCATAGAACGAGTGATTAAGAGTGTGGTGTCCATTCATTTCTGTCAGACGTGCTCTTTTGATACCGATCTCTCGCTCTCTTCGCAAGCTACCGGGTTCGTGGTTGACGCTGAAAATGGCTACATCATGACCAATCGCCACGTTGTCTGCGCCGGTCCGTTCTGGGGTTATTGCGTGTTTGACAACCATGAAGAAGTGGGTTACCGTTTGCCCGCGGCATGTGTCTGCTACTCTGACAGATTGCTGACAATAATGTAGTGCGACGTCAAACCTGTCTATCGCGACCCTGTCCACGACTTCGGAATCCTACAATTCGACCCCAAAGCTATCAAATACATGAATGTCCAGGCACTCAAACTTCAACCGGAATCTGCAAAAGTAGGCGTGGAGATCAGAGTGGTCGGTAACGACGCCGGCGAGAAGCTCAGCATCCTCTCAGGTGTGATTAGTCGGCTCGATCGCAATGCCCCAGAATATGGCGAAGGTTACAGTGATTTCAACACCAATTACATCCAAGCTGCTGCTGCCGCCACAGGTGGAAGCTCTGGTAGTCCAGTGGTTAATTTAAGTGGACACGCGGTTGCTCTCCAAGCAGGTGGCCGCATTGATGGTGCTGCCACTGATTATTTCTTACCGCTTGACCGTCCCCTGCGCGCGCTGCAGTGTCTTCAACGAGGAGAGCCAATCACCCGAGGAACAATCCAGACACAATGGGTGCTGAAACCCTTCGACGATTGTCGGAGGTTGGGTTTAACGCCTAATTGGGAATCGGCAGTCCGAAAAGTCCATCCGAAGGAGAACAGCATGCTTGTTGCCGAGATTGTACTGCCTGAAGGACCTGCGCACGACAAGATCCAGGAAGGGGATGTTCTGATTAAGGTCAACGGGGAGTTGTTGACATCATTCGTTAAACTTGATGCCATCCTCGACTCCAGTGTGGGTGGGAAGGTGGAGCTCCTATTCCAGCGTGGCGGAGAGGATCACGAAGTGACACTGGCAGTGGGTGATCTTCATGCAATCACCCCAGATCGATTTGTCACTGTGGCTGGTGGGAGTTTTCACAACTTGTCCTATCAGCAATCTCGATTATACGCCATCGCCTGTAAAGGGCTGTATGTGTGCGAAGCTGCCGGGTCGTTCAAGCTGGACAGTGCCCTTTCGGGTTGGATTATCGACACAGTGGACCAGAAACCAACTCCGGACCTCGACACCTTCATCGAAGTTATGAAAACGATTCCTGACCGTTCTCGAATCGTCATTTCGTACCGACACATTAGGGATCTTCACACTCGCGCCACTACGATCATACATATTGATCGACACTGGCACCCGAAGATGAGGTTATCAGTGCGAAACGATCAAACAGGACTGTGGGATTTCAAGGACCTGGGGAAGGCTCTTCCTGCTGTGCCACAAGTGCCAAAGTCGGCAGATTTCATCCAGCTGGACGGCGTCAATCTGCCTGCCGCCGCCGAAATTATCCGTTCGTTTGTCAAGATCACATGCTACATGCCCATTAAGATTGATGGATACCCTCAAGCACGAAGAACAGGTTTCGGATTGGTGATCGATGCCGAGAAAGGCCTGGTGGTGGTGTCCCGAGCCACTGTTCCATACGACCTGTGTGACATTACCGTGACGGTCGCTGATTCGATACAAATTGAGGGCAAAGTTGTGTTCCTCCATCCGTTGACCAACTACACTGTGATTCAATATGATCCCTCATTGGTGCATGCGCCAGTGCAGACTGCGAAGCTATCTACCGAGATGATCAAACAAGGTGCCGACACGATCTTTGTGGGGTTCAATCAGAACCACAGGGCCGTGGTCGCAAAAACCACGGTCACGGATATTACGGCAGTCGGGATCCCTGCCAATGCAGCAGCTCCCAGATACCGGGCGGTCAACCTCGATGCCATCACAATTGACACAGGTTTATCTTCTCAGTGTGCGTCCGGAGTGCTGATGAGCGCAGATGGCGTGGTGCAAGCTCTGTGGCTAACCTACATGGGGGAGCGAAGCCAGGGCAGTCACAGGGACACGGAATATCATCTGGGCTTGGCTACAAGTATGATCAAGCCGGTGATTGACCAGATTCGGTCTGGTATTATACCAAAGCTTCGGATTTTGAATATGGAGTCTTACGTGGTACAAATGTCACAGTGTCGGATCATGGGAGTCTCGGAAGACTGGATCTCGAAAGTGGCCAAGGCCAATCCGTCGCGACATCAGTTGTTTATTGTTCGGAAAGTGGACTGTGGTCCAGCCAACGGACCTAGCGATGGACAATTACTACAAGAAGGGGACATCATTTTAACCCTGAACGACCAACTTATTACCCGGGTCAGTGACTTCGATATCATGTATGACAAGGAATGGCTCGATGCGCTTGTCGTTCGGAAAGGCAAAGAGATTCGACTTCGCGTCCCAACTGTGCCTACGGAAGACTTGGAGACCTCACGAGCAGTGCTCTTCTGTGGAGCGGTTCTGCAGAAACCACACCACGCCGTGAGACAACAGATCAGCAAGCTGCATTCGGAAATCTACGTCAGTGCAAGGAGTCGAGGGTCGCCAGCCTATCAATACGGGTTGGCACCTACAAATTTTGTGACCCACGTCAACGGGGTGAAGACACCAGACTTGGATGCATTCGTCAAAGAAGTCAACAAGATTGATGACAACACGTACTTCCGCCTAAGGGCAATGACGTTCGACAATGTGCCGTGGGTGGTGACAATGAAAAAGAATGATCATTATGTAAGTTGCCACGAAGCAATAGCAATCTTGGTTGGTACTGACTTGTCGAATAGTTCCCCATGTCAGAGTACGTCAAAGACCCTACCAAAGCTGATGGGTGGAAAGTGATCTCCTATGGCTCACGAGGTCGCAAAACAAGAGGCCAAGACGGAGCGCCCATGACCTCAGATTCAATGAGCGCGGAAGATGATGGCTTAAGCGATGGCGAAGAGGGCCCAGATAGTGGATATTAGAGGCACGACCTCTAAAATCGTCTTGAAACGTCAAGTCGGGGATCAAAGTGGTGGGATATCATTATTTCCCCCAATCGCCTGAGGAACAATTCCAATACCGGTCCCGCAGGAAGACAACGACATCCCATGGGTTGACGCGAGATATCTGAGGACCGCTGAAGAGGAGGTCAACCGTCGCAGGCGGGACGTAGCGCGAGGCTGAAGGCTGTGTGTACAAAATAATGCCAAGCCCTTCGATTATTATCACATGTCAGAAAACTGCACAATCCTTAGCATCCCAGTATGCTTCCATAATTTGTGCTGTGTAATAGGATCGTCGGTCCACCAGGCCCAAAAAAGGCTGAAACCCTCGGAGTTCGGTAGACATTCACCAAGACTTCGACCCCAAATAACCAAATCAGGGGTACAAAGATGAGATGGACGTTCTCAAGACCATCAGGCGAAAGGATTCACAGAATACCGGAGAGAGATCAGAGCGCCAATCGGGGTGTGTAGGGAGTCTGCCAAGGTGGTGGACTGATGTGCATATCTGTAGCTGAGCACGCGACCACTGGCGTCGAGGATAGTGGAAGGAGCCAGAAAGCAGGAAACCAGTGTCCGACTTACCTGGGACGAATAGTCGGGAGCCCAAAGAAAAAGGGTTCCAGGCAGTTGCGTCAGAGCGAGCGGGTTGTTGCAGGGGCCGCTTCCCACCCAACAGGCAGGCGTCAGTGATGCAGGTGCCAGGGATTCCGTCAATCAAAATGAAACCGCCTGCAGCTCCCGCAGGTTTTCCAGAGATCACCACAACTGACGTCCCACACATCAACTTGTCAACTCTCACAAAACGGACACCTCGTCCTCTTCCAAATTCATCCTTGGGCTTGCTCCAAACTGCCTTCTTCCTCGATTCATCAATCTTCCATCTCATCAGCCCATCTCATTGTCCCAATCTTATCCCTTACTGCTGCCGACCCTAAGAAAGTCAGTAGGCGACCCCGTCCCAGAACTGTTTCTCCCAGTTTGCAATCCTGAATCGTTACTGCCGACCTCTTCCATCCCACGCATCCCTAACAGATGTCTGCTGAAGGCTACGATCGAGCGTCAGAGCTGCCTACGCATACCGACATGTCTACCACCGACGATTTTGCTCCTGCTCCTACCACCAATGGCACTGGCGAGCCAACCCTGAAAGATGCCTTTGTCAATAGTAAGGTGCGCAAGCTGCTGCTATATTTCACATTCTGGCGGATGAGGAGTCACATAGCTAACAGCCGATTGCCAGACATGGACTTAAACCGATGGCTCCCCGTCTTCCACTGACGAGTTTGCAGACGCTGCCTCCGCGGTCAACACTGTGACAGAACATCCCATTACCCAGAACATCGTCAATGGTATGCTTCCTGGTCCCCAAATAACATGGTCCTTGCTGATACATCTTAGGTCCCGTGGCAACCTCTGTTAAGGACCAGGCCGCGTCCACCAAATCTGAATTCAGCGATCTGGCCAGTTCTCGACAGCCTCCTTCGTACACCGCTGCCAATGATACAACTTTGACGCGTAGGCCCAGATCCCTTCCCTCCAAAATCCTTTAACTGACTCTAGAGCAGACTATCATTCCTTCTTCTACACCTTGTTGAGCGTATGTCCCCTCTTGGTCTCTCAAGTTACCAGTGTTTCTCTGACTGCTGTTCCAGTGGAAAAACAAGCGAGCTACCGGTATTACCTTTGCCTGCGTCATCGCCTTCATCTTTGCTTGCCGGTACCTACCTATCATTCGATATGTGATCAAGATTACCTGGATGACTCTTGGTGGTATGTGCGAATAAATCTGTGCAATTTGAGGAACATTCTTTAATATTTAAACCAGTGGTCACCCTTGCTGAGGCTTCAAGCAAGGCGTTGATGGCTCCAGTGTGGCCAGCTCGCTCCGGCCCCAACGATACTACAAGATTCCCAAAGAGACTCTCGAGGCTTCTCTCGACGACCTGGAAAATCTTATTAACTTTTTCGTCATCGAGATCCAACGCCTTGTCTTCGCCGAAAATGTCCCCGTGACTGCAGCTGTAAGTGGGCTCGATACGGGAAAATGCGTTCGTATGCTGACTGTCCCAGGCTTTCTTGACGGCGTTCTTGACCTACTATCTCATCAAAATTGTCCCGTTCTGGGGCATGGCTTTGATTACCAGCTGTGTCGTCTTCCTCGGTCCCTTGACCTACATCCAGAATAAAGAATTCATCGACTCTCAACTTGAGCATGCCGGAAATATTATCGGCCAGCAGACGGCTCAGATCCGCGACTTGACCGCTCAGCATACTAGCAAGGGTCTCGACACGATGAAGCAATACACTGGGACGTACGCCACCAAGGCTCAAGAGATGGTCGGAAGTGCTCGTCAGAGGATCCCCTCACCCACCACCGGCAAGGCTCCAGTCAAGGAGGGTGATTTTCCCTCGGCGCCCAAGACAGACCTCACAGATACTTCCGGCGACACTCTATACCGCCAGACCGAACCCATCAGTTCTTGAAGGAAGGGCTGATTGCAGCTGCATGACGTTCTGATTGCATCAATGCTGCGCGCGGTTTTGTTTGGGTAGCACAACTATAGTGCACGTTGGGAGACGACAGCCCCATTTCCATCATGACCGGAAAATGGGGCGACGAGCGCAGCTGAAGGACTCCTAAGTTGACAATTTGGTCCTGTTACGAAGGGTGAAAAGGGATGTTCGTTGGCCGACACTGGGCAACTCTCTTTGAAGGGGCTGCAGGAGCATAGCAGCCCAGCACGGCGAAGCCTAGGATGATGGAACAGGGTGATGGTTGTTTCAAGGCTCTCTTGTACTGTATGATAGACTCAAAGTATGATTTGGACAATCCCGAATTGCATGCTTATTGAACACTCCTTCGTCAGTTTGACCCCGGTGCCGATAGAAAAGACTCTCACCATGCCTGCTCTCTAGAGTTAAGAGTACCTACCAGCCTTTCCCTTCAGTAACGTGCTACAATCAGAGACGCAAGCATGGATGCCTTGGTGTCGTTGCGGTTGTCGAGGCTCGATAACCTCCATCGGGCCTCTATCACTGGCACTTTTCTTTGTTTCTGTCCCATCTAACATGCGTCATCCGAAGGCGGAGCTCTAGTCCATGCCATTCTCATACAGGACCAGGTCCTCGGAGAGGGACTCGAATATGTTTCAAGCGCGATCACTCGGCCGAAGCTCAAAGGTCAAAACGACGGGAGACGCGGGAGTCGGTGGCCGGAGAAGTTCAACGATTCGGCTGTACCCTTTCTCTCTTGGTCTGTAATTCATATGTACTTCTTACCAGGTGTGTAGCTATATATTGGTAGATGTTTGGATAGGCCATTTTATACACACAGCATACAACTGGGGGCCATATCTTGCCTCCGCGTCGGGAAACTGTCCCTCCACCTCCGGTTTGCCGAAATCTCGGTCATCCTGAGCAACCCAAGGGGTCAAAAAGCGGACATTGGAAGGGACAGACACAGATCGACAGACGGACGGACGGACAGCCCTAAAACGTATTATCCATGGCAAAACAACGCAGCTGAGACCTCGCTCTTACATGAAGACGAGTCGTGTTGCCCAGTTTTTCCACTGCGTGGACTTTCTCGAACAGTCCGTTGTCGAGATTCATGCCTGTGCGACTGGTCTGCCTTCTGTAACATAATGCCTCAACTTCTTAAACTGTTTCAGGTAATGGCGCATTCTCTTCTCCTCTCGTCTCCTTGGCAGTGGCGTCGACCCTCCGTGAACGTGCTCCATGTCTGCCCCAGCTGCTTCAGCTGCTCGATTGAATTGTGCGCCTTGAGACCCTTTCTCCGCGACTCTGGAGTTTTGGAGCCCTGCTTTCTCTTATAGTCTTGCTCTCTCTCTGTCATCCTTGATAACGACACCCTTATTTCCGCTCTTGGCCATGTCCCGTAGCACCCTTCTGAGAATCTTTCCACTGGGGCTCTTGGGGATTTCGTCGACAAACTCAATCTCGGTGACCCATTTATGCCGCACTTTCTTGTCCTGGACGTATTTAATGAGCTTTTTGCCCGTCGCTTGCAGGTCGCCAGATCTCTTGGATGGCTTGAGCACGATGTAGGCCTTGGGCCGCTCGCCCGAATAGTCGTCGGGAATTCCAAGCACGGCGACATCCTCGACGTCGTCATGCCCAAGGAGAAGGTCTTCGAGCTCGGCAGGAGCAACACCGATTCCTTTCACTTTGATCATCTCCTTCAGTCGATCCTGCAACGTCCGTCAGCCTACATTGAACGACACACATTTGTACAGGATGTGTGGAAGACTTACTGTGATGGTGATCAGCCCTTCTTCATCAATGCACCCAATATCGCCAGTATGCAAGAAACCATCCTTGTCAAACGTCTCCCTGGTGGCCTGCGGGTTGTTGAGATAGCCCATAACAACCTGTGGGCCTCGCGCCCATATCTCACCCGGTTCATTCAGCCCACATTCCCGTCCCGTGTCCGGGTCGACAATCTTCACCTCCGTGGACGCGACGATCGTGCCCACGCGGAAGGCGTATTTAAAGTCGTACTTCTCTGGCGGATGGGCGGTGATGCACGAACAGGATTCTGTCATGCCGTAGCCTTGCTTGAAACCTGTCCCGGGAAAGCGTTTCTTGAGGAGCTCAAGGATTTCCGCGCTCAAGGGAGCGGCGCCCGAACTGAAGCGTCGTAGAGAGCTGAGGTCGTACTTTGCGAGGGTCTTTTCGTCGCGGACCATGCGGATAATGATAGGGGGAACGAGGAGCATTTCCTCGAGTTTGTAGTCTTGGACGGTCTGTAGCGTGGCGTCCATGGTGAATGCTGGCAACATGTAGACGTTGGCGTTGAGGAGGATGGGTAGATGCATTTGGTGCACAAGACCCGTGATGTGGAAGAGCGGCAATACGGCAAGAATGCGTCGTAGGCTAGCTGGCGTGATCTGTTGGATCTGGAGACACTGAGCGATGACATTCGAGTGTGCGATCATGACAGCTTTCGGCAAGCCAGTGGTGCCAGAGCTGAAAGACAGGAAACCGCAGACGTCCTTATTCTTCTTGCCCGGTGGGAGGCGGAACTGTTCGACCTGTCCTGCCTCTCCGTGTGAGCGGCCCATCTCAAGTAATTCCTTCATGGTTGTGAATCCCTCCAGCTGTCCCTCCAGCAAGAACACTCTGCTCTGCGGGATTCCTGCATTTTTGGCCGCCGCCGCGGCAACCTCCATGGAACTCGGTACCGTGAACAGGAATTTGGCCTCGGCGGTCTTCAAGGCGTAGGTCATTTCCTCAACGTTATACGCAGGCGAGGCACCGCTCACAACGCCTCCCGCGCGCAGAATACCGAACATGGCGCACGGGTACCACACCGTGTTGGGAGAGAAGAGGGCGACAGTCTGGCCCTGCAGAAGACCGTAGTTCTTCACGAGGGCGGTGGAGAGGTGAATCGTGTGCTGTCTGAGGTCGACGTAGCTGAGGTGCTATATGCGGACGGATCAGCCATGTAATCATGGGAGGGAGAACGTAGATAGGAACAGGCCTGCTACCTCTTTTGTCGCTGCATTTGTAAAGCCTTGGATCTCTTCCGGCTTGTGATGTCGCATCGGGCTATACTCAGAATCGAAAAGCCAAGTCCATACGGGTAGATGCCATGGCACTGGATCGCAGAAAGACACGGCTGTTAGCTCGAAGGTCAAGCGGGCAGAAAAGATGGAAGGGCTTGGAGCGACGAACGATCAATTGGTGGCTGCAACGACTTGAAGGTAGGCATCTTGACTATTTCTTGCAAGCAGGTCGTTGAGGATCAGCGCCGGGGCTTTCAACTGGTGTTAGTTGAGTCGGGCGGACTGAAAGAGGAGCGTGGCAGTGGTTTGAGTAGCACGCAGACTGCAGCGAAAATACAAGTAGATGGATAATTGACTTGGGAAAACCCTTTTCAAGACGGGTTGATGGTTTAGTGCGGGAGACAGAGCTCCAGGCATGTTGCAGCCTTCATGATCCGAGTCCAGGCGAGCGTCAATGGCGTTCATTGATCGCAGCCTCGGAGTCGAGGCGGCGAGGAAGATCCTCGGCTATTGTCCAGGTGCGGAAAGACGGAGGACGTGGGGGTCGTGGGGGGCAGGGTCGAGACTGGAGCGTGGTGATTGGTAGCGAGGTGGGTGAGTCAACAAAAGGCTCGAGGGGAAGAGGGTTGTAGCACGTGAGGGTGTCTGTCACGATGAGGTATTTCACTACGACGACTGAGCAATGGACCCTTTTGCCAGAGAGATCAATGTTCATGTTCATCCACCAAGAGTATTTCCAGAACCAGAAAGCACATATGCGCGCCGAGTCTCCAGCCCAGCTCTGTACATACACCATGTCGATTCATCCCCCAGTTATTCGCTTTGCTTCACACCTGGACCTCCGAAGACGCCGCCGGCAATTGGTGCTCCGTCCACCCAAGACCTCCTAGAATGTGTCCCTCCATCAAGTCCATGATCTCTAAGCCAAATGCTGTTCACTCGTAATCATTTCCCCGATTGCAAAAGAAGCAAAAAACTGTTTGTCGAAGTTGCAAATGGGCCCCAGCTAAATCATCACCCACTCACCAAGCGGAAAGTTTCCACCCCCATGGTCGGCGTCTCTACCAGGCTATCTCTTGGGACACCTTCCTGCTTCCGTCTGCTGTAGAAGCTGCGACACTCGTGCAGAACTTGAGCCCACTCTGCCAGTGAACGCCCACTGTATCGTGCTGTGCCCATTTCATGTTCCTTGGGCTTCAGTGGCTTCACTTCTGACGCCCTGGCTCGAGCTCGGTCGTCGTTACTGATAGCACTCCCTCTGCTGCTGCTGCTGCTGTTGCTGTTGCTGTTGCTGCTGCTACCGCGGTCACTGCTGTGGCTGGCGCTGCTTCCTCCACTCTCCGAGCTCCGTCGCGCACCAAGGATGCTTTGGGCGTTGGGCGGGAGCAGAGGTGCCGTCAGCAGGCGGTTCTTGTTCTCCAGATTCGTTCGGCCTTGAATGAATTCCAGGGAGAACTTGAATGAGAATGCTTGATGGGGAGGCGTAGCCGGTCGCTCTGGCGCGGTGATGGCACTGTTCGGCCCGGGAGTCTCACGGGCCGTGGAGACGCTGTGATCGTCCGGACTACCAGGCGGAGTGACTTCTCCTGGCCGGCTGTTGCCTGGGGTGCCAAAGACGTTGAGGCCGCGGAACAAGCTCCATCGCTTCCTATTTCCTTGAGCCGGTGAGTCTGCCGCCGGGATTGTGCTGAGAATTGACGAATGGTTTTGATAGGGCGAGCCCTGGGTGACGATCGAGGGTGGTAGATATCTCTCGAAATTTGCTTTGGAAGGTGTCAGAATTGGTTGGCTGTCAGTGCGCATGATGATGAGGACACGGCTAGGTGCAGGGGAACAAGGCGCTGATGATGGTGGCACAACCCCTCGCATCTCCGCTTCCGCAGCAAGATATTGATAATGGGCCCAACATTTATTCAATCTCGTTGCCAATGTCTGCAAGATTTCCCTGTTGCAATGTCAGTACTCATTCACAGGCAACCCAGATCAGTCCTTACTTACAGGTCGAGGTCTGACACCTGCCCATCGTGTCGCGCCACCTTCCAGCAGAGCAGGCGGTAAAAGTAATGCCGTACCATGGGCGACCAGTGGCAAAAGAGCCTTTCAAAGGTGTTCCCGTCCAGTAGCCACTCTAGAATCAATTGACGCTTCCGTCCTTCATTATGTATTAGAATGGACCAAGTACTGTACAAGAATGCGATCGCTCGTATCTGGGTGAGGGTGGTTTGACTCTGCAACATCTGCTTGCAGACGTCTAGCCAGAAAGGCCAGTCGAGCACTGGGGTATCAATGTATGTCTGGTGGTAACGGAACATGATCGGAAGAACTTCTTCCATAAAATCGCAAATCACAAAACATGCGTCGTTGTTGTACAGAGAGATTTTGACAGTGGCTGCCTTGGTGACACTGTCGAACGAGGTCAGAAAAAGGTTGCGTAGAAGCGAATGTTCAGGATCGAGATCTCCCATGACATCTCTCAGTAACATTATCAAGCGGTTTTCAGCAATCGAGCGGGTGGCATTCGCGATCGTCATGGGCAGCGGTGCCAAGGCGTCAGGGTTGTCCATATTGGATCCAGTGCCAGTGGCATAGCTCTCAACTCCGAGTTGGCCGGCTTGTCGGTAGATCGTCGTCTCCAAAATCAGCAACATTTGCGCACAGACCGGGACTAGACCAGGAATAGCCGCGCGGTCCTTCAACGAAGTTTCTTCAGTCAGGAATTCGGAAACCAGCATATGATACTGCTTGGTGAAGACAAAGAACAAGTCACTGTTGTGGCCAGACCATCTAGCAACCCATGGTTGAAACCAATGAATCCTTTCCGAGCCTGGGGGAATTGGCCCCCGTTGCTGCAGCCGGCGCGCAAAGGAAGCTTGAGATCCCACACAGAGGCTGCGGACTGGTGGTGGGAAATTCCTTGCCAACGCACTTGAGATCAAATCAAGCTTTTCTCCGTTCTCAACGCCGAACTGTCTGAACATGCGTCTTAAAGCGCTTGACGGAAGGCACCACAGCCGAACCAGCATATCCGCCACGCCCGGACAAAAGAAGAAGGCATAAGCACATGCTTTTCCGGCAAACGTAACCAGACTCTGAGGAGCGGTTCGCAACGACAAGATACCGGTCACGAATTCCATCTGAGAAAGTAAATTCTGGACGAAGATGTTACGCACGTTTTGATGGACCGAATCGATCAAAAAGTCTGCTTCTTCCGATTCAAGGGAGTTGGTCGACTTCGATTTGGGGATCGAATGGCGTTGGGAACTCTCTCCCAGAATCGAGGCGAAGCCTGGTATTCTCCACTCCGGCCTAACCATAATCCTGGTAGCGGACTCTAGGAATGCAGGCCTGTCTGTGCCAGAGATCGACTGATTATTTGCTCCATGAAGCATCTCCAGCAATCCGGTCCACCACTTGTTCAGAATAACAGCTCGTCGGTCCAGATCCTCGGCTCGGAGAGACTTGTGGGATGGATGGTGCTCGTGCTTGACAAGAAACGGAATCAAAGTTAATCGAAGTACCTTGGCCTTCTGAAGGCTTGATTTCGCTTGAAACCCGCTGTACTCGCCGTCGAGGGTCCTGAAGGCGGTCCATAGAGGGTCTTTTCTTCGTGGCACTTCAGTGTTGAGGGCAGCCAATCGATCGGCTGAAAGTGAAGATGGTAGGGGAGGGATTTTGTTCAGCGAGAGCCTCGATTGAGATCTTTCGTTCGACGCAAAACTCCGCAAAGAAGTCGCTGAAGAGTTCCGTGACATGCGTTTGAGATTCGGGTCGCTCTTGTTCTTGGATTGTATGACGGATAGTGGCCTCTGCACAGGTGTTGGAGTTGGGCCCTGTCTGTCCATGCCTGGGGTTTGTATCGCACCCTCTACTTTGGATCCGTCTTCTTCGGGGGACGAACGTAGCGGAGGACTTGACGCTGCCGGTTCGGGGACTGTGACCGAGTTTGCAGCATTGACAATTTTCCGCTTACTAGGTGACCAACTTCGCTTTCTCTCTGCAGTACCGCTCTCTGGGCGCGACGGAGACGAGGACCTTGATGAAGAGGCAGCCCATGACTTCCGAGCGATAGTGCGAAGAGTTCCAGCGACAGATCTGCTAAGACTTCTTGACTGTCCATCCTTATCACCACTGGTGTTACTCGGCTCACGCGGCAGAGGCTCATCGTCGTCCGGTGACAAGGAGAAACGAGCACTAGCCAACATCTTCCTCTTTGCTTTCCTAGAGACCCGGCGGAACAGTTCCAGATTTGCCGAGTGCGTACTGTCGTTGACCTTGACTTTAGGATCAGAAGGGAGAGAAATGATGTGTTCAGAGAAGGTCCGTTTGATTGTGGAAGAGTCGGAGTGCTCGGTTTCCAACGCCGGAAGGTAGGTAAAGCTGGCTGAGCGTACAAAATTCCTGGGAGGATCGGGTTGGAAGGACTCCGGAGAAGACATGGTGGTTTCTGGGTGAATTCGTAGAGGGCTCAGAGGGTGAACAGGGAGGGTGGGTAGGATCTGGCCTTGGACATGTGCAGCCACGGCCATGAAGTCGTCGTGTCAAAACTTGACAAACTACACGCCCCGCAAGTCGCCGCGGTTACGCCAAAGCGAAAGATGTGAACTTTTTCCTACTCCTCGCCATCAGGTCCAACCCAACTAAGGAAGAACATCGATATGACACGAGACAAGACGGACAACAGGTTCAGCCAGCCGGGAGGAGCGGATCGGTGGACGCAATTGAAGGGGGTTGGGGGTGGGAGGCTCGATAGTCGTGATCGATGTACTAGACTTCGGGGACTGAAGAATTAACGAAGTTCGAAGAATCAGAAGAGTAGGAAGAACATCAACGAAAGACAACATGAACAGAGAGAAAGACAAAGGATGGACAGCGAAGCAAGCAAGGAGGAGCAACAGCAGTATCAGTGTGAACAGTGGAAATCAAGAGTGTCCCAGTCCTTCAGGCTCAGGGTGCACGTTTTGGATGTCGCGGGTGGAGGATTAGCAGCGGTGGAGTGGCTTTAGGGTGTCGGGCGCTTGTGAATGGTCGACCGCGGAGCCTGAAGAGAGACACATCGGCGTCATCAACCCCCGACGGGCCTGGACTTTAAGCCAACTGTGGTCCCCTCTTGTATGGCCTGTTTTCGCTTGCTCAGCGCCTGCCCGGAAACAGCACGGCGAAACTGGGTTATCGTTCAGGTTGACGCCAATAGTGCCTATCGCACCATCGTAGGAACACGTTCTCTTCGTCTTTTTCCGTCTGATGCATATCCACTCTCTGACGATCCATGATACCGTTGATCAGGTCCGGACTTTATCCCATCCTGGCCGAAGACACCACGCCGTACGGAGTGTATGGATGCCCCTGGGATCTGAGGGTGTCGTAGACACTCCGTACCGAGTACATTTCCACTATTTCGGCACAAATAGGGCTTACCCATTCGCCCAGATCCCTCTCGCGCACATTGAAATGCTTACACCGTAGCGGTTCAGTAGTCGGTCTACGTTATCGTCACCCACGATTACGTAGATTTCAGACACCCTCTCCCGGCCGCTACTGCACTCTCCATTCTCTGTGAGTGGTCTTGATTCGGGAGTGTCAGATTTGTGGGGTACAATAGCGATGGATTCCTCAGATCATTCCCGGCGGACATGAATGTGATTGAAATCTAGGAGTGGAGGCTGTGAGAAACCTGGATTCCAAGCTGGTCATGAATCACAGTGCGGACCTTGGCAATGCATGATAGACAGGGCATATCACGGCAAAGATATCATGTTCGGCAGCTTCTGGGAAGTATTTTCTTCACCGTGACAACAATTTTGCGCTGTTCATTCAGAGCACAACGAGGTATAGCGTAGGGGATGAATCTGCGAGGCTGGCAACGGGATTGGCACGGTACAAATCGATCTCAAAGACAATGCCGATTGCCCGTGCCAACATGTTTTAGTACTTTGGCCAATCCTTCCGACGGTCAGGCTCACTTTCAAACTTCTAGAACAGAGATTTTTGTGCAAATGTGACGGTTATTTGGCAGGGGATCTGTGTAGTCCTTGCGGCCGTTTTGCAGAGAACTGGATTGATCACTCCCTTGAAAACCGAGAAGCATCGAATGTTTTATGTCATGTTCTGACTGATTGTACAACCCATTTCATCTGACTTCTTTCACCCGATATCAATGGTGTGCCGGTTCGTCGTCTGCTTCAATGTCCTCAAAAAAGTCTTCTTCAGGCTGTGTTTCGCCTGGTGCAGCTTGTCCTTCGATCTCGACGACTTGATCCTCGTATTCCTTCATTTCACTTGCCAAATTAGTCTCTTCGGGAGACTTGGGAACAGCGGGAGGTGTGAATTTTTGAACGTGTCCCTCGGCGTCCGAGGCTTTCTGTGGCGGAGGTTTGTACGCTCGTAACTCTTTCAGGTACATGTCTTGGATCAAGTCCGCTGCGACTTAATGAGTAAGAATCTTGATGCACGGAGGAAAATGTACTGACGCATCCTTGAGATTGGGGCAGCAACAAAGCTTCGGCGAGAAGCTGGCAACGTTCTGGAGCTCATCCGAGCGAAGAGACGCGTCTGGATCCACGGTTAACAGCAGTAGGGGTGACTGACTGAGGTACTTACGCTGGCCCTTAGAGACTGCGCCATTGCTGAGGGTTGACAAAGGTACAATGAGTTCCTCTGGCAATGTAGGAAGCTCTCATCGGCGACACGATTGAAAGAGTAGCTTCTGCAGTGTGACCATGCTAACCGTTTTTGGATTAGTCAGTAGAACAGTCTATGATATTATCACGTGATCGCAACTAGCCGCCGACCAGGGCTTACCTTCTGATTTCAAACATGCGCCTCATTTCTACCACCTTCTCTCCACCGTCCCTCCATCTACATATCGCAGAAGGCGTCAAAAATCTGCCTCTGTCGCCGTCTCTCTATCGCAGACTGCATCTTTGACGCTCTCGCACACCTTTGAACGATCCGCTGACAACGACTCTTCGTGTTCAGAAACCCCAACGGCTTTCCTTGACTCACGAGACCTTCGCTGGTTGACGGTCACAGTCAGATCCTCGTTTCGTTCACGCATAGGCTGTGCTCAAACACACTGCGATAACTCCGTTCCTGTACCCGGCTTCAGCTTCGCGCAAGAAAGGTACATTACATTAGATAGTTGACAAGAGCGTCGTTTGGCTTCAGCGTTTGGGTTGTCTCATTCACTTGTTGATGACCTGACTGACAAACTGCCTTATCCAGTGTACGACGATCCTCGACCTCCGAGTCTGCGTCTACACTACCTGTCCTCTCGTTCAAATTCATAAATTAAAAGTGCTTTTTCCGTCGATTTCACTGATCAACTTCCTCTGGCCCACGTGCGACAACAGCCGGCTGGCTGCGAGGAGCCTTACTGTCTCTTGGACACAATCCGGCCCTATCGGCCTTTACCTTGATTACCGCCAAACTGTATTCCCCACTGTTCGTCAAGACCTTTGCAAATAACCACAACCTACGGACGACTTACAAGAGCATTAAACGGCGTCAAACTCAACGCTTACAAGGGACACTCGGTGGACGTGTGATAAAGAGTATTTCAAAACCACTCTCGCTCAAGTCAAACAAGATGTCCACTGCGGGCGTCGAAAACCAACCTCCTGAAGCACCAGCATGGCGCGAAAACCTGAACACGCATCTCATCTGCCCCGATTGCAAGCAGGTGCCCCCTGATCTGATCGAGGACAATGCCGACACCATTTGTGCCAACTGCGGAATGGTGCTTGCCGAACGTTTGGTCAGCTATGAGTCCGAATGGCGTACCTTCAACTCTGATGAAGGCAAAGGCGAGGATCCTAACCGTGTGGGAGACGCCGATAACGAGTTGTTCCTCACCAACAATGCCGGTACAATGATTGGCGGCGGCGGGCCGAATGTGTCGAAGGAGACGCGGAAGCTCAAGAAGGCGCAGGCGCTGCAACAGGAAAACAAGGCGGACAAGGCTCTCCAAACCGCCTACGCCCAGATCGAGGCTTGGGGGGAGAAAGCCAAGCTCACGGCTACGATTAAGACTACCGCCAAAATGTACTTCAAGCGGGTTTACGAAGCGAACGCTCTCCGTGGCAAGCAGACAGAGGTTATCTTGGCCGGATGCCTCTTCATTGCCTGCCGTCAACACCAAGCGCCTCGGTCCTTCAGTGAGATCTTCGGACTGACATCGGTTCCCAAGAAGGAGATCGGACGAGCATACAAAAACTTGGAAAAGTTTCTGACTAAATCGTCGAACGAAAGTATTCAGGCCATTGAGGAAAGTGGCGGCATTGCGAATCGGAATCTTCTCGGTTTCAAAAGTACCCAGTCGACCAAACCCGAAGACCTCTGCGATCGCTATTGCAATATGGTTGGATTGCCTTTCCGTGTGTCGACTATCGCACGAGAGCTCGCACAGAAGATACCTACTGTTGAAGGGTTGGCTGGTCGTAGTCCGTTATCCAACGCTGCCGCATGCACCTACTTCGCCAGTCATTTGCTAGGGTTTGGGAAGTCCACGAAACAAATCAGCGAAGTGGCCGGCGTGAGCGATGCCACCATCAAACACGCCTACAGATATCTTCTCCAGGCAAAAGACTCCTTGGTGGAGCCAAGCTGGTTGGGAGAGCAGGGAAATGCCGGCGGGTTCGGCGATCTGAAGAATCTTCCGGGTGCTTGATGTGCTCAACACACCGAGAGCTCAAATTTCTCTGTGTTGGACGGTTGGATGGATAGTCAACAAGCAAAAACACAGGGGGGTGGTTGATTTTGCATCGGCAGCGGTTGTGCATACACAGGCGCTCACAAAAGTCAAGTGTTAGGGTGATGTTGGCTGGGGATTACTGGGTGGGCATGGTGCTTTGTGATCCAATTTTACTATTTATGCATTTTCCCCGGTGCATTTTGTGTGCCAACATGACACAGCATGGCGTTGATTGAGGGGAAAGATACCCACCACGGCGAGAAGCACAGGTGTGCATGTAATGCTAGAGCCAATTGACCAAGATTGCGTACAGGTCAGAAGATAAAATGATTGACCTTGATATTCTGGTCGTCGGCCCATCTGTACTCTCTGGTGGCGTTGCGCGAATATGAAGTTAGTCAACTTTATACGCCCCCACCAACGAAAAGCGCTTCTGATGTTCATCTGGCTATCAAACCCTTGAACTGTTCTTCGGAAAACCCCACATATATTAAACGTCCTTATATGAGAATTGAGTTACTTCTGCCTGGTTAAATAGAACATCCACGGCAGTTCGAATGCTGGCGCGGTGCTCCGGCGCACTCCCTATCTTCTCCCACAGGACGGTTAGCAATAATGTGTGTCAAGTCTAGACTTACATGCCACTGTGGTCTCGTTTGCGAGCCCTCTTCACTACTATCCCATCCAGCTCTGCCGAATGAATGCATTATGTGCCACTGTAACACATGCCGGCACACTACCGGATCTCTGGCTGTGTGTTATCTGAGACTCAATGGCCCACCTAGTGAGAAATCACTCAGTTGCACCACTGCATATAAGTCTTCTGAGAAATACACCAGGTATTTCTGCCAGAAATGCGGATGCAATATCTTTGCTCGTTCTGAAAGGGATGGAGCGTGGTTGGCTTGTCCTGGCAGCCTAGAGAGAAGCGACGACGACGAGGACGAGTTAAGTCAGGTGAAAGGGGAAAGAAATACCACGAAGGTCATGTGCCACTGGTACGTCGACGACGCGAAGGACGGCGGGATTGCGCCCTTCCTCACCAAACTAAGCGGGCGACGTGTCCCATGCTACCGGACCGAACCAGGCGTGAAGGATGAAGATCCATTGGACGAGAGCATGCTTTTACAACTCCAGAAGACATCGCTTGCTCACCCATCTTCAGCGCCTGAGAAGGGCAGAATGCTGGAAGTCTCTTGTCACTGTGGAGAGTGTCAACTCCTCGTCGCACCTCCGCCATACACTGCAAACAGCGCAGGATGGTATGTGCCCAAAACGGATCACAGTAAATATTACGCTCGCTTCTGCTGTTGTCGGTCTTGTCGTCTGACACTAGGCTTCACACTCCAGCCGTGGGCTTACATTCCTCCATCCCAATTTTTTACTTTGGAGAATGAGCCGATTGTCTTCGGGCCCAAAACCAAAGAGACGGATCAGATCGACAAACTCAGACATTATCAGTCCTCAGAGTCTGTGATACGGAGTTTCTGCGCCGTTTGCGGGGCAACAGTTTTCTACCAGAGTTTCGAAAGGCCATATATCATCAATCTGAGCGTGGGTGTTTTGAGGTCGAAGATGGGGAATACGATGGCGGGAGAATGGCTAGATTGGGATAGAGAGATTGTGAGTAAGAGGACCGAGGCTGTGGATGAGGAGTTGATAGAAGCGTGGTTAAAGAAGGCACCTTAGGATACACACTCTGACAATAATTAATATACATATGAAACAAACGAAGATGGAGGAAAGATCATTCTTTAGCGAGGCCTGGATTTGTCCCGCCGAAAATGCTTGGCATTTTTGCATCCTTCGAGCCTTCTACTTCATATCTTGTGAACGCCATCGCGAGAAAGCTCGAGCAATTACCTTCTCCTACGCTCACCCCATTACACACTTCACTCGGTGTCTGGCAGTGGCTGGGTGCCGCCTGCCTGAATCATAGAAAGGCTCTTTGGGGTAACGATCCTTCGCCATGGCTGCCGCTGCGAAGCCGACCAAAAATCAGCTCAAGCGAGCAAAGAAGAAGGCCGAGAGGGAGAAGAAAAAGGTACGCATACTGTCTTACCATCCACCCTTCAAAGCTAACTCAACCCAGGTTGGCACTGAATCAACCCCTGAAACCGCCGTCACAAATGGAGCATCCGCGAAGCCCGAACCAGAAGAAGAACAAACGGTGGCCTCGAATGCGGGAAAGATCACATCAGAAGACGTGCGCAATGGTGGCGCCCTCGCCGAACCACTCATTGTTGATGACGGAAATCCTCTGTTTGATATGTACAAAGACGTGATGGGAAAATTCGAAGATGCGGATAAGGAAGATGCCACATTGAAGGAACCCGCGAAGCCAGAGGTGTACTTTGACGATGATGACGATATTCCAGATGAAGACGAAGAGAACGCCGCGCCAAAGATCTCCAAGAAAAAGAAGAAAGAGATGACAAAGTTGTCTGTTGCAGAACTGAAGGCTCTTGTTCAGAAGCCTGAGATGGTGGAATGGACAGACACCTCTGCGTCTGATCCCAGGTTGTTAGTCCATATCAAGTCGTATCGGAACGTCGTCCCCGTACCGAATCATTGGTCTCTCAAGAGAGAGTATCTCTCGTCGAAACGAGGTATCGAAAAGCCGCCGTTCGCGCTGCCGAAATTCATCCAAGAAACAGGTATCGCAGAAATGCGGGACGCGATCCTGGAGAAGCAAGAGAATGCCACTTTGAAGCAGAAACAACGGGAGAGAGTACAAGGGAAGACGGGCAAGCTCGACATTGATTACCAGAAACTCTACGATGCGTTCTTCAGATTCCAGACCAAACCGGAGTTGACGAGGTATGGCGAGGTCTACTATGAGGGCAAGGAGTTTGAAACAAACTTACGGCACTTACGACCCGGGGAGTTATCTGATGAATTGAAGGAAGCGCTGAATATGCCCCCTGGGGCACCTCCTCCGTGGTTGATCAATATGCAGAGATACGGACCGCCTCCGTCGTATCCAGCTCTCAAGGTACCCGGCGTCAATGCCCCTCCTCCCCCTGGTGCAAGCTGGGGGTTTGCCCCGGGACAATGGGGCAAACCGCCTGTTGATGAAGCGACGAACAGACCTCTTTACGGTGGCGACATCTTCGGTGTGCTCCAGCAGCAACTGAACGCTCAGCAAGGCGAACCTGTCGAGAAAGAACTGTGGGGCGAGTTGCAAGAGCAAGAAGAGTCCGAAGAGGAAGACGACGAGGAAGACGACGAGGAGGACGATGAAGAGGAAGGCGGAGCTGGGCTCGACACTTCGACCGGTTTGGAGACACCCAGCGGCATGACTTCTGCCGTGCCCACTGAGATTGGCGGCACGGAAACCGTCTCTGAATTTGACCTGCGGAAACGCCGAGGCACGGAAACCGAAGAATCGTCTCATCCGCGTTCAGCCTACCAAGTCATTCCAGAACGCCAGTCTCGTGTTGAGGGCTTCTTTGGCGGTGACAGGGTCTACGATCTCAAGGCTGCTCAACAACAATCCACGACTAGTGTTCCTCTTCTAGGACAAGATGATACGTCTCGCAAACGGAAGAAGCCCGGTGATGTCGACGTGTCAATGGATCCAGATGCCCTTGCCGCCCATGACGGGATGGACAAAGAAGAATTACGTCGGGCGTACGAGCAAGGTCGTAAGGCAGAGCAGAATCCTAATTGGGATTTCCAGGATGATTTGTCAGAGATGATTGCGACGGAGTCAAGGAAGAGGCAGAGGAGGGATGAAGAAAGGAGGGCGAAGAGGTAATTCGAAGGCAGTCACAGCGCCCTGGGATATTGCATCCGGGGCATTGGCAACGAATCCATGGGATGATATTCTCGGGTTATTTGCGGAAGGGTCGTGCATTTCGCCGTGCCTTGAAAATCTAACTCCCGGCCGCCGTCGATGAAGGGATCTCGCAATGGGACGCCTGAGAAAAGCAAGTCTGAGACGCCAGTACCACTTCACCACCTCGGATTGGAACCTTCCCCCGAAAAAGGGGCGCTATCATTGTTATTTGGGAGACCTTTCCAAGCTCCCTGTGGTACTCAGCACGTCCCTAAAATGGCTTGACTGGCTGGCCACATTTTAAAAACGATTGGGTGCAATTGCTGGACAGTGGACAGTGAGAGAACGCCACGCATGGAAAGGCAACAAAACTCCCAGCACTGCATACAGCTTTAGCTCCCACCTATGTTGCGCCCCTCATATTCTACTGTCAAACATGACCGCGAAAAGATTTGGTGAGATTTTCTGCTTCATTCTTTGCACCTGGCAACATAAATTGGTTCTAACGGCCACGGGTAAAGCAGGCAATCTTTCAAGCTTGACCACTGGTGGATTACTAAGAGAATGGCTACAATATACGCCCGGGCTTGACAAAGCATGCCCTTCAATCGTTTCAGCGGATCCCTCGGGCACCTTTACTCATGCTCGCTGATGGTCCATACCCTCTTTTGTCATTGCTCTTTGGGGTTCTGCGACGGTCATCGCCTCAGCCTAGGAGCGTATGTACTCGGTAGGGTGACCCTGTCTGGCGCGGTGTCGTGGAGACGCTTCAAGATCTTCGGCTGTCTCAGCGACGTGCACTCCAAGTAGCTTGTATCTGGACGAAAATACATGATGCTTGTGCTCGTGTACTCATATGGCTCCGGTTCATCATGGGCCGGACAGATAGAGCCTGTCTCCCAGATCCAGGCGCCACTGTATCGCTTGTGCTGAACGGAGAAGTGTTGAGACGGGAAAGTGAGCATTAGGAAATGAGCAAGTTGTATTTGACCAGCGCATACATATATCAAACCTCTGCGATGACTGTTTGGGCTCAGTAGATATTCTACCTCGTATGTTGCGACAAACTATACTCGGTAGTGAATACTGCCGGAGCCTTGTTGCAAGCGAGGCTGAAAGCTTGGCGTATAATTTCTGGATCCAGCGACCAAGCAACGAATTCAGATCCGTAATACTATTGTACCGTCCCTCGAAGCCCCTTGCGGTTCTGTCATGCCACACCCCATCATGTGGGATATCAAGTACAGCCAGCTCGAACTCGAATGAACTTCATGAGGTGGCATCCACCTCTTGTTATTGCTGGCCTCTCTACTAACCGTTGTCATGGATCGCTACCGGGGGTATGTTCTCCGCAGCACCGACTTCTCTGAGGTGACTGACCCATACCAGGCCAAGGCGATCGCCCGCACCTCGAGACCGAGGACATCGAGAACGAGATTTGCATCCAGACGTCGAGTACTTCGGTGAAGGAGAAAGCTACCGGCCAGGTGGCTCAGGAGGCGACAATTCATACAGACCCCCCAATCGTGATCGTGACCGTGACCGGGAGCGGTTTGCCGCAGACTCATGGACGGCTGACAGAAGAGATGGGCGGCGGGATGATCGAAGAGATGATGTCGACTCCTACGTACCAAACACGAGTACAAGGTCTGCAAGACCACGAAGTCGATCCGCAGCCTTTCGTCGACGCTCACGCAGTCCACCTAATAGAAGAGAAGATTTATTTGCTAATAGACGTTCACCCCCTCGCCGATTCTCCCCACGAAGATCGCCAACACGGAGAAGATCAAGGTCTCCGCCCGTTGCGAGAACTCGAAGTCCACCGGAGGCGAAGAGGTACAGAGAGTTTTCCCCCGACCCTGCACGGCGCTCCCCAAAACGCGAACGACGATTTTCCCCGGAACGGAGCCGCTTACGCGAACGGTCACCCATCAGGAATTCTCCAAGAGGAGGTGAGAGTTACAGACCCAGGTCGAGAACGCCGCCGCGCCGAAGGCAGCACGATAACTGGGTGAGACGGTCTCCGTCGCCGAGAGATTCAGGCGCAGCCTCGCACAACACTTCACGAAGGTCGTCTCCTCCTATTCATCCAGACCGTGCGAGTTTGACAGGCTCTCAACCGAGATCACCAGTACATCCCACTCGAGATCCTTACGACAATGTCGACTCCGCTGGCTTTCGAGGCAGATCCCCAGCTGTACCTTCAGCCTCAGATGGTGACCAACGTTCTCGAGAACCTGATGTGAGCCCACCGCGAGACGAGGTACGGGCGAACGGTGAGATCCGCCAACCGCCCTCTGGTCCTAGCAGTTATCGAAATGGGAACTACGAAAGGCCTCCGCCCACAGGGCCCTCACGCAGTTTCAGTCAACCCATTCAGTCCCCACCTACCGGCCCTGCGGCATCGATGTCCATGTCCGCTCACAATCGTGGCGGAGGCGCCTCCGCACTCAACGCCCCTACTCGACCTCGTGGTTCTGTGGGCAGATTTGACGGTGTCTCTTCTCGAGATTTATCGGGCCCTCCAATGCGTGGCCGAGGCGGCTTACCATTCAGAGGCCCCGCACCTTTCGGACCGAGAGGAGGCTCTTATGGACGCGGGAGTGACTTTGGCTCAAGCAGCCGCGGTGACTATGGTGGAGGATCCAGCTACCGTGGCGGGTTTGGACGAGGTGGCCCTGTTGGAGGTGAGGCCACGTTCCCGTTTCGAGGTAACAGCAGTACCAGCACTACATACCCTCGTACACAACGCTTCAACGCCGCGCAACAACATCTCGCCACCAACGAGAAGATCGTGCCGGGAGGGAAACTACTCCCCTCTGGCCTCCCCCCTGACCAAGAAAAGCGGATCAAGATGCTCGAGGCAGAAGCCGAACGAATTCGGAGCGAGATTTCAGAGAAGCAGAAGCTCAAGCGCGAAGTACTGAATGAATGGGATGTCAGGGAAAGAGAGAGCGAGAGAGAGGCGCTGCGTAGTGACCTCGCAGAACAGCACTTGCAGCAGCTGATGGAAGGGGATGATGGAATTGGAAGAGCGGCATTCTAGTGTATTCTACTTGCTTTCTGGATAGGTCGATCTATGAGCAGCCCTGGTGTAACCGGACCGAGGAGAGCCAGTTTGAAGAAGGAAACACCTGGGATGTCCTGATTGCTGTCTTTTTCGCTGATCAAGCAGCAACCCCGTTCTACGAAAATACGTTTTGGAAGATAAATAAATTCGAGCAGGCGTGTATGTATGTCCTTGAAGCATAGCATAGCGTTGCACCCAAAAAAGTACGAGATAGGATAAAAGGGTTGGTACGGATGGGAACTACATGAGGCTCAAGACTCACTCGGATGCAATGCCGGGCCGTTGCTCGCGAAAAAGGAATCCGGGACGATACATTTGGATGAAAGAAAGCTTGCTGGCTGTGGAGAGCTGGTTTGTATATTTGCTTTGTTCTCCCCTCTGTGCAACTCTAGTCTAACCAGATTCGAGACTCGAGTCGAGGCCTCGCTACTAAAGAGCCTGAGTAAACAGGTTGTGACAACGCCCAGAGAAAGGGGGGAGTCACTCTCATCTCTGTCTCTCTCTCTTCTCCCACTCCTCCCCCCTCCCCCCCCCCCTTCTCGTCATGGAAGTGAAGCGGAACTGAGCAGGATCGGAGAAGTTGGAAAAACAAGAGTCATTGGTTGATACATACTGGTATATCGCCAGCTCAGAGTTCAAATACCTTTCAACTACATACGGCATTCTGTTGCTCCTTCGACCTTCGACCTTCAACCACACATTTCCTCTGCATGGTTGTACCTGATGGCTGCTGACCCTTGCGAGCTCTACGAGCCAACAGCCCTGCCGCCGTCAACCTCCAGATTCACACCGGTGACAAACTTGCCCTCGTCACTGGCTAGAAATGCCGCAACATTCGCCACGTCAGAGGGGTCCGTCAGTCTGCCTAGCGGGACGTTGAACAAGAATTTCTTCATGTTTTCCTCATTGTACGGCACGCCCACAAAGGACTCGAACAGGCCGGTGCCGGAGAGCAAGGGACACAGGGCGTTCACTCGGATTTGGTCTTTGCCGAACTCGGCAGCAAGACCCTTTGTGGCCTGTTCCACGAAGCATTAGCTCCATCGGCGGAGGGGTGCAGTATGTATATAAATATGTATATATACACGGATAGAAGCTGAGATGGACGGAGGACGAAGGAAACTCACATTCGCAACAGCGCCCTTGCTCGCGTTATACCACACCAGGCCTGGCCGGGGTCTCATGGCCCCTATACTGGCAATGTTGATGATACATCCACCTCCCCGGTTCTTCAGGGCAGGAACCGTGGCTGGGACGCTCAAAAAGATGCTCTTGACATTCACAGCCATGACTCTGTCATACTCTGCCTCTGTAACTTCCAGTGTAGGTTTATTCTTGTAGGATGTTCCGGCGTTGTTAACCACGATGTCCAACCCACCGAACTTGGAGACGGCTATGTCAACCATTTTGCTCCAGTCACTGGACGAAGTGACGTTGGCCGTAACAGTTGCAACGTGGCTGTCGGCGGAACTGGCGTAGGCTTTCTGAAGACCGGCCTCGTTCATGTCCGCAGCGACGACTTTGGCGCCCTCATCAATGAATTTTCGGACGCAGGCGAGGCCAAAACCAGAGGCGGCACCTGAGGAGAAAGAGTGTCAGGCTTAAGTTCATGGTGTCGAGTGGCCCTCTGGGAACCTCGTGGCAGCTTGCCATCCTCTCCTAACACCACGAGACGCATTGAGACCCAGGTACTTACCTGTGACGATGGCCACCTTGTTGGCTAACTTGCCAGAGCCTGTCTGGACCTCATGGAGACCTGACATGGTGAAAAGCTTTCTTACGAAAAGGTATAGGGTTCACTCAAGTGGGAACAGTGCACGGTGGATGGGAGGGAGGATAGGGTACGAGAAGAAATGACAGCAAGACACGCTCCCACCGGAAGTCGAGCGAGAAAGATATATAGGCCATTGGGCCATCTCTATGCCCCGCAGTGATCCAAACCATCTGGGAAGAATTCTGAGGACCATGATGTACGGTCAACAGGCACACAACAGAGGGGTAAGGTTGTGGCCAAGGGCTTGCGGAAGAAGCTTGCGGGGAAGAAACTCGCAACTACATGCGGAGATGCTGTCTCGAAAACCACTCCTGGCGAATGATGATGGGAAAAGGCCGGAGCCATCTCGTTCTCGAGAAACCGGAAGCCGGCAATGCGCCGTCTCTTCGAATTTGGTACAAATGCAATTTATAATGGCGCCAAATAGGGCTGTAGGTTACCAGACACATGTATCGAGCACCATGGCCGATCTCGAACTCGAGTCCCAATAACACCGAGGTCGGTTGCCGGTGGAACGGATCGATGTAGGCCGGTTGAGCTGAATAGCACCACCATTTGCACGCAGGCAAGACATGCCTCTGAAAGGAGTTGTACAAAGCTTCGCAACTCGCAGAGGTCGAGGATCGGGATCACCGACTGAATGCTGGCAAGCAGGGATAGGAAGAGGTCGAGAGTCGCAGACCGGGCGTATATCAAATTCATGGTGGGTATCTTGGTGGTGAGATAGAGCAATACAAGACCTTCTTCAGCGAAGGTTATCTCCTCTTCTTGTTGTGGCGACTCTCTGCAGGCCGTGTTAGTGTCTTGCTGGCTGATAGGGAGTTTGACGACCGTACCTGCTGCTGTCTTCTTCTTCTTGGGCGCACCCTTTCCTCTTAATTTGGCGAAGGCCACATTCTCCAGTCTATCGTCCTCCTCTTCATTGAAACCCTCCAGATCAAATTTCTTGAACTCGTCCAAAACGTCTTCCACAGTGGCTGATCGTCTGGGGTAATACGAGGCCAATGCTGGGCCCTTTAACCGTTGGCGTAGGACTTTATTGCCCAGACGCTGGTGCATCGGGTTGAAGGTCGTAGAGAAGATCGAGCATTGAAGCTGCAGAAGTTCGTTGGATTAGCAGGTGTACACCCAGAAGGGATCACAAGGTGGTGATCGCGCCTCTGCCCAGAGGCGGGGAGAGTGTGATTGGGTTCAATCGTACCTGCATCAGCTGGAGTAGCCGGCCTCTCGACGGAGAAGCCATGGCAATGCTTAAAGGAGGAGAAGTTGGTTGGTTGAATGTGCTGGCAAAGAACAAGTTCTGAATTCTGAATTGCACCGAATTGAGGCTCTAGAATTGCGACCCGGCACTAGTTGCCGCCGAAAGATTCCACTCGCCTCCAATTTCCCTTCTTGTATTTTTTATAACCACTCCGTCACCCCCCCTTCACCTCTCTGCCAGTGTCTGCACATCCACCTTCGGTTTCGTACAAATCCTGCTGCTTTCCGGGCCATAAAAATCTGTAGAAGATCGTCTATACCTCGAGAATGCCCGACTTTGGCAAGAAGCGCAAGTTCGAGAATGAGCAAGACCGCGGTCTCAAAAAGCCATACCGAGACAACCCAAATTCCCTGAGGCACACCCTTGAAACATCAAGCACTAATGGACTTCCATCCCTCCCACAAATCGATGAGAAGTACCGATCTGTTGTCTTTACACACCCCAGCCAAGTGCCCGGCAACGTCCATGCTAGCTACGACAGACTGGAGTTTTTGGGAGATGCCTACCTTGAGCTCTTTGCCACCCAATTAATCTTCGATCGATTTCCGAACCTGGATCCAGGAAAGATGTCTCAGATCCGAGAGTCTCTCGTCAGAAACGAAACCATTGGCCAATATTCTAGTCTCTACGGCCTCGACAAGCAGATACAAGGCTACAAGCAATTCCAGAACCAGGCGCCTCATGCATGGCTCAAGATCAAGGGAGACGTTTTCGAAGCTTACGTCGCTGCGGTAATCCTGACTGACGCGGATGAGGGCAAGCTAGCTAAGAAATGGCTTCACCAGCTATGGGACCCCAAATTGCAGGCTGCACTCACCGCAAATGATGGCCCGTCCAAAAAGAGCAAGGAGGAGCTTGCTAAAAGGATTCTGGCAAAGGGTGTGAAGATCAATTATGTGGATGAAAAGGAGCCCATTGTTCACTACGGCCAAGGAAAGGAGACCTACTTTATTGGAGTATACCTGACTGGCTGGGGCTGGGACAACCAATATCTTGGCAGTGGAAAGGGTTCCAGCAGAGTTGAGGCCGGACAAGCAGCTGCAGCAGCCGCACTGAACAATCGTCCGCTCATCGACGAGATCGCGGCCAAAAAGGCAGAGTCTTATGCTCAGCGAGACAAAGAAGCTGTCAAGAAGGATGAGATCGGAAAAGTGTAACACTGTCTACGGTTGTGCGTTCCTGAAGCACACGCTGAGATCTACCTATTCATGACACAAGCTACCTCTTCGATGATGGCAGCATACGACCCGAGATACCTGCAGGCGTGGCTATCAGCGCATTTCGGGCTCGCGCTAGACGACCTAGCAATTCATATCACTCCCAGTCGCTAAACTTATGATCATCGACGATATTCGAATACCGGATTCCACTCTCCAGTTGACTGTCAGAGTCCATTGAACGTTCTGGCGCGGCAAAGAAACTCCTGTTCACCTCCTCGTGTCTCGATACACCTGTGGCTCTCGGTTAACTTGGATCGATCCCAAAGCTGTGTCAAACTGAAAGGAGCACTTACGGCCATCTTGTTGCTCCAAGTGCTCCTTGGAAAGGCTCTTCGAGCTAAATGACAATAGCTGGCGCTTCGAAATCCAAGGCTGGTCTTGTTCTGATGCAGGCTTACCACGCTTCGGCCCCTCATTTTCTTTGCCGTCGTCCTTTTTGCGCTGAAACCATCTGGAGATGCGCCTATGCAGTCTGGTGAACGCTCCTCGTTCCTTCCCGTCTTCTTTTCCAGAAATCATCCGCTTGTCATGGCGAATGTCATCATTTGGTACCTTGGGCTCGGTGTTCTCCCTGCTCAGGTTGTTTTCCTCTGCCTCAAGCTGTGCACTGTGTGTTGACGGCTGCTGTGAGTTAGCTACCACGGTATCATCGGCGGGTTCGTCGCGAGCCCAGGACACAAGCCTATCAACAAGTTCTTTTTCTTTGTCTGGCCAGACATAGCGATAACTGAGTCTTTCAGAATTTGGAACAAGCTCAAATTCACCTCCGCTCCGTCCAGCTGCGCGTCGACGTTGTTTGCGAGCCTCGATGCTCTCGGTCAAATTGGCTTCCGACATCACTGAGATGGATAGTAGGTGTCGCTGGAGTTGCCAGTGAGTTGGGTTGAGCTACGACAGTAGTAAGTCTATGTTGCAATCAGCTTCCGTGCATTGATATGTAAGGATAGCACAGCATACTGTGATCGAGAGGGAAACGATATTACGGACTATTGTCAATACCGGACGTCTTCGACTATCATGCAAAGAGGAATGCCGGCTCAAGAATTACCTTGGAACAGACATATGGCATGTTGAAACGACATATCAGAAAATTGGTTGCTGGATGTTTATGGGTGCTTCTCCAAATGATAACACTGCCAACACGGTCGACGCGGTTGCCCCGCAGCCTCACAATATACTGTGAAGGTGGACAAGGATACAACTTGTCCAAGCACGTGAAGCCAGACTCTGCACCTGTGCGAAAGCTTCACCACTTTTCACAGCCTTTTGGACTTTCAACAATGCACCGGCAGACATAGTGCAACTGTCGTGGCAGCGTCGGGCGTTTTGCGGATGATACGGACAGCCTCACTAGCCCCTTTTCCGGGCCAGCCTCGCAATGGCCAACTGCATACGCTTTGTTACAAGCCCCACCTAATAATATATCAGACAAAGAAATCTATTGTTCACGACCCGATTACTGAAAGGAACAGCACCATGTTGGCTGACAAAGCGAACAATGAGACAATAATGTCTGGGACGACAAAGCGCGCGAAATGAAGATGCGAAGCTGATGCCCTTATTTGCCCGTCGGTTGTCTGGACATCATCATCCCTTACTCGAAAGAGACATACTACCGATCACGATTCGCAGATCACTCAACGACACCGTCCCCGATCACTCTATATTCCAGTACAGCTGCACAATACAGACGTCAAACCATACCACAAAGATGATGGTTCACACCCCACTTCCCATCCTCCTCCTCTTACTCTCCTCCACAAGGCTCAGCACCGCCTACCCCTCCCCTGGCCTCACGCTCTTGCCCAAGGACAAATGCACCTACGCAGGCCAACTCGTCTGCGCGTCGGCCACGACGTTTGCAATCTGCGACGTGTCTCTCACAGGGATCATACAGCCGTTGGCACTCGGGGATACGAGGTGCGGTGACTTTGCGGGCGGAAATGTTGTACCAGCAGCTGCTGCAACAACTGCCCCTTCTGCGTCGCACCCCGCCGCCTCTCCCTACGTGTCTTCTACCATCCCCGCAAGCTCGCAGCGAAACCTCGGGTTCATGAAGACGATCGAGTTGATGGTAGCTACAGCATCGCCGCCACCACCGGCTCGACAACCAGGAGGTCCCACATCCTCCTCGATGCCAAAAAGTCCACCGAAACAAAGCACACCAGCCACCTCGTCCGCCACCCCCGCTCCACATTTTGCTCAAGGGCCAGGCCTCGAAGTGGTTCCTACAACTCTCCCCCACGGCGGTGCCGCCTCGGGAAGGGTGTAGTCAGGGGCAAAGGACTCGCTCGGGCGGTTCATGACGGATCGGTCTACATGTACCCATACAAAAGTGGAACTCATCGTGAGAAATTTTGCCGTTGGAGTTCTTTCCCCCTGTGAGGACCACGCAGTAGGCAGCAATAAAAACGATGGTGAATTAATTCGCTCTGGATTCCAGTTGAAGACTTAGATGTATCACGGACAGTGGTATTTTCTTGCACTTTACCTGTATTGATCCTGTTTGGTATATCTCACGTTTAATGTAGCAGCTTCGTCGCTATCAAGAACTTTCTTTGGTTCCATTGCCATTATTCCGTTTCAGACTGTGCTGTGCTATTTAGCTTATGGTCAAAGTGGCTGTGGTGCCTTCTATTTGCTTGGGTAAAGGCTCGTTCACCGTTGAGCGTATCCTATCATGCATTGACCGACCATTGATTTCCACAGAGAAAAGGGAAGAGCCGGCCGCTCTCTAGATCTTGTTGCATGGCCGATTGTTAATTCTTGACCTTGGTGACTTTCGACTGGGCTGAACAGTGAGCGCCATCCTAATGGTAGCTGAGCAAAGCCTTTGGTGGTTGTGCGAACAGAAACCAGTCACAAAACCTATCGTTGACCTCTTCCATACCAATGATTATTGAAATGAATATAACAATATGAACACAGTCACCCTGTCATTAAACTCTCATTGACTCTGGATCCCTTAAGCTCCCAAATTGGAACAGGGAAGGCACTTATATCCTTAACCGTCCATTTGTTTCCTTTTCATCAGCAGTGTCTTGAATGGATTTTTTGCCTTGAACCTTAGACACGTTACCATATAAACGACGGCGAAGTTGAACACGATGAACCCGATGAAAATTCCAAAGTCGCGCCAATGGTGAAGGTAGTATACAGAAAACCCGCGTCCAAATTGGTCTCCAGTCGCGTACTGGCAGAACTCGCAGAGACCATCGGCCCCAACCTGGACATAGCCGCCGGCTTGAGTAATATATTGTTGAGTATATGATCGGCAGGTAAAGCCTGGGGGTGCACTCTGCCATGGAATATTAACCCTACTACCATTCGAAGCAAGATGGATTGACTCACGAATCGAGCAAATTCTCCACGGTTGCAGCGAACAGGTTGGCTGTGAATGATTGCCTGCAATGGTAGTCAGTACTAGCGGCGGGATTTCGAAGAGATGTCGCAGCTTACCCCTAGCATAGCCTCGAGAAGATAGTGGAAGGGCGTCAGCCAATACATCCTGGGAATTGTAAGTAAGTGCTCCGCTGTATCTCCGACGACAGGGGCAGCAGGAATGTGCTAATACAGAAATTACTCACCAGCTTCGCCAGAATGATGGCAACTGTTGTGGTGGCACCACGACACCGCAGAAGCTCACGACGAACAGGAAAAAGATCGGCACCAACAAACTCGCAAGCAACTCGTTAGGCGCGAATGAAGCAATAGCCTGCCCGAAGCTGATATAGTATAACTCGAAGAGTAGTATACACAGCAACAGGAATCCTGAGGTGAAAGGCGAGGTTGACGAACGATAGCCAGCGATGCCGAACCACCAACAACAGTAGAAGATAGCCCCAGCGATCAAGGAGTAGGGGATTTCAGCAAGAACCGCACCTGTTGTCCAAGCAAACCAGCTATAGATCTTGGCGTTGTTCTCTCGAGACTGAAATATATTCCGAGAATGAATGAACACAGGTTGCAGTTGCTGAATGAGCGGTGGAGAGATTGTGAGCACCATGAAAACAGCAAAGAGACGCGATTGCATGTCGATAGAGGCGTAGCCAAGGTGGTAGAACGTGAAGGTTGTGAACAAGCCGGTCATGATATGCAGGATGAATTTGCCGAGAATATAGTTGGGTGTCCGCTACAAGCATGTCAGGCGAATAATATAGAATACAGGCCAACGCAGGCGCGATACTCACCCAGTACGCAACAAACGACCTCTTGACCACCGCCATAGTCTGCGTTCCAAGCGGCATGGCGTACTCTCTGTCGTCCCTTACATTCTTGGTATGTTCGACAGTCTTCCTGCGGTCGACCATCTCGGCTATCTCGTCAGCTCGAGCTTGATAGTTGGTGCTGTGTTCCCAGACATCGCCCCAGTCTTTGCCTTTGTAGTTGGGGTCGCCCGCGCCAATCACTTCAAGCATGTACTCTGCAGGATTTGCATCTGGAGGACATTTTCGCGCTCCGTTCTCTTCGAAATAGTGGATGAGCTGTTGCGAATCATGACCAAGAGGGCCGTGATAAACAACCCGGCCACCGGATTTGAGCAAGATGAGCTCATCAAAATGTTCAAAGAGTACCGCCGACGGCTGATGAATTGTGCAAAGGATAGCTTGACCGGCATCTGCCAGTTTTCTCAAAAATCTCACGATGTTGAATGCCGCACCAGAATCAAGGCCTGAGGTAGGTTCATCCAGGAACATAAGAAGCTCAGGTTTACTGGCCAGCTCGACACCGATAGTCAATCTTTTCCTCTGTTCTTGGTTAAGGCCCTCACCAATTGTTCCGATTGTTGCTCCCGCGATGTCTCGCATCTCGAGCAGATCGATGATTGTCTCGCAATACGCATACTTCTCCTGGACAGGTACTTCCTTCGGTTGACGGAGTAAGGCCGAGAATTGAAGCGCTTCTCTTACCGTGGAGGTCGGTTCGTGAACATCCATCTGCTCAGCAAACCCGGTAGCACGCTGAAAAGATTTAGGCAGCGGCCGTCCGTCGACAAGAAATTCGCCGGTCACGGTGCCGAAGTTGATGCGCTGAGCAAGGGCATTCAATAGTGTCGTCTTCCCAGCACCACTGGCGCCCATCAAGGCGGTCAGTTTGCCCGGGCGAACATATCCTTGGACATTTTGGAGCAGCTTTCGTTGGCCCTTCTCGTAAGGAATTGTATAGTTGATGTCTCGGAACGTGTATATTGTCTCGTTCTTGGCCACATGTGCCAGCAAATTGTTGTCCTTCGTCGGGCTCGCTAACTCGTTGCTTTCGTTACCTGGAGATATGATCTTCTCCACAATATCAGTTGGGGTCGAACCCCCGGATTCCTCGTCGTGTTCAGACTTCTTGTCTCGGCCGCCTGTTTGAATCGTCTGTTCGACTTGCTTGGGAACCTGGCCACGCTTGAAGACGGTAATAGCGCCACCACCTGCGTTGGGCTTCATTTTTTCCATTCCGAAAGCGGCCACGGCAAGGAAGAATGCGAAGAAAGCCCATAGGAAGCCGAAATTGCGCCAGAGATGGGAACGACTGTATCCGAAAGCTTGGTGAATGTACCGAGCCCCATTCACTGTTGTTTGACCCGGTTCACTGCCAGCCAATGTGCATGACTGGTATTGAGGCCGTGCACTGGGACCTTGGGGGACCAGAAAGGGAGGCACACAATCCATGATTAGACCAGTAAATTCGTTGGCCATGAGACATTCGAATCCATATTGTATCCAGTTAATTCGTCGGAGCCAGCTAAACCAAACACGCATCTGAGCGGGTGCTATGGGATCGTCAGCAATTTTCAAAAGGAGATTGGATATGGTTACTTACGAATGAGATAGCCAGTATACACAACCAATATCTGGATCGAGACGCCGGTAAATCGAGTGGCGTCATCTAGAGTCTTGCAGAGGGCAGAGAGCATACGGAAATAAGCATAAGTCACCATCGTGACGGTCCAGATTATGAAACAAGAGATGAAGAATTGAGAAGCAGAAGCGGCGAGCCCAGCCATCCAGTATATAATGAGGTTGAATAGTAGGACCTGGATAGCCACCAATGGGATGTCGACAACCGTTTGTGCAAGAGCATATGCCGCGGGGCGGTAGAAGGAGAATGATTTATGCTTCAAGAGGATCGGTTTGGACGTGAATGCGGCGGTCATCTCTGCCAAAGCCAGTAGAGCATTGAACAGAAGAACAAAGAAGATGGCACCACCCCGCGGAAAAGCCCCAGCAGTTGTTTTTGGCATCTGGAAGAACAAGCTTCCCACAATCAGTCCCTGTGCCATCGTCAGCAGCAATTTCAGTCTAGGATGAGTGGTCGTCGTCCGCACGTACTTGAAACACAATGCCTCCCCATTTCCCAACCAACGAAGCTCGGTCACCTAGCATGACCAAGAATTGCCGTTGTGTGCATGCTAGCACCTGCTTGTGAAAAGGGATGGCATAATTCTTCTTCTTGTCCTTTGCAATGTTCTGCCCACGAGATTCCCGCTGTTCTTCTAATTGAGCTTCGAACTCCCTGATATCTTCAAGGTTGCGTTGGTAGGCCCGGGACTTGCGGTAAAGAGCAGCGAATTCGTCTGCATTTCGTGGAATCCGATCGTTCCATCCCTCTCTGACGGACCTCGCGTGCGGATCAGTAACGGAGGTCAAGAAGTCTGACGTTGTCCAGCGTGGTTTACAGTCGAAACCAAGATCAATGAAATATTGTTTCGCCTCATCTGCTGACCCGAAGTATAAACACTTTCCTTCGTGAATCAAGAGAACCTTGTCCACAAGTTGGTATAACGACTCTCCAGCTTGATACAAGGACACCGCTGTGGAAGTATGTGCCATATTGGTGAGGGTCCGGATGCACTGGACGTACTCGAGTGCCGTGCTTGCATCTAAACCGCGACTGGAATTATCCCAGCCTTGAACTGAAGCTCTTGTGATCATCGCTATTCTCTGTCAGTGACCTGGTTCACACGTCGCAATCTGGAGCGCACCTTCTGCTATGCTGACTCGTTTCTTTTCCCCGCCGGAGACTCCTCGAACAAATTGGTCGCCAACTTTCGTGCCTAGAGTGTGTTCGATCCAGAACAGTTTTGTTACTACCCGTAAGAATTCTCTCTTGTAATCTGCGCGGGATTCTCCTTCTAGTCTCGACTCTTTGCCCGGAGTGCGCGTCTTCAGGGCAAACATAAGAGTGTGTTTGACCGTCAGTGTGGGATAATGAAGGTCATCTTCCGGATTGTAAATGACCTCGCCTCGGAAATCTCTTTTCATAGTCCTTGCGTCAGTGCCACCGTAGGTAACTTCGCCCTCGACAGCCTCGAATCCCTCTCGCTGATTACAGAATGCTTTGAGAAACGTCGAACAGCCTGAACCCGGTCTCCCAAGGACCATTAGCATCTCCCCGGGCCTGACACAACCATCCAGATGGCTCAGGAGTTCTCGCACTGGAGGCTTGCCGAACGCCGCCTTTGCTCCTTTGGTAAAAAGGGTTTTGAGCATCCGTGGCAGGCCGAGGAAAATGTCGCCGACGGTTGGCTGAAGGCTTGCACCCAATCCGACGCCCTTCACGGTCAAGTCGCGAAATATCACACCACTGTGACGAGTTCTCTCTTCTTCACTGTGCGCCTGTCGAGCTTTGCCGAACATCCGCGACATGAGCCTCTCTATTTCGTCATTTTCCTCTCGAAGCTGTGCTTCGGATTTGCCTGAAGCGCTTGTTCTTCTACGGGACAAGACATTGAACAGCTCGTCCTCCGATCGAGTACTGGTTTGCGGTCGAAGGCGCTTGTCCTCGCCTGCGGAGGCCGCTCTGAGCGGTTCAAACCTGGAGTCGGATCTTCTTCCTGCGGATTCATCTGATGTATCCGTGGCCGACGATGCGGACGACATGCTGCGAGAATAGCCATGCTTAGAGTTGGTGGCTACGGCAGTCTCATCTGATGAGGGGGTGACGTTGATTCGATGTGCCACCAAGGTGGCTTCTGGTGAGTATGGTCGAGACTGAGGCTGAGAAGAGGTCGGATGGTCCCTCGTAGCCGCAGATGGTATAGTACGTCGGTCATTTTCGTGATCCTCCCAGTCTGGAGGATTCGGCTTCTCCATCAATGAAGCATTTGGTTGAGGAGGATGGCGATCTGGCACATCTGAATTCGGCCGGTCAACCATGGTTAAAAAACGGTCATGGAGATATTGTAGAGGTAGGAATAGGCATGGCCGAGACAGCAGTTGAGGTTAATACGAGCGACGTAGTGGTGTGATGATAGATTGTACGAATAGGAAGGCCATGGCGTGACCAGGGCGCCCACGCAGAGTATGCGAGTCCAGAGCAATAAAAGGGCAATCCGGCTCGGTGATAAGTCAGAAACACCTCCTGGTGACCGAGCTGGATCGAGCAGCGGTAACTCCCAGAGGGGCAATATCGATGGGCGGAGGACGGGGGATGCAGGCGCCATGGCACCGTGGGAAGCTCTGGATGCAGGAGCGGCAATATGCAGCCGGATTACGTTGTTGTTTCGAGCAAGGATGCTTGGTGGTTGGAGGAACCACAAAGTGTAGTTTCGACTAGCTTCATTTCATGACGAGGTTGCGAGGTTTGTTTATGTGTATATGTCTGTATCGGATCTAAAATCTCCCGGATCCCGGTGACGCAACGAGCAGTTCGGGGCCGAATCACGCTTCTCTTCCTCTCCGTATGTCTCGGTCTGGCTTCAGCACAAGCAGCAAGTATTGGAACACATGAATATAGTGGTTGGTCCTTGCATGTTCATCATTGTCGTCGTCATCTGCGGCCATGGCTTCATCCGAAAACACTCGGCTGAGAGCGCAGGCAGTTGTCTAAAACCATCGTAATGTCTTCCCTTCCGGTGGGCATTCGTGTTCCTAGAGTGGAGAGGAGAGTTGCTTCATAGAGGGTGGTTGCGAATGTCCATCCCGGATAGAGGGACGCGTTGTTGCGTGGCATCGCATCGCATTCTCCCGTATGAGTGTTTCGCCTCTGAAATTCCCCTCTTTCCCCAGGCCAAGTCAATGTATCTGGCCAGGAGGCAGAGGATCGTGGCGACATAGGCATTGGGGGGCCCAGGCAATGCTGGCCGTTCCCCCGGATCGCCATTAAGGGACGGTTGTGACCGGTTTCTTCGCAAAGAAGTCACTCATCTTCTTCATTCCTGAAACATTGACCTTCTTTAGTTCTCGTACTCCTTTTGACAGTCCCAGCTTTTTCTTCCTGTCCTCCTCCTCCTGCTTGCGCTTCTTTTCCGCTCTCATCTCGAGCGCTTCGTCATCTTCCAATCCCCGTTTCCTGCTGAAATCCGTCATCGATCTGGACGCTAGGGCCTCGGCTTTAAGACTATCCAAATGTCTGAGATGGCCCTTCAAGGCAGAAAAGTCGATTAGAGAATCCCGCGAATCAAATCGAGCCCTTAGGCGTTCCGCGACCGGTGGTGGCAGATACGACGTGAGGATGAAGTCTAAGACGACCCGCTGTTTCTGCAGCTCGAAAAGCTCCGTTGACATTGGCTCACAAACGGCAGTGCTGATCGAGCTCGTGACCGAGACTTCCGAGAAGACCGTACATTGTGCTGTGCTGGCGGTTGAAGATTGAGAGTCCAAGCTATCTTGTGCAGGGTCATCTCCGTCTATTGATTGGGCCACTGTCTCTGTGGTTGAAAGCGTCTGCTCCCTCTTCACGCTAAGTATGGGTGCTTCCAATGCTCTTTTGACAAAATTTTCCAGCAGGCTAGGTGGTAGACCTCTGCTGTCAGCGTTCTTCACCTTCTCGACGATCATACGTGCAGTCTTCTCTTCGCTCGGTCTATACATTTGCTCGCCACCCGCTTCAATAGTATCACACAACATGGACATGGCGTCCTCTACCACAGGTCGTCCGTGTGTCATTAAATAGCGCAGTTCTTTATCATCCTGTAATCGCTGCTCGAAGAGATCATCAATCGGCTGGAACAAAGCTTTCGCTGAGGTTGGATTTGCCGGCAAGATAAGAGGTGCAAGTATAAAGGCCACGTCAAATGGTGCTGCCACATAAATGTCTGGATTTTTGCTGGTGTAGCCCTCGCTCAATAATAGCCCTGCTTGACCCTCATCTCCTGGCCCTGTGGGATTGGTCTCGTGGGCTCGAGGATCACATGGTGTGAAAAGAAGACTTCGAGGGTCTGTCGTGGGCGTACTGATTCTGGTGAAGTGGAACAGCCCCTGTTCGGGACAGAACAAGAATCTTTGTGCAGCTCCATCACGGGGATGCCGCAAGAAAAGGAAGCGTGCCTCATGGGATATGTCTTTTGGGAGGATGAAATGCTTCAAGGGTTCCCGTTGTGGATTGGCGCAGGCGGTTGCGGTGTCTTCACGGGGTTTCTTGACGGGGCTGGTTGAGCTTGAACGAGTTGCTATCGCCATCGCAACGGTGGAAGAGCATGAATCGGTCAAATGGTTCGGATGGAGGTATAGTGCAAAATCGATAGTAGGTACGAAGTACCCGACACAGGGTTCTGAAGAATAAGACGGTGCAGGAGACGTGGTCGGGGATTCCCTTCCGCTTGCCTGAAAGACAGTGCACAACGCGTCTTCGGCGCGTCTTCAACCGCCAATCGGAGTTCAGATTCACTCCGCAACCCAATTGTCTCCTACGTGCCTCCTTTGACTTGATATTCTCTTGCAAAAGCGGTCAGGACATTGTGCAACGTCAAATTCTGAGGCCTTTTTGAGTTGTCTATACGTTTGAATCTGCTTGAGTTGGCAGAAATCGGGCCTCTGCCTTTGCCATTGCCTAACCCGTCGATGTACGCATACTACGCCCCCTCGACATCGAGTGCCTTTTAATGACAGCATCCACCGTTTGTTGATAAAATGTCCTCGGAGATGGCTTGGCCTCCTGTTTCACCCCATGCCGCGCTCCTGAGCTCTCCAAGCGGACGCAAGAAATACCAAGCCTACCGCGATGGCACATCCCCAATGAAACGATCGGCGACGACACCTAGTCTGGTCGACCGGCTGCGCGCAGCACGCACGAACAACGACTTCAGGACTCGAGATGAAAGCGTTGAGGAGCAACAACAAGAAGAAGACGAAGAGACGCTCCAACTTCAATTAGCAGCAATCGAGGCGAAGTTGAAATTGAAGAAGCTACAACAGAGCAAGGCTCGGGTTGCAACTCCTGCTGGAGATGTGGTCCGGCCCACGTCTGCTCATGCACCAGCTGCTTCGCAGATTGAGGTGAAAGCTTCTCCAAGTAGACGAATACAACCCCCGGTGTCGAAATCGCCAACCAGGGTTCTTCTAGGAATCGACAAGGGTATCCGAGCCGCCGATGTATCACTCCGCAGAGCCAATACTACCAATGGTAGTCATCGCTCCACGAGAACGAACGGATCACTTCCCAGCAACGATAGACCGCCGTCCCAGACCTCAGTATTCAACTCAGCGCGATCAGTGACCTCATCTAGGTCGAACGTAGGGAGCGAGCCACGGAAAACATTCAGCGAGCGAATGGCAGAAGCCCGCCAACGGGAGACGAACCTTGAACAACGTCGCGCCACAGCAATCCAAAATCGCAGCAGAGGGTTCGCCCTCGACCAAACGGAAATAGAGCAGTATAGATCAAGGGCGGAGGAATCACGCCATCAACAACCATCCAAGTCACCCACACGACAATATTTCGAATACAGTCGTGATGAAGTCCTCCATGCCGCATCAGAAGCTAACGTGGGCGGTCGGCAGCTTAAGAAGAGTCGAACCATGCCCAATCTCAGAACATCGCCATCCAGGCACAGTGTGAATCCAGAGACCCAATCGGGAGACGCAACTCTTTTCGAAGGCTTCTCCGGACTACACCTGTCTTCGCGAATCCTGCCACATTCGTTCCTCAAAAGGACCCTTCCCACCGAACAGTTTACCATCCTACGCATCCCAGATCTCCTCAAGGTTGTCAAATCTCCTGCATACGACCTGCCCGAATCTGTGTGCGACTATGTTGTTTTTGCGGTGATCGCCTCCAAATCCTCCCCCATGGACCATAAGACACCCAATACCGACAATGGCACCGTTGGGACTAAGGACTGGGAACGCCAATGGGAGGACGGCTCTCGCAACCACCGGCGTTTCATGGCTCTGACCCTTACAGACTTGAGTTGGACCATCGACTTATACCTTTTCAGCACTGCCCTCCCTCGCTACCACCGGCTCACGCCAGGCACTGTCGTGGCTATCCTTAACCCGGGAATTATGCCTCCGAAGCCGGGGAAAGCCGATACTGGCGCATTTTCTCTGTCCCTTTCTGATGATTCCGATACCATTCTGGAAATCGGCACAGCTCGAGATTTGGGATATTGTAAGACTATAAAGAAAGATGGGAAGGAATGTGGGAGTTGGGTCAACGCAGCGAAGACGGATATTTGCGAATGGCATCTCAATGCGGAAATTAACAGGACAAAGGCTCAAAGAATGGGCGTAAACACTGGCACGAGTGGCTTCGGGGTATGGAAGAATCGTCCCAAGACAAGAGACGAGGATGGCGGAAAAGGTGGCCTGTTGACGAGAGACGGACGGCGATATGACAGGACGACAGAAAGTCACTATTACATCGCCAGCACAGGACCCAAAAGTGGCGGGAGTGGTCGCCGCACAGGCGTAGGTTCACATCTTCTGGACAGCGACCACCCATTTCTGCCTGGGCAAGACGGTGAGCTCTCCCGTCCCAGCGACCGCGATACTCGCCTAAGAAAACGTCTCGCCGTGCAGGCGAAAGAGCGCGAGATCGCGCAGAGACTCGGCTCGAGAGAGCACCGCGGATTCGGGTTCGAAAGCGCCGGTGCGGAGTACATGCGGCAGAAGACGAGGACGAAGATGAGGGAGGACGACGCAACGAAAGATAAACAGACTGCAAGGACCATGGCCGTGGGCGAGACAGAAACTCGCCGGCACTCCGGTCCCATTTCCGGGAGTATCCTGACCACCACCAACGAGAACAGAAAGCGTAGTGCCGCCGACGTGCGTCTCTCCCCAGTGAAGAAGACGCGCTTCGTCACTGAAAAGGGCATCAGAGAGGCGGGCCGAGAATCCATTGGGGCGGTAGGTGGTCCAGGACCGGGTGGTGGGTGTGAGAGTGAAAGCGAGGATGAGTTGGAAATTGTTTGAACGACTCTTACGTTTCGCGTCTTGCTTGATTTTGAGGGAGAACCTGTACCATGAATGCTGCCGTCGTTCCGCGTCCAGGAGAAATGTATAACTCACCTAATGACCTAGAGGCTTCTGTCTCATGAAACGTTTACGAAGTCTTCATTAGAAAAGAAAGAGCTCTATGAATGAACCGAGGGAGCATTGACGCTACCCTATCCCATGTATCCAACACTCAAAAGAAAAAAAAAGACGCCGGGTTTCTGCAATCCTCTTCGAGACATGGTTAGCTATCTCGAAGGATTCTGTTCTTCTTCCCAGCAGTTTCCCAACAAGAGCTTCTCGAATGAATCTTCTTCCCAGAAGACTATCCCACGTGGAACTGTCTGAACAGCCACCACTCATATCAATGTGGTCAGCCAAAGGCAGATCCAATACTGCTCTGCTCTCCTTCTTCCTCGTTCGACCCGCCGCTTTCCTGTGCTTCGTTGTCCTTCGGCCTGGCATCAGAAACCTGATCATCTACTAAAACGCCGCCGGTCAGCCTGAGGGAAACGATCGAAAGAGAAACGAACACTCACCGGATGGTCTGACGGTTCTCATGCGTCGCAACGTGGTCATGGTGTCTTCAAGCACTTTCAGCTTCTTGTTCAGCTCTTCCCGCTCAGCGAGTGATCCTGGTGATTCGCCCGCGATTCTGGTGACTAGTGCATCATCCAGCTGGAAGACGATTTCTGGTTTGAAGATCTCAGGTAGTTCGTTGAGCAGGCAATGTTCCACGGCGTACACCCCGAAAGAGTCGATGATGGTCTTGAGCGCAACCTATCAAAGTCAGTCGTCGAGCTTCATTGATCGACATACAACTCACCTTATAATAAGCTTCCATGGCGTTTGTCGCATCCATGCACGCAAATCGAGACATGTCCGACTCTGAATCTTGAAGTAGTGCAGCCAAAAGCTCACCCGTGTCCATAGGATATCCGTACCTTCTCTCACTAATTTCCTCCGAAGTAGGATCCAAATCTCCTCCACAAAAAAGCCGGATTTTCTGCGCCGTTGCCTCTCGCTCCGCGTCGCGCCGCTTCTTCTGCAGAGTTTCGGTGAAGTAGTGATTGTATGTGATAGCATGGCCCTTTATGTGCGGCTGAAGAACTTCCTCAACCTTTTTGTGTAGCTTCGTGACAATGGCGTCCAAGTTGGGTCGGACCAGGAATCTCATGATGCCGTCTCCAGTAGCGGAATCACAGATATGTTCCATCACCAGCTCGAGTGTGGTTTTGGCCGCGGTCACTAGTTTCTCCTCTGTTTCGCGGATCAAGTGCTGCCACGGTCTGCATTGATCAAAGAACAACTCGTCCACAATTGCTGGGTTAAACAGACCAGGAAGTTCGCGACCTCGGTTCCGACGCATGCGAGCCTCGACAGATGCAAGATAGTCTTTGCGGGAAATGCGTTGAGGACAAGCCATCTTCTCTGACTCCGCCTCTATTTCTTCGTCGACAATCTCCTGAGCGTGCCCTTCAATCCGCATTCTGGCGGCGAAGGCAGTCAGCGTGTGTTGCACAACGGCACGGAGACGTTTGTTGAAGCCTTCGTCGGTGTCTGCGCTTCCAAAGAACGGATCTTCGTAAGTGCCACGAACGGAAGACTTGGTGAGATCAACAAACTGCTGACTTGCATGGAAGAGGTAAGCGCGCTGTGCAGGGAGTGACCCTCGTGGAGCACCGAGCGCCGCCAACTTGCTCTTACAGACAGTCAGTTCTCTCTGCACGTCTCGCACCAGGGAGGGTAGTTCCGTCAGAATTTGGCCAAGCAAGACTTGACTGAGGCGGGGACGGAGCGTGTCGATCCCAAGCTGACTGCTCGGGAGCGCCGAGGACCACACGCGGGATTGAAAAAATTCTTTCTCGGCAGTATCTCGCTCGGAAGAAGTTGTATCTCTGGTGTCGTAGTCACGGTTCTTGAGAACGTGCCATCCCAGCTTGAAATAGACATCCTCGTTTCTTGCTAATTCCACAAACGCAGCCTCGCTGTCAGATCCGGCAAACAGCAGATCTGGCTTCGTGATGATACCCAGGGTTCGCAGGCCCCTCGGATCAATTTCGCGCGCGAGCTTGGTGATGATCTGGTTTGCCAGGTCGTTCTTCGCTGAAACAACTGCCAAAATGATGCTCCTCTTGCTCTTCATGTACGACTTGACAAGGGATTGCACCAGCTCAGCGTCATTGTCTGACTGGGATCGATTGCCTGCCCAGAAGATGCCGGGTAGATCAACAAGGGTCAAGTTTGGCTGATGTGGGCCACAAAGCTCGACTCTTAGAATATCCTTTGCGAAAACGGTGTTGTCATTGTCCAGTCCCATAGCTTTCTCCGCGGATTTGACAATGTCGGCGAAGTCGGCGATCGAAGTGGAAGGAGGGCTGAAGTTTGAGAGGCGTTCAGCATCCTGCTCTGTGCGGTCCGCGGCCGGAATGATGGTGACAACGACTTTCGAAGAAGGACCACGTCGGAGGATGAGTTCAGTCGCAAACCGGGTACAGAGGTTGTCCTTGGTGGGAAAGCGGAGGCCGGAAATCGCTTCTAGCACGCTGGATTTGCCGGAGCTTTGGTCACCGCAGACGATGATCTGAGGCAGATCCACATATCGACTAATGCCTTGAAATCGCAGCGTGTCGATGAGATTAAGAATTTCTTCATGTTCAGTGGTCTGGAGGTTGACTTGTGCCATGATGAGGAGGTCTTAGCTAGCGGTGAAGCAAGATGGAGGGATGAGCTGGAGAAGTTGAGGGGGAGGGTGGCATGGGCTTTTAAGGGCGAAATCCCTTCCTCAAGGACGAGGCAGCGCTTTCTGCTTGCTGATCCTGTTTGTGAAGGCTAGGCAAGGTTGACAAGGATCCCCACCAGTAGCAAAGCCAGTACGTCTTTTGACCACGGCTTTCAGCTGCACCTTCTGGCAGATTCACTGTGTTGGCAAGCTTTATGAGACGGCGGCCTGCATTGTGGATGCCAACGACCTGATTGATGGCCATTGTCTTGAGAATCCATCCAAATTTTGTCTGCTCTCCGTCCGGTGAAGTCCTAGAGCAAACTCCTCCACAGCACGGCAGGTCCTTGACGTGGGATTGCTGGGAGTAAGTCATCCATGGCTAAAAGGATCATCGTTGCCCGCACAGTATAAAGACAACACTGATCAGTTCTATTGTTTGATCATGGAGAAAGGAAACCAGGAATGGCGCTGACCGGGATACGGACGGAGGTCAGGAGGTGGCCAGGTAGAGATGGGGAATCAGCCTCGGCGGCAGCTGCAGTCAGCCTGGTCGGGCCGATACCGATAGAGACAGGCACAACAGGCCTAGGAAGGGCCTAGGAGCAAGCAAGAAAAAGAATATCCGCCTGCGATTGAAGGCTCACTGTCTCTGGCAGCTTCTTTACATTACTTTTGCGTGTACATATACATATCACGTCAAACTCAACATATCTAGCAGACCGTCTTCCAGATCTTCTTCCACCATGGCCAAGTAGCCTGAATCCTGCGCTCCTCCTCGAGGATCTCTCTGAGGTTATGGATTTCTCTCCGCCCACTCGTAATATCGATCTCTGTAGTCTTTCGAATCTTGGTCCTCTTTACCAGCTTATAGCCAACATACATCGCAATGACGATAGGCGCTGCAAGGTAGACTTCGAAGAAATTCTCCACCAACTCCGATGCAGACATTTCGGCGTAGCCGACCGGTGCAAAGCCGGTCCAGAATTGTGCAATTAGAATCAGAATGTTCATGGCCAGACCTATCCACGAGCCGTACACCGTGGCTTGTGATCTGAAGGCGAGTTCATCCAGGGAGCGGCCGGCAAGGCGCCAGGCGCTGCGGAAGCGGATGTGGCATAGACAAATGGTACCCCTTGGATATACAGGTTAGCCAGAATGCAGGATAACTTGGAGGTCAACTTCAACACCGCTTACCAGGTGAAAATCGAGGCAAGACCACTGATCGCAATCATCCAATTGAAAGCTTGAGTTGAGGTGTCCGGACCAGCCGCGACAATGTAACACAGAAATCCGACGAGGGAAGACACGATAATGGCGACCAATGGACGGCCCTCACGGTCGACGTAGCCCAATATCTTAGGAGCCTGACCCATGTCTGCAAGCGCAGCCAGAGTCCGGCTGGAGCCATAGACGGAGGAGTTTCCCACGGACAGGACAGCAATGAGGATGACGACGTTCATGATGGACGGGACTGCATCAATGCCGGCGTTGCGGACGGCAATGACGAATGGAGAGGCATTGGCGTCCGATGAGGAGCTGCCGTTCAGCAGTTGTGGGTCGTTGTATGGGACGAGGACACCCACGATGGTCAGTGAGACCATGTAAAACAGGGCGATCCGCCAGAAGACTTGCTTCACAGCGGTAGGCAACGCTATACGAGGGTTCTCAGTCTCGGCGGCTGCGAGGCCTACTAACTCGGTTCCACTGAAGGAGAAGGCGGCCGTGACAAACACGGAGCACAAGCCCTTGAATCCGTGATTCTAGAAAATTATTAGCCACTGAAGCAGGGACGAGAGAGGTAACTTGACTTACAAAAGCGCCTGGATCATACCAGTAGTGGGCGCCGATATAGCCTCGATGATCGCCTGGGACACCGCCAGTGTTGATAATGATGCCGAGTATGATGAAGCCGATGACCGCGACGACTTTGATGATCGAAAAGACGAACTCGGCTTCGCCGTAGCCTCTGACCCCAAAGAAGTTGATGATGATAATGGCCACCAGGAATATAGTTACCCAGGCAGCCCCGTTAACGTCCCGACTGCCCGGCCAGAATTCAAGTGTAAGAGATGCGGCGACAATCTCGAGAGGAAGAGTCACAAGCCATTGGAGAGCGTAGCTGGGGACACGGTCAGCTTCGACAACCATCAGTGATCGGCAGTACGATACTCACTTCCAGCCCATCGCGAAACCCCAGGCCTCGTCCACAAATCGACTCGCATAAACGGAGAACGCTCCAGCAACAGGATACTGCACCGCGAGTTCACCGAGAGCGTGAGTGGTGCAGTACAACGTGATGCCTATGAGGCCATACGCGATAATCAACGATGCAGGACCTCCAGTAGCTAGAGCGGATCCGGAGCCCACAAAGAGGCCAGTCCCGATTGAACCACCAATCGCAATCATCTGGAGATGGCGTTCCTTCAGCTTCATCGCCAAAGCTGGTTCGGCGGGAGGCTGGTCTGGGAGCATCCTGCCATTGGCGTCGATTGCCTGGGTCGTGACCCGAGCATGGGGATTGCGTTTGAAACCGTCCACGAAGCGGCCGAATGCGGTGGCTGCAGGAGGGAATTCGACCTTTCCCTGGGATAAGTCGGAGCTGCCACTAGGACTTGCTGACATTGCTTCGATGTCTTTCTCCATTGTAGATTGTTATGGGGGAATGACGGCAAAAGGAGAATCTCTTGACAAGAGAAGGCTGGGTGTCCAAGAGAAGCGGGCTACAGCTCCGAATGGGGGAGACGTTGGTGTTAAAGTAGACGAAAGAATCGGCATGAGGCGTCGCTCATCGGCAACATGCGATGAGATTTGGAGGGGCAGGTAACGAATGGAAACAGCGACCAAACACAAGCGAAGCGGAGTATGTGAAAATTTTGTGGGTTGATAAATGTCGCATATCGAAAGTATTGGGGCACGACAAGAATATTTTGCAAGGCTACCTTACCACTTGGCCATGCCACCCCAGATGCCACTGTCCCACTTTCAGTAAGAAAAATTGCTGTGTGGCACCAATGGCACGCCACAAGCACATAATCAGCACCCAAACAGGATACATAGCATGCCGTCGTTGAACACTATTAGGTGCCCAGTTTTTACCAACACCATAGCATTGTAAATTGGAGCCGGCGATCGGTTGGCCGAAGGGCACGCACAAGGTTGCAACGAGATCACCGCAAAACTCAAGTGGATGTAGGTAGACGACAAGAGCCGCACAAGACCAGACGTGAGATACCGGGGTCAAGAAGCTGAACAGCCACTTTCAGCAGAGTGAATCGTTCTGTGTATTCGTGGTAGTGGTGAACGAGAGAAAAAAAAAACTCTCTATTGGAGGATCGACGCTTGCGTCAGCCAAGGCAAAAATTCCCCCGCGCGTTAGGGACAAAGTCGCAAACCGGAAAAATCTGTTCCGAGAGGCGGAAAATTCGCCAAGACTCACTCCTCCAGCCTTGCATAGCCGTTGAGCGGATCTCCGTCGCTTATGTACGGAGCACTGGAGTGTAACCCTTTGATCTAGATCCCAAGCCTTCCAATGCACCGCGCATATATCATCGACCCTCTTCCCTTAGGGCAAACGAGCTTCGTTTTCATCCCTTGACAAGCCGGGGCAGATCACGGACCCTGAACTTTCTCTCACCCTTTTTCGTGGTGTTTAGTGCTCGTGTAGAACACATGGCAGAAAAATGGACCCCCCCAAAACAAAAGGACGGCACACCGTGCTGGACCAATGTCCTTGGCTACTGACGTGCAAAGAGGTACGGTTCTTGTGTGGCTTTCAATAATGGTGTGCGTGCAACAGCGCCAACGCATTTCCGTCATCGCCAGGCCAAAAAATTCTACAATACTGTCTTTGGCTGGCGATTCGACCGTTCAACTACTTCGGAAGCCTGTGTGCTTGACCCTGCTGAGATTGCTAAGTTCCCGGAGCCCGGAGGGCCATGTCCGAACGGGCGCATCACACGGGTTTTAGCCAGTCAGAGTGGACAAATTCCCAGTTTCGAAGCTGGCCGAAAGTCCAGCCTGGCTGATACATTTTTGGAGGAAACCAGAAGGTCGTAAGAGCAGGTGGAAAGAAGATGAGCGACATTTTGCCAGAAGGGAACCAGGCGATTATGCAGCATTTCAAGGATACTGAGGAAAGTTACCTTGGGATCTACACGATGAAGAAGTAGTGAGATGGCGTTAGAAAAGCGTAATCGACTCACTATCAGTCACCTTGTGCACGACAATTTCAATGGCTTCGCTGTGCAATATCGCAAGTCTAGGGCTTTTGAAGCGAACACACCTGTCACGAGGCCTCTCCAACAAGCTAAACGTCATCTGAAGCTCAAATCGAGAATGAGTAGTATCATTGTCATATCTTTACCCCACAACTGGAAAGATATGGATATCGATAGCGCCTGATGTTTCAAACGCACCATACTATCATTACACTACGCGTGTCACGTCAAGTAGTATGCGACATGGCTAACCACGCTGTGTAGGAGGTATCGCGAGCCTTCTTAGCCTTTAGCGATAGATCATCTTCGTCTCTTCTAATGCCTGAAGGAATGTGTTATTGGTAGTGGGATTAATATATTTTGAACAAGGATCGGCGTTGCTCTGTAGTTCGGAAGTTTTAACTCGAGTCACGCCGTGGCAGTCCTGGTGTCGACATTTTGGATGGACTGGAGAGCGAGGAGGGTCCAGCCACTTGACGCTAACTAACCACTGAGATGCAAAGAGCCGAGATTGGTCTTTGATTGGTCATTGGAAAGGGATGGTGTTCAGGTGCCGGTGGCGGGGAAAGAGAAGAGAGGGTTGTCACACGGACGAACGCTAGGTACAAGTACTTCACTTACCCACTACCCGCCTGGGCAGGTGCTTTAGCGGGTGTTCGGTACTTCAAGAGATATTCCCACGGCCCAGGCACGTCCGGGCAGGTCGGCCGCCTCCGTGCCATTAAATGGCTGAGGTCTCGATACCTGGGGAACGAGGTTGGGTTCAAAGTGAGAGTGTGTTGATCAACAGCCTCATTTTGCTGATCATCTTTGCTTTCAGCGTAATGGCACTCCACACACCCTCCGGTACCGTCGTCATCTTTCTCACCTGGCCACCGGTGGTAATTTCTTCTGAGACTCGGTAAGCAAGAGCCCTCGAGTCCTTAACAAAGTTCCCCTCTGGACTCTTGCACCATTTAGCTGCAGGTCCCGACCGAGGGGATGGGCCTCGACGCATCCGCGCCTATCAAGGCCCCTCGGATGCACCTGAGATTGGCTCGTCGTCACCCGTAATGAGGCTGATTAGCTAGCCACCGCACAGACCTCAACTAGCCGGCTCCTCTGTCCTCGCGTGGCAGCTGAACCTTCAGCACCTTTAACCTCCCCCCAAGCCTCAAAACGGGCTGGGCCACTGTGACCTGTGGCCTAGAAGGCACCTGCAAGTGGCCAACCAAAGGTGCCGCCTTCCTGTGCTTTTCCCTCTTCTGCTGTTTTTCCACACTTCTCTTTCACACCTGCGCCCTCTCCTCACAAATCGCTACCACCCAACATCCGCTCCCTCGGACTTCCTTTCTCACTCTCTCTCGACTGATCTTTGCAAACCGTCATTCCTTCTTGCGATCGTCGTGCCGCCACGCCTCTTTCGTCTTATACCCAATACCTTCTGACTCTTGGCCAAGAGAGCTTCGGAATTATATCCACGTCCTATACAAACGGGTCTTTGTCGCGTCGCAAATGAGTCCGAAGCCCCGACCTCGAGTGCACTGATTATCCGAGCAGAGCAACTGCTCGCAATATATCGTCACACAGTACTCGGCCAATTGGTCCTTCGGGTAGCCGCCGTTGATGCCATGAATTCGTTGCCTCTTGCTGGCACTCGCAAACCTTTGCCTCGGGCAGCTTGCGCATGACCATGATCCTCGATATCCGACGTGGACTCCTTCGCTGATGCAATGGCCGCCGCCATGGTCGCCTCCGAATCCTCCCTCAGCAGTCGTGTTTCCTTGATCTCGCTCGACCCGGCGGTCGCCAGTCACATCACGGGCACTACGAGGACGACCACCCTTCCGTCGGCGTCGCAATATGGTTCCAGCCCAAGGAAAAGTACCAAAACGCCTGACACCGACATCTCCCGCAGCCACAACAGAAATAATTCTGCTCCTAGTGTTTCGGACAGGAAGGGACCGACGTCGCTAAGGCGCGTCAAGGACAGCACGGAGGTCTTGAGACAGCGCTCGACAAAATCGTCCACCAAAAAGCCTAAAAAGTCGCTGGAGACGGTTCCGGACAATATCCACGGCCGCAACTTCACTGTCGGCAATGTGGGAACCGGGGGGATCCTTTATTTGACGCCGTCAACACTTCAAATGGGCAATGCTTCTCCACATTCTATTGTCTCACCAGTGCTTTTGCCCTCGGCAGTCCCAGCTGTCCTGAACAACGGCGCGCAGCGGCTTCCAATGGACGAAAAGGCGCCAACCACCAGGTCCGTGTCCTCTTCCCAATCTCAACGAACGGCCTCTTCGAAACTGTCCGTTAGACCTTCCCCGAGACCCAAAGCCTTCCCCAATCATGGCCGGTCGCAATCCTTTTCTACCCTCGAGGAGCATCGCCAATCTTTGCTGGCTCCACAGTCGCGGACGCTGAAGATCATCATCAATCGCCCCGAAACCGCAAGGCCAAAGACGTCCCAAGAGTCCACTGAAGAGCCGGCTTTAGAATTCCACCCTACTCTGGAAGTTCCTATCCCACATTATCGTATTGGCACTTTTCGCCTCAGTTCCAATGGCACCCCAGTACTACGGGGGTCTTCATACACGACGGCGTCTCTCGCTCCCTCGGACGTCACCCCTACACAAGCAATCATGCAGGCAGAAGGATTTTTGGCGGCACCTCCATCTGCTAGCCTCAAAGCTTTTGCAAACTTCGAAGCAACAGGGACGACAGCCGAGGAGGAGGAGGCAGCACCTGGCGCACCTCCCATGCCGCCGCTCTCCAAGACTGCGTCCACAACGACTTCGAGCTTGCCCAGCATCGTCCAACCACAAGTATTTGACCACCTGACCCAGATCTACGATGACCCCTCGATTGTCCGGTATTGCCAGAACGTGAGGGAAATCACCGCGGCCACTCCTGCTCGGATCATTGCTCAAATCTCGTCGGATTCCTTCATGGACTATGAACTGGTATCCGACTTTTTTCTCACATTTCGGTCCTATATGTCAACTTATCAAGTGCTTGACCTTCTCCTTGCAAGATTAAGGTGGGCTATTGGTCGCTTGGAAGAGGACGGCAGGATCATCCGCGTACGCACTTTTGCGGCTCTTCGCCATTGGATCCTGAACTATTTTATGGATGATTTTTTTATTGACCACCGCCTTCGAGTCCGCTTCTGTAACGAGGTCAACAGGCTCTACAACGACGTCAAGACGAACCCGGAAAACGGATTTAGCGATCTCAAACTCTTGCGCGACTTAAAGAGGTGCTGGAATGGTCGCTGTTCCTTATGCTGGGGCCCGGAGAACTTTGATTTGGATGGCGAACAGGAGGAAGATATTCAACCTGGAGGGCTGGTCGAGACGTATCGTACACCAAGGCCATGGATCGGCGTTCAACCGGTTCGGGCCTCGCATGACCCTCCTCAACCACCGCTCTTTCGAGGGCAGCAACAGAGTTGGTTCGAAACGGATACTGCTGTCAGGCCAAGCCATGACCGTCAAGCTTCAGACAATTCTGGTCTTCTGAGTGATGGTAGCGTCCAAGCAACTTCTTGCTTCGTCCCCAAGAACCTCCTGCGCCCCGGTGCTGGTGCGAGTGAAACCCATTCAAAAGCTCCTCATCCGGTCTCTGTTCAATTGAGACGAAAGAATGCGCCCGCCAATCTGCAAGTGGTAACTCAACCCGTACCAACTCAAAAGGTCATTGGCCACAGGAGAGGAGCAAGCTCTATCGACAGCAATAGGGAGTCAACCCCTCGCAAAATAAAAGCCGAACCTTCTGCCCGGGTTGTGGACGACGGTAGCATCATCCGAGGACTTCTTTACAGTCCAAGCACTCCTTTCGTCCACATTGTATCTTCTCACTCCACTCAGTCGCTTGATAGACATGAATTGGGAGCCTCTCGAGGAGGACCTAGAAGGGAGCATGGTACGCAATCCGCGACACCACCCGTTGCGAGGAATATCTTCGGTTCAATACGAAAAGTCCTCGGAAGTAAGCAGGGTCATATTGATATGACCCTCCTCACTGTTTCTCAATCTGCTCAAGATGTACCGATTCGAGGCCAAAAAGCACATTTGCCTCTCAATGTGTCCAAATCTCACGATGAACTGCGCAACAAGTCGGGAGCCGGCATGCCCAGGAAGGGCGAAATGCGCATTGACCTCCTCTCAGCTGCAGCATGTCAGAACTACGAGACTAGGTTTCCTTCAAAACATCGAATCAGTTACGCGCCCTTCTTTGCCATCAACCGTCCTATTCAGCCAGCCACATCTGCTGCAGACGTGCATGAGCCACAGCGCATGCCAAGTCATGCTACCCGGCAAAGTGGCTCAATCTTGATAGTTGATGATACAGGTCCAGATTTTCCTTCGATGTCTGGTGCGCTTCCAACAACAGACAATGACTTCGATTATGCGGAAATCGCTCCCTTACCATTGCTCGGCGTTCAGAATGCTACTCTTCTAGGCGATCGAAAGGAAAGTTTCGATGCGGTTGCAACGCAGAGGAGCTCGAACGTCCTTCCTCATGATATAGATCTGCCGCCGGCGCAAGAGAGCGGTGGTAGTTTGGAGCAGGTTACAACCGACCCACCCGATCTGGGTGATGTGTTCGAGGCACCTCCTGAGACTCCGGTCGCGCTCGATAGAGCACATTCTCCTACGACAGCCAGCTCCAGGACTGTTCGGGAAGATATTATGCCAGTCGATGCTTCCATGGTTGGCGGACTTACCATCCAGCCTGAAGAGGCATCTATCCCAGAAAGTATGCAGGACGGAGATGTGGATATGGGCCACTCGGAGTCGGGAATGAGACTACCGCCGCAGACTCTTAGACGGAGGCCAGGAGGCGACTTACGTCGAGTTGAAAATGTGCAAGAATTGGATCACACATTTCACCATGCTTCCATAGATACTGCCAGCGCAGTGTCTGGGTCACCTCACGAATCGCTCCTTATCATGAAAACAGACACAGTCCGGCGGCGCACTCTTTCAGCAGAAGGTCCTCCGCCCAACAAGCCCATCTCTCTGATCAATACGCATTCCTCCCAGCACCTCCGACCTTCCTTCGAGGCAGCTATAGCCGGCTTCTCTGACATTCCCGATGACGAAGATGGTGGGCTCGAGGCAACCTTGATGAAGCTTGAGGGTCGTTACGAGAAGAGATCACCACCCATGGAACAGCATCCGTTGGACTCTACCGCGCGGCGGCGATCACTTCCAGAGCTGAGCCGGATGTCTCAACCGGAATCTGGAAATCTAGTAAGAGCTATCAAAATGCCAGCTCCTGCTCCACGCGAGGACATTCGCACAACAGTTGATGAAGTTGCCTCGGAACAGTCGGCCGACGAACCCCTGACACCGGAGCCTCTGGTTATGGAAGCGAAGCCAGCGTCGTCTCGTCGATCCTCGATCTACGGACTCCCGACCGAAAGCGTTGCCGGTTCTGATGAGTCTTATGGGTCCCTGCCGCTGCTGAAACGTGAAGCGGGTCATGAGAGTACTGCTGAGGCTCTGCCTACTAAACCAGGCACAGACTTGCCTATGATTGCGCCGGGTTATTTCCCGCAAGATCCTCCTCAGCTCTTTCACCTACCCAAAGGACCTCCACCGAGCGGGAACAAGCACAGAGGCAGCATTCCCCGACCCGAGACTGCCAATGACAGCACACGATCCTTCCTTCTCGACGAAGATGAGAACCTTTCGGACCTATCTTCGGAGATATCTGTGGACATCATCAATTATTCCGAGGTTGCGGGCCGGTCCATTTCACCCATGCTCGCTGCGCCGGGAACAGCTATATCTGGGTTGGAGATACCGGCACACCCGCTGACCTATGCGTCGGTGGTGAATCTGCGTATCCCCACTCCGCCGGAAAGAGTCTCAGACCCCATCCCACAGATCAAGACAGCGCAAACCAATAAGCCTCCGTACAACGATCGGACGGTGGCCAGGCAGCCAGACAGATCCTCTGCTCAGCCCTTAGCCCGTCTGCCAACCGGCCCAGCGCATATGCCTTTTATTCTCGCTTGTGATTCACAGATCCTTGCTCAACAAATGACACTGGTAGAAAAGTCCGCGTTGTCTGAAGTGGAATGGTCAGATCTGGTCGAGATGCGGTGGGATAGCAAGACCGCTGAAATCCTTGATTGGGTCGAGTGCGTGGCGAGTGGGAACGTTCGAGGAATCGATCTGGTCAGCACACGCTTCAACCTGGTTGTCAAATGGACCTTGTCCGAAATTGTTTTGACCCAGGACATTCATGAAAGAGCTCGAGTCATCACCAAGTATATTCATGTCGCTGCACATGCTCGCCGATTGCACAACTATGCAACAATGTTGCAACTCACGCTTGCGCTCACCTCGACCGACTGCACACGACTCGTGAAGACTTGGGAGTTGGTGCCCAGCCCGGACAAGTCGTTGTTAAAGAACATGGAAGCACTTGCGCAGCCTTTGCGCAATTTCCACGATCTTAGGGTGGAAATGGAATCGTCCGATCTCAGCGGCGGCTGTATTCCTTTTCTAGGTTGGTGCCCCGTGTAGCCTCTCAAGTCTCGCATGCTAATTGATATATCAGGATTGTATATTCGTGATTTGACATATAATGCACAGAAGCCTTCTCACGTTGCAGGGGTTCACGGGACCGAGCCGCTGGTCAACTTCGAACGCTACAGAAGCACGGCCATTATTGTCAAAGGCCTTCTACGGCTGATTGATGCCAGCTCAAGGTACAACTTCGAGCCGATACAGGGAATAATTGAGCGGTGTCTCTGGTTGGCCGCTCTTAGTGATGATCGAATACGCAGCGCGAGCAAGACATTGGAAAACTAATCAACGGACACATTGGATATCAAGAGAAGCATAATGACTGGCCAGGATTCGGTCCAGATGAGCTGCCAGTCAGCTGATGCAGGTTTGCTACCACAGTATCGACTCCTAGCATTTTAGCGACAGGCTTTGTCAAGCTAGCAGGCGTGTCTCTGTTTATTGCGTTGTCTGAACCTTTTTGCATTTGCGGAGTCGCTCGAGACGTTGGATTGTTGACCACCGAGCAGGATAGTTTGACTCTAGCGTGGTGTTGGGGGAAGCCATGGGCCAAGTAGAAAATATGGGCGGATCAAGTCTGAAGCAATTCAGCAGTAGGTAGTGTATCTCACAATATAATTTGGGGACTCAGGATACGGATAGATTCCAATCTCGAGCGACCAGTATCTGGATCATGGACTACAACTGACCAGACCACCTCTTTACTCGTGTACAGCACTGTCTGAAGGCTGAAAGTGACATCGTTGTCAGGCTCATTGCCAGCAACCTGCGAGGATTTCAGCACCCTTTGGAACGACGGTGGTGCTCACTGGTTCTTGAGGGATCAGTCTGTTAGGGTAATTCATTCTGGGTACTTGGTATTCATTGTACTTCTATGGATGATATAGCGTGGCAAAGTAAGCTTTTATGCATTGCATTGGTGCTCGACCTCCTCTGCCCTCTGATGTTCACCAGCCGACGAAAACAACTCCATTTGAGCGCTGAGCCGGCTGAACAGCTCAAATTCCATTCTTTCACCTGCCTTTGGATCCCGAAGTATATCACCAACGATATCAAAACCAGGCGGGAAGTCATGTTCGAAACGTGGCTCTCCGGCAGCACCCTTCATATTCGTCAAGACAGCCTGCCTAAAGTGCCATCGTAGAAGCAGATCAATTGTGATCCATCGGGCGTAGTCCTATTGAATCTAGAGTCCTTCTTTAGCGATTGGGCAAATACGCGTCGCCTCAAGGCCACTAGAGAAGTCTACCCCATTATGTGTACGTATTGGTGTTCCTCATATAATACACTGACGATCTCGTGAACGAATGACTCTTGGAAGGCTTTAATACGGGTTCCGGCAGCGTAACTGCTTACCCAGGTAATAAATGGCTGCTGACAGCAACGATATAATAGTTTCCTGGTTGAAGTGGCTGATCGTCTTTCTCATTCTTTATTTTATTCTCATCCTGGAGAAAGAAAGGGCTCTTGGATATGATGATAATCTCTATCATTGCATAGAAACTTACATTTGTGACGCCGGCTAGGAGGAGTAGGCCGCCAAGTTCAGTGTGGACGTCTCGCCCAGCTGACCGAAGCCTTGCAGGCATGACCTCATGGTGTGCTTCACGTTGTGCAGAGGAACAAGAAGCGGATGTTTGCGAGGACGACAACGAGGACTCCATGCGGGCACAGGGCAGAGAGGTTGCACAGGGATGGCAAATCCAAGGTGCAGGCTTGGAAATGGCAAGAGTTTGTGCGCAGGTTCAGAGATGATGTTCCCAGCAAGGACCAGGCTGGCGGCGAGGTTAAAAGGCGGCATGGTCTGGGTCAGTCGCACGTGAGCCCGGGGCACGTTTGACTCCCCTTCGGGTGCCAAGTGACGGTAGAAGCTGTCGAGCGATATGAATCGAAAGGATCGACTTCATCTTCCCACAAACCGAATCAAAAAGGATACAACGAGTCTCCTGAGCTCGTGGCCACATAAATATGGAGCAGGAATCTCCGCCACGATTCACGCAGCGAGATTTTCGGTTTCGCGAGCAGCTGCTAGCCATCACGGCCATTCCTCTTACCCGCCACTGAGAAACGACTCCTCCTCAGGCGATAATGGTACCCAGCTGGGCAGCAAAAGATAGCTAGTGACAGAGGTCTCTTATTGAAATCCCTTTCTTCTGGCTGAGTCGCCAAATACCATGGCCATTCGCTGACTCGAGGAACCAGGGCCGTCCCCCATTAGTCTTTCGAACCCACGCCTTACTCTGGCGTTGACGAAATACCTTCCCGCGGCTGCCCACTGAGGTATCCTAACTCCGACGCAGGATGCTGTTAATTTCTATTGTGAACTGGATGGGAAGGCCGATCCTACTCGGTTGGATCTGGCTATGTGCCGGTTGTCGATGGCATCATTTTCCTATACCGATGGCATCATTTTGATATGCAACAACAACCCAATGAGGAGCCTAGAATCAACACACGACTCCGCATCTCGTCGGAGAAGACCCTCTTCATCCCAAAGAACTGGTAAGCATGGAGGTCGTTCCGATGTTTCCATGAAGTACAAAGATCAGGGCCTGACCAGGGGAATATCCAGTGGTTTGGTATGCGCCGGTGTTCCAACGTTCAAGTTTCTCCAAGTTTCTCGGGATACAATGGCGCAACACCTTTTTGTCTCGGACGACAAGGGTCGTTCAAGCATCCCGGTAGTCTCGGAGACCCAAGGACACGCTACGATTCATGTGGTCCCTCGTGGTGAGGAGATTGCGGATGACTCTTCCCTCGAGAACGAGATTGTCGGCTACGACGCCGAGCGCATGAAGGCTCGCACTCTTTTGACTGAGGCTGAGGAGAAGAAACTTATGCGAAGAGTCGATTGGCATCTCATGCCATTGTGCAGTATAATGTTCTTGCTTAAGAATATGGACTATCAGAATGTACCAGCTATCTCCCCGCGATCCCTTTTGAGCATCGAGAGTAGGCACTGACCCAAAGTCACAGGCGGCGAATGCTCGAATTATGAATAAAGGTACCGACCAAAACATCCTCACTCAACTCCATATGAGCGCGAACGACTACAACTTCATCTCCACTATTTACTATGTGAGTCGGCCAGCCAGAATCCGCTGGCTGAACACTAATCCAGTATAGATACCCTATATCATCTTCGAGGCTCCTAGCAACTTATTCATTAAGAAGATGCTCCCTTCTAGATGGCAGTCCCGGATTGTGGTAATTACTGGGTCCTTCTCGCAATCCTCCACATCACGCTGATTTTGCCGCAGGTCTCTTGGGGCATTGCAATCGCCTGCCACGCAGCAGTAAACAGCAAGTCTGGACTCTATGCTGCTCGCTTCTTCCTTGGAATGTGCGAAGCGGGCATGTTCCCCGGCGTTTTACTGCAAATGGTGTATTGGTACCGCCCTGACGAGATGTCGATCCGTCTACTTTACTTTTATGCTTTGGGAAACTTCTCCAATGTCATCAGTGGCGTGTTGGCGTATGCTTTTGACACAATCTCTGGGAGGAATGGGCTCTCTGGGTGGCAATGGTAAGATTCAGACAAGCTCCCTTTAAGGCAAATGGGAAAACCGACTTACGGATATTTCTGCTAGGTTGTTCCTCGTCGAAGGAGTTATCACGATTACGTTCGGCATTTTGCTTTTCTTCCTCTTACCAGACTGTAAGCACTGAGAGCCATCCAAATAGTCGCCGACTAACCAGTCGTATAGTCCCAAAGCAAGCCAAATGGTTGAGCGACAAGGAAAAGGCATTCATCCAAGCCCGCCTACCCGCAAACGCCCCACGAGCAGAAGAAATAAACTTCAGCTTCCGCGAAATCGTCACAGCATTGAAGGACAAGAGGATGTGGTTGTTCACGCTCGTCTGGGCTACGATGACTGTTGGCACGACAGGCCTGACGTTCTATCAGCCCACCGTTATTGCCAATTTGGGATTCACGTGAGTGCCATAAAGATTGTTGACATGTCGAAGCGTATTTATTCACCAGTGATGCTCACTCTATTTCATCCACAGATCAATTGCGAAAAGTCAACTCCTGAATATACCTACCTCCTTCCTCTCCATCATGATAATCGCCATCTCCGGATATTTCGCCGACAGTGCCTGGCTGCCTCGCCCTATGATCCCGCTGGGCTTCCTCGTATCTATCTTGGCATGCTACAGCGTTCTCTACACGTTTCCCAACAACGGTGGTGTATATGCCGCGACGGTCCTAGCCAACTCCTTTGCGCAGAGCTGGTACCCCTTGATGTGGCCGTGGCGAGTCCAAACCACCTCTCGTGCAACGGGATCCGCCTTTGCTATTGGGTTTGTCAATAGCTACGGCCAGATTGGTGGGGCGATCGGACCACAAATCTTCCAGTCCAAATACGCGCCACACTACACTGTGTCATTTGCTATCGCTATGGCAATCATCGGCGCCTGCATCCTGGTCACCGGTCTTACGTGGTGGATCACGAGAGAGACGGAACTGCAGACGAGGAGAATCAAGAAGCTGCGCGTTACAGCTGCAAAGAGGGGGGAGTCGGTGCTGGATGATGTGGATGCGAATGCAGATGTGAAGAGAAAGGAAGGATTGGGCGAGGCAGCTTAGCCTTGTAGTCCAGGGGCTTCATCGTGGTACTGTCAACTGGAGCTGTCTGTCGTATAGACACATGCATATTCCAAGCCACAGAGTCATAGCACAGAGAGGGACAGAGAACTCGGAAGTCAGGCAGCTAACCTAGACCAGAGCCGACTGGCCGACCTCTTTATATTTCCTGTACAGGATCCGATATAACTTGTTCCAGCGAGAGGCGGAACAAACTTATGAATATAAGACATAGACCATTAGCACAGCATTCCATGAGCCTCCAAAAAAGCCGTCCCAGGGTATCAGCCCAGGGTTTCACATCCAACCTGATGGTAACAGGTATCTGTAAATGTTGACAACAGGCACGTTTATTCCTTGTATGCCACACCATCGTGGTCCGTAGATCCAAGCACTACAGGTAAGAAGATGAGTACCCATGAAGCAATGGCAACTCACTCTTGTAAAATAAACAGCGTAGAAATGAAACTGCGATAGCTGCAGTGTCTGTTGCCTAAGGTGGTGCTGTCGACATGCTTATCCCAGGCACCCACCAGGAAATGTTAGCCGAGAACTTTCACATGATTTGTTTGGTTCATATACAATGTATCCTGAAATTTGGGAAAAATGAGTGTCCTTCGGGCGCATAGCTCAGGGGTAGAGCGCTCGCTTTGCACCGCCGGCAGCCACGAGTTTCCTAATAGGTGTGCGAGAGGTCGTGGGGTATGTTGGCTTCTAGAACCTGCATTGTCCGAGAGATCATACATTAACAGATATCAAAGTTCGAATCCCACTGTGTCCATCATTGTGTTCTTCCTTCGGGTTGGATTCCCAACATTTTTGGGGTTTTCCTCTGATGATCCTTTTTTCTTTCTTCCCACTGACCCGGTTGAAAAAATCTTAGATTTTGAGAGCAAGCTGAATACTAGTGTTTATATGAATACTTTAACAAAACAGCCCGCACACTGCAAGCATCTTCAACTCAAAGATCTGTCACGTGTCTCCACCTCAAGTATGGTCCAGTATTCGCTAGCCTAGGCCCAAAAGTTTATTTTTATTTTTGTTTGGGCTTGTACTAATATTCGTCTCACCGGCCGGCGTAAAACACCACATCATTGACTGCTAAACAGCTCGCCTTTTGCCCTTCTTTTTAGTCCTGGCAGTCATGAACGGCACAAAGCCTGGCCCGTCGGTGGCCGACATGGCCAATATGTCCACCGAAGAGAGAATGGCGGGGATGGAACACTCTGAAGTTCGTTACTTTACGAGGTTGGTCCCGCGAGAAAAAAATAACAATAATGGCGTCAAGTAACCCGAGCACAGTTACGATCATCATGGAATTCATGAAGAGATGCTGGTACGGATCAGAACCCGTTTGTGTCTTACTGCAGACTGACCCAACCGTAGAAAGACGAAGTCCGAACCCGGTCCTATCGAGACGCCATCTACCAAAACCAGCACATCTTCAAAGACAAGGTTGTCCTCGACGTCGGGTGTGGCACGGGAATCCTCAGCATGTATGTGCTTTCTACCAGCTGGCGATGCCAGAGATAAAGATTGACAGGGCCAGGTTTGCCGCAAGGGCGGGTGCAAAACACGTCATTGGCGTGGACATGTCCAGCATCATCAACAAGGCAAAACTGATCGTGGAGGTAAATGGGCTCTCGAAAAAGATTACTCTGCTGCAGGGCAAAATGGAAGAGGTGGAGCTTCCTGTTCAACATCTGAACAACGGCAAAGTCGACATCATAATATCAGAGTGGATGGGCTACTTCCTGCTGTACGAGAGTATGCTCGACACGGTTCTCTATGCCCGCGACAAGTACCTGCAGCCAGGCGGTTTGATCTTTCCCGACAAGGCGACGATCTACATGGCGGGCATTGAAGACGGAGAGTACAAGGAGGACAAGATCGGATGTAAGTGCTGTAAAAGAGGTGGCGGTCGATCAGCACGCTGACTGCACCTTTTAAGTCTGGGATAACGTCTACGGTTTTGACTTCTCGCCCATGAAAGAGAGCGCGCTGAGCGAACCTCTGGTCGACACGGTCGAGCTCAAAGCGCTGGTCACCGATCCATGCCCCGTCTTCACCATCGACCTCAATACGGTCAAATCGGCCCAGCTAGCATTCTCCGAACCGTTTCAACTCCGGTGTCAAAGAAACGACTTCATCCACGCGCTCATCGCTTGGTTTGATATTGACTTCACAGCTTGTCACAAGCCGATCAGGTTCTCGACCGGGCCGCACACCAAATACACGCACTGGAAACAGACCGTCTTTTACTTGCGACAGGTACTGACCGTGGAAGAGGGAGAAACTGTCACTGGCTTCCTCTCCAATAAGCCCAATAGCAAGAACAGACGAGATCTCGATATCAAGATCGACTATGAACTCGACACGTTGGATCGCACACGAGCCGCACGCGGGACATGCGAGTACAGAATGTGAGCCTTCTCGTCCCTGAAGTCGTAGCGGGTTACTGATCATTGTGCAGGTGCTGATCCCGGATGACGCCGGGAACGACATCCGTCCTTCACATGCTATTCAGCTTGACCCCGAGGGCCTACGTCCTTCCGACATAGCACCTTCGAAAGCTTGTAGCAAAGCATTGAATAATGCAAAGGATGATAACGTATGGGTGAAATGCCTAGTGGACGGTGAAAAAGGTGGCCGCGATAGCAACGGTATCCCGGAACGAACCTAAGCTCCTCGTTATTCGTCTAAGATACCCCACGAGTTGATGCTCATTTTGACGAACAGAAATTCATATTTCACTGGTCGGTAGATGTGATTGCTACATTCAAGCTGAGATCTTACATTGCACTGTTATTGCATCGATGAGTGAGAGAGAATCTCGTTTTAGACAAGACGTGATTACTCTCATGGCTTTTGCCGGTTATCTGCAATCGAGACAACACAACTACCTCGGCACGCGGCTCCCCACGTTTAACCATTGCATTCCCCCGACTCAGAAATTTGAAGCTGACCAGTCTGCCGTAAACTGTTCGCTCTCCCTCCTATTATATTTGGTTCTAGCTGAAGCTCATCTTTTGTGTTCCAGGCGATCCAGAGGACTTGATCAAAATGTCGGGTCCAGGTGTTGGTTTCGAATATCCCCCTACCGAGGTGTCGTGGCTGAAAAGAGACGTCCTGCTCTTCGCCGTGAGCATTGGCTGCACAGTGGATGAGCTGCACTTCATCTACGTGAGCGCGCCCAAGAGATGGCCATTGGCAGCGTACTGGGCAGCTTTCATTGACGATCATTTAGGAACTTCATCCCAACTTTGCCGTGTTCCCCACATACTCAATTATCCTCCGTGAGTTGCGTCCTCGACGTTGCTTGTTCACCGCACTTCCGAGGCCTAACACATGTTCTAGCATTCAAGAAGACCTCACAAGAAGTCATTGACTTCTATGCTGCTCAAGCCAGCAACCCCATCCCCGGCGTCCCAAAGCTGGACGCAAGGCGTGTCGTCGACGGCCAGCGCATGATCCAATTCCTCAAGCCTCTGCCCCCGACATCCGAGGGCCGAAAATTCGAACTGCGGTCCAAGGTCATTGGAGTCTACGACAAAGGCAAGCCCGGCACCGTGGTCGAGACCGAGCAGACCATCGTGGACAAAGAGAGCGGCGAGGTGTATACTCGGGCGGTTGGCTCTGGGTTCTTTGTCGGCCAGGGAGGATGGGGCGGCCCCAAGGGCCCCTCGACCGTCAACTACCCCCCGCCAAAGGGCCGAGAGAACAGCCCTGATGCTGTCAGCGAGAAACAACTGACTCCGGAGAGTGCGCATCTGTACAGGTAAGCAGCTCCCAGCCGGGCCAAACACCAAGACCATCCACTGACACTCAGCGACTATAGACTCAATGGCGACTATAACCCACTCCACGCGACACCCGAACCTGGCCAGAAGATGGGCTTCGGCGGGGCTATCATGCACGGCTTGTCGACCTGGAACTTTGCAGCTCATGCGCTCCTGAAAGAACTGGGCGGAAGTGATCCAGCCAACATCAAGGAGTTCCAAGCTCGCTTCGCCGCCCCAGTGAAGCCCGGCCAGAAGCTAGTGACCAAGATCTGGAGGACTGGCGACATCAAGGACGGTTGGGAAGAGGTCCGATTTGTCACCGAGGTCAATGGCAAAGTGGTTCTGAGCAACGGGCGGGCATTGATGAAATGCGTTGGGGGGAAGAGCAAGCTTTGAGTAGCTGCTGGGAAGCCAGAAGCAAATGGTACCAGACAAACAGATAATGCCAAAAATCACTTGACTTGGATCGATCCCCGGCTCTCTTCGCCTTGACGTCCTCCTCGCGGTTTTGTGGCGTTGATGGTGTATGGAGGTTCACCTTGAAGTGCATCCGTAGCCTTTTCATTCACAGCCCTTTCTCTGCTCCATTGCCTTGCCCTCCTCATTGCCCCCTGCGCGCCCAGAAACATGACGGCTTCATTTAGAGAGTGATCAGGTAATAGTTTTGGCGCAAAGCGGAATTCTCAGCCACAAATTTCTGTACGCGACACGGTGACAAACGGCGCTAGGCCCGACGCGCGCTGCAACTCTTGAAGTTTCTGCGACGTCCTCCGTCGCAGAGTCGGATGAAAACGGGCGGCCAGCCACAACAAAAGAAACCTCTTGTTGAGGAAAGAGGCAGAGGGTGTGACGACGGGCCAGATCTGGGGAGACGGGAACAACGGGAAGATGATGATCTCGCCCGTCGGCGTTTGATACAGCAAATCATGGGCCACGAAGCGGCATTCGAGGAGCCTCTGACCTTTGCTGTATCCCCCATGTCAAGGTGCATCTCGAAGCTCCAACTCAGCTCCGTGTTGCCCCGGGTTGGTTCGTATCACGGCAAGCCAAGGAGTCTTCTTCGCCCGATCAGATGCATTCCTCGATTGGTTTGTCCTTCCTTGCTCACACAATGCCAACTGCTTCAGCCATGCCATCTTTGTCGCCGTATGACAGCGTGTATCTTGGCAACTGGTCGGATCGACAGCTTAAGTCTTTTTCCGCCTCTCCTACAGCCCCCGTCGGTGGAAATGCTGTTACATCGAGCTGACTACGCCTCCGCTGATACGCTGTTTGTCCCCCTGGCACATGCCATGCTCGGAAGTTCCTCCCCAGAAACATCCATCATGTTGCACCCTGACCCCAGCAAGAGGAACGTCTTGTGCTGCACGACGAGAATCTACCCCCTTGGCACGCCCTCGCATTTCTCCGTGGATTTGCCAGATCGAGCCTGAGGGAGGCGGAGCCATGGTGCTACGACAAAGAGCGTGAGTGCCAGCAAAGGTTCTTTGAAGCAACTCCAAGCCATATCCCGACCCGTCGGATGAAGAGGCAAATGTCTTGATGGAGGGCTTGGTATATTAAAGATGGACATGCTCGCCCCTCGTTCACAGCCGGACCGGTCAAGCCAGTTGCGACCACAACGAGTCCATTGCTATATTCTCTTGGAAGCATCTCTCGAATCGCCGCTGGAATCTACTAACATGGGTGGTGGTGGAGGTAAACCTCTGAATATTTTCCGTTTGGGGAGTTCCCTGGCGGATGAACCCAAAGAAGTTCTAAACTGGAGACTCTGGTTTGCTGTTGTCTCCTTTGGCATTATGGGAGCAGCTAGAGGCGTGTAAGTTGCCACTTGTGTCGTTGTTTGTTGAAGCCTCAGAATGCTGTGGCTAACAGTGGTCCGCAGAGATGAAGGGTTGATCAGCGGTAAGTCCAGCTCGACGAACTTCAACCGCGTCTCTCTTTGCTGACCCGTGTTCGGCCAGGCACCTTCAATACGGAGGATTTCCAGCAGCTCCTTGGATTCGACAAACTTGATAAAGACCAATATGCAAATGTCAAGGGCAACGTCTCTGCAATGGTTCAGATTGGGAGCGTAGGTGGTGCCCTACTGGCTTTTGTTCTCGCCGACCGTATCGGTCGTCTCTGGGCCACTCGACAACTGTGAGTCCTTCCTTCTTATCGTGCTGGAGGCCTTCGTGCTCATGACACCCAGGTGTGTTCTTTGGATACTTGGAATAGTCATCTTTATGACCAACAACGGGCGATTGGGCCAAGTATATGCTGGCCGCTTCATTGCTGGTCTCGGAATTGGCCAGACCACCGTCATTGCGCCTGTTTACCTTTCTGAGATTTCACCCAAGGCGGTGCGAGGCCTTTGCACTTGTGTCTTCTCGGGCTCAGTGTACATTGGAATCATGGTGAAGATGATGACCCCTTCGCGTTAACTCAGTGAGCTAACCTCTGCAGCTTGCATACTTTTCGACTTGGGGAAGCAGCCTTCACATCGATCAAAACAAGCCCAGCTCCTGGATGGTGCCGACATCTCTCCACCTCATATTTGCTAGTCTCATCTTCATCTTGTCATGGTTCAACAATGAATCACCTCGCTTCCTGATCAAGCAAGGCAAAATCGACCATGCCACGGGCAATCTGGCCAAAATCCGAGGCCTTCCCGCTGACGACGAATACGTCACGGCAGAAATCTGTGGTATTGTGCATCAACTGAATGAAGAGCAGGAAGCAACCATGGGACAAGGCTTTTGGGGCATTCTTCGAGAGATATTCTGCATGCCCGACAACTTCTACCGGATATACCTTGGTCTGGGGGTCCAATTGCTCGGCCAATGGTCAGGCGCTCAAAGTATTACCATGTATGTGTACCTTACCCTTCTGAACCTCAGTCCCACACTCGCGGCAGATTATCGTATCTTATTTGTCCGGTTGCTGACGTGAAACCTGTTACAGATATGCTCCCGATGTAAGCATGATGAAAAACTTTTCCCCGTCCGGAGAAGCCAGTGGCCTTCTAATGGCTTTCAAGTTGAATATGCTAACAAGCATTTGCAGATGTTTGCGCTGCTCGGTACCAAAGGTAACAATGAAAAGGTGTGTCTCAACTTATGCTCTCATATCACTTATATCATGACTAACTGGTATATAGCTATACGCCACGGCCATCTTGTAAGTTTCATATTCTTTTGACATGTTAACCTATACTTGTGCCAGTTACTAACGGCATCTTCGACATGCAGTGGTGTGGTAAAGTTTGTCTCCGCGATTTTCTGTGCCCTGTTCCTGGTCGACGCTATTGGACGAAAGCGATCATTGTCCATCGGCATCGCCCTTCAGGCCATTTCCATGTGCTACATTGCAGCCTTCTTGACCGCTGTGCCCAACATTGACAGTAACACCGTCTTTACTGCCTCTCAGAAGCATGCTTCCACAGGGGGTATTGTCATGATATATATATCGGGTGTAGGATGGGCTTTGGGATTCAACAGTATTCAGTACCTTCTGAATGCTGAGATCTATCCCCTCAGAATCCGCGCTGTCTGCAGCTCTCTTGTTATGTGTTTCCACTTCGGTAAGTCTCCCTGTCGCCCGGCCTGAACTGGAACACGTTTCCGCTAACAAGGCTTGCGAACAGTCAACCAATACGGCAACTCACGCGCCGTGCCTAACATGCTCCTGAACCTCAGCCCCAAGGGAACATTCTGGTTCTTTACCGGGATCACAATTCTCGGTGGACTGTGGGCATGGCTCTTCATTCCCGAGACAAGCGGCCGTAGTCTCGAAGGTATGGATGCATTGTTCCGCCTTCCTTGGTACAAGATCGGGAGATATGGGCGACGGGAGGCTGATGCTAACGATCAATTGACGAGAGAGAGGGTGTTGGAGGAGAAGGCGGCCATGGGAGGGAATGCTGCAATGGTAGAGGTGGTGCAGCAGGAGAAGGTATAAGTAGCCTGTGGGAGGAGAAGTACCGCAGCATCAGGATGAAGATTGGTGCTTCGAAAGTAGGGAATCACGCCCTACAATACTCCAGTGCGTACTCGTCGACTTCCTTCTCTCTGAGGGACGGAATTGATTCTATAGAAAGGAGGACGACTGCCGACAGAGGGGAGTAGTGCAGCCAAGCGGCTTTGGTCAAATACATATACGTTTTGACTATGAGTTGCCATGAACTCATTAGTCCACAAGAGGATCTATTAGATTCACAAGCATTTCGATCGTGCTCCATGAGGAGCATCCAGAAGCGTACATATGTCCAGGGCGTGCTCTTCCCAACTCACTTTTCCACCCCATTGGCTCAAAGATCACCGACACAGAATGAGAAAGCAATTGATGTTCTCAGACTACGATGCAGGCTGTTCTCAGCAAAGAGCTCTCTGCGAGAGAGAGATTCAGCCGTTGATTGACCAACAAGGGACTTCGAATGACGGAGAAAAGACCGCTCTCTACAGGAAACGAGGGTGGCCTCCCAGTTGACGACAACACCGCTTCATTTCGAAGCCGAGACGGGAACCGGTGAGCTTATGGTGTATTACAAGGACAGAAGAATGACGAGCAGACAGCCATGTCAGTTTCCTCAATGCCCGTGTCCACGGACGAGGGTCAATCAGCACACGCCTCACGGCCCCTCAGTCGTCAAACTAACGCAGGTACCCGACAGGTACACCCGCAAGGTGCACTACCGAACGTTCTAGGCGTAAGGTCCACTGGCCTGTCGCGATGTCTCAAGAAAGGCGTGTCGCGGTATTATTCGTCGAGCATGGATGGATCCATCGCGAGTACACCCCAGTATCGCGACATAGCTGGCCAAAGACGTCTCGACTTTCACACAACAATCGGCCCAGCGTAAGCCTCTCAGGGGGGCGCGGGACACCTATCCCCTCGTCCAGGTACCTCCTGGTATCGCTAACCGACACCTGATCGGGGCCTCAAACAGCCCGACGCAAGATATGGGCGCAGGATAAAGCAGACATTTTCAAGAGAAAGCAATCTCAACATAAAGGGCAGGCGATCACCATTTGCATCCTTACCATCGTCCTCGTCCAATATCTCGCTTTACCGGCGTGGCAGACGACCCCTTGTCTCAGCACGCCCAGAAAGGAAAAGTCGTTCGATCCGAGGAAAAGCCCCCGACCCGCTGACGGGCTGAAGATAAGGACGAGAGTGGTCAGAAGAGGCAGAACCTGGACCCATATCCGGGGCGCCACAAACGCCCATGTCTTCCCTGAGCACTGGGACGTGCCTTTCGGCGATTCAACGCGCTGCAGATTTCGAAAGGAAAAAAGAAAGGTCCCAAGTACCCCCCTCCACACATGCGACTTGCTTGCAGAACGTAATCTCCGCCAGACGGATGGGTTTGGTGGGCATTGGCTTTGACTGATGTCAAGTCGATTCCGTCTTTTGTTGTGCTCTCCCTCCTCCCCTATGTACGGAGCAGCGAGACTCGTCACTCAAATCATGAATCTGCTCTAGTCTATCGAGCCCCCTGCCACTTCCCCCCCTATCTGAAGTAACGTCTCAACCGATACCCTGATCGATCCCTACCCTTGTCCCGGCTTAAAATCGGATCCTGCCGCCATGTTCCTGGTCGGGCAAGACTGGAATCTTATGTCTCTGGGCGCCATGCTAACCATAGGCTGCAATTTCACGAATCTCCGTCATCAGTGACCGGACCTGATGGAAATCAGATCGATATAACATTCTGGGACTTCCCAGTGGCGTGGAGGCTTCCCCCACTCGCTGGATCGAAAGGCTTTTGCTCTTTCTCGTCTTCGTCCTCCCCTCCCAACGGTTTTGACCACGAGGAGGAAGAAAGGCAATATGGGGATCCGTCCCGTTCTGGACAGATTTTCTGCTCCTGCAAGAGTCCAACGGCTCGGTTTCTTCGCCGTAGCCACTATTCTGATTGTTCTCTTCTTCCAAAACACATTGTTGGCGGAGAACTCGGTAATACACCGTCACAAACAAGTGTGTGGCAGTCGTCACCGGCGCCGTTCCATTATTTGCGCCGTTCGCTAACGAGTCCCAGGTCGACCGATCGAGGTCGGATTACTACCTACAATGGGGACCGTTCGAGCCGTTACCGATCCCAGGGTTCGTGAACACCGGACTGCCTGGGAAGAGATCGTGCGACACTCTGAAATACAACTCGACGGTGGGGGTGCAGAAGAGCTTCTTCCTCGACGATGACATTAAGCAAATCGCCATGACCCTCGACTCTCACCCGATGGTCGACTACCCCGACGAGATGATGAACGACCCCGAGATGGAAGCGAATGAGATCATTGACAAGACTTGGGCTCGCCTCTCGGGGTCCAGTGTGTGGCTGCCGGAACAGAAGGTCTTCTTGTCCGTGACTCGAGTCATCTTCTGCCCCTCGAAGACGCGCTCAGTGCCCAAGATGAGTTTTCTGCGGGGTCAACTCTACAATCAAGACTGGGAACATTTGGACAATCATACTATTGCCTGGGATGGACAGGAGTTCACGTTTCCACTGGTGTTCGACATCCCGGTGCAGTGGGAAGAAGAAGGGAGTTTGTATGGACCGGAAGACCCCCGTATCATTCTGGAGGACAATGTCGAAGGTGCGGAGCCGGTTGTCATCTTCAACATGATCGCAAAACGAACCGAGTGGAAGAGAGCCATGTACATCTTCCGACCTTTCTCCAACTACTCCACCATCCTCACCATCAAGGACGCCGACAGGCAACATACCGAAAAGAACTGGGCACCGTTCTTCATTCCGAACGAGCAAAAACACAAGGCAACTGGCAAGAACCCCTCAAAGGCGGTGGCGCCGGTACGTCAATCCAGCGAATACATCCGTTTCGTTTACAGCTTCAAACCTTTGCGGATTTTGAAGTGCCATCTCCGCTGTGGTGACTGCGAGTTCGAGTTCGAGCAAGAGGTGCCCGACAACTTCATGACCAAGCATAACGAAGACGGTGGCAGTTTGCGTGGCGGTACCAACTTCGTCCCGGTGCCCCTCCCATCGAGCATGGACATCGACCCTCGAGTAAGGGTGTACGCAGCCTTTCCCCGGACCAACATTGAGAAACAATGTGACGGCAGTTTTTATCGCCCAGAGTTCGTGGTCATGATCAACATTGGCACACAGTTTCACCTCGCCTTTGCTTCCGAGTCGCTTGATTTTGGCACCTCCCTTCTCGACCTGGGACCCGAAGATGATCGTTGCGATAAAGGGCGCATTCTCATTCCCAACAGCGTCGCTCAGTGGGATACGAGCAATGGCCATGACGTGATGAGTGTGACGTTCAGCGTCAACGACGAGACTGTTCAAGTCGCGCGTGTTCAAGGGCTCCTGTCGTTCGTCCGTAATCTACCTCAATTCAAGACGCTATTGAAAAAGGATGGTCTGCTAAAGGGAGCCGATCCTGACCTGATGAGCACCCTGTCTTCTTGGGTCGGGGACGACGTTCGTGGCTGTCTTGTGGAGGCCGCTCTCAAGTACGCCGCTGCGGCAAAGGAGATCTCGCTCCCGAAAGAGGGAAGCGAAGTGATGGAAGTCACCAAGGAGCTGATGCAAAAGCTCAAACTGGAATCGGACACTGCCAAGCAGAAGGACGAAGAAATCTTCAATCACGGGTTTGAACCAGGGCATATGTTTTTGGAACATCCTCTTGATGATGACGGTGACCCACAACCTTTCCGGTTCGAGATGCTGGGCGAGTTTTCCGACGTCGAAGGTCTGTCGGTTGAGGGCTTGGACGGTGGCGAGAGCAAAGACGAAGATAAGCAGGGAAGCCCTGGTAAGGAAGAGCCAAAGAAGGACGACGGGACGAGGGAGGATACAAAGAAGGAAGACGAAAAGAACAATGGGTCGAAGGAAGACGAAAGGAAGGACGAAACGCAGGAAGATGAAACGAGAGATGGAATGAAGAGCGATAAAGATGATGTGCCCGAGCCGGAGAAGGTGAACATCGAGCATCCTGATGACGAGACTCAAGATACTCGAGAGGGAGACAAAAAGGACGAAGGAAAGCCGCCGCAAGACAATACACAAACGGAGCCCAAACCACAACACGCCCATCACCGATATCATAATCATCAGAATCGACGCAGAAGGTGGTCGTGAATGCTCGACAACGACGAGAACCTATCTCTTCATATCCAGTCCACAGACCGCGGAATGGAGTTTCCGGGACTTAGCAATGGTCACCATCCTCGCCGGCACGGCGCTCTTGTCAGCGGAAGTCATGGGAAAGACGACAAGCTCGCCCGGAGCTATGTCTCTTCCATCCCCAGCATGCGCGGTTTGACAAGGATCTGGCCAGAAAGGCGCTTTGGATCTTCCTAAGCATGTTTATCCTGCACTTCTTACATTATCCCGGGGGTGGCACACACACAGTTCACCCTTGATATTATTTTCTGTTTTGCGCTCAGTGACGACTATTCCTCATGAATTGGGAAGGACGGTCTTCTCTGGTTATAGACGGTTGGAAAGACCAGAACAACAAAGGTAGAATCAGGATATATGATGGACGGCGTTTCAACGGTTCAGAGCTGAATGGATCTTGCTCAGCGAGGAGTTCGGGAGTGGGCTGGAGGAAAATTGGAAGTACTAATGATGGAACCATGCGTATAGCCAAGGGCATGGAGGGCCTGCGCCCTTGCAAAGGTGACAGCACAAATGGAAGACCAGAAGACCAAGACCATACTGGGCTCGGGTTGAAGGAAATGGAGACCTCGTTGTGATCTCTATCCCATCCGTTTCTGTCGGATCCTGCCCTGTGAGCCTCTGCTTGCCGCATTGAGTGTCCGGGAGGACTGCAGAAAGCCGGCGTCTGCTGCCCTTTGAATTGCCCAATCTGTTCGTAATTCCTCAATCGGGTCTCTTCTCTGTGTCTTGGTGTGGTTCGGATGAAGCACCAAAGCCACGTCTTATTCCACTTCTTTTTGGTGAGAACCTCGCTCCTCTTTCTTTTGTCAATCTCAACTCAACTCAACCCAAACCCAAATCTAAACCTGGGCATATCACCGTGCGTCACTCGGTCCGAGGCAATACGAGGTAAGCCCAGAGGACATCGACCAAGAAGGGGAACGAGCGACGTCCATCCACTGGAGCCAAGCAGAGCTATGACTTCCCGACTCGAAGTCCCGGGGCGGTGGCTGATGGGCGTTTTCTGGGCACTGCGCTAGAGAATGTTAGCAAACCCTGAGGACAGGGCGGAAGTCCGCCCGGGAGGAGGAGGACCACTCGGAAGCTTTTGCTTCCCGTTTTTGTTGGAGGGCGAGAGCTTCTCGATCTAGCATGGGGCTGCAGAAGTCCTCGTGATTGATGGTGACCTTGCTTTTTCTCTGGGTGTGGCATGGAGAGAACAGAGAAAAAGAGACATGATATGCAAGAGAAGGGAAGATAACCATGGATCAAGGTTGTTTCAATATGGCCAAGCATACACTGTTCCTGCGGCGACAAGCGATGAAAGCATGAATATGTGAGAAGGCAAAGCGGGAAGGTAACGAGTCAACCACTCAACCATTCATCGACCTGCTGTTCACTGTTCACTTGCACCACTCACTCACTCATTGGCCCCCCGCAAAAAGCTACTACACCACCATCCTTTGCCATCTTCATTCCCTCCCTCCCTCCTCGTCTTCCCCGTCATTTCGTCTCCAGGTCCCACAGTTCTAGACCCTTTCGCGGCCAGGGCAAGGTGCAGCTTCCGGAGGGCCAGGCCAAGACTCCCCGTTGTGACTCTCCGTCAGCGATCCTGGCTTGTCTCATTCGTTGCTAACTCAGTCGATAGAACCGTGGAAGCGGATGCTGGGCCATGCCAATCAAAGAGCAAGCCAGAGCTGGCCGCTGAGAAAGCCCATGGCTACCCAAGAACTACTTAGACCCAGCCAGCCCTCCTCTCTCGACGATGTTTTATCTCGACATTCTCTCTCGACATCGCCATCTTGCACACTCCATCGAACTGTACAAAACCAAATAATCCAGCATGGTTTCCAAAGACCACAGCGTCGAGGAGCGCCAGGTGGACCAGGCCGCCCGACAATCACTTCAGGATGAAGTCATGGTTGAAAAGGCCGCCGCCATGCACACGGAGAACTTCCATGAAGCTGCAGAAAGAGGCCATGCTGCTACGGACAAGTAAGTCCAATATATCTATCTCTCAGTGAGACCAAGTTGGAAGTGACTCCGGCTAATGCTCACTCTCCCCTTAGGTACGGTCACCCCCTTGTGACATTCGACCCCAAGGCCGAAGCACGACTGCGCTGGAAGATCGACCTTTATATTGTGCCCACGGTCTCTCTGCTCTACCTCTTTTGCTTTATCGACCGTGCCAATATCGGTCCGTACCACCGGATGCTTTGTGCAAAGCCATGCTGACCTTCATTCAGGCAACGCCAAACTCGCCGGCCTCGAGAAAGACCTTCATTTGACCGGCAATGATTACAATATTGTTCTCTCCACCTTCTATATCAGCTATATCCTCTTTGAGCTGCCGGCAAACATGGCCTGCAAGTACTTTGGCCCGGGTTGGTTCCTCCCCGCCACCTCACTGGCGTTTGGAATCTTTTCGATCTGTACAGCCTTTGTTCACCACATCTCCTCGGCGTGTGGCGTCCGATTCCTCCTGGGCCTCGCTGAGGCCGGCATGCTTCCAGGTATCGCTTATTATATGTCTCGGTGTAAGTTTCTTGTTGAAGCAGACTGTCTTTCCATGTCGCGACGAGCTGTTTTCATTGCGCCCATCATCCGTCGACCCAGGCTGACCGTTACTGTAGGGTATCGCCGCAGCGAGTTGGCGTTTCGACTATCACTCTACATTGTCATGGCACCTCTCGCCGGTGCTTTCGGAGGTCTCTTGGCTTCTGCCATTCTCAAGCTGAGCCACTTTGGAGGGCTCCATGAATGGCGAATGATCTTTGCCATTGAAGGCATCGTCACTTGTGGCCTTTCGCTTATTGCCTTCTTCACCCTGACCGACCGTCCCCAAACTGCGAGATGGCTGAGTCAAGAAGAGAAAGACCTTGCGGTGGCCAGAGTCAAGTCGGAGCGCGTTGGCACGACCGAAGTTCTCGATAAGCTCGATGTACCTAAGATTCTCCGGGGCATCATGAGCCCGGTCACCCTCGCCACGTCGTTCATCTTCCTGCTCGACAACATCACCGTCCAAGGCTTGGCCTTCTTCCTCCCCACCATTGTCAAGACCATCTACCCCAAGCACTCGGTCGTGTCTCAGCAACTTCACACCGTCCCACCCTATGTGGTGGGCGCCTTCTTCGTCCTGCTATTCCCGCTGCTCTCGTGGCGGTACGATCGTCGCAACATCTTCTTCATTCTCTCCGCGCCGTTGATGATGTGCGGCTACATCATGTTCTTGGCCAGCACCAACCCTCACGTCCGCTACGGGGCGACCTTCCTTATCGCCGCCGGGGCTTTCTCGTACGGCGCACTTTGCAATGCCCAAGTCTCCGCCAACGTCGTCTCAGATACCGCCCGCTCAGCCGCCATCGGCACGAACGTCATGTTCGGCAACATCGGTGGCTTGATCTCTACCTGGTCCTTCCTACCCTTTGACGCTCCCGACTACCATATCGGCAACGGGTTGAATCTGGCCACCTCATCGACGATTTTGATTCTTTCCATCCTCTTGCTGTTTTGGATGTGGGCGGATAATAAGCGTCGGGACAAGAAGGATGTTGATGCCGAGTTGGACGGCTTGTCATTGAAGCAGGTGCAGGACCTTGATTGGAAACACCCTGCCTTCAGGTGGAAGCCATGAAGAGGCTGTGCGTTGATGGTCGGCCATGAATTGAGGCTGTGTTAAAACGCAAGAGGGGATGTTTTTGTTATGCCTTTTGATAGAGTACCTGAATCAGACATGGTGTGAATGAATAGTATCGCACTCCTCCTCGACCTCAAGAGATTCTTGAATTATTGTAGCTCCAGGATTAGTTCCGCGTCATAACTAATAACATTATGAACCGCTGTCGTCAGGCTCCATTGGGATGTCGCGGGATGGAAGATCATTAATCCGACGACCGATCAATCCTCTAAAGAGTTCTTCGTCTCTGTTCTTGAACAGGTTGTTTCCATCCTCCCTCAGACCTTCAAACATCTACTCCTCTCCGAAACCCCGCGTGCCGTATACTACAAAGTACTGTGTGAGTCAGAGAGTCAAATCGATAATGCCACCTTGTCCTGGGCGGCGGCGCGGGCAGGCTGGCGTCAATTCAGCCTCGCCAGGCAGACATCAATTGTACTCCTACGATATCATGATAAGCCCCAGGGTTTGTCGCGAGTCGTGGCTTTCCCATGCCACAAGGGGATCATACATATATGATACTCCCAGATACCGCCGAAGGGTGGGTATTGACTACTGCATTTGCCTTTTCTTTTCTGTCTTCTCTTGTATGCACTGGTGGTGCAACCGCTGTCCATCCTCATCGGCGAAACGCTTGAGATATACAACCTTTGGCCACCTCCCCCTTTCTGGCTAAGAGCAGCCACAGCCACTCCTAAGCATTGCAATATTGTTCTCCGCTCGGGAACCACAGGTATCGATGGAACTTCCACAAGCTGCACAGATATTTTCCAGTTCGAAAATGTCCTCCTCACGATACGCCCTCAACGGTCTCGCCTCTCTCCCCCCAGAAGTCCATCACATGGTCGCCGACTACCTGCAGTACCCGGACTTGCTGTCCCTGAAACTCACAAACACCTACTTCGCCGGCCTGGTGGAGCCGAAACTCACCGTCAAATCGCGCGTCGGCTGGGTCCAGGCCAGATACGCCCAGCACCTCCCCGTGCCTACCAACACCCGGCTCTCGTTCAAGACGGACGCGCTGTTTGTCGGAAACCCCGAAGTCAAAGCAATCCTGAGGCGTCGGAGGCGCCATCTGGAGTGCACAAACCATGAGCGCGGAAGTGCCTTTGTGTTCTCCATGTTCGCTGCCCCCATCGACGTCCCCGCCCGTGAAGGTGCCCGCCCGTGGACCAAAGTCTGCCTCGTCACGGGTAACGGGGTGTGTCCTCGCTTCCAGGAGCTAGAGGCCAAGGCGAAGTGGTACAAGAACAGCGTGCTGGGGAGACTGGCGGGCCCCGTCCTAAAAACAATCGCTTGGCTGAGACCGTCGCAGCAAGATCACCATGATTCATTGACGCGGTTTGTAGCGGGAACGCTGCGCGCCTCGAGGTTTCAGCTTGAACATGCTCTGGCAATGGCAAAGATCGCCTTGATAATTTTGGTTCTCTGCATCCTTTGCCATTGGAATGTCATCTCTTCTCCGGACGCGCCTCACGGCATTGTCGTGATGCGATGACTGAGCTGGGCAACTGGGAGGAATGGCATGTGAAGCGGCGAGAGCTGTATGGGCCTCCGCAAATCGAGTGCTGGATGGATGGCGTGCGATGACGGACTGGCACCCTGCGGAAAACAACTCGAGTCTGGCTTCCTGCAGACAAGCTGGTGTGTTCTTACTCGGCGATCAGCTCGGTGCATGAAGTGAAACTCCCCTCTCGTCACTAGTGACGTCGACCGCTCTTTCTAACTCTGCCTGCCCGGGAACATCTAGAAGAGATATTTCCTCCAGACGCGGTCAGATCAAACTTTGTGCCCGAAGACGAGCCTCGCCATCTCGCCAATCCACTGGGAGACTCAGACTTCTGCCGAGCAAAGGTCATATCCTTGACCGAATTGAACCAGAGGACCATCAATCGGCGCATACCAACCCGGAGGACAAAGGGGAGAAGGTATACGACTCAAGGTTGGTGTTGGCGACTCGCCTCGATCTCCAGTACACGGCATCTGTGGATGGTTGAGAGAGACGATCAACAATAGCCTGTTGAACAACACTGGAGAAACGAACAGGCTTCTTATGTATTGTATTGTATTGTTTTGTCTTGTATTGTCTTGTATTGAAGCAAGGCCCATGCGTGGCACCATCGAGCTTTACCGACCCGAGACGATTTCATGCTTTTGAGTTGATTTATTAAGTTGATTCATTGATTTAGATTAATTCAATCATTTATTTTAACCCCTCTATACTTTCCCTGTATCTAGCACTATCAAACCCGGCGAAGGTAGCTGTAATCATAGTTCCACACGCATCGGGGAGATGATGGCCAGTTCTATCCGTGCCTCCGTCCATTGTCGTGACCATCGTCGAACGGCGACTGTGTGAGTGTGTGTGTGTGAGACTTTTCTCAATCTCTCAATCAACCACCCCCGCAGGTAAGACCGAGATATAATCCAGCGGCGCGGGCTCGATGCCGTCTGCCACGCCGACGATCTTCAAGACATCTCCGCGCGCAATCGTGACGTTGGGGAATGTGATTCGGGCGGCGGAGTGGCCCTGGAGAACAAAGACAGAAGGCGCTGCTGTTAGCTTTTGGGTTTCACATAAGGTGGAAACCGGGTTTCCTCCCCCTGCACAAAGGACAGATCTTACGAATACAAGGACGCAGTGGGTGGGTGGACACTTACATCGAGATATATGCTCGGAGCATGGCCCAGTCGGTCTTCCAGGTCCCCAACCCACGATCCGACCTGGCGGTTGTTCACGGACACCGTCCACTGCGACTTGCCGCCGATCAGGTCGTAATAGTTGACGGCGAGGTTATACGTGCCGTTGGGGAAGTTGAGCGTGGTCGTCGCGGTCCCCGTCGTGGTGTTTGCCGACGTCACGATGGCGGTCACATTTGAGGCGGCCTCGAACGGGGACACGGTGTATGGCTCGTAGCCCTTGAGGGTCATGCTCTCTGCCTCGACACGCCACGGGTGGTTGCCTACGCGGTTTTGGCTGTCGGCAATGCCTGAGAGGTTGTGGTAGAAGTTGGTGATGGCGTCGCGCCAGACGATCGAGTGACCTGCTTGGTATGTCAAGCGGAAGAGGGTCTCGTTATACCGCTCCTGGTCGACCTTGCCCTGGAGGCCTTCCCACTGCGTGACGAAGGTCTGCGCGGTGTCCGCACCCTCATAGTGGGCGTTGTAGAAGTGCTGGATGACGGTCTCGCCGGACTGCAACCGCTGTGTGTAGTTGACGTGGTGGAACCACAGGAGAAGATTGTCCGGCGTGGTCGAGATGTTTTCGTACATGGCCGCGACTTCCGCGGGGTACTGGCCAGCGAAGCCGGTCCCGTTCGACACGGTGCGGTCCATCCCGATGGTTTTGTGGTCTGCTCGGGTCCATTGACCCCACGGGTTGTTGTCCTGGGATTGGGGATTGGGTCCGAAATGCGTGTAGAGAATGTCAGTCAGGGTTTGAATGCCGAGATTGCCCGAGTAGTTCTCGTAAGCGGGCCAGGACGACATGGACATGTTGGTGATCGCGGCCACGACATCCGGGTTAGAGCCAAAGGTGAGACGAATCCAGTCCTGTAAGATTGCTTCCGGGTCGCTCGAAAAGTCCCATGCCAAGCGACCATACCCATACAAATTGGACATCGAGAGATGGCTCCCCAACCAGGTGTCGTTGGTGCCGACATTGACGACAGCGGCAGCACCACCGAGGGGTCTATTGAAGCGTTTGCCGGTGACGATATCGCGCACGAGGGACTGAGTGTGGTTTGCTCGCATATCGAAGTCCAAGACTGTCTTCCACAGCGGAGGGAGATAAACCAGGTGACACTGCTGTCCCAAATACTCTTGTGTGACCTCGAGCTCGATTGACGTGCTCGTATTTTGCAGATACGCAAACAGAGGAGACGCAGGCTCACGCACTTGGAAATCAATGGGGCCATATTTGATCTGCACGACGGCATTTTCTGCAAATTTGCCATCAAGACCGGTGAAGAAGTCGACGGCAGCATTTGCCCGGTCCTCCTTCCACACGGATTCATTCAAATTGACGCTGTCGTAGACGAACGCCCGAAATACGAGGATACCACCGTGCGGCTGCAAGGCATTGGCGAAAAGATTCGCTCCTTGAGCCAATGTCCGATTGTATGTCAAAGGCCCAGGTTGGCCTTCAGAGTTGGCTTTGACAAGATAGCCGGCCAAGTCAGGGACGCGTTCGTACAGAACGTTTGTTACATTGGTCCACCATGCGATGACATCCGTATCAAGTGGATCGAATGTGCTGAGATTACCGTACACCAGATTGGCGGATGGGGAGGCGAAGTTCAGAGCAATACCAACTTGCACGCCGTAGGGTCGGAACGCGTCCGCGATTCTTCCGAGTCCTTCCACGTTCTCGGTAGTGAGCAGAGAGGCATTGGCATTGACATTGTTGACAATAATGGCGTTAATGCCTATCGATGACAGGAGGCGACCATAAGCCGAAACTCGATCCAGGTTATTGACAACGGTGCCATTTGTGAAGAAGATGGAGGGGCCTCCGTATCCTCTCTCAATCGACCCGTCCAGATTGTCCCCTACCCGTGGTTAGTACCAAAGAGCTGAATGAGAACAGACGGAAAGTTGGAAAGGGCAGGCTCTATCCTGTTAGTGCGGACTCCTGTAGCAACTTACACTGGTTCACCCAGCGTAACGGCGCGTCCGGGTTGGAAGCATATGCAACGTTGGAAAAATTGCCTTGTGCAAGCATTGAGAGATATTGGAAGGCACCGTAGAGCGCCCCTCGTTCATTGTGGCCAAGGATTTGGACCGTCGAGCCCGTCGTGTTGAGCCAGTACCCATCCTCTACGAGGCTGGGGATCTGTGGAGAGCCGCCAAAAGAGTTTGCATATTCTGCCACTGTGCCGACGAGGATAGATGACGTGGTGTTACCGGGCAGGTAGCTGACTGGATAGACGACCGAGAGGTTGTGACCCAAAATGCCCGCAAGACCTTTCTGTAGCTCTACAGCAGCCATATGTACCGGGCCATTTGCCGTAGCATTCAAAGAAATGATGCTTGAAGGTAAATTCTGACTAGACGGAGGAGAAGAGATGGGAGCATAGCGCAGCCAGGCGTCGATGCCAGTTTCAGCAGCGGCGAAGCTGGCGGCGGCGGCAAGCACAAGGATTGAGCGCATCGTGCTGGATTCACTGGACCTACAGCTTGCGTACTCTCATGTGTCCCGGGCATTCCCCCTGTCCATATATACTTCCCATGCAGCACAGTAGCCGGCTATTTTGAATCCCCGGCTGAACCTACTTGGAGCTTGAAGGCTTCCCCGTACCCCAGGAAGCAACTGCCACCTTCAATATGAACTTCTCCGCAGAGGGACCCGTGGCGTTCATTGGCTGCATGATGTCGATCAGCCGTGACTGCACCTTGAACAGGGAAGTGATCCGCCGACTAGGATATGCAGGCATTGCTCCGGGATGAGGTGACATCAAAGCATCGGCTAAACCTCGACCTCCGAATTCAGGCTGAATGTATGGATCGAAGGCGGAGGGAGGAGGCGAAAGAGAGAAGAAACATCCATATTGACGGGGTTCTCTCCTTTGAGCGCCATAACACAGAGCAAGGGTGCAGATCCCCGTGAAGAACGACAGTGTAGGTGAAGTTGAAGCCCTTATAGAAGTGGAAAGCGAGCATATACTGAACCGTAGAATGACTAAGCATTAATAGGGTGGAACATATGTCGTCCGCCCCGCTCTCTGCCAGCCTCGCAGCCTCGCGAGTGCTACCTAGTTTGGGCTGCTCCATTATAAGAGATCCAGACATGAGTAAAGGAGTAATTTGACTTGTCCGAAAAGGGATCTGTGCAGTTTAGGCCTTCTTCTCTCCAATTCTTCCCCTATACTTGCTATGTTGAAGGAAATTCGAAGGCGGGAGGGCTCGCTAATTCTAGGTATATATCCCGTGAAGATGGCTACCCTGCTTCTCTGCTGCCGGCATGACACTTTGAGTGGAGACCTTCACTCCATATCGGCTTCATTTGATTCTTTGGCACATAGAATCATCAGGAAATGTTTTGGAACGACCTACACTGTCGAGCTGGTCGATTTTGACGATCTCCTTCGTCGAAGACCCAATTTACGGGTCTAGGGCACGCATGTTCTGCGGCACTAACTCGACGATATATCCATCCTGAGAGCGATTGGTCAGTTTGCGAGACATATTGAGGAGGTAGGAATGATTGGAAGGCAGAAACCACGCGTACCGGATCTTTCACAAACGCAATCTTCTCAAAGACCTTTCTGTACTCGTCATGGATCTCGCTCTCGGTGCCCTTGACCTCGACACCTATACCGCGCTCATTCTCCCAGTCACTGATCGGGATGCTCTCTCGCGTGCAAACGCCCAGGTCCTTCAAGACCTCCACGCCGTTCTCCCTCATCCGCTTCAGCGCTTCGGGCACGCTTGGCACCGTGAACCCCAGATGGCCGAACCCCAGGTGGCCCGGCTCGTTGCCAGTAGAGTAATACCCGGGATCCTGTTTCTCTGACCCGTGGACGTGGTACAGCTCCAGCAGTCCCAGGGTATGTTGGAGCTTGGCGACGGTCTCGGCGCCGAATTTCCCCAGATCGGCCCGGTGTTCGTCGGTCTGAGGGTATCCCAGGTAGTATATCGTGAAGGGACCGACATTCATGGTGAACACGGTGCGCATCCCCATGATGTCGACGTAGAAGGGGATGGATCTGGCCGGGTCGCGGATCCGCAACATGAAGTGGTTCAGCTTGTACCCGATGGTGGCATGGTCGGGAGGAAGAGGAGGATCCCATTGTTGGTTGTTGAATTGACCATTGGGCAGAAAGGCGCCATGGGGGAAAGGCGTAGGTTGTTTATGGTCGGAAGAGGATGCCATGGGAGTGTCTCTGTGAAAGCGGCGACGCCGACAACAGCAACAATAGCCTGTACCTGGCTGATCAGCAAACACTGCAGGTGCCACTTTACCGACCAATTCTATGCCTGAAGAGGAACGAACAAATAGATGAAGGAATATTAGAGGTTAATAGATGGCCGGTAGAAGAATTCCCAATTGCTGCAACGCCCCACCGCATTGGCTATTGTTATATTCGAAGTAAAGAAGTTCTCAGGCCCCTGAGCAAGCGGTCATTGCAACTACCGAAAGCCCCTTGGACGTGGTGGACGTGGTGGAAGCCCTCTTTTGGAGGGCCGGGATAGACCCATTCTCCTCGTTACAGCCCCATATTATTAATGCCTCCCTCCTTGTCGTGGCTTTGCGGGGCGTACGGAGTGGATTAAGGAGGAACATCGGAAAAATGCCGGTGAAACAGGTCGACGTGCCATCCAGATGGACATAGAGGCTGCTTGTATATTAAAGAAAGCACCAGACGACGATTCTTGTCTGGGGATCATATGTCTCTGGACGATAAGTCAATTGAATATAATTCATCATCTGAACGCCAATTTCCTTTCCCGCGTCTTTTCACAATATCATCACTCTATTCTTGATCAACGAAACCCACCACTGCCCTCCCCTCGCTCAGCAATGACCCTGCTCAAAGTCCCTGCAAACCGAGTGACGCGATCGGCGTCAAACTTGGCCGTCTCGATTGCCTGTAGCACATGCTTGATGCCCACTCCCACAACCTCGCTTCGTGTGATATCCCGGATCTCCGCAACGGCTCTGGAGACCTCCCCATCCTCGAATGCTTTGGATTCATTCATGACGAACTCCAGTTCGTCGTAGGTGCGTACGTTGGCCACGGGGATATCGCTGTTGAAGTGCCGCCAGAAATCAAGTTGTTGTAGCACTGAACGTTCCGTTGCCGTCACAAGGATGAGTAGACTTCGTCCCGGCGGAGGCGCTTTGCGTAACAGGGCGACCAGGGTTTTCAATATCGGGTTGGAGAATCGAGGCCCGATGGGCGTCCACTCGGTATATTCTTCCACGTCATCCAGGACCACGCACGACATCGGCGACTTGTAGGCGTCCATAAACACCTTGCTCAGGTAGGAGATCTTTTGAGATTCCGACATCTCCAAGGTATCCTTGTTGCTCACCAATTTGATGAACGGGTACCCGCTGTCGATAGCGATCTTGGCTGCCAGCGCAGTCTTTCCGCAACCCGGAGGTCCGTGGAGACACACCGCGAACAGCGGCGTCGAGTCAGGATTGCGCACCTGTTCCACAAAGAGCTTCCCTTCCTCAAGGACGTCCTTGATGTACTGTGAAAAGTGAATGATGCCTCCCCGGAGGCAGTACGAAAGTTCTTCCTCCGACACGCCAAACGCCGGTTTCACTTCTTGCAGGGCGCTTTCGAAATCGGCACGCTTGACTTTCATATCTGCCACGTCGTCTGTGATTCCCGCCATCGTACCCACTTTGATATGTCGCGAAAAGGCAAACGACGTGGCGGATTTGACCAAGCCCCCAATCTCGGCGCCAGAAAAGTTTTTGGTCTTGTGGGCGAGGTCGAGAAGGTCGACGTCCGGGTCGAGAACCTGGTTGTCGCGCATCTTCTGCGTGTGGATCTTCAGAATTTGCGCCCGACCGGTTTCGTCTGGCAGCGCGATTTCCATGTGTAGCTCGAGACGTCCTGGACGTAGGAGCGCATCGTCAATCATATCTTTCCGATTCGTCATGCCGATCAGGAGGATGTTGTTTAATTGATCCACACCATCGAGCTTCGAGAGGAGTTGATTGACCACACTGTCTCCCACACCAGTGCCTCCGCCGGCACCGCTGCCTCTTTGCTTACAGACGGCATCCAACTCGTCAAAGATGATGATGTGAAGGCCAGATTCATCACCCTTTTCTTTGTATTCCTTCTCCGCATCGGCGAAGAGTTTCCGAATGTTCTCCTCCGATTGGCCGACATACTTGTTCAGCACTTCAGGACCGTTGATAACCTTGGGTTCTCTTGCATTGAGCATTTTGCCAATCTGCCGTGCAATCAAGGTTTTCCCCGTACCCGGGGGACCGTAGAGTAAGATACCCTTTACGTGCTGAATGCCCAACTTCTCCACAAGCCCAGGAGGGAAGACGCGGGAGGCGAACGCCCTTCGGAAAATGGTAACGAATTCGGCATCCAGACCACCAATGCCCATGTCCTCAAATTTGAAGTCCGGGGCGATGATAGAATTGGCCGCAGGCCGACGAGAGGATGCCTTGAGGTTTATGGTCGTCTTCCCGTCCTTGAAAAAGTTGATTTGGGTTTGAGGTGTCAAAATGCCTCGCGCTTGAGGATCAGACGTCGTGGGCGCGGCTTTCTCACTTAGGTCTGCCAGTTGTACTGTCTTGACTGTTAGGTTTAAGGGAATACTTTTGAGATCCATCAGGAATCGTTGGCCGGGAGCGAACATCTGGCTGTTGAATAACTATTGACCAACGTCAGTCTTGAACCACAAACGCTGCGGTACTGGGCATACCTTTGTAATCTCTCTGGCTAGATCATCTTGATCGTAGGGCACATCCGTGGTTTTCCTTGTGCTTGCAAAACCGATTTCGATATCCATCGCACCAATATATGCCTGTCCCCCTGAGCTGAAGGGATCATAAACTTCTGCCTGCAGCATATCCGTCAAAGCTACACCCATCCAAGACCTCTGTGGTTCCGAAAGCCCAATGCTGCCTCGTGGAAATGCATCGAGAGGCCGAGCTGAGAGCACATACATGCCGTTGATAAGAAGGAAGACGTCGGTGCCATCGTAGGAAGGAGGAACATCCTGTGTCGAAACAGCGGCAAGGTTGCGGAAAGTGAACGAATTGTCTGGAGATTTTGCAGGTTGTAGAGTCAACACAGGACTCCGTCCTCTTGCAGGAGCACCTCGACTGGGGCTCTGCTGGTGGCCCATGGGCCGTGGAGGCATGTTTCTGGCGGGCAGGCCAGGGCTGCCATACCCCGGTTGGGGAGAGTCGTAACCATTCATATGTGTGTCGTAGCCGCCGCCTCCGCGTGGAGGATAAAAGGGACGACCTCCTCGTTGCGGAGATGGTTGCTGGCCGTACGGATCTCGCGGAGGTGGCTGCCCGGAGCCACCGAATAAGTTGTTTCTGTTCAGGAAGGACATGATCGCAGTGAGAGAAGTGAGACGCAAACGTTGAAGGGTTGGAGGGGCGGTGACGAGACCCCGAAACTGGGAACAGAGGACAGATTTACAGAAACAATATGGACACGTAAGTGGAATGGTAGAGCAACTGAAGCTGTCACCGACAGGCACGACAACTCCAGGATTGTTTCAAGACCCCAAAACTGCGCCGCAACCTGAGAGCGACGACCTGGAAGATGACATCTCACGACTCCGTGTTCCCGATGTTTTGCCGGGCAGCCTGATGGGTGCCTTGTTCGAGAATGCACAGTTCACCACCAGGTATGTACTCGTTTCAAATACAGTACTCAAACTGATAATTCGACCAGACAATGCCTCTCCATCTCCTCCATCACAAATCTTGGAACGTCTATTCCCCTGCGAATATCGAGCGGGTCCGGCGTGATGAAGCCAAAGCCCGTGAACAAGTCGCCGAACAAGAGGAGCACAGACTGCGACGGGAAGCAGATGAAAGACTATCCACCTTACGACAACAGAGCAAGGATGAGACCAGGCGCTGGAAACACAAACGACCAGGAGAAGACGACACGGATCGTGATATTCGACTCGCCCTAGGAAACACGTCTGCATCCCCAAACAAAGAGAAGCAAGATCATGGTTCTCTTGTAGATGCACACGGCCATATACCCCTCATACCAGCACCTGAGAAGCAATCCCGAGAACAAGAAAAGGATCCATACACTGTCTACCTCTCTGACGCTGTTGGTGGGCGGGATCGACCTAAAGACACATGGTACACGTCTGTTCAGCCGAAGCAAGAACAATGGGGCGACGAGAATCCCCGGAAACGGGAACGAGCACTTACACGGCTCAATGCGGACGATCCCCTTGTGGCCATGAAGAGAGGTGTCAAGGCTCTCCGGGAGAATGAGCGACAAAGACAGGAGTGGATGAGGGAGCGCGAAAGAGATCTCGCCGATGTCGAGGAGGTGGGAAAGAGAGAAAAACGCGACAGAAAGCGCAAAAGGAAGGCAGACCATGACGACAGTGATATGGAAAGCCTGGAAGATTTCAATTTGGACGAAGGATATACCAGACCTAAAAGTCTAGGGCAACATCGAGAGCGAAAGGACGAGCATCGACATAGACATCATCACCACCACCATCACCACCACCGTCGCCACAGACGAAGACACGAAGATCATCAAGCTGTAGACGTCGACCACCATCGTCACAAAAGGCATGAACGTTGGAGGGGAGATGACACCGGCTAATTGGGCAGCAGAGGAATTGAAACGACCCGAGAGAGTTGATACGATACCCGGTGGCAGAGGTGATGCTCCGTTCAACTGCCCGATTTCTGTTGGCTGCTTTGCACCTAATCCAGTAAACGCTTGAAAGGATAAAGAGAATCTTCCACCATTGTTCCGGACCCTCCAAGCCATAGCAGGGGCACATTATCTCCTATTCGTGCTGCATGGCCTATGCATCTTGACACGAGACAAAGAGAGTTCTGACACGAATCACATGGACAAGCCTCCAGCAGTGGCAAGGTCGCCTCTACTGAGCAGAATACTGCACCGATCGATGCGCCTCGTTTCCAGGGCCATCTGTACGATCGAGAAAACTATGTCCGTTCAGTTTCCGGGCCCCCTCTACCTTGCACCGCACACAGGTTCAGGATCTGTGTGATATGGACGGAATGGCCCTTATACGGACTTGTCGACGTCCGATCCAACCTTTGGACACGTTGATACAAGTTGTCATGATATAAGTTGTTTATCATGATCTCCAAGGCCGCCGCCAATGTCTTCTCGACCTGCTCGTCGTCTGGATCAGACTTCTCCCTTCGCTTCTCAGCCAATATCCCTTCGAAAACGTCCAAAATATGCTTCAATGCGTTCGGATTGGCATAGTAGCTGAACGCGCCAGCTTCACTTGCTGGAAGAAAAGCCATGCCCACATTGAACAACATCTGGACGGTGACTTTGTATAGCCGCGACTCTGTGCCGTAACTGCAATAGCGACGAATAGCCTGGTGCCACTTTCTGACATACAAGCGTTGCCGCCGGGCGTCAGATTCTGTCCACTCCTTCGTCGAAAATGCTGCGATCGAATCCAGCAACAAGCCTCTGGCTTGTGTTAGTGAGTGGACAACGAGGACATCACATGGTTTGTCTTCCGCGGGACCTGTCCTGTCAATCAGGAGGCTGTTTGAGGCAGGGTCGTCGGCAAGGACGGCTTTTGAGTACGACTCGCACACTCGGACTGCCCGCTCGATTGTCGCCATCATGTCCAATGTGGATCGATCAAACTTGGCTGACGACGCCTTGAGCTCTCCCCAGAGTCGTGATGCCGCTTTGATGTGGACGCCTGCCGCTGCGTAATTCCGCTGCATGGTCTCGCAGATCCAGGCGACCAAGCACGCAAGTGTCAGGCACAACTTGTCAGGCTCCTTTGCATTGGCCATACGCGTGATCGCACCATGATAGTGCCAGATCACACGCGGTGTCACCCTCGATGTCGTCGCCTTGCGGTACAGACCAAGCTGCTCGTCGACCAGCGCCGCAGCCACCATCAGATGTCGGATGACAGGGGATTGCCACGCCCACCGAGGGATAAAACTGCACCAGAACTCATTATCGGGGCCGAAATTGCCCAAGGTAGGCCCAGTTCCCCTCAACCAGAAATCCAAGCTGCGGCGCTCTTCATCTGTGTCGCCGAAAAAGAGGTTCACGGTCGCCGCCAAGTAGGGGTCATGCCAGGACGAAGAGTCTCTTGATTGTTGTGGACTGAGAATCTCACCGCCTTCACTTTCCAGGATCAAAGTTTCAGGCTGTTTATCTGAGCACGGACGATCCTTTCGTTTCTTGGGTCCTAGTCCTTCGAAGATCCAGGGTCTGGGAGGATTGTACCCTAGGCAGACTCGCCCAGAGCGAATGCATCTGATTCATAAGGTGAGAACCAATCCGCGGCAGATGGCAGGGAAGGGTAAGAGAACCAGGTCGATACCTTTTGCAGCTGGGCTTGTCCTCGTCGCATTTGATTCTTCGGCGCCTTATATATACTTTAAGCGTAAAATCGTGACAAGGCAGAAGGAGGCTTGATCGCATACTTGCATGTTGTGCAGCCGCTCCGCACCTTGTGATGAAGCTGCTTGAGACGGGGCTTATCGTCTGTAGAAGAAAAGCTTGATCTTTTCTCTTCCATTTTGCTCCCAGCGCTCTTGCCGACAGTGGGCAACGAAGCAGGTATCTTCGCCTTGCTTGATGGAAAAATGTCAACAGAGACTCCTAGCAAGGCTTCGGTCAAGTACACTCACCCACGACGCTGTTTCGGGACAACGTGGTCCTTCACCAACGTCCGGCTCCTTGGTAGTTGAGAGGTTGTTTCCTCGATCTGATGCAAAGAATATGTATCACTCTCGGATAGTTCCTGTGGAAGTCTCGTTCAACAGGTTCCGGGGACTGAACATAGTACAGCGACTCACTCACGGTCAAAAGAGATATCACGAAGATGGGAATCAAGAAGGATACAGGATGGTGACGTCTCGATATACCGATCTAATGCGGCTCACAATGGCGACTCATGTCCAAGCGCCATGACCCACGACGTTTATCAGGCCCCCAACATACACGGCAGGGCTAGTGAGGCTTAGGTACGGGCACGACAAATGACCGGTTGTAATGTAGCATACGGCATGCTGCACCACTAGATACTCGGCAGCCCAGACTGTGTTGCTCTTACAGACCGGAGTCACCTTGCAGGGTTGCACGTGAGTCAATGCGCTTCAGCTCTGAGCGGGCAGCCTATGAACGCGGTGACTCGGCCATTTTATCCTGGTACCTGGGCGGGGAGTTCGTATAGGACCCCTGAAGATGGTCAAGCTCCCTTCCAGCGGCTCGATTACGCCAGTCTTTAGCGAACCAAGCATTTCGTCCCCTGTCAAGCCTCAACCGGATCGTCAGTGGAGGAAGATCCAATCAAACAGCTTGGTTTTGCCATCCAGCAGATCAGGCCGTTAGCGACTCCAGCGAGGATCAGTCGGACCCGATGAACCATTTCGACCTCTCGACCGCGTGTCTTCGGGTGTCGATCGTCTGTGTCCGCTTTAATCACCTTTGTCCTGATACACTCGACTGGCTTTCGCTTCTGTTCTCGTGCTCAATTCAGCCCACGAAATCTGGGGCCCGCTGGCTGACAGGGGCATACACTTCGTATCATCGTTTGCGGAGAGGAGTTGTGCCTTAGCTATGATGGAAGCAGCAATTGGAAGTCGTTTTCATATTAGATGAGTCTCGTGGATCTGATTCTTCACGAATGGGTTTCCAACTTCCAACTTTATGGCACCACGACGACGTGGACAAAGGCCCTCAACCTGGCCAGCCCTGAAGCTACTGGATCCAACTTGTGAGTATGCCTACAGTCTCATTTGGAATGCCCATGACTCCGTCTCATTAATCGCCATCAGGAGAGAATCTGTGCTCTGACCCTGGCAGTGGCTTCATCGGATGGTCCCAGGTTGGGAAGGGGGACATCGTCTATTTGCCAGCGGCGCAACCGGTGAACCAGCAAATATTCCGGCCATGCATCACCCCGGACTTAGCAATACCCTTGTCCAAACATGGCTCCTCTTAAGAAACCCTGTGCTGTCCCAATTAGAGAAATGACCAGCCGCCCGATGATTTCCATGATTTTCCCGTCCGATCACTTCCAGGTCAAGATTGGCTCGTTGCTCTGCTTTACAGACTAACAAGTGAGCTACAGTCCGATCCCACGAAACAATGTGCGAGACCTGTGCACAGCGAGAGCACTAGCCAGTTTTTCTCGTTTCTTCATCTCCCACATGTTTATCAGTTCGGGTGCACTCTTCCGTCTCTTTCAAGGATAGATCATCTGTACGGGATATCGAGACGGGCTAGCGTGGCGTCGCAGCCTGACAAGGCAACTTTGTTCCTCTCGTCTCGAAGGAGATTCCGACCGACCGCCCATTCCCCGTGGAATGATGGACGGCTCTTGGTGCCAATCCAGAATGCCGGTGGTTGAGTCCAACTGATACATAGGGCAGGCAAAGCACATTCGCTGGCAACGGCAGTATCGGACCCACTCATTACCTGCCTGTCCGAGGACGAGGCACGACGCCGTGCGAAAAGAGGGATCCCAGACAACCTCTAACAATGGACCAGTGAAGGAGACGAGGCATCAAGCCAGGACGGAGAGAGGAAGAAGTAGGAGACGAAAGTGACCAAGGACAGCATATTAAAACAGTTCAACGATTCTCACAAAGCGAGCCATACCGTATTGACTTAACTCGACAGGACCAAGGATGTACAGTATATCGGGATTGCTTAAAGACGCCATTAGAAAATCAGGGCAAGAAGCAGAAGCAGCAGCAGCACCGCACGCAGTCTATCGATCCAATCCCGTCCTTGTTTGTCCCTTTGCCTTCTCCCCTTCTCCCCTTCTCCCCTTCTCCCCTTCTCCCCGTCTCCTGTCCTGTCCTGTCCTATCCATTCCAGTGTCTAGTATCCTCCATGTGCTTCTATTGTGCCTGTTGGTTTGTCCATAAGGCCAATGAGCCCCAGACATCAGCCAGTCGGTCAATCAGTCAGTATGAGCGTAATGCTTCGCTGCCCCATGCACCTGACGGGTGCCATGCCGGGACGATGCGATAGATCGGCGTGCCGACGTCGTCGAGCTCAGCCACTTATCTCACTCTCCTCACCCAGCGCGGCTGGCGCTGCTGCCACCCGTTTGGTAGTACCGCGGACTGCTGCGCACGCGCCCGTCCACGCGGCCCTGGCCCGGGGAGTGCTGCATCTGGATCGGGCTGGGTCTCGTTGCCCTCGCCTGGATCCCTGGACTTGTCCATGGCGATGTCTGCTGACGCTTGCGTCGGCGCACGCGGGACGCCGGGCTCGGCGCGAATGGGTCCCGGCGACGTCGTGGTGGTGTTGCCGCCGCTCGCGCCGCGCCGTGGTTGTTGGGACGGAACAGCCAGGGCTGCGGCGAGGTTTCAGTCGAGGCGTCGTACCGCTCTTCCATGGCGACCATGTCCTCGTAGTCCGGGAGAGGGCTTTCTTCTCGCCTAGTGGCAGCAGCAGCAGCAGCAGCAGCAGGAGGAGGAGGGGGCTGCTGGACAACCTCCTCGTCGTCGTCGTCGTCGTCGTCGTCGTCGTCGTCGTCGTCCTCCTCCTCCTCCTCCTCCTGCTGCTGCTCCTCGTAGTTGAGGCGAGTAAAGCTGGACATTCGACGGTCGTCCTCGGAGGAGGAATAGAGACGATTCCCGTCAGAGTCATAGTGGAGCTCGGTCAGCAACCGGGAGTCGTAGTCGATCTCCTGCTCCTGCTCCTCTTCCTGTTTAATTTCCGGTTCCACATGCGCGCGCCTGGCTCTAGGTCGCTTGGAGGGTCTGGCCGCTGCCCAACCTGCCCCGCTGACTTCTAGGAGGTCCTCTTCCTCCACCACCTCCTCGAGCGCCTGGCCGAAGGTTCTCTTCTGCCCAGGAGCAGTAGTAGAAGCAGGAGCAGTAGTGGTATTAGCGGCAGTAGTAGCAATAGCAGCATCAGATTCTTCTTCTGCTTCTTCTTCTTCTTCTTCTTCTGGTTGTTCTTCAAGGTCGCCCTGGGTCGTGGTACCGAAGCCACCGATGCCGAGGCCGATGGCCGGGCCTCTTGGATTGAAGTATAGATGGTTATACTGTTCGCGGAGGACGCGGAGCTGCTCCTGCAATTCGGCGTTCTGTTGCAGCTGCATTGTGTTGGTATCCAGTAGCGCTGCCTCCCTCAAATCACAGAAGTTGTAGTACTGCTCGGCGTCGTTGGCCGCATCCTCCAACATCTCCCGATACTCGGCGACCTGGTCGAGCAGTCTATGCTGCCGCGCTTCGTACTCTGGGAGGAGCTGGGCATGGATATCTTCCCGGATAGTCTGCTCGTAGAATTGCTCCATGTCGGCGAAGACCTCGCGCAGCTTGCTCTGCACGGCTGGCGTCTGGTAGTAGAACTGCGCCCCGCCGTACTCCCTTGGGGACTGGCGCTGTCGTGAACCCCGGGGGGAGGAGGGGTTGGCGCTGCGACGGGAACTCGAGGCCGTGCCCGAGTCACCAACTTGGACGTGCTGAGGAGAGCGTTGGAGGGGACTGTCGCGAGTATCCAGCTCGACATTGGCGCTCTGGGACCTGGTGACGGGCTCCTCGCCGACGTACGCCAGTTGGTGGTGGCCGTCGTCTTCTCTCGCTGCACAGACCGTCCAGCCGTCAACGGCAGGAATCAACACAATAGGAGAGGCGTCTGCCTCTGCCCGTGCGGCGATGTTCCCGAACGAGGCGGATCCCTCAACCTCTGCCACGTTGAGTTGCGCGTCCCTCAGTCGCATTTCGATCCTGGCAAGGTTGCCGTTGCCAGAGCCGGGCATGTAGTTCTCCAGGACGAAGTTTGGGAACCAGACCTCGTACCCACCAAAGCTCGCGTTGATCTCCACGAACAACTCCCCTGGACCGGGGTCTTTCTCTCTGGTAAGCTTGAGCTGGACGGAAGAAGACGGGTGTGCACCACCACTGGCGGGAGCTTGGTTGCCCCTGCTTTGGTGGTCGGCATTTGCACCGTCCTCCTCCCTGTTGTTGACATTGCTGTCCTCTCTGTTCCGGGTGTGTCTGGCGCTGGAGTTACCTCCAGTACCATCGGCGCTGTCAGCATTGCCCACAGTGGTCGCCTCGTCAAGAGCACCCTCGTCGTCGTTGTCTTCGACGATCTTTTCGTACAGAAGAACGTAGGGTGTGAAATCACCCGGGAGGTTGAGAATGTCTGCGAATGAGATCTTCTCCACCTCGGCATCGTCGTCGAACAGGTACCAGCTGTCTCCGCGGCGAACGCAGCCGACATAGTGGCCCTGGTCCCTGGTGCCGCTGTGGTTCACGACGCCCTGAAGCCGGTATCTGGCCGAGACATCAGGTGGCTCCCCTCGCTTCTCGAGGAAAGGGGTCAAGTCGAGCTCCTCGGGGATCATGATCTGGGTGGCGTCTTTGTCATAAAGGAGGTCGCCATTGCTGTCCGTCACCAACATGCCGTTTCTGTCGTGTCGCAGCTCGAAGCGCGAGAGCTGCAGGAACAAGACCTCAGGCGGAGCGCAGATGTTCTTCCAGAGATAACACGGTGCGCTGTTTTGACTGTTCGGAACGGATTTTCTGGGATGCTTAGAGCACTTGACGCAGCGCCAGTCGAACTCCCCTTTGTGGTTCTTTGCGAAGCAGTCTTCCAACGTCACTGAGACGCGGGGATCGGCTGTGGCGGCCAACGGGAGAGATAATACTGTCACTTCGTCGAGCTTTGCGAGACGGGTCTTCACGTTGCGAATCGACCCGCACTGCTTGCACCTGGCACGCAGTGCTTGGGAGACTTGCAACAGCTCATATATATTTACTTGTCCCAAGTCAAGGACTTTGGCAATGGTCCCGTCGTCCAATCTGTACAAAGTCAGCTCCGTCACGATGTGTATAACGCTAGAGAGGGGGAAAAGACTTACCTGCGTTTGTTGCTGCTCGCTTTTTTCTCAATGAAGTATGCGAGCTGTGCAGCGCTCAGGTCGATCAACCAGCCCAGGAACTCGGCTGCGCACTGGTCTTCTGAGGCCTCCTTCATTCTAGTCGTGAATCTCGTGTCGACTAGGGAGGCTGTATCTCCCCGTTCCTTATCGCGACGTGGATTTGTCACATAGTCCCAAAAGATGTCGATAGCATCGAGGAGGATTTTTGGCTGAGTATGGCTTCCGTCCCAATAGACTCTGCTCAGTTCAACCAATTCACACAACACATCGGTGTAGTCGTTGGGCAAGGATCTCCCAGGTTCATCGTCGCTCACGTCGAGCAATGCATCAATGAGAGGTTTGCTGTAAGTTTTGATCCTCAACCCAGCGCCCGTCAGGTTGGGAATGTGCCGCTTTTGAATCCAGGACATAAATCTGTTGCTGTGCAGCAAGATGACGAGGGAGGCATTGCGATAGCAGAGACGACCAGGATTGCTGAAACCCCTTCCCACATTCGGGTTTACCATTAACCTGGCTGCGGCGACGGCGTCGTTGGATGTCCTCCTCCGCGCCTCGAATTGGGGTCCAACTGATATGGTCGGACTGGGAATCGGACCATTTCCTGGTGCTCCAGCAGTCGGAGTCTTCTTCGCAGCGGCCCTTTTCTTGGAAGATGCCTTGGATTTTGATCGACCAGCTCCTGATGCTTTTGATTTCGCTTGACTTGTTGCTGGAGCTTTGCGTTTCGACGTAGTCTTCGTAACACGGTTGGGCTTAGTCTGACTCTTGGCTGGTGCTTTGCTTTTCGCTTGACTCTTCGCTTGGATCTTCGGTTGTGGTTTCGGTTTGGTCTTGCTGCTTGCTGGATTCGACGCAGGAACCTTCTGAGCCGTAGGTACATTGCTGTGCCTGGCCTGGCCAGCCGCAGCAGCCGCAGCAGATCTTGCCTGAGCCCTTGTTTGCACCATAATGGATTGTACAGGGAAGATTTTGCAGAAATAGATCGAGAATAAATGAACAACGGGCAGGCTGGACGAGAGAGATGTAGAATAAGAATGAAAAGAAGGGACAGGCGGGGACAAAGGACACTGGAGGAAGCTGTGCAAGGAAAAGGCAAGTACCGTTCAGCATGTTTGCGGACATGGTCGAATGGGTGCGGCATGGTGGACAATGGCTCGCCGCAAAAGAATGAATAGGTCGAAAAGATCAAAATAGCCAGATACAGACAGCTCACAGCACACAACGGAGTGAAAGTGAACGTGAACATCGTGCCGCTTGCAGAAGACAATAAGATTCCAGGAACAAAACACAATAAGAAAGCTTTCGATGCTGATGTTTATCATGTTGACACACGCAATTAGAAGGGTCCAACCTCGTGTGGAGTCACGTGGCATTCCGCAAACAAACAAGGCTGTGGTATTTGCCCGCTGCAAGGGTTTAACGGCCACAAAATTCTGATTTCATTAACATTGTAACAAAGAGGCTCGATTCATTTCGGTCTTGTCATGCAAAATTAGTCTTTGAAGGGGTCTGTCGGTCCCTGTGGTGAAAATGTCAAGTCGAAGTGACAGGCGTTTGAGGTTTCCCATTGCCAAAAAAGCGTCTCCAGTCTTCCGAATTGCGATGATTTTCTCCAATCTTGAAGACTGCAACCCGGGATCCATCGTTGCCGGGTGAAGAAGAACGTATAGGTGTGGGTGTGGATGACACTGGCGCTGGGTCTTCTAATACCGCCTTCTCAGATGGCGCGAGGTCAACGGAGGACGCTGTACTCCTTAATGTTACCATGTTCTCCACCTTTTTCATCCGTCGTTTTGTGCGTAAACAGAAGAAAATGGCGGCTATTAGAGCGACTATGCCGAGAATCACGCCAATGGCGATACCGGCTTTGGCACCACTGCCTAGTCCAGCAGAGCGGGAGGTGGAAGAAACAGCTGTCTCGGCTGCTGCAGACGCCCCAGCTGAGGACATAATGGCAGTGCCCGTCGCTGCTAAGGGTTGCGTAGAGCTTTTGGCGGATTTGCCAGTCACCGATGCCGAGGTCGTCGCTGCTCGTGTAGCGGCCAGAGCGTAGGTTGTGGCAATGCCTTGGGTGCTGACCATTGTGAAGCCTGCCGCTGTGGTAGAGTCTGTCCTGTTCTGGGCATCGCAGAGCATGAAGTTGCAATAGGTAGGAAATTGAGCGATCTGCATCCCAGCTTGAATAGGCGCAATAGCATACGTGCCATTTGACTCGACTGGAACACATCATTAATCTCTGCTCCCAGTGAGGGTTGGGTTGACCCAGACTTACTCTGGTTCACATTGGCCAACGCGAATTGATCTGACCCTGGACTCATCTCACAAAATATTGACAAAACCACATTTTTCCACACAGTGCTGTAGCTGACTTGGATCACATCGATGTTGTTCAAGGTCAACAGTTCCGTCGGGTATAGAAAGGTAGCCTGCGGCCCCATATCTGTAGTTGTGGACGGAGTGGTTGCGGTAACTGCGCTTGAAGAGGACGTAGTCGATATGTCTATCGTGGAGGAAGCCGAACTCGTGCTCGCTGTTACCGGTTCAGCGTTGTTGCTGAAATCAGGATGAGGATGCATCTGCGCCGCACGCGGGACATGATGAAACATGTCTCCTTGTAACATTTGGAGGACGACACAGATAAAGGATCGAAATCGCAGTTTGAGCTTTCGCGACCGTTTACAGGCCTGGCCCTTGAAAGATCACCATTCAGGGCTCGCTGGGAGGAGAGGGGCGTCTCATGTTGACAGCATTCCTGGCTTTTGACAGATTGCGGGTGCCGGACAGCCCACGGGAGGGTTTCGAAAATAGAACAGGCTCTAGTCCGCGTGGTTGCTGCCGCAGAGGCATGGGAGGCACCCGGCGAGCAAGCCATGGTTCGATTTCCCTCCCGATCTGAACACTATGGCTGTCGAGGCAGCCAGGATTCGAGACATCGGCCGAATGGCGCTGGATTTTGGCGAAATTGCAGCCATCAGCACCTCATCATTTCAAGTGGAGCTGCCCAAAAGTCAATCTGGCTGCTTGTCAGTGCGTGGATCTCATTAATGTCATGATAGGACAGAGAAACACTCCGGACTCCGTATATTGACAATCATCGCTTCAACCGAGGGCTATGGATACGACCAGCACGAAATCCAAGGAGTGGAAGTGGGGGATGAATGGCGGATCGAAGGAAACACGAAGGAAGAGTTCCTGGGGAAAGGATGGAAGCTGCATGCACTTGTTGTGGGGGCCTTTGACGTTGTAAGCCCCTCCTAGCGAGACTTATAGGCAACTAAACAGGCGCCCCAGGGCATCTACTCCGTAGACGGTGCCGGAGATGCGAGGTAGGGGCCTGCGGAGCTGCAATCAGTGCCTAAACTTACCTAGGCAGGCACCTCTGCACGTCCCTACGCTAGCCATACCAGATCGTTGCAAAATCTATTCCAATTTCTGACACGCCTCCGGCTGATGCAATCGATACATTATTATGGACAAGTCGCTCGATAAATGACACAGTACGAGGTACTCCGTACAGATTTTTTTCCATGTCATCAACTATGAAAGTGGGAAGATCAATGCTTCATTCCGCAAGTCACAAGTGGAGGGGCCGTTGTTGAGCTTGCTCAGACCTGCAAAAAGAGATCTCTTAAAATGCACTGCTTCGCCAGCCTTGAGCCGTGGTTCCAATGGTCCCGATGCTCCCTTCACGAGAACGACCATTCCCATCCAGGTTCAACTTGCTAAGGACTTCTGTCGGTACAGTGGGAATGTATTTCCTCGCTCGCTCCCTGTTTGTGCCCCCAATGCCCGCTCCGTAACTGATGAGCATGTCCGTCGAGGTGGGTAGCGAGAATGGAAGCATCAAAGACTGGTCCAACGTCAAGGCATTTCGATTCATGGGTGGATCGGTGTCCTGCTCGACTGGTGAAGATATTGAAGGCGCCGGCACATTCTGAGGCGTGCTCGGCTCTTTGTTTGCTGGCGCCGGTGTTCCGTTCCGCCTTGCTGGTGTTGTCGTACCCGACTCCGGTGCGTCGACCATGGGCGTCAGTGGTCTCTTGATCAACGACTGTTCGCCTCTCTGCAACTGAGCCAGGAACTTCATGTGTGCTTTGGGTAGGCTCTTTTCGCCCACTTCAGCTCGATAATTCTTAACCGCGTGGATCAACTGTGTCGGGGTGAGGCGTTGGAGTTGGACTAACGTTCCAACCAGAGATTCATGGTCCTCACCCAGCGAACTGAAACACTGCAGCCACTGAAGCAGCTGGATTATGGGTGCCAGATGCCGTCGCGCGGCATCGACCGTACTCTCGCCGGTCGATATTGTGGAGCCATGTTCATAATGTTCTGGTTGTCGATTGTTTGTCCGTGCCCAGTCTTCGATGGCAGACACATTCATGCGAATCTGCATCGCCTTGGTCCTCGAAAGGTATTTCTTTGTGGTCATGACGCGGTTGAATAATTCGGCCCCAATCCAATACAGCAATTGAGAAAGGATCTGTGATGTGATTACCGAATGGACATCATACAGGTCAAGCACGAAGAGCGTTGACGAGAGAAGGGAGGTAATATTTCGCGGAGACGTTTGGGCTCGTCGTTTTGGCGAAGGAGGTCGAAAGCGCTTCTCTGGCGGCTCGTCCTTTGTCTTAGGCTTGGACTTGAAGACCTTCCATTCTCCTTGGAAAGCGATGTCGTCTAAGCCGGGTATTGTTTCGTGGTCTAACATTGCAACATCCAGGACCTTATTCATTCTCCTTTCTGCATCTCGAATAATGAGGATAAAGGTCTCATTGATCAGCTCTGCAAGCTCGAGCTGATACTTGGATGTGGCCTGCACAAGACCCGCATCCTTCTTCAGGTAATGCAGGAGCAGGGTCGCGTTGGATATCCAGAAAGCTAACATGGTCATGTCCCACTGGCAGCGTTCGATGACATCGTTAATGAGATCCATGGCTCTGGTGAGGACGTCGTCTAACAGAGAGGCCGTCATATGATAGTGGGCATACCGCGCCATGAGAAAGATCAGGTTTGCCGGGATGGGCTTTTGCGATGGAGATCGTTGCGGTGTCATATTCGTGATAATCAAGTCAAAGATGGCATCCAGCTTATCAGCCTGGAAGACAAACATCTGGTCGCCCACGCAGCGGTCCCAGATGAACTCTTCTTCGTCGATCTCAAGATCAGTGGGTGACTGGGAAGTGTCAGCAAAACTGTCCACGCTGCGCTATGAGGTTTGGCTGACCTCTGGTTGTTCATCGAATCCCAAGGTGGATAAATCGACCTCCAAGTTAGCCGCACTCTCTTGCATCAACATTCGCCGTTTCATTTCGTTCTCTGCCATCTCTTCCTCGAACCGATCTTGAGAGTAGCCCGAGTTGTAAAAGTCACCCCCCAGGCTCGACACCCCGAAGTGATAACCGTTTTCGTGAAGGTAGTGCGAGAAGTCCGACCCAGGCTGGACAAAGTCGAGCGCGGTGCCCCCAGATGAAGATCTAATATCGGGGTCTGCTCCATGGTCGAGTAGCATTTTGGCAATTTGCTTATGTCGGTTTGTCATTGCCCACATCAAGGCACTCCACTGATTTCGATCCTGCTTGTCCACGATCGCTCCAGCGTTGAGAAGGGCTGCCACAACTTCATGATGTCCCTGTCACGCGTCAGCCTAATGAACAGTTCTGTCGTTGGGGCTCCACACACAAAACAGCTAGCATATATTAGTGGCACTGTCCCCTCCTCATCTGGCTGGTTGACGTCGACATATTGCTTGGCTCTGCCTCCGACCAGCTTCTGAATACGGGCGACGTCGCCGTTACTTGCTGCCATGTTAAGGCTCTTCTGCAAGATCTCTTTCTTTTCGCTGTCCGATAAGTTGTCGTCCATGGCAATTGCATCTTCATCCTGCCCAGGACTGCCATCTTCTCTGTGATGCGCTTGAGCTGCCACCATTTCCATCAGCCGCGAGTCACTGTCCTGAATGCGGGCGAAGGTCTCCTCATCGTCGTAGGCTGGGGTATCCAGATGCAGATCAAAGGTCAAGGTTCTTGCAGGGGTCGGTGCCGTGATATACTGGGATGAGCCTATTCCAGACCGACAACTTGTAAGCAGTGGTCTCACCATGAGAAGCACGAGACCTGTAAGATCTGCTTGCCTTGCCATCCATCATATATTTCTGTCTCCTCGCCATAGCTGGGGAACGAGCGACGGTCATCTAGGGAAGTCGGCAGATCGTCTGGAAGCTTGCGAGGTGTCTGCTGCGAAGGCGACTGCGGGAGGTACTGGGCGTCACTGGGACTCACTGGATCACCAGCGTCCATCGTGTTGGCTGCGCAGGGGTCCGAGTAGGGACGATCTCATATCGGAGGGATGTCTGGAGAGGTCTCATCTGACTTCTAACGCAGCAATGTGTTTATAGGCCGACGACATATTCTATCAAAGGTTGAGACTACCTAGGTGCCAACTTGCAGCACCTTGCTGTGCTGTGTTGTGCTGTGGTCCATGGTGGGAGGTTGGCCTGTTGCCCGCACTGGCTGTACAGCCGAGTCGGAGATCTGTTTATCCTTGTCCCGTTCTTGGCACACCATGCCGCTTTTAAGAAAGCATTGAAGGCTAACCTGCTTGCTTTTATGGCCATGCTTGAGGCAGGTAAGCAAGTGAGTGGTGGGCAATTTCTATGGAGGCGAGTAAAGAGCATCAATGACAGCGTTTATGTGTCTCTAGTGCAGGATATTGAGGGGGACATATCGTCACTGGTGCCCTTCAAGCTCAGATTCACGGACAAGCACTCCTTCGAACTGTTTGACAAGGTGAAGGTTACGACAGGGGCTGTCCTAAAAGAGGATTTGCATAGGGAGTAATTAAATAATGAAGCCTCTGGAATCGACCGGTATGAGACGACCAGTATGAGACGTAGACTGTGAGCATAGAGACTACATTTCCTGCTTTCGAATTTGCCTGCCTTACCTTGCCTCAACGTCGCCGGCCAAGACCTCCCCCCTTCAGTAGCTCTCACTTACCCTGGTATCGTGGTGAGTGTGGTCCTATCACAGACGCAGGGCAGCGCCGGGCTACAGTGTTCTATCGGCTAGACGCGTTGGATAAAAGACTGTAGGGATTCTTACCAACTACCATCCCCAATCGCGTCTAGTCAAAGCCAAACTGGCCTCTTGCTTCCCCCTATTTTTCGCCCCTTCACCAAGACATTTTGCTCCATAGGACAGTGTCGGTCACGAACATTTGCAGAAAAGATAACCCTACAATATAGTTTCGGGTTCTATACGTGGCCATGAGGTGCTCGCTGCGAGGCTCTGTCAGCTTGCCGGTTGTTACTCTGACCCTCTTATTCCTCACGAGCTCATGCCTCGCATCTCTGGGTGACCGACTTCCCGACTTCCGCGAATGTGTCCAAGTACGTCCCACCATTGAATGTCGGCCATCGAGCTCCTTGCAAATGCTAACGGCTCCAGGTCTGTATAGAGGAAAATTGTGACTCGGGGCGGGCGAGCATACGTGAGTGTTCTCTTCGACGGCCAATAGGATACGGAGCTGAACACCTCCTCCAGCTCTGCATCTACGACTTCTGCTCTGGGATTGCACATCTGAATGCGATTATACGTGCCAGCATGTCATCACGGATCGACGAAAGGCACGCGACCCTCCTATGATTGAACCGGTGGTACAGTATCATGGAAAATGGCCCTTCTATCGGTTCATGGGCATCCAGGAACCGTTCTCTGTTCTGTTCTCGTTGATGAACTTCCTCGCTCATCGAAATGGCATGCAGAGAATACGCGAGTCGATTCCCGCTCGCTACACTCTCCGACCATATTACTTGGCTTTTGGCTACTTTGGGCTTGCCAGTTGGATATTCAGCATGATTTTTCATACGCGAGACTTCAACATCACGGAGAAGTTGGACTATTTCGCTGCCGGTGCCAGTGTGCTCTATGGGCTCTACTACTCTCCAATCCGGGTGTTCCGACTGGATCAGAGCGACCCGACGAAACAGAGCATCCTACGGGCATGGACTGCCCTTTGCATCCTCCTCTATGTGGCGCACGTCACCTATCTGACGGCGTGGAGCTGGGACTATACCTACAATATGGCAGCCAATGTCGTGGTTGGGGTTATTCAAAATCTCCTCTGGAGTTGGTTTAGCATCACGCGATACCGCAAGCTTCAGAAAACGTGGGCAGCATGGCCCGGGTTGATCGTGGCTTGGATCGTCATGGCCATGAGTTTGGAGTTGTTCGACTTTCCGCCCATGGCTGGAATGATCGATGCACACAGTCTTTGGCATCTTGGAACCGTGATACCTACTATCTGGTGGTATAGGTAGGGCCAGGCAATCCTACGCCTCTTGCTTACTCCTGCTGACTTCTGTGTGCAGCTTCCTGATCAAAGATGCTCAAGAAGACCTTACCAGCCAGCGCCTCAAAGCATGACCGCAGGCCCCTATGCTTCTAGACTCCTCGAGGCTCTCGCCAAAGCCAAAGAGCAATGCTAGTCACTGTAGCGAATAACGGCTCGGAAGTCGAAATTCAAGATTTACGATCTCAACAAGCCGAACCCGAGGGTCCATTCCTCTATGCCGCTGAACTACTGCTCTCTTGGTGCTTAACCCCACCAGTCGGCGTATTTTGACGCGAGCGGGAGGGGTTGGAGGGGTCATGGGAACGGACTCTCAGGGCTTGATTTGACCTGACGGGCATCAACGGTCGGTGATTGTTAAGGGCCCCCCACGTCCTTTGGGCGGTGCCGGGCGCCTCTGCCGTCTGGTGCGCCTGGATCAGACATACCTATTGGTCCCGAGGACGCCGGGAGGGTCACTAGTCAGGCACGCAGGGAGTACCCTCTGATCTTGTGGCCCCTGTGGCTCGGTGCGGCTGGTGGACTCTAAGCACCCTCAGCTTAGTTAGCGAATGCACAAACTGTCTCTTGGAGAAGTCTTTCTTACTTGCATTCATCTCCGTTTTCATCTTCTCCATCGCAGATCACCATTTCACTCTTCTCTTCTTTGTCTTCCCACTTCTCTTCACTCTTGTTCCAGTATTGAGTGGACAAAAGTCCCGTTACGTCCAGAATCTCCCAGCAGCCCGTGAGTGGGTGCAACCTGTGTGCACACGTTGCAGCCATGTCCTACCAAGACCCTCGAGACTCGGTGTTGAACAAGCCAAAGCCGGTCATCCATTTGCCTAAAGATCTTCTGGATCGTATCACCAAAGGTGCTGAGCCATATCCCATCCTACAAGGGAGAAAGTATGAATATGGCACTGCAGGAGTATGTCTCCCTTCGCTTCTTTTGTGCCTGAAACTAACATTAGTGTTTGTTCAGTTTCGCATGAAAGCGTACGTCCTTCTTCAGCCGCACGAAGCTGACACCTCTCTGCCACTTGCCACCTGACCCTACCTGTGAATTGCTCAACTGACGAGGAGTGAAAATCAGAGATGTTGGCCTGGACCATGTCATCTACACCGTTGGGCTTATCGCCGCTCTCCGTTCCAAGAAGCGCAATGCGACGATCGGGATCATGATCACCGCCAGCCACAACCCGGCGGAAGACAACGGAGTCAAGTTGGTAGACCCTATGGTATGTCATCATCCCCATATCAAATGTTGACATTAGGGGGCTAACAGGAGGACTCTCAGGGTGACATGCTTGAGGTATAGAATTGCGTCGTTCACAATGGCCTCACCACGTGACTGACAATAGAGACAGCAATCATGGGAGGCTTATGCGACTGTCCTGGCCAATACTCCCAGTGAGAAGCTCGGGGTGGAATATGAGAAATTGTTGAACGAGACCTTGATCAGCAACATCAGCCAATTCCATGAACGACCGGCAAAGGTGGTGTTTGCTCGTGACACCCGTGCTTCCGGACCGTACCTGGTCACCGCTCTCAAAGCAGCCTTGGACGCTGTCAATGTCGAGTATGCTGATCATGGCCTCATGACCACCCCTCAATTGCATTATATTGTCCGTTGTATCAACACCAGGAATTCCCCATATGCTTTTGGCGAGCCGACCGAGCAAGGCTACTATGAAAAGATGGCCAAGGCATTCAAGACCATCATGCACGGCCGTACCATCCACGGACCTATCACTGTCGACTGTGCCAACGGCGTTGGAGGCCCCAAGTTGAGGGAACTGATCAAATACCTACCCTCGGCGAAGGAAGGAGGCATTGACATCAAGGTGGTCAATGATGATGTGGTCAGACCTGAAGCCCTCAACTTCGAGGTGAGTTCTTTACAAATCGCCAACGCCTTTACGCTCTCAACTGACGCTATCAGTGCGGTGCGGACTTTGTCAAGACTAAACAGCGGGCTCCCCCGAGTTCCAACGCGAAGCCGGGCGATCGCTGCTGTTCTCTCGACGGCGATGCCGATCGTCTGGTGTACTACTATACTGACGAGCAAAACACCTTCCACCTTCTGGACGGTGATCGTATCGCTACTCTTGGAGCTGTTTTCCTTGCGGACATGACTCGTGTTGCCGGGCTTGACCAGAAACTGAAGATCGGAATCGTCCAGACCGCCTACGCCAACGGCGCTGCTACCGAGTATGTGGAGAAAGTACTCAAGCTGCCAGTCACCATCACTCCTACCGGCGTGAAACACCTCCACCACGCTGCTGCCCGCTACGACATTGGTGTCTATTTTGAGGCGAACGGACACGGCACGGTGCTCTTCTCAGAGAACGCGATTAAGCTCATCAGAGAGTCCGAACCCAAGTCCCCTGGCCAGAAACATGCCCTCGACTCTCTTCGCGCTTGCATCGACCTGATCAACCAAGCCGTTGGTGATGCCATCTCCGACATGCTGTTCGCCGAAGTCGTACTTGCTCACAAGTCCTGGACTCTCGAGAACTGGCGCAACACCTACATCGACCTTCCTAATCGCCTGGTCCGTGTCGTGGTCAATGATCGTTCCATCTTCAAAGCCGTTGATGCAGAGAGAAGACTCGAGTCACCCAAGGGCGCCCAGGAGGAGATCGATAAGTACTGCCAGATGTACATCAAGGGTCGTGCCTTTGCCCGGGCATCTGGGACAGAGGATGCGGTCCGTGTGTACGCCGAGGCCCACTCCAAGACTGAGGCGGAGAAGCTTGCCGGTCAAGTCGCCGAGGTGGTGAGGAAGTACGGGACGATGTAGGGGAAATGACGATAGAAACGAGCCGTGACAAAGGATGATTTGCCTGGACTGTCGAGGCACGGTCCAATTGTGCACGAGTGTTGGACACGACCAGATGTCGTCGTATGGCATAGCGAATGGCGCAATCAGAGTAGGATGAATGGACTTCCCCGGCGGAGATTTCACGAGCTATGAGATAGGTTGACGCGAGGATACCCGAATACCAAAAGTACTGTTTGTTTCCCTTGCTGGGTGGTTGCTGCTGGACGATATGCAATTTGATAATTTGTTCCCTCTGCGCGAAGCATTCTCGATATTATAGAAACTTGGCCTTTTTGGGACAATATGGCAGTCTCTGAAAACGGCATCCCGCCTCGAGGATGACTAAACCCACTTCACCCCATTGATGCCATTCGGCAATAGAGCGCCCTTCAGTCTACAGTTTGTCTCTCCGTCATGAACCGGGGTGGCTTCGGCAGTGTGGTCAAGATAGCCTCTTCCTCGTCCTCCTTCTCTGTCCAGCTTCCAAGCAGCTCTGTGGCCTTCTACAAGCCTCAACTTCGAGTTTAAGGAGCGGCGTTTCCCGCCCGCAAACGTCTCATCCGGGCCCAGGACAGGAAACGAAGAGGGCAAATATGCACAAGATGAGGATCGAGAACGTAATCCTGCCAGGAAGAGATCCCAAGTCTCGGTGGGACGTGGATTTTGAAATGAACACTATCAAAAAGATACAGCCGACAACACCTGCAGCAGGAGATGTATCTCCAGATCCTTCGTCTTTGCTCCTCCCGCCTCTCTGCCACCCACACATCCATTTGGACAAGGCATATCTGTTGACATGCAACACCCAGCACCATCCGTCACAGCATCTATCAGAGGAAGTGCAGCCAACCCACCCAGACTATAGCGATCTTACCCCCCAGGATGGTTCCTTCGGCGAAGCCCTCAAATTCACCTCCTTGGCCAAACAACGATACACGTCCGACGATCTCTACTTGCGCGGGGCCCAGCTTCTGGCCACATCTCTCGCACAAGGAGTGACCTCGTGCCGTGCCTTCGTCGAACTTGACCACGTCACCAGCCAGTCATGCATCGAGGCAGGCCTGCGGCTGAAGGACTGCTTCCAGGGGAAAATGAAGTTGCAACTCTGCGCCTTCGCCCAGGATCCGATCTTCAGCACCGACAAGGGTGAGGAAAATCGCCACATCTTGCTTCGCGCGCTGCAGGAGTGTACCGGCCACATCGAAGTTCTTGGGACAACCCCGTACGTTGAGAAGTCAATCGAGGCGAGTGTGCAGAACATTGAGTGGGCGATTGAGACCGCCATCAGCCACGGCCTTCATCTCGACTTTCACCTCGACTACAATCTTGACGAGATGCAAAAACCCATGGTTTGGGAGGTGATTCGACTCTTGAAAGAGCTGAATTGGAATACCCGAGCACAAGCTGGGAAAACCATCGTTCTCGGCCACTGCACTCGTCTGACCCTCTGCAGTGACGCCGAGATGGTAGCTCTGGGGAAGGAGATCGAAGATGCGAAGCTTCCCATCCATTTCGTGGGACTTCCGACGAGTGACCTGTTCATGATGGGACGCCCTATCGCCCCTTCTTCCCCCACACAGTCAAAATCTGCACAACGACCCCGCGGGACGCTTCAAGTTCTCGATATGATCAAGGGGTTTGGCATCAACAGCTGTCTCTCTGTGAATAACGTCGGGAACGCATTTACTCCTTGGGGCACTGGGGATCCCCTGGCTCTCGCGTCCCTGGGTGTGGGAATCTACCAAGCTGGTACCGACGACGATGCAAACCTCCTATTCGAGTGCGTGAGTTCCCGGGCGAGAAAAGCAATCGGTCTCGACACGGCGAGCGCACTCGACAATGCTCAAAATGATCCTGGACAGGACCAGACGGCCGGCTATGACACGACCGAGCTCAAAGAGGGCCGCAAGGGCGAACTTCTGTTGATCAAGAATGAAGAGTATGTCTCCTGTCCGGGACATTTGGGAGTCAGTATTCCCGCACGCCAACAAGTCAGTGTGAGAGACGTTGTGTGGGACCCGCCACAATTCCATCTTCGTCAGGTCTTGAGATGCCAATAACACGACAGATTGTGATGTTGAGGGCGAGAATTGAAAGGGAGGGCCGGAAGTGTTTGTAGAAGAAGGGCTCGCGAATGCCGCTCATCTTCGTCGACCCGCTTGCTGCTGCCCCTTAGACGGCTGTCCCAGTTGCATCAGGAAAGAGACAATACAAGAGGACGAAACGGGCTGCTATTTTACGATGTTGAATGAAATCCGATGCCTTTTGTTTTGGTACCAGATCGGACTCACTTCTTATATTATTATATCGAGCCGAAGCCCAATTCTCGAGCACAGTCTTGTTACCGGGGTCTAATCAAGCAGGCACGAGTAGTTTTGTTCATCAACGATTTTTCTGCTGAAATTTCATAAAGAATACACCAATACATTGGCCTCATACTGCCTGGAACTGGGTGGTCTAGGAGGGACAAAAGCATTCAGACACATAGAAGGACCTGTTTTACTTCGAAGACGGACAGGATGGAGACAGAACCGAATGGCAGTATTTAAAGCACACTGCGTTCAGCATCATACTCTTGTTTATTCTTCCTTTTTTTGAATGTCTTCTTCTTCAGCACCACCATGTCCATCCTCCACACTTATCCACCGTCTCCGTTGATCCTGGGCTCCCATCTGTCATATGTACACCTACTGGCCCCTCCGCCTCTCGGCGTCCTTTTTGATCCACGCCGCAGCCTCGTCCTTGACCTTGTCGTCCCAACGGCTCAAGGCGCTGCGGCCCTCGGTGATGTCGCCAATGGCCCAGGTCATGCGGGCGTTGTCGAGGGCCTCGTCGACGTCGGTGTCGGGACAGATGATGTAGAACTGGCCCTGGTCGATCTTCTTGACACCGTACTCGGCCACCTGCGAGGGCAGCCAGGCGCCCCGGGGCTTGGTCTTGAGGGCCTCCTCGTCCGGCACGGGCCCCACGTTGCCGCTCAGCCCCGTGAATGTCCAGCCCGGCACGAGCAGGTGGGCCGACACGTGTGGCGCATAGATGGACGACGCCGGCGTGCGTAGGTCGTGCGCCAGCTGCTCCGTCACCGTCTTGACCGCGCTCTTGGACGCATTGTACGCCGGGTTGCCGGGCGGGTTGGTGATGCCCTGCTTGGAGCCTGTCAGGACCACGGCACTGGGCCCCGTGGTCCGCAGCACCATGGGCAGGAAGGTCGTGAGGCCGTGCACCATGCCGAAAAAGTTGACGCCTAGCGTCTTGTGGAAGTACTCGGCGTCGCCCCACGGCTTGGTCGTGCGAATGGACATGCCGGCATTCAGCATCAGGAAGTCGATGGTCTGGAACTTGCCCACCAGGTCCGCCCGGACCGCGTCCCACGCCGACAGGTCGGACACGTCGAGCTCGTACGTCAGTGTCAGCAGCTTGTTGTCGATGGATTGGAGGGCGGATGAGGCCGCCTGGAGCGACGACGCATTGATGTCCAGCAGGGCCACGTGCATGCCGCTGCGCCGACAGTGCTGCGCGAATGCGAAGCCCACGCCGGATGCACCGCCGCTGATCAAGGCGAGGGCGCCTGAGCGAAAGATGGAAGCCATTTTTTTGATTTGTTTTTTTTTTCTTTGGCCCTGATCAAAAGATCTGCTGAGCTGGACTTCTGATGGCAGAGGCGAAAGTGGAAAGAAAGTTCGCGAAAGCAGTGAGGGGAATGGGAGAGTTTGAGATAGAAGATGGAGAAGTCAAAGACGGAGACGGAGATACTCCGGACACGGCCTCGACGGCGTCCTCAATTGCAGTCCGCATCCAATGGCGTTGAAGCTGTGGAACTATACGACGGCTGGAGAGGAACACGGATGATAAGGAGCTGGCAGTCTGGCAGGAGGCGAGAATTATGTTATGTTCAATTTCTTGGGTTTTCTGTATCAGATCAAAAGGTTTGGATCTCTGTAAAAAGACCCCTTTGCTGGGACTCCTCTTCCCTTCAAATGTCGCAACGCTAATTCATTTGCATAGACTGGCAATGCTTTGCTTTTCCTTTTTGACCCCGGGTGCCTTGTGACATTCTTTTACTGGACTCACAACAACCCCTGCCTCCCAATGCATCGATGGTCCCTCGGGCTTGCAAGACTCGGGGACCGGCAAAAACAAACACAAGCATGCGAGGTGGGTCGTGGCCGCTGTGTGATGCCCCTGTACACGATGGCATCATCACTGTGACGCTTCGACCGCCTCGTTCTCCTTGTCCTCAATCTTGGCTTCCTGGAGCTCCTTGCTCACGTCGGCCACGGCGTCTTTCTCCTGAGCCAACTCACCCTCGGCCGAGACGGGTCCGTTCACGCCCACATCCTTGGCGGCCACCTTCTTTGCGTGATTGTGACGACCGTTTCGGGCACTTGTCGAGGGAGTTGCGTTGGAGGCGTCGAGGGCCTCTTGTTCGAGCTTTTCGATTTCCTTCTTCGCTTTTTCAATATTCTTGAGGCAAGAAGTCAGCACGGTTATCAAACACGTAGCACAGGATAGATCTTACCTTTCGGGTTTGCGTGTCCTGGTCCTTCTTCCAGGCGGCCAGTTTCTCCTTGAGCTTCTCAACCACAGCAGGGACATCGGTCTGTGTGCTTGGCGGGTCGACTCCGACTTTGGCTAGTTCCTCAATGATACCAATGTTCATGTTGAGTTTGCCCGAGTCGGCGGGGGCGGCGGCTCCCTTCTTGCCCTTGCCTTTCTTCTTGCCGCCACTGCCGACGAAGAAGTCTTCGTCCTCCTTTCTCATCACTTTCATGCCCTTGAAGCCGGATTCGTCGACGGTTCGTTGAGCAGTGGCCGCAAATTGGCCGGGACCTTTGTCGCCTTCGTCGGTGTGGTAGGTCGGATCGAAGTGGCGGATCAGTCCTTCAGCGGTGCGGATTTGGTCCAAGAAAGCGGGTTCGGAGGCTTCCTCGAGCTTCTGCTCAGCGATGCGGCGGCGCTTCTCCTTCTCGTACGCGTCACGCTCAGCCTTTTGTCGTTCTCTCCGTTGCTGGTAGATCATGTCTTCGTACTCCTTGTAAGCCTTTCTCTGGGCATAGTAGTCGTCCTTGACCTTCCTGATGGCTGCATAGGTTGCCTGCTGTTCCTCGTACAAGCGGTCGCGCTCTGCCTTCAAGGTGTCGTAGTTTTTGTTGGTGTCTTCGCGTGCAGCCTTGATTTCGTCGAGCTCTTTCTGATTGTCTTCAAACTTCTGGGACAAGGCACGGGACTCGGGGTTGTCAAACGATTTCTTGAGTTCGGCATTTTCCGCCTTCTTCTCGTCGATCTTCTTTTGCAAGTCGTCCAGGCCGACGAAGCCCTTTTTTTGGCGGCGAAGGGCAGAGATCTCAGCGAGCGCCTTCTTCTCGTCCACCAATTTCATGTGGCCCGAGTCGACTTGCTTGGTGATACTGTCGATCTTGGCATCGATCTCCTCGGGGCTCTTGAATCCGGCTCGGTTGCGAGCTTCCTTTTGCTCGGCAAATAGCTTCTTGATCAAGGCATCGTTCTGGTTGAACTTTTCCTGTTGCCCGGCTTTGGCCGCCTTGTGTTCCTGCTGCTTCTGACGGATGGACTTTTGTTCTTCAACCAGTTCTTTGAAGCGATCGTTGGCGGGAGTTGATTTTCCAGGACGGGCGCTGTCTAGCTTGGCTCGGATGGCATTCTGCAAAGAATCAGTTAACGAGTCCCCTGTATTGTATGTGCTCGCGAAGAGAAACGTACAAAGCGGGCTTGGGCAGCCTCGTGGTCTTTTTCGGCCTTCGCAAGGTCCTCCTTGAACTTGGCTTCGTCGGGCTTCTCGGGTCGCTTGTGGGCGCCATCAGTGGCAGGAGGAGTGTCGACGTCGGCCATGTTGATGACAGTGGTCGCAGATACCAAACAATGAGTTACCGATGGACAGATCGTGGTACAGATAGTCAGGCTCAAATATATATTGTTCTAATCCATACTAGGGGATGACAGGTTGAGAGAAGGACTCAGTGAGGGGCACGTGGGAGCAGCCAGAGTCTTGAGTGACAGGCGGAGTGACACACAGAGAGAGTGATCTGTCTAGCCGTTGAGACAAGGTGATGAGGTGCTAGTGATGAGAATGAGAATGAGGACAGGGCTCGTCTTTAAGTCGCAGTTGCGGGTTGTTTTCGAGTCGGTGTGGAGTAAAATTATTTTGGGAATTTCGAGTGACAGTGACAGTTCCGTGGCATCTTGTGAATGGCGGTTCGCGGACTGTGGTCGGCCGGAGGGATTTCGTCCCGCCATCCATGCAGCTCGCCGTAGATGATATACGGTAGACCAAAAGGCACAATACACCCTCTGCTCTATGGTCGACCGAAGAGCTTGTGTCGAGCCGTGCACCATGAACTCTGATGCGTGTCCATTCAATCATGTTGCAAGGCAGAACCCCCCCCAGTCATGTAGCCACATCTCCCAGACATGGAGATAATGGCGCATCCGCAGTCATGCTATTCAGACAATCAGGAGCAAGGGTGCAGCTCTCTGCGAATTTGGTATTTTCAGTGGTCAGTAATCGCGTCCAGCCGAGCGGCGTCAGCGATCACGCCCCACACAAATCATACAGAGCCTGCACATTGTGACGACAAGGTGCATCAAGTGCAAAGCACCATCTAGGCGGAGATGAGCTGAAAATGCGTGACAAACAAACATGCTACGCACAAACTGGACACCGTGGATGGCAGCTTCGCGTTAAGTCAACTCTGGTATAATCCCGCAAACACATTAGACTGGGCTGTCAAGCAAAGGTCTTTTGAATTCTTGAGCTCAGCCGTTGTTGTCAATACATGTGGCTCTTGGTGTCGACTCGGAGGTCTCTCTGCCCAAGGGCGAGGAGGGCGCTTTGAAATCTTCGGTATAGAGCATCGAGGACCAACCGCATCATGTCGACTGAGGATTCGGGCATCTGGAGAGGAGTGCAATTGTTTCACCAAGTTAAACTGCAAAAATATTGGTGAAGTTAGCTCTCTGGAAGTCTCTGGAACAGCAACAATGAGCCCTTCCTGGAATTCAATCCTTTGTGCCTGCCAGAACATGCGCCCGACCTGGTGGAATACAACAGGTGTACACGGTCCAGCTAAAGAACATGGCGCAGAGTCTGGGTAGGCAGAAGGAGATGGAGGCGACTGACAGCGAGATCTGATTTCCTGGTTCTTCAAATTCAGAAGGTCGGTGGTGAATCTGGGATCTATCGATGGTATGGGAAATCTGACGGGGCATTTGTTTAGGTCGCGCCAACAAATATCGTCCCACGTCAACGTTGCCTATGATGTCGTCTTTCCTTGCTTCTATTACCTATTCCCCGTTGCGGTCGCCCTTTATTCCCTCATGCTCGTTGTCAAAATTGCGCCGTGTCCCCAACACTCTCCCTGCACTGTCTCTCGAATGATATTGTCACCATCATTTCGTATTGCCCAGCGGCGCCCGCTCCAGTCTCCAGCTTTGAGTCCACATCGTTCGAATCACTTCTCCGGGGCGCAAACTGCCCAGAAGAGGGCTCTTTCCCTGAGATTGACATGGCGCCAGTACCTCTTCCACCCGATACCTTTCCAGCAGAAACTGGAGCAACCACCTTCACGAGTCTTCCCAAAGAGATCCAAATCAGAATCTACAAAGAAGTCTTCAGCAAGATCGATCTTAAACACGATGTCTTGCCACGAATGCGATGTGAGAATGGTGGTGATGTGGGCTCCGAACGGTTCCATATGAAATTCACCCCTCGTCACCCTCTCGCTCTTTTGAGTGTCAGTAAGGAAATCAAGCTAGATGCTCAACCTTATGCAGTCAACTGTCCAATCTTTGTCGAGGGAAATTATCGACGAGGCGTGAACAGGATATCGCTCAGACTGCCTCTTCCCATCCCTGCTCGCCGCCAGGTCTGCTCATGGGTCATCAACAAAAACGATCGACCCTCCCGGTTCATCGACTTCGATGGGCAAGCGATGGGGATGAATGAGTATCCGAACTTGCGTTACGTCGAGTTTGGAGTGCTTGCAACCTACTTGTATCTGTCCACCAATGACATTCAGACGCTCGTCGAGGGGAACGCATCTGAATCCGTGATGTCGCGCGACGACGTATGGCATTTTGAGGTCAGGTTTTCTATCCCGCTAGGAGCTATGATTCGAGCGAATGACTGCACGGTTAAACTTCGAGTCTGGCTCGTAAAGGCCCAAGCCTGGTCCATGGGAGACCACGTTCTCAATAGCTCTGGTCAGAGAATGACGGCGGTAAGTGTCTTCTAGCTAGCCCAGAAACTTCCGCTGATGTGCCTGCAGGCCGCTGTCTGGAATCGACAGGGCATAAGACTCTCGGACGTGATGCCCTGTGGGCCAGCCTGCAGCGACGAGCCGAGCGACCTTTTGGCGAGACGACGAGTTTGTGGATAGGATATTGGCAGTGGACTCTCGTTCTTGAGCAGACTGCCAGCAGCAGAAAAGGGCGTGCTGGCAAACAAAAGCCCTGAGATAGCAAGCAAGCGTAACATTCGAGGTGGAACAGAATCATGTACCTAATCGGTACCTAATACCTACATAGCTCGATAGGTAGTCGGTTGGGCGGCGAAAATATCTTCCGTTCCGACAAAGATTGCGGGCCACTGGTTCCTCCACCGAAGATTATCCAGAATTTTCCTCCGCCTGCGGTTGCGCATCGACGAAGACATTTCACAAAGACACCTAGAGTAATTCTTCAAACAACTTCCCGTCAGGCTTCGATCCGTGTCCTCCTACTAGCTCCACCAATATGGATCTCGATGACAGGCCGAAACTCTCCGTCGAAGCTGAAAAAGAGGTTACTAGATTATGGCGAACGTGGAGGACCGTGTTGGAGATGCTCGTCGACAGAGTATGGAAGGAACAGGGTGGCTCTACCCCTTCGTGCCGAGACTGACCAAATTACCAGGGCTACGCGATTGCTGAGGATGAGCTGAAAATCTCACGCGATCAGTTCCAGCGCAAGTTTGGCGATCCACAAAGTGGTTATGCTGAGTGAGTCGGGGTGAAACCCCAAACGACTTGCTCATGATTCTCACATTCAACAGGAGGAGACTCATGAAACTCCAAGCGGTCCCTACCGAAGAGATGATCAAACGTGACACCCCTCGAGCCACGAAAACCAATCCCAATCCACAAACCACAGCCGGCACGATCTGGGTCGAATTTAGTCCCGAAACCACCATCGGTATCAAACATCTCCGCGCATTTGCCCAGCACCTCGATGCGAATAAGTTCACCACGGGCATCTTTATTACCATTGGGCCTGTGACGGCTGCGGCCTTGCGCGCCTTCGAGCCTCTCACCGAGCGAGGAATAACCGCTGAGTGGTTCCAAGAGCAAGACCTTCTCGTCAATATCACACGACATGAATTAGTGCCTAAACATGTCCTCTTGAGCGCAGAAGAGAAGAAAGTGCTCCTGGACCGGTACCGCTTGAAGGAGACGCAGTTGCCCCGCATCCAATTCAGTGACCCTGTGGCCAAATATTTGGGCTTGAAGAGAGGCAACGTGGTTAAGATTATCAGAAAAAGCGAGACTGCAGGAAGGTATGCTAGTTACCGTTGGGTGTTCTAGTGACCGAGAAGGCTGTTTCGAAAAGCGTGGAGTTTATTGGCTTTGGGGAGAGGATCAAAGGTAGATTGTGAGGCGTTTGATGGCGCCACGACTTACAACAAGCATCATGCAGGTTTTCGCCAAGGGAGGACAATATCTGCTAGGTGTTGCCGAACAGGACGGACATGCCTCTGGTGATATCGAATTTGGAAGATAGCACCAATATTCCAGTTATGGGATGGTTTTCTGCGGCTTGCATTCGTTCCTATCCTCCCACCACACGCCAAAATAAGAGCATCGAAGTGCCCAGCATTGTGCCCACCTCTGCCCGCCTGCTTTGAAAGCCCAGCATGAAGCTCAGCTATCCTTCTCGCCCAGCACGCGTTGAGCAATTCTGACCAAGTCTTGATTCTGCAACGGATCCTTCTCGAACCCATTGACCACTTGGTCCAGCATGGCAGCCGAGACTTCCACGACGCTCACGCAAGGCCACGAAGCCACGAACCATAGTAGAGTGGCTTTCAGCCAATTGAGGATACTGCCTGGCTGCGTAATCAGTCCTGGTTTCACGACGGTGACTTCCATCTCGCCTGGATGGGAAGACGCGAAGGCCAGGATTTGATTCTCGGTCTCGCCCTGTCGAGGAAAGGTCAGGCGCTTCTCGGCTTGTGAGGTCAACGCTAGGAACTCACACGCATCAAGCAGTATTTTGGCATGAACATGGGTGGTTTTGTCTGGTCTCGCTCCGCGGCCATGCCGCTCATGTACAGGAATCGGAAGGGGGTCGATCTGCTTGCCGAGCTGCGGGCCTCACATATGGCTTCGAGGCCAACCAGGGTGTACTCATGGCAAACTCGATAGACTTCGTCCCAGGGCTTGGACTTGGATTTGCTGGGGGTGATTGCGAGGGTCCTAAATTTGGCGGCTTCAGCCTCGATTCTCGCTGCCAGCTTGATGTACGGCGCAAGCACAACTAGGCAGAGGCGCAAACAAACCAAATACAAGCATCTGCATCCTCCAATTGCTTCTTCACATGATCCGGGTACTTTGCAAAGTCCTCAAGAACTACGCTCTCCAACTTGGATGTGTCTGCCTCAGGCCCCAGGTTGTCGGGCACCGTGATCGGGCGACGAGCCAAGGCCACCACGGACGTTATGCTCGGACTGCTCAGGCTTTGGCGGATCAGTTCTGTCGCGACGAACCCGGTGGCGCCAGATATGACGAGTTTCATGATGATCAGGTTCTGGCCTTCGAGATCTCTTCTTACCCTGGGCTGAGGTGCATTGATGCACAGGTGTCTGGAAGAAAAGAGACGACAAAGATCTCTGTACTAGGTACTAAGTATGGATGTGGGGGTCTTACTTAATACGGGCTCCGCCTGGTGGGTGGCCTGAATAGTCCTCGTTAAGCGCGCTAGCCTCGCTAATCTGAATCATAATATGCGCTAATCATCACTAGCCTGGTACTTACTAACTACTATCGGACTAGCATCTCCACTATGTGCTCGAATGCCTCCGACTCCCAGATGCATTAAATTCAGCCTCGCCATCTCAAGGGCGACACTGTACAGCGTCATCGCAGTCCAGGGTATCAATTCCTATTCTTTTCATTCACGTTGTCTCATCGTCTCCAATCCTCAAATACTCGATTCTGGTTGCTAAGGCTACGTTCATGAAACCCATTCAGTTCTCCAATCCACTTTGTTTTACAATTGCAGCCATCTACGACACCGTTTCAGCCTGATCGTGAAATGCCCTTTCTGGAACACTCCAAGAACATCCTCAGCGGCTATGCATTCACCATCATCTTTTAAGCCTTGCACACGCTCCACATACCGCGTGGACCGAAGTTGACACCGGAAGTCAGACTTCACCCTCAATATAGCCTCGCTGACAGCGACTGGTTTATTCCATTTCCTTCTTCCCGCCTTTCGCACCCGTCCCAGCTGACGACTTACTCCTCGGGATCTCTGAAATCGAGAGTTGAGCAAAATGGACACTGCTCGACCCAGGATTGCAAAACAATCCGATCCCTTGCCTCTCATCTTGAGATGGTACTCTGTCCTACCCCTCACGGTCCTGTACCTAGCACCGGCCATTGGCATCGTGGCATTCTGGGCTGCAGCTGGGACCAACGGACGGTATCACATATCAAACCAATTGGTCGGCTGTATTCTCGGCACCCCGGAGATTTTTCTTGTTCCTGCTCTACTCTACCAGCTCATATTCTGGTGCCAGTGTTGGGAACTCGACCTATTGAAAGATTCGATGACAGAGAGGCTAACATCAGGAGAAGTCTTGCCCCGTATTATATATCTACAGCGACCGGCCTACATGTCCGTCACAGCAGCCGTGAAACTGATGTTTCTTGTCACTGATGGACTATACCATGTTTTGAGCAATGTGATTGTCAGCGTTGAAGCCACACGATCAGCCAGCGACCTTCATGACTTGGGAGGTTCAAGAAACCAAGGAACAGGAGGCTGGAGCTTGAGGCTGCGATTATGGCCTGCCTTGTTTATCCTTTCCAGTCACATCATTGGTGCCCTCTACATACTTTGGACGACTTGTAAGCTCTGGATTGTCTTAGCTGACCAGATGGAGGTTTCCGACTTAACAAGCTTCTATGAGGGCGAGCAAGAACTATTGAAAGAGCCTCTGAGTCAAAAATCTAAGAACGAGAAACTTCTGCACGGGCTTTCAGAAAAATCACGCGATAGCGGATTTCCAGATCACCGTCCAACACCACCCGATAGCCCGACCCCAACAGATATGATGGGGCATCCACAATCTTCATTTGAGGAGCTCGAAGAACGAATCAATGGGACTCAACCAAGATCGCGCTCTGCGGCCCCAGCACGGCTTGTGACTTGGAAGTGTTCTTGTGGATCGAGCCTGTCAGACTGGTATACAGAGATCACACCAGGGAGCTTGGAGTGCCTGCAATCACAGCTGCGAGAAGAGGCTTCCCCGTGTGCCAGCCGGCTCGGACTATCGTGGCCAGACTTAGGAGCCTGGATCTCATCCAAACTCACGGCAGGTTCGTTTTCTGCGCAACAATCGACCAATACAACGCAGGGGCCTGCGGCACCCACGTCTTCTTCAGCCGGGCTTCGATCCCAGACTCATACTCCCAGCTCCATCCCCGGAGGTCCCGTGCAGGTTCCCTCTCAACCTCTATCTTCCCCTGTAAACTTCAGTTCACAAGGGCAAACCGCAGCTTCGCTGGTCTGTTATCTCCTCTTGTGTATTCCCGAAAAGTTATCTGGCTTCAGACTCTACCACCAACAGCTTCTACAAACACCAGGGTCAGCTCGGCATCCCAATTACGTGGTCAACGACCAACAACTCTTCCAGCTGTTGCGGCGAAAGTATGCAACCGAGCGGAGCATTGGCTTCTCGCAGTTTTGGCCAAGGACAGTGATACGGGTATCACTAGCTCATTTTCTTGTGGATGCTTCGGACTTTGTCGACCTGAGACACTATGCGTGCCACGGGGCAAGTGCCGATTGCAAATGCATTCCACCTGCCAACGACAACCTGTATCATTGCACTCCTCGCCCGTCGCCGTATACTCCTCCCATCGGGACAAACTACCTTACGCACCTCTTTCAACACCCGGAGTGCATCAATAAAGTAAGTACCCGGGTTCTCAACCAGGTTCCCAAACGATTCGGTCAGTGTATCGCCACCACTGGAGCCGAGGCGGTCGAGGCATGGGGGATGGAGTTTGAAGAAGGTTGGGACCGCGACCGGCTCAAGAACGCTATATTGCTCGTCATCGCTGCAACTCTAGTGTTTGGGATTCTTTGGGCCGTTCTGAAGCACGACATACAGGGTGCGTGTGGCATAGCGGCCTTCTTCATGTCGGCCGTCGCGACCTTCGGCGGATACATGGCTTCCAAGGAGCCAAGGATCTCTCATAGGTGAGGAAAAAGAGAGAATGTCACAGCCATGGACGATAGATTTGCCGGCGCGGCAACTGGACTTGTTACTACCTGTTACGACAGGCCGGGTGCCACCGGCCCTTGTATCAGATCAAAGAGATACACGTAACCTTCTTTGCTGACGAAAGTTGACGACGAGGAGCCACATCACGATGAGTGTGTATATAAACGAGGGCCTGGTGGACCTCAACATGTGTTGAAGAGCAACTGTTCGTGCGAGCTCTCTACTATTTGCGACAGAGATTCGTAGAGTCAATGGTGGCAATCAAGCCCGGTCAGGATTGGTTCTCTCGACGTGTTGTCATGGATGTGAAGATACTCGAGCTTGAAAACGGAGACGGGCTTAAGGGGGGATCAAGCCTCGACGCCGACGAGAAATATGTTATTCGATATATACTATTATGAAAACATACTTCCCGTGCCTTACAAACGTTCTTGTTGTCTTGAACTAACGCGACGGAACGATCAAAATGACCATCGACATACTCCCCCCCGCCCTCGCCCCAGGGATGCTCCAGCTAGACTTGACTTGTCTTCTCTTCTCGCCCCGCAAATTTCAAACAACCGTTGTTCTTTGTCTTTATCGCTGGTGTTTTCTCTTCTTTTCTAGGTATTACCCCCTCTACCGCCCGCTGCCTTTTTCCATCCTAGAGTAGTTCTTCTTGTTCTTGCATCATGTGGAGGGCGATGTTGGATGAGTTCTTTGAAGAGTGATTGACTCTGCTGTACTGTCGGCGGTGGCGGAGTGCCATGAACTCGAGCCCGAGGGCCAGCACGGCCGAGACGATGCCGACGGCGACGGCGATGCCCGTGTCGTCGCTGAGCAGGGCGCCCCTGTGGGGTTTGAGAAGTGCGTATTAGTTAATTCTCCTTTGGTCCGTTGACGACGACTTCTAATGTGACTTACAGAATCGCATTGACCATGCCCGCGTAGATGAGGACGCGTCCGAGCCAGATGTGGAAATACGACGGGACCGTGCGACGGCCGACTTTCTTGTAGTTGACGTGGTGGACATAACCCATGACGACCTGAAAGGAGAGGGCGGCGACGACGGAGATCCCCAGGATCTGATGGGTCTCGTTGAACGCCGTGTATTCCACACCGGTGATGCTCAGGAAAATCGCCACGGCCAGGCCAAGGTATGCCCCGACCGTGGCGAAGAGCTGGAGCATCCAGTGCACCTTGAACGCGATCAACCATTTCCACCGCAGGCCGAGGACACCCACGGGGAACACAATCACAAACGCAACGCCCAGGAGGATCGCGTGTGTATAGACGAGGCTGTGGTAGTAGCCGGGCTGACCTTCTGCAGAGATGCTGGACATGCCGGAAATGCTTGGGACGGTGGCGACTGCATTCTGCGTGGCGGTCATGTCGACGAAGAAGACACCTGCCGAGGGGTATCAATAATATTGTCACAGGTTGTGCTCCCAAAGTGCTCAGACTGACCGTAGTGTGAATGCTGGTCAATGTCTGCATCGATGGAGTTGGACCGGATTTGCTTGCTTGGGCCTACTGCCCATATCCATGGCTGTTTCGTGTCTGTGACATCGACTGTGTTGAACTTGTGGCTTGAGCTTTGGTGCCACTGTATGGTTGCTGTCATCTTCCCGTTTGCGACCTCGGAGCTCAGCACGGTTGCATTGACACCCGACACGGACTCCGGAGTGTCGTGGCCACTATTAGATAAGGGGGATCAGTTCTAGGGACTGGCGGTGGTGGATCTATGTGGTGTGTGGTACGAACCTCGTGGTCCTCACGCTGAGAGTGACTCCTGTACGTGCGTGTCAGTGCCTGACAGGATTATAATCTGTACAGGAAGCGGAACGATAGTGCTCACCATCGCCTTGGCCAGAAGGATATATGATGAACATGAGAGAGTCATGCATATGGTTGCCTGTGCCTACTGCAGCCCAACCGTAAGACACGGGCGCCGATATCTGCAGGTTGAACTCTTCAGCGTCGACTTTGCCGTTGTTGCCTGTGGAAGATATGGCAACCCCGTAATTCTCTGATTTCTCGTAGAATTGAGCCTGTTTGGCGACAGCATGGGCTGCGAGTGCTGTTCGGTTCTCCGTCAGCTCATCCAGGGAAGGAAAGGTACTTGTTCATTTCAGCCACTCACATAACAGAGTCCAGGAATATGCAACTTGTCTCATGAGCGCCTTCATATTGCTGGCAAAAGAAGTCCCTTCAATTTCGTACACCCGAACACCACGTTGTGAAACTGAGAGTTCTATGGGGGGAAGAACGTCGAGCTGCATTGTGGCTGCAGCTCGGGTCTTATAGTACCTCATTCCTCATTGCTGTGACAACCGAAACCCCTGCCCAGCAAAAGCTTGCGTGTGCTGGTTGCGTCTCCGTGCCGGCGGCTGAACTGAGGCTGAGCGCATGCTGGCTGCGCTGATATCATACGAGCCAAGGTGGTTGTCCCCAGTGCGTCGACCAATGGAAACACGTGTATTTGTCAGAGCTGAAATCATCGGCACAACTGTAGCCTCTGGGAAAATGGGTTTCTTTGTGCCGAAAGGAGCGAGATATCAGATTAGATGTCGACCTCAGCTGGTTGTTGGATGTTGCTTGTAGATGCCAAGTATGGAAGGCGTTTAAAAGGATTCCCAGTAGCTTGGCATGAGCTTGGCATGAGCTTGGCATTCTTGAACCTGGGGAACGCTAGTCTGGTTTCGGTATACAAATGCTTGGCGATTATGTAAGGCATTTTCAGGGTCATTCAGCCTCGCTCCCCCCGCAACTGGCGGACGTCTTCGGTGCTTCTGACGGACGATCAAGGTCTCCGTGTATATGGTGCCGAGGCTTCTCTCGCGGACATTGAGTGCTGAGGTACGGGGCCGACATTCTGGCCAAAGAGTGCTGAAATATGGCGCCGCGGTTGTTGGGCTCAAGGCCGAGCCGGTTCCGACTGAGTCTTGTCCCTCCGGTTCGCTCACGTGCCATAAGCTTCCGGTTCAGGCACCAGGAACAATGTGGAGAAGTATCCTGGGGAAGAGAGCGACGGGAAGTACATATATCAATTGAATTGATGCCTTGTTGTCTCCCAAGCATTGACAAAGTCAGTGTCCTTCAAGTTCACAGAAGCTCGAACCACGCAACCCCAACGACAACATGAGCAAAGTCGAACTCCAAGTCGTCGATGACATTAATAATGACTTCAAGGCGCATATCCGGAGTGTCCACGAATTCAACAACTCGTTCGACTGGCCTCAGGTCAACACCTTCGTCTACAAGGAGGTAGATGGTCTCAAGATTGAGGCAGATGTCTGGGTGTGGGAGACGCTACCGAACGGCGACTCCCAGCGCGTACCCGCCAAGCGGCCAGTTGCTCTCTTTATCCACGGAGGTGGTTGGATGGGAGGGATTCGCACGGACTTCCCCAAGCCGCTCTTGCATGAATTCGTGTCAAGGGGCTATGTCTATGTTTCCATCGATTATCGTCTGCTCCCCGAGGTCGATTTTATCACCGAACAACTGGAGGATATACGCTCCGTAGAGGGGTGGATCCGCGAGAAACTGCAAGGGTGCTTGACGGAAAAGGGTGTGAATGTGACAGTCGACACCGATACGATTGCGGTGCTTGGTGGTTCTGCTGGTTCGCATCTGGCGTCCTTGACAGTAGGTTCTCTCCGACACTCTCCGACTTTCAGATCACGTCGTCGGGAACAGAAAAGAACTGACCCTCGAGAACAGCCGAAAATATGGAAGAAGAAGCCGTCAGCTCTGCTGCTTATGGCGGGGCCGACCGATCTCTTCGACTCTCGCAGACTCGGTCGCCCGATGGGGGGAGGCAAGCTGGATGCAGTCGTTGCACAGGTTCCCATGGATCCGACACCAGAGTTTATCAAGTCAGCCATGTTTGACGGCCCCAAGACCAACGCCGAGCCATCACTGGGTATCGAGAGTTTCATGCTGCCCCGGGCTATGTTGGGCATCTCCATTTTCATGAACGAACTAATGGCCGAGTTTCTTGTCCTGGGTCTTCAGGACGGGAAGCTGCCTAAGAAAGGCAGTGCTCCCAAAGAAAAGATCGAATTCATCAGTGAGTTTAATGCTTATCCTGTCTTCCAAATGAAGCTTCTTTGGACCCGCTGACACAATGGTGCAGGTGCGGCCTACGGGGACCTCAGCGATTGGCCACCAACGTTCCAAATGATTGGCGACAATGATGAAGCCTTTGAGGCTTCGCAACTAACCAAGTTCCACGATAGATTGAGGCAGCTCGGTATTCCATCTGGAGTGCTCGTGGTCCCAGAAAGCTCGCATGCCTTTGAAGGCATGTCCAAGATCGGCGACAATGTGCACCTGAGATATATCAAGCCGGCGTGCGAATTTTTGGTGAGACATACGCTCAAGGAAGACGGAGCAAAGTGAAATATAGAGCCATGTGCATAGACAGGCTGTATCGTTGCAGCTTCAATGAGTTTCCTGAATCTGAGGCTGGAACGACTAATCACAGGCAAAGGTATATAGTAGAACAATGACTCGCCGCTCCGGCGGACGCAAGATAAACGAATGGAAGATGATTATGTATTGGCTCTCAACTATTGATTCTTCACGGATAAATAGAGGTATATGCGCCTCTGCGGAGATGTTACGGCCCCGTTGGGTCAATACCCCGGACAACATTTCTTCCAAGAGGCTTCAGTATCCAATTCTCGCTGGAACCTGCGTCAAAAAGCTGGGATCTCTGTATCTGACACGAAATCTAGTGGATCAGATGGCGGGAGTTAGGACAAGCGAGCTTCGCTACCAGGAAATTTCTCAGCAACTTCATTTTCTTCCGCCACTATACATCGCGCCATAATGCGCCGAATATCGTATTCGTAGAACACATACACGATACAAATTTCTGGGTTCATTCAATGCCCTTGGCTTTTTCCCCAACCCTTTCATTGACTCGATACCACCAAAGCATGGGAGTCTCTTGCCGCTCCGCCCTCAATTGGTGGTTTCATACGCAGACTCGCTCATTTTCCAATGTGTTGCCCGTCCATGTCATTGACCTTCCACTCTGGTTTTCGCATCACAGAAGCTAGATATCAATAGGAGTAACGGAAGTAGGGGTTTTGATGTTCTGTAAGGTCCAGGAACGCAGCCTGTTCCTTGGTGAATGCGGACCGAAGAGCCTCTGCGGCACCTGGTGCTGCCTGTGCGAGATCGCGACGATGGTTGAAGTGCTTGTAGTACAATCTGCACGGAACGCACGGGTCAGTGGAACTGGCACGTAGACGATCCGATGAGAAACAAACTTACAGGAGAGCTATCAACGAGACCTCTGTCGCTGCCATTGTCACCATGAGGATGATCATCCCCGTCGGGAACCCTTCGGCGGCTTGGCTGCCCTTGAAGGCGAAAGGTCCGGTGATTCCTCCAATTGAGGACACAGTGAAAATCATGCTGTTTGCGGTGGTTTTCTTTGTGTAACCGGCAATGTTGGACGCCAGAAGTCCCAAAGTCTGGATCAGAGAGCCGTAGAAGAGGACGGTCTGGATTCGTTAGCACAGTCGAAGACTGGAGCTGGAATTCAGACACCGGGGGCATATACAAGATAGAGGGAGGCCAAAAGGCCTCCTTGGTTACTCCTGGGCAACTTCCAAAGGAGGGCATATGCAATAATCGACGGAAACACAAATGCGATGGCGATTATGATGCGTGCGTTGCGAAACCTATTCGCGAGAAACCTAGTGGGTTGCGCAAGTGCAAGTCAGCATGTTTGGGTAGGTCTCATCAATCAAGTGATCAGTATGGCGTCTTACCCGGAGGCCGGCATTGCGATAATGGCAATGCCAGAGGCAGGCATATATAACTGCACTGTTCTGAACTCGGAGAAGCCGAAGCCTTCGAGAACGATGGCACCGAAGCTGCTTCGAGTTAACATGGTGATGGAGCAACATAGACAACAACTTACCTGCCAAGTGCAGCCGTAGCGAAAGCAAAAGCGAAGGTACTCACGCAGAGGAGCCAGATTTGGGGATCTGTCAGCGCTTCCCAGACCTGCTTGGGTTTGAACTTCCGTGTTTGAATCCCGGTCTGGTTCTTTTGCAGCCGCCTCACGGCAATATTGCGCTCTCGCTCGGTTAGGAAGCGAGCTTTCATGGGATTGTCTGGGAAGAAAAGACCAAAGATGACAGAGTATGCGACGGTCAGGGATCCCAGTAACAGGTACATCCACTTCCATGGGCTGTTGTGGAATTCTCCCTTGATCGAAGCTGCAGCATAATCCAGCGATTGGCCGACAATTGCTCCAATAGAGGAGCCAGTCATCCAGAGTCCGATGCGAAGAGGTTGTTCTTCAGTTGTCCACCTAGGGGAATACAATGAGCTCGCGTCAAACAAGACATGATATATGACTCACCACATTGGACTCAAGAGGACGCACGCTGGAAGGCCTGCTCCTGCGAAGCCGTAGAAGAATCTGATAATTTGTCAACGGCCCGAGTTGAGGGGGGAAAACTGAGGATTTACCTCAAAACCATGGTCCCCACAAAGCTGTGCAAGGTGAGAAAAAGAAGAGAAAGAGCTCCAGTATACAAGACGATTCCTGTCATATACTTTCCAATCGGAACTTTCTGCGCAAGCAGGAGGAGAGGGTATTGGCCCTGTGACACAGGCAGTCAGTCTCCCAACTTTCGTCAGAGCTGTTGAATTAGACCTCAGAGACTTACCAAGAGGAGTCCAAATGTCAGAATTGAGTTTGACCAGGAGTATCTGGTCAGGTCCAGCTGCCCGGTCTCGGGGTTTTCGATGGTGTAAAGTTTTAAATCACGAATCATGCCAAATATCGCCGCAATACCGTAGGTTCCGCTATCGCAGCCCGTCAAGATATTGGCAATCACCAGCTATATGTTCAATTTCAAGTCAACCATTTGTTTTACGGAAATAAAGTACCTCAATCTGCCTTACCATTATGATGACGCGTAAATCGATCTTCCAGAGCAGTTTCCTTTCTTCTTCGGCGGTCCATTCGATTTCACTGTGTTCCTGAATAAAGCGATGGGCCTCGTCGACTTGCTTGCTGGTTTTGACTGGCTGTTGCGTTTCTTCGTCATGTTCGACAACCGATGCAGCTATTTTGTCTCCTAGGTCTGCCATGGCGAGGATGGTATGTGAGAAGAGTGTAGGATCCCGTCAGAGCTGTTGCCTCTTGAAGAACAGTAGGGCAGAAAGGAAGGTATTGTGTTTGATAGTGTCACAATCTTCCAGCTGACAGGGTCCCCGCGGTGATAGATATTCCCCACGGGGTAGCAAAGAGATTTGAAAGGATGAACTAGATTTGCTGCTCTCAAAACCGATGTCGTGTAAGACACCGGCGAATCGCCAGCCGGAGCCGGTTCTTGAACCGGTTACTCGCCACTAGTTCTTTCCTGCGAAGGCCAGATCCGAATAGTGGAGTTTAGAGAAAAGATGGTTTTTGAATCAAGTGATCCCGGTTTGTGATGATCCCTCATACCGGTAGAGCCAGGCCGCGTAGTCATTACTAGACCGATCTATGGAACGTTCCATTCTGTTGTGTCGTTGAGGAATTCCGTCAACCACGCTGTTGGGTCCCATTGAGATGGATCGCTCAGAAAACCGTCCGAGACTAGAGCTTCCTCGACCCGACTAACGTGGATAACCGGAACGGTTTCTGCCTCCTCCACCTGCGGACCGGAGTTGAGGTCAGGCTCGTGAGCACCACCCTGAACGTTTCCACCTTGAGACTCTCCGAGCTCATGTTGGCGTATTTGCAACGCACGCCGTCTCAGAGAACGCGCAAGCAGGGCAGTGCAGTGGTTGGGACTGAATGCGAGATCAGCCATCAATTCTGACAGTGCCTCAACTCGATCCAAGACATCCTTCAGTTCGGAGTATACGGGCTTGACATGTTGATGCACCTGTACCACAAACAATGCCACGAACGCGATCATGACGAAACCAAAATCACTCATATATCTCAAGGCGTCCTTGCTGACCGGGGAAAGATGCAATGCCCATTCTATGATGTCAAGAGCATATTGCACGCACTGCTTGACAGATTCTCTTTCGCTGCCGCTGAGATTACCAGCTGATCCTTGGACAAACCGAAGGGTATAACTGATGATGCAGAATCTCGCATATCGAAAGTGGAAGTCGAGTCCGAGTCCGAATCCTCCTGCAGGCAAAGTCAGATCAAAGGACTTATGTACCAGGCGAATCGATGCGTCAAACCTCGGGCTATGAATGCGTTCCATTTATTGCACCAGGCTTGAATTTCCATCTCTGCAACTTCCAGTGCGGCAGAGGGGGAACAATCCAGGCTTTCGAGGCTTTCAGGAGCACACCACCATTCACTTAGGCGACAGTCTAGCGTGCTCGCCTTCCTCGAACGGTCAGCGTGATCACGATTTTGCATGGCCAGGTGCCTCTTACCTTCTCCCACAGTAAACACAATTCGACCTCCCCAAGAATCCTGCTTGTCCGAGAAGATTTGTCAATTCCGGCCAGGAGGCTTGTGGCGATACGGATGGAAGCATCGCCTCGAATGCTCGGAGGACTGCTGTTTAGAATGGCAGTGCTTGGATTTTTTTCAGCAAGAGCGCTCGCTCTGTAATGCGTTTCGGATTCGGGCACTCACTGGTGAGCCATCGTATACAGCCAGAGCCAATAGATGTACTTTTTATACTCTATTGTCTTATTGATGTCTTTTCTACCAGATATCAAGTCTGCCTTCACGCCTTCGACGGATCGATGAATGCCAATATTGATAGCATGTCCCTCGACCAACGCCTTGAGCACTGAAGTGGGCATTGGGTGACAGGTGGCTGTGTTAGCTGGCGGAGGTCGGGCGTACGCATAGAGTATTAGCAAAGCACAGAAATCTTGAAGATTTTCAGCTGAAGTGCCAATGGGGTTGGTGCACTTCTCAAGAACAAACTCCGAGACCAGGCCCCGAAGCGCGTTTGCTGTGGAAGTGCCACCAGCAAGGAAGAAGGAGGTTACATAACAGATGCAGTAGGCTAAATTCGGATGCTTGTCGAGGAGGGTTTCTGCATCAAAATCCTCCTTGCAGAAGACTGGGATGAAGTGCACAATCCGTTCACGAAATCTGAGTGTGTTAAGATGTCAACAAGAAAGCGACAAGATGCTGTCAGACATACATGTGAATGAATTCCCTGATATCACGCCTGGACAAGGGTAACTGTGCCTTCGTCTTCGATCGGGCATTAACCCTTGCATCCGACTCAGTAAGGTCACCCCCCATGCTTGGTGTCTGAATCATTGCTTCGTTCATCGAGTTGCTGTGACTATAGGAGTCATTATTCCCAACGACTGCGGAGACTGGAGATGTCGAATAAATGGATGGCAGATCGCCTGCGTCTGATATGATCCGCTCTTCGTGCAAAAGAGTATGGTGACCACAAGCGGCATTGAGTTGATTGTCACTCGTTGCGAGAGAAAACGTTATATTGGAAGGGAAACTTGTAGCCGGATTGAAAGCGCCAAAATTGTCTGTGCCGACTGCAGAAGCTTGATTTGCATAGTTTCCATTGTGATCGTCGAGGCGAGGAGAGGACAGAGCTCGATCACGACGGTGGCCGGTGCCTGTTGTCTTCGCTTGATCGTCTTGACGGAATTCGCATACTTGTCCGAGTCTTTCGCAGCGGCGGCATGTCGAGCTGTCGGCAGACATGACACAGCGCATCTGGTCAATGTTAGAAGAGTGGCTCTTTGTGTCCCAAGTTTCCCAGAAAGAGTCGCTGACCTTCAGACGTCGACATTTCCTGCATGCTTGAGCGGCTCTTCCTGGTTTCGCGTATCGCAGATGGGGGGTTTCTGGATGGTCACTCGGCGTCGCAGCGTAGGGCGAGCCTTTGTTCCTCCGTTGAATGGGACTTCCGACGCTGCCATTTACAGCATGCTGAGGCAGAAATGCCATTGTAGCGATGGATTGATTCCCAAGAAGTGGATGCAGGAGTTGACCGTCTCCTTGCGCGGGATAGGAAGAACGAAACATTCAGATCTCAGCGTGGCGCGCATCTAGAGAATTGCTGCAGGGGACCCCGCATGATGATGAATCCCCCAGAGATGATGACCCTGACGCGTCCTATCGAATTTCAGAGCCTCGGCTTCAACTTGTCAGTGAGCTTCTCGTGCGTAACTAGGGACTGAAGAGCGGCGTTGTCGTGGAGGAGTGTCGAGGCAGGGTGAGTGGAAGTGTCGAAACCCGTTCAACACGATGCAGGACCGGTTGGCTGAACCGGGGTCGGTTCGACGCCGGTTCCGGTCCGGGAACAATGGCACCTACATGGCTCACACTACGCAGAGTTTCTCTCTCAGACACTCCCGATACCCATACAACCGTCCCTAGTATCACGAAGCACGTACTAGTGTCTTGCCACTTGGGATCTGCACGAGGTCGAGACCTTCTGCGTCCATACCCTCGGACACAGGCATGAAGGGATGCCCGCCAATGAACCGGTACAAAGTCTCAGATACGGTGCCGAGGGCTCTACGACGCCCCCGAGACACGCCTAACAAAACACCCATTTCCCGCATTGATCTTAAAAGCAAAGTTACCTCACTGAAGGTATCTGACGGACGAGCAGAACTGGTGCTGCAACTAGTCAAAGTTGGGCGCGTGTCAAAATGGGTGACGCTGGCCAACGGTTGGAATCGATTCTCCAGCACTTGACGCTTCCTGAGACGATCTCACTACTTTCTGGGAAAGATGCGTAGGGACACCACATATCCGGACTCAGCCACGCTTTGAAAGCTAACATATTGCAGGTGGCATACGGCATCTATCCCTCATCAAGGCATTCCATCCATCCGGGTTAGTATCGTCGTCTTGATTGATAACCAAGTTCCGTTTGCTGAGGGGCTGGTACCCATAAACAGCTTTCAGATGGTCCCAGCGGAGTACGAGGGTAAGGCGCACAGCATGAGGCCCTGGGTCATTTGAGGCTTCTGAGAATGAAGAACTTCTAACTCTCATACAGACGCCGCACCTTCCAAGCGACATCAACGACATGCTTCCCTTGTCCAATCGCGCTAGCTGCAACATGGGATGTCAATCTAGTGAAGGAGATTGGGACCCAGATGGCAGGGCAAGCCAAAGCACAAGGCGTACAGTAGGGGACTGAGCCCATGCTGGCCGCGCTATTGTTGATTGACACGCATTTGCAGTGTGATACTCACTCCCACAATCAACATCCAGCGATCTCCGCTGGGAGGGAGGAACTTCGAGTCTTTCTCTGAGGATCCAGTGCTCAGCGGCACTCTGGCCTCCAGCCTCGTCAATGGCATTCAACATGAAGGCATTGCAGCAACCGTCAAGCACTTTGTGTGCAATGATCAAGAAACCAATCGGACCAAGATTGATGTTATCGTCGAGGAAAGGTCAGGACGCCTTGGTCATCTCGTTTGCCAATAACGTTACCTATCCTAACCTCTTACAGAGCCTTGAGAGAGATCTATCTGAAGCCATTTCAGATAGTAATCAGGAATGCACAGCCTTGGTCTATCATGGCGTCGTACAACCGCGTGAACGGTCTCCATGTCAGCGAACATCCTCGTCTCCTCAACCAGATCCTCAGAAAAGAATGGGACTGGGACGGAACTATCATGTAGGTCCAACTTGGTGGAGCCGTCTCTCCCCTACGAATGCGCTAACATTGTAGGTCTGATTGGTTTGCAACCTATTCAACCAGTGAGGCGTTGAAAGCCGGTCTTGACCTCGAAATGCCGGGTAAGACGGAATGGCGTGGCAAGCTCGTCTTGAGATTGTTGCATGCCGGCAAAATCGAACCTCCGGTCCTTCTAGAGAGAGCACGAAATGTCCTCAATCTGGTTGAAAAAACCCGGGCATCAGGTGTTCCGGAGGACGCCGAAGAGCGGGAGCACAATACTCCCGAAGTCCGAGAAGCAAATCGCAAAGCTGCGACGGAATCAGTAGTTTTGCTGAAGAATGCAACACAGCTTTTGCCTCTCAAGACGCCAGGTCGTGTGGCGGTCATTGGACCCAATGCCACCGAAGATCTGTACTGTGGAGGTGGAAGCTCAATGGTATTCCCTTACTACTATGTCTCCGCATATGACGGCATCAAGCAAGCTCTGGCAGAGCATAGTCCATCCAGTGAGCTTGCGTTTGCTCAGGGTTGCTACAAGCACACACTGCTCCCGCTTTTGATCACGGAGTCGGCTCCTGGGCAGAAGGGTCTAGATCTGGAGTTCTATGATCGAGACTTTACCCAAGAACCAGATGCTCAGAAAGTGGCAGAAACTCATTCACTCACCTGGAGACTTGTGTTTCTGGGCAGTCTGCCCAAGGCAGCTCTTCCCGTGGTATATGGGCGTCTGAGAGGGACGTACACGGCACCAGTCGACGGAGATTTCGAGTTTGGTGTTGTCACGACTGGCAAAGCCAAGATCTACATTGATGGAGAACTCCTTGTGGACAATTGGACTAAGCAAGAAAGAGGACCCTTTTTATTTGGTACGTGAGGAATTGACTGCTCTAAGACCCCATCTGACAACCCTAGGCCTCGGCACCAAGGAAGTTCGCGGAGTCAAGAAGATGACAGCAGGTCGCCAGTACGAGATCCTGACAGAGTACTCTAACCGCAGCAGCCTGCCCGACAGGACTGGAACCGATCTAGGCGGCGGCATTCTGCGAGTAGGGGTTTGCCGAATCGTCAGCCCTGAGAATCTTCTTAATGACGCTCTTGAAGCTGCGGCCTTGGCTGATACCGTGATTTGTGTCGTCGGAACAGATCAGGAACACGAAAGTGAAGGATGGGATCGAAAGGATATGAAGTAAGCAGAAGCGCGTTGCACAATGGAGTCCTCACCACTGACCTATCTTAGACTTCCCGGAACACAAGATCAGCTCGTCGAAGCAGTGTTGAAGGGGAACCCCCGGACTGTAATTGTGAATATCTCTGGCAGTCCAGTTGAGATGCCCTGGATTGACGAGGCTTCCACCGTCGTTCACGGATGGTTTATGGGTAGTGAGCTGGGCAATGCCTTGGCAGATGTTCTCTTTGGCAAGGTATCCCCTAGTGGCAAGCTACCTATAACCTTCCCCCGGCGGCTGGAGCAAAACCCATCGTAAGTTTTACTCTCGATGATCTCGTCCAGCAGATCACGCTCACTGACCCGAAACAGATACGGCAACTTCCCAGGAGAAAACGGCCGGGTGAGGTATGCTGAAGGCATATTGGTTGGATACAGACATTACTCAACACGACATGTCCCCTCTCTGTTTCCTTTCGGCCACGGTCTATCATTCACGGAATTCCAGTACAGCGAGCTCCTTTTGAATGGCGACAACACGCTGGAACCCGAGGGAGCCGTGTCGGTGTCTTTCACGCTCAAGAACACTGGAAGCTATGCCGGGCACGAGACCGTGCAGCTGTATGTGTCCGCTCTTAACAGCTCGGTGTTTCGCCCGCTCCTGGAATTGCAGGGCTTTCAGAAGATTCGAGACGTGCAACCTGGAGAGAGTCGAAAGGTGACATTCACAATTGACAAGTACGCGGTGGCATGTTATGACGAGGAATCGGAGAAATGGATGGCAGAGGCTGGCAAATACCGTGTTTCTGTTGGAGCTTCTGTAGAGGACTTGAGGCTTGCCACTTTCATTCAGGTGCCGACCACCTTTCGCTGGTCAGGGCTGTAGAGCCTCGATAGATATCTCCTGTATGATGGTCTGACTGGCATCGTGAAGGAAAAGAGGGCGATACTTGGAGATCTACCACGTATGCCTGGCTAATTCAATAGAGGAACTGCATGCCTGAACGTTTCCTTGATGGCTGCGATGTGTGCAGGTACATAGCAAATCAGCCGGTGTGATGGAACTCGCGGGTTTTATTGGCCATTTCTCAAGGGCGGAAAAGCTTAGCAGAGCTTGTCAACAGAGCATATTGAAGTTTGTCTTTTCGTCCCCGTTTGTTTGTTTCTGTTCTCCCTTCATTATCTTGTCATTGCTCCAGGCAGGCTGATCTTCATATTGTCTTGCCGTGTCATCCTCGACGTATCTTGCAATTGCGTGGGCGTTGGATACCACGCACGAAATATGGTATGCGACGATGATAGCGATCTATCCACTGTCAATGGTGAGCTTTGGGCACCCCGATTCATTCCATGTGCCCTCAAATGGCAAACCAAAACGTCGCTTGTTTAAGAGTTCATTCACCAGATGCGTAACGAAGGAGCAGGATATAGACTGTTAACTCCTCGAGGTCGATCTTAGATGGTTGGATAATGAATTGCAACTCGAGGCGCCCGTGCTTGGCGGTGAGAACTAATGTAGATCCGCATCGCAACAACGACTCCGGGCGGCATTGGATGATGGAGGATACCTCGGACAAACTCAATTCCATCAGGACGGGGTGAGCCTCTGTGGAAAAAGAGAGCCTTTCTAGGGATCCTGCTGCGACTCATCATCTGCTTTACGGGAGGTAATCATATATTCCCCAATCTGGGAGTTACCATTACCGCATTTACAACAGATGGCGCTATCCTGTACCGACTGAACCACAATTAGGGGAATCTTGAACGATCTGTTTGGTCGCCCCCACTTCAGCACCTTGCTCATCCAACATAAAAAGATGAACGCACACGTGAGTAAGCAGACACCAGCCTAGTGGCCCCTGGTCGCCCCTATTCTTGGGTCAGGTATTGCGTAGTCGCCTGTAATCCACATCCCATCCTGCGACAGCACCAATTTCCCCGGAATGGAGGCCTTACTCGCCCTAAACCCCGGGTTGCAGGAGAAATGAGATCAAGCGAGAGTGTCGAGCTAACTTAAAACATTTGCAATACTCTAATAATGTCTTTGCAGCAGCTGCCAATGATGACGTGCGCGAACAATTTCACTGTCAACACCGTTCCACAAGGAGGACCAATTCTTCGACCCCTGCTCTGCCTAAAATGATAATAATACTTTATCTAGAGAATCCATAATAACCATGCACAATGGCGACGTCACACCACTCTCAACAATGCCTGCAGAACCTTGGTTGATCCTTCGTCGAACGAATGCGACAGGTTCATGGGTTGACACCCGCGATCGGGCCGCTAAAGCCCGAGACGTTGAAGCCAAGGTCGACGTAGTAGAAGACGCTGAATTCGACGTTGACGTGCTCAATAAGACCCTTGTCGTTGATGTCAAAAATGTTCATTCCCTGCACAGCCTGGGGCGGCTGCGGGGCGTTGAAGTTGCCTGGGTTGGCGAACTTCCAGTACCACAGGATCTGGTTGCAGTTGAAGGGGACGAGCTGGAGGTCGGTGATGCCGGTGATGGCGGGCTGGCTCAGAACCACACTGATGTATTCCTCCTTGGTGGGGAAGGTAAGGTCACCCGGCTGGTGATACCATCTCAAGTCAGTCACGTATGTCTCGGGGTCGCCATAAACGAAGGAAGCCTGCTTACCTTGAGGCCAAGGAAACCATTGATCGAGTCGGACTGCTCGGTGAAGTCGGAAGCGAGGATCTTCTGGGCTGTCGCATTGGCTTGTGCAACCTGGCTGGGGTCGGCATGCGCGAGGAAGAAGGCGTAGTCGTGGACGATCTGTGTTGCCTGGGCTTGCGAAATGCAGTTTCCGCTGCCGCCGCCGTTTCCATAGCCGCCGCCAGACCAGCCCGAAGAAGGTGCGGCTGCTGCGACGCAGGCCATGGCGAGGGAAGAAATAATGCTGAGTGTCTTCATGATTACGATGTTGTTGAAGCGATCTGAACAGAACAGAAGCTGATAAGTAACGAACGACGGAAGGAATGTGTAGGCTGGATTTCAAATGAATGAAATGATTGTCGACTGCCTGGCACCGAAAATGAAGAGCTGGGAGCAGCCTTTATATATTTCCCTGGGCGTTGCATTATGCTCTTCATTGGGATCATATCAGGGGGGACGGAAGGATTGGGATTCGAGATACTTTGATTGATGATACAGTCGTTCCTGGATGCCGTTATGGCATCACGGTCGACACCCGGTGAGAAGACTGCAGCTGGTAAAATTGCATGATTCCTTTGATTTCGTGCTGTGCCTGAAAATTTCCAGCTGCACGTTCCAGATTTCTATGATCGTTGTCCACCTCGATCCAATATCATTGGCTTCGCGTCAGCGCTACCGCAGCCTTGTGTTAATTTTGGTCTTGTTCTCAGAGGGACCTCTCCCGCGGTATTTCCCCGTGACACAAGGCGAGGAGGGTGTGGGCCACGATCGGCCGCCTCTTGCTGCCTGTCAGAATATCCCTGTTACTCCGGATTGAGGGCCGATGGCGCAGGAGACGTCGCCCTGCTTGGCGCCTGTGCGAAACGTCGTCACGAAATCCGGCGACCCAGACATCACGGCAGGAGGATCGTGTTTGTGGGATCAGGTCAATAAAGCTTGTACTCCGTACAGCGATACTCGACTTACAGAAGCACATTGGCCGGATCACCATGGCAGCCCACCTTTTCCGTCTTTGCCATGGATAACCATGTATGCCATTCCTTGCCTGGAGTAAATTTGATCAGCCTACTCAGTGCATGGAATGGTTCCTTCAAGTTCAGTGCTGCCTTTGCTTTCTAACTCTGGATTTCTCTAATACACACTGTAAAAGTTGGGAGTATAGAGATTGGGATTCCAAGAAGTCGCACCGGAACAGACACATATGAGCTGGTTGCCGAATTCTGGCTTGGAGGCGTTGACATTGTTTGCTTCAAGGGGAACGTTTTGGGCGTCCCAGGTACGAACTTCCTTGATCGGATTACTGAGCTTGATGAATTGGTGGACCGTTCACTACTTTTTGCGGAATCAAACACCGCTTACGAAGCATTAGATGCTGCTCCGTGACCACCTTGAGGGCCGAGGCGCTTCCGGAGAAGGACTCGACCAATAAAGGGGTTGAGTTGGTTGGTGTGATGGAGTACAAGTTCCGAGTCGTCGGTGCTTCGAGCACGGCGTCCCATTCGAACGGCCCAAGTCCGTTCACGAAGGTCAGGTCAGATCGATATGTCATTTCCAAAGCAGGAGTGAGCTACTCTGCCTGGCGAGTAATTTCTTTGACATGTAGACTTAAGGAGAAGGATCAAGGCTATTTCTTATCATATTCGTAGTCCAACGATGAATGAAGTGAGTTGCCTCACACGAAGTTGAGAAGGTTGTGAATAATAAGGCGGCACTATTTTATGTCTTGGAAGGGAGATCCCCGCAAGCCGCTTTAACACGCTTGGCACCGGTGCTGAAAATTTCCCCACACCATGCGTCAAACGGCTGATCGCATGCCGCTTGGCTCTTTTGGCTATATCAGTTCCTTGGACCGCAAGCGACAATGGGCAAACGAGGCGGCAAGAAGGTAAAGTCTTGCCCTCAACATCTGGCCCAAAAAGTGCTAATGTCTCATAGGGTAACCGCGGCGGTGGTGGTGGTAGTGGTGGTGGTGGACCACGTCCTCAACCCGACAATCGGCGCAACAACAGGCTGAACATTAGTCGATGCAATGACAAGTTCGAGCACTACTACAGCCAGCTCGACATAGTTCCAGTTGAAGAGAGAGATGCCTTCTGGGAAGCTATGCGAAGGGATCTGCCCAATAGCTTCAGGTTTACCGGATCCAGAGCGTCTGTCAATGTCCACTAAATCATGATTCTTTCTCCACATGTACTGACTTCTGCTCCAGACATGCCTTAGCAGTCCAGGAGAAACTGCGAAACCATTACATCCCCGAGATCACCTCAATCACCTACGAAGGCCAATATGTGGACGCCCCTCGTCCCGTGGAATGGTACCCCGACCAGTTGGCCTGGTACATGACTACCCCGAAGAACGTTATTCGTCGATTTAAACCGTTTGCCTCGTTTCAAAAATTCCTTGTCACCGAAGCCGATGTGGGAAACATCACGCGGCAAGAGGTAGTCAGCATGATACCGCCATTGGTCATGGACCTCAAGCCAGGCATGACAGTATTGGACCTGTGCGCGGCGCCGGGCAGTAAATCCGCGCAGCTGCTTGAGATGATCCATGCCGGGGAGGAGGAAAGATGTCGACAGGTCGCTGCGAATATTGCAAACGGTCTCAGCAGACCGGAAGGCGAAGACTATCAGGATGACGGCCGGGCGACGGGTCTGTTGGTCGCCAATGACGTCGACTACAAAAGAGCTCATATGTTGATCCATCAGATGAAGAGGCTGAGTTCACCGAACATTATTGTCACGAATCACGATGCGACCATCTTTCCTTCGATCAAGATCCCTTCACTTCCAACATCCGAAGGGAAACCTGTGAATAACCGCTATCTCAAGTTTGACCGGATTCTTGCGGACGTTCCTTGCTCTGGCGACGGCACACTGAGGAAGAATGTGGAGATATGGAAGTCCTGGACGCCGAGTAACGGTCTGGGTCTCCATGCCACGCAAGTGCGGATTCTGATCAGAGCCCTGCAGATGCTTAAGGTTGGTGGTCGGGTTGTCTACTCGACATGCAGCATGAACCCAGTTGAAGATGAAGCCGTCCTTGCAGAAGCCATCAACCGATGTGGAGGCCCGCAGCTCGTGCAAATACTCGAAACAAAGGACCTGTTACCCGGACTCAAACGCTCACCCGGCCTCAAGGAATGGAAAGTGATGGACAAGACTGGCCGGATCTGGAACGATTACGAGTCCGTTCTGAATCATAGAGCAGAGTCCGGCCCCGAGGGACTGGAAAGGTTGAGCGAGGGCATGTTTCCCCCCAAAGAAGATCTACCTCTTGATCGAGCCATGCGTGTTTACCCACACCAGCAGGATACGGGGGCTTTTTTCATTGCAATCCTGGAGAAGAAGTCGGAAATTAAGGCCAAGCCTGAGGAAAAACCAGGCACCGCTGTACAGTCGCTCCTGAAAGAAGCAGCCACCGCTTCCCCGGGGACAAATGTCGAACCCGTGACTTCAACAAATGGAGCAGTGGAGGAAGCCAATGGGATGGTTAACGGGACGGCTAATGGTGACTCCGGATCATTGACGAAACGGAAACATGACGACGGTGAAGATGAAGACGCTTTGCCAGCCAAGCGGGTTAAGAACCAAGAAAATCTCGTCAACATCACCCATGCTTCGACCATTTCAAACGGGGAACCCTCAGCGACCTCTGCGCAACCGCAACCGCAACGACAACAGCCAAAAAAGAAAAACCGCGACCAGCCTTTCGAGGAACCATTTAAATATCTCTCCCCCTCCCTTCCCGAGCTCGAACGAATCCGCACCTTCTACAACCTCTCCCCACGCTTCCCTAATGACCGTTATATGGTCCGAAACCCCGAAGGCACTCCGACGAAAACCATCTACTACACCAACAAACTCTCGAAGGAGATTCTTCAGGAGAATGAAGGGAAGGGGATAAAGTTCATCCATGCTGGCGTCAAAATGTTTGTGAAACAGGACGCCCCGAGCCCGGAAGTGTGTCCATGGAGGATTCAAACGGACGGGTTGAGGATACTGGAAACATGGGTTGGGCCCGAGAGAATCGTTAAGTTGAGAAAGAAAGAGACGTTGCGAGAGTTATTACGTACAATGTTCCCTAAGCTATACGGCGAGGAAGGAGACAAGTTAGGTGAAGTGGGAGAGCAAGTTCGAGGGATGGGCATGGGATGTTGTGTGCTGATTGTGGAGCCGAGCGAGATAGATGCCGAGCAAGCGGCCCATCCGAACGGTGACGGAGAACAAAGCGACAGGTTGGAGGAGAGGATGGTTCTTCCGCTGTGGCACTCTCGTCAGTCACTCAACCTAATGTTACCCAAGGAGGAGAGAATGGCGATGAAACTGAGGTTGTTCAACGACGACTCACCACTGGTCAATGAGAGCAAAGGCTGGCTTGAGGCGAACAAGCAAGAGAAAGGCAAGGAGCCCAACGACAAGGATGGCCAGCAACAGGGTGATGAGAACGATGGGGAGGACGACGGCACGGCCATTCCCAAGGAGCTCGATGAAGTTGTCCAGAAGTATTTAAGGCATAACAGCTCTTCAGTGGAACCGGACTCGAGTCCCGAGCCCGTAAGGCCTCAGCTTGCCTTCGAAGGCGGTGACAACGAGCCGGAGCTGCTGATGTCGGACGTGGCCGACGATGGAGACCGTGACGTGGAAGACGGCGGAGTGACCATTCCGCCATCGGGCGAAGCACCAAATGGACTATAATGCAAAGCTGTATAAAAACGAAGTCCGACAGCACGAGGAAAGACAAAAGGAAATAAAGAACCATCTTTGATCAAGAGTAATGCAGAATCAAAGTACTCTAGTACTCCGGTGCTCTCAGTTGTGTTAGTGTACATGCCTACGTGTATTGTGGGCTCCTCCTAGAGAATAGCAGGACAGCACACAGCTAGCCGTCCAACTAAGAAGTCTTTAAGCTGCCTTTCTTGGTTTTCGTTCATCGGGCTGATGAAGTTCACCATCCCGTGGCATAGGTGGTTTGAGACAGTCGGGTTCACAAAAGCGGAAACCAGTCTTGTATGAAACTGCGGGCCGTGGGGAAAGGCTTGCTCGTTTGCTTGCTCGCTCGCTCGCTGTGTCTCCAGGGGCCATCAGATGAGCATGTTGTTGTGTGCAGACGAAAGTGCAGTCTTGTGAGCCACTTCGCATGCATGATGTAGAGTAGACAATCGCTCTCGAGACAGCAGCTGCTGGGCGGCTGCATGTTGCCAAACACTTCGTGGCGGAAAGGTAGCCCAAGTGTAGGTGGACGCAGGCGATCTGTACGGCGCTCGCGTTCGATCAGGCTTGTCCCGTACTCTTTGCTTCCAGATTCCACTGCCTTCGTCAGAGAGTCCCTATTGGACGGTTCGCAGGGGAGGTTCAGCTGTGCCATGGTTGACGGAGTGTTTCTCGTCCAACGACCCCGGGGATGCATCCTCTGTCTCATTAACGACACGTAATAATACTGTGGGCGCTGCTTGCAGATCGTCCTCTCCCGCGTTACCTTCAGACTCCCGAGACGTCGATATGGCGAGCTCTTTTTCTCGTAGTCGAATGACGCTCTCTACCAACGGCGCTAAGCCCCCCTGGCTGCGCTTCTCGTCGTAAATTCGCTTGTAAAACTTCGTCCCGCTGAAAAGCGAGAGCTCTGCTGCAGTAGCTCCGTTGTAGTCCCGGATGGTTGGGTCCGCGCCGGCATCGAGGAGAATGTCGACGATCTCCGGCCGCTTCCGCCACACGGCAGCGTGCAGTGCAGTACCACCGTATCGACCAGCCTGTTCATTCAAGTCAGCTCCTTCCTCTGCCAGGCTCCTCACGGTCTCCGTCAGGCCGTACGATGCGGCGTAATAGAGTGGCCGAGCAGCCTCAAGGTCCGTGTTCGGGTGGACATAGCCGTGCCAGGAATCGAAGAGGACAACCTGGAGCCAAAAGAGAAACTTGGGGTTGGAACGCGTCGTCAACAGTCTCCGAATGAGAGGAAGCAACTCGGTCTCCTCACCCGACATCTGCACGTGGAACGGCCAGTTTTGAGCCGCATATCGGATGAGCGGGAACTCGGAGAGTGTCCACATGAAATCCGACTTGAACAACGGACCCTCCGAGAAGTCCTCTAGAAGCATATAACGGATGCAGGCCTCAGCCATGGTGCGGTGGGATGCCTGTGCGGGAATATAAAATTCAGAAGATGGATCGAGCCTGCCCGTGAGGAACTCTCGAACTGAGTGATGAGCAAGACGCGCGGTTTGTGAAACGGGGCTGAAGGCAATTAAGCTGCGGCAGATTTCAAGAACGTCGTTGGGATCATTGAGTTTCGAGTCAGGATCCAGTTCGTCAAATCCTGGTTCAAGAACCACAGCTTCAGCAAGCTCGGGTAGAGTCAATGGTGTAGAAGCATGGGCAAGCCACATCAGCGTCCGTGTTGCAAAGGGGATGTCTTCCCGGACAATGCTGTCGATGATGCGCAAGTACGAGCCCTCAATGCTGGGAGGCAGCTGATTTAGCGCTCGCTTCAGAGCAGCATCGGTCCTCAGTCTGGACATTTCGTCTAGTTGGCATTGTACCCATCGAAACCTTCCAGAAGTCAGCAAAGTGATAGACCACCAAGATCGGGTGTGGATCACATCGTGACTTACATCCCGTTAGCGTCTGTTCGCAGTGTCATTTCCACGAAGCCCTTCATATTATCGCTCATTCGCCGAAGCCGCGGATCACTATTGATTCTCATCTTGATGTATACGCTGATATCTCGTTCAACCGCTTCTTCGGGAATAGGAATATCTTGGAATCCAAGAAAATATCGACGTAGCTCCATCTCTGGGCGACTGCTAATAAAGACGCGCAGCGGGTACTTCCCAGATCGCACCGTTGAGGTCAAAAAGTCGCCTACCACAGAGTAATCAGGAGACTCATCCAGACCATCAATGACAATGGTTGCCAGATTGGCAATTGACAACAGCAGCTGTAGGAAGGACTTCAACTCGCTGAGATTTGGTTGGTTGGGGCTGCCGAGACGGCTTGAAGCGCGCCTGTATGCATCAATGATTTGAACGGGTAGTTGTGGGAGTTCCGAACAGAATTGCTTGACAATGGCGCCGAAGAAGGTTTGTGGTGTCAGACTTTCAATGGTGCTGGCATCATAGTAGAAATAAGCCAACAGGGAGTCGGCGGGCTTTGTGTCCAAAAGATGTTGGATGAGGTAGCTTGTGGCTATTGTCTTTCCTGAACCTCCTTGACCGTGCATCCAGAGCAGAGAAGATCTGGCTTTGGACCAGTCGAGGACCGCCGGGTCGTTGAGGAGCCAGTTGCATGTGTCCTTGCAGTAAAGTTGATATGCTCGCTGGAACTGGGCCTCATGATGATGCTCACACAGCCAGTGCAAGACGTCCCTCCGTTCGTGCTCTGCATTGTTGTGTTTGATCTCGGTTAAGGTCTCGGAGACGGTTTCTAACGTGGCACTCTGACTCATAAGGGCCTCCCTGAATTTTCCTGTTTGAGTAATATTTCCTGCGCAGTGAGTATACTTGAACTTACGCTGAAAGCGAGCTCAGGGAGAGGGACAATGAAGTTTTGTGCCTCTCGACGGCAGTAATGAGTTCCTCCGTCTCATTTTTGCGCAGCGGCCAAAGAAGGCGACTGATTGCGCGTTTGCCCGGCGATTTGCTTGAAATGGGAGAGAACTTATGCAGTTTCGTGGACACATTTTCCAATACAAGCTTGCAGTTCCTCAGCGCCGAAGCCAGCTGGTATTCTGGCAGATCCGTCTGTGCAGCCAGCCCTTGCACACCCAATAGAATGCCATTGAGGCTGGTGACTTCAGACACGAGTCGCCTTGCTTCATCGGGGGCCTCAGCCACCGCACAGCCATAGCAGTAACATTGACTGATAACGGTGCCAGCCAGGGAAAGAAGACCAGCAACCCCAGTGACGAGCGAGAACGGGTCAGTCATTATGAAGTCTGGACCGTGGCTCGGATTCAGCCCATGCAGACAATGGATGCAATGACTCCACGATCATACGGTGATGTCCTTGTTCAAGCTTAAATAGTTCCTGGGGCTCTCCTTAAGAGAATAAAAACTTCCATGTACATGCGTAAGACCAAATGATCTCTCTGGCAGCAAGGACTGGGCTTATGAATATTATTACGACAGGGAAGTCTGGGAATATTTGAACGCGGTTCGAGCTCACGCCCGCCAAGGGAGGCTGAGGTAGTTGCACAGCCACTTTTTTGAGATGGATGAGATATATAGATATATGTACAGTGATACAGCCTCAGCGATTGGTTTACAGGTCTGCAGTGTGAAGAAGGTCGACTAAGAGGCGATCGCATGCGCCTGGCTGTCCTTGTTCAAAGCACTGGGTAGTTCACCCGGTGCCAGCTGCCATGCCATGTCAATGGCACCACGAGGATTTCCTTTGTTGTACAAAAACAGACCCTGTAGGGCCGCCATGCTGGTCCGACTGCTTCTCACCGGCCCAGGAGACAGGACTCCTATCTCACGGAGTTTCTCAAAGAACTCCTGTCTAAAAGTTCCGTGGGGATCGGCTTCACTGTAGAACCGCGCCCATAGTTGCTCGATCTGGTAAGTCGTGGCTTCACCAAGTCGCACTGTCATATCGACTCGGCCAGGCCGCACAAGCGCTTCGTCGAGGCGATCAACATGGTTGGTCGTGAGAAAGATGATGCGTTCTTCGGCGCTGCCCACGCCATCCATGGCGTTCAACAGACCCGAGAACGTTACATTGGCCCCTTGGTACCCATCTGTTTCGACTTGACGACGGTTTGCAAACGCCGCGTCAACATCTTCCAGAAGGACCAGCGTCCTTTGAGGAATGACCGTCAACAAATGATTCAGTCTGTCGTCCGTGAGACCTCGCTCACTGAGATTGAGCATGGCGATGTCGTAATTCAAATGACCAGCAAGGGCTTGAATAAACGACGATTTGCCCGTTCCTGGTGGTCCATACAAGAGGTAGCCCCTCCGGTACGGGATTCCTCGTTCGTAGTACCATTTGGCCGAGGAGAGAAAGTCCTGAACATCTGAAACGATGCGTTCTTTGACACCTTTGTCGAGAATCACGGACTCGAGGGGCCGCTTACTGCGAGGGTGGCCGAACTTGTCCCACTTTGTGCCCCACGCTGTGTATATGACAGTTTTGCCTTCGACTGACCGTGTGGCGATGTCATGGGCTTCTTTGAATAACGACTCAAACACGTGCCGCTGGGAATACAACGTGGTCAGGGTGACTGTTTCCCACGGTTTTCCATCCATGGAGAACTGCTTTGATTCTCTTTGGCGGTTGACCATTATCCATGCATTCCTGTAGCGGATCACATGCCTACCAGGACCAGGTATCAAGACAAAATTTGTGTGAATGGCACCATTCGGCAGTTCTCTTTTCTCCGTCTCAATTGCGAGATGGCGCATGCCCGGTGTGAGTCGCTGGAGTAGAGACTCCAAGGCACCTGCATTTGCCTGCGATGACTTATGCGCCAGTCGCCCTCGTTCATGGAGCGTCATCCAGTACAGGAACCAGGGGTAAGAATCGTCTCGAACACTGATCTCGACGTCGACGAGAAGACGGCGTCGCATAAGAGCTGCTCCATGTCTAAGACCTCTTCGACCAAAAGCGAAGATCGTGCCGAGACCAGCAAGACCGAAGCCCTTCTAGAGTGTTAGCAATGTCCTTGATGGGAGTGTGAGCCACCACTCACAGCCGTGAAGAAGGGATTGTTGATTAACTGTGCGACTAACCCGCCATCCGGAGAACTGCTTGTGGTCGCGAATTGACGCACAAGATCGGCTTTCTGGGAGGTGACATCCGTCAAGGCTGGACCTGAAGGAGGCGTGTTCGTGTTTGAGGCGACCTTGACCAGTCCATTGTCGCTCTGCATTCCCTCTTCAACACAGGCAGTGGAATACAGTCGATCTAAGGTGCAAGAGGAAGATGAATCGATGCGTTCATTGCTTCTTGCTCAGTAGTCGGGAAGAGAATTTGGCCGACTCCGACGCGCAGCTGCGGACAATACGGACTTAAGCCAATCGGAATTTTATTGTCCTTCTGCATTGACGATCCTCCAGCCACCATCCACCTACCGTATACAAGAAGGAGACTTGGTATTATTTCCAGGCAGCAGGAAACCATGCCTAGGTGGGTTCGCTTCATATAGTCCTCCTCTCGCTCCCATGCGCGCCTTCTTTCGGCTGCTCTTCAGCAAGCGCCCTTCGGTCAAATCCCATATTGCTACGCATCCCCTTCCCTGGCGCACCATGACGTCCTCATCCACTGCCGCTCTGTTGTACGCCGCCACTATTGCCGTTCCCTCCACAGCATCACCAAAACCCGAGGATGAGATCACAAAGACCAAAGCGTGGCATGTTAAGAGCGGTGGCTTTGATAACCCTTGGCCGTCATGGCAGATGCTGTCTGTGACGACCCTAATCTGGGGCCTCATGGCTAGGAGATGGACTGGCAAGGCGAACAAACCCGATACGACCCCTCCTACGGTCCCAGTTCATCCCCCGAACTTTCTTCCTTCTCGCACGGCAAGTACTTCAGGCGCCCTTAGAGCAACATGGCTTGGACATGCCTGCTTCTATGTCGAATTTCCCTCCGGCCTGCGGGTTTTATTCGACCCAGTCTTTACAGACCGCTGCTCGCCCTTTTCGTGGCTCGGTCCTAAGAGATACACCGAGATGCCTTGTCAAATAAAAGATATACCCGTTATTGACGCCGTCGTCATCTCGCATAACCACTACGACCATCTGTCGCATCCGACGGTCTTGGAGATCGCGAAACACAACCCGGAGTGCCATTTCTTCGTGCCTTTAGGCAACAAGAAATGGTTTTCGGCAACTGGGATTGAGAAGTGCACTGAACTGGACTGGTGGGACGAGGTGGATTTCAAGTTGACACCCTCCTCTCAACGGTCCACAGAGACGAAGCGTGCGAGCGTATCCTCCACCGACGAACCCAATCCGAACCCTTCCACAGACACGATAATAGCTCGTATCTCCTGCCTCCCATGCCAACACATTTCTGCACGTTCCATTCACGACCGCGCCGCCACGCTCTGGGCTTCATGGTCCGTCTCGTCAGGGTCTAAATCGGTGTATTTTGCCGGGGATACTGGCTATCGTACTGTCCCCAAATCCTCGGAGGGGAAGGACGACTGGTCCGAGGAATATTCAAAACTACCTCATTGCCCGGCATTTGCAGACATAGGTCGTCTCAGAGGGCCTTTTGATTTGGGCCTGATACCCATCGGGGCTTATATGCCGCGGTGGATCATGAGTCCCATGCATGCGAATCCCCGTGATGCGGTCGAAATATTTAGGGATACGAAGTGTAAGAAGGCACTGGGCATGCATTGGGGCACATGGGTGCTGACCGAGGAGGACGTCCTGGAGCCACCCAAGCTGTTGAAGAAAGCAATGAAGCACCATAACCTGGAAGAAACGGGGGTGTTTGATATATGTGACATTGGCGAGAGCAGGGAGTTTTGATATTTTAATGGAAACACGCATTGTTTCCAGGTGTCGAAGATTTGCAAGGTCAAATGCAATGTTACTGTATAGATCTGGATAGGGGTTTCAGGTGATGCATCGATGGTCTGTATCAGGTACTGGTACTGTGTTCAGATGGCCGTTGAGGGTAGGAAGACGGCCAAGGGGAACAACACTGGGGGAAAGATCCGTTTGCACAAACAAAACGAAGTTCAGCTTCTCCACTTGTCATCATCCTTCATGTTTCTATCTGTGGCCATTTTCTTTTCTGCTGTGCTAGACAATATCTCATTGACTAATAGTACATGATAGCGTTTTCCTGGATGCTGAACCTCTCAGATGTCCATCAACAGTTGGACAGACAAGTAAAGCTCTCGACACCAAGCTGCGCCACAGCAGCCCCGATAGTGAGATAGTGAACTGGAGCAGGTACAGTACACAAGAAATTCCTCCCCGTAAGACTTGGTGGTGGTACAGTTTCGTGGTATCCGGTAATGGTGACATTCTCGTTTCCCTCTCATCTTCTTTCGGCTGCAAATTTTCTCCTTTTCTCACAGCCTGCCAGTGGAGCAAGTAGCAACACAAGCTCCTGTTCAAGTGCCTCAACAGCAAGGTGATGCGAATCCTGAGCGAGAAAATCGTGGCAGGAAATGCCGAGTCGAGAAGCGTCATTCATTTCCCTCGCCCCTTAGTACTCTTCTTGGTTTTCACGGCCTTCCCTCTGCGGCCTTTCTTTGCCTTTGCCTTCCTTTCTTCTGCGTAATCTTCGTCTTCGTCCTCGGCTTGAGCTGGGACTTTACCGTCATCTTCATCAATGTCGGAACCTGCTGTTGCTGGGGCATTCAGACCGTCTTGACGGAGAGCGCCTATGTATCCTTCTGGGACCTCTCCGGAGGTGTTTCCTGCATAGGGCCCATCTTCCGCCTCGTCTACCGCCTCGAATCCAGCTTTGACGTTGAGAGGGGCGTCATCTGCATCCTCCTCAGAGGCCGGAGGCTCTTCAGGCTTGGCAGCTTTTGCTTTACGACCAGTCTTGGTTCGGTCGCGCTTGGTGGCAACTTGGCGACTTGAGGCAGGAGGCTCAACGTCTTGCTTTGCTTCATAGGAGTCATTAGGGGGCTCCTTTTTCTTTCGGCGTTTCTCTGACTTCGCTGGTTCCACACTTTCCTCCAGGTCTTGGGCTTTGGCCTTCTTGGCGCGCGATTTCTTGGGTGGTTTCTGCGGTGCTTCTTCCTCACTATCCTCTTCCTTCACGGCGGCTTTACGCTTCCTCCCTCCAGCTTTCTTTGGTGGCGGCGACTCAGCTCGCTGAACCTCTTCATCTTCACCTTTAACTTTGCGGTTCGAGGCTTTCTTCTTGGCAGCTGGCGGTTTTGGCAGGTCGTCTTCTTTCTCCGATTCAACCTTGGTCTTCTTACCTCCCTTCGCTTTAGGCTTGGAAGGGGTTTGATCGTTCTCTGCCCCGACTTCCTCGTCATCTTCACGTTCCTTCTTTTTCGGAGTACGTTTGTTGATGCCTTTCATTCCTGGACGGTTGAATTCAGGTTCCTACAACGACATGTCAGTTCACGCCCGTAGAGCATTTATCAGACGTGGGTGCTTACACCCTTCCAGTCTTCATCGGCAACATGGCCATGAGTCAGGGCGTATTTGATCTTCTCACGCGATTCTTCGTCAATCTCGTCATAGCCATCAATGATACGATCCAAATCAGCGTCGAGATCATCCAGGTCCTCAAGCGGGCCGACCTGGTCTTGGAGCTTCTGGATCTGAGCAGGCGTGACGCACCCCCTGATGCAGAGTGAGCTACAACCAACTGTTTGGCTTACGGATAGCGCTTACCAATGCTTCCACATGAACGTAGTATGTTCACGGATGGTCACGAGGGTCCCCATCCTGAATTCGCCCTTTTGAATTTTGATTCCGGCTTTCTTGCATGCCGAGTTTTGGCAGCCTGCACGGCTCGTTTTTGCAAGCTCTACAGTGATGATATTAGCCTGGAGAAACGAGCTTTGAAGGAGACGCGGAAAAGCAGAAACAGCCGTAGGAAAGGGTGACCCAGTTGCGACAGTAGCTCTGACAACGGCGCTGTAGGATAATGCGATGTGTCCTGAAGTTGTAAGAGTGCAGACTGGACTCACCAAAGCGATATGCTGTTTCCGATGCCATGTTGGCCTTGGGGGGCGGTGACGCGGGTGTGAATGAAGGTAAGCTAGGAAGACACGCAGGATAAACGAAGTTCAAAAAGAAGATGCTCAAGCTGCCAGGCTCGAGATCCTGCAGGGAGCGAGAGACCTAGCAAGGGAACTATCGGTAGAATAACAAGGTTGGTTCCGTTCAACGATGGCGAAAGGTGAAAGCGGGAGACAATGGATCAAAAAATGAAGTTCCTGCCTAGCAACTGGAAATGAATAACAGCACTCTGACATATTCGGCTGTCTGACAGATGCCTTTTGTCATTAAGCTACCATCGCACGCCTGCTGCTGTGCTTTGTTTCTGTCAGACATGTGAAATTAGAGGACAGGCGCGACGCGTAAAGTGGTTTGAGAGTTCCTCCCTTCCACCGCCGTCTTTCATTGATAACTACCCTGTTGTCGGTCACTTGAAACTTAAACAATATTTTGTGGTATATGTTTCTGGCTCCTCTCGGTACAAAAGAGGAGAAAGCCATTCACCTCGAGCGTGCCTCGAGGGGCCAGCAAGGATTCGAGATGGGGAGAAGATCCCGAGCAGTTTCCATGTCTTTTGGATTATAAAACTCTGCTAATGCTCTGCTGGTGCTCTTTGAATCCTGAAAACTTATTTAAAGATGCCCGCTCAAATTCAGAAGAAGATGACGGTGAGAAATGACAAGTTGTCCCTGCCGTGGCAGTCCACACCAAGCTCCCTCCTGCTTATTATGCCGGTAATGCCTTCTAGCAGTGAAAGAAGAGTACAACAACGTCCAACTATGCCTGCTTGGTGGCCTTGCTTGTTCCATTACCACCGGCGCTGCCGCTCCCACTCCCTGCTTCTGCCTCCGAGCTGTCGATATGACCTGCGGCATCCACCCCCTGCAAGACTCCCGCACGTTTCTCCATGTCTTCGTGGGGCTTGCCATAATGGACGTCGTAATCCTGTTGCAGAAATTAGCACATGCACAACACCGGGTTAGAAGAGGAGGTCTCACATGTCGGCCATCGTGGAAGAATGCGTACGGGAGCTCGCCATGGACCTCACCATCGCCAATGAGCAGTTGATCCTCGTTGTATCTCAGAGGAATCCTCAGGACGTATTTGATGAACAGGCAGATGGCGCTGGTCCAGAACAGGTTCCACCCGATGATGAAGAGGAAGCCGACAATTTGGACCCAAACTTGACGCCCGTTGCCATCGATTGCACCACCAGAGGGGGCCAGGGCAAAGGCTGCGGTGCCTTCACTGGTGGCAAAGAGCCCGGTCAGGAATCCTCCAACGACGCCACCAACCAAATGTGTATGAAAATCTCCCACCACGTCATCGGAGAATTCAAGGAACCACCTTTGCTTGCCCAGGATGTTCATTGAGATCCACGGGATGATGCCGGAGCAAAGACCAATGATGATTGCACCCCATCCCGCAACAAATCCGGCAGCAGGTGTGATTGCGACAAGGCCAGTGATGATGCCTTGAATGGCTCCAATGACGGCTGGTTTTTTGAAAAAGATGAGGTCCATGATGGTCCAGGTCAACATGCTCATGGCTGTGCACACGTTTGTATTTAGCACAGCAGCACCAGCATCGGGCGAAGCAGTATAAGGATCACCACCGTTAAAGCCGTTCCAACCAAGCCAGAGGAGCCCGACGCCGACAAGTGCGAGCAGAACATTGTTCGGATGGAATTCGGTGCGATCGCGAGGATGTCGAGGGCCAACCCAGTATGCTAGAACCCATCCTGCTGTTCCGGACGAAACATGAATGACGTATCCTCCCGAGTAATCCAAAACGCCCATGGTGTACAAGAAGCCACCTCCCCAGATGCTGAATGCGCCCACCACGTAGCTCAGGGTCAACCAAAGTGGCACGAAAACCATCCAGGCCAGGAAGTTCATTCTCGCCAGGGCTGCGCCCGCGATAAGGACAAGTGTGATGGCTGCGAAAACGAACTGGAAATACACCATGGTGCTCATAGGATATGCTGCCGTCACGCCAGCTGCAGGCAAGTACGCCTGCTTCAATTCGTAGTTCATCTCGACAGCCGGGCCGGGCACACCGACGAATGGCAACATCTGCTTGCCAAAACCAGCCCGGTATGCGTAAACCACCCAGCAAATGAGGACGGCGGCAAAGGCGTACAGGACCATAAAAGCCGAGTTGATGGCCCACTTCTTTTTCACCAATCCTGCGTACATGACCATCAGGCCCGGGACCGATTGCAGGCCCACGAGCGTCGCAGCCGTAAGCTGCCAGGCATTGTCGCCATTGTTAAGCCAGTCGGGGGCGACGAGAGTGTCTGCGTCCCAACGACGCTGGGCACGGGCGCTAGCTAAGCGACCAGGCGACATCGAGGTCGTCAACAGGTTTGGGACGACGTTGGTATTGGGTCAGCGGCGGTAGGGACGCGTCCAGTAGCCGCGTTCTTGAACGTCGGCCCTGTCAAGTTGCAAGAAGAAGAGAAAAGCACGGGAAACGCGTGGAGAATTCGAGAAAGAGCAGGAGTGAAGCTTTAAGAAGACTGCCAGCAATGCACGCGACGAAAAAGAAAAGGCGAGCTCTCCAGCTCTGGAACCACCCATGCGACATACATGCTCAACTTAGAGAAGGCCGAGGCCGGGATTCAAGCGATATCTGTCCCAACAACATGCTATGATTCGCCAGGCAGAGTCGTTATGGCGTTCTGGTGCGCACCCAGCTCCAATTAGTAGAGGGATGTCGCCGTGTTAGCGACCGACGCAGGCACAACGTGGCGTTGACATTCGTGTTCTAGCCAGAGTGATAGGCCAGAGGCATTCGCCTGCTTATCATCCATGATCCCCAGCAAAGCGCTACGCGATTGGGTTTGCAAGCAATTGCACAGATGAAAATGGAATGTCGGGCCAAAGTAGGAGGTAGATGAAGGCTGGGGAAATGCGGCCAATCCTGGGGAAGATGCTTATCAGTTCTTGGCTCTACGACGGAGGGTTCGGGAAATGGGGCTGATGATGCTAAACTCAGTTAAGCATTTCGAAGCATCGCGGTATCTCCACATGGTCAGATCAGTGACTGTTGCAAATTGCTGGCTTATCTGCGAGATCAAAAAGAAACAGCTGACAACTCCACGTGGGGCGCCAACGGCAGAAGCAAGCTAGACAATATATGTGAAACGGTTCGGGAAGGGTGCCGGGTGGGATGATGCCGTTATCAAGCCTGGGGACGATCAGGTCTGGAGCATTCACCGATGGGTGCCTCTTCACGTCAACGAGCAAAGTCACCTGTTGTGCGTAGTGTTCTGGTGCTGTTGATGTGCTGGCAAGTTGGCAACCGGCCTCTTCTAGAGCTAGAGTGCCGGAACTATATCCAGAGCTGACCTTCTGAGCAGATTTGCTTTACGGTGTAACAACCCGCCCTTCTGTGTTTACCATTCGACCGGTTCAGAATACCGAGCCACTGTTCGCGAATTGCCAATTTCAAGTGTCGTACTTTGGTACGTCAAAATGCTCCTGGAGTCAAAGAATGCGAGCATGCCAGTCTTCACGAGGTCCAAGCCCCAATCTCCTTGATCATCTACCCAAGTCTCCTGGATGGGCGGGAGGCTGCCAACAGACATACAAGCCCCTCCAAATGGCATCCTTCTCAACGGCCGGGGAAGTAGTCTGTGTGCAGACAAAAGAATGCCGTTAAACATGGAGAGTTACAAATTTGTGGCGAATTCTTTGCTTTAACACTCGGCCAGAGTTTCTCAGCCTTGCCCATGATGTGCCCGAAAACTCCTGCGAGCCGAGGTCGATGACCTGATAAAGCTCCTCATACTGATCTTACGAGACATAAGCAGGCCTCCGAAAGCTCCGGTTGAGACAACTTGCTGACAATGCTTTTTGTGCCTTTAGCACACCTCAAACCGTGCTATGAAGATACGAGGTGCGTCGCCATTTCCCCACGGAACGACTTTTTGGACGACGGGTGGTGGTGAAAACGGGCCGCGTCGCTCGTGGTGGTAAGCATTGGTCGGAAGTGCAAGATCAAGAATACTCGAACACTCCATGAAAGTCACTGTAGTCAAGATGAAGCAGGATGATGCGACATTGACAAACTATCGGCGGAGAACTCGTCCAGCTTCTCGAGGAGATTCTACGACGAACTATAACCAGGGATGGAAGGAAGCAATCGCATCCGAAGGAGCACTTACCCTGAGAATCTAGTTCACCAATATGCACCCTCACGAGATGCACCTCCGACTGGGGGCCAGATCGCCACACCAGCCAACGACTCTAAATTGGGTCAATCAGGCAGTTCTTGATCATCGCCTTCGGCTAGGAATCTATGAATACCGGTAATTTGTCACCTTCCATATGCCCTATAAGGTGGTTAATGCATGGTATACGAATGCTTCTTTGAAGGGACCCCTTTATTTGATATCACTCCCGCGCGCATCTTACCAATTATTCCCAATATGTCTGTTGGTTCTAGAATTGGAGATACCCTCGTTTCAGATCTAAAATATGGAACAGAGGGTATACATATGAAGCTAAGGATATAGAGCTCTCTTTGGAGGAACACGGGGAGACTATTGCCAATGTTGTTAGCAAGCAGCCCTATGACTATCAAATGAGAAGAGGGCAAAAGTCAGCAGTCCTCGTCTTTGTTCTACTTACATTTTCTCCAGGATATCAACCGAGTACCTTTGTCACCGCAAAGTGAAATGCTTCGATGATCCCAGGTTCAACACCATTAATTTCGTCCTACAACGGATCGCTTATTGTCTCAGGGTATGGATTCTTTGCTGACGGCAGTCCATTGGAAGAGGCCTCTAGCCGCAGCGGATACGAGCCTCGATCGGCAACTATGCTATAAGGATGGCAGCCTCCCCCATTCGGCCCATACCGCTGGACCATAATCAACGCCGGATAAAAAACGATGACTTCCGTCAGGTACGGACAGTGCTTGCCAGCGCTGCGTTAAGGGCAAGCTCTACAAAACCCAGTATGGACACATGCCGGAGCTGGGCCATTCGAAAGCCATCTCGTTTACACAGGTAGGAAGGAAGGGGCTGAAGGTTCTCCCCCATCCATCCACTACTTCTGTGTCCTGCTTCTGTATGGTCCTTCCTTTCCCACTATCGCTGCGAGAGTGTTCCCTACTGTCAAGACAAATATTTCTTGAACCAATCGATTCCCTGCTGCGCCGCTTCGTCCATAGCCTTCTTGTCCTCGTCACTGCTCCAGTCGCCTCTCAAGGCAAATCCATGCACCTGGTTCTTGTAGACCCTCACTTCCGTGGGCACACCAGTTTTTTCAAGCGTTTCTCTGATCTGATCTACAGATTTCATATCGAGCAAACTGTCCTTTTCGCCCACAGCAATACTAGTCGGCTTCGACACGGGGATTATGTCCGCTGGAATGGAAAGGAGGGACGGGTGGCAGGCGTAAGCGGCATCGACACCGCCAATCTGGCCTTCTTTACGGCCATGGGCCTGGAGAATGGAGTAACGCCCACCCCAGCAGAAGCCGATCTGTTACCATCAGCCCGGAACAGTCCAAATTAATACCATACTGCCTGGATAACACCATTTTGCCAATTTTCCAGACAACGAATCCAAGAGACTCTTTTGTGGACAGAAAAAAGAATGAACTCACCGATCCGATCTTATTCGTCCCTGGTATCGTTCTAACATGATTGATAAACCCACTGATGATAGGTTCTGCAACAGCTTCGCGATGTTTGACCAACCACGGTCCAAGTGTGGCCATAACATCAACCGTCTCCTTCGCCTTGTCCAGGACGCCTTCCTGCTCTTTTTTCTTTAAAGGCGGCTCGATGCTCTGGAGGAATTCAATGTCCAGCGCATCACCATCTTGAACGTCAGGTATATACGTATAGAACCCCGCTTTCGCATATTGGTCTGCCAGAAGTCGCACGTTCTTGAATTTCCAGCCGAATATGTCTGTGATAAAGACTACGGTCTTAGAGGTGGATTTGTCGCTGGGCTCCGCGACGTAGGTGGGCAGGCCGCCGATGGTGTCTTCACGACCCTGTGGGTGGCCTTCGTGCACGACTCCGGAGAGGCAACACGCACTCATTCCCGTATGAGTAGACATGGCTGCAGTGTCTTTCGTCCTGTAGAAGTATTGATCTGGTAGTAGGAAAGTGTGGTCAGGAAGAGATGGTGATCTACAGCATCAGAGGAGTAAGTTCTTGAGCAAGCTATGTTTATTCCAGGATCAAAGATATATCCGCAAGTTCTCTTGAGCTCCTGTGCGTCCTGTTTCTTTTCTCTCCAAAGCCATGATCTCATTTCCCGTGGCATGGGCTCGACTCTCGACAACGATTCGTGCAAAAAAAGTTCCCGATACTGACAATGGGGCTTGGATGAGCTACTTGGCGCGCGGGGTATCTTTTTGGGACCAACGGGAGGAGGGTGATGACTGAACAAAGGAACTCAGTGCCCCGTCTGCTGTACCATGGTCCTCAATTTGGGTGTCCGAGGCAAAAGCTCCTTCCAGGTCCGTGCTTCAGCAACCAAGGCCGTCATGCCCGGATCGTAGAGTATTCACATAGCCGTCCATATGGCATCGGGCGGTCCTGATCAATTTCGCACCAATGATTTCGCCATCCTCCATGGCTGCACCGACCTCCAGAGTGCCTGACGGATGGCCAATGGTGGTGTTCGAAGGGTGGAGGTGTTTTGACAGCGCATGTGGCAGTGTGCCCTCCATTTTACATGCGACTCCGAGATTGAGAGCCAGGGTGACGGGTACTGCCTTGTGTGCCTGTTCCATCGAAAGAGCCTGGCATGAGATATCCAGGCCGTCGCTTCTCGCAGGGAACAACAAAACGATCTTGGGTATGCTGCTGATATTGGGGTCTAAGCCCATCATTTCGGTGCCCCGTTTGCGGATGGCTTCTAGTTTTTCAAGGAGCTCTGGGTTGGAATTCAGTTGGTCTGGTGTCGCATCCACCTTCCATCCAATGTCTCTGCCATCAACGAAAACTCCAGGATTGCTGACATCGATCAGGGATACTCGAATTATCTGGTCTCCGATCTCAATCCTGTCAATTGGTCGGCCAGTGGGTAGAGCTTTGCCAGTTTTTGCACCTTGTGGCCGAAGGAATGAGAGCGTGATCGTGGAACCTGTCCCAGGAACTCCGTCCATGCTGCATTTGCCGAGCTCTTGATATTCCCGTTTACCATCGTACGTGGTGGTATCAAACGTAGACTCAATGACTTTTGCTGTATTCGTGTTTCTCATTCTCATCGTCAGAGTTGCGCTCTCCCCTTCTGCAATCCCTTGACCATTCTGTGCTGGTTTGCTGTGGTAGATTCCAGAATTTAACGCAAAGGGACCAACCACCGAAGTCAGATTGCCGCAGTTACCAGCCATATCCAACTTACCGTCCTTGACGCCAATCTGAAAGAAGGTATAGTCGACGTCGGCATCGGGTCGCGACGATGGACCAACAACCATGGCTTTGCTTAGTGAGGAGATGCCACCACCCATGCCATTGAGCTGCCTGCCATATGGATCGGGCGAGCCCATGACTGCTGCGAAGAATAGCTCCATCTTCTTGAACGTTGCTGCCTCGGGTGGTGTATCTGTTGACAGAGCCACCTGAAACCATTTCGGCAAATCAGAAATGTTGAGAAAGACGCCTTTGGACGTGCCACCGCGCCAGAAGGACGCCTTGACGGTCCTGGGAAACGGTGCTGTCGACATGGTTCTGTGTAAGGTGCTTGTGCAGGTGCGGACCGCGAGTGGAGAGTGACCAAGGAGCATAATGAGCGAGGATCAAGCGGCCCGCTCCATTCGTGGCTGGACAAGGCACATCTCGGAGTTGATGAGATCTTATCTCCCAGGCCAACAATGACAGAAGGCAGTATGACCTGAAACTTGTGGACGCGTTGCCAGCAAGCAAGCGATTACCTTGACTTGACGGGGAACAGCCGAGCAGCCTCGTCGACGGCAAGGCTGGCCAATCGCAGCCAGGAAAATTGGGGTGACACTCTTGTTATCTTTTCCCCCGCATTCACATTCAACGTTACACCGTGTCGCAGGCAGATTGATTGTTTCTCTATGTTGGTCGTGCCTCGCTCTTCTGAGCACCCAGAGCTCGGATTGAGGCGGTCGGGCTATCACGCACCCATTTGACCACCATGGGCTCCATCGAAACATCCCCACACCCGCCTCAATTCCTTGTGATCGGAGCTGGATCTCGGGGCCATGCATATGCCCGGGCTGTCGAAGCGTCGACATCAGGCACGATTGCAGCCGTGGCAGAGATCGATCCTTTCAAGCGACAAGAGTTTGGAAAGCGTTACATATGGGCAAGAGACGGACAGCCTCAGGAAGGCCAGTCCTTTGGACGGTGGGAAGAATGGGTTGCGTGGGAGAAGAGACGCAGAGAGGACGCCGACAAGGCTGGAGGACCCGAGCCTGGTTATCTCCCCATAACCGGGGTGTTTATATGCACCATGGATGAAACCCATGCTCCTATACTCCGTGCCCTTGCACCCCTGAACCTCCACATCCTCTGCGAAAAACCGTTGGCCTTATCGCTGTCAGACTGCCTCTCTATCTCTTCAGCTTTGTCGAAATATCCCCCGAAGGTGGTCTCTATCGGACATGTGCTACATTACTCACCGCACAACATCCTCCTGCGGAAGCTAGTGACTGCTGACCAGGTCATCGGTGAAATCGTCTCCATCGAACACACCGAGCCAGTCGGCTGGTGGCACTTCTCACACTCCTACGTCCGCGGCAACTGGCGCCGCTCAACACCAGAGGGTGTTGGCTCTCTTCTCACCAAGTCTGGCCATGACATTGACTTCATTCTGTGGCTGCTCTGCTCACCGAGTGCTCTCACCGGAACGAGTCCCCATCTTCCTTCTACGATTTCAAGCAATGGAGCCATTACGCATTTCCGCCCGGCCAGGAAGCCGAAGGCTGCAGGTGTGGCCACCAACTGCATCTCCTGCCCTGCTGAACCGGATTGCATCTACTCTGCGAAGAAAATATACCGGGATCGGTGGCTTCGGCAGGAGAAAGATACGGGCTGGCCTCTCAAGATCGTGGTGCCCGAGATAGAAGATATTGTATCGACAAAAGGCTGGAGTGCGGCGGAGGAGCGATTGATGACAAAGCTGGCTGATGACTACGACAAAGCCACCACACCTGACGATGTTATTGCTGGTCGGAGCTGGTATGGACGCTGTGTCTACGAAGCAGATAATGATGTGGTCGATGACCAGATCGTAACAATGGACTGGGAAGAAGAGCCTCTGCCCGGCCAGGACCTCGGACGCGGACCGAAGAGGGCGCTCTTTCATATGACATATCCAACCCAAGCACAATGCGAGCGAAGAGGCTGGATATATGGTACGTTGGGTGAAATCAGCTACGATTCCCACAGGATCACCGTGCACACATTTGCCGAGGGGAAAACCATTGTGCATGATATTCCAAAACAGGCCCCAGAGGTGGAGAAGAGCCACGGTGGCGGCGACTGGGGTTTGGCTGGTGCCTTTGTTCAAGCTGTCCAGAATGTCAATGCGGGAACAATGAATGTGGCCCAAGCACAACGAGAACTAGTGGGATGTGATCTAGAAGAGATTATATTGAGCCACGCGGTGGTATTTGCAGCAGAAGAGGCAAGGAGGGAAAAGAAGGTTATCAAATGGACCGAGTGGTGGGCGAAGAACGGCTCGCCAGCCCAGTGACCCAGGTCCCGATGGGCTGAGAAATGCTCGGGCAGTACTATCCAAAATACAATGAGGGTCCTGGTGGAAGGAATGCATGCGGAATCTGGGTATCAGAGCTCGAAATGCTTGCAGGGATAACAATGCAATCTCATCAATCCAGAACGAAGGGGGCAGTTCTCAGACCCCTGTTGGCCGGCGTGCGTCTTACATTCCAGCCCAGCTCCCACAATTCCTTTTCGGGGTATGTCCACAATGGGCGTCTGCGAACGTCAAAGGTTCTTTGTGCGAAGCCATTGCCAGTGTGACATTATGGTCTTCTCAATTTCTGCCGATCACCACCCAGTTTTCCTCTATCGACGAGATTGGCGGGAAGAGGACCTGGATATTCCTACTTGACGTGAAGCACCATGGCCCCGAACAAATTGCCGAGCACTTTGTTGCTGCTCATGAGCCTCTCTGGTACGTCTGCCCGTAGGCTCTTCACGGCAAGACCCGTTAACGGCATGTTGTGAGATTGAAAGCCAATTGGGCCGTCGTACTGACATCAAATGGATAGCAACCCTGACCTTGGCACAATTCGTTCCAGCATCTCCACCAACTGCCACGGTGCCCATCGTTTCGGCCTCGTCTCCGTGGCTGACGACTGCAACCCCAACGTCTGATATTGCCTATCATCCGAGCCCTGCCGCCTGGTCAACGGGAGCCAAGAAGTTTCCATCTTACTTTGGGGAAGCAAAGATCGCCCACGCGGCCTTGGGAGCTGTCGCGTTCCTTCTATTCTTCCCTCTCGGTGGTATCATCGTCAAAGTTTGGCCGCATCGTCACATTGTCTGGATTCATGCGGCCATCCAGGCCTTCGGACTGGCCGTCTTTGTGGCCTCAACAGGCCTCGGGATATGGATGGGCTTGAAATTAGATGCTGTGAGTATTACATATCCGTTGCACCTCCCATACGTACACAAGGAGATTCGCTGATCGAGTGACTTTTCTTTGTCAGGTCGACCACTACCACTGCGTCATCGGTCTCGTCATCCTAGGCCTCCTCGTCCTCCAGCCCCTGATGAAGTTGCACTGGTTTCACGAAAAGATACCGAAGGTAGTTCATTTTGTGCACATCCATCTCTGGCTCGGCCGTGCATTGATCCTTCTCGGCATTGTCGATGGCGGTCTCGGTTTCCAATTCGCCGCCACTTTCAAAGGGCCCAAGTGGGCGAGCGGGTGGAAAATTGCGTATGGCGTGTGTGGGGCGCTTGTCTGGATCATTTACGTGAGCGTCGTGATTGTGTGGGTGGAGCTGAAGAAGCCTGATGCGAGCGTGCGGATCGCTGATAGCGAGGAGATGGCAGCATTGAGTCAATCCAAAGGAACTGGGGACAGGTCCAATACGGCGGACACAGTGACGAGTACTGTGCACGATGTCGAGCTTGGTCAGGCTGTACTGGTTGAGCCGGTGAGACCTGCTCGACCTGGTGTGTTGTGATATGATGGGGCTTTTGTGCCCGGGGTACTGCACCAATTCCGGACATGGAGAGTGGAGGGAGATGTAATGATAATATATAGGCTGCTTTATTCTCCAAGGATGATGAGCAGCTCTAGTGAGACTAAAGAAGTCGTTTGATATCGGAACAAAAATAATTAGTTCAACACAAAGTCGTAGTTCCATTCCTTCCGAAGATTCCAATACACCAGGACTGCCTCAAGTATCTCCACGTACATGTATGTATATACCTGCTTGGGAACTGCATATCATGCCTAGTGGGTTGAGCTCGGACCACTTGAAGATCTGCTTTTATCCATTCGGGGTCTAGCGCCCAGATGCCGGGGGTCCACGCTCACACTCTCATACTATCACCACTTCCGGAGAGACTCTACCGCTGGAGCTGCCTGGCCTGCTACATTGCACCAGTAGTGCTTGCATGGTGTGTTTTTTGATCGATGCCTCTGGAAATGACACTCTGCTACAGCTAAACATGGCATGCGGCGCCTCTCTCAATGGAGTTTCAAGGTCGGTGGTGCAGACTGTGTCCAAATCCATCTTCCTTGGTAGCGGTTGGCAGGTCAATCTATCATTTGTGCCTTCTACACCGAGTCTGTTGCTTGGGGACGCTCTATGGCCTCCCAGACCCGCATGGGCATCACTTGTTAGCAGTGCATACTGTTGAGGGTTTATTATTCTTGAGTTTGCCACATTCAGCTCGGTTATGCGCGAAGGATACAGTCCAGATTGCGGATTTGTGCTCCCAAAGCCCCCGGAAATGTCTAATGTTTGATCATCCATGGATCCTCCAGTTTTCTCGTTGTTTCTCAAAGGCAGGGATCGCCATCGATTCTCAGGGTTGAGCAGAGCGACTCGGCTCTGGCGCTACGAGTGTACACCGCATGCAACAGTCGCAAGACCTTGAACGATAGGACTATGAGAAAAGCTCCAAACAGGTGGTATTGAGACTTGAAGCCGAGCTTGTCACTTCCTTGGTGAGTGCGTTGTTGGGGGAATCGGAATTTTCGGACGATAAGACTGTCACGGTAGCTGACTGTAGTATGCTGGACGTGCCCATGGAATTGGCTCCACGCAACGACGATCGCCATGGGGATTTGGCAAGTACTTGTCCAACAACCACTCTCTCAAAGGATGTCCTTTCGTCCGAACACCCGCGCGGCCTTGTCAAGCCATGAGCGAGTTTCGATCTGGGGAAACTAACAAGAAGGCGAATCTCCCTCGTTGGATTGCCAGGTGCCGCCACCTCTATGATCCACTTCGTTGAGCCCGGTGCTGGCTGAAGTGACTCGAGGAGGTCGGGCCAACGGGTCAATCACCTCGAACCAACCTGATGGGAGTGGCGAGCCAGGTCCAGAACCGTACACGACGCCCAGAAGACTGCAGTTGGCATTGGAAAACCACGAACGCCACCTCCAAGATCAGCCCAGAATGGAGAATAAGGGCAACTGCACTCTCGCCCCCTTCTCTGGTAACTCGCGGTGTCGTGGACTGGAGATGCTGGCTGGCTTCCCCAACTTCCGAGGCCAAGTTCCCCCTGCTCCTTACCTTCCTCCGTCTCTGTCGTACAAGCTAACTGGCCTACCCCAAGATCGACGCAGATAGGCACGCCTTCTTCATTTAGGGTGTATCCCACGTGCTGCTGGCAGCATGCGATATGCTTAGCGTGCTTCGATCACGAACCCGTGTGGCGGTATGACATCTCACTCGCTATCATGAGTTGGCGGTCGTTGGTCTCGACCCCGGCGAAATCTTTGATGCATGGGGGGTGGCGAGGCTCCTGAGTCCGGACCACGTTCCTGGGGTGAAGTGCCGGGGATCGACGAGACAGAGCCCTAGACCAGACCATGTCGGTTTCGCGACAGGAGTGCACCTTGTCTGTGTCCAGACTGATCCGCTCCCGCCTGGACGGTGTCTTTACATGCTTCCTCGGGGTATTGGATAGCCCGTTCTCGTCAGCGCTAACAGTCGAAGGCTGCGGTTTTGAAATATGCTCACTTGACTATGCCATTGTGGTCGCTGGAGATCTCTCTTGTGTTCGCTCACAGGCTTTGGTGGTGTTACTACAGGGTTGACAACGGTGCTGATATCAGGAGAAATCGTGGATAGATATCTCCCTGCACGCGGCAACCGTGAAAAATATACAGAAGAATGTAGCTCGGTTCAGAAACAACGTATGGATTATTACTAGTAGATAGTAGAAGTATTCACCGCGTTCGATTACTTTTGACCTCCTGCCATTTCGCAGTTGCAGTTACGTTGCTCAGGGACTGTTTCCGTGCTTTCTCTCTCACATTCTCTCCTTATGCATCAGCGAGGTCATCAGATCCTGTTCTGTCACCGCCGACCTACCGACTGACAGTAAATAAGCAGCGACCAGCCTAGTGTTTCGAATCGGTGGTTTCGATGTGCAGCTCGGTGACGCCCTTCTCCTCACCCATGGCCGCGGCGGTGCTCGCATCGACATGCGCCACTTCATCGCCGAAGATTTCTCCGATCTCCTCCAAGCTCAATTTCTTGGTCTGCGACAGGGAGGAAGATGTCAGTCATCGTTGTTGGAATTCCACGAAAGGGGTTTGGGGAGAGCGAGAGAGGACAGGGTGAGATAGAACTTACCTCCGGGAAGTAGAAGTACATGAATACAACCATCACCGAGGTGACAGAGATGAAGACCAGGTAGTATCGCCATCCAATGTTGGCGAAGCCGGCTGGAGCGCTGTTCGATGGAAACGTAGTTAGCCCATGCTGCGTGATGGATAGAAGTCACAAGGAGTGAGAGAAAGGACAACTTACCCTTGGAGAATAGCCAAAGACGAGAGGAATAGGCCCGAGATGGACAGTGCAAGACCCTTCGCCCGGACTGGAGTTGGCCAGATTTCAGACGCGTAGATATAGGTGGTCGCATCGCTGTTTCAGTGTCAGCATTGAACATATTGATCAGGAAAGCAGGAGTGTCGCTGGACCCTATAATCCTGGTAGAGGACTCCTGGTGAAGGCTTACATGAAGCTTGCATAAAAGCCCACGAACAAGAACAGGAAGAAGACGGCGGCGTTGGTGGCAGCACGGTTCGGTCCCTTGTCCAACTGGGAGAGCGTAATGACCTCGCCCACCAGACATAAGACACAGCCAACGATCCCGATCACTGCTCCAATAGTCAGCCAATGCCCGTTCCAAAAGTACGGGCTCTTAATTGCGTACGCAGCATCCTCACTCGGCCTACTCTGTCCACCACTAGACCATTGAACCAGTTGCCGAAGGGTGAGAAGGTAATCCATCCGCAACTCAGAAGGAGCTGCTTGAGAGTATCGAATCCGAGACTCTTATACAGCTGCGAGCCGTAGTCTGAACACCGTCATATTAGCATGGTCCAGGCAAAAAAATACAACAAAGGGCTGGTGGCCCATACTGTAGATGATCTGGGTGCCCGTGACCTGAGGAGCGACCATGGTGATGAAACCGACGATAAGCCTCTTTCGGTAATGGGGGAGGCGGAACAGATCCCAGAAGGACAACTGTTGTTGTTTCTCAAAGATAATCTGTTCGCGGAGGATGGCAAAGTCGGCTTTCAGCGCTGCCTCGTCGTTCAAGAAGGCATCGGATGACTCGGCGCGGACGCGTTTGAAGGACTCATAAGCCTCTTCATATCGGTCGTGATCAAGCACTATTTCCGATTAATCAGTTAGTATATTCATATCACACCACCATCAACAGACTCATCCCGAGGGTCAGGGCAACTTACGCCATCGAGGAGATTCTGGCAGGAACAAGACACCGCAGGCCAGAATGGCAGGCCACAGCGCCTGGATCGCGAGAGGGAGTCTCCATTGTGCGCCGCCAGCGTTGACGAAATAGAATCCTAGGCCGACCCAGCTCGCCGCTGAGTAACCAACGCACAGCATCACGCCGTGCATAGCGACAAGGAAGCCTCGAATCTTCGGGGGAGCAATCTCGCTCTGGTAAAGAGGCACAAGCGTGACGAGAGCGCCTATTGTTAGAAGAGGCCCAAGGTTAGCTCTCAGTGCTGATAGCTAACCGACTGTCAGTTTCAGAAACCGGTCGAACTTACCGATGCCAACGCCAGTGAGGAAGCGTGAAAAGATGTACATCCCAATGTTCACGCTACCGGCCTGAAGACCTCCGCCCACGGTAGTGACGAGACTGGCGATGAAGAGCGCCTTGCGTCTCCCCAACCAGTCGGCCGACTTCAGACATGAAAGCGTGCCGAAGAAGCCACCGGTCTGGAAGAGGCCAAAGATTGACCCGGTCAGGTCGGTGGCATTGGATCGGGTATCAAGTTCAAAGTACGCAATGAACGAGGGCTGCGCGAGGGTCGTGCTGATAATGGAGGCACAATAGCCGTAGGTGGTGCTGCCCAGGGCGACGAAGATGACGATCTTTTGGCCGAGTAAGTATATAGTTTCTCAGGCCGTGATACCTCTTTTACTTACCAGGAGACGAAGTGTCGCGGCAGAAAGAGCCATTTTGGTTTTTGGACCGAGGATTAATATGTGGTGCCCACGACGAAGAGAAATCTGGAAAGGCCTTTGGTTGAGGAGATCAGATTTCCAAACGGGATGCAGCTATATAACTTGCATGAGGCTAACTGATCCCTTTGCCACGTTTGCAGGATTTTTCTTTGGGAAAACGGTGTGCGTCTCCTACTGTATATACCCCAGAGTGGGGACTAGAGAGGCAAAAGGAAAGGGGAAATGCAATGTGCATGCTTCATTTTCCTCCAGTCACCTTCTGGCCTCGCTAACGCAAGGTCCAGAAAGACGCGTCGCACCTTTCCACCAACGTTGGAGGACGTTTGGGGGAAGCTTGGGGAAGGCCACTTATCCCAAGAGAGAGATGCGAACCAGAGTCAGGTGTTTTGGGCCCAAATGGTCGTTTTCCTACAACGGCCATGAGTCTATGACTCGTGTTCCGTTTCACCAGACGACCCAAAAAGAACCTCGTTGGGGGCACGATAGCTTGGAGAAGCCGTGGCGGACAAAAGGTGGACGAAGGTTCAAAACTAAAGACCTGGAAACGAAGGGCTGTGGTGGTTATCAGAGGAGAGGTGGTCAAGCGAGACTGTCGTACTCGTGGTGGTTGAATAGACGCTTGGGAAAGTGGATCTTGGTAACAAATTAGAACTCAATAATGGCAACTCCTAGAGGACTAAAGGACTTGTGCAAGTTTGACTCTGAGGCCGGAGTTGCTCTAATAGAACAACCTACCCAGTAAATTTACTCCATGGCCACGGGGTGCACCTGGAATGCTGGATACCCTTACCGAAGCTGTCCCAATCGTGACAAGTGTTTTCTTGCGTGCTACAAGTAAGAACTTCTCGTTTTGCGCCTCCCTCTCTAGTGAGCTAGCCATGCACCCCGCACACATGGTAACCTTTGTCATGGGGTGACTCTGACACTGTGACTTCTGACTCCACATCCGGATTCGACAACATTCTAACCCAAACGGTGTTAGTGGCCACAGCCTTGTGATGGAGAGGGTGTCACGGACTGCCTTGGCTTCGACCGAGCGGAGAGCCGAGGTGGAAGCTGGAACGGACGGCTTTAGACACAGCTCGTGGATGAAAGAAAGAATCTCAAGGCCAGCACGTGGATTTGTTGTGTCGGACTGCTCCCCTTGCTACCCCAATGTTTCCCCAAGAGAGTTGTTGTCCTGTTTGTGATCTTCTGCTCATGCTGGCAATACGATTGCTCAATGTGTTGACAGTGTATAAGTGAGGTTTGTAGGATCTGTTCAAATACTGAGTAACAACAGCGACACAGGATCAAGAATAAACCAGACCAAAAATGGACTTCCCAGTTGCAGGCAAGAACGCCATCGTCACAGGTGGCGCATCAGGTACGTTCTGCACCCCGGGCAGCTTTTGCTTCCTGTTCGCAGAGGCAACTGTGAAAGAAGAAATCGCGCTGATTTTTCTCTGTACGTTGGACAGGAATAAATCTTGCTTTCGTTAAACTCCTTCTAAGTAAAGGCGCCAACGTCATCGTGGGAGATCTTCAGGAGTCAGCTGCGTTGAAAGAACTTCAACAACAGCCACGGTCAACCAAGCTGTTGTTCCAAAAGACTGACGTGTCGAAATGGAATGAGCTGGAAGCCCTTTTCAAGCGTGCACAGGCAGAGTTAGGTCCTCTAGATGTCGTATGCAACGGTGCTGGTGTATTTGAACCTGTATGTGGATCTACTACGTTCCATCAATCAACCGAGATATACGACATTACTGACTCTCGCCGTCCCTGACTGACAGTCATGGTCCAACTTCTGGAACGACACCGAAACAGAAAGCTACAAATCGCTGGATATCAATCTTGGTGCGCTCATCAAAGGCACCCGGCTCGCGATCCGCGACCAAATCACACGATCCAAGGGCCGCAAGGCTGGCGGCACCGTTGGGGTTATCCTAAATATCTCCTCTCTTGCGGCACAGCGCATGCTCTTCAACCAACCGATCTACAGCGCGGCCAAGTCCGGGGTGTCGGCCATTGTGAGGTCTTTGGCTCCTCTCCACGAGGAATACGGCATTAAAGTGGTCGCCGTCGCGCCGGGAATGGTGTACACGCCCCTGTGGACCGACCACCCGGAAAAGATCAAGGCCGCCGACAAAAAGGACATCTGGATCACGCCTGAGGAACAGGCGGCGGTCATGCTCGACGTGGTAGAGAAGGGCGAGTACGAGGGCGGCACCGTGCTGGAGACGCTCAAGGACTTTACGCGAAGGGTATACATCGACAGCCCGATGCCGGAAGGTCCAGGATCGACGATTTCCAACCTAGGTCTGATTACGGAGGACACGATGGCGCTCTTGGAGGCTGAGAGGAAGGGTGAGAAAGTGAAGAATGGTGCATAGAGCCTGATAGCTGAATAGCATGAATTTGAAAGATGGACCTAGCATAGTATGGAGTTAGTATGCAGTTTACGAGGCATTCATGTCTTCTCCAAGCGACATCCGCTGTAGTCACGAGCAGAGCATATACTCCGAGGGACTGTGCCATATTCCTGGAGCAAGCGAGCACCGGTAAGGCTCAGGGCTAACTAATCTAACAAGCGACATCATAAGGGTCCATGCAGATGCCAGGGGTGAAGGACCTTGAGCTTCTTAGCGAATACCCAAAATCCTCAGCCCACCAGAGCGTTCTCTTGATATTGGAGACTGTATGCCAAAGTCCACCAACCCCGAGATACTCCAAGGCTCTTACTCCAAGGACAAGTTCGTGCACAGCTCATTGATCACATTCACACGTACAACTAGGTAGGGAGGTGTGATTAATAGTGTCGTTAGCGGAGTTACTAGCCGAGGTAACCACAAGACCGGGTCGCTTTTCCTCTCCTTTCCTCTGGCCCGGTACCGCGATGCAGGATAGGAGAGGAGACGTATTTGCTTGTCTGCCTTCCCCCTTGGGGTACACTAGTCCCCTGATATCGCCGCGGGTGGTCAGCCCAAGATTTCTTCATTCCAGAGAGTCGGATTCGTGGACCCCACAGGGACAGATAATATGCTTTCTAGCATACCTTTCGGCGCCCGGTCAGCTGGAGATTGTGACGGGGACGAGGTTCAAATTAATAAACATCGAAGATCCCCAAATCCCAACCTGTCTTGCTATACTGTCGAGGCTCTCCTGGGAATGAGCAACCCCCAACAACGCACACGGCTCATGGACTGTTGTATGTTGTGTGAGTAGATGACGCTATCAGGGTATGCACACATTCATCGAACCCCTGATGTTCCAAAAAACCAAGCGATCCTTGTGGATGCGGGGCATGCTGAACTCTGGAGGAAGTACAGTACATTCCCAGCTACCTGAGTTTGCTGTGTATATGAGTACCTACCCCTCAAACCATTTGGCCCTATGAGATGGACAATCCTAGACCTGTCTTAGACTTAACCCTCTGAATGTCCTGAGCTCTAGTCCTATTAGGGACCGGACAACCCGAGAGTGACCCTTTCAGGCCCTGCTCTCGTTAGATGTGCCTTCCTGTCTGCGGGGATCGGTCTTCGAGGACCATAGAACTTCAGCCAACAGGCGGTCAAGAGGTATTGATTCTCATGACAAAATGGTCTTCTTCGACCCACTGGACGTGAGGAACCAACGTGAAGAGAAGTAGCAAAGCATCCACATCATCTACATTGGGGTCGAGATTGCTCTCTCGTCGAGGAAGTACATCGCTGGCCTCCTCATTTTGCTCTGTGTGTTCAAGATATAGGGACTCTCTCAGCTCGACCCAGAGACAATCCAACATCCTTCCCAAACAACAAATTGTCTTGCCCTCGAAGGGTATCAAGACGGACGTGTAGATCAGCCAGTCGGAGTCTTCATGGCCAGCTCTCACATGTCAGGTCAACTCCGCTGCTAGTGTTCTTGGAACATTTGACGGGGAACAGCTGTAGTCTCTTTTCTACGTTTTCCCCAAATGAGGCGGGCCTCATACTCGGGATCAAGCATAACGCTCAAAAGATTCTCACGGCAATGGGCTGAGACTACGCTCTATGCGGGGACCGCTTGACCAACGTATGTCAAGATTCAGAATGCCGATGAGCAGAAGCTCAGATGATGGATGGCCGCAGAAGCATGTGTGACGAGATGGCGTCAACTGTTGGTCACCCGAATTACTATGTAGATAACCCACCTACACGAAGCTCAACAATGCATTCATGTACCGTTTAAGCCTGATAATAACCCATATCCCAGATAGCTGGTGTCACTTTGTACTCATCCCAGCTTTTCTCTGAAATTTTTCGTACCATTCCATTCCCTTCGTAATCCGTATGGTATTGTACATCAAAGCCTACCAGTGCTGAATGCGTGTGGCGAAATGGGCAGACCCAACCAGCCACAGCATCAGACACGCTCGTGCTCACTAATAGACCACTCGTTCTTAGCGCGAATTCCATGCGACTCGTGAGCGTGATCGAAGCTGGCCGCGTCGTCTCGGCTCACTTCACTGTGTGCCTTCACAGCCTGCGAGAGTTCCACAACGCTGTCGTTTCGAGCATACGATACCCGGCGGGGGTACGGGTTGGATTGGTGGTCGCGGCGCGAGGAGGAGAGGAAACGGGGAAACATCGAGTTGATTATGGGTCTCATGGCGGGGATGCAGGCGCACATGATGCCCACATTGAGTTCCGCTGCTGACCAGGTCGCCGCGCCGACATTGTCGTAGGTAAGATCGGTCGATATGCTTGCGATGTAGAGGGCGTGGAGACGAAGAATGGCCGTGATACAGCCGCTGGTTTGTGGGTTAGTTGTGCAAGGAACCTTCGGCAAAGGATGGAAACGGGCAAAGACATACAAGCCACCCAATGCAAACACGGCAATCAAGCTGAACTTCTGTCTCCTTGGAAGTCGTAAGCTCTTCAGGACAGGCATCGGAAGCACCCAGACTGCCAGGTCTGTGATGATGTTAAAGCCGGAAAAGCTGAACCAGAATGCCATCAGATCAATGCAATGACCACCCTTGATACTCTTGTCCCAGTAATACGCGACCGGCCAGCAGGAGAAGCAAGAGGTCAAGATAAAGGTCACCCCGGCGAGACAGACGAAGATTATGAGAGCCCATGCCGCAAGACGGTAACGCGGCTCGACGAAGAATCTCAAATACTGGTAGAGAATAGAGTCTTTGACAAGGAATAGTCCAAGGTTGTAGACTATGATACTGGCGTACAGTAGCTGGTGGTTGTGTCAGTAGGATGCTATATATGTACCCATAGACTATGATCAGCCTGGTACCTTTGACAGAGTCTCGTTGTCTTCTTCGCTAACTGTATACGCATGACGGCCCAGGCCATGCTCCTTTTCTGAACAACTGCTGTCAGTCCCATTGGATCCAAAGAGGGTTTTCCGAAACTCACGAAGTGCAATCGTGACGGTGAGACCAGTGGAAAGTACCAAAGCGAATATGATCAAATAGTCTTCAAGTCCAGCGCGGTGGATGACCATAAACCGAGAAATGCACCGGAGCACAATGAAGACAAATGCGAGTACATTGAATACCACGGCTGTCACCACAGCTTGCATACCACGTTCAAGTCCCATCCTGCTTGGGTATATACCAGACAGCAGTGGAGGTCAGAGTACAACATTACAATCGACGGCTGCAGCCGAAGTTGTCAGATGTGGGAAAGCAGGCGAAGATATGGGCTGGAATAGCGGCCCCCGCAAGGGCTATGGAGGCTAAAGGCCCCTGGAATCAATTGATGACAGCAGAAAATTTTCACGACGTGCGATGTTGGAAGACTGACTCGTTCCCGACTTTCCAGGCTTGCTGTGACACTCGATGAGTGGCTGCTGTTTTATTATGGGCTCTTGATGGGAAATGGGTGGTTCAGGTACAGGAAGCGAGAAGGGGCAGTCCGGGGTAATCCCCAAATGAATATGAGACGGGCACCACAGCCTGGATGCAAGAGTTGCATCAGAGAAGTGGTGCCAACCTGCTTGTATGTGGGCGACACCAGCCAAACGGGATCCCACATCAGCAATCTTCCCCGGATTAGCCTCCCTGCTATATGCGGGAGAACTACTTGAAGAGGAAGTCGCCAACACGTGGCTGCAGTAGTACCATGAACCTTTTTGTCAGGGACAGTGGCAGCGATGTGGTGGCGCTGAGAGCCAATTGGATACAAATTCCGACAGGTGTAATTGACAGTGTGGGGATACATACGCCCGGAATTGTCGATGTTTATGAAAGTGAAAGGGTCTGGATGTCCAGGCAGGCTAGAGTGCGGATCACCGGCAAGCATACTCGGTGCTCCACGTAGACGCAATCTTTGGTCACAACATGCTTCTATTGGCCTTCCTGAAGACAGAAGAAGCGTCGCTGATGGCCCTGCAGTCCACATAACGAAATTGCACAGACATGGCGGCATGAATTGCCGTTGGGATGGAATGGGGAGTTATATTGAGATCTTAGGATCACATCCTTGCCGATTGGATCTGTCCTCGAGTCGACTTACTGATCCTGCCGCAAGCCTGAATCAAGACATGCATCAGCAAACACAAATACCGCCCCAGTGGCCGGATGATCGTCGCTGCGGGAAGGCACGAATGCCAATTTGACTTTGCTCAATCCATCAGTGGGTAAATGGGGCAATGGTGTCTTGACAAACGATTTGCCGGGAAACGGCCCCTGGCGTTCCCGTCCTTCTCATTCCTCCTTGGAATGGTATGCTCGGAAAGTCAGCCTGGCGTCGTTAGTGGTGCGACGGTGCTAGAGAGGACGAACGAGTACGAGTTTGGCTTATATAGACTGTGGACGACGGTACCGACAGTCGGAGGAGAGACCTCTTTGGGATTGGATCTGTTCGAGTCTGCAGGGGGAATGCCATCCCCTGCCTTTCCGCCCTCTAGTTGACGTTAGTACAGGCTTTGGCTAGTGGCCTCAGGCACAAGCGCCGCACTAGGCCGAGTGGAATTTCGACGGCGTCTCGATTCTCAAGGGCGTTGCCTGGTTCGGGGCGTGGTCCAGAGAATGTGAAGGACGCTATTCTCGGGATCATGCCGACGGGTTCTCTGGCTGCTTGGACAGGAAAACGAGCCTTGGTGGAATCCTCCTCTCTGTGGAGGTGGGACTTTCCCCCATAAAAGTGGGAGAAGGTTTCATTCCGCCTGGCCTGGCACATATCCCAAACCCACACCGTTAGAGCCTGGCAGCAGTGGACCATTCCGGGGGAAAGAAATGTATCTGAGGTGTTCGCCGAGGGTCGTTCTGGAGTCTATGTTGCAGCTTATTCACCAGAAACTGCTGAGTATCGAGGAGCTGGATAGTCGAACTAACCAGGCAAAAATGAATTCCAGCCTCAGCCCTTTCCAAGAATGTCCCCCTTTTCCTCGACAAGTCGGTCGCTAGATGGAGTGTTTCAGGCGTCATCTAGTCCCAGTGGATCTCCAGAAGTGGTTCCATACTTCCAGTTGTAATACTGTCCCGTCCAAATAATTTCATTAAGAGTTGGTCCTGCGTCAGGCCATGGCGGTGATTCTCGTCAATGTACAGGCATCACTACATCAAACGCTCCCGTGCCGATATTGCCTCTCCTTCCTGCCACAATGCGTGCACTGGGACCCAGCAACGGATCCCGTTCACCGTATAATACCGCGTCCTTGAGAAATCCCATGACTGTCTCGAAACTCATCTTTGCCAACACACTTCCTCCTTCTTTTACAAGACCATGCCGGCTAAATGGTTGATAAGTGCCGGAATGCGTCATAGCATCGGCAATAAGACTCAAATGCCGCACATCGACACCAATTCCGTGACCTTTGAAGACAGTGTCAATTTCTTTGACGATCGTCGCTCTTGCCGCTTCAACACCGTAATATTTCAGCATGTCGTGGACTGAGTTGGTGTAGATTGAATGCGGATAGATTTGGTCCTGATAGTCGCGCATGGCCAGTAAATTAACCCCTTCGGTCGTGATCACGGGCTGCTTGACTATTTCCTCCTTATTTGTCTCTGGATCAACGCGTCTGACCGGTCGTCCGTCGGGCCCGTGGACCTCTTCCATGAACTGCGTGCAAACACCAAGGCCGGGTATCGATTGGATGACCGATATGTGGGCACATTTTTCGAGAAGAGGGAGGAGAAGCAGCTTGGGCGTACGGGAGCTGTAGCTGAGCACAATCCGGCAGGATTTACCCTGGTTTCTTGCGAAGATGAAACGTTTGAGGTGATCCAGTTCGCTCTTCAGCTGGTTGACTCGGGCTTCATCGGCAGAATCTGCAGCATCATCTCCTTCGTCATCTGGATCCATTTCCCGAAGGTTTTGAGCATCCCGAGACTTCTTTGCCTTTTGAGTGGCGCGATGCCTTCTTTCTTCCTTGTCCACATCGCCATCATCATCACTCATAACTTCGTCGCCTGATTCTCCTGCGATGACTTCTTCGTCCTCGTCAGGCTCGTCGAATGTATTCTCTCTTCTACGTCTGGCGGCCATATCTTTAGCGTCATCTGGATCTGCGTCTTCGTCGATGTCGTCTTCGCCGCCCTCGTTTTCGCTCGCTCTTGGAGCTCTTGTGCGGACTGATTCTTCGACTCCGACCGAAACGCCAATTTGGGGAACAGCCGCAGTAACCTCAGAGCGTTCAGCCTCTTTTGCCTTCTTCTTGAGTTCGACTTTAATCATCTTGTCCAGTCTCGGAAGAAACATTCTTTCAAAGCATCTTTGGACGTCTACTCTTTTGATCGCATACTCCTCCTCGTATTCCTCTGGATCATATAAGTCTATTCGAATGTCGTAGACTCTTTCGTTTTCGTGTCCTGCACCGCCGCCAGTCCTCTCAGTGACAGACATGTCATTGATGACATGAGAGAGTGGCAAGCGGCTGATGCTCTTGGCAAAACGCTCTCCATCAGCATTCTTCAACTCTTCGATCGGTTTAAGGGTCATGGTTGGTGTCATGATATTGGCGCTAGCAGTCATAATGATTTCTCGCAGTCGAGGAATACCAAGGGTGACATTCTTTGCAGAGTGCCCAGCCAAGTGGAAAGTATTCAATGTCATCTGGGTGGAAGGCTCCCCTACAGATTGAGCTGCGACAACTCCGACTGCCTCTCCAGCATCGACAACGGACTTCATATATTTCAAATCCATGACGGCTCGGAAGGTCTTCTTCCCAAGCGAGCTGTTTGGGTTTGTCTTCTTGTCCCTAATGAGTTTTTGGGGGTCCAGCTTGAGGTATTCGCTCAATGCTGTCGCAAATGACTCTGAAGTGCTTCCCAAGTAGCTGGCAGGGCTGAAAGAAGCCGTCAGCGGATCTTTTTGTTTGGGTTTCTTCAGTGATTTCAGGATTTTCTTCTGTTCTTCACCCAGGTCTGACTGGGGGAGTTTGCGAATTACCTCTTCCGCATTCATAAGTGTTGCGACTGAATGGTGATTCTCAGCAAGAAAAGTAAATTCTTTCAGATGCTTCTGCTTGGTGACCTCAAGTCCATCTTCTCCATACAGGAACTGGATAATACTTCCGTTCGAACTTTCTCGTACTGACGTGTCGTACTCTGTTCGAAGGCCCTCAAGGCCCTTAACGATACAGCGCTGTAGATAACCAGATTTGGACGTTTTCACGGCTGTATCAATCAATCCTTCTCTCCCGGACATGGCATGGAAATAGTATTCTTGCGGTTTGATCCCTGTCAAGAATCGCCCCGATACATATCCACCAGCTGCCGGATCTGTCTCAAAAGCTCGAAAGGATGGCAACGACTTGCCACTGACCATGACAGGAACTCGCCGTCCTTCCAAAACCTGCTGACCGAGGTTGCAAGAGATGAGATTCGCATTGACAGCGGACCCTTTGGCTCCAGAGATTGTCATCGCTTGCATCTGATTCCGAGGAAATGGTTTTCTAAGTCCGGCGGGCAGACAGGCTTTGGAGACGTTGTCCGTGATCGATTTGACTTTAGCCTTGTAAACCTGGTCCAAGCCATTGAGCTGTTCATCGTTACGGAGCACATTTTCAAGACGAGTGAGGAGTTCGGGATTCTCTTGATTGGCCTCGCTAGACTTCAACGTGACGTACTCAGTTGCAACTTCCAGGCCCATTTGTTTGGCTCTATTCAGTTCTTGTCGCCGTGCACTATCGCCCTGAGGTGTGAGATAGAGATCATCCATTCCGCAGGTCCAAGCTCGCTCATTGAGATATCTTGTGAGAAGTCGGCCGAGAATACTCATCAATTTGCCCGCAGTGATATGTCCATAGATTTCGTGCACTGAGTGGATGAGGCCGCCAGCGCTGGGCCCAAGTTGACTCTTGTCGAGAATTCCACAGAGGTGTTCACCGTCTTTGAAAATGACAACTTGCTCCGTGTCTCTAAACACTATTTTGTCCCTGCTGACAGTCCATTTCTCAGATTCATCAGACGTTTTTTCGCCCCATGAGTCTGACGAAGTAGATGATTTGCTGGTAAGGTTGATGCCACGGAATCTCTCTGGTGTGATATTTTTCAAAACTGTCGAGATGACTTGCTTGCCAGTCCATAACATCTTTGGCTTTAATATTGCCGGTTCCACCAGTTGGATCTTGTCGAAAACGGTATTATAATCTTCCGGCCTGAGGCAGCTGTAAAGTAACTGCTGATACTGGTCTCGATCGAAGAATACGTCTCGACTAGTAAACTGAACGCCCATGGAGATATGGTCTTGGATCAAACCACGTAGAGGCTTACCCGCAGTCGCAGAAAGATACTGGTGATCCGTGTCTGCAATCTGAAGGGCTTCGGTTCGGGCGAGCTCATTCTGAGGGAAATGCATGTTCATCTCGTCACCGTCGAAGTCAGCGTTGTAGGTGTTACAGTTGGCATAATGCATTCGAATCGTCTTTTGGTTTGTCAAGACCCGTGCGCGGTGGCCCATCATGGAAGGCTTGTGCAGTGTAGGTTGGCGGTTCATGATGACCACGTCGCCCGTTTGGAGATGTCGGTAGACTTTCTTGCCATTCTCGCCCTTTGCCCCGGGGGCCGTCGAAGTCAGTAATTGTTTTGCCAAGGCTCTTCTTTGTTCGACCGTCTTGCGCTTCAAACTCAGAACCATTCCATTTTCATTCTCGATGGCTGCTGCTCCTGGGTATTTCTCGGTGCCGTTGATCACTGCCTTGCTTAATTCTTCAAAATTATGGCTTGTCACCGGTTCAGGATAGGTCAACTTCTTTGCGAAAACAAGAGGAACACCTATTTCGTTGGTTTCGATATTTGGATCAGGCGATATGACGCTGCGAGCGGCGAAGTTGACGCGCTTCCCCATCATGTGCATTCGGAAAAGACCTTCCTTCTTCTCCAGAATTTGCTTGATGCCTTGGTCAGTTGGCCTGCCAGATACTGGTACAGGAGAGTCAATAAGAGCATTTACTGCCTCTTGAAGGACGATTGCGGCTTGCAAGCTCTCGTTCAAATTCCTGGGTCTGAGAGTAGGGTCGAGCTTTGCTCTTTTCGACTCCCGTGAGATGCGCTGGACATCGGCTGCCGCTTTGATGATTTTGTTGAGGGTGGAATTTAGCTGATTCTCGAGCATCTGATTGGGTCCGTGCCTCGCCAAAGGTCGATATCGATTCGGCGGAACAAGCACTGCCGTAACAAAAAACATGTCAGGAGATACCCGAACTGCCTTTCGACCAGGTTGAGAGGCATACAGCAGCTGGAGAACTTCCTGCTCTCGATCAAATAACAGAGTAAGTGCAGCATGCACCTCGCTCGTGGTCATATATGCCTGTATATCATCTTCGCCCTCGATTTCCGCGTTCTTTGCTTTTGATGATGTCTCTAATGCATTGCGCATGGCGATCTCTTCTTCAGCTCCATGTAATTCCGTCTCCTCGGGCCGATCAACGTCGGACATCTCGACGTCCTCGTCATAGACTCCATTGGCAAGGGGGTTCTTTTTCACCTCCTCTTTCTGAGACTGCTCGGACCGGAGAAACAGAAGAGGGTTCGGCGCCTTTTTGCCAAGAAGGTACATGGCGTCCTTTTGCGTTTGTGGAAGTGGTAATCTGAAGATCTTGATGGTCCTATCTCTTCTGTATGGGGTGTTGGCACCCCCGCAGTTGGCGCATTTCTTGAGGTTGGGAATCTCCTTCAGAAAAGCTGTAATGACATCTTTCCGGGCAGCAATGGCAATAGGATTTCGAATCAAGGCCTGCTCATCGATACGGTTCTCCCTGTGGGCAGATTTGATGGCCCGGTTTGTCAGTCTCGTTCTCCGGTCAATTAGATCCGCAATCTCTTCATCTGGTTCGACCTCCAACATATCTTCGACTATGTTGTCCGAGTTTGTCTTCTTTGGTGCCCTTGACAGTCCTCCTCTGAGGTGAATGTTCTGGATATTGTGATAATCCTCTACAAGCCCATATTGCAGCAGTCGGAGGGAGCACACCGTTTGATTGACGAAGTTCTCGGCCGCCTTAAAGTGATGACAGTAGGCACACTTCGCGCGGAGCAGGCGGAGAGTTGAGTCGATGTATTGTGGATGGTAGCAAGTGACAGGAAGCTCAATGTGTCCGCAGTGCCCGGTGCAGTGAATTGCATTCATGCGACATGTCGAACAGCTAAAAACGTTAGCACCAAAATTCCTAAAGAGTTCAAGGACCTACTTTGTATCCAGCGCCTGAATAGCACCTAGTGCAGGATCATGTAGACCTCCTGGTATAGGACCAAACATAGAATCCAGAGCTGGAGTGACATGGATTCTCTTGACGGAGATCTTTCTGATCTCGTCGGACTGCAGTCGGGAAAAGGCCAGGCCGCCGGTGGCCGCAGGAATTGGCTTGACGTATCCTGCCATTGCGCGTCAGAGCCATAACCCGGCGGCAACAATGAACCTGACAGAAGAGAGGTGCTTGTGAGGCGTATTCGACTTTCTTTGTACTGAACCAATATTTCCATGCTGCGGGGATAATTTTTTTCTACAAAATTTTGGAGTTCAAAATCCGGCGAAGTAGGCGGCCACTTGTGCAGCTGTACGGGGAGGTACTATCACCCACTATGACACCCCTGTAACAATCCCAAAGAGGAAATCTTATGAATACGAATACGCATAGGGGCCAGTTTGGGGAATTATTGCTGCCTGGGTCTCCACTATGCTATAAACTGGAAAGGGGGAACGTGCCTCTTCAAAGATTCTTCTGATCAAAAGAGTCATTCCGCTCATATGTTCTTGGTGAAAATACACCATCTGAATGTCATTGTGCTAGCACAACATGATCAGCATCCGACTTCCCTGGAAAGACGCCCCAACGAGCCGCATTGTCCACCTTGCGCAAGTTGTCCTCCAATTCACGTTTGCACTGATCGCTATTGCCCTTAATGCCTCCGATGTGGCGGATGGTCCCACAAATATAGGTGCTTCAGTGGGTTTCCTGGCATGAAAATTTGACGTGTGAATGTCTCTGACACAACGATGCTCACAGGTCTTCGCCATCGTCATTGGGTCTTTGTCTATGATAACGGCAATGTTGTTTGCGATCGACATTCTCTTCCCCTTTCCTAGCCGGCTGTGGCTCCTTTTCGTCTTGTTCTGGCAATGGGTTCTCACTTTTGCCTGGACAGGCGTAATTGCGGCATTTCGGGGGCGGTATTTCGACAACCGATCCGCACAGATCGAAGCCGCAGCTGGGTTCAATATCGCCAACATGCTGCTATGGCTAACAGGGTCCATTTTTGGTACCATCACGATGTGTTTCAGGAGGAAACTGGGTGGGAAAAAGCCGGTTGATGCAGATCCTTCCCATGGTTTCTCGGAACGTTCTGCCTGAGGCGAACCACTCAGCTGTTCTGATCAACACAACTATACGCTCGAGTCGACATCTCTTTGCATATAACCAACCATGGGTGTCCGTCCAGATTTTCGGAAAACACCCATGAAAGCTGTGGACTCTGTCCCACTGTACTGCAAATTTGGACAAATATGAATTCGGGAACCGGAGGTAATCTGATGAGTGGTTTCTTTCTTTCCAGGCAGGGATGACGCCCATGCTGCTCGGGCAACCGCCTTGCGAATCATGCCTAGGTTACCTAGTCCCGAAACCAGTGAATATACTGTCAACAAAGCGACGGGGTGGGTGTTGTGTGACTCGGGCCGAGATGAACCACAGCTGAATCCGCCTCCGTAAGGTGGATTCTCGCAACGACGCACGTGCTCCGATTTGCTTCTATCTTCAACGGGCGTGGTACTGACAACACATCGATAATGGTTCGAACGCAGAGTCATCAATGCAACGTCGATTTAATATGCAAAGATCTCGTCAGTCAGCCTTCCTTGCTTCTGAGGGTACAGCATACGCCTTCACTAAGAACTATGATTGCGGAGCACAAACCGTGGGACGAAGTTCCTTACACCATTCAATCAGAAGCACGAAGAATATACGAGACTATTGTCTCGGACCCTCGCCTTAACCTTCCAGAAGAAGTGAAAAGATTGGAAGATAAGATTCAATTTACTGGTGATGAATCAGACGCTTTCTTCCCTGTTCCGTTCAAAGCAGCAGAATCTCAAGCTGGGTTGCTTGGCTATATTGGCCTTTTGGCCCTTGCCATCTCTAAAGACCGGTATGGCATTGAGCAAGAATGTCAAATTGATGTCGCCCAGGCTTTACTCAATGGGCTTGGTGCCCTTTTTATTCGCCATGAGGGAGAATGGTTGTCCGGCAGTCCGAAAATGATGGCTGCAGTCCAACGATGGGATCACGGTATGACCCGGGAACTTTACCGGCAACTGGCAACGAACATCTATATGTCGAAAGACGGTCGCTGGTATTCTCTCCACGGCAACATGAATCCCACGCCTCTGCTGGAGATGCTCAATCTTCCACAACACAACGAGAAGAACCTAACATGGCCAGAAATAATCGAAATGTACAGCAACGTGGTCGGAGATATCCACTCTCAAGTCCTGGACAACTGGAGTAACAACGTGTATCGAACCCCCGGCACTTTGTGTCTTGAGAAGGACGAGTTCGAAAGTACCCCTCAGGTAATGCTGACGAAACACTCTGTTAGTGCCTACCCGCTAACTTGGGACAGGGCAGAGCGATCAAGGACGAACCTTACTACAATCTGATCGCGCAGCAGCACTATACTCAACCTGTAGTGTCCTGGGACGGCGTTCATTTTGACCCAGCCGATCGTCGGCCGCTTTCTGGAATCAAAGTACTGGATCTCTCACGCGCTATTGCCGCACCCACCATTGGCCGAGTCTGCGCAGCCTTGGGCGCAACAGTGATCCGGGTGTCGTGCTCAAAGAACACTGAACTTCCCATCACACTCATTGACGGCTGTATCGGCAAGACTAGCGTCGACATAGACCTCAAGTCCTTCGAGGGGAGGAAGAAACTGCTCGAGCTGATTGAAGAGGCTGATGTCTTCATCGACGGCTATCGTCCTGCTGTCATGGAACACCTCGGATTCGGTCGCGATGCCGTCCTGGGCCTGGTAGCGAGCCGAGACAGAGGCCTAGTTTATTGCCAGGAAAATTGCTACGGCTGGAAAGGCCCTTGGACCACGAGACCCGGCTGGGCACAGATTGCTGATACCGTTAGTCAGAACCTTCCTCCGTGTTGCTTGCTCCTGCTAACCCTAACGTCCAGGTTTGCGGCATCGGCCTAGACATTGGCCGTTTCCATGGATATGATGAACCGCACATCTTCCCTGGCCCCAATGCCGACTATCTAACGGGCCACGCCGGTGCCGCCGGCGTGTTACACGGACTATACCTTCGAAGCCGGCAAGGAGGGTCATACGTGGTCCAATGCTCACTTGTCGTTTCCAATATGCAAATGCAGTCATATGGCAAGTATACGGAAGAGCAACAGGCGGCACTCAAGGCGCGTAACAGAGACTTGATTGGCAAAATACGTCACTACGACGAGATTGTCAGTCACGGGAGGAATCAAAACGTGATCAGAGGGTTTATTGCCGACAGGGGGTTTGACAAAGCCATCAAACATGAATACTACCAGAAGGTCGATGGAAGTATGTGGGGACTGGGCGACCTGGACCTTGTCAAGTTGGCATTGAAGTTCCAACCCTGCGGAAATACTCTAGATGCTGAACCAATGAGGACCGACTGGCTTGTTGGGCCTTGTCCGCCAGGATATCATCTGTCTCAATGGGAGAGGAAAGGAAACGAAAACTTCGAGCCAATCCAGCCAGGGAAAAGTAGCTTAGAATAGAGGACGAATCTTGATTTGCTTCAGGCATTCCAGAACATTCATCTGGACTCGCAGGACTTTGTGAGACCACTGATCTCGGCGTCAGTCTGGCTGAAGTGGAAGTCTTCTACTGAAGGTCAAGCTAGATGAGGACGAATTGTTAGCTCACCATCATCGAAGTCGCATTCTCTCTATCGTGCTACATGTATCTCACCACTCACCATGTACCTCCCGAGTCCAATGGACGTGGTAGCCGGTTTGTGACCGGTGATTGTCGTGCGGAACTCTGGTATCACACTCATTTCACACGGCTGTCGGAGGAAAAATAACCACAATTCGCTCCGGAGGACATCCGCTGGGGTCAACGTCCACCAGGCCGACGTAGTTGCCAGCCTCGCCGAAGATTTGTGTGCCTGTAGTATGAAACACGAACAGGACTCCCGTTTGCATCTCCTGGAGCGACAGCCCTCTCCAGACAAAACTCACGTCCGATATGTCGAACTGTTGCCAAGCGGGAAAGGCTGCCCCAGGTGCGTCTTCCGTTGACCCAGGCGTGTCAGCGGCTTCTACGCATCTCTGTTGAATTTTATAGTAACTAATAGTTGTTCGTCCACAGATTCTTACGTCCCTCTAGGCCAATATTCCACTATAGGTGGTGTTAGCAGCTATATCAGCGAGAGCCAACCGGACTCGTACGCCAGCAAAGGAATTCTGCTACTGCTGCCTGACGGATTCGGCCTGGCGAAGCACAATCTGATTCTCGCAGATAACTTTGCGAAGGAAGGATGGCGAGTGATCATCCCCGACTATTTCGAAAGTCAGCTCCCATTCTATCCTTCTCCAGTCTGTGCCGTACCAATCTCATACATGACCAGGCGACCCGCTGCCCATCCAGTTCCTCAAGCAAGATCCCTCTCTATCAATCAATGAGCAACCATGGCCTGAAGAAGAAAAGCAAATCTTGAGGGATCTTGACTTCCCAGCCTGGCTTCGACGTCATAATCACACGAAAGTTTCTTCTCTTCTCGAGGGACTGACCAGCCGAATTTCAAGCCAGCACCCTGATACCGCAATTGTGGGCGTAGGATATTGCTTTGGGGGCAAGCATGTGCTGAGACTGAGCAAGAATGTGCTGAAAGCAGCGGCTTGCTTTCACCCCAGCTTCGTGGAAGCCGAGGACATGAATGGCATTCGGGCACCTCTCTACATCGGACTCGCAGAGAAGGACGACATGGTCCCTGCTTCACTACCCGAAGACCTCCGTCGCTGGGCACGCAGCGGAATGAAACCCGGTGTGCCCTTTAAGATGGAAAGCTTTCCTCACATGGGGCATGGGTTCGCCGCTCGGCCTGATACTGAGGACGCGAGTGTTCGTGCTCAATACCAGAGGGCATTCCAGAGGACACTTGAACATTTTATTAAGTTTGCTTCAGATTGAATAGCGCAATAAGAGGACAATCTCTAGGCTTTATGTATCTCGAACATCGCCGGTTACCGGTGAGTATAATTTACCTCGAGTACAGAATCTGTTGTGTTCAGCTTCAGATAGTGCATACTTTACTTTATTCAGCCATGAATCCCACTTATATTTCTCTTAAGATGAAATTGGGCTACAACATTGCACAGCTATATCATGCCGATTTGCACCTTCTCGATAGGTTTCTCAATGACATCCCACTGGTCCCACTGAATCTTTCTCAGCATGCGTCTGAACTGCCACCATGTCCACGGCATTGTAAAGGTATTCCAGCCGGCGTCATTCTTATAGTAGGTGACGCAGTCCGGGCGGGCCCAGACAAAAGTCCCAGTCTGCCTCCGCTGGACTTCGGCATTGTATTCCCTCTCAAAATCCCGCCGAGGATGGATTGCCAGCTTCACTCCTTTTCTCGCCCTCAGGACCGATTCTCTGACAACCTTCGCAGCGAAACGAGCTTGCCGCTCCCAGTTATCCTGCTGAGATGACCAGACGTGTGCTGAGTTCGGACCGAAACAATAGAACATGTTCGGGAACTGGCTGGTGGCCAACCCGTAGAGTGCTTCGGGATGGTCTTTCCACTTGACTTGGAGATCCAGCCCGTTGATTCCTATCACCTTCTCGTGCTCCAGAAATTGGGACACGTTGAAGCCCGTGCCGAAAATGATGATGTCGTATTCACGCTCGGTCTCCTTTCCGCTCGACTTGTCCTTGGACAATACACCCTTCTCAGTGTATCGGACCAGGTCTTCTCTGAGAACTGTACAGTTCTTTCTTGCCAGGGCGGCGTAAAAGCCATCCAAGTGCAATGGTCGTTTGCAGAAGACTTGGAAAGTTTAGTACTTGGATAAATGAGGAGAAGAAACATTGCGTATCACTTACACTTTGAATGAGGTCGGACCTTTTCGCGGAGTTCTGGGTCGGAAATCTGGGACTCCATGTACCTGATCGCTTCCTGGGTCATCTTATCGTTCATAGGGTCGCCGTCGGTGGCCATCGGACGACAGTCTCGCATCATCTCCAAGTTCATGTACGTCCTGACAAGCCACGCAAACAAGGGTATCCATTTGACTGCCCACCGGAAGAGCCTGTTCGACACTTAGCATTCGTTTAAGAAGTTGGGAGATCGGTCAGACGTACCTTGAGTAGGCATAATCACCTCTGGCAATGCACACCGGCGGTGTCCGCATGTAAACCGTGAGATGCTCGGGCTTGTCAATGATCTCAGGAAGAATCTGTGCAGCGCTTGGTCCACAGCCGATGATAGCTACTTTCTTGCCCGTCAAGTCGCAGTCGTGCCTCCAATGGGCAGTATGCCACGAAATGCCTTTGAAGTTCTCTCTGCCTGGCGTGTTGCCCCATTTTGGCCGGTCAAGGCTCCCAACGCACTGACAGACAAAGTCGGCGATCCAATGTTCAGTTTCGCCTGTCCTTTTATTAGACACAGCCACATGCCATACCATCAGGTCGTCGTCCCATGCACAAGACCTGACGAAGCTTTGGAATTGCGTGCATTTATCAAGGCCATACTGGAGCGCGAAGTTGGTGTAGTATTCTTCAATCTCTGCTCGTTCCGCGTAGAAATGTGTCCAATCTGCACCGTGTTAGCATCCACGACCCAGATATAGTGCCCCGACGGAAGTGGAATCATAACTAACTTTTGTTGATGTGATATGAGGTGGTATAGATCATGGCAGGGACATCGCATGCACATCCTGGATACTTGTTCTTCTGCCAGACGCCGCCGTAACTGTCCAGAGCGTCCATGATCTGTATGTCACCATGCTTGACATATCCATCCTTAAGCAGAATGGTCGCTTGTTGGATTCCATTGATACCTGCTCCCACGATTATGACTTTTTTGCGACGTTCCAAGGGTACTGAGCTTGCAGGCCCGAACCCAGTGTGCCCTTTGCCGTCTCTCTCGAATCCGGTGAACGCTCCATATTCATCACCGCCAACTATACCTTTGTCGAAAGTCTTAACTGGCTGGGGTGTAAGAGTTGGTGGAGTCCCTGCCGAACTTGGTTCGGAAATACTAGCGATCATATTGAAAGCTGTTCTTCTCTAAAAGTCGTGGCGTCCTGTAACTCGCAGAATGTTGAACCTCGACTTCGCTCTTTGTTATCTTCCCTGGAAACAGCGTCCCAAAATTGGAATTCTTGTCAACTTGAGTCAATGCATGACTTGCGGCAACAAGGTCAGTTGTCCATGTTTGGACCGGAAGTCATCTTTCTCGCGGCAACAGTCGGGGTCAGAAAGACGGTAGGCGGACCTGCTGGACAAGTATGTGCCACCACCACCACTGGCAGTGCCGATGCGAAGAAGTCAGATAAACCGGGTGACGCCTTGATGTTGGCCTAGGTCTCTCGAGAGTCATCTGATATCTACTCGCAGCTACGTGAGCTAATGTCGATACTCATCCCATGCTGGCGCGAGAAGAGGAAGGCGAATGTGGTAAACTCCGCACCCCGATGCCACCTCGTCCCCGGGACAATGGTGTTCGAAATTGTGGCCTTGGACTCTTACCAGCCACTACTCAACAGGATCCAACTCTTTCGGACTTCTTCGGTATGCCTGGGTGCATGTTTCATTGCACAGGTGATTAATTTGCCCCTTCAGCTGCCGGCCCGTGAGTGTCTCCGCGGTCCGGCCCAGTGACATAACAAGGAATGCCCTCATAGAACTACTGCAAGTTGGTGTGTTCTCGAACTCTTGCGGAGATTTGTGGAGACTCATCTCACGTACCCCGGACCCATTTAATACCTGTAGATACATAGACGGAGACGAAATTCAATCAAAATCCTCCACCGGTCATCCCACTCTACAGCCCTTGGAACCCATCGAACCCCAGGACAGGTGTACACACAAGAGCCTCTTTGTGTTAAAGATGAAGCGTCTTGCTCTCCACGAGATCGAACACAGCCACGGCACGGTTCAGCTGATTTCAGGTGATATTTCTCAACTCCTTTGGGCATTTGGTGCTGACTTATGGAATCAGGGGGGACAGCCTTGCAGCATAAAAAGGGAACATCGATTGTTCTGGTGCCTCAACCAAGTCTAAACGACCCCAATGATCCACTGGTAGGCATCATCTTCTTACCATATTCATCCGATACTTACACAATACTCTCAGAACTGGCCATTTGCAAAACGTGTCACGGCGTTCTGGTCTGTACTGTGGCTGTCCGGCCTGTGCAATTTCTGCATCACAGGATTAGCTCCGGGCTTCGGGCAGGTTATAGCGGAATTCAACATCACCCTCACCCAAGTGACATGGCTGATATCGGCTTGTCTGCTGGGAGAGTTTATGGGATGTTACACAGTTGCACCCTTTTCGACCCGCTACGGGAAACGCCCCATTTGGTTGCTTATCAGCATTTTCTTCTTCTTGTGCAATGTATGGGCCGCAGTGGCAAAGTCATACACCTCCCTCCTGCTAGCAAGATTCTTTGCGTCGTGGGCAAGTAAGTCTGTCCGGAAGGTCGGGTATGAGGTGTGAACCACAAGTCTTGAACTGACTCGGACATAGGTGGCACAAGCGAGCCCCTAAGCGTAGATACCATGCATGATCTCTTCTATCTGCACGAGAGAGGCACTCAGGCCGGAGTCCAGACTATATGGCTCAGCTGGGGTAGCTCCCTGGCGCCTGTGATCTGTGGCTACCTCATCCAAGCAAAAGGCTGGCGCTGGTTCCATTGGCTCACCAGCATCATGGCGGGGATAGACCTGATCTTGATCTTCTTCTTTGTGCCGGAAACACAGTACAAGCGAGATTTACACGAGGCGCTTGACTCGGTTGGCATCGATGGAAACGGAGAGACGAAATTTGTGGCTCAACGCCCATCCCCTGCGGATCCTGTCACTAAGGTCGAAGACGAAACGACGACCGAGATGGTCGAAACCCGGGTCCCAAAAGCCGCTAAAAGGACTTTTCTCCAGGAGCTGAAGCCCTGGTCTCCAGTCCGGAGGGATGTGAATGTGATAGGTTCATTCTTGCGGCCCTGGGCGACATGGTGTTACCCTAGTGTTGTGTGGTCCGTCTTCTCATTCTCGATTCATGTAACATGGTAAGTTTTGAATCTTCTTACAAAACTTGGCATATTGCTGACCATCATGACTCTTTAGTGTGGTGGTCCTGATAACCATGATACCAATCTACTTTGGAGCTCCGCCTTACAACTTTTCCATCGGTCAGCAGGGACTTGTATACTTGAGCTCGTGTATTGGAAATGCATTTGGCTCGGTCTTCTGCGGCTTCTTGAACGACAAGTTGAGCCAGTGGTCCACAAGACGCAATCAGGGTGTCTTTGAACCTGAAATGCGGCTCCCTGTGACCGTGTTTCCTGCTCTTCTTGTGCCGGCCGGGCTCTTGATGTTTGGAATCGGCTTGCAGCATGGAATTCACTGGATTGTTCCGGTGATTGGCGTTGGCCTCGTCGGGGTGGCACTGACTGGAATAGGGTCAATCATCCAACCATATCTGATGGACAGCTATACTCCGGTTCTGTTTGATTGCCTCGTGGTAAGTGGAATCAGCACCGACCAAACATATACGATTCACTAATTCGTCTACAGACCTTCAACGGATTCAAAAACTTGGTGTCATTCGCTGTTGGCTTCGCAGTCGTTCCCTGGCTCCAGGCGGACGGGCTGGTCGCTGTCTTTTGTATCCTGGCTGCGTTGGTATTCGTCATTGATGCGTCCGTTGTGATCATCTACATGTTCGGGAAGAGATTGCGCCAACGAGATGCCAGGCTCAAGGTGTTCCTTTTCTAGTTGGACCATGAAGCATCATACTCGAGGCAGGATTATTCCAAGGGCGAAACATATGTTAAGCAGGAGACAAAATCAGTCAGCAGGCGCCCGATAGAGTCACTTCTCTGACTCCAAGTGTCTTCTCAGCTATCTGTCCTCGCCATTTCGATGATAAGGACCAAATATTGTCGAGTAAGAGCTAAGGATTCTCCAGGATAGGTCTAATTGCATTGATTTAGCAGAACTGAGTCTGTCTCTTTCGGGCCTCAAATGCTCAAATAGTCAGTTGTGCCTAGCCTTATGATATTGACATCCTAGTAGAGGACATTGAACCGGGAAACCGTCATATTTTTACAAGACGATGATCCCGCAAAAGCTATAGGAAATTAAGGCTTGAAAGTCCCAGGGAAGTGGAAGCATGATATTGGAGCTTTCCATATGTGTTCTTCATGGCATTGAAAATCCTCCATTCACTGGAAGACAAGCACCCGTGATCCAGCTGCTCTTATCCTCGCAAAGGAATGCAATTGCATAGGCTATTTCGGACGGCTCGGCCATGCGTGGCCCCATGGGTGTGGCGTCGAGGAGAGGCTGGACATTCTCCAGGAATTCTGGGCCAGATTGAGTGAAACCGGCGGTATTGGTAGGGCCAGGTTCGACTGCATTGACTGTGCAATGATACTTAGGGCCCAACTCCCTGCCAACGTTAGCGACAATGTGACAATATTGACGAGCTATAGACAGCTTTGTAACTTACAAAGCCCAGCATCTGGTGAAAGATTCGATCATGGATTTCGTACCACTATATACTGTCGACCCTGGAAAGCCCTGGCGGGCACCAACACTGCTCAAGTTGACTATATGGCTGTTTGGCGCGAGATGAGACAGCACAGCTTGCGTAAGCAGAAGCATTCCTCTGATGTTGAGGTCGACCTGCATATTCCACTGATCCAAGGTAATGTCTGCGAGAGGCCGCATGATGGCTATCCCTGCATTGTTTACCAATATATCTATCGGCCTACCCACCAACCGGACAGCTTCATCAACGAGGTGTTGGGGCCCATCCAGAGTAGACATATCTGCCTCAATTGCTCGACACTCATCCGCAGCTGTGCCTCCGCTTAATCTTATGTCTTCGAGTACCTTGTCAGCATCATCTTTCTGGGAAGGCCACGGATAGTTCACGATGACGAGTGCTCCCCTATATCCAGGAATCAGTAAGTGATTGAAACACCACATGTCGCTAACTTTACCTCGACGCCAGCTCAACACATGTCGCTGCCCCAATTCCTCTGGCGCTACCACTTACAATGGCCACCTTGCCTTCCATTGTCTGTTTGCCCGCCATTTGGTTACTAATTCAAGACCGGCTACAAGTTGAAGGACAGTCTGCCGCCAGAGAAGAAGTATCATAAAGTCTCATGCTGAGTATTTCGCCACACCCTGGAACAGGTCCTAGCCCAGCAGAAGTACCACCATGCAGCCTGTTCTGGTGGCGACCGAGCAATTGTGCTGCTATGGAATCGGGCAACACGGTATCAACTGTGTCCCGAAATTGCAGTCTTTGTCGGAGTTCGGGTAGACCACAGTCAACTCCGTAGTGTCCTACCCGCTACCCACCAAAGCCTCACTAGCCCCAGCACCACGCGAAGTCTTACAAATCAGAGGCACCCAGATACTTTTTATGCAGTCGCAAGCAAATTAGGGAGTTTCTTTGTCAACGAGTGTGTACGGAGTAAGCAAATGGCTTTCCCGCCAGGCCTGGGAGGACAAGACGAGAAAGACTCCCATCTCCGGGGTACTCCGTATTCGTGGGGTAGTGTCCACTGGCATTTGGCGAGGATATGCGGCTATTCCGCCACGTATGACCCCGCAACATTCTTTCCCAAGGCGGATGAGAAGTCTTTGTGTTCTTTCGAGGCATCGTATCTTGTAACTGTACGGGTTGAGCTTTGAAATATATCACTTTTCAAAGACTGGGGCATCGTATCACTCTCCCGAGTCTATTCTACACGATTGTGACTCGACTCGGTCGCTGCAAGAATGCATTTCACGGAGGAAGCAACCTGGCGAGACGCCAGGTATCACTGCTCGATTTGTTCTCGTCCTTTTGATCGCAAAGACACGCTTGCAAGGCACATGCGCGTTCATGACAAGCATCGCCCACAACCAAAGCCAAGGAGGAAAGCCTGTCTATCCTGCTCTCAGTCTAAGACTCGATGCAATGGCGAACGGCCCTCATGTGCATCGTGCGCCCGTCGGGGCTTGACTTGCATCTATAGTGACTCAAGTCAGAATCAAGACAAGACGACAACCTCACCAACAAGAGGTGGAAGTCCTGTGACCTACGATCAACTCTCAGACGCCTCTCATGATCTAGGGCATGCTTCGGGGAACGACTTGGTCTCGTCTGTGAGCGACAGTCAGCTACTCGCAACTGAGAGTTCTGTTGCCCACCCGGACCCTCATAACACGACTCGGTATCATTGCGTGGCATCCGGTACTGTGCCCAACATCGCCCCCGATGGACCTCCCCAGAACCTGTATTCCACCTTTGATGATATGGACTTCAACTCGAACCTGGACTGGATACTCAAAGATGTCAGTGGTGAAGACATGCTCAGTCCAGCAGACCTCTTCGGTTTCCAAGAGTGCCCCGAGGGCCAATTGAATCTGCCCGTATCAGCTGCCTCAGCGGCGATGCTGTCAGCCAGACATTCTGATGCAGGAGATAACGATCATGAGGACGTGAACGGGCATGATGCCAGCTCCGCTGTGGCACTAGGTGGTCTTCTCACTCCGCAGCCTCAAGAGATGGGAGACCCCGGAGATCCATGGCCACTGGACACACCCAGGCCGACGCAAAGCCATATGGCATTGCCCGCGCTGGGCAACGACAACCAAGATTTCCGTACCTTCGCCAGGTTCTTCTCAGTAACACCAGTCTGTGATCGCACATGGCATGCTCTTCGAAAATGCCTCATGCTCCCGTTCGAACACAACTCGATTCAAACCCTGAACCTTGACCATTTCCCCAGCAAGGAGAAACTGGATCATTGCATCGACTTGTATTTTGCTTACTTCCATCCGACGCTCGACCTTGTACACCAACCGACCTTTGATCCCGGTAGAGACCTGGTGCTAACCTTGGCAGTGGTCAGTGTCGGGGCTTGCTACTCTGACCTTCAAGGCGCCAAAGCTTTCTCTATTGTCCTTTCAGAGCTGGTCCGGAGGCTGCTGATTTTCGTCGCCGAACAGGACCGCCGATTTGTTCGCACCGGACCTTATCTCACGGCTCAGCTCCTGCAGGGCACACACGGCTACTGCACGGGCAGCGAGCGGCTTTTTGAGCTGAGCGAGTCATGCCGGAGTACATTGCTCCATCAAGCGAGATGTATGGGTCTGTTTCGCTTCGAAGCACCGGCGCCGATCCAGATGGACCAGACACTGGAAGAGATGTGGCGTGAGTGGATCGAGGCCGAGAAACTGCGGCGTCTGGGCTGGGTCCTATACATGTATGATGCTTCGGTAGCGTATTTGCTGAATAACAGACCATTCTTGAGCATTGGAGACATCAACCTCAACCTCCCTGCCTCAGCGGAAGAGTGGGCTGCTGAGACTGCACAGGCCTGGTCGGCCCTTCGCCCAACAAGGACATATCACACGAGCTTGCCCTTGCGGCCTCTGATCAGAACGCTCTTCGACGGGACGCCTAACGCTGTCGAAAGGATTACTGATGAAGGGCACCGGTTTCTTGTTGTTCTGACGTTGGTCAGAATGCTGTGGTCGCTGAAAGAGAACCGGTCGTCGCCGTTAAATGATCTGATAATGCCCGCCCCTTTCGACGACGGTCGGGCTGATCTCCTACAGGCACTAGATTCCATGTCCGTGTCCATCGTGGCCGCATCGAGGAGCCATACCAAGACCGAGATAGATCGACTGGTGCATCGAATGCGTTTGATCCACGTTGCTCACATTTACGGCGCGGGCGACCTCATGAATTGGCTTTACCCCTACCTTCGTCACGGGCTGGAAGCCGAGAATGCGGCTGTTCGCATGAAGCGATGGGGCTCCGAAGACTCGCAAAGAACACGAGAAGTCGCCTACCACAGTGCGCAAATCTTGGGTTTGATCAGGAACTTCCCAAACTCCATGCCGTTGGAGTCCTACTTGATCTTCCATGCAGGGGTGGTCCTCTCATGCGTTGCCCCGTTGCTACCTTCAAGTACCCTGTCGAGCCAAAGCATTCCCTTACAGATTGACCAGCTCGACCCGGGAGACAACAGTATTTCCAGAAGACATCTCCACTGGGTGAAGAATGGTGGAAATCAGTGTATCAGCATCTTCGGTGTTCGCTCTCTCTGTACCCCGACGAGCAGGCAGGATATCCTTGATCAAACAGCAGCATTGCTGAAACGTCAAAAAGTCTGGGGTATAGCACGTAATCTGGAGAAGGTGGTTCTCTCATTAAGGGGCCGTGACCGTGATACAGCCCTATGAAGGTACATGTGGCCTTAAGAGCTATTTCCCTCACCAATTATTCCCCTGTGTTTATACTTGGGATGACCTATGGAAGGAAGTGAACCAATTAGGGGTCTCATTTTGAGAGGCTACCGTTGCTCCCAGCGACTATCCTATGATCATCCCATGCGATGACTTGACCGTTGAGATCCTTCGGGATCTCAGAGAGTGCCAGACTCGCGAATGTACTCGCCGGGGCCTCTGGGGGGAGTAGCTCTCCATTGGCGTGAAGATCTGTCAACCAGTTATACTGTTCTGCGGGCATATGAAACTTGTCTGGACGATGTGTGAGTGGCCTGGGCACCTTTTTCCGACATCGACTAAACTTACGCTCCTCCCGTACCTCCGCCTGCATCCCTGAGTTCACAATACCTGGCGTTAGACACAGGGACTTCACTTGCGGCTCTTCTTTTGCCAGGCTGGCGCAGAGACAGTTCATGGCTGCTTTAGAGCAAGCATATGCAGCCCAAGCATGATATGGCTGGAGTGAGACCCCCGACGAGGTCATGAGGATCTGGCCGTTTGATCGACGCAGATACGGCAATGAGAGCTGGATCTGAAAATACCGCCATGAGTCAGATTACTCGGTTGCTCCTAGTGTGTAGGCTACCGGCTATCAGGATCACTCACAGCATGGACCAACCCGAAGAAATTCACATCGAAAAGGCTCTTCCACTCTTGGACAGGTGTATCAGCAATGGGGCCGACCGGACGCAATATGGCTGCGTTCAAGATGATGCAGTCAAGCTTGCCCCTCTGTTGGATTGCGGCGTTGACGGCGCCCGTGTTCGTAGATCGACGCGCAACATCTCCCTGCACCACGGAAAGGCGTTGGGCATGTGAAATCGCGAGCGTTTCGAGCTCCGACGTTTTGATATCCACGCCAACAACGAGAGAGACTGTATCCCGCGCCAGTAACTGCTTCGTTAGTGCGAGGCCTATTCCCGCGCCCGCCCCTGTGACGATACTGGAATGCTGTGAGATATTTTGTTCTCAAAGCCTGGGAGAAGGTTAATTACATTACTTTCCCTTCGATCCTGTCAGAGCCCATTGATGCTTGTTGTTGGTACAGCGTGGCGTATATATCTCGGCTTTGTTGACTCAATATTGAAGATGAGTTCTTGTCTCACTTTATGTTCATAGGATGTTGTCCTCCGAGGATATGCTGAGAAGGTCTATGGGTTACCAACGGAGGAGGCCTCTCTGCCAGGTAGTGCCAGTATCAACCCCGACGCTCAGGTCAATGGTAGCAGCGGCAATGTAGAAACTACCACCCCATCCTCCGCAACTTGATAAAGCCGTCGAAGTTCTGTCCCCTAGCTCCATTACACATAGGAATACGCCGACGGATGTTTTGAAGGCTCGGTGCGGAGAAATCGGCGTATCTGCCTCGCACACGGGGTCACTGGCTTCAATGCGCTGATCCTAGGATCCTCCGGAATTCGGAGTGGTCTGAAGGTAGCGTCCGGTAATTTGAAGAAGCTGCTCGAATATTGCGGGACAGATGGCATCGATTTCAGATCGTGGGGGCGCGGCAGGCAGTATTGAAAAAAACACTGAGTGCCTTTGGCACGATTGTTCTCCGAGGCTGTGTAACATCCACATTGTGATAAGGAGGAGGTTTCCTGCAATAGACGTAAGAGGTACACGGTTAGCCTCGTACACGATGATCTCCATGTACAAGTCCACTGAGGAAGAAATAACCACGGTGATGGGAGCACTAAACCGACATAGCGTCGTCCAGTTTGTCTCCTCGGGCAAATATGGGAAGCCTCGAGACCTCGTGTTGATTGTTATATTGCTGCTTACCGTCACATGGCTTGCACGGCGGATATTCCGACGCGACCTCAGATCCATTCCCGGACCATTCCTGGCTTCTGTATCCAACTTCTACCGGCTTGCCATGGTTCTTGGAGGCCAAAGCCACTGGAAAACGATCAAACTCCACCAAAAGCACGGCAATTACCTTCGCCTGGGACCCAACTTTGTCTCAGTCAGCGACCCTGACGCGTTGCCAATCATCTACGGAATCGCAAAAGGCTTCCGCAAGTCAGACTTCTACACGGCGCTCGACCCGGTGGTAAATGGGCAGCTGATGCAAAGCATGTTCGCCACGCAGAGCGATGACTGGCACAGAGCACAGAGGAAGCCGATCGCCCACGCCTATGCCATGTCGACACTGGTCTCGTATGAGCCGCTGGTCGATTCCACGACGGCCATCCTGATCGAGGTAATCGGAAACAGATTCGCCTCGACCGGACAAACATGCAACTTAGCACAATGGCTTCAGTGGTACGCCTTCGACGTGATGGGGGAGATCACCTTTTCAGAACGGTTTGGCTTCCTGGAGCAGGGGCGTGATATTGGGGATATTTGCCAAGGCATACACCATCATTTCACCTATGGAGCACCGGTAAGTGGCTCAGGGTCATCTTTATTGCCAGGGAAGCCCTAACCCAAAGTCTGCGCAGGTCGGTCAGATACCTTGGTTAGACAGGTTCTTGAGACGGAACCCTCTACTACCGAAACGAGAAGTCTCGGACCCAATGGTTGCGTTTACAGCCCAAGCAATTGGAAAACGCTTACATTCGTCGGACACGCAACAACACCATGACTTTCTGTCACGATTCTTGAACGCAGATAGTGGTCAGGACACAAAGGAGGCTCATTTCCGGTAATGCATCATGCTCCAGGTCTCACAAGGTCCCTTACAATCTGACCGTATCACAGAAGTGTTCTAAGTTGGTCGGTCAACAACGTCGGCGCCGGCTCCGATACCACGGGCATTACCCTGACCGCCGTGTTCTATCACTTGCTTTCAAATCCACGCAGCTTGGAAGCCCTACTGAGGGAGATAGGGTCGACAAAATTAGCCTCTAGCACAGCGGTAAGCTGGAGAGAGGCACAGAACATGCCATACCTCCAAGCTTGTATCAAGGAGGCTCTTCGGCTGCATCCCGCTGTTGGCATGCCATTGGAAAGAGTGGTGCCAGAGGGCGGGGTGTCCCTCGGTGGGCACCGATTCCGGGGTGGCACAATCGTCGGGGTCAATGCATGGGTGCTACATCGAAACAAAGATGTGTTTGGACAAGACGCTGAAGTTTGGAATCCTGAGCGTTGGTTAGAGGCCGATGCTCAGCAATTAAAAGCAATGGAGAGAGCTACGCTCACGGTAATGGACGCAAGAGTCATTCAATCAATCTCATCCTCATTGAACAGGTAACTGACTTTCTACGTGGCTTTAGTTCGGATCTGGGTCTCGTACCTGCCTAGGGAAGAACATCTCCCTGCTCGAGATATCAAAGCTGGTGCCGCAAGTATTGCGATCATACGAGGTACGTCAATGCGTAACTCCCAAGAAGAGAGTGTCTGATATCAAGCAGATAACCCTGATGACTCCTGGAGAAGAATGGCAGGCAAAGAACTTCTGGTTCGTGAAGCCGGAATCTCTCAACGTCAAGTTTAAAGCGATTCAAAACAGATAAAGTCGGTAGAGGGAAGTGAACAACTTCGGCTAGGCAGGGCGGTGTTGGCCAGATAGAGCGTTGTTGACTATCCTAGTCAACAACCGAGGAGTCATATATCGAACTTGTAACTCCCTTCTCCGTCATGGAAGCTGTGTTGATCGTTATTGCGTATCAACAGTAGCATTTGACAAGGAAGGAGCTCAGGGAATCGAGAGCGACAGGAGCCTGAAAGTCGAGAGACTCAAGACGGGGATGGAAATGCCTTCGCGACAAGCCGAGAAACATGATGCAGCTCTCCCGCCTCCTCAATATCTCCTTGGTCATTTCATTTTCCTTTCCTATCTCAATACAGTTGCCTTGGGGAATAGAATATGACCCCTCTCCACCCTGTCCTGCTTTTTCAACCTGTCTATCACAGATTGGATGTCAGTTACTGAGCCCCAGATGGAGCGGAGGCTCCTTATTGCAGAACTGTCAGTGCTACAGAGCAGTAGCGGAAACGCCCTGGCTTTCTCGAGACGGTCGAGTCAGTCCTCGGCGACCACTTCTTTGTGTTCAGCTCTGTTGTCTTTCTCTGACTGCGCCGGTTCGACTCTAGTTGTACCCAGTTCTTCAATGTCATCCTGATTTTGAACGATAATTTCGTGGGTGTCGTGATCAATGTATATGTCTTTGGACTTCACCGCCACCTCTTCCGTCAGGCCGAACACCACCGCAGTTTCCTCAAGAGGAATAGAGCTTGTCTCTGGGAGGAAGAAGTAAAGAAACACAACACCACATGCCGTGGTGATGATGAACAACTGGCCCGAATAATTAGTCAAGCTTGAAGAGGTAGGCCTAATACTCACAAGAAAGAATCTCCATCCAACGTGTCGGAAGGCTGTCGGCGCTGTTGTGAGGAGAACAATGTTTGTCAAGTTGCACGCTCCAATGGCTAGGGCAACCCCTTTCGAGCGAAGGTGATTGGGGAAGAGCTCGCTGGACACGATAAAGAGACAGATGTCAACGCTGAAGCAGTAGCAAGACTCGAACAAATATAGAGCCGCGACGCCGACGGCAAGGCCGGGCTTGTTGGTCCCTGCTTCGGCATAGCAGGCCACCATTGCAGTCTCTACGGAGATCATGCATGCGCATCCTGTGAGGCCACTGATCAAGATCAATCGGCGTCCTAGACGGTCCACCAGCATCGAACCGATGGTGCTGAAGATGATCGCCGTTGTGATGTAGCCGCATTGGAACCTGACTTGGTCGTATGGACCATAGCCAAGAGCTCCGTAGAGGCTTGGGCCCTGTCATGCTCATTAGCACGGGAAAGACTTACTGAGAGTTGAGGGCGACATACATAGTTATTGACGACGAGATTGCCGGACGTCTGTGCCAGAAAGCCCAGAATGAGCACCAATCCACCTCTTCGACGGTGGGTTTTATGTTTCAGAAATCCAATCCACGAAGCGTCGAGGGTACAGTCGAGCTCAGCCTGTCGCTGCATCTGAAAGAACTCTGCACGGGCGTCGTCTTCATGACCCGGTGCCGCATGTTGTTTCAAGACAACAGCGAGTGCTTCTTCAGCCCTGTCCTGCATTAAAAGGTATCTTGGTGACTCTGGGACAACAAGCAGCGCAGGGAGCAAGAGGAGTGGCCAGGCCACGCCGAGGGCGAGTGGAAGACGCCACTGGATGGTCTCTCCGAGGCTGAAGAAGGCTGCGCCGAAATACGCAGCCACCGCGTAACCCACTGCGACCCAAACCCCGGTTATACCCACCGTCAAGCCACGAGTCTTTGTGGGTGCCAGCTCGGCGACGTATACCGGCGCTGGGCCAGGATCAGCGCTTTGCTCATTGAAGGCAGGAGGGACAAACGTACTGATAGACATTTCCATGAATGCCGCAGCTCCCACAAAGAATCTTAGCGCAATGAACATGGCAACATTTTGAGAAGCGGCAGTAATAGCCTGGGATATAATGCAACTGGCAGCCACGATTATCGCAGTCTTCTTTCTCCCGAACCGGTCAAGCAGCCAGCTACCGATGAGGACCCCAACGAACCCTCCAGCCTAATAATGGGTAAGTCAAATGTGTGGACGAAGCACGAGTGTTCCTTCTCACCTGGAATATGCCAGTGGTAGCGCCGATCAAGGCTTCAGAGTTGCCAGTAGGGTCGCCATTCTTATCTACCAGGCCCATGTACACAAGGAAGCCTGGATCGGCCAAAGTGTCGCCGATGACGCCAGAGAGGTAGCCGTTCACAAACATGCCAAAGCTCAACGCCATACATGTCCAGAAATTGACCCAGTTGAAGGGGATTTTGATACCTTGCGAGCCCATCGTGAGTTAATATCTCCTAAATGGTCATCTGGCGAACGGAAGCAGTCGATTTACCAACCGATGTGCCATGCAAGTTGCCATCTTGATTGTTCATATATATACCAGCTCCCATGCCAGCAAGATGAACACCGCGGATCACGGTCGTCTTCCAGACCGTGAGATGACCGTGCAGGACAAGATGAGTTCGCATGTATCTAAGCCATAGCTCTTGCCGCGAGTATCGCTTAAGCATTCCAATGGTGGAGGCGCTGCCCTGGGGATCTGGGGTACTGGAGAAATGACCCCAGCCCTCCAGACTCGTGGGACATGCTTTGAGCGTACGCACGTAAGCCAGTGCATCCCATCATGATTGGATGCTTTGATCACATTCAAAAAGCAATAGTGTCATTTTGCGACGTTATCTGGGCGATGCGAGTACCGTGCTTCGCCGTGATCGATGGCTATTCTGATATTATGGGGTCATCTTCCCAAAGGGGCTAGTCGTAAATTAAAGGCTGGCAATATTGAGGTGATTCGCAAGCCGAGTGGTCCTTGGCGTGCACTATTCCAAATTTAGTTAAAACGCTTCTTTATTCCTCACGGCCGTATCGGGCTCGGATTGGCCACTTCCCACCCCGAACTCCGTGTATAGAGAGCTATCCAATATTTGATTAGCCACTAACGCATAACAAGGCCCTGTGGAGGCCGGTAGCATTGCTCCAATTAAGTCTCTGCTACATGGCAGACATCTTATCTGAGTGATCAGGAGTATTGGCTATTCAAGTGGATTGATATCAGTCCCATGCTAACTAGGGACTTCCGAAGACCACAACGTCTATCCTAACATTTGCTTCCTCCTTTCTTCAAGTAGAGTGAGAACTTTTCGTACAGCCGGCCTTGCAACAAGCTTTGCCATCCAAGCGTTATAAGCACTGTACTGTGCCATTGGGATTCTTTTCTCCTTGTCAAGCCATGGTACGAGGGCCGCCCAAGTCACGAAACTCAGGTCTGCATACGTACATTTCTCACCAACAAGGAACTCATGTTTCTGCAACCAGCCGTCAAGAACGCCGATAACCCTTTCGACCTCTTTCAAGTATCGATCCTTCGCACTCTGCAAGTTTTCATGGTGGTAGTGGGTAAACCAGGCGCACTGACCGTAGTATGGCCCTTGTCCAGAGACTTGAAAATGTAGCCACTGGTTCAGGAGGTATTTCTCGGGCGCGGAGTGGTATGTGATACTTGCATCGACATCGTACACCTCGACCAGATACTGGATGATGGCGCCAGACTCCCAGATCGTCAAGCCGTTGTTCGGGTCTGTGAGGGCAGGCACTCTCCCATTCGGATTGAGATCTGTAAACGGCTTCTTCTTTACTTCCGACACATCGAGTAGCCGGGTCTCGTACGGTAGTCCTAGCTCTTCAAGGACAATTGCGACTTTGTATGGACTTTGACCCATTGCGCCGTTAGAAAAAAGGCTCACAACATGCCGGGTATTGAAAATTTACTTACTTCGGTCCACCAGCGGTGGAGTATAGAACAAGGCTCTCTAAAGTGGTATGCATAGCTTTTGACGGCGCGGTGATGAGAACTGACTGCTCAGCAACTTCTGTTTGAGGCTGGCTCGGAGTTTATACTACATATACCCTCATGCCACCACATCTTTGTCCGGGCAGCGATAAGAGCTGGAATGAGACAGAGACTGTGTCTGCTCCCTGTCCTCCTCGAACATACTGACAAATGTTCCAGAGCTCCACGTATCCACAGGTGTCTCTTTCGCACGTAATTTTACATTCACGGTATCTAGTTGCAACAGCTTTTGTGTCACATGGCGCCCAAAATACAGTGGACCCTATGACTAAAACGGTCGTGGTCGGCACAATCGATTGACCGTTATGAAGCACAACGGTATTAGCCGGCGACCTTGTAACTGCTTGCTGAAGCGGAAACAAAAGAAATAGTTAGAACTGTCTATAGAGCCCTCTCTCTGACTGCCTAAGGACGTCAAGTAGCTCTAATCGTCTACTAAGACCATCAATCCTCTCCAAGTTCGTACTCTCAGCCTCGATGTCTACATTCAATATCGACCAGGACCAAGCGAAGGCGCTCAGGGGTAAAGTTGCCATTTTGACAGGTATGAATTGCAGACTCAGCTATGTGGCGAGAGAGAGAGAGATTGCAACCTCTAACTGAAGATAGGTTCTTCTTCCGGAATCGGCCTCGAAACATTGAAGCTATTTGCAGAGAATGGCGCAACAGTTGTGAACGCAGATCTAAAACCACCGTCCAGCGAATTTCCCAACACGACTTTTATCAAGACGGACGTCACGAATTGGGATGATCTTCGCAATCTATTCGAAGAGACTGTGAAAAGATATGGCCGCGTGGATGTCACTTTTGCGAATGCTGGTGAGCTTTGTCTTGACTTAGACTTATACTTTTAGAAATGCTTGGATTACTTCAAGGGAAAGCAGCTGAGATTTTATAGGTGTCGCAGCCATAGCAGATTATTTCGACCTACAACTCGATGACCACGGACAACCGAGGGAGCCATCTCGACTGTGCTATGAGATCAATGTGCTCGGTTTGATCAACACTGTTACGCTAGCAATTTGGCACATGGCACGGCAAACCACGGGTGGAAGCATTGTTCTCACTGCCTCAGCAACAAGCGAGTGCCTTCCTCTAATCTCGAAATAGCTTGGCTAACAGCGAGTGAGCAGGTTATATGTCATTCGGTGCGACCGACTATAGTAAGTACTGGTAGTTTCCAAGATCGTTTGTCGACCCAGCGGGGCTTACCTCGATCTCTAGCAACTTCCAAGCATAGCGTCCTCGGATTTCAAAGAGGTCTACTTCCACAGTTGCGGGTCCGGCATCTGGACAAGATCCGAATCAACAGCATCGCACCGAACTGGACTCGCACGAATCTCTTGGACGCTGAATGGCTCGAAAGCATCGGCGTCAGATTCCAGGAGCCCAAAGCCGTAGCTCGAGCAGTTTGCATGCTGGCCTCCGACCAATCCCGCAACGGCGAAGTAATATACGTGGAGAACGGGGCTTACCGTGAGATCGAGAAAGAGGCATTAGCATTCAGTTATCAACTGTGCAATACCTTGGCTGAAGGGAATAGCCACGCACAAGACGAGGAGGTCTTTGAACAGATATTCAAGAATGGACAAGGGAGAAAGATATAGTGGTGAGGGAGCATTTCGGTTGTCTAGGACTGGGCTGTGTGGCATGTGTGGAGAAGTTAGTGCAAATTACAGCAGAGATACAACGAGAATGGATTGATAAATGCCATCAAAAGCAAGTGCTGCCTCGACGTCTCGCAATGCTGAGTTTTGAACAAAGCGGCAGCACTCCCTTTCCTATTATAGACTAGCATATAGTATTTAGCCGTATGAGGATCCGGCTTGGCGCGATCGCGATTTTCTCCGCATTCGCGCAGACAAACTCGGACTGTTTGGATTGTTCTGCCATCATCAACCAGCCCGCTCGCCCTTGTCGCACCTCACTTCACGCGAGCTTGCAGCTCCTGCAAGAGCAGTCAATCTCTTGCTCCTAGTGAGTCCTCCTCTTTTAATCTCCACGAATGGCAGACAGAGCGAGCAACATGCTGAAAAGGCTTCACCCGGAAGACGATGACCTCGAGAGCCAGAAACGAGCCAGATCTAACAATGGCTCTCCTCGTCCCACTACTCCAGCTGCAGCCCCCCCCTCTGCGACGACGGGGGCAAAGCCAGATGTTGATGCCATAGTAGCCCGTGCCAAAGCCGCGGCTGCGGCAAGGGCGGCTGAATTGAAGGCGAAGATGGCGGCCATGACGGGTGGTGGATCGACGGCGTCACCTGCGACGACAGCGAGTGCGTCGCCGACTCCCCCTTCGAGTGTGAGCGATAGGATTGCTCAAATGAGGGCTCGAGTGGCGGCAGCGACGGGTCGAGCGGCAGTACAGACTCCGCAAAGGTCGTCGACAAACTTTACTGCGCCAGCCTACAATGATGACATGTCGAAAGCACGAGGAGGGCTGAACATTGGTATACACCCTGATCTGCTGGCTGATGCGCAACATGAAGCGCAGAGGAACAAGGGACGACCACCGCAACCAAAGTTTCCATCTGCCATGGGAAATCGAAGAATGGAATCACCTGCTCCAGTGAAGGCGCAGCTAGATCTCTCCGGCCCTTCGTTGGAAGAACTCAAGGATAACCCATATTTCGACGCGAGTCTGGGCTCTCGAAATGTGTTGCCGAAAGCTCGACACTCTCGGCAGCTGGTCTTTAACCAAAAGGGCAAATACATCCAACAAGCGGCAGCACTTCGGCGTCAAGCGCAACTGGAAGCTATGAAGAAGAAGATCGCGGAACACGCAAGGCAGGCCGGATTGGAAGAGGACCTTGATACCGAGAAGGCGTTCCTCGTCCCTGCCCCTCCTGACCTGGAATGGTGGGATGAAGGCCTCGTCAATGGCAAATCCTACGATGTCATCTCTGACCCAGCAAACCTGAAGATCGACACGCCGGATAGCATCATCACGGTCTACATACAGCACCCAGTACTCATTGAGCCTCCACAGGAGAAGAATAACCCGCCCCTAAAGCCCATGTATCTCACGTCGAAGGAACAAGCCAAACTGCGGCGTCAACGCCGCATGGCCGATCTCAAGGAAGAACAAGCCAAGATCCGGCTGGGTCTTGTCCCTCCTCCTCCACCAAAAGTGAAAAAGAGCAACTTGATGCGCGTACTGGGCGAGGAAGCTGTGAAAGACCCCACGGCCGTCGAAGCCCGGGTGAATAGGGAGATTGCCGAACGAGCGGCCAAAGCCCAAGAAGACAATCTAGCTCGCAAACTCACGAAGGAACAGCGGGCCGAAAAGCTTGCTAGGCAGCAAGCCGAAGATGCTGCCCGTGGGATCCACGTCCGTGTGTACAAGATCGACTCACTCGCCAACGGCAAACACCGATACCAAGTCTCGGTCAACGCGGATGAGAACGCCCTCACGGGCGTGGTCATCATGCACCCTAAGATGAACCTCGTGGTGGTCGAAGGTGGCGAGCACAGCATCCGCAACTACGACAAACTGATGCAGAACCGCATCCGCTGGACCGAGATGGAGGCGCCGCGCTCCGTCGCACAGGGAAACCGCGAGGCGCTGGCCAAGTGGCTCGAGGCCGAGGACGAGAACGGCGAACTGAAGGACCTGAGCCTGAACAGGTGTGAGCTGATCTTTAAGGGCGAGGAGAAGCAGCGCAACTTCAAGCGGTGGCTGGGGGCCCGGGTGTGCGAGACGGACGCCCAGGCCAAGGACGTTTTAAGCCGGGCAAAGATGGAGAATTTCTGGGCACTGGCGAAGACGTTCAAGAAAGAGGTCTGAAGGAAAGCGGATGAGGAGGAACGAACACACACACGCGCGCCCACGTGGTGCTGCTGAATAAAAAGGGATATCAAGATATATTCAATCGCGAGACCGTATGTAGATACAGACATATACCACTGGTGGAAACCCCTGGAAAGCGTGAACAAACAACGCTGGTCGAGCAGAGCCCGCTGATTTCTGGTCTCTCTGCATGTGTCTTCCGCTGTGAAAAGAGTCCAACAAGCGAGCTCGTGTCTATCTCGCTGACCAGTCCGTTAACCTCGGTGCGTCAAGACACAACGACCGACGTCGCTGGGTCAGCAGCGGCAGCTTCATAATCCCAAGACACGTCCATCGCCCCTCTCCATACGCCGTACTGTCTTTTTTCCCCACCAGGAAACGGGTACAGAACAGTAGCAAACATAACACATTGCGCGGATCAGCCTGCTCGAAAAGGGAAAAGAAAAAAATCCACCCGGCAGCTCTTTACCTGGTGGTCCACGGCCAGCAAGCCGATACTTCGAGATCAAAGCGGCTTAGCCCGTGCTCTTTACACGTGCCGTTCCTCGCCTCATGGATTCAGCTTTGTGGCCGCCTGTTCCAGCATGCCCGCCACTTTCTCGACCTCGACCTGCGCTAACGCCCAGTCCCCGTCGTCGACGGCGTCTCTCACACTGGGGAACGTCGCGTCGTCATATCCACTCCACAGCTGCGGTGCAAAGATGACATGTTTGAACTGTGTGCGGTTGGCCAGTCCGCCGCCTTCGGTGAGGTCAAGAAGATCCGTCTCGAAATGTGTGAGGCGGTTGTTGTGGTCCAAGCGAGCTTTGCCCATGGCGGAGGATTCGAAACCTCCGGCCCCGAAGATGAAATCGCGCCAGGTGGCATCGAAGGTGTGGAAGCGCAGCGCCTCCTGGGCAAGGATGTCCGACGCTTTCCGTAAGGGGGAGAGGTCAAGAATATTTGCGTCTGATGCTGTGGGCGCAGACTTCGCGTACCCGTCAAGGTCATCGACGTATCTCGTAATAGCCCTGGCGTAAGCGCTAATATCGAAGGGGAGGACAGGGCGATCAGCCAACTCTAGAATCAGGAGTGCCCAGATCTCGCCCATGGCTTTGTGATATGTCCAGTCCGGATCACCGAACTTGGCCATCCACTCGAAATTGTCGTAGCATGAATGGTAGGGAAATCTGGCACCTTTGAAGAACATATCGATGGACGAGGTTCCGACGATGTCTTGGAAGGCAACGAAATCGCTTCCTGCGCCGAGGCCTTCGATGCTCCGGCCATCTGCGTCCCAGATTTCGCGGACCGATTTCCCCGTGGAGGGATCACTGACGCGGTTTATGACATGCAGGAGGGGTCGTTCATAAAGGGGAGAGGCGGCGGCGTGGAAATCTGCACCTGTCACTCCGACGTCAACATTGAGGTAGGCGATTCCATCCTCACGCAACTGCTCTTCCCGGTTTTCGACGTGCTCGGTGCTGCCGATTAGGTTATACTCCTCTCCATCCCAGCTAGCGAATTCGATTGTTCGCAGTGGCCGCCATCCCAATCGACGCAACTCGCCAAAGATGCGCACGACTTCGAGCATGACGGCCGTGCCACTGCCGGGATCAGCGGCGCCGGTGCACCATGCGTCGCGATGGTTTCCGACCACAATCTTCTTCTCGGGCTGCTCCCAGCCTGTAATCTTGCCAAGTACATTGTAGATGGGCTGCTTCTGCTCTTCATCTTGAAGGTTCTTGAGGTTGACTATTGGAGAGTCCTGGTTGCCCGTCCAGTATTCAACGTCAGGAACTCCCTGCCAGTTATCTTTCATCTGGTTGCCGTGCCCTCTGAGCGACTCGAGTAAATGCTTCGCATCCTCCCAGGAGATGGGGATGGAAGGGATCTTGTTGAGGCCGGCGCTCTCCTCCGGTTTGAGGTGTTGCTTGTTATCCGGCGTTGATGCCCATCCGGGAGTGAGAACATCTCCAACAACCCAGGACATGAGGCTGACCGCGCCCCTCTGTACAGCATCTTGAGGCATGAATCGCCCATCTGGAAAAGTCGGTCCTTGAATGAAGCCATCTTGCGCCGGGTCTGAGTAGATGATACACCCCACAGCACCGGCAAGTTCTGCGGCCTTGACCTTTAAGGCTCGGTCGCCCTGGGAGCCATAATAGCGAACCAGCACAACGGCGCCCTTGACCGAGATGTTGTTATCTTCGAGTGTTTTAAAATCCTCTCTCGACCCAAAATTCGCGTATATCAGGGGGCCTGTCACATCGCCCGACTTTGAATGGCCGTGAAATACCATAGACTTCTCTTGATCTTCCTCGATTTTGGCCTCCCATTTCATACTGTCTGGCTCGACGATCGCTACTCGTCTCCCGTCTTTTCGTGGATAATTCAGGTAGACATCGTATCTCTCCATCTCCACATCTTCCAGCTCACCTGCTTTGAACAGCTCAGCCACCCATTCTCCCAGCACATAGTTACCCTCGGTCCCTGCGATGTGAGGGAAATCCGTTATGTGCTGCAAATATTTCTGCATGTGCCCGTGATCGTTCATGTGGTTCTGTACAAATATTCTGATAGACTCAGGGTCGTATATCTGGCCCATTCCCATGCGATTCTTCGTAAATGACAGAACGTCCGACGCTATAAGTACATAGAGAACACCCATGATCAAGAAAACACCGAATAGCCGCCCGATGATGACGACACGGTTCGCATCAAACTGTTGATAGTTTATTCGCGGCCATGAAATGTTGGAGAGGTACTGCCGAAAGGAGGGGAGGGTCAGAGAGGAGAACGAGTTGGTCAGATTCGAGATACTCTTGGACAGTCTATATCGAAGGAGCGAGCGGTGGGAGGAGGAGTCGCTCTGAGGGTCTTCCACATCCATCTGCTGCATCTCTCTGCGCACTTCGTCTTCGCCATCTTGCTCGAGCCCGTCGAGGGAATCGAGGCTTGGCCGTGCAGACTCGACGGTGGGAGGGTGATAGTTTGCAAAGGATCCCAGAAGGCCTTGCCTTTCAGCATCGTCGCTGATTTCTTGTGGGCCGAGTCTAGATTGGGAGGAAGCAGGACGGGACGAGGTGGCCTCCTCGTAGGTCGGGATGGGCAGGTGGTCGTACTGGCCCTTGTCACCCATGGTGGTTCGATGGATAAGGGTGAAGTCCCGAGGGACGCCACTCACAGTCGCATCATCGTCGAGGCATGCGGGAAACAATCTTGCCGCGATGATGATCGGGTCGACGGGACAGTATTGCGATCAAACTGCGGACAAAAGTAGAGGTTGAAGGGAGGAAGATCTGGGAGAGTGGTGACTGACTGCGCCTCTCGCCTCTATCTGGCCTTTGGCCTCGGCGGGCGGCGGGCGACGCAATCCTCCAAGCGAAACTCCCCGCTGAAACACGTTGCCAGTGTGCCACCTCCGGATCTCCTTGGTTCAATCCCGGGGCATACAATGGATTAATCTATCGAACGCGAACTTATGCACTGTCACGATTGTTGCTTCCATCAATCGACTTCATCCCAGTGGCGCCAATGAAGTGTCTCACAATCCCTCCTCTCGCCCACCGCATGTGTCTCTCATGGGCTAGGACCACTGACCATTCTTCGCTGCGTCGAACTCACGGCGTGCTATCATACGTGCCCTCCCCATAACACACTCCTTCGACCGAAGTCCCATTCACTTGCTGGACAGCTTTGCCGTCGGCTCCAAACAAGATCATCTGGCCACCATCCTGGCGGTGATCGTACGTCGTCCAGTTGACACTCCTGGGACCATTGATCGGATCCTTGACGAACGCGAGGACATGGTCTTGCATGGCAGCACTCGTTGCAGATTCCAGCTTCGATACCTCTCCGGCTCGGATGCCATAAGTCCCAAACATCATTGCTAGATCGGAAGCGTGATATGCTCCCATCCACCATAGAGGGTTGATGTTGGAGAAGTTGCCACCATAGACGTACCGATATGTGGAGATGTTCAGGTCGTTCCGATATATGCTCGAATTGGAAATGCCACAGACGGTGTTGAGGGTACCTTTCAACACTGCCTGCGGGTTGGGACCTGCGGTGAGGTTGTTCAAGGGATACGCTGCCAGAGATGCGTACTCGTTGGCGGTGTTGGAAATGATGGCCGGCACTTTGGCGACCTGGCCAGCTCGATATCGCGCCGTATAATTGCTGAAGACGACATCCTCGTCCGCAATGGGGGTGAAAGCGATCGAGGCCTGATGAGTGTTTGTTGTGCTTGAATTGTCTTGGTACTGACCGACGAAGTTCTCGATCTCGCTAACAGGAACTCCTCGCATGCATTCCAGCTCAGCAGTCTTGTTATTGGGAAAATCACAGCCGAGATTGCGCGCAACGAAGGTGAAGTTGGTGCCATGGACGTCGGGGTTGGCCGCGCTTGAAAGTGCTGTTCCCGATTGCATAAAGAAGCCGCGTGCTATGGGATCCTCATAGTAAGCAAAGTTGTAATAGTCGGTTGAACGAGAACCAGCTGACTGCCCCCATAGTGTTATTGCAGTTGGGTCACCTCCAAAGCTGGCAATGTTTGCCTGGGTCCATTCAAGGGCTGCTCTTTGATCTCGAAGGCCCAAGTTTTGCGTTGTCAACCCTGCAGCGTTCGGAAAGCCCATGATGTTCAGCCGGTAGTTGATCGTCACCACAATGTGGCTCTGACTTCGAGATACCCATTCGGCAGGTATTTGGATCGGTATATTGACTCCCCCAGTCACCATACCTCCTGGAGAGCCAGTTAGGGAACGGCGACAGACCTTCTCAACGGTGGCAACTTGCCTCCTGTCATGAACATAATGACTGGCAGCTTCGAAGCCGCAGTGGCGTTCGCCGGCGTCCAAATGGCTAAGCTAAGACAATCTTCTGACGTGCTGTACGCATACAGACCTGCACTGGTGCTTTCGCCTCCATCGAAAATCAACCATTCCGGAATCTGCTCGCTCCAGACCGACTTCACTTTGCTCACAAATTGTGGGCAAGAAAGAGGATACTGAGTGGCATCATACTGCTTGTTTGATGATGGAAGCTTCTGTGGAGGGAGCCAACGACGTCCACCTGTTGGAGGAAGAGCGTACGGAACGTTTCGAAACTCGCGGACATTTGGGTAAGTAGGGTTGAGAAGGCCAGTGAATATTCCCGTGTCAGCTGTGACAGAAAGACTCTGGCTGGATACACATGCCGCGCTAGCCATGGCTGCAAGGGCGCTGAGAAGAAACAGCACAAGGGAATCCATGGTGGCAGCCCGGGATAGGAGATGAGAAAATGCTGTCAGGGAGAGTTTCCCTTTTCCTCCTTGTTATCCTCGCGGTCTATATACTCTACCCGCCATATTTCGATCCCGTGTCTCGCAGACTCCTCCCCCATATTTCCTAGCAATGTCCCCGACCATCGCTGCTTCGCCGGCATTTGGACCGAAGGTGCCTGGAGTGGTATTGGATACAACGAGTGGTGACGTGCATGGAGATGTTTCTCAGGTAAGTGGTGAAGCTCGCATGGGTAAAAAGGCAGCCGGCGAATTCGCCCAAGATCGAGTTGAAAATCTCCAATTCGCCAGACCGGTGCCTGTGGAGAGGATCGACGTCTCCACGCATCCTCGAAGACATGATCGACATGAACGCGGGGTTTTGGAGAGAATTGAAAACGGTAAACAGAACTCATCCATTATCGTTAGTCTGCGCGGCATATTTCGAGAAGACGTTGGAGATTTTTCAAGAGAGGGGTGGCGCAGAATGCCACAGCCGAAACTGACCGCCGTGGGACGGGTTTGAGCGTTTGACACCAGGCAACTGAATGCTTGAGTGTGTAACACAAACTATACCGGTTTACCTGGCAAGCTCCTTCACGGACAGCTTTCGTCCCAAAACGACTCTTCTTGCTCTCCATTCCGGGAAACCTTCACTTGTACCGTTTATACAAGTTACATTCAGACACTCGTGGCGGAAGATGTTTACTACTGTCTGAGTGACGTCCTACAACTCGAGTTTGAACGGTCTGAAATCGCAGTTTATCAACCAGAGTAACCATGGCGTCAGTCATCAAGGAGATTGATCCGGTACCCAGTACAAGTACGGTGAAACTCGATCCGTCTTCGGATGACGGTGTGGCCCATGTACCCAAAATGCTCGCAAGAAAACAGTATATCTCGATATTGCTTCATCATATGCTGAGGGCTCCAAACTAAACCACACCAAAGCAACTTGCCATCAGCCCAGAATGGCTATCGAAGAAAAGTCGTTGGTTTTATGCTAGGCGATCAGGGTTCATCACTTGCTGCGGCATGCGGACTGACTGACTGATCCTGCGTCTTGCCGCTCGTTTGGACAGGGGAGGTTGTCAATGCTCGACCGCACACTTCCCATCCGCAAACAGGCAATGTACAGTGCCCCTTGGCCAGACGCTCTCGCGAGTGAGGAACAGCCCTGAGTGTATGGAGGAGTGTCGTAAGGGTGAAGTATGACCAGTATATGGGAGGTGAATTGATTCACAGTGAAGGGACTGCAGTTTGACCCATCATCTCAATGAGTCGTCTCTATCACATGTCTCTGACGGACGCTTGTGTTACTCTCTGTTTGTCGTGGCCGTGGTATCACTAAGAGCAGGTATAAGTATCTTTTCTCAAATTGGCCTACCTCTTGACTTCTCGCAGAAGACGATCCAACTGTGCAATAAATACATCGATAGCAACACTACAACAGGTTGAAACACAACATCCGAAAAGACTTTGACCGTGTTTCGCAAGACACCGACCACTTCGGAGCACGGATTCGTACTGAGAAAGAAGGCAGCCTACCCCAACTAATTGTCGTCTCGGCCAGCATAATCCACATCTCCAAACATTCACCAGGCCGGAAAGATGTGCTATCTTTTGTTCAGCTACTATACCTGCGGCCACAGCGACACTACTCAGCGTTACTGTAGGAAACCACCGAGGGAAAGAGTGCGATGCGCCTGGGGTCAGTATCGACGAAACGTCCCCGAGCTGTGCTGGCCATGCAGGCGACGACGAGGACCGAGACTCTGAGGTTTGCATGTGACTATCACTCAATGCAGGTTGTGAGCTGGGACCTCTCAAGCAACATTGCAATATCATTTGCCGGAGGTCAAAGTCCGCCTTTCGCCATCGGCCGTCAGCTGGAACACGGATTGCTCCTTCTGCTTCTAGACCGCAGGTTCGACACTGGGCCAAAGAGAAGCAAGCAATACAAAAAACAGCAAGACATCTGAGACCACCGGATGTTCGATCTGTCAAACTTGAGCGCCCGCTCAAGAAGCATTGAACGAACCTAGAAGTGGCTATTGTCATGAAATCGCCGTGCTGTGCTCGAAGTCGTCTTGCCGGCTTCAACATCACCTGTGCTCTCACAAAATCCTGGGGTCGATGTCAAACTTCTCCTGAGATTGAGAAACTACCTGATTCATTCTTCTTTGGGATCCTGAGTGTCCCTGTCTTTAGAATAGAACTGACCACGAATCATCCTGTCATTCCAATCCTGTTCCATCTTCTGCACCCTCTCCCAGTTTTCCTTCCGCATCTTCTGTTCTAAACTCTTTGCTCCTTGGCCCTCACTCGAACTTCTCGATTGGTCGCCCCCGACATCTTCAACATCCTCCTGCCTCTTCCGCCCAAACCTCGCCGCCATGCTCGCCAGACTCGAAAACCTTGCTCGATTGACGTCCTCCTCGCCCCTTTTCAGCAGGTTGTCCCGCTCGGCGATCCAAGCCTTGTAGGACGGTTTCTCGCGTCGACGAACGATCTGCTGCTCATCACCGCCGTCAAAGTAGACGTTGTACTGACAGAACTCCCACAGGCGAAGCTGTTTTTCAAAGCCGGTGTTTGGACAGATTGCTGGTAGGGTCTCTCGTGCCAGCGTCAGGGCAGCGGAGTATGAAAGGTTGAATTTCCGCATCACTTTCGAGATATATCTCCAGCGTCAGCCATAGCATTTCTCATTTGTCGATCGAAGGGCACCGGGTTGAGCTGGACTGTGGAATGGCTACAGTATTAGTGACATAAACTTACAAAATGCCACAACAAATGCCCCTGAGCGCGAGATGCCCTGCTTGCAGTGGACCAGAACGCCCTGCTGGGGCCAATTTGATCCTTCTTCGCCGCCACTACCTTGATTCAAGCCTGCTTCAATCCAGTCGCAGGCTTCCCCCAGATACTGGAGGATATCGACGAGAGGATCGTCATCGATGTCGATGGTCTTGACTTCGGGACCAGCAGATTCTGGTTTATTTTCGGCTTCCACAGAGGCGCCAGCGTCGAGACGAGTTCGTGGTCGACATGTCTCACGGGGCTGTAATACGGAGAGAATGCGAACGATGCTGTGCAGTTCGATATTTCGGGCGCAAAACGCGCCCAAGCGACTACAGAACGAGGTTTCAGTGCAAGTCGCAAGCCTGGCCGGGGCGGAACACATACGTACTCGGATATGAACAGGCCTGGAACAGCGGTGATGGGGACAAGTTTAGGTGCCTGCATGAGATCCATGACAGCGAATGTTCAAATCGCTTCTCAAGAAACGTCGTTCTGTTGTTATTCTGTTTGCAATATTCGCACTTCCTCCCAAGATAGAGCCTGTGAATGTGGCAGGTCTTTCGATCGAAACTCACCGCTGTAGCCTTGGCTCAAACGTTGGGGCCTAACGAGGGTGTAACGGTTGATTAGTGTAAGCGTTGGCCCCTTTTTTATGTATGGCGCTGCTTAGCGAGGCAGATCTGCATGTAAAGACCAGAAATCCTTGTGTACTGTAATAAGCAACATCCTACCACTTTGAGATATGGACGCCAGCAGTCTCCAATAGGCGCAGATCGTCACGGCAGACGACGGGGGGGACTCTCAATCATCGTGGATACTGGGACTGGACTATCCATGCGACAGCCCACCTGCTGATTCTCACAGTTCGTCTTTTAGACCAAAATCGGGCGGGCGACATCCTTCGTCAAAATGACTTGAAAAGGAAGTGAACTTAAGCCTTTTGTCTTGCCGGAATATAATATATAGCGCCCGCATTTGGTCATCCGATCCTAGAACGGCACTCCGTCCTCAGTACCTACTTTTTGTTCCTTCAACTCCTTGCTGGGGGAATATAATCGCAGGACTTCCGTCAAGTCTAATCTCATCTGGCTGACGACCCAGTGAATGTCGGTCCAGCCGGGGAGTCGATCGCAAACCAGCATTTTCTGTAGATGAGTAGTCTTGTCGCCCGTGGGAGGGAACGCACAGCACTCCACACGACAAAGTATAATGCACGATGTGTATGACAAATGCCGAGATGTCGCAGGGGTTCTTGAATAGATAGATAGCCTTTAGAACCTTACCCCCTGAGAGACGACGAGCAACGACCCTTCCTTTTGGCAGCCAGGAATGAGCCTGCAAACAACCAAACATGGCGAAGCGGTTAGGCAAGCTCCGTTTCATCAGTTGGATGCACCGAGAGGGCGCCGACCCGGTGCGCAAGGCCCGCTCGCACGCTGCCTGCGCAGTCGACGCAGAGAACGGCGTCGTCGGGTCGTGGAGTACCAAGCCGGCCATGCTGGTTGGGGCGCAGGAAAAGAAGGCTGGAGGAGCAAAGAAGAGAGGACTCCGGAGTCTATGGACAGCATGTTCGCAATCAATGCCAGTATCTCCGGGTGGAAGAGACAACATCTGTGTCTACTTCGCGAAGTCTGCCGGGACAGGCCGACGACCCCCGAGCCTTGCCAGCCCCTTCACGCCCACCGAGCACTTCCTCCTCAAACCAACTATATATATATATATATAGCCTAATGTAACGAGCTAGGCTACTCATCGCCTTAACTGGGTATTCAGATAGAGAATCCGACAGGGACCTACTTGAAGTATATCTCGAGCAGATTCGCCGCCCTCGACGCTGCCCCCACCACCGCCGCCGCCGCCTCATCTCATGGAGCAGCAGCCACGGAGCTGGGACAGATTTTACAGGGTTGTTTCGCACATCGACGCAGAACAGATGGCCGCATTACAATACGCCCGAGGAGAGAGCGGGGTTATGTATGTATGTATGTATGTATGTATGTACCAAATGTCGTCGATGCCCTACAAATTTGGTCGTAAAGGATTTAAGGAGTGGGCATCCACGCAAAGAGAGATGGCAATTGTGTATATTATATGGCGCATAAGCAGATATAGCTCGTTCTATTTACCTATGTCAATTCAGGAGATGTTTCTCTTTCTCTCCCCCTCCGCCCCCCTCATATATTTCTTGATAAAGATAATCTAGCCCAACGCGGTACACCTCCAGCGTACCACCCCCTCCGATGGACAATATCTTGTCACACTGCAGATTCTATCGGACCATCCATCTCTCTATTCAAGAAGCCCCGTTCTTTCCCGAACGCGTAACGTCCAAGCCTTCGAATTTATTCTCCCCGCGCCACTTCTTCAGAATATCAATAAAGGCCAGCACGCCGCCTCCGTAGGGCGCGTTGCGCTGAGCCCGCAGCGAGAAGTCACCCTCGTTGTTGTAATAGCCCGGGGTACAGTCGCGCAGGAGGTTGAACCGCATCTTGGTCGTCTCGATGATGGTGTCGACCCACGCGGCCTCAGCGGCCGCACTGGCCTCGACCGCGTCGATCCCGCGCCGTCGGCACTCGGAGACAACGTAGGCGAGGTGTTTGGCCTGCTCGTTGGTGAGGTGGATGAAGTTGACCGACAGCGCCGACTGTAGGTTGCCGACGAGGAAGCAGTTGGGAAAGCCGTGTGTGGTCCAGCCGTGGTACGTCAATGGGCCTTCGCGCCACTTCTCGCTCAGGGCCAGGTTATCGCGCCCGTAGATCTCCATCCCGGCGCGGTGGGATAGATCCGTGGTCACTTCGAACCCGGTGGCGTAGATGATACAGTCCAGTTCATACTCCTGGCCCTTACTTACGATCCCTCGCGGTGTGATAGCTTCGACCCCTTTGCCTGCGGTGTCGATGAGATGAACATTCGGCTGGTTGAATGTCTGCAAATACTCGTCGTGGCAGCAGGGCCGCTTGCAAAAGTGGTTATACCACGGCTTTAAGCTCTCGGCTGTCTTTTTGTCTTGGACTATGGCATCGACACGTGCCCGGAGCGATTCCATCTTCTTGAAGTCGGCGAGCTGAAGCTCCGCGGCGTAGGCTTCTGGGGTCATGGTCTTCATCTTGGTCGGGTTTGGCCGGAGGTTGGAGAGAGACTCGGTCCAGGCGTCGGCAACCAGGTCTTTCTCCTGATAGACGCCGCTGAGGATGGTGGTGAAATTGTCCATCCGTTCTTGTTGCCAGCCCTTATGCAGTGTCCTCGCCCAGTCCCAGTCTGTTGGCTTATTCCCCCGAATATCGATAGAGGAGGGCGTCCGCTGGAACACGTAGAGCTCCTTCGCCCAAGCCCCGAGTTGCGGAACAAGCTGGACCGCAGTGGCGCCTGTTCCAACAATACCGACGCGCTTGTCTGCGAGTTTAGTAAGTCCACCGTTTTCATTTCCTCCTGTGTAATCATAGTCCCAACGGCTCGAATGGAACGAATGGCCCTGAAATGACTCTATGCCAGGTAATCCAGGCAGCTTAGGTTTATGAAGTGGACCGGCGACAGGAATGACGAAGCGTGCTCGAATGCTGTCGTGCCGATTCGTCTCCACCGACCAGTACGACGACTCGGAGGCACACCACCGTAGCGAGAGCACCTCAGTCTGAAACAGAGCCCTTGAATAGAGGTCGTATTGCTCTCCAATCCTTTTCGAGTGTTTCAGCAATTCTTGCGAATGTGCGTACTTCTCGGTGGGTATGTAGTTGGTCTCTTCGAGAAGAGGCATATAGATGTAAGATTCCACGTCGCATTGGGCGCCAGGATATCTGTTCCAATACCTAGAAGAGAGAGATGTTGTCAGGGGTCGTCGTCGCAGACAAAACCAGTCACCACAAGCCAAGCACAGCAGCACAGCAGGCAGGCTCACCATGTGCCTCCAAAGTCGCCCCCTTTCTCGATTATACGGAAGTTGTTGATGCCCTGCTCGATGAGCCGCACCGCAACCAACTGGCCTCCGTAGCCTCCGCCAATGATCACGACCTCACAGTCCAGGTCGACGGGATCGCGGGTGAAGCCAGGCTCGACATAAGGGTCCTCGACGTAGCCGAGGAGCGAGCCCTCCACCGTTCGGTATTGGGTGAAGCCGCCATTGTCGAGGCGCTTGTCTCGCTCGGCTAGGTACTTTGATTTGAGGGCTTGAGGGTCGAAATCCACATCCTTCGATAGCCATGATACCGTCTTAGCAGCTGTCCGGGGATCCAATATGGGCATAGCCTCGACAATGGGAGCGGCAGCCATGGGTGGTGGGTGCTAGACTGAGTCCACAGCTTGTCGTTCTGTGAGTGGCCCAATACCGAACACCACTTGGTAACTTGGCAGAGTCAGGGGGTGTGATATATAGCAATCGATGGGGGCCCGGTGTAGATTATAGTAGAGCACGCAGTCATGATATGGGCTGATTACCCCGCTTTGCAATATCCGTGATAAGATGGCAGTCAAGGTGTAGATTCTGACTGTATCGCAGAAAACTGCCGAGAGTCTGAATGCCGGTGCCCATAGACAGATCAAACGTTATTGGAGTTCCATCATATAAGACACAGCCCCACCCACGGCAGCTGCATAGGTGCAGATGGTTAATTGCTGAACGTATGCCTCCTCACCTGTAAAGTCCCTTTGAGGCAGCGACAGACAAGAGCATGATCAGTTTGTGGAGCCAGCCCGGTGAACTGGAAGTGCTAACACTTTGCGCCCAACATATGAAGCGTGGATCGCCCCATTCCACTGTGATGTCAAAAAACAACAATTCCTATAGGCTTCATTCCTTGGGGGGAAACAATGTGCAGTTAAAAAACAAAAATATATCGAATGGAGCATCGAACAAAATGAGAGGAGTGGGATTCGAACCCACGCGGGTTTCCCCATGAGAAATCAAGCTTCCGTGCTCAGAAGCCAAGAACTAAGAGAGTAAGCTCTTGAGTCACACGCCATAACCAACCCGGCCATCCTCCCGACAGAATTTGCACCAAAATTATGGCCCCAAAAAATATGAATGACTCAAACCTATGATAGGTTAGTTCAGCGGAACTGAACCCGCCCATGCCATCCGAGAACACATGCTTTCCCTAATCTGGCTAGAGTTCTCGAGAACGATGAGGCACGATAACTACTATTATCTGAGCATAGAACATCCAGACAAGGGATCTGCCTTGAGGAATGGACGGGCTAGCTCCTCCAGCCACAAAGATCGCCACATCAGCCCCATCGAGAATCCCCCTTTTTGCTCGCCGGGTTCGCCTATAGACGTCGACGGCGTCGACTGTGGTCCACCAAATGCGTGATCAAGCAGCGGGTTAAGGAGCAAAAGCCTTGGAAGTTGTGCTGGCAAGACAGCCTGAGATCGGACGGGCTTCCGACTTAGCCGTTCAGGCCACCTTGTACTTGCTCAACCACCTGTGGACTATAGGGACAAAGAGCTCGATGGACGCCTTTTTCCTTTTTGACTGAGGTGGAGACAAAAGAGCATAAGCTGATCGGGAGGTTGTTGCTTTGTCAGTATCCACAGAGTGATCGAGGCCACTTATGACACCAACAGCTGGACTCTACAGTAGAGGGTCTGAGAATGGTCCCTTCTCCGACCTTTATGCCACAATGGCATGTACGGGGATGCCCCTGAAGGACATCCTCCCGGGTAGATGCCAGCTCGGATAGATGCTACTAAGCGCTAATACCTGTAGACCACCATTACATATCAACGATCTAGCACTCTCCAGGACATTATGAAAGGTGAGCCATCCACAGCTGTGCATCCTCTTGCTCTAAGACTCCGCATGGCTCAACCGATATTGACTTCCTAACTACCACCCTGGCTCTCGCAACGCCAGCTTCTTGACTTGCCTATCCTGATATAACTTACTGAAGACGGAGATGGGCCCCGTATCAAATTTGTACGACTATATCATTGTTGGTGGTGGCGTGTCCGGTGTTGTCATCGCTTCGCGCCTCCGCTCTGCTCTCCCAAATGCCCACATTCTGGTCTTGGAGGCTGGCAAGGACGAATCCGACTTCGAACCAGCGAGATATGTCAAGAATATTGCCTCAGTCAGGGGCTCCGAGATCGACTATTCATTCGATACTGTCCCTCAGAGACATCTGGATGGTCGTCCTAAGAAGGCATGGGCCGGTCGTGCTCTGTCTGGAGGCGGCGCCATCAACGTGGGAGCGTGGCTGCGAGGTCCCGCCGTGGACTTTGACCATTGGGCTGAATTGCTCCAGGATGATTCGTGGGCTTTCTCATCTCTCCTTCCTTACTTTTGCAAATCGGAGACCTTTATCTCGAAAGACCTGGATCCCAATCTGCACGGCTCTGATGGTCCGATGGAGATCAAACTGAACAAGGACATTCGACACGGGAAGTGGTATCCGTTATGCGAGCAACTGAAAGGGGCATGGCAAGAATCGGACCCGTCATTGAAATGGAATCCAGACGTCAACAGTGGAGATCCTCTAGGAATGGGTGACTGGCCGACCACATTTACTCGCGCGGAACGACAGTTTCCACACAAAGCGTACAATCTCGAAGGAGTCGAGGTTCAGACAAACAGTCTTGTCAAGCGGGTCATTATAGAAAGAGCCGAGCCTATCGGTGAGCCGAAGGCGACCGGAGTGGAAATGGCAGACGGGAGAGTGATCTGCTCTAGGAAGGAGGTGATTGTGTGCGGAGGTACCTACAACTCGCCTAAGGTCTTGCTCCTCTCTGGAGTAGGACCGGCGTCTCAGCTCGGAAAACATGGTATCACTGTCCGCGTCGACCTCTCCGCTGTCGGCCAGGGCCTCTGTGATGATATGACCATGCGTCAAGTCTGGCGGCTACGTCATCCCGAGCGAGGGCTGTCGTTCGGCTCGCCTCTGATGACAGATCGTGACTTGGTCTCGAATGTGCCCGTCGACTTTTTCATTTGGACACAAGCTCCACACGACCTCATTCGTGAAGCGTTTGCAAAAGACGGCATCACCGACAGCCACCTCTTCAACCCCCATGCGGTCCACCAGGAGATGTACACCATGTGGATGGCAGGGCGTTCGGCGGCTTTGCTTGCACAGCTTGGTCTCTCGAATGATGGATCGCTGATATGCACAAGCGCATACAACATGTATCCACTGAGTCGAGGCTCTGTTTCACTGGGCTCCGCGGACCCAACAGTACCACCTTTGATAGACCCCAATTATTACGCCGCCGAGGCTGATAGGGTCATTTTCCGTGACGCGCTGCGAAAACAGATGCGTGCCCTCCTTGCGACCGAGTCTGGGAAGTCTTTTGTTGCTGCCGAAGTGCCGCCTCCAGGATTTGCTTCGATAAGTCACGAGTCAAGCGACGAAGAAATTGACCAGAGAGTGCGTGTGTTTGCGGAGACTGGGTCTCATCCTTGCGGGACCTGTGCCATGGGAAGAGTGGTAGACACCCGCCTGCGTGTCAAGGGCGTGAAGGGACTGCGTGTAGTGGATGCCAGTGTCTTTGCCTCTCCCATTGCGACGCACCATCAGGCAGCAGTGTATGCGGTGGCCGAGAAGGGGGCAAGTATGATCGCCGCGGACTGGGAGGAGGGTGCATGAGAGGCAGGGAAGGATGATATTCGCCATCACATTGAGGGCATTGAAACTCATGCGTTGAAATGACGCCTTTGGATGGACATGGCGTTTGTCAGACACGTCATTTGATTTAATTGCGCACATCTGTTTTCGGACACTCAACCACTTCATAAAACTCATTCCCCAGACATTTAACGCCTCGCGTTTTCCTTGTAGACCGGTGTCCGCCAAGTAACGCCATGTCTGAATCCCCGGACCCATCTCATGACGCGCAGGCGGAGGCAGAAATGGCAATGCGCGCAATGATGGGCTTCAGCTCGTTTTCCGAGCGCCGACCAAAAAAACAATCCTGTAAGTCTCTCACCAGCGAACTGCTATCAAATAGACTCTCCTTGGCGGGACGTGCCTTCGACTTGCGGTTCATTGAGTCAAAGTGGGAGAAGCAAGAAGATAGTTTTCGTCTTGTTATTTGTGGGCATTGATACCTCTCTTCCTCTGGCTACAATCTGCGTCTCTGCTGTTTGGGAGACTGGCACTCAGCACGCTTCTATTGATATGTTGGGGCGTCGTCCTTTCAACATGGCTTGTCTGAGACGCCTGTACAGTGGCTGAATGTGTGTTCTTTGGAACCTCCTTCTCCCAAATTTTCAACCTGACTGATTGGAAGATCGAACTCTCTGACATTGATCTTGAATTCAGACACGACACCCATGAACGCTCCACCTGTCGCAACTGACCCGAAGCAAACGGCATCAGGTGTACCAGGCCCATCTGAAAAGCACGCTGGGGACGAAGAACAACTCGTGTCCAGTCCACACCACCCCCTCCCGTCTTCCAGCGCGACCACACCTCTCCCAGCACCACCGCAACAGACAAGCTACGCATTTACGTCTCCGCAAACGGGCATATCGTACACAGCGGCGGAGTTGGAAGAGTGGTCGCGCGGCAAAGTTAACGCGCGGGGCGACAAGGTCTTCTTCAAGCCCGGCTTTGTGTCTGACGATCCGTGGTTCCGACTTCGGGAGACGGGAACGGGCGGCAATGGGGAGAAAGGTAGTAGCAACAGCAGCTAAATTATCTCGGGGCATGGAGCCCAGTGATCAAGTCAGCATTGGAAACCAAGACTGATGGCGTCTGAACCTGTGTATTTTATCAGCAGGGATTGATCTGCACAACTCCGCATCCGAATAAATGGTGAATCATGCGAACCCCTTTGACGGAGCTTATCCTCGAGCCATATTCCCAAGCACATCCCAAGTTTAGAACCACTATCCACCTCATAGGCTCGGCCAGAAACCCATCAAGCAGGATGTGTTGCCTCTGGCAGAATGTCTCATTCACCTTCTTATGTATACCCACTCTGAGCCTTCCATCTAGTGAAAGACGATTTCCCAGGAATCGAGCATAGCAAACAAATAATTTCCCCTCGCGCAGACATACAGATAGACCGAAACGCCTCCCTTTTCCAGACAAGAGGAGAGAATACACTTTTGTTTTTTTTTTTGTTTTTTTTGGAATCTACTCACCGCGGAGGCTCCATCCACTACACCGATGTGTCTCTTGGCCTCCTCCCAGTTGAATGCCGACATACATATTTACATACATTCTTGCGTTCTACGATCCAAGTCTCATACATCAAATATGGATCCTGTTTCTACTGATAGATAGATAGATACAACGAGATCTTCACGGGGTGCACCCTAGACCCCACCTCGAACAGATGTCACTACTACAGGGTGGAGGAGGGGAGCCCAGCGGCCGCTTCTCAGATTGAAAATATGTTTTATGGCTAAGTGGGGAGGGAAAGGAAGAAAGAAAGAAAGCACAGAAGGTGTGGACAACTAAATAGTGAAGTCCTCGATAGAAATGCCTTGCATACCTCCCGCGGACAGAACCCCTAACCTTGCTCTTCTACAGAGGGACAATGGGGGCAGAGCAGAGCAATAGCAAACTGATAGACCGTGGAAGGATCAGAAAAAGAAGAAAAAGCGAAAAAGATAAAGGAGAGAAGATAGAAATATAAATACAAAAATGCAACACAAGAAACCCGGCGACGAAAGGCGGGAGAAGGGGGGAGGAATGATAATAAGGCCCCCTTAAAAGAGGTTCCCAGATAAAATCAAATAACGGTACCTAGTAAGTAGTCATACGAGGTAGGGAACGCAGGAAGGCGAATGAAAAAAGGGGGTGCGCAGCCTTGTGGCGCCGTGGCTGGGAATAAATCTCCAAATTCCTCTCCTAGGGATCCGGCGAGTAGGACTACTCAAGTAAAGAAGGTCACATATCCTCCGGCCAGATTCGGCGATGCTCGAGGGGCATATGCCTCCCTTCCCTGCATTACTCTACGCAAGATTGTGGTCAGTCACCTGGGTGGGACATTAGCAATGTCGAAGGGGTGAATGTGTAATAGGCATTTTAGTTTATCTCAGTGGACACGGCGCACAGAGATCCAGCCAGATGCCTTTCCTCTGAAAGAACAGTAATAAGGGACGATACCTAGAAGGCCTACTACTGCTTAAGAGACCCCTGTGTCGCCTCCCTCATTCACTCACTCACTTGCCACTACTCTTTAATCCTTAGCGATAGATAGCCCGGGCCAGCCTCGCGTACACTAAGAGCCTCCCCTAACCACCTTGGAACACCCCTTAAAAGATACACTCCACATGCTCCCCTGCTCCCTCCAGCAACTCCCCCGGCCGAGGCCCCAAGCCCCCTTAAAGACACACATGCTGGGCGGGCCATGGACCCCCTACGGAACCCAGCCCAGGGGGCACCTACGGCTTTTATTATAGGGGACAGGGACAGCGCCGGGTCCGGCCGAGATTGAAACTTTTCGTCCCATTGCAACTGTCACCAGAGAGGAATATGAATACATGGGGGAGTGAAAAAGAAACAAAGAACGGACAAAGCCACGGTCCGAGCCCCGGCCCAGGAAGCTCCCCGAGAGCCTCGCACAGCCGCAACCTATTTGCAACTGCCCCCCAGAGGACACCCAGACGTGAACTCTGGACACCAGGCAAACTGCTCGCAGCCCCGATATCCCGGCCCAGGGCCAAATCCGGCTTAGCCATCACACCGCAATCTCCACACCAGCTGCAAGACCCGCGGCTCATCACCTGCAGAACGCGAGGTCTTGTGACCGAAAGGAGGGGAAGTGCTACAGGGAACGACGCTCGTCCCAAAAAGTGCCTGAACAGCTCGTGATCCAATCAGACGGGTGAGAAGGTGGCACCAAACCCGAGAATTGGGCCCAGTGTGCCTGCATGGGAATCTCATGGTGGTACCCGCTCGGCGTTTGCTGGCTTGGGGCGGTCGGTACCTGCAGAGGCGATCGCTGCAGTGCAAGTTCGGCAGCTGGGCGATTTCTCTGGTTGCAGAAATGGGCCTGGCGTCATGCACGCCATCGCCCTGGCCACCATGCGGGGCAAAAGCAGCAAGAAACTTGGCTCAATTCGTGGGGTGGAGCGGAACCCTAAACTCACTGCCACGTCAATCACCCCGGAGGACTACCGCCAAGGCTGCATTTGAGTCTCCCGGCGAATGATTGTTCGAGTTTGATCATCGGCTCTGATTTGCTGTAGTCGGACGACATCCAAAGGGTTGGGCGGAGCGGAAGTCGACCGAAAAATTCACCTCCAGATCACCCCCGGTCGCAAAGTGGGAGCCATCTGGGGGGTTCTCGAACTCCAAGGACCGGCTCCGATGTGAAAAAGACAAGGAAATTCGTAGCATCGTCAATCGTGACTGTCGTGACTCAGGCGTGGCGGCTGCGGCTGGCTTTCGCATACGCCTCCGGGTGTTTCTTCTCCGCCTTCGATTTCATCGCTCTAAGGTCCCAAAAGGTCAGCCCGAGCCATTGTCATCCCTTCAAAAGGGCAGCGGAGCCTCGTATGCACATCTGGACTCACGAGATTTTCTTCGACGTGTACTCCACGTCTTGTCGGGCTTCTTTCACGGCCTCGACTCCTTCAGCGAAATTGACCCGTGCGGATTTCAATCTCCGCTGGGCCCTCGCTTGCAGCTCTTGCAGCTCCCGCTGTTTAGCGTTCAATTCGCCAGATCTATCGGAAGTCAGTTTTTCATTCCTGCCGTCGGGGCGTTCAAGATGCCACTTACGTCTGAGCTTGTTTCGCTAGCGAGCGATCCAGTCGAATGGGATCGAAGGCGGCGTTCATTTTGTCGCTGAGCATGTCAACAACATCCACGCCAGAATGCGTGTAGGAGTCGAAGTCTCCGCTGCTGTGGCTGGGCGCGTAGCTGGATCGGCTGTAGGAACCCGCGGAGGTCCGACTGCCAGTGTAAGAGGTGCTGGTGTCAGAGAGTTCCGGAGAATCAAGGACCCGGGACTGGGGGTAGCTGTAGACGGGGGCCTTGCCGGACGGCATGGTGATGGGGAGGGCCTTCTGGTGGGAGACATAGCTGGTGGGATGACGAGAGTAGGCGGTGGTGGCCATTGTGAAGAGATGATAAGAATAACTGAACCTAAGTAGGAGGTCAAAGGACAAGTCAATGTATGGTGGTGGGTGTGAAAGAGACTTGGGACTAAGAGTGCTCAAGGTCAGGCAGAGGGTTTGTTCGGACTTTTCCAAAGGTGAGTGATAGAAAGGGAAGAAGGAGGAATGAGGAATTTCAGACAGATGAGTCGGGTTTTTATAGGCAAAACCGGGCACTCCTCTGGTCACAAGGGGGACAGGGGAGGAGACTGCCAGCTCATCATCTCCCTGGGCGGACCAATATAAGTCGTGGCCCATGGGTGGAGGGTGTCATGATGAGTCCACCGACCCCGCTTCGCGAGCAGGACGAGAAGAGGAGGAGGACCAATGCGAAGAAGATTGAACCAGGGAGGAAGCAGGGTCGGCACCGTCCGTCACCTTCCGCCCGGCAGAGACAAAGGAAAAGACCGTCGAGGGTCGACCAAAGAGAGCGGAGGCAGACCCTCCACGAGCAGGAAATGGCAGGGTGGGATCAAAATCTCAGCTGAAGCCGAGTCAGGCAGTTGAAGGGAGGCAACGGGAAGCCGAAGATGATCATTGGATCGATGAGGCATTTTGCCAGGACTTGAGGGTCCTTAGTTCGCGGGATCTAGAAGCGAAACGGCGGACGGGAGTGGCTGTACTGGAAGACGAATGGAGCGAGGACGGAGAAGGTTCGTGATTATACGTGAGCAAGGGGGGAGAGACGGAAGGAACGTTGATTCGGCCAAGAAGGCGGGCGGACGTTCAGAGATAGGAAAGTCTCTTTTTTTTCTCCGGCCAGGGCCAGTGCATGCCCTCAAGGGGGGCAAGTGAGGAGGGACGGGAGGAGGGACTAGCCACTTTGCGGAGGATATGTGTGTGCGTGTCTGTATGTACGAGACGTTGAGCGTTGGAGGGACGGTATTGGGAAATTGTCTTATGGAACTTTCACATTTTGATTTTTTGGGGCGGCTGAGGCGCGCGGGCAGTGGTGGATGCGGACACGAGAGTCGCATGTTGGAATTGGTCGAGGGGGATTCAGGAGTTGGCAGAGGGGCCCAGACGTAAGAGGTCGACTGAAAGCAGCGTGAGGCAGGGTCAAGAAAGGGTCAAGCGTTGGCCGTTGGCGCGCGGGAGGGGTGAGGTGATGGTTGCAGGGAGCCGGTGGGAGGGCGTGGGAGCGTTGAGGAGCGAGGGGAAGAGATGGCGGCGGCGGTGGTGATGGTGATGGAGGTGATGGCGATGATGATAAGTGGTGGTGAGGATGGTGATGAGTGGTTCAACCGTTCGGCTCGGGTTCGTGCGCACAGGGAAAATAATATGAAAAGGAGGAAAGTGCGGCAACGTGCAGTCCAAAGTCACTGGGATGGCAGCCGTCGCAGGCAGCGAAGAGAAGGCAATGAGATCGAGGTTGATGGGTGGGCAGATGTACCTAAGGCATCCGGGCCTAGGCTTAACGGCTGGAGGACGGGGTAGAAAGGATAGGCCTGGCAGTAACTCGTACTGGGGGTAGATCCCCTCGTAAAGCATCCATCCCTAGGTGCTGGCAACGGGCACAGGCGAGGGGCGGACAGAGGGGGAAGAGTACTCCGTAGACGTTGCCGGCTAAACTTGAGCATGGTGGGCGCCACTCTCCGCGCCCACCAGCCTAGTACTGTACTTACTGTACCCCTGCCTAGGAACCTCACTGAGGTCCGTACGAGGCACATACTGTACCAGTAGCTTCACATCGCCTACCCCTTCGTCCTGGCCTCCTTTTCGTCCACCCCGTATCCCCGACACGTCGAAAAACAAAGTTTGATCTTATGTTTCAAAACGCAATTCAATCAATCACTGACAGAGTCCAGTGAATGGACGCCTGGTCTCCAGATGGACGAGATGCCTGGCTGCCTGGCTGCCAGCCCTGTCTGGCTCATTGGGCGTTGAGAAATAGCCCCGTGGGCTGCAAATGACTGGCAGCGGCGCCAGGTCACAGGTAGGTACAGTACCTCCTGCTAGCCCCCAATGGGACCCTCCCTGACTTCCCCCCATAGCCGCCCTTCCATCGCCCCCGGAACAACCCACCTTCTTGCAATGGCCGCCTACGAGTATTACCTGTGCGTGTCAGGGAAATCGAGTCTTGGCGCCGTTCAACTCCCGCTCACCACTTTTCTACTTACTTACTCACCACCCGTCCGTTGCAACCATTCAAACTCTCGAGATCTTCAATCACACAACACGGAACATTTGTAGTGCGGCACAAGTACATACCTCCATCTACCTACCTAGGACCATGGCCCGGTGGCCTCTCGATGACGGCAGAACTAGGCTGCTTTCCTCCACCCCGATCCCGCCGCCCCAACAAAGCACCGCTTTCCTCGCCAAATGCTAATACTGACTTCCCATCAGACCGATTCATGCATGTCGTGGTTCTCGTTGAGGAGATCTTCTCTCCTCGCTCGGGCCTTGACCATATTGACAATAACAACGGGTCCCCTTGAACTCCATTACCATGCACATTTGTGTCATTATTTCCCCATCCCCGGCGTTGACCCAGCCTTTATATTACTCCCCCTTCCCATTACCCACCTGTTCCTTTTTGGTGAAAATGATAAAATATCCGTCAACCCTATATAGCGTGAGTCGTCCGTCATAAGAACCCCCACCCAAACAGTCTGCAAAAGTAGTTGCCACTGGGCAAGGATCAGGAAAACGCCACCTCCAGAAATGCGTCGCAATGACTCGCTCAATGCAGTGACAATGCCGTGCAACTAGTGACCCCTCGCCCATGGACAGCGCACACTGACGCAGAGTTTTCCCTAACCCGAGAATCGTTTCCCTGCGCCCCGACAGAACTCAAGACTCCAGAGGCCTATCACGTAAGAACACGTGTGGCACAGTTGGGTCCAGTAGCGTCATCATCATCGTCCCCAGCACATTAAAATCAACCGGTTTGGTAAGGTAGTCGGTAAATCCAGCATTTGCTGCGGCTGCGCGTTCCTCGGGCATTGCATGCGCTGTCAGTGCCATGATCGGCGAGGGTTGGTACCCGTGACTCCTTTCCCACTCCCGTATCTCCGTACAGGCTTCATACCCATTTTTGACCGGCATCTGGATGTCGCAGATGATGAGCGAATAGTACCCCGGTGGGTTGCCCTGAACCATGTCCACGCATTGCTGCCCGTTCTTGGCACAGTCGTTGACCAGCGCAACTTTCTTGAGGTACCGTTGAATCACCATCCGGTTCACATCGCTGTCCTCGACCAACAACACTCGGTGATCTCTTCCGCCGATCTTCTCCTTGACCAAGTTCGCGATATTTCGGAAGTCGTCAGAGCTCGACTGCGCGACCTCGCGTGCTCGATCTTTGCTCAAATTGCGTAACTGCGCAGGATCGAAAATCATTGCAAACACGGACGGCTTGACTGGTTTGTGAATCATGTAGGCTTTGCGCCCGCTGGCTGTGAGAGCAGTAAAGTCATCGAGGATATCCCGCTTCTGGTAGTGGTCGGTAATCACCACGAGGGCCGGTATCACCGGGCCGGTGTAGTTAGCCATCTGTCTCATAAATAGCATGATGTCGGAGGTCGCAGGTATATCCAAGACGATGTGTGAGAAAGTAGGTGGTAATGGCCCGTTCAAGAGATCGAGGAATGAACCAATGTCCGGAATAGTCGTGACATTAGCCGCGATCGAGTATGGAACCACGTGCTCGATATGTTGCTTGATCGCCGTCCGCGCATACTCGGCAGGGCAAATGATGATAACCGAATACGTCTGGGGGTGGGCCTTTCCCGGCGCCAACCTACCTCCATCATTGTCGCTGTTGCTCCGCTTGAAGATCTGGTGGGACGCTATGGCCTTCTCCGTCAGGACTTGTCGTTCACTCGCTAAAAGAGCAGAATCGGGAGGAGGTGCAGATTCGGGTGTTTGCACGATCGAAGTCGCCGACGACGCAGACGCTATATTACCCGAGTTTGATCGCATCGACAATCCGGAGCTATCGGATGGAAGGACGGGCGGCGAAACAAGCGTTGGCGATGATACGGCCGGCGATGGTAGAGCGGCCGCCTGTTGTGGAGGACTTACATATCTGGATAGGCCGGGCGTTTGAATGATAGCTTCGTTGGGCAAGAGACCCTTAGCTGACGATATTGTCGCGGTCTTGTTGTCAGACTGTGATCGAGGGCTGCCTCCCAATGAAGGCGACTGCCTCTGTTTCCCGGCTCTCGCAGCGACTGGGGGGGAGGTAACTTCAGAACCCGGAGGAGCCACCTCGACCCGGATGTAGAAGCTGAAAGTCGAGCCCTCGCCTGCTTTACTTTTCACAGAAAGCTCGCCTCCATGCATCTCCACCAGCTGCTTGGACAGGAAGAGTCCCAATCCAGAGCCAGCCTCGTGATTACTGCCGCCCCCAATCTGGCCAAACTGCTTGAAAAGCCGTTTAAAATCATCCTCATTAAACCCACGACCAGTATCAACCACGTCAAACGAGAGTAAGCCCGAATTATCAGACCGTCCTGTCGGGCTGGCGCGCTCGGCATCGCGGTAGGAACACCGCATGTACACCTCGCCCTGTTCGGTAAATTTGACGGAATTCCCGAGAAGATTGAGCAGAACCTGGCGAACTCTGAAAGCATCTCCCTTGACCATTGACGGAACGTTGGCCTCCAGCGAATAATTGAGCTCTAGTCCACGTTCGATCGCCCTAGACGATACTGTATCTATCACCTCTTCGCAGAGTGCCCGAACATGGAACCACTTGGGAAGTAGCGTCATCTTCCCAGCCTCGACTTTCGTCACATCCAAGATGTTATCGACAAGTTCCCTCAGGTTGTTGGCGCTGTTTTGAATGGTGTCCACTGTCCGGCGTTGATCGTGATCTAGCTCTGACTCGACCAGCCAAGGCATACTACCCAGAATGCCATTGAGCGGCGTTCGGATTTCGTGGGACATGTTGGCGAAGAACTTGGTCTTGGACTCCATCTCTGAGTGGACCTTCTCGTTGGCTTGGTTCAATTCTCGTTCCAAGGCTTTCCGTGTCTCGATATCGGTACACGTGCCGTACCAAGATGCCTTTCCGCTCTGGCTCTGCCATAGACCAGTGTCAACTCGAACAAGGCGTACGAGAAACCAGCGATACCCGCCTCCTCTAGACTTCAATCGAATCTCAGTCAGGTACGATAGGCGACCGTTTTCATCCTTCTCCACAACGACGGAGCCTGATTTGATCATCCGCTCCAGTGAGCTCAAATCAGGCGAGAAAAGGTGTTTCTGCGCAGGAAGCGGAGGTACAGTCGCGCCGACAGTTTTGTTTGAATCGGTGGACGAAGAGGGACTGGTAGCTGAAAACCGAGCAATCGCGGCGACGTCTGACGGTGCCAAAATGCCACATTTGTGCAGATCATCACGATGGACATGTTTCGCAAACCCTAGACCTCGGGCATCCTCTAGCGTCTGGCCTGAATATGCGTGCCATTGCTGGTTGACAGCCACAATGCCATCTCCTTCGATAGCCTCAAACAGAATCTGTGGAATGGCATCTGCAAGTGCGCGAATCTTTGTGTCACGGGCCATGATCGCCTCCTTTTCACTGGCCTCAAGGTTCTTCATGTACTGCTCATGCACGTCTAGAAAGGAACCAATCCAGTACAAGAGTCGGCCATTGTTACTCAGTAGAGTGCTGGCTCGAAATACAAACCAGCGGAAATCACTGTCACTGTTGAATCTCTTAACACGAATATAGTGGGTGAACTGACTTCCTGTTCTTAACGCTTCATTCCACAGCTTGACCAGACCGTTTCTGTCTGCTGGATGCACGTTTTTCCAAGGATCTCGGACACGGCCCTCTCCTTGACTCCGGAACGCGTCAAATTTGCGGTTGGTCCAAACCAAGTCTCCTGTACTCGGCTTCGCCAGGAAAAGTTGAAGGGGTACAGCATTAAGCATCAGAGACGATATGAGTTCGGGCAGAGGTCTCTCGCCATCATCTTTATTCTCGCTAACACGTCGAGCAGTGTTTCGCCGAAGGGGGGGATCAATTCTGTCGTAGAGGGAGAGTGAATGGTCTCCAGGGTCACTTGCAGAAGTGATGCTCGCCGTTCGAAGTGCGATCGGACTAGGAGGGTCGGGCTGTGCCTTTCCGACGTTTCCTGTAGTTTTCTTCCCAGCTGTCTTTGAGCCAGCGGAAGATTTCTCAGTCGAGTGTTTGGTTTGCTCCGTCTCATCCCTGGTCGGTCGAGGGCCAGGAGTCAGTGGCTGTTGACCGGCTTTTTGCCTTCTAGCAGAGAAGTAGCTGTCTACCATTTCGGAGCCTGTCTTGCCACCGGGAGTTGGCGGCTGTCCTGAACTCAGCCCAAACTGCTCCAAGAGTGGGGTGCTTGCGACAGAATTGCCCGGGCTTTCTTTAAGAACTCCTGGGCTGAGGCTTTCCTGGTATGACCACGATCTAGCATTCTCTTTATCCTGTGCAATTTGTCCGCTCAGCTCAGCCACAAGTTCGAGTTCAGAGCCTTCATCAGAAAATGTGCCGCCCAGACCGAATGCCGCTCCATGTCGGCTTCCAGGAGTGCCACGCAAACGATCTTGGAGAGCGCTGTATTGCTGTGCTAGTGAATATGAGCTTGCCAGATGTGGTAGGAGGGCCTCCAAGGAATGCCGCAGACTACGCGGATATGGATTCAGGGGCGACAGAAAAGACAGGATGGCTATCGGAAAGCGGAGGTTAGATGCCAGGGTTCCCCTAGCCAAAATCGGCTGTATCAGAGGCACATGAATCAATGTCTTCGACATATCGGCGCCTATCGCACTCAATGGCTTATTGGCGGTGGTGGCGTAGTCATACACTGGGGGATTTTGTTCGAATGCAGACTCGTCAATGGATGCCGTGGGTTGCATGAAAAAGGGTGATTCGGTTGGGTCAGGACGTGCCGCAGGTGAAGGGGAGGGGCTCTGCGACCAAGGTGATGGTTCTGGCTGCTCATATTCGTCAAATGCCCGGAAGTTGGCCTGCAGCATCAGAGCATCTTCGGGTCTTCCAACTCTGCGTTCGTCAGGACCTCCTGGGGATGGCGTCGGTGGCGCGCTTCGATTATCTTCCCTTCCTTTGACCTTCGGCGACTGTCTCGGCACGGTCTCTGTGTAAGCTCTCGTCAATACGACAGGTTTCCTCTTCCCGAACAACGTTGCAACGCCTGTACGGACAAGTAATGGGTCCGGCTCAGCCTCAAGCGGCTGGATCGAGCGATGCACATGACACCTGAGTGTCGATGAAGCGGAACCAGACGAGTTGTACTGTCCCCTTAACGCCAAGGGGTCTAATTCGGCCACAGACGATCTCGGTGTGGCGGCTTGCCTCGTCAACCTGGGCAACAGCGGCGAAACAGTCGGACCTTCTTCTGCTGGCTCTTTAGGCAGCATACTGTAGGCACGCACAGGCCCCGCAGGTCGCTGACGAGCAACCCTGGCAGATGGCTCGGGTGATGGGCCTGCAATAGAGTGACGGGACGTAAGGGGGGGCCGGCGCGGGGCCGAACTAACATCACTGGGGATCCTGCTGGCAGGCTCTGGCCGCCGGCCGAGAGAGGATATGTCAGCCTCGGAGGTAGCCAGAGATTCAAACTGTGACAGCGGTACTCCCTCGCTGCCATTAATGTTGTACGTTGCCTTTTGCCCCCATGGAACGTTCTCGAGATCAGTAATATCTCCAGGAACCGCCAGCGATGCGCGTTCAGCGCCATAAACTTCGGACAGAATCTCAGTGACATTGACCCACCACATATCCAACCCTGGTTCAGCATTGAGCATTAAAATAATATCGTACAAGTCGGGCGTCGGGAAATTGGGGTCTTCGATATAGCCTGGACTCAGAGGTGTCTGGCCAACTGGTGTACTCATATCCGAAGAGGATGCTTGCCGTTGCGGAGGCGGGGGCTGCGCAGGATCGGAGCTGAGCGGCGGCTCGTTGGTGGGGGATAGAAGAGTGAAGGGTCTGTGGGAGGGGCCTGAGCGGTGGCTGGTATTACGATTGAGCCGCAAAGCCATGCGAGGGAATGGGTACGACGGGGTCCTGACAGCCCCCGGGGTCATGTCAAATGTGGCTCGTATAGTCCGGGTGGAATCTGTCGAGAGGGCTGCGGTGTTCACCGATTCATCCGAGCTCGACTCCGTATGTTGCAGTGATGCCGAGGGCTCGGACGGGTCGTCTTGTTTCGTCGTATCAGACGAACCGCTGGAAGCAGTGGCGGCAGCAGCCGCACGCGTCTGTTGTTTCTGTGCGAGCGCCGCGCTCATCCTTCGTCGCATTGCCTCAATTCCCGACGAACTCTGGCGTGTCAAGACCGACGTCACTTGGTGGTGGACCAGGGTAGGAGCACTGGAGGGGGCGTCCACGCCACTTCTCCTCTCACCCACGACTTCCTCTTCCGATCGTGTCGCCGACCCATGATCATCGTTGCTTCGTGAAGAGCGGCCACGAGGGGGCATTCCAACGCGTGAAGATTTGGAGGGCTTCATTATTGCGGATGCAGACACTCGATCGTCCAACTTCGGTGTCTGCAACCTCGCGACAGTCGAAGGGCAGGCATGGAGAGTTAGGAGGAGAATCCCTTGGTTCGGAATGGGAAGAAGAGGATGTTCGAGCCGTCCAGCTGAGCAGCCCAATCGCTAGAGCGTACGACGAGGCGCTGTATGTGCTGGGGGATGAATCAATCAATCGCAAGGCAGTGTCGAGTGTTGGTTTACGTCAACCCACGACACGAGCGTGACGAGACGTCGTAAGGAGAATAGTATGTGAGGGGTGGGCTCTTTGCAAGACCGAAGCAAGGGCAAGGGTAAGGCGGAGGCTATGATGGCAGCAGTGAAGACGTCGACAGGGAGGGTGAGGGTGGTTGAACTTCAGGCTCGACAAAGTTGTGTAGGTGTACGAGGGAGCGAGAGTGCGCCAGATTCGAATAGAGTGGCAAGGTGGGTAATGTATTTGCGACGAGTTGAACGACGGATGGAAGTGGCCGGAATATGCAGCCACTCAATCAATCACTCAGCCAGCCAGCCAGCCAGCTCCATCACTCAAAGTGTTTGATATGTGCGTATACTGGCACAGGTCGCGGCGTAGTGGTGGTGTGCTCCGTACGGGATAGTTTGACCTGGAGAGAAGAGAAACAGAGAACCGAGACAATCGACGACACAGGCCATTGTGGCGCCTGGCCACTGGGCTTTGCGGAAACGGGGGCAGCTGCACGGTGACGTCGGCGGGTGTCCAAGACCGCCTAGGGTGGCCAGGGTCGGCTCTAAGAGGGCAGCCGCATCCACCCAGTCCCCCATTGAGCGACCAGGCAGGGCTACCAGCCTACCACGCACTCAAGGGCCATCCAGGGGCGTCTCCGCCCCCCTCCCCCCACTCACGCCGCCCCTGCAACTCCCTGCAAACCCGGCGAGCCACCTGCATCACCACGCCCGTTTCTCTCCTTGATGGGGGCGGCGTTGGTTCCTAGATATCCGATCTCAGGCTGTATATTCCCGGATATCTGGTTACTCTACGTACATACAGTACTCACTGCCACCACAAAGCCAATGCCTTCCTGATCTCCTACAACTACCGACTTAGATCCATCTGCGGCCGTTCGCCTCTTTTCCTCTTGGCAGATATTGTCCCGACATATGTCGGTCAGGTATGGATTTATGTAAGGGAGGGCTGCATGGGGTAACCACCACCTCCCACAACATGTCCCCCTCTCTCACACAGGACGGAGAACCCTTTGTCAACTTCTTGCTGTTCCAAGCTTCTCACAGCTACGTAACCGACCCTTGATCCCTCTTCCGTCCACATCTTTGTCCGAATCCAACGTCAGTGGCCCACAAACATCCGGTTTCGGTCGTCCCCTTACCGTCCTCCCCCATAGGTACCCTCACAATTCACAGGTACTGAGGTGCCAAGTCCCCTACAGTGGGCAGTGGGTAGTGGTGTTGAAGCTCACATGCATTTAACGCCAATTCCCCCCGTTCTTCAAGGTGACACTGATGGCGATGGCTGTTACCTTACTCCACAAGAAATGCAGCCTGGGTTTTGCCTCGTCCCCGTCTGGCCACTGTTGAGACTGGGACACTGGGCAGAAACAAATATGACAAACGAAACAAGATTGCTTATCCCTCCGTGGGCGATACTCGGGACCCACGGATCGACATACAAGAGCTCAGATAGAGGACATGTGTGGACGGACAATAAAAACACTGCGGAGGAACGCGTTCCCGGTGACCCTGTAGACGCGGAGGATGGGTGGGTGCATAATTGACGATCACCACTTTGCTCGTGCTGATCCCTTTGCTTTGGGCTGTTGGGTTCCTCGTTTTGAAACAAACTCATCTGATAACACGTTGTGGATTCAAGTTTTTGGGGCTTCATGAGGCATGGTGGCATGTTGGTTCCTCGCCGTGGCGGCATCTCTTATCCGAGATCGTCACTCTCTCAAGGCGTTCTCCAGCCTTCCCATCAAAATGTACAACCTATTCTGATAATCATCTTTGGGCATATTCTCAAAAGTGTGCTTTTCTCTTCTCTTCCGGTTGTCCCCAACTCCCGGCAATACAAATACACAACCCAGGAAACTACTGGTGCTCAGTCTACCTTGATCGACCCGTAGATGCGATGGACGAAAGCGTATGACGACACAAATCCGATCGTGCCTGTATAGAGACGTCAGTCCAACCATCCGCTTCGCACGACAGAAACTCTTGGATCTCTTACCTGTGAGCACAGCAACCAAGAAACTGAGCAGGCCTGAGTAGCCCACGTAGAGAACCGCTCCAGTAAGTCCTCCAAAGGTGACTCTTGTCGCCCAAAATCCCAACGCATTCAAAAACACATACCCGCCGGTCATCCCCGCGCCAAAGAACGCCCTCCACTGCCAACGATAATCTTCGGCGCAGAGCAAAAAATACACCAGCAGGATGGTGGTGCAGGCGCAAGTCATTGCCATCAACGCATAGCAGATGAATAAAAATCCAAACATGTAGTAGATCTTACTCGTCCACAGGGATGTCATGATAAAGTACAATTCCACAAAGATGGCGCAGAATGGCAGGATGCCTGTCAGCAAAAGGGAGGGGATCGGTCGCAAGGAGCGTGCCACGGGCGGAATTTGTCGCGGAATCTGGTTGACTCTGGTCGGTGGCTCGATCGCCGGCGATTTGAACCCATACCACGACCCAGCTACACTCAATGGCACGCTGATGACGAACCATATGGCGATGATAGCCAGCATCGTCGTGAAAGGCACCGCGCCACTGGCTCCCTTCGCCCAGACGAAGAGGTTGAGGAGGAAGAATGTCCCAAATACAATGCCGGGCACGAAAACAGGAGTCAGTGCAATGTTGAGTTTCCATTTCTCGCCGCCAAAGGTCTTGTACGCTCGCGCCGACACGTATCCACCAATACAACCAAAGATGGTGTAGAGCAGAAGACCGATCGATGTGAGCCAGCCCCGGTTAGAAGGCGATAGAAAGCCTAGCATGGCGAAGGCGACTGTCATAGCTGTCATGACGAAAAGCTGTGCGCCATTCCCAAGCAATACGCTCAATAGCAGTGCATAACGAGGGGGCCGAAAGACGTCGCCATGCACCAGCTTCCAGCCCGAGTCTTCTTGGACGTCGTCGTCAACAGTAGAGGTCCCTGAGAGATCATCCAAATTGATATTATCCAATCGGTTATATCGCGCAATGTCTTTACGAAGCGCCCGGACCAGGACCGTGCTGACCATACCTATGAGGAAGACGACAAAGATGGCCGAGTTGATGAGTGAAAACCAGTGGATTTTGGGGTCGACAATGTGCAGTAATTTGTCCCAGCGGGTGGCCCAAGCTGTGTCTGAAGGACGCCAGTAGACACTGTATGTGTAGGTGACTGGTGTTTGTCCCTCTTCGTTCAGGACAAGAGGTCCGGATGAGAAGGCGCAACTTGCCTTGCCGTCGTCCGAGAGGCGAGAGTCGGCGTATGATTGCGGCTGAACCAGAACGCCGACTACACGGTATTTGAGTCCACGAAGGCCCGCTGTATGATAGTCAATGATGATATCCCAGTGGTTGTGCAGAATCTTCGTCCCATCCTCTTGCACTTTCCCCAAAGGAAACCCGGGACTGGCGAACCGTTCGTGGGTGAGGGGATCTTCTCGTAGTTCTGCCGCTGGAAGTCCATCCACAAAGAAATTGACGTTATAAGCCTCCTCAATCCTTTTGTTGACGAACCTCGCTGATCTCTCGTCGAATGTATCGCCGGGACATGCGATCTTGCACGTCTGGTTCAATCCCATCCACAACTGAAAGGGGGAGCTTTGAATGCGGTCGCCAAATATGATACTGCCCAGCGACTCTCGTCTGGGCTGAGGTCCCCCCTCCGGCTGGCAGAAGTGAAAGGCTGGGTGGTAATAGTCGAAGGCGACCACAGCGTGGATCTGCTCATCGTGTCGCGATATCGAAGGTGTCAGGGAGTTGACATTTACTTCCAGTTGGTCCCCTCGGGAGTACGAAGAGGGAGAAACGCCAGGGAGATAGAAGGATGCGGCTTGCTTGAGGAAGAGAAGACTGAGAAGCAGCAGGGGGGGTTTGGGCGCCATAGCGAAGTGAGGTCCGACTGACACAAGAGTGTGCTTGTTCGCGAGCGATCGAAGGGAGGTCACCTCATGTTTAAGGGGCGCGGAGAGGGAGAAGCTTTCGAGCACAGGGGGGGCTTGCAGGTGTCACCGAAGGAGAAATTGGTGGATGTCTCTGATGTCGGTGTAGTCGTAGATTCGTGGATGCGTGTCGTTCCGGAGGATGTCAGTAAGTGTCGTTCTGGGATGCGAAACGTACAAAATATGTTGGCGGACTTCGGTGACACGCACACACGTGGCCGAGCAAACTCGGTCAACACAGGCCACCACACCTGAATCGTACGAATCTAACACATAAATAATACTAACAATGATTCGATTTTGAAAGCTTGAGGTCGTTTATTTCTGACGCTTAATCCCTCCTGCAAAGTTTTCAACGCAATGCCGCTCGTCGCGTGTGGTTTTGCGTGTACAGATTAGCCTCGTGGCTTCAGCTTGTGTGTTCCAAAGGCACCTCCTTCGCCCCTGCTCCAAGGACAGATGAAGCACACCGGCTTCTGATCCAAGAGTCTGACAAGAATACCAAAAGCGCCAGCGTCTCGTATGTTTTTCATACCCATAATGCCAAAGTGGAAGAAAGTAGGTGTTCGGAGCAGATGAGTCTTTCAGTTCGTTCATACCAAGCCGTCATACAGCGAGAGCGCCGACACGATCGTCTCATCCCGTTTACTTCCTTCCTTGAACTCCGCCATGTCAAGACTCCCGTTCTCGTCCTTGTCCATCATCCGGAAAATCTTTCTTACCCTCTTTTCTGGCGTATCTTCATCTTCGGGCAATTTCACCATCGAGCCCACCTAGTTGACTGGTTAGCCGACCTGTGGAGGAGAGAAGGAGGGAGAGAAACCGTCTTACCATTTTGTAGATGGCTTCCACAATTGCCAGCATCTCGTCATAACTGATCTTGCCATCCCCATCGATATCATACAGCTGGAATGCCCAGTCAAGTTTATCTTCCATCTTACCCCGACTCGTCACGCTCAAGGCACATATGAACTCCTTGAAGTCGATTGTCCCGCTCTTGTCCGAGTCAAATACTTTGAAGACGTAGTCGGCAAAAGAGTTGGGATCGCCAAAGGGGAAAAACTGCCGGTAGATCTTTTGGAACTCTTCCTTGGTCAACATGCCCGAGGGGCAGTCTTTCAAGAAGCCTGCATCAGGTGAGGACATGTTCAGCCGCTTGTCTCTTCGCGACGGAACAGGGCTAGATCCTCCGGGAAGGATCCCCTCATTTTAGATATGACATACCCTTGTACCATTGTTGCAATTCCTTCTTGTCAAAATGCGTCGACTTCTGGAGCTCTTCCAGTTGTTGCGGCGACAGTTTTGATTGTCTGGAACCGAGGTCAGCCCACAGTGGCCGTCGGCGACTGCGCTCCGGTAATGAGCAGCATCACGGCGCTCACTTCTGACCCATCTTGATAACCCACCTGAGGCCGATCGGCCCTATTTTTCAGTGTCTAGTCTCAGGGTTGTGAAGCAGAACGGTTTGAATTGCGACGCGCGAGGTCAGCTGCGGACGAGCTGAGAGAGGAGCGTAAATCGGCTATAATTGCGATCGCGGGGCAAGGGCCTGGCTGGGGGACAACGATGTGATTTGGATGGGCTAGATTTTGTCTCTATACGAGTCGGACGAGGGTGAAGGGTCGAGGGGCATATGCTTTGGAGGTTGTTCCTCGAGCGCAATGTTTCACAAGAACCAAGTTTCCTGAGAGTTAAACAGTCGAAAGACAAAACCGTCTTGTAGCCTCACGTGGGGATCAATTGTACCGGGGAGTGATTGAGGCTTTGGCGCCTGAAGTTCCGCGTAGCGGGGACTCAAACAAGCCTTCAGGACCAGTGAACGTCAAATGACAAAGCCGTCTTTCTCGCTCCCAGCGGACGGCCCATTGTTGCTGAGGAATCTAGACTTCGGCATTCTCTACCTAACCACCAAAAGCTCACCTTGCCTGTCCAGGTTGTTTACGTTTCCGGCCACCAACCGGAGCTTATTGAACATCCCTTGATCTGCTCCGAACGCTTCGGTCAGACTCCACGCCTCGATTCGGTCCGACAGGCTGCATGGCCGCCCGAGCTGCAAATTCCATCCTGGAGGCAGTGCCATTCCTCGCTCATATTCTTTGCTTTGATAGCTAAGATGTCTTGGCTTCGCTCAGCTCCAGCCGATGCGTCCAAGACTTCGGGGTTTTTGACTGCGCTCATAGTATGCTCCGTGTCGACCCTTCACAGTGTTACACAGGCTGCTGACCGGGCAAGTGGCCTGACATACGTGCCTGGGGGTCGCAATTGAGGGATGGCCACAATCACATCACAGCGTAACTGCTGTCATTCAAGTAATGCAGCTTGGTTGGTGTAAAGTACATCAACCACGTTGCTGAGCTTTTCGATCGTCTCCAAGGCTGCATCGTAGCCAGTATCCCGCTCAACTTCGTCGTAAACGATCAAGCAGCCTTCTCCTTGATCCAACACCCCGACAATGACCTTGTCGAGGATCATCTGAGATAGCTTTCTTTCCACTTGCTGAGTGTCGAGTCCCACCATCTTCGCGACATGGTCAATCTCAACCCGGCTGAAGGGTTCAATGACTTTGATCAGATTCTGTTCCAGCATGGCGTCATACAGTCGTCGCAGGTGGTTGCGGATGAAGACATCGCTGCCCAGCTCGTACCGATAGTTGGATAAGGCTTGTTCATACTCTTCGAGTGACCGATTCGAATGCGCTCGTGCCACGGCTTTCATGGCCTCCAAACTCGTACTGGCATACTTTTGCGCTTGTTTTGACGACAGTAGGTTGTTGACATCATCGACCAGATTTAACATGATCTTGCACAACAGCATATACTGCAGGGCCGACGTGGCGCGCGCAGTATCGTCTTGAGCGTGGTAACCTTCCAGAGCTTCGATGAAGTAGGAATATGCGGTGTTGAAGTCTTTGTCTTCGGCGTGTAGCATCCCACTCTGCATGTCCAACCCAGCCTGCAGAAGTGGAGGTGTATAGACCGAGGCGGCAGATGTCCTTGCGGAAGTCAAGGCAGCTCGTGCTTTGGCCTGGTTGGTCAGAGCATGGTATACCCGAGATTCAAGCAATTGCACCTCGACGAGCACCAGCTTGTCGTCCAACCGCTTCAGCTCTCGCAACAGGCCGTTGATCAGTGTGAGGGCATCGTAGTAGGATTGCTTCTGCATGTAGAGCCCAACAAGTCTCGTTTCGAGGTTCTGACGAAGGAAGGATCGCTTTTCGGCATTGGCCCAGTCGATGCACGATTTAGTGGTGGTGATTTGGATCTCGAGTGTATTGGGAATGTCAGTGAAGAAGTCGAGGAGTTGCCGGACTAGACTTTGATGTCAGCATCTCATATCAAGACGGCTACCCGTTCAGCATACCAAGCTTCGCCGTCTTCGCTTTAGCGAACGAAGACAGCGTTGACCTGCTCGTCTTGACTAACTCCGACAGATCCTCCGAGCGTTTGTTGTCTCTATACAGTTCTCCGAGGCCAACCAGAGCATTTTCATAGACTTGTAAGGCACCTTGGTCCGAGCCTGGCGACCGAGCAAGCACGTCCTTGTAAATACTCTCTGCTTTCGCCGGGTCGGTTTTGGCCAGCTGTTGGGCCTCGTTGACCTTGGCCTCGTTCGAAAGTGGAGCGGCCATCCTAGAAGATGAGAAGATGACAATGAGAAGAATGGAAGCTGGTAAATGACCAAGGTTTATTTCAGCTGTGCAGGCGATGGAGCGTAGGTGACGGGGTACTTGACTGTGGGATTGGAAGGCTGCTATGGAGCGACGCAAGGCGCAGAAAAGACGCGGTATGAACTCCTGGCCTCCGAATGGCCAGCCACTTGCCTTATGTAATAATGTCAGGGTCCAGCCACTTTTTCGCAGTCTTTCTCCACAAAAAAGTTCCTGCGCTCATAACACCACCTCGTCGTCGACTTTCTAGTCTTGCTGTGGTAGGCATTTTGTTCCTGTGGATGGACTGGCCATAGGATGCTCCTGTCGATATGGTAGGTGCGCTCCCCCGTTCTCATCTGTACATAACTGATGGAAAGCCAGAAAATCAAGTCCCTCACGAGGCCACCTGCGCCTCCGGGCGAGGGTTCCGTGCGACAACCTCGAAATCTCGACCCAAGCCATCACCCTTTCGAGCGGGCCAGGGAATATACAAGAGCCCTCAATGCTGTTAAAATGGAACGCATGTTCGCCGCGCCGTTCATCGGCCAGTTGGGCGAGGGTCATGTCGACGGTGTCTATTCTATGGCAAAGGACCCCGGCTCATTGGAGAGACTCGCCAGTGGAAGCGGCGATGGTGTGGTCAAAGTATGGGACCTTGCAAGCCGCGAAGAATGCTGGAGCGTCAGAGCACATGAAAACGTAGTTAGAGGTTTGTGTTGGACCCCGGAAAGGAAACTCGTCTCTTGCGCCACCGACAAGACGGTCAAAGTCTGGGATCCCTACAACGGAGAGCAGAACGGAGTGCCTCTGACAACTTACTTTGGCCAAGGGGCATTCACTGATATCTCGCATCACCGCAACCACCCTTCATTTGCTGCTTCATCGAGCGCAATATCCATCTATGACCTATCCAGGCCTGCTTCTGGGCCTTCTCAAGTCTTGCGGTGGCCCACCTCGAGTGACACGATCACCTCTGTTTCCTTCAATCAGATAGAGACATCTATCCTGGCGTCAGCAGCCCTGGATAGAGCTATTGTCCTCTATGATCTCCGCACCTCTTCGCCCGTGAGCAAAGTGGTACTGAAACTGGCATCCAATGCCATCTCTTGGAACCCGATGGAAGCCTTCAATTTCGCAGCAGCAAATGAGGATCACAACATCTACATGTTTGACATGCGGAAATTGGACAGGGCACTGAACGTGTTGAAAGATCACGTGGCTGCGGTCATGGACGTCGAATTTAGCCCCACGGGTGAAGAGTTGGTGAGTGCATCATACGATCGGACCGTACGGCTATGGAACAGAGATCGCGGTCATTCAAGAGATGTGTACCACACGAAGCGAATGCAAAGGGTATTCAGCTGCCGTTTTACCCCAGACAACAACTACGTCTTGTCCGGCTCAGATGACGGCAATGTAAGGTTATGGCGCGTTGATGCATCGAGTCGACAGGGCATCAAATCCGCAAGGCAACGACAAAAGCTTGAATATGATCGTGCCCTGGTCCAGAGATATGCTCATATGCCGGAAATTCGACGTATTAAACGCCACCGGCACCTGCCCAAAACTGTTAAGAAAGCTGCGGAAATCAAAGGAGAGGAGATCAAGTCGATCAAGAGGAAAGAGGAGAACGTTCGAAAACATAGCAAGAAGGGCAGTATGCCTCGACACAGCGAGAGAGTAAAGATGATTCTTGGGACTGAAAAATGAACGAATTACGAAGAGTCGACCATTCGGAGCATCGCTGGTGCTGCAAGACTGAGATAGAATCCTTCGAACACCCAGGATCCTTCGACGACGAAGGACTGAAATACGCCACAGAGTCGTACAGCGCCATTGAGTTGCTGCCACTGTCCATCACCCGTCGCCCAAGAAGGGGACTTCAGGGTGACCAGCGAATACATTGATTCCGTCCTCTTTCTGGTTATTGTTCATGAGAAAGTACGACCTTGTATGACGACTTGCTATGGGATTAGCTCTCATTAGAGCGCAAAGGACGCCAGGAATTAGCTTTTGTTATTGAAGGTTGGGCGGACAGAAGATGGAAGTCACAAACGAACCTCCAGGAAAAAGGAGATCAGGCAACAATACTGAGGTCCCAGATGGAACTCCCGTGAAAGAAGAATAGCGTGTGTCTGAGACGGTGTGAAGTTTGCTTTGATGAAAGTCTTACACTCAGGACACGCAAGGCGGCATAGAGGCAAAACCTCGGCCATTAAGACGTGAATCAATTAATTTTCCAGAAAATCAAAACATTCGCCTGATGACCAACTTTCTCACCATAGAACCAATTTGCTCCTTCTTATTATAGGTTTATTTCATTTTGTGACTGAGGTGGACAATTGGTTACCAAGAAATAAGTTGCGATGTCGCATATGCAGAGGATCTGCTGAATCTTTACCTCCACCCCGACTACGCTCACGCGCCCTTGAACAGCGCAGAGCCTCGTCGGCAGCTCTCACAGAAAATGGCTGCATTCGGGGCCCGGGTCTCACTATTGAACTCATTCCTGACGGAAATTGTCGATAGCATCAGGAATAAGAACGGACAGCGCATCACCGACCTCATTCAACTCGACTTTGACCGTCTGAGTCCAGAGCGTCAAAAGCCTTATTCTGACCTCAACCAAGAGCTCAATCGGGACCATCCTCCCGAAAGAGACGGGGAGCTCGTGGCCAGGTGTAAGCAGACTGTGTCGCAGGATGAATTTGGGTCATTCAGCACGTCATTTTCGGAATGCATCATCCAGTATTTTCGCTATCTTCGAGACTTCACGTCCGCAGACAATCAAGCCAAAGCAACCAAGATCCGGCAATTGACAAGGTAAATTCGCCATGGATCTTCTCTGTCGGCTCTGTATTGATCTTCCTTTTTCGACAGCCAATGCGTGACCGCCCTGGGGGACACCAGATATGGCATCATCATGATACCGATTGTGCTCTCCTTTTCGCGCACCCTCGCAGCTATTGCCACCAACCTGGATCGAAATCCGTCTTTGATTCGGAATTCCAGTCTAGCGACCACGCAAGATGCCGAAGGTGCTCCGGGGAAGGTGGGCTTTGTGGAAGACGCGGCGAACGTGCTACGAGAGGCCTTCATTAAGTGTCTTGCCGGCAGTCCTGGAGTTCCACGAACTTCTCGTCCTTCTCCAGAGGATAAACGGGTGGGCATCTATTTGACGGCGAACTCGTGCCTGAAATTGCTATTACAATGCCGGCGGTTGCGCAATGCTCAGCAGATGCTCTCAAGCATCGACGTTCAATCACCACCGCTGTCCTACTACCCGGCAGCCCAGCGGGTCACGTTCCTGTACTACTTGGGTCGATTCCATTTCGCTAACAATCATTTCCAACGAGCACAGAAGGTGCTCCAGACGGCGTACGAACAGTGCCATCGCCAGGCGACTAAGCATCGAAGATTGATCTTGATCTACCTGATAGCAGCCAACCTTTGCCTTGGCCGATTCCCCTCTGCAGCACTCCTCTCACGTCCAGAGGGTAGTGACATTGGACCAAGATTCACTCCCCTCTGCAAGATCATACAAACTGGCGATCTCGGATCGTTCCACCAGTACCTGGACCTGGACAGCGAGTCCGGGCAGTGGTTCCTCAAGCGGTCCATCCTTTTCCAGCTCCGGAACCGGTGTGAGATCCTGGTGTGGAGGAGTCTGATTCGCAAGACTTTCCTCCTTGCCGGCTATATGGGTGAGGAGAAGAAAATACCATTTCTCAGATTGAGCTATGTTCATCACGCAGCAGTGTGGGCGTTAGGCAGGCTGAGGGCGAAATCGATGGCCAAGGGCTTCGGCTCACCGGCTCCTTTGGCAGACGAGAAATATGTCGACCCTGAATTTGCAGATATGGATGCAGCAATCAACGAGACCGGGTTTGATCCAGATACAGGACTATACGTTGACGAATATATCGGCCAGTACGTACCATACAGCGGTGACGGGGAGGAATCCCCTGCCATGAACGAAGTGGAATCTGCGGTCCTGAGTCTGATCCAGCAAGGTCTGTTGAGGGGCTTTGCTCTGCATACCAACCCTCGCTTCGCAATCCCGGGAAGCCAAAAGGCAGGAGGCCCTATGAAGGCAGGATTCCCTCAAGTGTGGAGCGTGACGGCGAGTAAAGACGGGGGAGAGCCAGTGCCTGGCTGGGTCGAAGAAGGAAATCTGGATGCTGGGGGAGGAGGGAGGGTAGTGAGGATATTCGGAGCTAGACCAGCAGGTTCATGAGTTTGAAGCCGCGGCCGAGAATATAGCACGAGTCGGTTGAGCGGCATCATGAGTGCTTCTAGAAGGACTGAATTGGCCCCATCTTACCAAGTGTGACGAGTATATGTTTTATTGCGTGACGTGCACATAATGCCTAGTCCATCCTTGACGCCCATGGACATCGAAGGAGTGGTGGTGAGGTTAATTAGTCCTTTTCCAGATTCAAACAAGAATGGGCGTTTGTGTGTACGGGGTAGCTAGCGCAGTCTCTTACCTTCATCCACTTCCAGAGCTTTCAGCAACCAACCACCACCCCATGTGCCCTCCAGCCATTTTTCTATCATAGATATATAGAGCCTCTGCTCGTCCTCGAGTGCTCAGATTTGGAAAGCTTCACTGCTTGACTCATGTCCCAAGCTCCCTACGGCCTTGGAGCCAGGCGAAGCTCGAAGCTGCGCCCCGTCACGACTTACGACGGACTCATGTCTCGCATGCTGCTCTCTGCCTCTGCCATTGGCTGCCTCTCCCGCCCAGACTACACGACCGCGGCCACGATGCGATGTAGTGCACGGAAGACACCCACCGGTGCTTGTAGCCTGGATGAAAGGTGCCTTGTGCTGGAACATGGAGCTTGTTCCTGGTACTAACTACTCGTGCATGTATGCCGCGGCCAGGTGCGCCTCGTGGGCAATGCTCTCTCAAGCATCTACTTTGATCTTCCCTCTCCGAGAACCCCTTCGTCATGACAAGTTATTGACCTAGCAGGAACAAGAATGTTTCTCTATCACTCCCTCTTCTGACACTCCTGTCTGCGGGCTCGTCTGTCTTACCCAGCCAACCCTCGAAAGTATGGCCAGCCTCGGTGAATAGCCACGATTACGCCCACATTTGAGGCACACGAAGTAGCCTCTCGCTACTCCAACAACGTCAACTGGCCGGCGTCCAACATGTCGGGAGCCGAAATCGGTGTCGCTGTTGTTGAGGCGGCAGCAGCCCTGGTCACAGCATATAAGGACGCTGGTGCTATTGTCGAGAACATCAAAGAGAAACGCAGGGCAAAAGGCGCACTACCCCCGAGCGTGGCACTGGAAGAGGCACTCCGAGAAGGCTATGAAGAGATTGAGAAGATCACAGCAAAGGGCATACAACGGTTTGGGCAACCCTTCGAGCAGGGAGATGGTGAGCACTCCTCTGCAACTTACTGCGGAATGCTTTAGGGCTCTTGGTACTGACCACTCTGCAAAGACATTGCCTATCGGGCTCTCCAGAGCCTTACCATCGAAATCCAAGCATCCTTTCTGCACCACCTGATGCTGGCCAGTAACAATGACAATGTCGTCGACTTTGAGACCTGCATTGATTCCGCCATCGATGCCCGACTACGCGCGGTTTCTATCCTCAGCGAACTCTATTTGCGGCAGCAGAAACGTCCCAGTGCGAAGGCAGAAAGTAGAACAGTACTGTGTTCTGCAGATGAGACGAAGGAGGTCCATGGAGCTTCTCCGGAACGTGAGAAACACTCGAGCTTGGGCTGCGAACCTGTGCCATCTCGACCCTTACTAGATGAGATGAAGGAGGTCATTGAGGCACCCTTAGTTCTTGGACGCAAGAAAAGCAGTGGGATTGTGCAACCTGAGACACCTCCCAGCCCAGGTCAGGCTCCTCGGAAGTCGTCCTGGAACGTCTTCAAGAAGTTGCATCGAACTCCATCTGCGGAGAAAGAGAGTACGTCGACACTGTTACAGGCCACCTCCCGACCCCCTTCATATGTCACCTCGCCCATATCACCGTCAATCAGGTCATTGGACAATCCTCGCAGTCCCCAAGCCATGACTCCACCTATCAGCCCGGTTTCAAGCGTTTCGTCCACTGATGTGCTGGCTGCCGCCGGCCTTTGCAAAGGAGCATACTACATCCAGCAAGGAGCCTATGAAAAGGGAGTGCAGGTCTCAATGAAGAACATGGAGTGGACTTGTCATTGTCGAAAATGTCCTTTTGCAACACCGGCAGACCGAGACGAGCGTGGCCGAGCCCGCTTCGACGACAACATCCACTCAACTCGAAACTTGCGTTGGCGATCTCTTTTGCTTTTCAAATCTCACATATCGTCTAGTCGGCAGAACACGAGGGTATACAGATGCCTGATATGTGTCCTTCTCGGTGATTCGACGTCTGTCTACCAAGGAGAACATCATCTCTTTGAGCACTTGTTCCACCACCAAGGCGGGGTCCTCAACGGCATCGAACTCTGGGGTCCAATCTGTTTGGCCGCAGGCGGAGCCAGCATGGGATCCGAAAGGACGTTTGACGTCTGCTTCGCGGTGAACCCGAGATTTGCACTCCCGAAAGGCGCCTTTGAGATGGGCGTCGCCACGGAGATTGTCGAGGCCGACGGGACAGAGATCCACGGCGAGGATGTCCTCAAGAATCAATGGGTGGATGACGGGTAGAGATGAGGTGGGCGAGTGGGCACCGTGTAATACTATGCGGGAATATATGATTGACGCGTTAAGCCTCGAGATGGTCTCTAGTTACGTGCATGTGTAGGTCTCCCGCACTGAATATCTTGAAATGGCCACGTAGGTTCGGATTGCCTTTCGTGTAATCGATATCAGAAAATGTGTTGGGTTTGTGGTCACGAGCCCTGGTTCGGATTCCATTTATACGAGACACGCCGAACGGCAAGGCTGTATGTAGCGCATGATTCGAGATGAGCGGGCGAGCAGGCGCGAAGAGTAGGAGGGGAGAGAGACAGGGATGTGCCGAATCGTCTCTCCCCTTCCGTCTACTACAGCCTCAACTTTCCCAGCCTGGTGTCTTTGGTTTTCCCATTGTTTCACGCTGGTTTGGGCCACGCCACAGAGCGCGCCCGCCGGTGAGGTGAGGTACAATATTCCTATCCAGGAATCTTGCACGCTCTCCAGGTGCTCGTATCTTGGGACACGTCGGCTTTCAACAGGCAGGCTGTCTGCATTTTGTTGCTTGCTTGCTTGCCTGCTTGCTTGCTTCCTCACTCCTCGTATTCATGAGCTTTACTGACATACCGCAACCCCCGCGTTGTTGGCAATGCGCAGCAGTTCAGAGCCAGTCTTGGCAGAGGCTGGATAGTTTCAGTTCACAGCAGCCCTGATGGACCGAACGAGATGTTTTCGGTGGTGGCGTCCGCAACAGCAACCAAAGGGTAAGAGTCGTGCTCGGTTTTCATTTGACGCTGGCAGGTAGGCAGCCTCATCATCTAGCAACACTTACCATTTCCATCCTAATGGGTGTGCATCCCGCGGCGCTTCAGGACACTCTTGTTGAAGAACTCGGGACCACTGACCGATAGTGAGGGAGTCGGATATCTGTACCATATATGAGGCTTGGACATTCATTGCAATCAGCTGATTGCTTTCCACGGTGGACCTGAGTCTAGCCCAGAAAGCAGCAGACCAACCCGGAGACACCATGGACCCCAGCTTCAACACTGGAGTTTTTCGTTCTGTGAGGCTCATTCCGGCTCCGGTCCTGCCCCAACAACATCGGTGGCGGCGTCGGTGTCTGCGGGGCTTGCTCTGTCAGTCCTTTAAGTGAGCGTAGGTAAGACAGCATTGGTATCAGCCACTGTTTTAGGGAGCACCGTCGTGATCTTGAGGATTGGCTTTTCCATCAGGAAATTCCGCGTAAATAAAGGGGAGGGAGAGAGAGCAGATAGCCTCAAGGTACGAAACCACGATTAAAGATTCTTTGCTCAGCTTCATGTACACTGTATACTTGAGCCGTGTCTCAACTCTTCAAACATGATTGTGAGACAGCAAACGCGGTTTCAGATATTTTCTTTTTTGTGTGAAACCGAGACGGCATCGGGACACAGGGGCAGCCAGACAAAGCAAGTGCTGGGAGTCCCACGGGATGGGGTCGGGGTTGGTTTTGAGCTTGGGCCACCAGAGCGGGCCACTTTGTGACGAGGAAAAGCGTTCCGTGGGAGCGAGGAGGGCGGCGTGGGCAGGCGAAGAAGGGCTCGAGCGCTGGTTGACTATGCCGAGAAGAGAATCTGGACATGTGCTTCGTTCGGTAAGAGGCCGGCCAGGCGAGGGTCAAACCACGCGACAATGACTGTGTGCCCTTAGCGAGGACGGTGGACGGAGCAGAGCAAAAGGAAGGCGGGAGAGTGGGTTTGGAGAGATAAAGGACCGATAGAGAGGTAGTTGGTAGTAATGATACTTTGTTATCTTGGGTGAGTGGATGAGTGAGAATGTGTGCTGACTCTTTGGCTTCTGCAGGTGGAAGTGTTGCTGCAAGGGGGGAGCACTGACCACCAGCCAAAAAGCAATAAGAATGTTCCTCGGCTGTCTGAGTGTCTGAATGTCTGAATGTCTTTTGTCTGTGCGGGAGATTGTCCAATTCTAGCCATTGTTCAAAACCCTATTATCTATCCCTCGTGAACCATGGGGGAGGGAGAGGTGGAAATGAGGGTCTAGTGGTTCCTGTGGGTTTTGGCTCGAGCCCATGCACCCGCAGTCTTATCTCTACCTACAATACAGAAACTTTTGTGATGGCGAAATGGATACTACGTATCTGAATTTGTGTTTTTGTCCCTGTAATAAGCCTCACAAGAGATGTGGCCAAAAGAAGCGCAAAGAACTACATCCATCCTGCGCGCTCACGTAAACGCAGGTATCTGGCTGTGCTCATGGGCGGGCTGGGTTGGCAGACCACTAGGCCTAGTGAGCCCCTACTGGCTGCTTGTCAGTACCCGGGGGCAGAGGGTGGGCACCTGGAGCCTGGGGTGCCTCCATATGCAATTATTAGCCTAGTAGCCACTGATAACAGCCCCTACGACCCTGACTGGTGCCTACAGTGCCTATAACCGTTAGTGGGTTGGTTCTTTCTGGTGGCCCGAGTCCCCAATCCCTTCCCTCCTCCCGCCCACTCGACTCTCTTCCTCCTCCAGTCATATCTCACCGTCAACCATCCCACTCTCTCTCACACTCACACACGATGACCTCCCTTCTTCCCGCCACCCCTTCGGCCTCCAGCTAGTGGGCCGGTAGTCAATGAACTACCCCGAGTCAGGGACTTTGCTCAGTGCTGGACTTATCAGTTGCGCCACCTGTGCTTCGGCCTCTTCCACTCTCCAGAGCTGGTCTCTCATGCTCACAGCCCGCGACCAAGATAACCCTCCCCCAGCCCTTGGAGGGTCTAGTCCGCTACCTTCTCGATCCTCCGTTCGCGATTCCAATCTGTATCTAGCCCAAGTCATGGCCCTTGCGCCCATTCACCTGACTGCCGCCTTTTCCACTACCCTCATCGCCCTCTTCGCACACTCTGCCATCACCAGCAATTCGCTACTCCCGTCGGCTCTTCTCCTTCTCCAGCTTGAACGATTGACGCCTTGGTAATTCTTCTGCGCTTTCCCCTGGCGCCTACGATCAGTCCTCCGGCTCGAGCTTTCTCATACTGGTGCGCCCGGCGTCACTCTCTCGCACCTCGACGTCCCATGGCCTTGGTGCGGAGTTCCAGAAACCATCCGCCTTGACAGTTGTTCTCGAAGCTATGACGAATCTCTCGAACCTCCTGCCCTAGACCCTGAACCGATTGCTCTCTTGGCCGAAGAACACGAAATGGCCGTTATCGAATTCTTCGAGCGTCGCATATACCACCAGGAGCCGCCCGACTACCAGTCGCGGATCGAGACGAACCCGACGCTGATCGTGTCGTGGTGGTGCACATTATTTTCTCTCACGGCCATCCTGATCCGGGTTCTGGGACGATGGGTGCGCACCGAAAGACTGTTTCGGGAAGACTGGATCATGTTCTACAGCATCGTCCCCCTCATGATTCGCATGGGACTGGTCCATGTCATTCTAATCTGGGGGACCAACAATACAACAACGGAGGGACTGACGCCGTTGCAAATACACCACCGTGAGATCGGAAGCAGATTGGTGCTGGCCGCTCGAATATTCTATGCCGCCTTTATTTGGGTGGCTAAACTCACCGTGCTGGAGTTCCTCAAACGCCTCATTGGAAAGTCGTGGGCCAAGTCGTACGAAGTCGGACTCCGATTCATCTATGGGTTCCTGGTCGCTACTTTCATTGCCGTCGTTGTCGGTACACTCTCCGAATGCCAACCTTTCCCGCACTATTGGCAGGTCGTCCCAGACCCGGGACCCCATTGTCGAGAAGGCCTGGTGCAACTGATCGTCATGGGAGTGTGCGATATTATCTCTGATGTGGTCCTGATTGTGTTCCCCATTCCATTGGTCTTGCAGTCGTCCATGCGCGTCCGCAAAAAGATATCACTCGTCCTCCTCTTCCTTTTGTCAACCATTCTCATCGCCATCACCGCCTATCGAATTCCTTCTACCATCTCACGACGCTCCTCCCAGCAGTACCGGTCGCTATTGGCGTCGCTGGAAATCCTGGCCGCCGCAGGAGTATCAAATGCCATCGTCATCGGGAGCTTCATCCGGGACAGAGGTGTGAAGAAGGCCAAATTCCGAGCGGCGTCCTTTGACGATGCAAGTTCTCTCGGTCGACAACCGACAAGAACTCGGACTACGTCTGTGACTCAACATCATTGGGGCTCTGATGAAGATTTGGCTAGGGGCGTTGGCGTTGCTCTACCGCCCGTCCTGCGGCGCGGCACCTATATGGAACAGACTCCTCGTGTGGCCGAAGCGGCCGTGGCGGCTCTCCCACAAAAGTCCCCCGAGGTCAATATCGAGCCCGGCGACCAAATCCGACACACCCCGTTCGCTTCAAGGTGGAATTTCGCCGAGGCATCTCGGACTCGCAGAAAGCCCTCCCTGGATACCCTCAGCAGCACATCCACAGCTGACATTCGACTACGCGATTTGAAACACCACCTCAAGGACCCGCCGGACATGGAAGCCGGCAATGATTACGCAGAACCCGACACACCAAGCAGAATGGGTTTCTTTGACGTGGGCGGGCTGGTCGACCAGCCGCCCAATGAGTCACCAATGTCTCGCTCGCGCCAGGCATCTATTCAAGAAGCTTCTCGTCGTCTGTCCCAACCCCATCCGCATGGAGTTAAATCCGGGTCGAAAGCTTTCCTTTCCGACATCGGGGGGCTCCTATCCAGACCGTTACGGATACGTGAAGAGGACGAGCTTCATTCGACGTCGACGGCGTCACCCAGACAGACGAGCAGTCCCGGTCGTTCGCCCATGAGATCAGAGAAAAGGAAGTCCTCCGCGCGGACCCGGCTGCCTTCACAGCCGGAGGATATGCTACCGATTCGACCGGCGAGGCTGAGCGGGCCTGATGACTTGGATATCTCGGATGCTGGTGGGTTGCTGCGGTGACGTCTCGCCCCAAGGTTGATCCTTGAGGAGCAGTTATCTTGCATACCTGAGTTATTCTCTATAATGAGGCGGGGACGCTCGTGGGGCAGCGAGCTAAAAATGATTGTACGTGTCAGGATTTGACGGGTTTAAAATTTTGAGAGTTTATGCATATACCACTGAGCGATGGCGCTGGGGAGACGGATACGTACATGGGTATTTATGGTGACTTGGTTGATATTGGTGTCCTGGCGGGACAGGATAGGATATTAGTTGATGAGTATGAGTTGTTGCTACGAGCGTGATGATTCTGGCTTGTCGACAGTCACTTATATTATTGCACAGTGATGAGAATGAAAAGAATAAAGTTATTGACGTCTAATATTGACGCGTTGTGTTGCTCTGCTTCGGCTTTCCTACTTCTGCGACCTCTGTTCTGCGAATGCCGTGATGGTCGGGTCGAGTATGCTCTTGCATTCATTCCGTACTCAACCTGGCATCCAACAGTGATCCTTTTCCTACCGCAGACGATCGACGTTACACTTATCCGGTATTTGACTCGAGTATACTTTTGTCTAGGGTGGCCGCTAGCAACGAGGAAACAAAAGCAAAGCCAGACTCTAATTTAGCGACGAGGACCGAGTGCTCATCCAGTAATGGTAAACTCGGTCGTTACACCAGTGTCCGAGAATGTGCTTCGAACCGTGTCGTCAGGATCTGCACAACGCATGCATCCTGGGCAGTATTACTATTGTAGTGATCACAAGTCAAGCAACGGCACGGCACGGCAAGGCTGAATACAGCCGGACGCGAGGCTGAAGTGCTGAGCGATCGACGGAAGAAACTTTTCCTGCTTCGTAACGTCGGGCACGTTCTTTCGGCAAATACGGCAAATACGAGATGAGTGAGAGACCCCTATGACGTAGGTCGCGCGCACAGAGCCGAGCTGCATGTGCCAAGCTTTGGAGAAGCCGAGTGTAACCGAGCTCGCGAGTCAAAACACAGTTAGCTTTGCGCTAGTTCTAACGCAGGCTAGGCTTGCTCTGCTACCGATTTATCTACGGCACCGTAGTCGAACTGCACAGGGCGAAAGGGTAATCCTATCTACCACGCCGGCATCTGGCTTCTCGTATTTAACATTATACTCTTCTCAGTATGAAGGGACCGAACTATCTGAGGTAGGTAGGTGAATGAACTACCTATGGAAAGATGTAGCATATCATGTTCGGAGAGCTACGACACAGTGTGGACTGCGGGCAATGGACAGTGGACTACTTGGTATATAGGGTCCGGTCTGCGTTGACATCCTCCCTCTCAAACAGGATGAACCATGACGAACAACTGTAACAAGCATGACCCATGAGTAAAGGAGCAACCTTGAGTATATGAGCAAGCCGTAAACACCGAATCTACCAAACCTCATCGCGGCACTGATTCACGACACAAAACAGCAAACCGCAAACAACCTCCCTTTAATCAACCACCCAACAACCATGTTGTCGTTCAGAAAATGCTTCCCGTGTCCCGTACCAGACTGTTCCCGTTACTCTCCCTCAGAGGGGGTTTTCCCTCACACTACGAAGAAGGCTATCGTTCCCTTCCCTGGTGCCGACATTGAAGATGCCGCGTTCCCGCCCCACGGCCCTTCGAAAAGCCAGGTCAGAAGGCTTACCTTGCCGCTTGAACTGGTCGATACTCGAGTTTGGATCTGATCTGGTCAGTGACAAACACTTCGAAAGAAGAAATCGGACATATCATGGCGCTCTCCACTCACCCCAACCAGTACCTCGGAAGCTGGACCTAGGCCACCGATACCCTCCGGTGCCACAACTTGTGGCACCGCCTCCCACTGACATATTGATTTGTGCATTTTTCAACACGGCGCCGAGCAGGTCGAGTCCAACGTTGTACCAGGATATCCCTGACTCGGTTTGCCCCGTACCCGGCGAATGCGACGGGCCAGCTGTCTCGCCTGTTTCCCTAGGTGCCCGTGGACGGGACGACTCGCCCGGTACCCAATTTTGGGTCGAATGCTTCTCTCCTGGCTCGTTGGATGGTGCGGATGGAGATTCTGTGGTAAGACCAAGAGCCATGGCAGCAGCCGTGCGGTAGAGAGGGATGTTTGCACCAAGCTCCTCGACTATTTTGGGCTTTCCCGGGTTCACCTCACCATAACAACGGGACACCACGCCTCTAGCATGCTCGGCGATCTCGCGGCGCTGCGAATCCCAGGACAGACAAGTTCCCGTATCCTCGCCTTGGTCGCTATATCTTTGACCGTGTTGATACAACTTCGCTCCTTTTGTCAAGAAGTCGGCCCACAGGGAACGCAGCTTGACAAATTTATCCTCTTCAACGGGGTATGGGCCTTGTGAGAGAGTCCAATGCGTCGTGACGAATGTGATCCGGGGGATGTACCTATCCCCACAGAACGAGCCGAGGAACTCGAGGAGCTTTCGGTCGAGGTGTTCGATTCGAGAGTAGTTAATCCTGGTGACATAGAGTACTCCGACTATGGCGGCGTGGTGACGGATCGCCTCTATGCCGCGGCCAATTTCGCGGAAGGCTTGTAGTTCATCCCCGGCGTCGAAACCAGGTGTGTCCATGAAGAAGTATCGCTGCCCGTTGATTAAGGCTTCGTCGAGCTGGAATGTCGTCGTCACTGTTGTACAGAGCAGAATGTATGAGTGAGGATGCCTCGCCGTGTTGACAAATGGCTCTGGGGTCATTGACTTACCAGGATCGCTCGAGTTTCGTGAATGGCCCTCTGTGCCGGTGAGATCTTCGAATAGGGAGGACTTGCCCACGCCCGTTCGGCCGAGCAGGAGGAACACTCTCGCAGGTTCATTGCTTGCCCTAAAGAGGCTGTGAACAACCTACATACACGGGTGATAATTCCCGGGTTTATCGGCACCTGATCTGATCGAGACAATATTGTGTTTGCTGCACAATGTTACACGGAGCCGAAGCCATGGCGAGCCCGGTGATGAAACCTGGTAAAAATCGATAGGAAGCGTCTGGCGAGCTGAGCTTCTTGGTCGTAAGAGCAGATGTGGTCGGCAGGTAGACGAGGAAAAGATGCGGGAGATCTATAAGGTCAGTGGTCCATCTCAGCCTTTTATAGTCTCTGACTCTCTACAGCAGACACAGATTTTGCGTGCCCGGGAGTGCTTCGACTTCTGAGACATCATTCTAGACTATGGGTGGCCGGCGCTTCCTGAAAAACGCCTTGCGATTCTATACAAAGCTGAGCCTCATGGTCGACCGGTCGGGCGGGCATACGGTCTCGCGCAGATTTCGCCCAGAAGTTGCCTCGTGGTGCACCGACCGGCCAACGAACCGGCCACGGCCAGAGGAGCGGGCACGACGCCCTCCTAGGCAGCAACAGGTTCACGCTCTCAAACTGGAACTGATGGTTGAGCATGCACCTCTTTCAATGAGCGACAGATGGTCCTTGTGAAACCTACAAGCCCTGTCCACATGGCTAGGCTCATCACCCCGGCGTCTTGGCCTTACGGCAAGTCAACACCGTCGGGCATGCGAGATGAGGCGCAGAAAGACTCGCCTCGAGGACATGACCGTCGGAATGCAGGCGCTGGCCACAATGATCGCTCACCCGCCAGAGATCTGGGAGAGGCAGGGCAAGGCTACCAAGCTCTCACCTTGGTCCTGCATCTCTGAACATCTGTCTGCACCTGTGTCGCCGTTTGCAGAGCTTCCGGGAGACGTGAAAACGAACCTTCGGGGAAAGTGCGTCATATAATGGGATAGTCGCTTGGCCACGGTCGAAGAATCGGCGTGCCTCCATAACGATCGCACAAAACCTCTAAAACAGCTCTCGGTGAATCAACGACAGCTGTTCTGGTCTGCCAAGTCGTCACAGTTATGTCTATTTAGGATCCTCCCCTTGCGCAGTTGGTCGAGCTTTCTGTACCGATCGGTACGATACCCAGTCCAGCACAGTTGCCTGATTGAATATTTGACAGCTGAGCACCATGCGGAGTTCTTTGTTGCTGATGAGAACGGATCTGTGCTGCTGCCAGATGCGTCCCTGGCTTCACACTCTAAGGACCGCGTGGCTGTGCAAATCTCCGGATGGTTTCTTTGTAGGTGGTGTTATTGATCAGCAGCGTGTACCGAGTATGTCGGTTTGAGTCTCCTATGGATGAATTTCCTAAAGCCGGTGGCACTCCCTCTGAAAGTCTGGAAGCTGATAATCTGCTCATCAGACCTTTCGGGGATTAGAGACAGTCTCCGCCCGGATGGCAAAGATTTCAGCATCGGCAGCTCAATTGTCCACTGGTAATGCTGTGTTACAGGGCAAGAATGATGGAAGCAGAATTGGCGGTGGAGGATCGTCCGAGTTGGCCATTCTCACTTGATTCCTTGGACGTGGGATTCGGTGCCGAAATAGAGTCAGTGTCTCCCGTCATCTGCCTCCGTATATGGCGTTAGACTGAGTCTATCTCCGCACATATTTGCCGGAATTTTTGGGCCAGCCAATGGTGAGAGGAAAATTGGATACTTCGATTGGCTCCCGTTCAGCCTCGCCGGCGTCGAAAATTCGGTGCCGAATATCAAAGAGACTCTCGGTCTGGAGTATTGCACATAGGATGAGACCGACGAGGAGGAGCACAGGCCCTCCGAAATGATTCCGGACCATAAATGGGAGTCTGCGACTTAGTCCAGGACCCCATGGCTGAGATTCCAGAGCCTCAAGAAGACGTCGGCCGAGTTGGGCCGTTTTGAAGCCTGCCCTTCACGTTATATACTTCAGCAGAGGTAATCACTTCTACAGCAACTCACACAGTCCTTCCATCATTGGGCTTTGGAGCTAGCAAATCCAACAATACTCAAGTTGAACACGCGCACTATGGCACCGCCCCAGAAACAATACGACGTGCTGAGCCCGTGGAAGCTGGCGCACGTGGTGCTCCGAACGTCGCGGTTCCAAGAGATGACCGACTTCTACAAGAAATTCTTGGGCGCCGAGGTCGAGTTCGAGAATGACCGGGCCTGCTTCCTGCGCTACGATGACGAGCATCACCGGCTGGGCATCCTCACGCTGGACGGCATGACGAGCGACAACCGCACGGCCCCGGGGCTTGAGCACATCGCCTTCACATTCCATAACCTCAACGACCTGGTTAAAGTGTGGGAGCAGCGTAAGGCGCTCGGCATCGAGCCCATCTGGTGTGTGAACCACGGCGGCACCACCAGCATGTATTACGAGGACCCGGACGGCAACAAGCTCGAGTCGCAGGTCGACAACTTCGACGACGAGGCCGAGCTCCATAAGTTCATCACCTCGTCGACTTTCCGCGAGAACCCCGTCGGCACCGACTTTGACCCGGCGGAGTTGAAGAGGCGCGTCGAGTCCGGCGAGGACGACGCCTCGATCAAGAGACGCATTGAAATTGGACCTCGTGCGTTTCCGACATTGGTGGGCGCCATGCCTTGACGTGCGGGATTGGCATGTTACTAAGTGGGATATTGTGCTGATGTCGGGGAACTTTGGTTTGGCGCGCAAATCGGGACCCGGCTCGCATTGGGAAGTTCAGTCTAGATGTGCTACCACCGTCTGGAATAGTGCTACGATGTCAGCCACTCTCTGCTGAACAAAGTGGTCAAGACAGCCTTTGCCCATGATTGCCCTCGCTTGCTCTTCCACATACTCTCGTGCTCGTCCAGCCTGCCAAAATCTTGTCTTCTGGACTGAATGCATAAGCCTCGATAGGATACCTGGTATAAGTTGCCTATTATGATCAATCAAGCGTTTGGTAGATAGAAGGGTAAATGGAGAGATGAAGATGGCCTGCCCCTTCCAGACTCTCTGTGTTGGATAGATTAGCTTCGAGGAAATCAACCCTTCTCCTTACTCGCCCTGACAATTTCCACCTGACGCCTCAGTCTCCACGGAGCATCGAACTTGCCCATGCGCAACTCCAACAGCTGGATCTGGGTCGGGGCCGTAACATCAGAAGATGCCATCTTATATTCCAGCTCCGCCTGGGTCTTGATGATCGAGGTCGAAGCCGTGGCATTGTCAGCGCCGAAGAACTCGAGCATTGATTGCCAACGCCACTGGGCAATGTCGTGGTACGCTTCGGTCGGCTTGTGGATCGCGCGTTCGATGGTGTAGCCGTCGTTGTTGAGCAGGATACTTGAGATATCAAACGGATTAGACTGCGAGATTGAATCATGCAAGGAAAACAAATCGGACATTCACACTTACATGATGGGCGTCAGTCCCGTCTTGATCATGGTCCCGATCTCCTGCACCGAGAGCTGGATGCTCCCATCTCCCACGACCAAGATCAAGCGCCCGGCCGCCTCTGCCGTGCCCTTTTCACTCTCTATTTCTCGCTGTGCCAACCCTGCTCCCGCACAGCAGCCGACCGAGTAGCCAATGCACCCGTAGTAGACCTGGGTGATGTACCGGACGTTGGCAGGGAACGTGGCGTCCGGCATGCCGAATTGCGCGGTGCCCGCCTCGACGATGAGGAGGTCGTTTGGTCGCAGGAACTTCCCGAAAGACCTCCACAGCCAGGATTGTGTGATTGCAGGATCTAAGGGATCATCCGTCGAGCTTTTTTCAGGGAGGACTGGAGGGTCAACCTGGGGCAGAGTCTGGGAAGTTGCCAACTTGAGGATTTCCTCCAAAACTATATGGTGCTCAGAGTCTGATACCGTTTGGACAAGTCGTCTGATGAATCACTTACCAGCCTTGATATGTGTGCCTTGGAGCACCTCGCCGAAAACCTGGTATGGAGTCAGCTACATAAATGCTTTGGGGGGCTTGTGTTCGAAACATACCACAGACTGATACGCCTCAATCAAAATCAATCGGCTCTCTGCAATCTTTGTCGAAAAGCCGCCAGTATTGGAGTCCGCAAGAAGTGGCCCCAGGTGTAGCGCACAATCGCTTGATTCCACCGCCTCTTGAATCCCTGGAGCGGAGGTACCACCGCTGTAGATACCGACGTACCTGGGATGCGTCTCGTCGATGGCGCCTTTGCCCATTGGGGTGCAGTAAATGGGACAATTGAGCACGTCGACGAGCGGTCTCAATAGATCGAGCGCCCCATAACGCGTAGCCAACACGTCCACGAGAACGACTCTCTCGGTGGACTTCCGTAGAGAATCCAAGATGAGAGATGAAGCTTTCTCGTTCATGGTTGCGGACTGTGTAGCATTCGCCTCCAGTTTTGATTTGGGCTCCTTTACCAGAACGTGGACGTAGTCCAACGGCACGTAGATGTATACCGGCAGCCACTGATTCAAGCACTCTTGTATGGTTGCCTGTTCTTTGATGAGCCGCGTTTTGAGAAATGTGATATGTTCACTCTACTTACATCAATCAACTCTGGTGCCGTGTCGGCATCGTCCAGGTAAGCGACGTGGCATCTCACGCGAGCAGATATGTCGGCATAGACCTGAAGACAAGGATCAACGTCGGACACTTCTCCACAAGAATAGCATCCCCCAGGACTTTCCTCACCCGATGATCCGGATTGCGGCCGAGATTATGGTGTATCATTGCTCGTTTCTTCTGATTTGCCATAGGCGTCGCTCCGACGATGTGTATCACCGGTACCTGTTCAGTATATGCCCCGGCCACACCGTTGATAGCGCTCAGCTCTCCCACGCCGTGTGTAGTCACCACTGCATGCATATCCTTTAGTTAGTCTTGTTTTTCTTATGTCTTACTTGGAATGAATACTCACACACGCCCGGCACTCCTTTTACACGGGCGTACCCATCCGCGGCGTACGCTGAATTCAGTTCGTTGGCGTTACCCACTATTATTGACCACGTTAATTGGATTCGAAGTTGACGGGACTGTCGTGTCACTCAATGAATGTGTGTGCTCGTACCCCATGAAAGACCAGGAACTTCTTTGATGTAGTCGAGCAACTCGAGGTTCATGTCCCCTGGCACGCCCATGACATGTCCAACTCCGAGTTTACGGATGCTGTACATAGCCCATTAGTTAACTGATAACAGAACAAGTAAGAGGAGAGATAAGAGTCTAACCGCGTCCAGAGATATTTCCCAAGAGGGATTTTGTCTGCCATGGTCGATGGCATGTGACACGCCGCCGGAGAATGTGTGTGTGGGCAGTAAGTACTCTCGGGGGAGGGAAACAGGACAGCCTTTGGCCAGGGCTTCCACTTTATACATCACGGTATGCGTCCCCATTCCCCAATACGTCCGAGGCAGAGTCCTTCTAGTTACTGCAGGGACTACGAGACCAGTTCCCGATGGCCACAGCCGAGTCGGAATTACACGTCCCAGGGCTTACCAAGCAGGATCCTGTCTCAATGTCCGGATAGATTCGTGGCACAGCTCGGCTAGACAGAGCCCGTTGCTTCTTTGTCCTAAGGGCCACGACTTCGATTTCCCTCGGAGATGGCCCAATCAGGGTGTTATCACCGCATCTGATAGCCTTTCAGATCATTTACATATTCTAGGGACCTCACTCCTGCAAGGCCTCGAAAGCCGCCGCATCCTCTTCAAGACCAATCTCCATCCTCCCGGAAAGCGTCCAGTGGCTGACTCTAGACCTGTTCAATCGTCCACTGCCTGTTACTCCAGCCTTTGGGAACGTTGGTGTTGACGAACTCGGTGCCACGAACGACGTGATCGTAGGCTTTCCAGTAGTTCTCGTTCGCGTACGCCTCAGGGTCGTGCATGACAATCCAGTCACCGTGTTTCTGCTCGATCGCGGACGGGTTTTTGGCGATCCGTTCCCAGTCTGTGCGATGGATCATTTCGCGGTTCAGGAAACCCTTTAGCTGATGACAGGAGACGCGCTCGAACCTTGGAGGAGGAGTATCAGCTCTACGTTCTGAGAGTTGCGCGGCGGATACACCAACTTACCGCAGCTTTTGCTGGACTTTGGTCGATATTGCAAGATTCTTCTTGCCGCCAGTCGACAGGCAGACTGCTAGTGATATCGCGTCCTCTATCGCCTGTGTGGCTCCTCCGCCTGAAGTCGGGAGAAAGGAATGGGCGGCATCGCCTATCTGGACCACACGGCCACCGGGCGACGTCCACTCCGGCTGAGGATCGCGCCACAGCAGTTTCCAATCTATGATACTATTGCCCGGGGCGGCTTTGATGAAACCTTTGATCTGATCGCTCCAGCCCGGAGTTCCCTCCATCACCTTGAGTACATCTGGTGGACTCAAAGATGCTGTCCACGAGTCTGTGGCCGAGCCGTCGTCCTATTCCGCAGATTAGCAAATGGCCGTCCAAGGCAGGAGTGATGGCTGTATTCACTCTGTGGGTGTAAGAAAACGTTGCTAGGTCTTTGGAGGTGAAAGCCGTGAAATGAGTGTCTTCACTGTACGGTCTCGTTAAAAATAGTGCTTGTTCTAGTTGATCCAGACTCACCCGATATAGAAATCCCACCGTGGCCTGTCGCCGTATGTCGCGAAAGTCTTTTGCAGCTCGGGGTCTGCGAAGATTCGATCCACGGGAAATGCAGCCCGATACATCGAGAATCCGCTGCTTTTGGCTTTCGTTTTCCTGCCCGTCACGATTTTGTAAGACGTGGAGGCGACTCCATCAGCCGCAACCACGATGTCGGCCACGATTTTCTGACCGTCTTCCGTCAGGACTTCGCCCCTGCCGGCTTCTTCGTCCTCGGAATAGTTGGTCACTGTTGTATTAAAGCGGACGGGTATCCCGCAGCGCTGCACTTCTGACAGGAATGTCCGATAGACCTGCGGGCGCGAATGCATAAAGTAACACCGTACCCGGGTTGGGTCGCTGAGGTCCGTATCAGGTTGTCCCATCGGAGCTGGCATCGGTCCAAATATATGCTCTCCCGAATGCTTGACATATGAAATCAAGGCATCGTATCCGTACTTGTTATGCTCGACGGCCATCTGTGGCCAGTGGTTGAAGACGCCGAGGCAGCTGGGTGCAAGGGAGATGGTATCACCTTGTCATACATCGTGAGTACAGGTCGTCAAGCCTGAAATTGGCCACCTGTTCCGCTCACCTGTCAAAATTTGTCCATCGGTTCTTTCGAGGATCTCGACGTCAAACCCTCGACGCCAGCATTCCAATGCTGCGACCAAGCCGGCTACCCCAGCTCCAACAACCAAGATTTTGGCATCTTGAGACGGAAGCCTCGATGGAGGTGGGAGCTTCGAAGCGCCGTTACGCTCTTGAAGTGAGGCCATCTCACCGATGGATGGTATCGCAGCAGATGGTACCACGAGAACCACTGGCCTTCCAGGGTCTTCATATGCATTACCAGGTACCGGCTGGAGCCCAGACGAGGCTCCCTTGGTCCCGGTCGGTCCATGGGTTTTTTTCGTTCCGGTGTAGTCGGTTTGAGACACTTTGAATGGTCTCTCTTCTCCTGCCCAGCATTCTTCCACGTCAGCTTTTGACACGGTGAAGGGAAGTTGCTGACAAACTGCTGGTCTCAGTTTCTGGAGCAGAGTCTGGTCGGGGAGTGGAATTGAGGGTCTAAAACTCTAGCCCATGTTCAGGGGCTATTGTCCCCAGACGCCACATATTCCCGCTTATGCAGAATTCGGCGCCGAAATCATCCTGCTGCTAGTTTCCGAGATTCCACTTCAAACTCTCATCCGAGTTCTGTTGCTCCTCGGGAATACAGTCCACGTCCGACAGTATACTGCTGCAAGGACCATCGCCGTCAGGATCGATGTAGACCGGTAGGCGATGCCTCGTCCGTGCCGGCGTCCGTCGGTTGGCCTTGAGTTCTCCTTTCCGTCTCCCCTAGATCCTGTGACTTCTTTCGATGCTCCCTGCCTTTAATACTGTGCTCCCATCCTCTGTAGCCCAATCTTACGGCGATCGATGTCTTCCACAGGCATATATATCCATCGGGGGCGTCAGATACGAATCACAGCCACAGACTCGGGTTAAATTCTTACTCCGCAGAAGCAATCGTCTGCACACGGTGTCTAGACATCAAAGGCATGAAGCAGCTGCTCCCGGATCATCCCATATTCATGATCACCGCAGGAAAGGAAATGAGAAAGCCATCATGGCATAGGACGAAAGAGATCAGGTGAGTTCGATCTCACTAAATCCGCTTTTTCACATGCCAAAGGATAGTCCTTGCGTACCTGGATATGCTCACGTCAACCATCTTCTTTGGAGTATGGTCGCAGGGTGGTTCATCCTTCAAAATACGTCTGCTGGGAGGGACTGAGATGATGGAGCTCCGAGAGTCACTTGTGTGCGACATCTCACTATAGTATGGTCAGGAGCGACATGGCGAGCACATTACCTTGTTCGAGAATTCTATCCACTGGGCTCAGCATCCAAATGAAAGCATGGGCTCTCGTCGCATTCTGTGAAGAACGTGAATAGCCATCAGTCTAGATTACTGTACCTCGTACTCGTCGACTCAACAAGCCCCTGAACATGGAACTAATTCCATTCCCCCATGGGGCCATTGCTCTCCGGCATGAGGCTAGAGTCCACTTGCGGAATTCCCCACCATCATACAGTAATATTCCCCACGAACTCTACCGGATCCCCAGGTTTCTTCCTCAAGCTCCCAGTGAGACTGTGCTACCCACCGAGCCACTTACTGTGGATTTGTTCCTTCTGACTCTTACATTCAAGCCCGACACCAGCCTGGCGAAAACTCAGCTGGTCGCGACGCAGCTCCCAACATCTGTGCTGTCTTCCCGAATTCGCAGTCATGCCTGGGCACGTCCCAAAGCTGCCCCAGGCTGCCTGCAGCTCATGTCACACGCGGAAAATCAAATGCGATCGCCGTCCGGGAAGCTGTAGCGCATGCTCAAAGATCCAGCTATCCTGTCGATACCCCACGAGCGAGCAAATTCTGAAACGCCGTGCGCCGAGGGGTCCCTACAAGAAGAGGAAGTCTCACCGGGAGCGGGAGCTGGAAGATCTGGTCAAAACCATGACAGAAAGATGCAACGAGCTGGAGGATGCCGCGAATGCAGCTCTGAATCGCTCGCTCCGTTATGCGGGCTCGCCAGACTCGAGCCTGGATTTGAATATAGAGGAATATCACAACGAAGTCCGAGAATCGTTAAGCCCGAAGTCTGTTGTCACGTCAACGTATTCTGGCTCGTCCTCCGCAGAATGTCCGGATTCTTCGCGGCGAAGCTTGCCTCTTCGTTTTGATCCAGGACCTGTGACGCCTGGACGCTCCGAACGGCTGACCCCAGAGCTTGTGTCCTGTGGGTTGTCTGGGCCTCAAACACTGGAGCTGTGGCACATCTACCGAACTCAGATTGATCCGGTGACGAAACTAATCCACTGTCCGTCCTTCTCAGCGCAGATTCTACTTGCATTATCTCGCCCCTCAATCGTCGATTCCTGCCTGGAAATGCTTGTGTTTAGCATCTGTTATGCGGCAGTCGATGTTCTCTCCGCTGGCGAGGTTGAAACTCGGTTCCAGCAGAAGAAGGACGTCCTTGCTTCTTGTTACAAGAAAGGGATGGAGCGCGCTCTGGGCGAGGCGGCCTCCCGCCAGATGCCGTCATTGCATGTCCTGCAAGCCCTTGTCCTTCATGCGGTAAGTCTGCAGACTGGATGAGTTGGTTGAACTCAATTTGATGTTTAGATCTGCCTGTTCCGCCGGTCTGGGGACGGTGCGCCAACAGGCACGGCTCTACTTGACATGGCCGTATCAGAAGCGTGTCTCCTCCTTCCAGAAAATGGAAGCAGTTACCACGACAACCTCTCCGTGCTTGAGACGCAACTCTTGCTTCGTTGCTGGTGGGCACTATATGCTCTCGATTATCACAGGGCTGCAAAATGCGGCTGTGACCCAAGTGCTAGCCTCCAGTCCAAGCAGGTGGCGCTTCCTCTGAACCTGAACGACATCGACCTCAGCCCCAACATGCAGCAGCTTCCTGTTCCCAGGACATCAGTCACCGAGATGTCCTATTTTCTGGTGGTCGTTGAACTCACTCTGCTTGACGCAGTATTGCCACAACTCCAGGCTAGCGAGCCCGAAAGCGAGCATTTCAAAAGTCTCGGGTCCATTATCAACGAACGCGTAAGAGCAGTAGAAATCAATTTCATTTGGCATTGCGAGACATCACGCCCTTTTGACTGGTTATTATTGTTGACAGCCAAGACAATGCTGGTACGTTTGACTGTGGAATACTTTGTTTGACTCTCTATTCTAATAGGTTAATCCACAGAATCCCGTCGAAATTCAGATGCTTGAAATGGGACAAATAATCTATTCAACTGACAAGTTGCTGGACTGTGCCGCAAGCGCCGCGTTGTCAGAAAAGACTTTCTCACTGGCTTTGGATGTTACCGAGTGTTGGTACATCCTCAAAACTCACCCGAATTTGTCAGCGTGGAGTTGGTACACCGACATATTCCGCCGCAGATACGACGCGGATTATATCAAAGCGAAAGTGGCTGAACTACCAGAATCAGAAGAGCGGACTCGAGCTCAGACGCTGCTCGTGCTTGATAGAGCTTCGAACAAGTCGCCCGCGATGGGCGTTTGAGGCAAGATCTGCTTACGGACGTTTGGTCACAATCTTCTGCCAACCTTACCAGCTTCTTCGAAACCCGAACTCGTGCGTCCTCAGCAGACGACACAGACAAGAGAAGCCCGCGCGAGACTGTTGTTTCCACCTTACAACGTGCATTTCGCCCTACAGTTTCTACAACCTATCTCACCCCTCATCTCTTGTCCACCTCGATATATCTGCCTTGTCCAAGACGAAGTCTGGCCATATCACTTTGGTGAACAAAAATCTTCAGTCAGAAGACATTCATACGGTCTTCAATCGTCGGCTGGGACCAAAATAGCCTGCAGGCCACCCGGGACTAAGGTCGTGAACTGCTCCTCGGTAATTAGTTCGCGGTCGAGCACTTCCTTAGCCATATACCATCTGACAGTGGTCGCGATGCACACGTAGAGCTCGGCCATGGCGATGTTGAGGCCGATGCAGATCCTGGAGCCGGACGAAAACGGCACCAGCTGCCGCTCTCGGCGTTGAAGTAGCTCCGGATCTTTCACGAGCCACCTTTCGGGGTTGAAAGTCTCGGGATCGTCATATACCGCTTCGTCGTAATGCATCAAGTAAATTGAAGACGACACACTCGTTCCTCCTGGAAGATGATATTCCTTCCACCCCGCAGCCGGGAGTCTGACTGTCATGCCTTCGGGCGGCACGAGACGTGGGAGCCTGCCACGAATCGGTGTTGCCAGCCGCAGCGATTCGCGGACACAAGCCTGCAGATATGGCAGAGCTTCAAGATCGCGCAATCCAGGGTGAGCGTCTCTGTCGTGCCACACTTCTTTCAGGTCGGAGTGCAGACGCCGGCGAATCTTGTCGTTCATGAAAATCGCCCAGATGCCCACCGATAGAGTAAAGCCGGTCGTATCGGTGCCTGCCACAATGCTTCCGATGCCGTTGGCCGCGAGGTATTGTTTAGGTAGTTGCGTGTTCTGTCGCAAGCCAGCTTCTTTGATGGAGGCAAGCACAGGAAGAAACTTGCCCTTTTCGATATTGTCCAACCTACCAAGCGAGTTCATTACACGCTTTGGTTGAAAATGCGTCAGTCATTATTTCCTGACTGCTCACTCTGTCAAAAGAAAGTACTTACATTGGTCATACTGGGGATTGCTTGAAAGACTTCTCCCGGTAATCTTATTATGAGTGGCTGTAGCAACTTCCTGATGGTCGGAAAATTCATCAGCTGGATTGTGGATCGTCAGCAATTAATATTGAGTAGTCTCTCAGACAAAATGCACCGAGACGCACCAAGAAACTTGCCCGACCGAACTGATCAAACGCGTCAAGCAATGGTTCGTCAACGTCTGGTCTCGACAGAGCTCCATAGCTCTCTCCAAAGGAAAACCGTGAGACAACATCGAGTGCGAACGAGCGAAACAGCTTTGTTAAATCCACCGGCCTCCCAGAGACATATTGGTCGTCGACCAGGGTTGTCAGGCTTGTTGCAAGCTTCCAAATCTCGGGCTCAAACTCCAGCACTCTCTTGCGCGAGAATCCGCCACTGAGGAGGCGGCGATGGTAGCCATGCTCGGCAGAACTGGGCACGGTGAAGAGGGTGTCGTCTTCGTTCGCAAACGCATCATAAAAGGCCGGATCCTGAATAGATGACGGTATCAGCCACGCCGCAGGGAAAGAAGTGATGTTCCCCGACCTTGTTGAAATTGGACGCTATTTGATATATCGTTTTCAGATATATGTCGGCGTCCTTGATGCTGACGTGATTGGGAGCGATGCGGACAATCGGCCCTGAGGAAACGGTCCAGCTTTAGCGGGGGCGGTATGCCCCGTCACCACGTAACTCACCATACTGCGCGTGAAGTTTTCGGATGGTCTTCACAATCGTTGGCTTGTTGTCTTCGACGTACAGCCACAGGCTCGTCGCGGCTGCGAGCCTGGGCCCGGGTACATTGCGCAGCGGCGAGAACCAGATCCTCAAGGTGACCAGTACCAGCCGCCAGGCTACAAACACTGATGCCAACACGAGGCACACCGTAGCGGTAGGAGACTCGAGTGGTCTGCTCAAGTGCCACTGCATAGTCACTGAGTTTTGACGCGAGTACAGCACGTTGGGCACGCGCGTGTGCAAAAGTCGAAGAGACGGAGACGTGGTTGGACCTTTTGTCTTTCCTGGTTTCCGAAATTTCTCTAACAGTGTGGTTATGTACAACGTTCAACAGTCCAACTCCGACCGATTTTTGCCCCGTCACGGCTCTGAGAACCCTTGACTCGGGTTCCATTGAGCCGATCTCGAAACCTCTACGAATAGCTCTGCCCAGCCCCGGATCTTAAAATTCGGCGCCGAATTGACCAGGGCTCAACCCACTAGCAGCAAACGAGGGTCCCCAACAACCTGGGGAAGGACAATGTGGATTTGTGGAGATGATAGAGAGTAAACCGACTCGGTCGCTTGCACGACTATCCGCGTAAGGTATCCTGTTGAGCTCAACTCGCACAGGTAGATGCTTTTTGGCCCCAGATTTTGACTTTGATCGCTTGAGGCGTCCTGCGCATTCTATCGCAAAGAAATCCCCCTTCCATTGCAAAGAGGCCAGTCACTATCGCCACGAAGCTCAGTGAGCTCGGAGGAAACAAAGCTCGGAGACGTTCCTCACTGACAAATCGAGCTGGGACAACGCGGGCCAAACATGTAGGGTACGCTCCATCCGGGAACCTGGCGATCATAAGACCTGTAATATATACCTAGGCATTCCATTCCCTAAGATCCATTTCGTAATCCACGTTGCCCTGACGCATGTCAGGATACGGTGTGCCGAGTATAAAATGACAACTATCGGTCGAGAGACAAGCACCTTCTCCGCCTTGAATCCTGGCTTTGGACTGGTGTAGGAGGGATGCCCATCCGTGCCTTAGCCGTTATGAACTTGCGACGACCATAGCAGGACTTACCCATGTTGTCAAGGTCATTTGCCGAAGCCGCGAGCCGAGCACATCAATAGGAGGTCCAAGGTTTGAGGGAGATCACGATTTCCATCATTGTGCCGGAGTTGGTTGAATTATGATGCCGCCGTCTCCACTTTCCGTACATGTGGGCCAATCATAACTAGATCTGGGCTGGCATCAAGCCACGCTAGCCCTTTTTGGCTTTTCTGCCCTCAAGCGGGTCGCTCCTCGTATCTTCAGAAGCTTGCAGCAGAGCCCGAGGTCTCGTGGAAGACAGGGTATTGAGACCACTACCACTCCTCCCACCGTGCCCAACGGGAGCGGTATCAGGGCCGCGTTCTGTTGCACGCTGCTTCCGGTCTATTTCCAGGAAAAACGCAGCCTGCGGACTATAAGATGATTTGAGAGGCCATCTACTGCTCTAACGCTGCAGCTCTTCTCTTTGTAATCAGGGCTCTCATCACTACCGCCCCGACAACATGACTGTGCTGGGAAATGGCTCAGTGATCCTCATCGCGGGCGCCGGGCCCGCGGGTCTCGCGCTGGCGCAGATGCTGCGCAAGGGAGGCGTCCGGTTTGAGATCTTCGAACGCGATGAATCGCGGCCGCAGGGCTGGTCTGTAGGACTCGACAAGTGAGTACATAGTGTCACTTTTCCTCCAGAGAGAGACAGTGTGTGTTTGGGGTGCTCTTCTTCAGACTGCAGCGTGAAAGCTAATCAAGAAACATGGGTATGATCACAGATGTCTGGACGAGCTGGAGCGTCTGCTGCCGAGCGACATCCCCGGGTTCGCGACGCTGAGCCCCAACTACGCACTGAAAAAGCTGGACGCGTTCACGGTCATGGACGGCATCACGCACCAGGTCGTCGGGGTCACGGGGTCCAAGAGCCTCGAGGATCAGGGGCGGATGTTCTTCTGTCCCCGCGAGAAGATCCGGAACATGCTCATGCCGCACACCAACCTCCAAGCCGGCAAGCACGTCACGGGCTACCGAGAGGACGCGGACGGGGTGACGCTGCTGTTCAAAGACGGCACCTCGGCGCGGGGGACACTGCTCGTGGCCGCCGACGGGGCGCGGTCCCCCGTGCGCAGACAGCTGCTGGAGCACAGCCCCTTGATCCAGACCAACTTCCACATGATCCACGGCAACGTGCGGCTCACGCGCGAGCAGTGGGCGCCCATCCTGGAGCACTCGTCGTGCGGCATCCTGCTGGGCACCGACACATGCAAGTTCTACTTCCTGCTCACGGAGCACTGCGACAACGGCGATGCCTGGTTCAACTGGAACACCGCGTACCGGAGCACCGACTACGCCGCCGACGACGCGTGGATGTCTTCTGCGACCGCCGAGCAGCTCCGCGACCGGGCGCTGATGGTGATCAAGGACCTGCCCCCGTTCTTGCGCGACAGCGTCCGCCTCACCCCCGTCGAGGGCATGCAGCGCCCGCCCGTCAAGCTGGCCGAGACCATCCTGCCGAATCAGCTCCTCCCGCGTGGTAACGTCACGCTGATGGGCGACGCGGCGCATTCCATGGTATGTCTATATATGTCCATACATAGATTATTATCCTGCAATGGTAGGCGTTGAAGCTGCTCTCTTACTCACGTGGCACTACGAAGCTCCCGTTCCGCGGCATGGGCGCCAACACGGCCCTCAGCGACGCGTGCGATCTGGCCAAAGCCATCATCGACGGGGTCCGCAATTCCAGCACGGTGGACTCGGTTCTGCAGGCGTACGAGAGAATCATGATCCCGCGCGGACGGGAACACGCACTCTTATCCCATGCGGTCGGAGAGGGCGCCGTGGCGAGCGAACTCGCCGGCGGTCGACTCGAGGAGGACGGAGGACCCAGGCCGTGAAAACCCACCAGCCAGGCAGGCAGTCAGCGAGGGAGCGAGGGAGGGGACGGGTGAAGGAATCAGAGTTTGGTTCGGCCTACATTTACATACATACCAGATTGTGTAAAGCCTGAGTTAGTTGTCGAATACTAACCACTACGAAAATGGCGCAATCTAGACAATCGCTCGGTCGCTCGATCAATCATCCTTATCCATCTACGGACAGTAGGTACCAGTTCCGCTACACTGTTCCTTATTGAAATTGGGGACGGGGATGTTTGTGAATATTCGTGAATATCTCTACCCTATCCTATCCCCTCCAGTTCACCAGTGTCTACTTCGCATGCGTGATCCCATGCCTGAGCGTGCCGACCTGGTCAAAGTAAATCTCCACCGTATCGCCGTCCTTGAGGTACCGGGGCGGCTTCATGGTGAAACCCACGCCGCCGGGCGTGCCCGTGAGCACGATGCTGCCGGCGTGCAGCGTGGAGCCGCGGCTCAGGAACTCGATCAGGGCCGGGATCTTGAAGTGCAGCTCCGACGTGTTGCTCTGCTGGCGCAGCTCGCCGTTGACCTTGGTGCGCAGGGCGAGGGTGTGCGGATCCTTCAGAACCTGATCAAATGTCAGATGGGACTCAGGGCTCGAACTCTATAGAATTGACTGGGAATTGGATCGCTTACATCTGCAGACACGATGCAGGGTCCGACAGGACAGAAGCCGTCGAAGCTCTTGCCATAGGTCATCTGTGGCGGAGGGAATGTGCCCACGAGGTCGGGATCCATTTGCCATTTCCTGCAACATGGGCACGTCAGTTGGTCACAAGAGGAGTGTGAGGGATACAAGACCTTGCAGAGACGTCGTTGGCACTCGTGTATCCAAGCACATAGTCCATGGCGTCTTCCTGGGAGATGTTCTTCCCGTCTTTAGCGATGATAAACGCCAGCTCGCCCTCGTAGTCGGCCTGGCCGTCCTGAATGATCGTGGCGAGTTCAACGTCGTCTCCGTACCCCGCGAGGGCGTTGGATGTCTTGGAGAACATGGCAGGATAGTTGGGTGGCTCGATCCCCAGCTCTCGTACTGTTCACCAGGTCAGTCAGTGTATATCTCTTTGCTGAGGCGGCCGTGGACTCTTTATCGTACAGTGGCTAACGTAGTTCCCACCAATACATCGAATGCAAGGGACCATCTTGTATGTCAACGGGCCCAGCAGTTTCTTGACGTGCAGCACCCGATCAGTGACCTGGCATGTCGGCAGCAACGGGTCGCCGGTGACGACCTTTGCGGTCAACGACGCATGGTTGGCTGGGTCCCCGATATCGAAGTCAGCGTCGTCGGGCACAATGGCATCACCAAAGTAGATCTGGTCATCCTCTGCGCTGATAAACCGTATGAGTCGCGACCAGGGTACTCTCGATGGTGGTGCAGCCATGTTTCAGGGTGCTCCAATATCGAATCTGGATGGATAAATCTTGACTTGACCTGACGGGAGAACCATGGATGTTCGACTAACTTCTAGAGGGCATGGCTCTGTCTTTGTGCTGAAAGGTCTCCTGTCCTCCATGTCACTGGTGGGAATCCGTAGCCCAGGGCATATGACCATCGGCCGAGAGAGTCGGAATACCAGGAACAGCTCGCGTCTCGTCCTGTGGGGGCATCTTTAACGCCATGTGCGCATCTGGTTCCGCCCCAGGACACGGCAGTTTGACACGGATCGTCTCATGGTCCATATTCAGCCGTTGTTGTGGGTCCGAGAAGTGCTTCTTCGGGTGTATCTTGATGCTTTTCATGTCGGAATATGCTGCGAATACGTCGAGACCCACCATTGATAAACCGGCTGATAATTAGATTTCTGGGGGCCCATGAATAGTACGCGTGACTAGAAATCGCCTAGATGTACATCTGCTTCAAAACTTATCGGTTGGCAGACTCGGGTCTCGGGTACAGCATCCTGTTTGGTGCAATTGGATACCTGTGCTGTGTAGCACACTATTTCCACGTCTCGCTTTTGCAGCTACACTGGTCCTCGCTTCCTAAGGCTTCCAAGCACCCTGGCAATTCTTCCTAGTAGCTCACGGTGATCCGGCTTCCCCAACACGCGCTGTTTCCCTCCTCAGATAGTCTTGAACTTTAGACTTCCGGACCACTTTCTCAGTCTCTGGCCATAGATCTGGAGAAAAACGGCTAGAACCAGTCCAAAAGTACAGAGGCCAGCTTGGATACCGAAGCTGGCTTTGGTTCCCTCTTTCGTTGCCCAGCTCACCTGCTCATAGGAAATGATGAAGCCGCCAACGGTTCGGCCTACAGAGAGCCAGGCGGCGCCCTCGCCTGAGGCTTCTGGGAACGAATCGAGACAATAGGCATTGATGCTCACAATCGAGATCATGGCGCCCATGTTGAAGAGAGCCCACCCTACCGCCACCACCATGTAATGGAGATGGTCCTGGAAAGCATATCCTATGAGCACCAACCCGGAAACAAGGAATGGTGTTGCCAGCCAAGCACCCCGAAGTCGGGCTTCGGGATGGAAATAGCCATTGTGAGTCTTTTCGTAGTGTTTGGCAATCAGATCATGGGCAAAATAGCCAGCGGCCTCGCCCAGGATGGCACCAATGGCAGGTGCAAAGTAGAAGTAGCCGACTTGAAGAATGTCAAAATGATAGAGCGGAGTGAGGAATATAGCCGACGTGGTGTTAATACCTACCTGCCAGGCGAAGGTGATCCCGGCGTAGATGACCGAAATGAACACGGTAGGAAGCATGATAACCCTTGCGGGACGTCGAAGTGTTTCTCGCACGGTGTTCCGCAGCCTCCGGGAATGGAATTGCTCGACACCCACCAAGCGTAGCAGTCGACTTCTCCTCGCAGGCTGCTCCTCTAGGGTCAGGCGCCGATCATAGTATGTTTCCTCCCCGAAAATAATGACTAGAACAAGGCAAAGGCCTGTGAGACTGCTCAGGACCCAGAAAGGCACAGGCCACCGTTGAGTGTTGAGCATGAATGCCCCGAGCATTGGTCCCAAACTGGGGGCGAGCACGACGAACGAGGCCCATATGCCGATTTTCCGCCTAGGAGCTGTTAGCGACAGATATAAGATTAATGAGGTCTGGCAAGGACTGACGCTTTCTCGTGGAAAAAGAACATGTCATTGATCAGGACGGTGGTCATCGATTGAGTGACCGCCGAGAAGAATCCATTGAGAATCCGAGCTGCCATAAAGGACTCGAACGTGACGGCTGCGGCACACCAGATTGCGGTTCCAAAAGCCAGGCAGAGCATCCAAAAAAGAACCGGCAGGCGGCCGAAGTATGCCGAACAGACCACGGAGAACAGGCCGCCCACTCCCAGCATGAAGACGTTGCCCGCTTGAGAATGATTGACATGGTCCGGAGTCAAATGCCACTGCCTAAGATGCCACGGTCAGCTTGTGGAACTCGCTCGCTGGAGATTGGGGACTTACTGTGCCTGTGACAGCAACGTGACGGCGCCAGTCGCACTGCCATATTCGGGCAAAAAAGAAGACATGGAAGAAATGATGAGGAGCATGTGCTTCTTGAAAAAACTCCAGTTCAACGGATCGTTAGGATCGTCTGATGGCTGTGGCACGAGGATGGTGTGGCCGTCGGGGGCGAATTTGATGCCGTCCACCTGAGCCGCCGACGTCGTAAGGTATATTTTCCCTTCAGGTCTTGCAATTGGTCCCGCGGACGTGGACTCTTTTGTATTTGCGTACTCCAGCTCCACCATCCTTGCGTCGGTCTGTTTCTCATCCTCCATGCCGAGTTCTGCTGCCATGTTTGCTCACAAGTCGAAGGATGGAAGAACAATGTCGTTGAGTCATCGAAGAAGCTTGGGTCCTCCACACTGTTTATACATTAGAGCCTAGCCAGCCTTTGAGATACTTCGGGTCTAGAGCTGGTAGCAATGTTTGCTGCGACTGGTTTAGTGCCAGCATGGGGAACCCAGGATTTCGGCTCCGAATATTTATTCGGCTTGTGCAGGACTGGGCCAGTTGTGTTCGCTTTGCTGCTCTCTGCAGGGTGGCCCTTGTGAGTCTCGCGAGACTGGAACTGTTTCCGCGGTTTGACATGGCGGATTGCGTGGGTGGTGCCGTGCTATGTCTAGCTCGTCTAGCCATCGTGGGTATTGATGAGGCAGATGGTGCCTTGGGCTGGAGAGTAGGTATTTTGTCTCGACAGTGCCGTCAAACAGGTGATTGGAGTAGCTTTGGGCCGGTCTTTGAACTCTAGAAGGTGAGGGGCGCTCCACGTGCGAGTTGATGACGATAAAGTTGAGAGATACAGAAATGGAATTGGTTGATCTCAAGCTATGTGCCCATTCTAAATCCAAAGATATCATGAGTAGGAGAGCGAGGGTGATGGTAAGGTGGTAAAATACAGTACATGTTGTCTGCAACTAGGCGCAAGAATAAACGGACTGGTACCTGTAATTTCAATTATGTGACGAACATTCGCAGGGCCCAATAAGCTAATTGTCACGTTACAACTTTCAGTAACAATCCTGTCAACTAAGGCATCCATCCCCACGTGATCCCGCGTGACCCCGTGTCACGTAGTCATAGATTCTTGTTGACACAACATTTTTGAACACTTTCTCCTAGACCTTCAGCTGCATACAGCAACTCCAAGACCACACGATACTCTTGACACCGAGGCCATCATGCCTACAAGACGAAAACGCCGACAGTCTCCACTGCCTAACTCCCGAGGAAGGAGACGCAAGACGAGACCAGCCGCAGTGGAGGAGCCTGCTCCCGTGAATAGCACAGTACGAATTGACCTTTGGCTGCCTCTCACGACCGTATTTGTGGTCACGGTTGTGTTAACGTCAATTCCTGCAGGATCCTTTCGAACGGCTTGACCCTGACTGCTGCAACTTGGTTCTGGACCATCTGACGCTCTCAGCGCTTGGTCGATGTGCCCAGGTCTCTACCTCGTGGAACTTCGCCATAACGTCGTGGATAGCCTCGTCCGGCTTCTCAACTCATTTCCCCTCAGCCGAGAACCCACGGGAGAGCGGTGGTGGTGATGCTCTGGTTGTCCAAGAATTCAAACGCCTGGGTATATCACCGCGACCGCTGGTGGGCTTGTCTTGCTGACACCGTATCCGTTCAGCCTCTCAAGACCGGGCCCTCTGGCATGGTGAAGCGACATCAGGTCTGCGGCTCACCAATACAAGTCATTTGACCATTGCTGGAGACTTTGTGGCGTGGTCTTCACCGCACGACGGCCTCCACTACCAACATCTACAAGAGGGAGCCAAGGCAATGAAGTTAAGTGTTGGACCGTGCAATCGACATAATACTGTCGTGGGGATGGACCTGAATTTGGACGGGTGCCTCCTAGTGAGCATCTCTGTAGGTCCCAGCATCTACGCCCCATACGACAACGACCTTCCTCGAGAACGCTGGTGGGAAAACAATCCCTCCCCGAGTAAAGTAAAGTAAAGTCCTGATCGCTTTAGGCATACTGTATACTCGCTCCCGGATCAAAAGGTACTCTGGAAGATGGTATCCACCGAAGTTCCCGGATGCCAGCCCAAGTATAGTCCTCTCCGTATCGGGAGAGATCGAATATATTTGGCCAGGCGGAGCCGGGAGAAGAGCTACGATCTTGTGGCCGTAGATTTCCGAACTGGGACCCGGTTGTATCAGACACCTGTCGTGGCTAACATCCACGACAAAGACAGCGGCGATATACCCGAGAAAACCCTTCAACTGGTCCGACTCGGAAAAACCGATGAACGGATTGTTCAATTCGACTCCAGCCGACTGCTGTATGAGCCGATGCCGGCAAGTCAAGCTCCCACTTTCACCATCATCGACGGCGCCAATGGTCGAAGCCAAACAATGGATTATCCCCGGCGTGAAAGACGAGATCGCGTGTATGCCAGGGCGAATTCCAATTCCATCGCTTTGCTTGAATGCTGGTACTCACACGTTTCCTGCCTACTGATTCAGAAACTCTCGCGTCGGTCAGACGGAACCTTCGTGCGGACCGCTGAACATCTGGTAACTCCGGGTAGCGGCATGCTCAGCCTCGCCATGGACCCCTTCACATTTCATGCCTTTGCGCTTGCCTATGGCCGGACCTGGGTCAGTCCCCTGCGCGCGATTCTGACGTCCGACCAAGAATCCTCACAAAGCAGCACCGACGACTTGACCCTAGCTGGATTCAGACCAGCATGTGTGGTTAACGCGTACAGCTGCGTTCTCTCAGGTCAGGAGTTGACCTTACCGCCACGAAAACCGGGTGGACCTCGCCGACGAGCATTGTCTTTGCCCTGGAGACGGAATTGGTATGCCTCCCTCGACCAGCTGGATAATAGTCTACTTGTGATGAGCCATAAAACCCACGATGCTCGTGACACGTACCTATTCTCTTTTGGGCCGAAAGCACATGGAAGCCAGGGCGAAGAAGGTCAATGAGGGCTATTGGGAAATGATGGTCGTTTAATACACGACACACATGTTCAGACTATGGGTGGATAGGGTTCCCACATCGTGTATGTGTTTTTCTGGCGCTGGTGTCTGGTCCTACCCACCTGCGGCCTTGGCTGGCCTGGAAGGAAAAGGGGTGGAACGGCGAGCCAATACTGGAGGAGGGCAGAGAGGCAGGAGAGCCAGGCGATTTCTGGATTTACTTTTCTTTTCCTTTGCTTTCCTTTTTCTTCTTTTTCACTCTCGCCTGCACGACTTGGCTACGGTCGAGCGAGACACACAGAGAGAGAGAAAGGGGGGAGAAGGGCGATGCCTCTCGGGAATTTGTCTCTGCATGACTGGCTAAGATATCTTCTCTGCCTGTAGAGGGCACATGAACGAATGATTGATTAGCTGGTGACAAAACAAAAGGCTTTTCTTTTCCTCCATCAGATCCTGCCCGCCGCCCTATTCCGGCCCTTCAACGCAGTTGTTTTGTTTGTGTGTTTGTTGGCGTGCGTGCGCCAACAGAGCCAGGTGTTTTTTGAATACGACGATGGATGGATGCTTTTGCCCCCGCGTAACTCGGTACCCATTCGTTCATTCCCCCTTGTGTGAAATTGATTTCCTACGTACACAACACTACACAACACAGCAAACTACACATATTCACACTGGGGGACCTTCGCGAGTCTGGGATCGGGGATCTCATCTCATCTCATCTCATCCATCGATCCATCCATGACGCCCGTATCCCGCGCATCAAATCGCTCGCTTCGAATCTGGCTGAGACACAAGAACTCGGTTTGCATGGGAGTGCGGCGCCCTCTAGATCAGATCAGATCAGATTAGATCATAGGTGTATGTATGTATGTATGTATGTATGTACGTGGATGGATGGATGGATGGCCACCCACATATATATGTATCGGGGGAAACAGGGGAACAGGAGAAGAACAGGTTAGGTCACGACGGCGAGCACGTGAGACAAACGACGAGTGGAGGAAAATTGATATCTATGTTGCGTCTCAATCGCTATGATGATAGGTACCTACCTACCTACCTACCTATACAGATAAATTCCATCCGATGTCGAGCTGGTAGTAATTAATACTGTACCGACCAGCTAGCTAAACAGCCAACCAACCAAGCCACACTTTCATTATGTCCTCTTCCTCAACAACACCACTATAGGTCCTCGTTACGTGGTGTATATGTGGTGTATATATACAACCCACCACCCCCACACACATAATCACTCACTCACTCACTCACTCACATCCCATCTTGAACACAATAACACCGGTCGCGCGACACTTCCATAAAATGATCCCGGGCGCTGGGGCCCCGGGCCGTCTCGTCGTACAGGTCCCGCTCGACAAAGCACCACTGCTTCTTCAGCCAGCCAATGAAGCCGCCGCCGCGGTGCTCGCAGACGTCGGTCATGCACCGCAGGAGGTCGTCGTTGCAGTCGTGCACTTTGTCCGTAGGGCAGTTGGCTACATGAGAATACCAGTTAGTCGTCTAGGTAGGGCGATCAAGAGGCAACAAACATGCAAAGGTGGATGCACCAGGGAGGCACGGATGGAAGGAGGGGAGAGGAGGGAAGGAGGCAAGAAACCCTTACCAAAGCAAATGTCGTGGTTGCTGCAGCACTTGCCAAACTTGCCGTTGCCGGGGATCATGCCCGCGAAGAAGCCGACGCCGCAGCCATTGGGCTTGACTTCCGCGACGCCCAGCTTTTGCTTCGCGTGTTGGCCGTGGGGGCACCGCCGGGTGTCCTTGTCGGGCTGTCCGTTGGGATACTGCATCTTCCTGGCGGCGACGTCGTCGTCGTCGTCGTCGTCGTTGTTGTCTCGGATGGCGAGCGCTAGCCTCTTGTGAGTCTGATGATGTGCTGCTGGCTGGGGAGGTTAACGGAAGGGGACTCGTTATTCACTCACTGTGGTTGTGGCTGGGACGGGCGTTGGTGGGAAGATTGTCGCCCACCCCGTCAATCGCGATGGAAACACTTTTGTCGATGAAGTCAACAACAACAACCTCAGCGACCAAGTCCATCCATGACACTGGTGGGAACCCGTGATCTCGCGGCGCCGCCACCGCCACCGACCTGAACGAACTGGACGACGGGACTGGGAGGCTCCCTTCCACGGCTGCGGACGTGGACGGAGGGACGGTGGGAACAGTCAGGGTTTCTCTGTGCCCCTTGTCCATATGGGTGCCAGTACCACCACCACCACCACCACTACCACCCACCGATACAGCCACTTCGGTCCGGGCCGGCGTGAAGGCTGCGGGCTGAGAGATTCTGACTGCCGTCACGGTGGTGAAGCGTCCCAGTGCCAGAACCGGACTAAACTCGGCACCCACGGGCACCGCCAGGGTCATCGCCATGGGGAACAACATGAGAAGGGTGAGAACCACGGCGTAAAACGAGAAGCGCATCGTGATAGAAGAGGTGTGGTAATGTTGATGAATGAGGGCAATGTAATGAACAAGATAATGTAACGGACTTGAGGTAGGCGCCCTGTGTATCACACACACAGAGAGAGTGAGAGAGAGAGAGAGAGGCAGGTGAGGTTGACGACGAGGGCTCGCTGAGGTTGAGATAGGTTGAGAGGATCCGAACAGGGAAAGCTGACTAGCGAGTTGATCGACCAGAGTAGATTCACAGGGTAGTAGTAGTCGTAGTCGTAGTAGTATTAGTGAGGCGTGGTCTGCATGGCGAGGGAGAGGAAGGACGGAATAGTGAGAGCAGTAGGACCCTTATATACATACCATGACTGCCCTGGGGCCCATGCCAAAAGTCAAAGATCGTGTTGTTATGGATTGATCAGTGGAGATGATGAGCTTTCCTCAGGATCAACCAGCGAGTTTGTTGCGGTAGAACAACCAAGGGCCCACGTCGTCAGAGGTTTACGAGCGAGCGCAACGCAGCGCAGTTTGTTTGGTTCGACCGATCAAGCCAATCCAACCAATCCTCCCCCGCGCCTTTGATACTGGTACCGACTCCACACAGGAAGGAAAAAAGAGACATGAACGGAGGCGAGGGTGGAACGACAAGGCTGCGAAGAAGGCGCGCATAGGTAAGTGACAGCCGGCTGAAGTGGAACAGGACTTGGTATATGTCCGTACCATTGGAAGGGGAATAACAGGATTACGAGGTCCTCGGTATCAAGACGGGGATTTTGTTGTCGGTTCCAGTGGGAAGAGAAAAGTACTCGGTGTGAAAGCCGGTGCGCGTATTTCAGTACCGGTGGACAGAGGAGAGGGTAGCGGTACTGGGTGCGAAACCAGGTATTTGCTCTCAGTACCAGTGGAAGGAGAATAACATTACTCGGTATCACAATAGGTATTTATTGTTCGGTGCCAATGAAAGGGGAAGCGAAAGTGGAGTATTACGTGGTAATATTTGAATTGTGTTTGTGGTTTTTTCTCTGTATCTTTCAGGGGCTTCAGCCTGATTCATTGATTCAGCAATAGCATCTTGCTTTTGTTTTGTTCGGTTCAGCACATCACAGCATATCAAAGCACACCCGCCCAACGAGGCATTTTCCGGTCCATTAAGGCTGCTCCGCGCTGCACTGCGAGAACAAAAAGAGGTTCTTTCCTTTCCTGTCGTTTTTCCAAGGGAGCACATTGCGCCAATTCGCCGCTCGTCTGATCTGATCCAAGGGACCTCTCCAGCCCACTAGCCTGTGCTGAGTGGGTTTCTGCTTTTATTCCGAAGATTTTCTTCGCCACCTATCAGTGTGTGGACACGCACACACAGCAGAAGAGTCTGGGTGGCCACAATTCAAGACGCAGCCGAGTGACTCGTTCCATAACTTCCATTCGCTCTTTCCCACTGGTGAATCATGCCTTTGACATTTTCCCGTGATATCTCGTTCCCTCCCTTCGTGTTATGGTCCACCTCCTCCAGCTGGGCGTTATATCCCTCGCTTTCTCCATCAGCTGCGTGCCAAGAGGATTGCTCATTTACGCCGTGGTATTTGCCAGCTTCGTCTTCATCATCGCCATACACACTGACAGAGTTCTGGGACAGCGATTGTGTCAAAAATTGAAGTTGGAATGGGGGATATGGCTCATCGTTCAGGACAATCACTGAAGGTCGGTGGTCTCTGAGCTCGGGGCTCGGGCTCGGGCTCGGGCTTTTAGGATTGTGTGGGCTCTTGTCTACGCCGTGATCTTCTGGGGAGTCATTACCATCGAGCGTGACGGTTTCGAAATTGTCATCATCTGCCATTGCAGTTGGGGAGTGCACATAAGCTGCGGCCTGACTCTCGTCGCTGACAGTGATTCTGGGATTGACGAAAGGACTGTGGCTCTCGACGTGGTGCATTGAGTCGGCTCTTGGCCTATGGAACATGTCTTGTGGTCCAGCGTCAAACACGGCACTTGGATCTGGCTCATGACCGTCGTATTGATATTCGTTCCTCAAGGGGCTTCTTGGGCCAGTAATTCCCGGCGAGTCCCGTCGGGTATGGCCAATAGGTGGTGGAAGTAGTGTGGAAGGGTGCCGAGGGAGATATCCGTTGCCGCTGGCAGTGGAGTGGTAAGAGTTGCGGTATTGTTCACTGGGAGGCGCGAGGTGGCTCAGTCTCTGCTGCGAAGAGGATCGAGGGTAAGGATTGTCGAGGTTGTAGAAATACGACGCAGGTGAAACTTCGCTCCCCGCGGTGCCGTTGCCCATGATCTGTCGCCACCAGAATGTCAGTATAGAGGTCAAAGTGAACTTCTGACAACACTCACGTTCTGCCACGGATTGTCTCCTGTGACGGAATACTCATCCCAGCTCCTACTCTCCCCCTTTTTTCCCACGAGCATCGTGGTGGGTCTCAGCTCTCCGACCTCCATGCGCGCCTGTCGTCCCCTCTCCCACGCATACATGTTGTTGATCCATCTGACCTCCCTCAACCTCGCGACCTGCGACGCCGAGCGTTGTTTGTTGGGGTTGTAGAATTCAGTCCCACCCATGTCATCCAAGGCGTCAGGGTCGCTGAGGGAGGACTGGCCCCGGCGGCAGTAACGAAAGATGCTCGCGAAAATGATGATGCATGCGAACGCGGCGAGAATGACGATGCCGACGATGAGAGACGGCGAGACGGCCAGCGTGGACTGTCCACTGCCGGTGTTCTGCTGGGTAGCCATGGTTTTAACGCAACAGGTGAGAGTGGTTTCAGGCCTTGGAGAAGAGGCGCGGTCAAGTCGCGGTGATGCGCGTGGCTGCGGCGTTGTCGTTACGGGAGGAGATGCTGTTGTGATAGGGGAGTGTGCTCGCAGCTGGACATGCCCGTAGTCGTCGATCGTAGAAAAGAATGAGGATGTCGTCGTCGTCACTCACCGCGGGTGGAGGAGAGGGACTTGTTCAGATGACCACCACTTTCTTCCCGATGTGAAGACTCAGTGAATCGCAGACGTGAAGTCCACGCGATGAACAAACTTGATCCGGTCTCCATGTTTTTACCGCGGTGCGGCAGAATGCATATGCTCCTTTGCTGCCGCTATGGTACCACGTCAATTCTTCTCTTTTCCTTGCACTCGGGACATGGAACATCACCTGTACTGCTTCCAACCTTGAACAATCAGCATTCTTGTCGTGAACAGTGATGACCCGGTCAGTGTTCACTGTTCACTGTTCACGAGCTCACAAGACGCCTGTTGGCTGAGCTGCTCCACGTTCGCCATCCCATGCAGCATATGCTGCAGCGCGGCAGCCTGCTTCGCAATCCGCCCAGCGGTGATTGCAAGTGTGACGGTATCTTGCTGTTGCCCACCCAAGGCAGCGATTTACCACAGATAATCAAAGGATGATTCGTTGAACTTCGAGAGTGAGGACTTGGGACGTTCTACAGAAGATGAAGATGCCTGGCGCAGTTGGAAAATGGCAAGTGAATGGTGGTCTCATCATATTCAACACCCTGAACCGCAGCGCCGAGAAACCCAATCTCCCGTGTTGAGCACACGAACCACTTCTGTTAGTCTTGACAAGGTCATTGCTTGTTCCATGGCTACACTATGTGGCGTCTCTGCAGACTTCCCCGTGAACCAGGTGTCTTCCTGGTTGATATCACATGCATGCCAGTCATTTACCGTTTCTATCAAGGATCAGACAAGCTCCGTCGCTCACAAGGTCCTGCTCTTCTTGTCCACCAGAGAGGCAATGATTTTCTCGACTTCCTCCGAGCCCTCTTTGCCGCTGTCGTAGATGTTGTTCATGAAGCCGCTCAGTTTCTGCAGAGCCTCCATCATTTTGTCATCATCAAACTTGTGATAGTACTTGTCAAATAGCGCCTTCATGGCTGCCTGACAAGTGTTCATATCCTTGCCGGCATCACCAAGTTTGGTTTTAACTGCAAGCAGCTGCATGCTGATCTCGTCGCCAGGTGCTAGAGGTAGCGTTGGCACGAGAGGAGAAGTAGCCGCAGCCGCAACCATAGCCGTAGCCAGGGCTCCTCTCTGGTTTGCGTTTGCGCGCGGGCGGGCACTGGGTGATGGTGGCATTGAAGGTGTTCCGATGGACGTGAAAGGCACATTTCTATCTGGAAGCGCGTTGGAATATCCGGCGTGGGCACCGGATACACTTAGGGTCTTGCTCCCATGGACCACTTTCTGGCGTTTGGACGTGACACCATGCGGGTCTCTCGCGTCACAAGCATTGTCTGATGTCAAGCTCAAGTCGATTTGGCTCTCTTCTTTGATTTGGTGCAAGGGTCTTTTTCTCATCAGGGGCTTGATTGGATGGAATTTCAACTCCATGGTGTGGTTCGCTGGAGGCTGGATGGTCCATGCCCTTATTCTTCTCTTTGTATTGTCACCAATGCCACTGGGACGATATCGGTCAGGGTATAGCGGATCTCTGGGTTTGCGACCTCCGAAGTTGAAGGCTCCCGCTTGCAGTGCAAGTCGCTTGACTGTCCAGATGAGATCAAATAAGGCTTCGTGATTGAAGGTATCAAACCCAGCTCGGCTAGCAGCGTCCGCGACTTGGAGCTCGAAGCCGTACAGTTCGACCGCTGCAATTTATTAGCAATGCTCTCTTCTTTCGCCTCGTGGTGACCATACTGCCTTGATAAAGTCCTGTCACTCCTGTGTCTTGATGCTCATACCAACAGTTCGCGCCACGGCCACAGAATCCATACAGCTTCCACGGAAGGCAGGTCCCAGGTTGCTGGAGCGCACTGGCGAGTCGGCCGGTGTCCCAGTGAGCGAACTCGCAGGTGAGGGCATCGAATGTATCGACATTCGGACAGCGGGGTCCAAGAGCCCAGTAGCGGCATGTGTAGCGCCTGTTTCGTGGATCTGGAGCCGGCATCGTGGGCAGCGAGAGCCAGGTGGTGCAGCAGCTCGGGATTGATGGCAGCTCGAGGTGTGCTCTTCGACCTAGCAAAATAGAAGAGGATTGAGCGAGGGGGTGAAGCAGTAAACTTTTGGATGAAGGGTGCGCAGGAAGGGCCAGAAGCAAACAAAGGTGAAGTGAAGTCAGGTGAAGTCAAGTACAGCTGGCCTCAACCCAGCACAACCCTCTGCCAATCAAAGGAAGTCGAAGGAAACAACTCAGACACTGCATGCCAACAAGATAGATTGAATTAGATTGAAACCCCCACAGATGCATCAGGCAGACTTATGCAAGTCTTAGCAGCCAAAATGAATCCTCCCTCACTCTGGTCATCCCTCATCTCGATGGCAGTTCATCATCTCTTCACTACGCTGAAGCCCGACGCTTCAATGACTTCGCATCTGCCTTGAATATCTCACCTTGCGTCTTCAACTTCATCAATACATAAGCAGCCTTGGTGTCGGTGAATCCCCTTGACGGCTTCTTCCTCGCGGCAACACTATTCTTCACCTTTGAGTCCTCAGAAGAATCATCTGACCCGGCATCGTAGTCTTCATCAACCTCCATGGCGTCCACAGTCGATCTAGGGAACATGTCTGGAGCTGGAGCATTTGCCTCGATATCCTTCGGCGGAGTGGGGAAGAACAATGGCCTCCTCGGGGGTGGCAACAGGTCAAGAGGAGTATGTGATCTTGGAATATTGGCTGCCATCCGACCTTTGCGAGACGTTCCGTAGGGGGAAGATGACCTGGTAGTACTGGAAGGTGACCATGGATTGTCAAAAGAGATCTTGGAATGGGAGCGAGGAGTGTTGACCGCGGACCAAGGGTTGCTAAAGGCAACCTGGGGCGAGGGAGAAGACAACTCATACTTGTCCTCAGGGCTGGTGTCGGTCGAGTATTCGCTGGTATTTTCACTCTCTTTGTAGGGCTTGGGCAAGATCATTCTGAGTTGAGGACGAGTTTGGGGAGTCTTCGGCGTCTGCGGCGTCTGAGGGCTGGATATACCCGACGACTGGCCCGATGCTACCAAGCTCTCAAGCTCACGGTAGTGTCGAGCTTTCAAAGCACAGCGTTTGGTGATCTCTGCATCGATCTGCATGGAGCCGAAGTTCTCAGAGTCGGGAGGAAGACATATCTCTGGGAAGTCTTTTCCAAACACCGGCGTCAGCGCGTAGCGAATGTTCCAGCAAAATGTGGCAGCCAATGCCTTGGCCGCGTCGTAGGGAATCCAGTAACCTGGATCTCGTGTCAGCTTCAGTCTGGACCATGGCATGCATGGAATGCCACTGCCAGGGTGCGTACCTTGTGCGACAAGAGCTCCTCCAGTGATACTATGACAAAGTTCTTTGAGTCCGGGATTTCTGCTCAGCATCTTCGCGGGTGTTGTCTCCAGGCATAAGGTCAGCTCAGGATCTGCAGCACTTGAGGAGTGGCATACATACCTTGGAATAATTGCCACACTTGAATAGAGGTGTCGTACGGACTAGCCCGATGTTGTAGTCCCACAGCATGGTGTATGTAATTGACTCCCCTGGTATCTTGAATTGATATTGGAAGACTAAGACGTGGGTTAATCGGGGGACGACTTGAATCAGTTGTCTGGGGCAAGTACCTTCGAAGCTCTCTCGCCCTGTCTTCTCCCAGAACAGCCTCTTCTCACTGTTGTACGGGATATGTCTTGGATAGGTTGCTATGTCGCCAATCGGGTAGACTCCGTACATCTGATGTTTCGCCTCCAGCAGCTCGTCCTGGTATTCATCAGGGGGGTATCGACATTCTCCATGGATGACCCCCGGCTTGAAGACTGCAGCATCTTTGCACATCTTTTGCTTCTTTCGGTTGCGTTTGTCAGATCCATTTCCAACGGTGTCAGACGCGGCCGAGGCCTGGCTGTCGTGGGCGGAGAGCTCGTCCCTGCTGTCGTTGTTGCTCTCGTAGTTCTCACCCTCTTCGACTGGGTTGAGAAGAGATTGGATTGCAGCCATGCCGACTGGAATATCACGTTGAATGAGAAAGAAGGAGGGATGGCCAGGCTTGATGCTCGCGAGGACACTTTGAGATATCTGCTGGCACAAAGACCTGCTTGAGAGCATGGCAAATGGCAAATAATCGGTCGGAAAACAAGGGACGACAAAGCTTAGAATTTTGCCCTATGCATATTCTCCATAGCATGACTGTACCCGGTTCCACATCAATCCTTGGGATACAAAGAAAAGGAGCGGACGATGAGCGTGTCTTTGCACTGATGCAACAACTTAGGCAGGCGGCCAGTCTAGGCCAGGTGGTAGATGAAGCGGTCTCTCCATCATCGTCGTTCCTGGACGAATCAAAGTATCCACGGTACTGAATTTGGCTGGCACGCTGGATGAGCGGTGTAGGAGTTCGTCTTTGAGGCATCGGAATGGCGCAGAGGCGAGGCTCAAGGTCCCAGAAGGACTAGAACTTCATGCCTCAGCCCATCGATGTCCTGGCTGTCCACGCGCCCGCGCCAGAATGCGATTCAAGCTGTCAAGATCTCATGAGACAGTGCTGCCGATGTAGATGATCAGCGGGGAACGTTGAGACGAAGCCAGTTCTCAAATGAAAGGGGCACTATTTTCTGAGAGCCGAGGCCAGGTTCGCAGGACTTGCATGTTATCCTGCAGATGGCCTCGAGACACGTTGTTCGACAGGCAGTAAGGGGCCATCGCAAGCACGACCGCTCCTTGCCAGCCAAAGGCACATCAATCGGAGGAAAGGGTCACCTAGAAGTTGCCGGGGCGGCCAGCTAGGCATTGATCCTGCTTCTCCTCCTCCGCCGGTACCTTGCATTGGCAGGTCACACAACCGGCCCACTGTTTGGTCAGCCTTGCGATGGTCGAAAAACAGACAAAGAAATTCCTGTGTCAAGTCATGCGCGCAAGATACACAACAGTGTCAGATCCCTTCCTTGATTCCCCAAGCGTGTTTCGGCTTGCAAGAAATGCTGCCAGGTCTCCTGGCAGCAGGGGCTTCAACCACATTCCGCTATGAGTCACGTCAAGAGGCTTGGGCTTTTGCATGCGCCCAGAGATGGATGCATCCAGGCACGGTTAGAGACGGGTAACTGTCCGAGTCAGCAAAAAGAACTGGATCAGGGTATGCGGTACCCAAGGAAACTATGTCGCCATTGCAGAGGAATATCTTGTGGTAACCATTGCTCCACACGCTTCCAACCGAAACAGAACTCCAGAACGATAGTCATATTCACTTCTCATGTTTCATTCAACCCGATGTATAAGCCACTGTCCCAAGTGCTTGACCAAGTAAAGTCCGCCATCGCCATTGTCGCAGAATTACTCATCCGAAAAGGCCGCCGATGAACCCTCGTCATCGAAACCCGCATCTTGACTGTGGTCATCTTCATCGTCGTCATCGTCATCGAAAGTATAAGTCGTCGGCTTCTTCGCAGTCACGGCACGTCTCGCAGGTCTCGCCGCCGGTCTTTTGGCAACGGCTTCGTCTGGTTCCGAGCCTGAAGGTGACTTCAGAATATCATCTGCCAGAGCATCCATGTCGTCATCCGAATCCACGACCTTCTTCTTTGCCAGTCTTTTTGCATAGGCCTTCGCCGCGGGAGACTGCCCAACCTTCTTTGGTGCTGGAGCTTTCTTCGGCGCCGCCTTCTTTGATTTTGCTTGCTCATCATCCTTCGCTACCTTCTTGGTAGGGACCTTCTTGGTTGCTTTCGGCAGGACGATAACATCACTCTCACTATCGTCGCTGACGATCTTCTTCGCTTTCTTAGGTGCTGGCTTCTTGGTGGGCTTCACTGGAGCACCGTCCACGTCGGAATCCACCACCACGTGGGTGTCATCCTTATTTGTCACAATGATGGAGCGTCTTGGAGACTGCTGTGGGGCAAGCATCTTGTAGTCTGTCTCATCGTCCGATAGATTAATCGAGGCTTTGACAGCTGGCTTTAGAGCCGGCTTATAACCATGGCTGCTGCTTGGACGGGAAACAGAATTGGAGAAAAGCGCACGCGATTCAGTGCCGCTATCTGGGTTAGGATTGCTTGGTAGGCCTTTCACCATGTCCCCAAGATCAGCAAGCAGATCGTCTCCGTTATCGCCGTCAGAGTCACTCAATAGTGCATAGTTTGTTGGCTTTTTGGTTGCTGCACGAGCGTGTCGCGGTGCAGCCTTGAGAATACGGCTCTCGCCGTCGGACTCGTCTTTCATGCCATTGACACGGTCGTTTTCGCCAGGCATCGCAAAGTCGTCCTCTGGAGCCTCAATAGGGTCACTGGCACCATCAGTAAACATGGCTCGCTTATCGAGAGCATTCTTCAGAGCATTGGTTTTTGGGGCGGCATACGCTGTGATGGAGCGCTGTTTCGAAACCTGGACCGATTTCGGTGCAGCACTCTTCTTTGCTTTTGGAGCAGACTCCTGGAAATCAGAGTCATCATCGAACGCATCACCAAGTCCTTTGCGTTTCTTGACGGTAGGCTTTGCTGTTGCTGCTGTGGCAAATTTCTTCGAAACTCGACGTCCCTTTCGAATATTGCGCTTGCGGTTATGCTCGTCCTCTAGCTGGAACCTCCATTCAGCGATAAATTCATCCAGATCATGTTTCCAAAGATCTTCCTTGGTTTTCTTCATCAAGGCATCTATCTCCTCTTCTTTGTCTCCGATTTGTCGCTGAAGTCTCTCGACTCGCTCCTGCGTAAGAGACCAAAGAGCCATGCCGAGCAGGTAGTCGTAAGCGCTAGCGTCAACGGAATCTTCGTCGTCTTCGACAACAGGCTCGGTCTCGCCTTCTTTGGCTGCATCTAGCGTCTTAGGAAACGCATCGAATCCAAGCTTCTGAAGCTCTGCAATAAGCACAGCTTTTCTCTTCTTGGAGATAATAAGTTTCCCATCAATTATCATCTGAATGAACCGAGCTTGGTTAGTGAGCCGTCTGAGGTCTTTCTGCATCTCTTGCAGAAGCCATTCCTTGCGCTTGGCATACAGCTGCAGACGATAGCTGTAGAATTCGTCCATGATGGCTTCGACGTTCGCATATTTGGTGATGCGGCCCTCTGGATCAAACGCGACCAGATTTGATGTCGCTACTGACCTTGTGAGTTTGAATTTTTCCACCAAACCTTCTTCATTTGCGGACTTCATGTGTTTCTCGTCCAACTGGATGATAAAATGGACTGTATCGTGAGTATTGTAATCCTTGTAGTCCTTGATAAACGAGGGAGTCTTCTCTGCTTTGATAATTTCTTCTAGGCGGTCTTTGAAATCCTGCGTCCAGGTGCGGATGGGCAACTCTGTTATCTCAACTTCAGTGTCACCGGTCTGGTGGATGATGCCACTGAATTGAAACCGATCGGGCCCTGTAGCTTTGACCTCACCCTTGAACCCGCGGAACCAAGGTTGCATGGGCTTCCACTCTTCGCCAGCCATTCTGCGTTTGAGATTTTCCACGATGTCTTCTGGATTGTAGTTGGGGATGGAAGAGCTCCAACCCGTGCCAATACCATCGGCACCATTGACGAGGACCATTGGGACGACCGGTACGTACACCTCAGGCTCAATCTTCTTGTCGTCATCATAGTTGTAGGTCAGAAGCGGTTCATCGGCTTGGTGGAACAACTTCCTTGCGAAGGGCGATAGACGAGTGAAAATGTATCGAGCGCTTGCAGAATCACTGCCGCCCTGGTTCCGAGTACCAAATTGGCCGGAGGGCTCCAACAAGTTCACATTGTTCGATCCGACAAAGTTTTGTGCCAACCCGACAATCGTCTGCTGCAGTGAGGTTTCACCATGGTGGTACGCCGTCATACCACCGACCAGACCCGCCAGCTCAGCGACCTTCATATCCTTTTTCAGGTTGCGCTTGAAGCATGCATACATGACTTTCCGCTGACCAGGCTTCAGGCCATCAACTACCGAGGGAATAGATCGGATATTGTCAGCCATGCTGAACAAGATGAGTTCTTTGTTGACGAAATCGGTGTAGGAAATGTTCTTGGTCGTGTGGTCCAAAAAGGTGCCTGGCTTGAATTGGCGCAACCACTCCTTTCGCTCGTCGGCCTTCTTCTTGGAAAAGGCCAGTTCGATCAAGGCGGCCTCTTCGTCCTTCATGACGTCGAATTCCTTGTGATGCTTGTCGATGTCATTGAAGTACTGCTGTGCGTCCTCCGTCGTGCTTGTACCCAACCCCTTGTAATATTTGTTCTCCCAGCCGCGTTCATGTTTGTGGGCTTCTTTCCAAGCCTCATACTCCGGCATGGTATAAAACGCGCGAGACTGAGTGGGATTCTTGGGATCACCCTTCCACACCTTCACGATGGGAGTAATGAACTCGACCAAGAATTTCGGGATCTTGAGCAGACTTGGGAATTGAACTTGCAAGAAGTTGATTAGCAGTCCCTTGATATGACTTCCATCATGGTCTTGATCAGTCATAATCATCAAATGTCCGTAGCGGAGACCGTTGGTGTCCGCATACACCTTCTTGTGCTGTAGCCCCAGGAAGTTCTTGATGTTCTGGATCTCAGCGTTTTTCGAAATTTGGTCAATAGAAGCATCTCGGACGTTGAGGAGCTTGCCCCGAAGCGGGAACACGCCGAACAGGTCGGGACCGACGACGGAACGTCCTGCCATGGCAAGACCTTTCGCCGAGTCACCTTCGGTCAAGATCAACGTACACTTGTGCCCTTCTCTCGTGCCGGCCTTGTTTGCGTCCGTCAACTTGGGGTTGTTCATTCGGCTTCGCTTGCTCCCGTCCGATTTCTTGAGGATTTGATCAGCTTTCTGCTGAGCAAAGTGAAGTATGTTGTTAACGACTTCAGTCTTTGCAACCTTCTTCATAAACTCCTCTGACACCTGGCATTTGCTTCCGAACTGACTAGCTTTTGTGGTCAGTTGTTCTTTGGTCTGCGATGTGAAGGCAGGATTTACGATGAGGGCGTTCACGAAAACGAAGATATGGTTGCGAATCTGATTCGGCTTCAGTTGAGCACCGGCTTTGTTCTTCTTCTTAACGACTTCCATCAAGCGATTGACGATCTGGTCGGCCACATAATTGACGTGGGTGCCTCCGGACGTGGTGGCGATGGAGTTGACAAATGACACTTGTTGGAAGGAGCCATCAGACACGGCGAAGCCAATCTCCCACCGAGGATCGGGAGATTCGGTGATGATTTCAGAGGTATCTTTTGCAGCCTCCTCGCCACGCTCTTTCTTAATGGCTTTGGTGTACATTTCAATATACTTCTTGAAGTTTCTGACAGGAATTGTGGACCCGTTAAGCTTGACTTTGACACCTTTACAAGTGCCGGCAAGGTCATAAACCCGGCGCTTGAAGAGTGCTTCGAGATCATCATCCATGGCCGTCATACCAAATTTCGCGAAGTCGGGGTAGAATGTGACTTTGGTGTAGTCTTCCCCTTTGGAATCAGTGATCTTGGCCTTGCCCATCTCGGACATATTTTTGGTCCATGTCTGCTTGTACTTCTTCTTCTGTTTCGAGTCGGCAGTCTCAACTGTGAATTCTGTGCTGAAAATGTTGGCCAGCTTTGCACCGTAGCCGTTCCTGCCGCCCGTAATCTTTTGTTCCTCGTCATCGTAATTTGAGCCGGTCAAGAGGTGGCCAAAAATCATCTCCGGGATGTAGATTTTTTCTTTTGAATGAATCTCGATAGGAATACCCCGGCCATTGTTCCACACGCTGACTTCGCCCTTTTCACGGTCTACGGTGACACGAATCTCGTCCATCTTCTTGTCGTTCTGCTTGTTGTCCGCTGCATTGACCAAGATCTCATCAAAGATCTTGAAGATACCGGGGACGAAAGATATTTCCCGGAACTCCATGCAGTCTTGTTCCGAGTTGTAAACCCACATCTGCCTTTCTGTACGCTCGACCGAGCCAATGTAGGTGTCAGGACGCTTGATGATGTGTTCCAACTGAGTAAGCTTTTGGTATTGCTCAGAGACGCGCTTCTTCTTTTTCTGAGGCTGTGGAGAGTCAGTCGCGCCATCCAGGCCTAGGGCTTCATTGACAACATCGGCGAGAGGCATCTTGTGGCTCCCTTTGACGGGGTTCGGCTTTGGTTTCTTAGCCTGCGGAGGAGTATCTTCAAGCAGAGACTCGTCATCGAAGGGATTGCCACCTTCATCCTCCGAGACGTCGTCTTCTGCGTCTTTCTGCGGGCGCTTCTTGGGAACAGTGGTCTTTGGCTTCGGGCCAGGCTTCGCTTTGGGAACTGTAGACTTCTTCGTTGCGGCCTTGGATTCAGAGGCTTTTTTTACAGGTTTCGCCTTGGGCTTCTGAGCACTCTGGTCAGATTTGCGTTCATCCTTCTTGACAAAACGACAAGGACTTACAGAGACAGGCTCAAAATCTGAGCTGGCGTCATCGACGTCGAACATTGAGTCGTCCATCGCGCCAGTGTTCTCAGGGAGGAATGCAAATGAGGTACGCCCCAGTCGCTGGGGTCGAGGAGAAAGAGATGGTCAACGCATGCAGCACAGACAGATTGTCACCAGCTGTCTTATCTGACCGCCACAGGAAACTGAGAAGCTGAGCAATGCGTCTCTTGGTTGCTGCGGTGGTTGTTGATCTTGTAAACACCAACCTTGAGGCGACATCGAAAGACCCACCTCGCCAAGAGCTCGCGTTTTAACACTAAGCCTATCTAAGTAATCTACAGCTCTTCATGCCAAAGTCCTCTATTTCCAGTGTTCTTTACTGCTCGTTTGGCTTGACCGGCAGGTTAGTGCAGGAGAGAGATCTACAGTACGTTCTGCAAATCGGTGCCAGAGAGCAGTGAATGATGCTTGTCGACTTGAACCAGCGAATTCCGCCAGGTCGACTAGCTGTGGGATAAGCCCCTTAAAACTAATGCTCCGTTCTCGAAAGTGTGAACCGCGCGTGCCGCGGGACTGGCTCCCCAATAGTGCTATCCCCCGGTCTGGGATCTACTGCATCTAGCCCACCAGATACTCATACTGCGTATGCAACCATCGGCGAGATACTGCTTGTATCGTCTTGGGGAGCAATTCATCGCGTGACATTCACTCGTTGTCGTTGCAGCACTGGTGGCTTCAGAAAGTGTCAGGATGCCTCGCCAACAACACCACCACCACTCCCCGCACCGCCAGTGACGCGTTTCTCCTCCATTCAGGTCGCGCTCCTCAACATTCGGCACTCCTGCAGGGCCACGATTATATGTCCGCACGGCGTGCAGAGAGTTTACACAGAATCATTATACCTCGTCTGGAGCTCTACCTTCTCATGGTTTAGCACTGAGTACCTGCAGAGAGCCGAAATTGCATGAAAGGTGGGCAATCAAGCATTGGGTGGTGGACAATTTGGCAGGGCTAGTGCCGAATCCATAGTTTCAAAGCCCCCTGGCCCACCACTGCTCAAACATGTCGACTGACGAGTATGGACTGTGCTCACCTTCCTCCCTTCATCGTCCTCGACGACAGCCATTCTTTTACCCTGTTTCGCACTCCCCTCGCACGGTCGCTGGCAGACCTGGCGAGCAGTCTCTCTTTATGATATCTGCTGGCTGTGGTAGCTAACCAAGTCTCGACAATCCCCAAGGGCTCACTCTTTTGCCCGTGACACCCGACCTTTCCTACCATCCCCCGCCTCGTCCACCACCCCAGCTATACGGCGAACCTCTTCTCTAGGTCTTTCAGGTCAAGCAGTATGGCCGGAGTCGAAGCAAGTCTCCCTATCCCTTTCGAGGCGGTCCCCGACAGCGGGAGCGATGTCGAACCCGAGAATGTTCCTCTGCCTCGCAGTTCCATGGTTTCGGTGCGCCTGTCCGATATTCCATTCGATCCGGACCTTGATATCATCGCCGAGCGAGACATGTCTCAGGAGGCCTCGCTGTCTCGCAGTGGCCCACCGTCAACTCGTACCAGTCGATCCTCTTCCCACACTTCCGACAGCTCGGTTTCATTAAATTCGGTCAATTGGGAGGGTCTTGAGAAAACCGAGGAACAAGAGCTCAAGGACGTGGCTACCGATGAAGTAAGCCCTGCTATGTTTGTGGGTATAACTGCGGCTAACGGGAGATAGTCCACGACGTTGTTACTCGCGCGTCTGGAAAAGGAGAACGCAGCGTTGGCCACCAATCCCAAGGCTGGCATCGGAACGAGTTCACGCCCTCGCAAAAACACCCGCCCTCCTTCGGTACAGCAGTTAAAGAGAATGGTTGACGGACCCCAACGCCAGTCTTTGAGGTATTCGCTATTGCCTGCACCTCCAATGACAGAATTGGAATTCTGGGCGGCCTTGGTTCAAGATTATACCCAAACCGCCCAGCGACTGCCTACCCTAACGTCCAACAAGATCCGAGGAGGTGTCCCGCCACCACTGCGTGGTGTTGTCTGGCCCAGTATCGCACAAGCTCACGACGGCTTTTTACATTCAGAATATCAGAGACTCTCCAACGAGCCTTCGCCCTATGACGGTCTGATAGGAAAGGACGTGGGCAGGAGCTTTCCAAACGTTGACATGTTTCGCGAGAAGGACGGTGATGGCCAGAGAATGCTCGGCAAAGTCTTGAAAGCCTTCTCACTTTATGACAGCAAGATCGGATATTGCCAGGGCCTTGGTTTCGTGGTCGGGCCACTCCTGATGCATATGAGCGAACCGGAAGCATTTTGCATCCTCGTTAGGTTTGAATAACGCTCCCCTTCTCTAAGGAGAATGCTGACTGAGATGAAGGCTCATGGAAAACTACGACCTTCGTTCATGTTATCTGCCCGACTTATCAGGGTTACATCTGCGGATATATCAGTTTCAACAGCTTCTAATTCGGCACTTACCCGCACTGGCGGCTCATCTCGAGGAGTTAAAGGTTGAACCGTTATACGTGTCGCAATGGTTTTTGTCTTTTTTCGCTGTTACCTGCCCACTTCCTATGCTGCTCAGGATTTACGACGTAATACTGTCTGAAGGAGCCACAGAAACACTGATGAGGGTTGCCTTGTCGCTGATGCAACGGAATCAGAAAAAGCTGCTAGCCTCCACCGAATTTGAGGACGCTATGCAGTTTCTGCTCTCGAGGAGTCTCTGGGACACATATGCACAACATGCAGACGATCTGGTGTCGGATTTCGTGTCATTGACTGGGTTGGTGAGCCGAGAATCGCTCAATTCGTTGGAGGCAAACTTCAGGCATTCGCAGAATTTGTCGGCTGCGCCGTCGCTGAAAGGTGCAGTGTCGTCGTTCTTGGGTCGATTCTGGGCTGGCTCGTCACATGCGCCGTCCAGATCTCAAAATCTGAGTCTTATGATTCCCGGAAATAACAAGTCGGTGCGAAAATCATCTTCTGGGCAAAGTTTAACCTCGACACTCAACTCGCTTGAGACCACTAGCACGGACGCGAGTACACTTGCTACAGAGATGTCGGATGATGTACCACCTAAAGCGACGGTATCTGCTGCCACAAGTGTCCATTCGGCAATTGTACCTACTCCGGATTCGAGCAATCGAAATCTCCATCACCAGATCGAAGATCTCCTGACCGAACTTTCCAAAGTCCAGCGACAGCATGTTGAGCTTGCTCAAGAGCTTCAGAGAGAGCGTGAAGAACGTGAAGAAGATCGGCAAATTGCACGAAGAGTGCTGGAGCAACTACGACGGCAGACCACCGATATAAGGGAGTTAGCGGAAGTGGACAGCTCAAAGGCCACTGAGGAGGAGATGGAGCTTGAACTTCTCCTGGCTCAAGCTGAATGTCAACTGTGTCGAGATGGCTCCAAGCGGTTGTCCGTGTCGCAGTCTAAACATCAGCTCCGCGATGCCGTTTCTGAATGGAAGGAGAAGCATGATGCCGAGATGACAAAGTGTCGAGATCTCATGAGACAGCTTGACGAGCGAGAGGCTGAACATCACACCCTCAAAGAGCAGTTGCGAGATGCCCGAGCCCGTATTCAGGACGCACACCGTGACAAGCAGCGCTTGGAAAGGACGGTCAGCGAGTTGCGCTCCCGCAACAACTCGGTGCCAGATTCCCCGGCCGACCTTTACACTCCTGTTACTGAATTCCCTGATCTGAAGTTGCCACCTCCGAAATCTGGACTGCGAGAGTTGAGATTGGGGAAACCGGAAGCGGGCCGATCAAGCAGCGTTGGGCCGTATTCGAAACGTTCAAGCAGCCTCAACACCCAAGCGGTCCTTGCCACGGAAAACCACGAGCCCATGTCCAACGACGCCCTGCTACTAGAGCTGGTAAATGCCAAGACAGCTGAGGCGGTGGCACGACAGGAGCTGGAGGAAACCAGAGGGAAGCTCGACGCCCTGCGTAAGATCTTGGGTGGATCGACACCCTCTCCTACCACACGAGCCAGCACGACCGAGTCACCAACAACGCCTGCCGCCACTCCGAGTCAAGGACAAAAGGAACCACCCAAAGCTACCCACGCAGCTACGGCAAGCACCGGAGGAGGGTTTTTCAGTGGATGGGGGAAGCGAGGGACCTAACGACGAGGAGAACACCTCTCCATCTTCTACATACTCATTTAATTGATGATCTAGACAGCCATTTGAATCCTTATCAATGACCCTCTGGAGAGTGCTTGTTTTAGTTTCCCTGCGATTTTAGGCGGAGAAGGCTTTACCTCCTTGCTTCGCCTGGTTGCCTCGTGGGCCAGAGGATCATCAATTCTGTCCACTGCCCAACGGGACTTTCTTACACTGGAACAATACAATACACGTACCGGGCATAATCTCAGCAGATCATTGTCATCGTGCAGGACGCAATCGGCAATGTACCTACCCCACAGCTCTGAGCAAGAAGGCGAACCGGATTTTGGCCGGACTACGAGGACTCTACATCTTCGCCCACTTCCGATGCTTCTATTCTCTTAGCTTCAGGCTGCGCGATCCGAATCACTGTTGATTGATAAGATCTAGTGCTGGCTTTCTTGCCAGGGAGTTCGACGACGGAAACCTTCCCGCCTTCTGGTGTTAATTATTCTGCCCAACCTCAACCCTTTCAAGGTATAGCCTGATGCCCCTTTTCCGACAGGTTGGCATGGTCCGGAAGCGTCCAGCTTGCGTGGCTCATACAAGCTCTCTTAGCCTGGAGCAGAGTTCAACGCACTGTTCCAGAACGCGGAGGCTGACATGGAGTCCCCAGAATCATCGCAAGAGGAACGATGGAGCCGGCCTTGAGCCTTCTACCAATGATCAGCGTCATCTTCAAGCCGATTAACTGAGCCGAAGCACATGGATAACGTCCCCTGTCCATAGAAGGTCTTCCCTCGGGCGCAGGGAACAATACCGTGCAGAAGCCCCTTATTTTGCATCCCATCTACTCGTTCAGAGACCATTTGGGAACGTTCTCAACGATTTACGTCGCCGCCCGATGGCAGGTCCCGAAGAACTTCAGGTTCAAGCATACTCTCGCTTCTGAAGTTTCCGATGCACGATTTACAATGTGATGACGAGGCCCTTTCTGGTCGGGGCGTCGCGATGCTGGCACACTGTGACACTTATAAGGGCCGAGACCCGCCGCCACAAAGCCAATACCTGAGGAAGCATTCCTGTCTTGAAATCTTTCTCAAAAGACCAATATCACTACCAGGGAGACGATCGTGGTGTGTGCCGACTAGATACCTTTTTCTTTCTCAAGATGGAGATGAACTATGATGAAAATGTATTCTCCCCGTTCTTCATCCACAGTGATCGGGTACTGACTGTGACGCCCTCCAGACGCTCCACGAGGTAAACAAGAACCATCTTGTCAGGGAATGCCCTTCTAACCATGGTGCAGTTGGAGAATGAGCTCCACACTCATATATATCCCGGAACCGAGATTATGAGCGATGTTGGATCCCATCACTTTGTCAAGTCGTCCGATCGGTCTCATCGAGTTCTGGTCCCTCAGCCATCGGCAGACGAGCATGATCCTCTGGTCAGCAACTAAGAGGACACGTCGGGCAATTATTGTTTCTAACAGCTGTGCAGAACTGGAACCGCTTCTGGAAATTCTCCAGCGTCTCCATGGTCATCGTGGCCACATTCGCACAAGGATTCGGTCCTCTGGCTCTAGCGCCCATGTTAGCCAACCTGATCGAAGCGTTCAACACAGATCTTGCAGGTATGGCAAAATTCATCGTTGTTGCTGCTTCTTAGCTCATGCTGTTACAGGAGCCGTGCAGTTTACGGGTGTTTGCATCCTCGTCTTGGGCTTCAGCAACTTTCTCTGGTATGTCGAGGCCATCTAACTGTCGACTTTGGTGCTATTGCTCATTGTTGTAGGGTGCCCATCCAAACCTCTTTCGGTCGACGACCCGTCCTTATTTTCTCGACCTTGATTTGCCTCGTCTCCAACATCTGGAGAGCTGTGGCCAAAGACTATCGGGGCTTCATGGGTGCTTGTGTTCTTAATGGCATCGGTGCTGGGCCTGCAGAGGTACGCAAGAAGTATTGGTTGGCAAAAGATAGATATCATGCCTAACACAGAGACAGACTTCTGCACCAACAGTCATTGCTGATGTGCTCTTTCTGCACGAACGAGGCGCATACAACACTCTGTACTTCACTGTCTACTTCGGCAGCTTGATGGTTCGAAAAGCTTTTTCCTGATGCAAAGACTCTCGCTTACATATTTCTCAGGTCGGACCGATCATCTCAGGCTCCATGGCAGAGTACAGCAACTGGAGAAACTTCTGGTGGCTCAACGTGGGCCTCCACACCGCCGTTCTGATCGGTCTCGTTTTCCTGTTCCCCGAGACCAAATGGCACCGCCAGCATCCGAACGAAATGGTCGCCGAGCCGCAGAAGCAAGTCGCTTTCGAGGAGAAGATCACCTCGAATGCCATCGAGGACCCGGAGAAGAACGTCGCGGCCGTGAACCCCACCGTGGTTGACCTGACGGCCGCTGCGACGGCTGAACGCGATCCATTCTTGCACTCGGGGACACCGTCCAAGAAACAGTTCAAGCTGTGGCAAAACAACGCGCATCCATTCCAGGCCATTCTCATGGATCTCTGGGTCCCCTGGAAGCTTCACCTCTACCCGATCATCGAGTTCTCGGCGTTTGTCGTGTCGTGGTCCGCGTCGTCCTTCCTGACCATCAACCTGACACAGTCCCAAAACTTCGCGGCGCCGCCTTACAACTTCCCACCCCAGAGCGTGGGCTACACCAACTTCGCCGTCCTGGCCGGGGCGTTGATCGGCCTGCTCACCAACGGGCCTCTGAGTGACTGGATTGCAGCGAGGGCGACGCGGAAAAATAAGGGTATTCGAGAGCCCGAGATGAGGCTGCCGGCCATGATCCCTTATGTGATTATCATGCTCATCAACAACTTCGTTGTGGCGTTCGGGTATGAGTACAAGTGGGATTGGCGGGTAAGTGATATCCTATCTCGAAGTTTGCTATCTATCCTGTCAGCACAGCTCACGTTCTCCAGATCATCGTGCTCATTGGCTATACGTGCGCCGGCATCCAAGTCGCTGCCATCCCGGCCATCGCCTCGACCTACAGCGTCGACTCGTACAAACCGGTGGCCGGCTCCATCTTCGTCGCCATTACGGTCAACAAGAACATCTGGGGTTACGGACTCAGCAAGTTCATCACGCCGTGGATCATCGCCGATGGATATCTCCCGCCGATCATGTTGAACATGTGTCTGATCTTCCTGTGGTGCTCTTTTGGGATTGTGTTTTACTTCTATGGCAAGACGTTTAGGAAGTGGACCAGCAACAGTTCAGTTCACAATATGTAAGTTCGCAGGACTAGGAGGTTTGAAGAGGTCCCGGGATCCTGAGACCGGTTGTCTACTACAGTGTAGAGAGGAGCTTCTTAGTGAGTTAGACCACTGAGGAGAGTGTTAATATGTAGACTGTATATAAAATGGCCATCGCCGAGACCCTAATTTCAACACTCTCTTGCAATTCCCCATATGGCGAATCTATCTTCACTTACAACAAGAGAGACTTTATAAACATACACATACAACCCACACACAAAAGAGAGAAAGCTGTCAGAACAAAAAGCAAAACACACGTGCCTCTCTTGAATTTTGTTCCTCAATTGCACCCCTGACCACACACACACACATATCTCATACCAGTTGAAATGGGAAGCCAAAAACTCAGACTTGTGAGAAAACCCCGGGGTTTTTTTGTTTCTTATCCCAGTTCGCTGGATCGATGGATGTGTGTGGGTGTGTTGATATGTCGTGGATGCTCCTACCTGGACCTTTCGAAGTCACCCTTTCTCATTCTCTCTCCCATCCCATATTTCTCCTTCCTTTCCTAGAGCTCCTGCGTAGTTTACAAAGAGCCATTGTGGCCACGAGTTAGGCAGTTGATGTCAGATGGGTAGATGGATGATTGAGTGAGTGATCGGGGGTCGAAAGACTGGGGACGGGCCTTACTCCTTTTCGCACAACACTACCTACCATGTTACCAGTTCAATATTGAGATTTTCAGTTCTTTACAATATGTATGGGTATGAATTGTTTTCTCTTTTCTCTTTCCTGGTGGGGGACATGGCTCTGCCTGGGTGTGGCAGCAGAGAAGCATGACCTGGAACCCAAGGTGAGGCAGATATCAAGAGCGACTGCCGCCCCTGCCCACGTTCCTGACAATGAACAGGGCGGTCGACCGGACCAACATGCTCAGATTGGGCAGCCCGCGTCTTCACTTGAGCCCCTCGCAGGCGGGAGATCAAAATGTGTCGCCGTCAGTTCTCTTTCATCTTCGCGCCATACATCGACTTCTATCGAAGACCCTACCTATTCTACACCACGGCTATCCGTGCTTGAGTCATGGAGCATTCATTACGAGAGCAGACGCAGACCGACAAGCATGACACTCCTCCTCCGCGGCTGACTCCTACACTACCTCCTCTGGAAGAGGCCATGCTTCGAGATGGCGAGTCCTGGGTCCACGCCTTCTCAAACCTGAGATACGGCGTCGTCCCGACAAAGAAACCTGAGGAGGTCATGGCCTATCAGGGGCTTGCTGACCACACGCTCGAATCTGATCCCGAGATGGCAAGAGGCTATCAGCTTTGTTTGCAGGAACAGAAAGCGCAGTATGTCCGGCAGAAGTTGGAGGAAAAGAAGGCTGAAATCTTGAGGCGAAAAAGAGAGGCAGAACAAGAAGTCGCCCGGCAACAAGCGATACAAAGAGCCATTCGCGAGCAGCAGCAATTCGACTTCTACAGCAGGCAATATCCCCGATACGGGCACTTCGTGCGTCGGCCGGGTCTCTTCGCTCACGAAAATACTGCGGTCGCGGTTGGAGGAGAGGAGTTCGGGGACACAGACTCTGAGCAGGCGTTGCACTTGGATGACAGCATAATGAGCTCGCCAACTTACCGCTTTGTGGCCCTGGACGACACATTTCAACAGTTCGGTGCTGCTTCCCCAGATGTTGCCATGACTGTCGACAGCGTCGCAGAAGCCGAAGAGTATCTGCCTGATGGATGTGCGACAGCCAGTACCCGAAGTCGCAGAAAGTTTCCCAACGCGTCTCAGCCGTTACGATATATGGCAAACCGGGCAAATCCACGTTCCACAGAGCTAGCACAAACGCCGCCTCCCAGATTCACTCCCGCCGCATCACTTGGTGAAGGCGAACTGCCTCGAAACACGGTCCATGACATGCCAGGCAGAAATCGGGTCGAACCATACCGCATCGTCCCCGACGAACCGACGCCCCCCTACCAGCCAGAAGACGAAATGTTGCAAGATGTCTCCAGCCCAGTGGCGCCGCCGGCAAAGTCACCAACATTGTCCGATCTGATCGGAAGCGAGACTGCTTCTGAAGATAACGGCAACGGTGCTGACGACGACTCGGACTTTGATCCAAGAAGTCGATCTCCGCGGCCTCCGCAACACCGTGACGTGCAGGGATTTGGAAGGAGAAGTCGAAGGACGAGGCGGAGGTTGAGGCGTTAGGACGCAGCAGAATCGGCTCTGTTGACGGGTGCAGAGGGCTGTTGGAAAATTGGCGAGAGAAGTATGTTGTGAAGGACGAGGCTGGCGGCTGAAGAGTGGCTGAGAGATTATGCGTGTACAATATGGATACCTGAAGTGACTGGGTTGACGGGTGACACACTGAAACACAATGCTTGAAGAAGGCGTGAAGGCGACTAGGTCACAAGTACTGTTGGATGACCAGAGCTGCGAGTATGAGCAGCACAGGGGCACCGGGGGGAGCGAGTACAAGAGGAGTTTATCCAGAGCTTGTATGTCAAACAAAGTCAGTCTATCACAAACATCGATGTTGGCAACCACAGCACAGAGCTAGATCTGTATAACGAGAGATGACACTTCCTTCTCTGTTCGACAGCAACAAACGTGGATTTGACGTTGCGATCACTCACTCGCATGCCACGTCAGAATTTCGCCTTTTTTCCCCCTCTTTCCAGGCCCATCCGTCACTTCAGTCAGACTCCCATGTTCTTTCAGAAACCATTGGGCACACGATTTCTCATCTACTCATGTATGACAATCGTAGAGATGAGCCTCTGTTCTAGTCCACCAATATCAGTTGTCCGGTCTTTGAGGGATGAAATTGCCCAGCAACGAAGCAACGAGGGTTCGTCATAATGTGCCAGCTTCAGCCTTGCCCACCGCTTAACATAACATTAGCGTCATCTGCCACCATAGAGCGTCGTGTGAGACTGTTGATATGAGAACACTTTTCGCACAGCACGATGTCAGTATCCGGGTGGGTGGACACCAACCGGTACATCAAAATAAATACATATGTAGTTGTCGTCGCCCGTACATAGGTGGATGTACAGGGGGGAGCGAGGAAAAGGGAAAGAACGAACTCTTGGGTTCGCGCCCAAGGCACGTGAAGGCCGTTGGAGAGAGTGTGCCAGTGCCAGTGCCATGCAACACCATCCTTTCGGTCATTCAGCTCAATCTTCGTCTTCCTCGTCACTATCAGGGAAATCCAAGTCGAGCTTCCTCTTCGGCTGCTGAGGCGGCTTGTTGGGAGGTTTCAGGGCTTGCGTTGCCCCTTGACTTGTCGTCGTCGCCGCTGCCGCCGTCGTCAAAGGCTGGGCTGCTGCACTCGCAGTGGCATCTTGACTCTTCTCCCCCTCAAACGTCGAGCTTCTCTTCAACTCTGGACTCGCCGGCCACCCCCCAGCGGCAGTAGTGGTGTCTTCTCCTTCTGCCATTTCCGCGTCCGTGCCCGTGTCTTCCGCAATGTCCTCGGTCTCCCTGACCAGCCGCTCCACTTCCCTCTCCAATGCCTCCTGGACGGCCTTGGACTCGTCTTCCCCCACACCCGCGTCCACCCCCGATTGCTGCCGCTGCCGCTCCACGAATAGCTGGAGCTGTCCCAGCGCACCGACGCGCAAAAGAGCCGCGTCGGGAAAGGACATGCCCATCTGTGCGCGTTGGAGGGCAATGCTGTTGTCGATGCGCGTCAGCTCCGCGGTTGTTTCGGCGGTCCGATTTTCATCTGTAGCCTCGGTGAACTCTTCAGCTGCGCCGCCCTCGTCCGTGGCCGGGTGAGCCACACCATTCAAGGCTGCTGCCGACGGTGATGTCTGCTCCTTGTTTTTCGTGGCCATCTTCCTCCGGAGCGATTCCGCTTCGGCCTCCCGTGCCGCAATGGTATTATGTTTGCCTATCCGTGCCGCGAACGTGAGGAGGGTGTGGTAATCGACTTTCGCCACGTGTGAGTTATCTGCATCCTCCTCTTCTTCGTCGTCGTCCGAACCCGAATCGAGAATGGACGGGTTGATCTGGCCGATCTCCTGTCTGAAGGACACGCATTTGCGGATGGTGTCCTTGAGTTGCTCTTGTAACGTCGCGACCTCGGCGCGGAGGTTGAGGATGTGGGCATAGTTCTGCTGGTGGCGTTGGAGCAGCGAGAGGGCCGACCCGAGTTCGTCGTCGTCGGCGAGGAGGTCTCGGGCGAGTTGCGGGGCATTGGCGAAGGTGTTGGTCTGAGTGAAGGACGTGATGAGGGCGGTGAGGTGCGTCTCGATCGAGCTCAAGGGCCGAAGAACGAGGGAGTCCATGTTGTGTTGTTTGTTCAGGTGGTCGTCACAAGCAATGGTCGGCAGAGGAGACTGGACACGGATTGGGGGGACATGCAGACGCGTGGTGATGCGTACATAAGTGCGTGGTTTGGTTGACGGTAGAAGTTTCGCATCGACCCTTGATCCCAGTCACATACTGTATTATTATTACAGTATTTACTATTAGATACTCCACCGTTTTGGCTTTAGAGGCGACACCCGGGCACCCGGGCACCCGGGCTACTACAGTAGGCGTCTAGGCGTCTAGGCGTCGAGGGCGTGTCCCCCACCACTCTTCCCCCCCTCGCCCTCGCTTAGGATGTCTCTTGTGTACGGAGTACGAGTTGTTTACTGCCCTCAGGGCAACTGTCATTCTTGGACAATCCCAAGGATATTAATTCCTCAATGCTCCATCTGGCTCTTCAATTCGAGCTCTGCACTCTCATCTGCAAACACCTCCCTCCCACTCTGACTCTGGCCTGCGTACATGGTGAGAAGTGAAAATCATGGGTGTCTTTTGGCTGGTCTTGGCGCCCACGCGTGAGTTTTCGTCCACGAACCCGTCGAGCCGTCACCGTGGACCTGGGACTCTCTCACTCAAAGACGTTCAATCAGAATCTCACACGACTTCTGGTTAGTTGTGCACATGTTCTCCGTCATATGCATATGCCACACCATCCCAGAGTCTATCCCAGGCTGGCCCGGCTCGATCGATCCCATCAGCGGCCCCGCATCTTCTATCCCATTCCCAAACTGCCGGCAGCAAGGGCATAACATGCATGCCAGTGCAGTAGTCAATGAGCAGCGATCGAATCACGCTCCACAGGTCGTATCAATTGAAGATCGGAGACTCTTCTCATTCGCACAGTGCGGGCTTCCAAGGACAACCCACATGCGTAATCTTCACCCGCTCCACGACGCGCCAGGGAGGTGCCACGTATTTTCAACTATCAAACCCAGTGGTCCGATCACCCAACCCTGCAGGATATCTGAACGACAGTCCCCAGAACTCATGCGTCAACAGCCAACCGCATTCTATATCTCCTGGTGGGATCATCCCTGAAGAAGCCGCATGCATGGCGAGGTCTGTGGAGGGAGGTGATAGGTGAGCAGGCTGGTCTCGCAGAATCCATCTCGGTTACGTCTGAGGGGATGTCAAGGTACCAGTTTGGATTTGTTCAGCGCCTATTCGTTCTCTCCTCTCTTTGTGTAACCGTCCCTCCCAGCTCTCTCCTTGTTGTATAGCAGTACCTCCCACTATCAACCAAAGAAATGCTGTTATCACCGCTCCTGTCCAAGGACAATATTGTCTTCGGGTTTGAGCTTCTCGTTCCCAGCGTCATTGTGTATGTCTTTGCCTGTGCCATCTACAATCGCTACTTCCATCCGTTGAGGGACATCCCCGGACCGTTCTGGGCCTCCATCACAAGTCTCTGGTACTTTCGAGCCGTGCGAAATGGCCGAGGTCAAGACTACCAACTGCCCATCCACAAGAAATATGGCCCAATGGTTCGGCTGGCCCCCAATCAAGTTCAAATCGCCGACGCCACGGCCATCGAGACGATATACGGTCCCAAATATGAGTTCACCAAGGGCGACTTCTACAACAATTTCTTGACCCACATCTCCAAGCGCAAGGACACCTTCGCCGAACGGGACGAGGCAGCTCACACCTGGCGACGACGGACGGTGGCGCACCTGTACACCCAAGCCGCCGTTTTGGAATACGAGCCCTGCGTCGACAGGGTCATCGCTCTCTTCCGCAAGCAGATGGACCACTTTGCCGACACGGGAGAAGTCTTTGACGTATCGGTGTGGATCCGCAAGTATACCTTTGACATTATCGGCGAGATCTTCTACGGGCGCGAAGGTGGCTTTGGTTTCATCCGAGACAACAGTAAGTTCTGGAACGACGTTGTGGAGCCCTATTTGCTGTTATCGAAAAGACGCCTGCTTTGCTTCCATCCGAAATTCGAAGCTATCAGAATAGCGGTTGACGGATAGCTACTGAACAGTTGACTACAACAACTGGTGCCACCTGATGGACGTGATGCCGAACCCGGCCGCAGCACTGAACAATCTCCCGTGGGGATTCCGGAACCTGTACTTCCTGTCCCAGATGATCTATCCCGCGACGCGAGCGGGCGCCAAGGGCTTCTTCACCGTGATCGACCAGTCCCACGCGGCGGTGAAGCAGCGGCTGGACGACATGGCGGCGGGGCGACCCTACAACCGCAACGACGTGCTCAGCAAGCTAATCGACATCGCCCACGACCCCAAGAACGACTTCGGCATCCTCGACGTCACCACCGAGATCTGGGCCATGATCTGGGCCGGCTCCGACACCACGTACATCGCCTTGACCTCGATCTTCTACTACCTGCACAAGAACCCGGCGACGCTGGCCAAGCTGCGCGCCGAGGTCGAGGAGGCCTTCGCCAATGGCACCCTGAAGTACCCCGTGCGCTACAACGACGCCATCAAGCTGCCGTACCTGCACGCCGTGGTGCGCGAGGCCATGCGCATGCACGGGTCGCTGGGCACGGGCCTGCCGCGAGTGGTGCCGTACCCGGGCGTGGAGATCTGCGGACGCTTCTTCCCGGGGGGCACGACGGTGCTGATGAACGCCAACGCCGTGCACTTCGACCAGGCCATCTTCGGCGCCGACGCCGAGCAGTTCATTCCGGAGCGCTGGTTCCGCGACGGCGACAAGCACGCCGCCCACATGGAACGCCACATGATGCATTTCGGCTACGGCAAGCGCATCTGCATCGGCAAGCACATCACCACCACCGAGATGTACAAGCTGCTGCCGACCATGCTGCGGGACTTTGAGTTCGACCTCCAGATGCCCGGCGGCAAGGAGTGGTCCGTCTGGCAGGGCTGGTTCCATCAGCAGCGCGACGTCATGGTCACCGTCCGGAGAAGGGACAGAGATCGGGTGTGAGTGAGAGAGGTGGCTGAGAGACACTCCTCCAAGGACGTTGGTTCGAACAAGGAGGGGTGCTTGAAGTCAACGTGGGCGGGGGAGCTGGAGCTCTGAGCATGTCAGTACATAAGTGGGTGATCCAACAATGGAGGAATGATGATGACCTTGATTGAGTCTGTGTAGGCCATGTATATGAATCCATCTGAGGTGTCTTGCGATGTATGTACGTACGGACAGTATATACAAAGTCAGCGTTCAATGAGGCTCCGTTTGTGACCGACTCGAACAACCGTCCTTCTTTCTATGCACTTCTCATATTTTACATCTGTCAGGGCCTTTTTATTTATCGATTTTTCTGTTTTTTTCTTCTTCTCCGGGCCGTCTGCAGGACACGATCTCTCAGCCTTGTGCCCTCATACATACCAAGAAATCTCGGTGAGAGGAAGGAAGGAAGGTAAGAGCCGCAATTTGCAAACAAACAGCGAACCGACCAATCAATAACCGAAATCGAACCGAACGCAATCGAATCCGTAAAAAACCCTCCGTCATTCTCGATCGTGATCACACATGTCATGTTATGCAAAGAGGGTGGGGGGAGGAAGAAATGGGGATACATGGGTAGATAGTGGTAGGTAGACGAGAGAGAGATCCGAAACTCTCCAAAAGGCTGCTTGTTGTTGGATTGAAACACGAGAGATATCTCGTTTTTTCTCTGCCATGCTGCATGCTTGCCGCAAGCCGTTTTCTTTTGGTCTATTTATGATTCGCTGATGCACCCCATCGACGAACTTCCCGACCAATGAGGACCTTATGGCGTCCTGTGATGCCTGTTCGGAGCTGCGTCAGGCGGACTTGCGACGTGCCCAAGTACACACATCTGTGACTTTCAGCTTGAGGTCGGAAAGCATGGGCTTATTTGGTGGCCCAACGTCCTTGTGTGGCGAGACGCCGCCTTCTGCCGACGTCCCATAAACACCTGTCCTTGTTCCTGTCCCTGTCCACGCCTCTGCTGTTTGGTGTGACTTTTCTAGAGATATTCCTGCAATGTGGCCGACCATTTGAATATCTAGGACCGCAGAACCAGAATATTTCGTTTCGCTTTGTGCACGTTCGCGTTGGACGCAGATTGCGCAGAGCCTTGCCGACCCTGTGGACATTTGTTCACAGCTGCAAAATACCAAGATGATGCCGATGCCCCCCATCGAATGGATCCAAAAATATTCGCATCGTGCTGGAGATGCACGGCGGCTTCCTCGCTCCAAGCCGGCGGCATTTACGGGTCCTCCCGAGAATGCTATGGCATACATGAAGCCTCGCAGCTCCGTTCGGGTGGTCTCAGTGCGGACAAAAACTTATCGGACGGTCCCCAGAGATCAAGGAGTAACCGCGAAATCAATGGCTTACGAGCTTGCACGTGGCGATCCTTGGAATCACCTGTGGCCGTCTTCCAACAATAGCATGTCACCATCACCGACTCAGAGTCAGAGTCCTGGAGTGTGCAGGAGTAAAGACGCTGCGAATAAAGGCACAGAGAGTCCGGGGAACGTTTGGGAAAGAGAAACTGCGGACCACACCCCTGGTAGGTCCAAACAGAAGATTCCCTCACGAGGGCACTCACTCAACGCCCCATCTTATGGGATTCCGGCTGTGCCTTCTTCAAGCAACACCTTTCTCGACCAAGACGGTTGCCGTCAGGTAAATGAAGCTCGGAAGAGCCAGAGCATCGATAAAGACAACGACTGGCCACAGAGAGAAGCTGTGATCCAGGTTGGCTCGGGTGTGTTGCAGTTCCTCCCCTTTTCAATGAGCCCATCGCAGCTGAGAGAGCGTCCCGTCACTGCCTCATTGTCGCTCGATCCTGACCCGGTCAACGGTGATTTCCATGACACCGCCAATCCAGCACTTGTGTACCAAGCCCGTGATCTCTTCAGCGGTGTTGGTGAAACGGATGTAGCGATGAAAAGCCAGGACCCTGTGAATTGTGCCGGAGAATGCGTTGCCGATGCTTCGTCAATGTCCCACGACATGGACATGGAGTCCTCTGGAGAGGAATCATTCGTATTCAATTCTCACTCCCCACCATCCTTCGATGCGGGAAGTCGGCAAGAGATTGAGGACTTGATTTTTGAGATCGGACAGGACTCTGTGCAAGGTTTCATGTCTGGAGGCGGAGGGGTGAAAGTTCACAACCCCCAAACCTCCCAAGAATCCACCCGAAGCTCAAACGCTGGGACCCTGGCTGCTGCTGAGTGTTATTCATCGACTTCAGGTGTGACGAATGCGGTAGGGTCGTCCAGGAAAAACAGACGGAGTGAACAAGACGGCAACGAAGAGCCAAGAAGACCACAAAGACCGCGTATCGAAAGTCCTATCCCGGATGATCTTGATTCAGAGGGTCTTTTTGCCTGCCCCTATGCCAAATACGATCCAAACAGATATTCAGAAGCGAACCAGAACCCGCATGAAAAGTTATATCGCCGATGCCGAAGTGTTTATCTCACAAACATCCCCAGGTTGAAGCAGCATCTTTACCGGATACACCAGCGGCCTCAATATTTTTGTTCGTCCTGCTATGTCGAATTCGAATCGGAAAGCGACCGTGAGGTCCATGCCCGGGCCAGGCCAGCTTGCCTTCTGAAGGAGTGCCCCTTTCAGGAGAAGATGACACACGAACAGTATAAGGCAGTCAAGCGCAGGAAGATGCGAAGAGACGCCACGTCAGTGTGGTATGAAATCTTCGATGTACTCTTTCCAAGTGCGCAGCGTCCAAGCACTGCCTATGTGGATGATGCAATATCCTCAGCCACGAGGGCGAATCTCCGAGATTACAATACGTACCTCGAGACTCATCTAGCCCACAGGCTCTCTCAGACAATGGGTGGCCCTCTTTTCAACGGGCCTCCTGGGATGTTTCAGTGGCTCGTGAACAGGGCCCTTGAGGAAACCTTGCCGACACTTCTGCGGGAGTTGCATGACGCGTACCAGACGCGGCAAGCTGTGGAGGGAACCAGCGGTGATTCGAGTTCAGTAAACTGAGAGCCATTCATGGTTTCCGGAAATAGTTCGTGAGCGTGTTTTTCTGTGGACTCCTCTCGATGGTCTTGGCCTTCTTTGTCTTCGGCTCATCCGGAATCTCGTCATTCTTCTCTGGCTTTTCGCCAATCTTGAGCAGGGCCATCAACTCCTCGAAAGCTTCAGCCGGCACAATCCCACCGCTCGCCTCTTTGTGACCTCTGGCAAAGCTCTCTCCAAGCCTGTCTCTCAAGCCGTCGGATGAAAGATCTGCAGCAGCTTTCAAGCTCGCAATGATGTTGACAGGTGGATCCCTCGACCTGGCGCATCGGGCGATGCGACAAGAAAAATTGACCATCCCAGGAAGATAACCTGAATTGGCGCAGAGGACGATTTCCAAAGCTTTTGAGTTCAGATATCCCGCCCACCGGGTGGCAATGACCGGATGAACCTGCGCCGGGGTATTGATCCGCAGGACAGCGATTCGCCCATCACGGCTGAATCTTGGAGGGGTATGCGTGTTCAATTCGACCTCCTCGTTGACTTCTGCACGGGCACTCTGGAGTCGACCATTGCTTAACAGGTCTCTGGGGTCCTTTGACGCTAAGAGAGCAGTCCAGGCAGTGACCACGTCATATTTGGCGGTGCGTCTCGGTGCGTTGACGAGCGAGGTTGCATCATTGATGGATTTCTTCGTGAATACTTTGAATGTTTCTTTCATATCAGGAAATGGTGGAGACCACTTCAAGGTGTTTCCAAGGTCACCGTGTGTGCCGATACAAGCCAGGTACGCACAGCCGGAGGCAATGTCCGGAGCAAGAGTCTTACAAATCTCGTAGGTGAGGAGAGATGATGTCGACACCGGTGGATAGTGGCAGGCGGACACCACCTGAGCACCTTCTGGAAAGTGGTCACTCAGATGGTGGTCGATAACCAAAGATTTGGTGGACGGTATATCAACCACGGGTGGTGCTGCTATAGAGCCCTGATCGAGGACGATAACATACGCCGGATCTTGAGGGCTCGTGTTAGAATATACATTCAATTAGCGAGGTACCCACATTCAAATACCTTTGGCAGTCATGGCTTGACGCTCTGACTCATTATGTATCGTTGAGCCCTTCTGAACTAGATGAACATCGATCAAGGATGCATCGAGGCCGAGACTCGTCAGCGTGCGATAGAGAATGACGCCCGATGACAGGCCGTCGGCGTCCTTGTCCGGTACGATCAGAGCTTTCTTACCACTTGCTGCACTGGTCCAATTAGCATTGTTCGTTCACGAGTTCCAGGATCGGACTCAACCACACCATTCCTTTATGAAGCCTCTTGCCTCTTCCATAGCAGCCTCCGGAGCTGGCCAGATTGGGTTCCCGGAGTCATCACGTCGAGGCTCAACATCGCAGTAATCGGGAAGCTTGGGGCGAGCTTTGGCTGTGGTTGATCGTTTCATTCCTCGCCAACCATCTAATGGTGACCGTCGACGAGCGTTACAAAGGGAGGAGCGGGAGCGCAGTGGGAGCAGTGAAGATGTTTGACACAGGGTTCGGATCAGCCCGAGACTTGAGATCTGGCGAAGGATCGTGTCCAATGGCATTCAGTAACAGTTGTAGTAGTTGTGAGATTGGAGGGATGGGAAAGGAAGAGAGCAGAAGACAATCACTCATGACGCTCGTGACGCTGATGACGCTGATGACGCCCTTGACACCCATGACGGGATATCTTTTGGTCTGACGGGCATTTACGCCACGTGGGCGCTGCGAGGCTTCGGATTGATCTGTCTGACGGCCACCAACAGTAGCGTAGCGCAGTCCGTCCAAGAGTCAGTGGGCAAGGCAACCTCGTTCTTTGTATATGGGCATCTGCATCTGCATCGTTGTCGTCCTCGTGACCCTTTTCTACTTCTGACACCCAGCCAGCCCAGACAATCATATAATGTGAAGAGCTGTGAGCGCCTGTGGCGTGTTCTTTCTGCGTACTACCCGAACCCTGCTCAATGGCATCCGCCTGCTTTGCTGCTCTTCTGGTCTTTCTGTTCTGCCTGGGCGGCCAGTCGATCCCGACCCATGTCCGTGCCGACCATCATTCAATACGATCCTACGCCGCTATCGGCGACTCTTACGCTTCGGGAGCTGGAGCAGGCACCCCAGGATGGCCACCGTATGCAGACTTCCGCTGTGGCCGCTATTCTGACGCATACCCTATCCAAGTAGCCAACAACTCCCTCATCAACATCGAAAAATCAAAATTCAAGCACCTTGCATGCGGTGGTTTGACCAGCACGGTCATCCTGCGAGACCAAGTGCCCTATATCGGCGACTCGGACCTCGTGACTCTGACAGCCAGCGGAAACGATGTCAACTTCTTTGTGGTCTTGAACGAGTGCGTTTACCATTGGCAGCCGTCGATTGGCTGTGAAGGTCAGCTTGTCAAGGCCCGAGAAATCATCGAGACAACTGCCCTACTGAATCTGGAGAACATCATCTCTGGAGCTGTTCAGCATCTGAAACCTGGAGCGCTCCTGATTGTTACGGGCTATGCCAGGTTTTTCAACGAGAACACAGACTATTGTGACACTGCGACTTTCAGCCAAACCAGACCTCTGGATTACCTGACTAAAGCCAAGAGAAGGGAACTCAACCAGTTGGTGATGATGTTGAACGACGTGATCAAGGCGACGACAGAGCTCCATGGGGCTGTTTATCTGGACATCGATGGTGCTTTTGATGGCCATCGGTTTTGTGAACCCGGGGTTGAAGAACCAGATATCGATAGAAACGATACTTGGTTTTTCAACATGCCGCCACCACCGACCACGCAGTCCCTCGCCGCCTTCACGTCTCAAGAGCCGTTGGGCGACCCAGAGGGTATCCCTGACCCTCAGGTTGTCCCTGAATGGCCCCAGATCAAAAAGTGGAGGGTTTTCCATCCCACCGGAGCAGGACATCACGGCATATCGGAGGTGGTTGTGAGGGAGATCCTGCGCCGGTCTCGTCCTGATCGCCGTGGGTAAGCACACAGGTTGTCTCCGAGGATGAGGGCGTGGAGGGTTAGGGAAGCGTTATTGTTCTTGCCAGCGTTTTGTAAGATACGCGGATGTCTCTTTGAGAGTCATTGTCGGGTTTTGTAATATTTAATTTAGGTTTTTCTCTCTCTGGAATGCACCGTTTGTCTGGCCTTCTCTTCACGTTACTTGTTACTTCGCGTGATGCTGATATGGTGGTCCGAAAGAGGGTGATCTCTCCTCTGCTGGTGCTGCTGTTGTATGGGTGGCTTTGCGGTCAGGTGATGTGGCGGGTCTGGTTGGCGGCCGGAATCCGGCATGACGTTATTGGCAACAAACGCGTCTTTACGCGCGACGGGACTAGAACTAATAGTAGTAGTAGTAATAATGCCCTTCCACACCACAAACTTGCGAACCGCGAGCATACGACACCGACACCCACAACGATTAAAGACCAGAGTCGACCATAACTTCACACGATACAACTTGTAAAGACCACCTTCTCCATCATGTCTTTCTAGATACTCCCTCGTAATGCCCCAGAACACAACCACCAAACAACCAGCAGTCTCGCTCGCAATTGCAATCCTGCCATGTACCTCCCGCGTCCATTGATCTCGCACCTCTATACGAACCTCATCCGCTCTCACCACCCTCTTTCTCCTCCTGTCCTGCTGCTGGTTGCCCTCGAACCTGATTCGTTATGCGCGTGTCGCATCCTCACGGCGCTTCTCAAGCGCGACTACATTCCTCACAAAATACAACCAGTCTCGGGATATGCAGACCTGTCCAAGGCTGGCGAAGAACTGGTGCGGCCCATGAAGACTACAGAAGGCGGTAGTGGTGGACTCGTCATCTGCCTCGGTGTCGGAGGACTCGTTGACTTGGGAGCCATTCTAGGCTTGGAGGATGAAGAGTCGAATGAGACAATGTGTGGAGTGGAAGTGTGGGTGCTGGACGCGAGAAGACCATATAACCTCGACAATGTCTTCGGCGGGCAACCGAGTGAAGCACCTCTAGGCGACATAGTGAACGAGACGAAGCCGCGAGCTCGAGGGGTGGAGAAAGGATGCATTCAAAAATCATACCGTTCTGGCAAAGGCGGCATCATAGTTTTTGACGATGGGGACATTGCAGGCGACTTAGAGACAGAGAGGAACGCGTACTGTGCGCTGGCAGAAATGCCTCAAGTTGATGCAGGTGAAAGCGACGACGGCGAGGAAGGGGAAGAAGGAGATGAAAGTCAAGACAGCGCGTCGTCCAGAAAACGAAAGTCTTGGTCCGATCGCGATAACGAAGACGAAGACAGTGAAGAAGAGGAAGAGAGACCACGTCAACGGCGAAGGAGTAACTCGGGGTCATCTATTGCGTCCCCCCGAAGCAGAAGCCCTTCGTCCTCTCAGCCAGCATCACCAGCGTCTCAGGCACAGTCCCCGAAACCACAAACATCAATACAGCTACGCCGACGATTACGAAAGCTCCGGCAAGAACACGAATCGGTGCTCCGGCAATACAACCGTCTCGGGACTTCCTATTCGGAGCCAGTCTCGACACTGGCCTATTCTCTGGCGTCGGACCTGGGACGTGAAGACAATGACATACTGTGGCTTGCCATCATTGGCGTCACTTCACTCGAGCTGTCTGGCCACACCTCCACCGGTCTTGGGACATCTGTTTCAAGGATAGCGACCCTCCCACATGACCAGCACAGAGGATGGCGGACCACACGTTCTTCTCAAACATATGCCCTTCTCCGCGACGAAGTCAGACGCTTAAACCCCCCACCTGCAGACCAATCGCCGACGATATCCCCCGTTACCGGCGGCACAAGTTCACCTAGCGATACCTCCATTCGACTGACGCCGGACCCCCGATTTCTTCTCTTGAGGCATTGGTCTCTGTACGACAGCATGCTGCATTCACCATATCTTGCCTCTCGATTACATGTCTGGAACGAATCCGGCATCAAGCGTCTTCACAAACTTTTGGCGAAGATGGGGGTGTCCTTGACCCAGTGTAAACAGACATATACCCACATGGACATGGATTTGAAGAAAACTCTTCGGGACCGTCTCCTGAAATATGCGGGCGTGTATGGCCTCGACGGTCTTGTCCCGTCCGGCTCGGGGCGAGCATCTTTCGAACAAGAAGGCTGGGGTTTCATCCGCTCCTGGGGCTGGAAAGCCCAACTTTCGGCCGTCGACGTGGGCGTCATTCTGGGAGCGATCCTTGACGTCGGGATAAGTAACGTTCCCACTTCCTCAGCAATGTCATCTTCATCGACATCATATGCAGCCTCTTCACAACAAACAAGCGCCTCCGATGACATCCCGGAGCGCTCAGAAACGCTTCTGCCACGCTTCTTCGCTGCTTACGACGCTCTCGCACCAAATCACCCGACCCATCTCCTCGCCGCCATTCCAGCAGCGCAGCATCTTCTACGATCAATCCTCCGCACGGGCTCTTCGTTGCTTATGAAGCACCAGATCCGCCATTTACGTGCATTTCGTATGGGTGTGGTGAAGGAAGGGCCTGATTTAGCCCTTTTCGCCAACAGTCCTGGGGCATTGGTAAAGTTGGCATTATGGGTGGGTGAGTCGATTGCGGTGAGTGAGAAGGAGAAAAGTAGCACAGAGCCACCGACGCCATTGGTTCTTGCAGCGTTGGACGAGGCGAGAGGGACGTACGTTGTTGTGGGCACAGGTGGAGGGATTGGTGGTGGTGAGGACGTCGAAAGTAGAAAGGAGAAAGAGGAACGAAGGAAGAAGAGGGAGGAAGAAAGAGAGAAGAAGAGGAAAATCAGAGAAGACAAGAAAGCTGCCCGGAAGGCCCAAAGAGAATTACTGGGTGACGACTCTGATGCCGAGGATGAAGAAACGGAATCCGAATCGGAGCCTGACTCGGAGTCGGACGACGACCAAGAAGACGAGGCGGAACAAGAAAGGAAACGCAAGAGAGGATATGGCCACAATCGGTTTGGGATTGCTTTCCAAGAGGTTATCGAGGAGACGAACGCGCGGGTCCGGATTGATTCGTTTGATCACTGCATTGTAGAGGTCAAAAAGGAGGATCTCGCCGGCTTTCTCGAGGGACTAAGCCTCAAGGCTGTTGTTGGCAGGTGATTGGTCTCTTTGGGCAACAGAGTTAACTTGAGACGAAAGGAAAGATGGATATATACTGTCGACTGGGGTGATGGGTGTTGACAGAGTACATGAAAGAGAGCAAGAGTATGCACTTTACCTTTAGGCTTCGTTCTTTGAGGATGTGTGGGAACTTTTAATGGCTCATGTTACGACCATGGCACCGGACGAAAGCTGATGATTGGGGGCAAGAGTGCTTGCTGGGGGAATGGGACGGAAAAGATGACGCCCAGCTGCTGTTGACTGCTCAATGCATGTTTATTGGATTTTCTTGCTGCATGGCGATCAGGGCTGGAACAGGGTACATATCATACTCGGCGTGTGGGATACACTCTGTTTAGGTTGCGAAAGACACTCATGACTGCTCTTTATAGACGCTTTCTTCTCTCGGTTGATCGACGGTACTCTCCATTCGATTGTAGGCTCACCACGGTCCTCCTGGCCATCTCATCTGTCCTTAGCTCCCAGTGAATGGTCCAGCAGGTCCGTCACCGTCCCAACCCTCCACCCTCGTCTGGTCAGCTCGGGTAAGACGATCCTCAACATCGGCGCCGTCCACTCCCTGTCGTGGATGACCACGATGGCGCCCGGCGTCACACTGCGCAGAATATGCCACGCGTTCAGCCTCGGCCAGGGAATCTGCGCGTCCCAGGGATACACGCTCCCCAGGACGAGCCTGTAGTTCAGCTCTGGTCGTGTGAGGAGGGCGAGCATCGTCGCGTTGAAGAAGCCGCTGCCGGGCCGGAAATACTTGGGCGGCTGCTGCTGCTGCTGCTTCACGGCCGAGGATGCATAGATGTCGTGGATCTGTCTTTCCACCGCCTGGATCTGCCGCCCGAGTTCTTCAGGAGGGAGACGCAGGGACGGTTCGTCGTGCATGGCGTGGTTTGCCAACTCGTGGCCGTCACAGACCAGATCTCTCAGAGTCTCCTCGTGGCCGGGGATGTGTGACCCAATGACAAAAAAGGTGGCTCTGACAGCGCCCTGATGAGCCTTGAGGAGGCGTTGGATTTCCCGTGTGTGCCGAGACGGGCCATCATCGATGGTCAAAGCCACGATCTTGTCATCCGTTGGGGATGGGGTTATTTGGAATAGCACGCCAGGATGGCGAGCTTGGAGCCGGCGGATCAGCCACTTGGGCGGTTGGTAGAGGATGAAGACGGACACGAGGATCAGGGACAAGATTGCAAGACCGAAAAGGGTCAAGATGAGGAGGGGCATGGTTTGGTCATGGGTGTCACCAACGGGCGTTCTGCGATGTTGGGGGCGGCTATTGTCTGTTTCGCCTTGCTTCCTCGATGAGATAATCGTTGCTCTTTTTTAGGATCAACAAGCGTGGTTGGTAATAGATGACTCGGTAGACAGGGTAATTACGACGTTGGAAATAGGTCCATGACAGTTAGAGGAGAGACGAAAGCCGCCGGCCTTCAAGGGTTGGTATTGGTGACCGCTCGACGAGGCTGGATATTGCCCGAATCGGTCGACGAAGACACCACCTCGAAGGGGAAACATCTCCGTCTAGAAAGGATGCTGACCTTTCGCAGGGCTGCAGGGCTGACCTTGATACATCGTCTGTACCGAGTATATACTCCGGTACTTGTCTTTGATCAGGCTTCTTCTTTGTTCGGTAGTCATGGCTCATGAGGTGCATGCAAGTTCCTGCTATTATTACCCATGCAAGCCTCATGTGGGCAGAGAAACTAAAGGGGCAACCTTCTCGAAAGGAGCGACGAGTGACGATCTGGCCGTGTGTGCCACCCCCGACATGATCAGCAATGGCTGGCGGCTGGCTTGCCATGGCACGCATGGCTACTCGGTACATACAGTATATACATACATTATATATACACAATCACCGACATGGTACGAGGCACTCGTCAACCAACAAGCACAACACCACAGAATCCACGGCTATCTCATTATTTCCTGTTTGTGATCATTGTCAAGGAAGGAAATTCATGATGTGTCCATTTCCAGACGAACAAAGCCGATAATTAATCATTATGCGTCGAAAACCCGAAATTGCGAGCTCTCGCCAAAGGCTGACGATAAATTGAGACACAGATACCGCGAGGACGGAGTCAGTCAAGCGGCAAAAAACCCGTCGGGTAGAAATCCCAGACGATGGAAAGCGAAATTTTTCTCTGGTCTAGCGGCAACGTCGACGTTGGGGTCTGCCGATCGTTCCTTGCATCTCCCTTATTCCGGCGGCAACACGCCTTGAGATGGTGATGCCCCTTGTCCAGGTCAATTTCTTCCTCCAGCAGAGACGAGCATGTTCCATGCTGCTTGCTGCATGAAAAGGCAAAACTGTGTTAAGGCTTTTCGCCGGATCCTCGACCATAGAGTTTCTTCCTGCTTGCTTGGCTTCGGGCACGACTTGGGGGGTGGGTGTTGTTGTTTGGCTTTCCAACGGCTGCTTGAAAGGGTGGCCTTGGAACGCCACCGAGTTGGACGGCGCTGCGCCGGCGGGAAATCCTCCAGTCTGCGGTTGACACCATCGACGGTTCCTTGCAGGAAGGCCACTAGTTCACAAGCTGAAACACTGCTAGGATGGGCGTTCTGGACAGGGATCTCGGGGACTGGTCAACAATCCTCTCTCCTCCTGCATGAATGCTTCCTCACGGCAAGTCTCGTCTTATCCAGAACCCCTGATTGCCTCTGTTCTCTGCCCCATTTCTCCAGCATCTATCACATCGGCATTTCCTCTCCGGAGGCGGATGCCATCTTACGCCCCTCCTCTGGATCCCCAGCCCTTCCCAAGTCAGGAAACGAAACCCTACCCATGCTGTGTGTCCTCTCTCTGCTCTTGCACCTGCTGGGGTCTTGGAACCATTCGGGCGTTGCCATGCGTCTCAAACCATCTCCTGAGGACCGCGTCGTAAAGAGTCTCACCAACAACACGGCTCTCACTATGGAGCACTCGTGGAGCCCGAGCACTGGTGTGGCCGTAAAATAACAATGTTTTCCATCTTCATTCGAGCCCACTTCATATACCCTTTTCGCTGGTGTACAGTCATGTTTCTTGAACTCTGCCAATGCTCTGCGAATACACATGATGAAGCTATTCAGGGTAGCATTGGCCACCCTCGGCTTGGTTTGCTACTGTTTCGCCGCAGATCAAGACATTCTCACCATCTTGGGCCAGCAGAGCGGGATTTCGACCTTTGTTGGGCTCCTGGAGCAATTCACAGATCTGGTCAACATTTTGAACCAGGGGACATTTAGTGGTTTGGAAAAAACCGACATATCTCGTTGCTGGCGACCCAGACTAAGTTCTCTGCAGTCCTGATTCCAAATGACAAAGCGCTCGCCGCGTTTGGCGAGGAGAATCCAGACTTGACCAACAATACAGATGCCGTCCGGGCCCTGTTGGAATACCATATCGCCAATGGTACTCATCCGTCGGTCTCGTTTGGCCTCCAGCCACAATTTGCGCCCACCCTGTTGACGAATTCCAACTACACCAATGTCACAGGTGGCCAGGTGGTGGAATTAACGTCGTCGAACAATCAACCCACGATCGTTAGCGGTGTGAAGGCAGAGTCTCACGTGGTCGAGGCTGTAGGGGTTTTCTCCATTTTCTCGTGTTCCTGGGATAGCAATGCTGACCGACCAAGGACATTTTCTATCTTGGAGGGCTCATCCACATTATTGACTCGGTATTGACCATCCCCATCTCGTTCCCAGCAACCGTTACGAAGACCGGGTTGACGGACCTCGTGGCGATTATGAGCATCGGAGGCTTCTTGAATCCCAGTTCTCCAGCAGTCAACGTGGGTACCCAGGTTCCTGGACGGGGGTTGTGCCTCCTTGTCAAAGTTGTCTGCTTGGGCTAACGGCGATGTCCAGATCGTGAACTCGCTTTCAGATCTCACCATTTTTGCGCCCAATTCGACGCAATACTCGGCCGGATATACGGGATGGAATGGTCTCTCGCAAACCGACCTCTATTCCATCTTGGAGTACAGCGTCTCCCAGGGCCCGGTCATATATTCGTCAGACTTCAAGAACGGCACCAAGATTCCCACGCTGGACAGGATATCGGCGACCATGACCGAGCTTGACGGCCAGTTCTATGTCGACACATCACTAATCAAGACGAGAGACTATCTCACCTCCAACGGTGTATTGCAAATACTTGACAGGTGAGAGCCAGTCCTCTCCACGGCTATATGTATACATATGGGTCGACTGATGTCTGGTGTCCAGTCCTCTCAATCCCAACACGACCGGACAACAGCCTTTTACCACGCCTGCTCCATCTTCCAGTTCTCGGTCTAAGGGACTCAGTACTGCTGCCGGTGCTGGTATCGGCATCGGCATTGGCGCCATAGTCCTCGGGGGAGCCTTGATTACCGCCCTATACATTCGAACCAAACGCCGCCGCCAGCTCATCAGACTGGCTGAAGGCAACACGGGCGACCCTCCTCCGAGATACGAGCTCGATACCAAAGCACTGGATGCGTCAGGTGCTCGTGGCATGAACGCACCCCACACCCAAGTCTTTGAGATTCATGCTCCGCCAAAGCCGCCGTCTCCTCTTGAGATTGATGGCATCGAGAGGAGTCGGATCAGCGTCACCATTGAAGGCACACCTCCCCGACACCTGGGATTCCAGGCTCGGTATTAGGGAGTGTCTTCTGACATTGATCCGTCGCGGAGGGAGCATTCTTATCACCTCATGAAGGGCCCTAATGACGACAGTATGTTCCAGCCCTGGCACCATATAAAGGGTTTGTTGAAGGGGGAGAGAGGGCTTGCGATTATGACCATTCTTTGGCCCCAACCTGTTGTTTTAAACCTGGCGCTGCTGGCTGGCTTCGGAGGAGACGAGCCCAGGACCTGTATGAAAAGATGGAGGAATGGGGGTGAGCCATTATCCTCACCTGCTTGTTGACATTATACCTCAGATACCCTGCCTGATTTTCAGATCAAAAGTTATTTTTTTTTTTACACTTGAGCACCTCTGTTCGCACCAGTTCCATGTGACAACCACTCGCAACTACTTCACCAACTTCCTTTTATTGTCAGATCAGTTTCTGTCCAACCTGTTAAGACCCTTCCGAGTGTACATTGCAGTCGCGTGACTGTGCTATCTTGGTGAGAGGTGCGTGAAACTTGCTCTGCCACCACCTTACAGGCTCCTGCTCTTGCTGCACAAGTTGTCGACCTCACCCTTCATCTGATCAGATTTCTCTGCTTCGATCCTCTCCCCTTCCTTGCCCTACAACAATCTTTGAAAGCCACCCACAGACTAACTGGGCAAGACAGTCACCACCAAGATCCTCTCTGCAACTCTTCCTCCTCCCTTTGAACCCTCCCTCCGCTTCAACCCTCGTTCCTCGACGCCAAATGGTTCTGACCTGCGGTCATGGACCCTTCGCCGACTGAGTCAGAGACTCATCACCCCAAACGACTGACCGATTTACCGAACGAGGTTCTTAGTCACATCTGTAGTTATATCATTGCCGATCGCCCCGACCTAACGCCGTTCCAAGATGCCGAGCTCGACGAGCCAATAAGTACAACGAGGATTGAGGGCCTAGAAAGATACTGGTATCTTCGAGGATACGAGAGGCAGAAGACAGTCATCGCGGGCGCACACAACAACGATCCCATTGAATGGTGCCGCACTCGCACCACCCCTCCCTTTCCGCTGGTGTTTGCTGCCGAGAAACAAGCAAAGAATACCCTTGCCAGCTTTGCAGCCACGTGCACGCAACTCAACAATCATGTTCGGACATTATGCGCGCAACGTACCTTCACCTTGACAGTCAGCCACTGCGGTCTCACTTTTGAGAGCTTCCGGAGTGCGTGGCCCCAACAGATGTTCGAGGCATTGCGCTACGATCCTCCTCGTCAAGAACTTAATCGTTGGTTTCTTGGCCGCTCTCACTGGGATTTGGTGATGGTCATGCCGGAAGGGCCCAAGCTCGTCAGAATACCAGAAGTGGGACTTCCCGGAAATCTTGCATTCTTTGCATTTGCAAGGGCGTTCAAGCGCTTGAGGCATCTCAGTATATGTGTGGATCTGGACATCATGAGCTTTCCACACAAAAAGTTGCCCTTTTTCCTCGGGCGGATTAGCCAGTTCGATCTCTCACAAGCAGATTGCGAGCTCTCCCTATCGACATTGAGTATTACTGTATATCTGACTCTGTGCGGCTACGGCCTTTGCAGGGAATCTATAGGTGATGGACTTCAGGAAATACTGCTGGGTGAATCCGTGGCAGCAATGATTGCTGATCAGTTGGACGACTTTGTCAAGAAGATCCATCAATTTCAAAGCAAACAAAACAGGAATCGGAAAACATCTGGAGCAAGCCCGGCGGGAATGCAAAGTCCTTTGACAGTGAGGCTGTTCATTCACGGAAGGGGCAGGGAAGGGCTAGTCAGAGACAGAGCTCGGTGTTGCGTGCCCGCGAATTGGGAGGCCTTCTGCAAGCGTATTCAAGCCCTAATCTTCGACCCGAAACCCACGGCAGAGAATCAAATCATCGACTACGAAAGGCTGATCTGCGAACTCGGGCTTCCCTAGAGGCAAAAACGAGGTGTGAAGGAAGCGAAACATGTGGCGAGGCTGGGATTGGAAGGTGATGACAAGGCAGGAGAAGCACGGTCAGCAGTGGCGGAGGACGGGTCAAGGGAGTGCCACACAGACCGGACTTGACGACGATAGAAGCATGAGCTGGGTCGCGGACGCCATCGCATTATCACAGCATGGCAGAATCGGAGCATCGTCGCAGCAGGGAGCAGGGAAGCTTGCTCCGGTATTGGCTTCTCAAACATGGATCATTGTTCATATCGATTGAAGTGCCGAATTCATCTATTTCGTATTAGTCCTCTAGAGAGATGGGATGTTTGTCAATCCTTGTCGTGGACTTGTAACATGTTGTATCCGCTGTTCAGGGGTGTTGACGGAAGAATGATTTCCCGGTGCCGACCCCCTGGCTGCGCTCACCCTCCATGTGTTGCTTACCAACTCATTCCCAATCCGCCATATCACGCTTGATCTTAGGGAGAGAAAACGCAGATGAGACCATTGCATTGTCTTCATTCCTTGCTGTCTTGGTGAAAAACAACCCTGCTCGCTCGGGAAAGGGGTTTCTATTATATCATGAGGCCAACGCGTTCTCTATGGGCGCTCCTCGCCCTCGTCGCGGTCGCCTGTGCCGCTCACACGTCCAATTGGGCCGTCCTGGTCTCTACGTCTCGCTTCTGGTTCAACTACCGGCACCTGGCCAACACGCTCTCGCTCTACCGCACCGTCAAGCGTCTCGGTATCCCCGACTCCCAAATCCTGCTCCTGCTCCCCGACGACATGGCTTGCAACCCGCGTAACGCCTTCTCCGGCACCGTCTACTCCAACGCGGACCGCCGCATGGACCTGTACGGCGAGAACGTCGAGGTTGACTACCGCGGCTACGAGGTCACGGTCGAGAACTTCATCCGCCTGCTGACCGACCGCTGGGAGGAGGGCGTACCCGCGAGCAAGCGACTACAAACGGACGAGGGCAGCAACATTCTGATCTACATGACGGGCCACGGGGGCAGTGAGTTCCTCAAGTTCCAGGACAGCGAGGAGATTTCGAGCTGGGACCTGGCGGACGCGTTTTCGCAGATGCGGGAGAAGAAGCGGTACAACGAGATGCTGTTCATGATCGACACGTGCCAGGCGAATACGCTCTATCGACAATTCTACGCGCCGGGGATCATTGCCACGGGGTCCTCGGAGGAAGACGAGAGTTCGTACTCGCACCATGCAGACAACGATGTGGGCGTGGCGGTCATTGACCGATGGACATACTACGTCCTGGAGTTCTTGGAGACGCAAGTCACGGGGCCGACGTCGGACAAGACGTTGGGGGATCTGTTCGACAGTTACGACGTGCAGAAGATCCATTCGAATCCTGGAGTGCGGTGGGATCTGTTCCCCGGTGGAGAGCAAGCAGGGCGGAGTCGACGGGTCGTGGACTTTTTTGGGAATGTCCAAAGCGTCGAGATCCAGGGCAACCGATCGGGTGTTGAGAGCCTGAAAGAGGATATCGAGGGGTTGAAACGGCTGGTACAAGAATACGAGGCTTTTGCGGCCGCGCAGGAGAGCAACACGACGCACATGTCTGATGTTTTGCAGCGAAGAACGAGCGAGACCCCTGAGACTCCCAGCAGAAGGGGCTCGTCGAGGCGAGACACAGTCGGGAGAATGAAGGTGACAGAGAACACACAGTGGGCTCGAAAAGTTGCCGGCGTCACTGTTCTTTCTGGCCTCGCAGCACTGTGGTATTTCGCTCCAAAACTTGTTTGAGAATATCTCCACAGTACCTGGTTCCTCCCTCGCAGCGACCGCTCACTACCACCATGGACAAATATGACCATGTCAGAATCACGACTGCTGCTCCTCGACCTCACTGGTAGGGGATGGCCTTGTTCATCTCCGCCCACCGCTTCTCTGCCTCAGAGAATGGCGGCGGAGGATCCAGGCCCTGGATTCTCCAGAGATCGCGGGGCGTCTCATAGATGTGCAGCTCCCACTCCAGCTCAGCTCTGTCGATGATGTACGGTTTCAGGACCTATCCGAGATTTCCATCAGTCGGACGTTGAAGAACGTGGTGGAGCCAAAATTGAACGTGAAGTAAGCTACCCTCGGCTCGACCACGACGAAGTACAGGTTTTGCCCAAAGAGTTGGGGATTCGGCGAAAGTGACACATACCTCGTTGATCATATCCATCCATGCCTTTCTCTTCGCTCTTCCCTCCTCGGTCTCCGGCCCGACCATTACCCTGGCAATCTGCTCAACCACAACCCTGACGAAGTTATTCTTCGATTCTCCGCCCACGAAGAAACCCTTCTCGGGTACATCGACGAATATGACGACGACATAGAAAGGTGGGAGGCCGCGAGACACGTAGAGGTCGGTGATGGCCTTGGAGAGACCCTCTCTTTGGGTAGTGCTGAAGATGGATGGGTCGGAGAAGATGCGCCAGAGAGGCATGGTGACCGAGTGGTGGACGAGAAATGAGAGGTTCTATTGTGCTTTACTGGGCAGGCGAGGTGAGGTGAGGTATGATGGTGGTGTTGTTACCGAGGGGACTGAGAGGGGACTCTGCTGTCTACAAGGAGAGAGAGCAAGACGCTGTATATATATACATCTCTCTCTCTCTCTCTGACTGAGAAAGCCTCCCCATGCCTCGGTCGGGAAGCAGAACAACCAGGCATAGAAGATCCACCACACATCCCGGCAATTCCCATCTTGAAATAGGCTCATACAGATGACGCCGATGCATGGACGCACGCACGGGCTTGGTGAGCGATCCGATGGGACCAGGATAAGCCCGGGTCTCGTCACCTGTCAGCCACTCAGTCAGTCGGTCAGTTGTCGCTCCCCATACCGGTATCGAGTTCTATCCTCTCCTGCGATACCATGCCATGCGATAGCGTAGCATAGCATAGCATACCGGATTATATGGCCCCTTTGCTGGCTTGCTTGCTTGCTTGCATGCATGGCTTGAATCCTCTTTTTTACCCACTCACGCATATATCGCTTTACTCTATCCATCTACTCTACTCTATTCTTCCTCAATCCATATACATATATGGTGTGTCTGCCAAGCCTATCCCTCTCACGCGTGACTCACCTCACAACCTCCTGAAACCCCGAAAACCCCTCTCCAGCTTGATGAGAAGTGGTTCTCGTGCGAGAACGGACAGGACAGGAGCAGGAGCAGGACACACGCATTCATTGTCGCCGTTGCCACGTTTGTCTTTTTTCCGGCAATCGCGGGATGGTAGGGGGGGAGGGAGGGTGTGTGATTACTCAACACGTAGACAGTAGGTTTTGGACGAGGAAAGCGAACGAGAGACAGAGGGAGGGAGGGAGCGAGGCAAGGAAGTAAGGCTGGCGAATCAGAGCCACCAATCGATTGATTGACCGGATGGAGTTCTGGGTCCTGTCTCTAGGTCCCACACGAGGACAGGACAGGACAGGCACGGACAGATCGACCAAAAGAGTGTAGTGTTGGTTGTAGTTCCAGTGTTAAGTAATTACTATGTACTTATTTACGCCCTTTGGGGTGGGTAGCATAGCACAAGGAAGTGGATGGGTTTCCGGTTCTGGAAAGACGACGACGACGAGGAAGCAAGAGAACCGAACGGAACAGGTGGGTGCGTACATAGGTACCATACAGTGCATCCAGTACAGTCAGTACAGTCAGCATTACAAGAGAGTTGATGAACTATGTACGGAGTACTCGGTACATCATGATATTTTGGGTAGATAGGTAGGTGGATGAACTAACCAAAAAGCCATCTACCTATCTACCCCTACCTACCTACCTATCTACCTACCTGCCTACCTAGCCACGCGACATTCGTACTCGTATCTACCAAACGCAGGAGCACACCGGGGCTCCGTATCCATTCCAGTCCGTTCCTGGCCCCCGCTCCGCGTCCAAGTGCAGCACTGAATGGAAACTGGAAAATACGCGGTGGTTCGGACGTTGATTTGAAAGAAAGAAAGCAAGAAAGACGGACGAGTACGCTCTGGCCTGCCCTGCCCTGCGTACAAGATGATCCATGGATGTAGAATAGTATAACACCACAGTAATATTATGACATGACGAGATAATTACTATGTATGTAGGAAACTAAATGGAGGAACAGACTGGATTGGATCGGATTGAACTGGATTGGAGCGAAGTTACATATACATACCCGTCCCGCATAATTATTACTGTCAAGCTAGGATTCCTCGACGTGGGTAAGTATTCATTCATGTGTTGTTTCTTCGAACCTTTAGATCGCAATGCCGCGTTGCACTATAACTGGTTACAGACCGGACAGAGTAACGAGGTATGTATGTAATTAGAGATTATTAGATCAGCTAGATAGATAGACAGATGAGGAAAGAAAGAAAAGGCAAAACAGAAAATTGATTACTTTCTCCCCTTCTTCTTTCCGCGCATAAGGGGGGAGGAAGAAAATGAAAGCTCCCAATTGGTGCCTGCCATCAATGGATGCGGCAGACGGGGATGATCAAACAAACCCTCACTGTGAATAGTATCTCTGGGATGGACAGAGAGAGAGTGTGTATATGTGTTTGGGCTTTCCGAACGGTTCGCCTTGCGATGGGGTTGGATGGATGGGTTCACGCAGCAGGGAAATCGATTCGATTTGATAAGTAATAGTAGGACAGGGAGGTGGATAGGTAGATAGGTGGATATGGTAGTGGGTTGCTAGGGGTCTCTTCTCCCGGTGCCTATTGGCGAGACGCGGGCTCCAGCTAGCACCAAGGTCTCTCTCTGATGATTACTGAAATGCAAAGTTTCAGCTTTTGCAACTACACTTCGCCCTTCGTGTCGGTTTGCGCATCGCACGGCTTCGGAGGCGTGTGGCGCGACGTGGACTGAGAGGCGCTGGACGGGTGGGCGGTCACGAAGACTAACTCCTCGCGTACGAGTCCGAATCCACAAACTGCTTGTGAAAGGTGCTTGGATCCGGCCGGCCTCTTTCTCTGCTAGGAAGAAACCACCATTCCGACCAGCCAAAAATGCAACGGACACAGCGTCCAGCCCATACGGTGTGGCGACGAGATGGGAAAAGTTCACGAGGGACAACCAAGACTGCGGCCGTAGCGTAATGATCGTCCAGACGTCATCTGCTCACCGATGTGCTTCGTTGCACAGCACTAGAGTCCTGTACGTTGACTGCTTGAGCGGTAGTTGCGGAGAGAGCAGTCTCGCCGTCGCACACAGAGTCTCTCCGAAAGCCGTCTGTTGTTGAGGAGGCTATGCCATCGCCGCCGCATGAGCAAATCAGGGTGTGATCGTTTTTGCGTGCTGGAAAAGTCCACGACCACGCGGATTAGTCGTCGCGCCAGGCATCGGTCGACCGCCATTGAGCCAGCCAGCCAGATCTCTTCATCGCTTCCTGCTCGTCTTCTTCTCCGCCCTCTGCTGCATGATTCTCCTTCTCTTTTCAAAACTCTCACCGATGCCCAAACCGCTGGTTCCGTCTCCTCGGGGCCCGTCCTGCGTGTCCCTCCGTCTCTTTTCTCTTCGCGCAAGCAACCCGGATCTCTCCTTGCCGGCAACGCTCCTGTGGATGCGGTCGCCCAGTCCACCCAGGCCCGTCCAGTCTTCCCCACCAAAGAGATCTCTCTTGTCCATCTCACCCCGTTGCCTCGCTTTCCTCTTCTCAGCTTTGCTCTCCGCGGGCAACCGGACAAAGTTCTGTTCTTCGTATTCTGTCCTTGCGCGTTCCTTTTCTCGCTCTTTCGAAGACATGACTCCACGTCCATGCTTGACGATCGTGTTGTTTGAGCCGATCGACGGTTGTGCGCGTGGAGCTGTAGACAGTTCCTCGTCAATGTATTCGTCCAGCAGCTGTGACTTGCGCTTCCTCACCGGGGCGTCCCGCTTGGAAGCCGGCTCCGGCATTGCAGTGGGCGTTATCCGTGGAGGCTTGTATGTGCCCGTGGCTGTTGATCGCGACTTGACAGAGGGATCTTCCTGCTTGCGTGGATCCATGTTCCTCAGGAGGGCAGAAGGTCTTGGTCCGACCGACATATCACCTTCAGTGTGATTGTTTTCCACAGCATCATCTTCCGAAGACTCTTCCGAACCAGATTCGAACTCCTCTGAGACACTGCCGTTCTCCTTGGACGTTTTCTTTGTAGGTCGTTCTTTTGCCTCTGCACCTGATGGACCCTTTTGTGCAGTCCTACGATCGGCTTCTTCAGCGGCCCGCACGACTTTGTCGACCTGGTATTTCAATTTGCTCTCCAGAGGACGTACGCCCCTTTCCATATAGACCCGCAAGTCGACAAGATGTTTCGTGACTTCGGAGACCAAATCGGCCGATAATGCGCCCGTGGAGCCATTGCGCAGCTTGATGATGACCAGGAAGGCGAGGTTTTGGATGTAGGAGAGGAGGAGGTCATTCTTGACGTCGAGGAGGGAAATGCCATCCGTGGGAGGTAGCAACTGCTGTTCCGCCTCTGGAAGCGCGGATGCAGCAGCCTGAAGGGCGGTAATCAACGTCGGAAACATCGATCCGTCAGTGTCCTCTGCAGTCATATTGGCGGCCGTGGAATGATTGTTGCGGTCGAAGGTCGCAGTCTCGAAAAATAAAAAATGGTTTGCGGAGAATCCACATCACGTGGCGATAAGATAAGCCACGCCCGACGCTGTTGTGTCGGTCGCATCGCAGGTTGAAATCAGCACCGCAGCATCCAGCTCACAGCGAATGAATGACTCTAGAGTTGCAACAGGTTTTGATGTGGACTAAATGAAGAACTAATAGGTGGGCGAAGATGAAAGTGGCGGGCCCGATCTGACTCCCGTTAAAGAACCAGATGAGGTACCTCGTACCAATAGCCTTAGCCTTCCCACTCCAGAGTAGAAGACTGGCGATGGGCACACAGATCTTCAGGCGATTGCCTGTCAAGGTTTATGTGAGAGGAGAAGAGGTGTCAGATGTCGCACAATTCCAATGTAAAATGAATGTAGCCTCTTGTCAATTCGTATGGCTGCCCCCTCGGTCGGTCGTGTAACCTGCATCTGGGTGTCTGGTCCATCTCTGCAATTTGCCTCGTCTTCTGCAAAATGATTCTGTTCGTCTGCTTGAGATAGACAACTTGACAAGCGAGATCTCCTGTAACCCACCGGGCCAGAATAGGGGATAACGGTCAACATCAGCTTGGTCAAGTTCGCTTCGCTTGACGAGATCATGACGTCGAATTGTCTCCTTTTTCCACAAACGACCCAACAATCGAAAAGGAGCATCGAAAATATTTCTTCCTCACCTTGCAACCTCCGACGCAGCAGGACAAAAAGAGGAGGACAAGAAAAAAGACACAACACCGGCGTAGAGGTCTCTGTCGACCAGTTGTCTTAGGGTGCTGACTTTGCCCCCCCTCAGCGATCCTCCTCTAGCCCCCGACGCCCTATGCCGCTGCCGCAACAGCCCACCCGCCGGTTTGAGTTCAGGCGTGCCAGGCATTCACTGGCCACACTGTTGGAGGTTGGCGATCTGGAGGGTGCCGGGTGAGGCAGGTGAAAAAAAGTGATGGGCGATTACAATGCCGCATTGTCTGCGAACAGCCCGTCCACCCCCGGCTTCAACTACTCCCTTCAAGGACTGCCCTACAGTGAAACCCGGGCATCCAAACCTCCCATCCCGGTCACGCGCTCAATCTCCTCGTTACATCGACTTGCAGACTTGGACCCTCCGCTGACAGGGGACACCGCGTCCATCTCCTCCAATAAGAGATACAACCCGCACGCGTCACAGCACGATGGAGACGGCCCTCGTACCCAACGTGCAGGCTCAATCTCCGCCAGAGAAAGTCAGACCAGCACCACGCTGAGCTTCAACACAAGAACTCCTACGGTATCCAGCCTGACCTCGGCCACCCTAAGCATTCCTCAGATCCGCGTCAACGAGACAGCGTTCCGCGAGTCGCATGCGGACCGGGGCAGCAATATCAGCACATCTGAGAGTGGGAGATGGTTATCGTTGGGCCCGTCGCGGTCGAGTTCTGCTACATCGCTCAAAGAGACGGGCAAAGACACACAAGAGAGGTCCCCGGGAATCAATGGTCTATCCTTGGATATCAACCTTCCTACAACTGGATTCGGCGAAGAACTGCTTCCCACAACCAACATAGAATTCTCCAAGAGGGGGAGCATGCTCATTGATGGGAGGAGAGTGAACCAGTCTAATCGCAAAAGCTCACCGAACCTTGCCCCGATCATGGATGAAGAAAGAAAGACGGGCGGAGAGCCCACTATCCCAGAAGCGACGGCGAGCGACGAACCATCGGCACCCGCAGCCGTAGCAAGGACTCCGAATGCCCGCCCTACGGGCAAGATCCTCTCCGCCGACGAAGAACTCTTGTCTGAAAAGGTCCGCGCATTCTACGCCGCCGGAACGGACGGTCAACTTGACACCGATTCCAACGTCAACTTGGCAGTGCGAATGGGAGCTCGATGGCAGTCGACACTGGCGACCGATGCCCGCAGTGTCAGCAATCCTTCCCTGTCACGCGCCACTTCCACCACGGATATTTTCGAAGAAGCCAACAACTCGAGGCAACCAAGCATGGCAACATCGACCTCTCATTCTTATCTGGTTCCAGATCGCGAGGAGAACGAGCTTGCAGGCGGCTTAGAGGACTGGAAGGATGTCGACAACGCCGATGTGGATCGCTACGGCTTTATCATCGCCAGGGCGACCACAACCGCTGACGGCACCGACGATGCCAAAGCGCAACGGCTGACCCGAGTATCAACCAGCTTACAGCTCGCCAGTGAGACGCCCCGGAGGAAGAACACTCTGCGCCGCACTCCGAGCAGTGCACACGGATCTCTGCGCTCGTTGCAGAGCAAACATGCGAGCCCCGAGAACACTCCACCTCGTCCCGTGAGCTCCCAGAGTGCCTATGCGCGCCCACAACGTCGGAATGCCTCGGGCAGGATCCCGATACCAGGCTCCAAGAACCGTCGTTTGATGGACTCGGCCATGGATATGCTGACGCTGCCAAACTCGGCACAATCGGTGGTAGAAAATGGCCACGTGCGCATAGACAATGCACGGGCGCGGCGGAAAGAGCTCGAGCGTGAGGCGAAATGGCGGCGAATGGCGAAAGCCAAAAGTCCCTCGAAGGACCCAAAAACGGGTCTACCACTGGTGGGCGCCGGCTCGGAGAGTGAATACACCTTTGACACGACAAATCCCAAGCTCGTCGAGCGAACATGGAAAGGCGTGCCTGACAAGTGGCGCGCAACCGCATGGCACAGTTTTCTCAGTGCGTCGGCTTCGAAGCGGAAAAACTGCCTCAGCGATGCCGACTTGATCTCCCTCTTTCATTCGTACCAGGACCAAGCAAGCCCGGATGACGTGCAGATCGACTTGGATGTGCCGCGGACCATATCTTCGCATATTATGTTTAGGAGAAGATACAGAGGCGGCCAGCGTCTTCTGTTCCGCGTCCTCCATGCTATGTCGCTTCACGTTCCATCAACTGGGTATGTCCAGGGCATGGCAGCCCTCGCGGTTACATTGCTAGCGTATTATGACGAAGAAAAAGCCTTTGTGATGCTGGTACGAATGTGGGAATTGCGTGGCTTGGGAGAACTATACAAATCCGGCTTTGGCGGGCTGATGGCGGCTCTGGACGATTTTGAAAAGGGATGGTTGGATCAAGGGGAAGTGGCGAGGAAATTGGAGTCGCTGAACATCGGGCCCACGGCGTACGGCACGAGGTGGTATCTCACTCTGTTCAACTATGCCATCCCCTTTCCGGCGCAGTTGAGGGTGTGGGATGTGTTCATGTTGCTGGGCGACGATATCACGCCGAGAGACTCATCTGCGATCCCTGCCCCGCAGCCCGGCACGTCGTCATCAAACGAAAACACCGACGTGGTTTCGTTTGGGACAACCTTGGACGTCCTCCACGCCGCGTCTGCGGCACTGATCGACGGCATGCGCGACATTCTTCTCGAATCCGACTTTGAAAACGCCATGAAGGTCATGACCAGCTGGATCCCCATCCAGGACGAGGATCTTTTTATGCGGATCGCACGAGCAGAGTGGAAGATCCATAATGCGAAGATAAAGGGACGGTGAAGGAGGAGAAAAGAAAAAGGTCAACGACAGGGGTTCAATTGGTAGGACGAAAGGAAAGGGGGAAAAATGAAAACATATGGAATGTGTATCTTGATTATCAGGACGGGGCGAGGATTCAATCAAACCCAAATCCAAGACGAGACACGCACGGCCTTCTAATTCATTCATAATTGCCATCTCCACCTCATGTCGAGACGGAAAAGCTAGCCAGCTAATCAAGATCTATTCTCGCCCAGCCAGCAGCTTCGGCTTCAGCTTCAACGAGATTTACCATGTTCGTTTCTTGAAGAGCACATGTCCAGAGAAGAAGGGGCGTATGATGGACTCGGAGTGAGTGAGTGAGTGAGTATATAACTACAGAGGACAGACAACACGGCATGGGTATGACATAGATTTCTTCTGTCCTGATATCGGAACAGGCTTTCCTTGGTATGCAAGTTCGAGTCGTGGGAGGAGGTACTGTATGTGTGGATTTACAGCTAGTCACCAGACGGGCTCGCTTGCTCTCTACCTGTCTTGTCTGCCCGTGTGCTGGCCTCTTATGTCTGTCGAATATATATATGTGAGTGACATATCGCTTCTCCCCCTCCCCCTTCGGTTTCCTGAAGACGAAAAAAAGGCATGTAGAACGGGGGTAAGTCCCAGACCTTGAGTCATTCATTCACTCGTACATAGTGGAGCTTTTGTTCGCTCTTCTTCTCGATCTCTATTCTCTTGACAATACTCGATCAGGCTCGACCAGACGAAGTACTTTTTCTCCTTCAGAAAGCAACTCGGACTTCCTACCATATCTTTTAACGTTACGATGGGAGACATCTCGAGCCGATTGTCGAGAGGGCGAGATCCTGCAAGTATCGCTACATATATATCTATATATAAAATATATTTGAATCAGTTCAAGGGCGTGAGTTCGAACACCAGGCTGGATCGATAAGAGTGCTCCTGTACACAAGGGGTGCCTTACTTCTGTAGAAGTCAAGCAGAAAGTATTTCTCTCTGTAAATACACATAGATATATAAGTCCACTTGCTCGCCACTCAGTCGGCCAGCGATGAATGGAAGATGGAGATTGATAGATTGATTACACCTCTCCATGCCTCCTGCTTGGTGTCCTCCGGGCGTGAACCGTACAAAATCAGCAGATGCATGGAGATATGGCTATATTCAGTAGGAGGTGAAATGGAAAGGTGATTCATCAACGATAGATTTCACCGACAAAGGAGCTCCCCATATTTGTCGTGTAAAAGCCATGAGGGTCAACTGAAAGACATCAGCGTAATCATACTCCTGAATGGCTGATAACATTCTCAGATGTTTTGTGCTTCCGGGACGAAGGGGCATTTGACCATTCCTGGGTTTGTAGTGTCAACAGGACTCGGCTGATAACATCACTTGTTGACTGTCAAAGCCCGCCGAGAATGTCAAGCTCTGTTTCTGTTCCGGTGCACGGTGAAGGCGCGACGAACGACACATTGCCTATGTGCTGAGCCAATTAGCTCTTCTGGTGCCACTTGACGATAAAAAGGCGCAGCATCACGGCGGCGATGCCTGCTTTGCCGCAGTCCACCAGCAAAGCGTAGTTATTATGTCATGAGGTGAAAGATTCGGTCAGTCATAGGCCCTTCCCAGGGGACGACAAGTCGACCATGCGAACCAAGGAAACCCTCTCTTTCTTCGTTGCTTCGCTTAAGAGATTGGGAAAACTCATGTTCCATCCGACCCTCCATCTCGTCTCAGGCTCTTAGATATGTGCCAAAGGGCTCAAATGCTGTGCCGCAGACTAGAGCTGGGTTCAGAGTAGGTGATTTACGTACATCCACTTTCCCACTGGCCATGATTCACCACACTTCCTCCCGTGGACATGGGTGAAAAACGTGCGACTGATCGACCGAGCCAAGCCAGGTGAAATTGAGAGCAAGCGAAAAGCAGGGTGAAGATCCCTTCCAAGGACCCAGTGATCAAGCCCAAATGGAGAGATTCTTTGCGCCTCCAATAAAAATGAGCGATGATTAAGCAAAAAGACAAATCCCCAGATGGCAGGAGAGGTGCAAACCACTGAGTCGGGACAGACCAGAATCAATGATGCTTGATCTGCGTGTCTGGGAAGCCGTGGTTGGCTGACAGTCAGGAAAGTGTGTGAGGCATGGTGACTCTGTGTGGAGGACAGCCCAGCGGCGGTTTCGTCCTCAGCTCCGTAATCCGTATTTGGGCTTTCAAAGCGACCGACTGAGCTTCGGATTGGATGGCTAAATAAGCCAATGCGGGATATTGTCCCAATCTGGAGCGCCTTACAGCCTGAATTGGGTGACTTCCGTCGTTGTCATGCTTTGGGGCGCGGAACACCAAAAGTCCGAAAGCATTTATCGGGGGTCCAAGGGTCTTTTGCATGGAGTTTGCAAATGGTGAAGTCAGTGGCTTGTTTCCGTTGAATGCTCGTCCCGGGTCGCTGCAGTGCTAGGCATCTTGAACAATGATCTGTGGCTTGAGGCCACAGCCACTGGGAAGCAAGTTGGGCAAGGGTACGAAACCCTAGCCGAAACTTATGCTCTCGCCAAGGTCAAATAGTCGGTTCGCTTCGAGAGAAAAAGAAAGGGTTCAAAGGCGGCAGCCTCTGATACTTTTTGGAACACCCGCAGCCTTGGAGCCTTCAGAAGGGACGATGATCTTCAATGCTTTGCATGGGACCGAATAAGCCTTCGCCTGCTACGCCGCCTTCGTCATACGTAGCAGCAGAAGGATAAATGTGGTTCTGCGCCGTACAGTTGACATGTAGGACAGCACGCTGCAAAGGTAACACCGCCTTGGCGAGCATGACGACAAATCGTGGTCAAGCTTCGGCGTGACGCAGGGACCGACGGAACTTGTCTGACGGTTCGTGAAGGGGATGCTTGCAATAACCTGAGCTACCTGAATGGGACGGAAAGTTCTCCCCTAGGCATCGTTTAGCTGACCGCAGAAGACCGCTCATTGCCATTTCGATAAACAAGCGTTCAAATAGGGGTTGAAGACGGCACCGTCGATCACTGCTCGCTTGCAAACATCGCGTGCTGGAATCCCTGCGGCCTCGTGCGACGATCAGTGTTAGAACTAGCACATGGCCAAGAGAGAATCGAGTGTTCCCGTTTTGTACGACCAGTTCAACGGGCGTGAGCGCAGCCCAATAAGGATTGGATCTGTGAAACGGTGGCCGATCACAAGTACGTCAAGCACGCGGCGCCGGGAGTTTGACGCGCAGATCCTCTGCACCATGACCTCTTAAGGCGCAGTCCTGGAGTCAATAACGTGGACGGGAGGACGATCTGTTGCCTTTTACGGGTGGCCGGCTTTGGCGTGCTTGCCAACAGGGAAAATGCCTGTGGCTTTGCTCGGTCTGACATGACTCGGCCAGGCGGTGAATCACGTTTCTTTCGTGCCTCTGCCCGCAACGGCAAAGAACGGACCTCCGTAGGGCCACCGGCAGAGGTCAATAGTCAGCTACCATTCTTGAAGGCGTATTGACTAAGGTCGTCAAAACCGAGTCGCAGGGAGGCGTTATTTGCGAGCTGTAGCTCAGGGAATCTGAAGGGGGCGGACAGCGGAGCTCGCCGTGCAGGATTGGGTTGTTGTTTGTTCCCTATCACTCTGTGCTGATCATCTGTGGACAGTCTACTGTAAGTAGTCCTAAGCGGCGGCTTCGCTTCCAACCCATCTTTAGTCGGCCGCTCAGACCATCCGTGCTGGAGAACGCCCGTTATTATTCGCGAATGCTGTGGGTGCCGGGCATTGCTCGAAGGAGTTCTGTTCGCTTGGAGAAATTGAAAGGACAGGGCGATCCTCAACTGGTTTGGGACATGGTGGAGGTCAGCCCAGCACGCATCCGGCCTAAGCTGGAGTGAATTCAGCCCGAATCGGGCCTGTCAGAGACGGCTCATGACGCCAACTGCTGAGAGTTTTCGCTGGGAGCTCCGGGCTTGACCGAAATGATCTCGGTTCGTTCTCCAAGTCGTCCGCGGTTACGGGTTCTTAAATTTCGAGTCCGCTGGCCTTTAGCTGCTTTTGTCGACGAAGTCCCCCTGCCGGGTTAAAGAAAGGCTTTCGAAAGTTTGGCTTTTCCACAATCTTGATTGGGCAAAACTCTCGAAACTTGGGCTGCCGGAATACGAGGTAGAGTTGCAGCAAACTGGAACAGGGTGCGAACTGGTGTTGGTGCCGTGAGGAGCCGATGTTTGCTACCGATCAAAGCAGCGTGCGAAAAGTGACAGGGAATGAAGCAATGGGCCATCTTGGTGACCCGGGCAGCGTAGTGTCACACCACTTCCGTTTTAACAGGAGCTGACAAAGGTCATATGCAAGAAGCAACGCTGTCCCAGGCTCTTTTGAGTATGTCATTTCAGCTGGTGCATGCTGCCGGAGAATTTGTTGTGATGGTGCATATGCCGGCCCTTCGATTTGCGCACAAGCGACACGGGAATGCAGGACGCCTACATTCAGACCATGCTTCTTCCGGTTGCTGGTTTGTGCTCGCTCGCCCTAAGCAACCAGGTTTCCTGTTATTTCAGGGATTTTACTCGCAACCACGGCTCTTGTCGTGTCTTCTATTGGTCTGCGAACAGGGATTGTCCCTGGGGTGTCCAGGGAAACGCTCCGACTTGAAGCTCAGTCTGCCCACGCAGCGCAAAGGTTGAGCGAACAAGGGTTCTGCCAGGCTTCTGAGTTGCGGCCAAGAGGCTGTGTTTGTAGCTACCTCAGGGGTCCTTCATTGTGGCTGTTGTATGGTGATTCTCCTCGCGTCTGGGCCTGCGAAAAAGGTGCAGTCTATGATCAGAGCTCCTCCACCCAGTGTTTCGCATTTGGAGCTCCTAAAGAATACCAAGACCCTCTGATTTGATTGTCCTGGCTCTTGCTTGCAAAGCTGGCCGATGAAGCGCTTGTAATTAGTGTGAAGGGAACCCAAGAAACCGTGGGCGACGGTTAAAGTTTGCGGTCATGGTGTAGGCAAGCAAGGACCAGGTAATTACCGCTTTGGCATTGATGCGTCTGAGAAGGGTAGCCGGTCTCCGGGTGAATACTCATGATTGAAGCTCTTTACGGGTGGTGGAATCCTTTCGCCTGTCGGCCCCAGTCAGCAACGCGGTTTCCACGACAAGCGAGACGAGCAAACAAATCAAGTGCTGATTATAGTGGTGTCGCATGCTTTTGTCAGGGTTCCAGAATGAACCACTTTCCTGGGGCCAAGCGGTGCTCTTCGAGAGATGCGAAAGGGGTGATGGTGGAGGGGAATGCGAAGCAGCACTTCGGAAGGCCACCTAAATGTTGCACCGAAGAACCCAAGATGGCAAAAGTGGAAAAGGTCATGATCGACATCAAAGAGCGCGTGGCTGCAAGGGGGGCATGTTCGTTCATGGAGGCCGCATGGCAAGCACGTTTGCGGGCGGCGGCAACGGCAACGTGGTTAAGGGCCCAGGGATGGCGGCTTTGGTGGGCTGGTGGGGGGCCCCCATTCCCTCAACGGCTAGTTAAAGGCTATAACGGGGAAGTACCTGGGTGATGATGACGGGCATTCCGAAAAGACCCTCGGCTAGGTACAAGACACTTGGAGTACTTCGGCTTTCGTAGGGGGCCGCGCTACCTAGGAAAAAGCATAGCACCTGCATTTCGGGGGTTCTCTAGGCATGGAAGATCCTCTCTTTGCCTGGTCTGGGTGGGCATCCAGATGGGCATGATGCAGTTTTCTCGCACAGCCGCCATAAGCCCGTAGGCAGGTCCCCCGAGGGATGCATGCCTGGGTCGCCAGAGCCCACACGACCGCCAGAAACCGCCCTTGGAGATTCCTTATGATTCGTGCTACCAAGACTAAGTTCAGCGTTGTTAAGTAGTCGGTGTCAACAGGCGACAGTCGACACACCCTGACAGGGGGGACGGAAGGGGGGTGACATTGCCACGAGGCAAAGACGCAATAATCGTGGGACGATCAGTCGTCGGAGTCATTGAGCACTGTGTCATGCCTGAAAAGTCGAAGCAGAGGCGGTCACGAATTCATTGAACGGACTTTTTGCTCGACGCAAAGTAATAATGCAGTGTCCCTTCTCTTTTGGGGTGTTTTCCTGTCCGACTCCGTAGGCAGACCGCGGAAGCTGAGGATGGGAGGGGCGTTGCCGTTGAGCCGGAAAAAAAAATCACTGCTTTACCGGAAAAGCAAAGAAGGGGGAAGGGCTTCTCGAAGCAATCAGATCTGGAAATGGAGACCGATCTGAGATGAAAGAGGAGGGACAATGGATGAAAAGGATGACAGCTGTGGCGGCAAGTGGCTCGGATGGTTGGTGGGATGAGGGCTGCGAAAAGTACGTACCAGTCAATGACTAGGCACAGCTACCTAGGTGGCTTTTATGCTACGAAAACTGCGAAAGCCGTATACGAGGCGTGTCCAGTTGCTGGAATCCGGACTTTGACAGACGGACTACACAAACTGAGGTAGTACAGCACGTAGTAGCAGCAGCAGATCTTGTTCCGGCCTGATCCCTGCGTGTTTTTCCTTCTTCTTGCCCTCTTTGTCTCTCTCTCTCGCTCGTTTCTTGAGGCTTGCGAGGCCCCCATATCCCGGACCTTGCTGCTGACCCTCCTCCCCCAAGCTCACAAGCTCGCTACGACTCCCTTGCTCCCTGCTCCCTGCTCCTGCTCCCCCCTACGCCCTTGTTCCAACTCTCATGCTGCTACTCACCGGTCTACCTTACCCAACGTGGCAAGACTCCATTCTTGTAACTTTTGTCTTCCCCTCCGGACTGTGGCTACTATTTCCCTTTGGGAAACTCGCACGCTGCTCCTCTAAAACGTCTCCCCTGCTGAGCCACCATTTTCTCTCCTCTTACTTCAAAGTATGTCTGGCCTTTTCTAGACCGACTAAAAATGCTAGTCCAGTTGGTCTCGAGTGCAGCAGCAATACCTTACAGCGAGCCGCCCAATACCAGTCCTCGTACGCTTCTCTTACAACTGCTGTCTTCCCCATCTTGCTCGAGTCCGCCTCATTTCCCAAACCCTTCCATACCTGGGATGCTTCAATCTATTCGTCCCTCTCAGTCCCGCCTCTCCCACTTTGATACGCCACTCCATCCTTCTCAGGGCAGATCCCGGTTCGTTACCTCAACCCTTCTCTCTAGCCTCCTCTGTCCTTCTCCTCCTCCTCCCCTCCACCCTCCAAGAGGGTCTCCATCCGTATCGTGCCTTTCGTAACACGCACTGGCAGCCCACCGAAGAAGCTCGCACCGGGCCCTATCACCAGCCCAAAACGGCCGTCTCTTTTCATTCTTGTGTATCAGAGAGTCCCTATCCTGTCGCTTTCGAACGGACCCTTACCTCGGACTGACCTCACCCCTTCACATCGCTTAACCTCTATTATTTCTCCGGTCCACTCGATCTTTGTTGTTCAACCTCTGGATTCAGGTACAAGACCCTGTTCTGACTTCGGTCCCTTTCTACTGTTGTATACTTCTGTCCGGTCTGGTCGGGTCTGGTCCCTGCTGCGGTCGCTCGAGCAAAGATCCCACTCCAAACACTTTGTCTCCATCGGCGGAAACGTAACCTCTTGTTCATCATCAAAGTCTAGTCTGGCCTCTGGCTCTTGCGACCTTACTCTCCAACCAAGTTTCTTCCAGTCGACGGGGCTCATGTCACTCTGGGGTTCTGGCGAAAAGCCCCAATTTCAACACCCTGGTAGACCGGATCCATCCACTACTACTTCCACCCCCCATAACTGCTTGGTCTTCCTCACTGTGGACAACTTGGACAGCCTCTGATCTAACAAGTGCCACCGCCGCCAATCCACGATTTTGTGGCTGCACGTCATTGCCGGTTTTCTCGTTCAACTCTATTTCCTGAGGGATATACAAATTTCAACCCGACCCCCAAGGGTGTGGACCAGACCAAAAAGCACAAGCACTACTACTACTGGCAGTCGTCTCTTGTCCTGAATGTCCGACAGCATACCAATCCATTGCGCGAACAGACCACTCGACAACCGCCTCCATGTTATTATCACTGGCCCCTCCTAACCATATGCAGCAGAACGACGTAAAGCCCCCCCATGACTATCCAATCTACCCTAAACCGACACCTTCGCGATACTCACCTCCACCCTCTCCTCGCAACTTACCTCCATTCTTAGAGGACTCGAGGATGAACAACTCTCACCGAGGGTTACCATTACCTGCTGGTCTCCCTGGTGCTCTCACTCTTCCCCCTCCAGATCGAGGTCATTCGACTGCTCCTCCACTCGGCCACCTCCCGGCTCCGCCTTCTCAGTGGGCTGGTCAGGATGAGTCGATGCGAAGCTGGCTTCATGCAAAGGCCGAGGAAGATCGCCGGAAGCAAGAGGAGGAGAAGACCCGGCAGGAAGGTCTGCGACTCGACCAAAGACGCATTGAGCAGGATATGCTGCGGGAATCACTCCAAGGAGGTATTCCCCCTCCGATGGTCCCTCTGATCTTTGCGGGAATTGGGGGAGGGAACCTCCCTGCTCACACTTTGGAGTGGGCGCAACAGTATCTGGCGAGCTTGACGATCCAGAACCAGCAACAACAGCAACAGATACAAGCCCAGCAGCAGCAAATTCATCAGCAGCAACTACAGCAGCAGCAGCAGCAGCAGATGTCGCCCGATATTCATCGAGATCGTATTATCCAGTCAAATCCCTACGCAGGGCACCAGCCTGTACAAGCACCTCCACCGCTTCCACCAGCACCTGCAAGCATACAGCCAAGCCAGGGTCGCAGTTCTATATCTGGGCCATCAACGGCCGCTCCGACCACACTCTCACGTCTCAACACCACCGATTTCATCCCTGTTTCGATACCAGGTCAGACGGGGCGACAGCCAGGCCATCCTCTGCAGCAAGCGCAGACTCCTGCAAGCGAGCAACCGTCTGGACCAGGTCTATTTTTCCACCACTGGACGCCCCCGAATCCGTCGTCTTCCTCGGCAGGAAATCAGCCTCCAACACCCTCAGGAAAGAGCACGCACGGGTCGCCGTTCTCACAGCACGCAGCATCACATCTACGGTCAGAGTACCAGAACTCGCCGAAGAAACGGAAGACAGTGAGCGGGCATGCCGTACCCGTACCTCCGACCTCTCAGCCATCGGACCCGTCGCAGCCCATGTCGTCTCGGTCGTCCAGAGAACGAGAAATGAGCCCGGGGCATCGTAATAGGGCGACGCGGCATTCACGGCAGAACAGTGATGCCTCATCCCGCGAACACGAAGTGGGCAGCCGCAACATTGCTCGACCAAGCAGTCGTCAACAGCGCAGGGATGAGCTCGGCGGCGGAGCGGGGTCCAGCCCAAGAAGGAAATTGACGGGGTCCTCCACCAGTGGCTCGAGCGAAGACAGTAATCCTGTTCGGTATGAGGGGTTAAAGCGTGAAACGCGGTAATAGCACGAGCTCCCTGGCAGGCTCGGAGATGAAGCGACCGACTACTTGGGGGCACTACAGTGACATGGCATTTCCAGGGTGCAGGTAGTGAAGCTTCTCGCTGGGGTGACGAGAACGAGCACACATCCCCGCGGTCAAGCTCCGGCTATGATTGCACGCTGTTGTTTGTGCGCACGCCGATTCCCGGGTCTCCGCTGGCAGAGACAATATTAAGAATACCAATTTGCTAATGTACCTTTCGCCTTCGACCGCCACCTCGCACTTGAGCTGAATTGGCGTTGAGATTTACTTATCTGCCAGGACACCAATACGTCTACCGTGATCAGACCGCCCAGCCATCAGCAGCTCCCAGGCAACCGGCAGATAGGTCAGACCATCTTACGAATGTTGTTCCATGCTTCCAGAGATCCTTCATCTCAGGTTTGACGTGGTTGCTCTTCTGCGACGACCTAGCTGACCGTTTAATGTCGCTTGAGGCGCTTGAGGCGTTGGGCTGGATTCGAGCACAGATTGAGTGGAGACTGGTGGTCGATTTGGCGCGACCGAATCTGGGAAGACGGTGCCCAAGCAGGCGTGGCTGTGTGGAGAGCAAGGCTCAGCAAGGTTGTCTGGGCGATTTGAGGCTGAATGATTGAGGGGTGATGGGGCACGGCACGACAGAGAATGATGAGCGGCATGGCATAAGCGAGAGTAGGCGACTGAGGGGGAAACGGAATGTGTTTCGAGGAAATGGCGCATCCTTCCGGAAGTTGCGCCGGCGACGATATGATTACGAGTGTTTGGGAGCAAGATTGGCCGACGGTGGGAGCTATCGAGGCTGAAACGCGACCGAGAGTATGTCACCGGCGAGATGGCATTTGGTGCATGGACGGTGGAGGCTCCACTGGAATTTCGGCCATCAGCCACATGTGAACGCCTTGCCGCCACGCACGGACAGGCTCCATGACGGATTGGGCGACTTGAAACACGGTATTTTGACGATTTTGATGACACCAGATGGATCAGGCAGGCAATTTGGGCGATTTGCGTCTAGACTTGGGGTTCGGTGGATGCATCACCCGTGCTGCGACAAGGACATGGGCCTTAGTGCCAGATGCTGTAATTGCGCGCCGGGCCGCATTTCTGGATTGGATCACAGGATATTGAGGATGTCAGGATGTCAGGTGGATACAAAGAGAGGCACCATGACCGTCTACTACTGTAGAGCCAGAGACTTGGCCAGAGCAGAGGAGCAAAGGAGCGCGGGAGGACAGCGAGATAGAGGGAGATTTGCCGAAGATTTTTTGGCCGGTTGAGGCAACAGACTGAGAATGATGAAACCCAGATGAACTGGAGTTGCCTGTATTATCGTAGGCGAAAGCCACCAGCTGAAAACCTGAAACGTGGTCAGTGGACGTTTCAAATTGGTGGAGAGTAGGTATGGAGTATTACGAGGTACCTGGGTAAACAACAACGATAAGCCTCTGACGCGCGTGGTACTTTTGGGGTGTGACGCTGCCTAAGCCGGTAAAGTGTGAGCGCCCAGAGGCCCTAGCGTCTGGGCTTGATGGGGCAACTTCGGAAGCCGGGAAGCGAAGTCGTTTCAGGTAGCGAGGTGCCAATTTATTAGGGACTTGGGGCCCAGAGATACATAGAAGGTACTCCGTACAGTACCTGCTACCACAGCCGCAAATTTCCCATGTCTCCCACACCCACCTCAGCTACCAAGCAACCTTCTTTGTGAGCATTGAGTAGCTTAAGCACTGTGTGTGCTCCATCCTGGTACTGAGTATTCCCAGAGGAATGAATATCAACCATGAAACCGGTGGTGGTGAGCCACAGTACCGTACCCAGTGCCCGTATGCCCACACACTCGTACCTGTAGAATCTCCTCCGTAGTAACAATTGGCCTTGTGCACACGCATCATACTATGCATATGTCACAGCCAGCCAGTCTGATCATTGCTGAGCTCCAAACTCAACCCAACCACAACTCGGCCCAGTCGGTGAGGCCGAGCTGAAATTCTCCTTCCCTTTGTGTCATTGCGCCTCTTGACCAGCTGAACTCGCACACCGCTTCCCTTTACACTTTGTGGCCATACCCGATGACTTCCTCCCAAATGGCCAAGGGCGTGACTACCTGTGGAAAGGATGGGCAACTGATGTGATGCTTGACTGGCTTCGTTGGAGAGCACTGAAGTTGTCAGCCAATGGCAAGTCGATGTTACACCTAACAGAGTGGCAAGAAACTCTCTGGTGCTGCAGCGACATACTGTCCCTCTCAACCGTCCCCGACCGTGAATGAATGAGTTGTTCCGATTCACGACCCAGTGCTCTCGTTACGATCTGATCGTCGATGTTCGTCTCGGTTGTTCCTCATTCCAGCCCCAGCACAGAAAGCCGACATAGACGACAGCCAATCACGAATCCCCGCGCCGAACGTCGCGCTCGCTCGACCATCACCACTACCAACTGTATGCCGCTCCGCTGAACTCTGTCTCAGCTGTCGAGGCCTCGTTACCCACGACCCTCCCCCAACCGACTCCTCCCTGTCAGCTGGGCATCGTCTCGGTGACTTCTGCCGCAGGCAAATACTCACTTCTCGTTCTGGAGTAAGTGGAAGAGCATCAGACCAGCCACATCAGTCAACGTTGCGGGACCGAGACCGACATACCGATCTGCTGTCACCTCTGCCTGATCCATGGGTCTGTTCGGGACAGCTGATGCTACCTCGACCGGCCTAGCCCTCCAGCTGAAGCTCCCGGCTTTGACTGCCTTCCCAGAGAGGAATCACAACCACTACTCGTCCTCCTGCGTGGAATAACTCTATCCTCTCTGCCACGTCTGCTTGAACAACGCCTTGAATACTTTGGGTTGCATTGCACTGTATTTCGAGATGACGCTGTCATGAGCAATCCCACGTTTCCTCGCCCAAAGGAAGTCAGGCGACCGCCAGCTATGAGGAGAGAAAGTTTCGCCTGCAGATCCCTCCATTGTCGTCGACCTCAGACGAATCATGGCTCTCGACTCTCCGGGCGAATAGGAAATTCTCCCTGTCCGCTACAGAGTGCCAGATCCACCTTCCAGAATGTGTCATGGAAGATCTCTAACAGCAAGATCGAGCCATGATGTACATTAAGACCCGGATTTCTGGAAGCGAGACAGCCCCGTCCCCAGCACCCATTGTTTGAACTGTCAAAATGTTCCACGATGGGGGCCGGTGTGGCTAGCTGAAAGTGCTGCGGATCGGGAGCTGTGAGCCAACCATCTTCCGTGCTCCCGCCCGCTGTGTGTTCCGTTACAATGAGGCACGCAACTGGGGACACATGATTGGTGCACAGACCACCAGGCTGTCTTTCTCAGGGGTCACAGAACGCATGATCTGGGTGGGTTGCTTGACGTGATCGGGCGATGCAAGCGGAGTCTCTCTGGCGACTTGTGTTAAAGTAAACGGGCAGCAACTCCACCCGTATCCAATGATGGAGGGCACCCAGTTCTGGCGTGCCTTGGGCGAGAATTGCTTTACAAAAAGGAGTGGGAAACAAATCTGGTTGGGTCACCCAGCACCGCCAGTGGATGACCGCCGAGAGCAACCCTTCAGCACCAGCCACATTAACGACTTGAGGCTGAAGGATCTTCCATGTCAACATACAAAGTAAGTCGTTGGGCGATCACCCCGTCATCCGCCTCAATCATTCCTTTCCATTCCTCCGGTAAGCCGCCGTCTCCTCCGTGTGCGACTGCGCATTCCTTTCTTTACCCTAGGCTTTTTACCTCGATGTTCTTACCCTGACTGTGCACGATATTCTCGAGATGACGCCGGAAACTCTCTGCGCTTGAAATGAGGATTGTTTCTCACAGAGCTGCGACGCCATGTGAAACTGGCACATCCTAAATACCTTTTCCAGAACAGCCGCGCACCTCAAGTCTGGCGGTGCAGTGACCTTTGTGAACCCTTAGGGATATTCCACGAGACAATGGCCGGCGGAATGATCGTGCGCCCTTCATCCGACCTCTCCCTCCTAGCTCGCTTTCCCTTCCTCGGCGTGGTCGCAGTCCTTGCGCACGATGTCCGCGATCACCTTTCGAGTTGCGCCGACCGGCGCTCGACGACGGCCGGAAGTCTCGTGGCGCCCACGCCTGCGTAGTCTACGGATTACAGCGTCTTCGGCCACACAGACTGATCACCGTCTCGACCCGCAGGTAAACAACTTGCCGTTAGAATTCAAGCCTTGCCTGCAGCATTCCCGCAGCCGCCACAATGTTGAACAATTTGGCTCTACCCACCCGGCCCAGGCAGGACTGAGCACTATCCAGCTGCGCAAGGGTTTTGGTTGATTCTATAACGCAATTGCAGCCTTCAAGTGCCAAAAGATTCTGAATCCTGCTTCAAAACATCGCCATGGCGTCTTCTCCAGCTGCACAGTAACGATGTGCTGGGGCTAAGCCTCACTCACTGTTTCTGCGCACTCGAACCACCGAGCCAGAAGCATTCAGCCCTCCCAAGAGTCCTGCCGAAAGGAATCTGCCACGGCGAATAGCTGAGGCGATGGCGCCTGGCTTCCAAAGTTGAAACTATACATTTTATTGCGCTTCGATCTGCTCTCTGCTATTTGTTCCGTTTGCAGCACAGGACTCCGCATTGACAAAACCCCAGATGATCAGGTGGCCTGCACCACTTGAACGATTGAGAGACAGAATCTTCTGATTGACTTTCTAGCAAGTCGCATGGCGTACTCATGGCAGCTGAGCCTCAGCCTCATATTGTTTGACATATTTGCCGCTGATTGGTGGGCTCAGCCAACCTTCAGCCGTCGCCACCAGCTTGTCTTTCGCCCCCAACTTTGGAGCTGCAGTCCAGCTGGTTCGATGTTCTTTCTCCCTTTACTTCTGCTTAAAGTTCTTGGAGCCAGAGAAACTCCTGCTATGACTAGCGGAAATAAGGACAAACGACCTCGGGCGCTGAAATTACGCCGTCGCTAAACACAGGTGATCAATCCGTGTTCAAGCCAAGATTATTGGCACTGGTGACTGCACTCTGTAGTGTTCCGGCTGGCTGAGGGTGCGCTTCACGCCTCGATCTAGTCAAGGATTACGACCTATACTGCTTCCGGGCCGATTGAACATGAACTTAGGACTTATAGGTATTTTAACCCGGCATACCAGCACTGCTCCATTCTCTCCTTCTTGTGTCCAATTCTCCCGATGAGCTGCACAGGTATGAAATCACTTCATGGTGTCCGTCCCAGGCATTGAGGGCGTGGTTGATCAACTGCCAGCGACATGTCAGAAGATTCGTGGCGCCATTCATGCCTGGGGAACAATTCGAGTACCTTTAGAGGAGCAAGTCTGCGTTGTGTCTCGTTACAGAGGGCCATCTTCGTCAGAGAAAATGGTGGAGAGAGGGAGAAGTTCGCTGGGAGTGCTTTGGTCTAGCAGGCTCTGCTACGCCAACAACGAAGGGTTTCCAAATCGCAGCCTGGAGGGGAGGAGCAGGAGAGGCAAAGGTCGAAAGAATCAAATCAACGACAAATTGATATCGAAGACCACCACCGATAGGATCCTTCAAATACGGCATCTTTATTAGCTAATACTGTAGTAGATAGCAATAGGGAATTGTAAACGAGACTCGTTTTCGTGGAGCATATGTGTGTTTTGGTTGATATATACGGCATCATGACCCGTATGATTCCCAGAAAAAGCGCACCGAAGAGGACGACGACGACGCCTGACAGCATGCAAAGCAGTGGTGCAGTGCGGTTCAGCACAGTGGGATAACCTTCCCTCCGTTTCCTTCCTTTCTCCTTTATTGACCCGATGGTGAGGATTGAAATAGAATGGAGGATGAAATGAGGGAAAAAAACAACAGCAGGCAGTTCCCCCGAATCGCGAAAAAAAGTTGAAGTGAGCCACATTTAGGGAGGGAGCATTTACCTCAACCCCTCTCTCCCACCCTCTCACCTCTCATCATCATTAACAAGATACCAGCCCCTGTAAAAGCGCGCTCTCTCTCTCTCTTTCTCTGTGTGTGTGTTACCCCCCCCCCCCCCTCCCTCTCCATCGGAAAGGTAGGTTGGGGGCGGAGGGGGGAAAGGAGGCCGCGTGTGCATTGAAACCGCTAAATCAGCCGAGCAAGGTCTTGAGGTTTGTCAAGGCCGCCTCCAGCAGCGCCGGCACGTACCCCTGACTTTTGGCGGCGTCAATGAGCTCCGTGACCTGAGGCACGACGTCCGGGTGGCCGAACTTCTCGCGCGCATATTGGCGGAACGCGGCCTCGATGCCACTGCCGCTGTCACCGTCGGTCTCCTCGTCGAACGCGCGCGGAATCACCTCGGAGAAGACGGTGCTGCCGCCCGCGGCGCCCGAGATGATGTTGAACCATTGCTTCTTCTGCTCCGGGCGCATCAGGTCCAGGGCGCGCGCGAACTGCGTCGTCTCGTACGCCGAGATCAGGTGGACCACGGCGTGCGCGGTGGCCAGTGTCCGGATCGTGCGCTGCTGCTGCTGCTGCTCTGATGTGCTGCCCGCCGGGTTCCCCGCCCGTTGCACCACCAGGCTTGCCCGGTCCGAGTCGAAGCCCAGGTAGTACTGCACGATGCAGCTGTCGTCGGCGGACGCGTGTGTCTTCATGACTTGCTTGATGACCTCGCTGGCCGCGTTGAGCAGCGGCAGCTCGACGCCCAGGCGCACCTCCTCGTCGCGGATGATGCCGACGTCCTTGTTGATGATGGCGGTCGCCGACGCCATGGGAGGGTCCGCGCTCAGCATGCGTGGGCCGCGGTTCTCGAACATCCAGCTCCACCCCAGCGGCATCTTGCCGGTCGCGGGGTCCTTGGTGGTCAGTGCGTCGTAGAACTTCTGCGTGTCGACGCCGCTGACCGCTGCCAGACCCATGATTTCCGATGCCGAGGGGATATGTATCCCGCACATGACCTGGTTCAGGGCCTTGGCCGACTGGCCCGCGCCCAAGCCGCCGGGGATGGGGAACAGCGTCTTGCCCTTGCTGGCGACGTTCTCGAGCACCGTCTTCGCATTGGGTTCCTGTAGGTTCTTCATATCGTCTGAAGACACCATGATCGTCAATGTGCCGTTGACAGATCGCGCCACACCGCCGGACACAGGAGCGTCGATCAAGCGCACATCCGGACGGTTGAATTCGCTGGTCAGCCGCTCACGTATAGTCGACGGCTGTGTTGGGGGGATCGTCGCGTGTATGATGACCGTGCAGTCCTTGGGGAGGGCATGCACCGCCCCGTTGTCGTCGAACAGGGCGGAGTGGACGTGGTGATGGTTGGCCACCATCAGACACACAACCACAGCATTTCTGACGGCTTCTGCCGGCGAGCTGGCCGTTTTGGCACGAGATTCGGGGATCTCGTCGCACGTCGCCCGCCAGCGGTCCAGCGTTGGTCCGTAAATATCGAAACCGGTCACTGGGAACCCCGTCCGGACCAGGTGCGTCGACATGGCGAAGCCCATGGCCCCGAGACCGATGAAACCCACTTGGGGGAATTGACTCGCTGTTGACATGACCGCCATTGCTGCCTGATGAGGATTCGGCAGTTCTCGAGTGACGAGAGGGAAGGATGCTGGTTAGATGATGGCGGCCTTGTCCTCTGACCAGGATTACGGAAATAGGGTGATATAGATGACGTCTAGGGGGTCAATTTCGACGGCGAAGTTTCGTATAAAGATTCAAACGGGATCTCAACAAAGGGAGCCACGTCTCGGTACGCACAGGTAGTCAAGATTGTCTTCAAATAAATACTTGCCGATACATGTTTTCCCATCCTTTCCCCTGCGGTTAAATGCCAATGGCCACTCGGTGCATGCCGGTGCAGAGACCGATGGGAGAGAGCACACCTAGGTGGAGATGCCTGCTGGAAGTGTGGAGGACGCTGGAGCTGCATCTTTCGGCTGTTGAGATTGTGGAGAGGAGGGAAGAAAATCCTGAGCGATGGCAAATGCCCGGCGGCGTCTCTCGGCAGCGATGCCGCGAAGTAGTGCACAGGGCACGTGATGAGGGGCCATGTGACGTGCACGTGATGGGTGTTGTCATTTGACCTGGGTCTGACATTTTCTCTCGTCTTTTGAAAGTGCCATCCAAGTTGCCTGGTTTTGCCTGGTAACAAGAACTTCACTTCTCATCCACCACGCTCGCTAAATATCACTTGCAGCTGCTTGTCTAGTCCAATTCCCTCAGCCAACATTCAGCGCAGCCACATATGCACCCAGGCGCTGCTGCGACAGAACTTGCAGCAGGCATTGGGCAAAGGTGAGGCTACTGTCTTTGCAAGCCATGGCGCCCCGCTTCGCAGTCCAGAGACTAGGAAGTGAGGTGCTCTCACACCCTCCCACGCCGGTTTGTGTAACCTACCGGCATTCTCCTGCAATGTCCTTCCCATCCGAGTACTCCTTGCCACGGCCGCGTGACGATGCTCAAGCTAGCCACCTCACTTCCAAAGTCTATGCGACTAGGCTCATCTACAGGTTCAATTGGCTTGATATTTCGAGCCTCACTAACCGGAGAGCTGTGCCCCTGCTCCAAAATAATAAAAAAAAGGCAGACCTCTGCAGCACGTTCTGACATGCAGCTCAGAACCCCTTTCCCGGGGCAACGTGCAGGACGGAGGATAGGATGGCGGAAATTGTACCGTCCAGCCTTGTCGGTTGCCTTGTACTCGTTCAAGTCAACTGGTCTATAACAAGGAGTTACTTCTCAGAGTGCACATTCTTCTTTTGCCACCGCTCCTAGTGTACCTCCTCCCTGAAGCAAGACACTCAAATTGATCTTTGGCACTACAGGCAATATGCCTAGCAACAACACGTCTAAGAAGATTGTCACTTATGTGAAATCCAAACACGCCGACACTCGGCCCAGTACCAGAAAGCATCATGACGACGACGACCGGTCACAGAGCGAGTACTCTTCTGTGGCACCGGCCTCAAACTACCGCAGTGAGGCGTACAAATCGCCCAAAGAGCCCCGGCGACAGGAGGACGAGGAAAGGTTAGGCTCATTGCCAATTGACACTCGATCCCAGCGCAGAGAGAACCTGTTTCGTCACGAATCAGAATCCTTTCGATCGACAGAAATGCCACCGCTCGTTCGCCTCGCAACTCTTCCTTACATGCCTGTATACGAGCATTGTGCGGTGCTACGCAACCACGGCATTTCGGTAAAGCTTGGGCCGGATCTATTTAGATCAATAGCTCAACAAGGCATCATTCAAGCTCCGCCAGTGAACCACAGTCATCATTGCAGCGCTCACAATGCTCCGCTTGATGTGCACAACCCATCCGCCCAGGAGAAGCAAGCCGTCACCGAAGCCATCGTTTTTATTGTCAGGGATTGTGGAGGAGAAGTTGAGATGCCCGGCTTCGATCCTCAGCCTGCCCAGCGATGCAGCAGTTGCTCCAGCCCTGTCTCTACCCCGACAAACAGCTCTGGACCTGTGCGAAGGGATATGGATGAGCACAGAAACGGACACCGCAACTCGTTTCAGAACAGTCATGGATCCCATCCCGGGGCTTACGACACAAACACTCAAGGCAACATCCCCATCGGCCTCGCTAGTCCCTACGAAGCTGCGAGGTCTGAGGCTCATTGGGATAGTCACGGGCGATGAGGCCGAGCCACAGACCGTTCGGGACTTGTTGGCGTTTCTCCAGGCTCCGGGCCGTCGTTGTCCTCATTTTGTACATTATTATGGCGTTATCCTGACGCCTGAGGTGGTCGACTGGCAGTCACAACGGTGTTGAACCAGTCATGGATCCATGGTGGACGTGTATTAGCACGCTGTTACGGGTGGTCATTTGGTCATGGGGACACTCTGTCTCCATGTTTTGACAGAGGACAACTTCTTGTTCCATATGTATTCTCAACAATCTATTAGTCTTTGACCAGCTCTTTCAGCCTGATGCTCGATCTCCAGACCCCTGTCGTGTGCTTAGTACATTGTGGGAAACAAGGGTGACCCTCGCCCAACGACGTCATCGCTACACTCGACCAACCATCCACGTCTCTTTGCACTTCCTTTCCACTACTCTCTTCATTTCACCTCCAACACCCGCTGGGCATCCCGTCATTTACGGGATTTGATTCGTCCTATCACCACCGTGGACCATTAATGTTCTCGTTGACATGGGTTGGCTGTGTAACCACACAGCTTGAATCCGAGGTGACGTACCAGCCACAACCAGGCTGCCCACCGTGCCACATGCCTCTGGTGTGCGCATGATGCCATCATACCATCCAGGTCCTGCCTGTGAAGGGTCTCTACACGCTGTTTGCCCTGATTTAAAGCATTAGGTTAATTATCTTTGCAAAACCTCTCATCCATCCATATTGTGTGCCAGCAACAAGTTGTACGACATCAACTCTTCAAGCTACCGTCGAGAAGGCTACATCATGGAAGGCGCAAAGAACTGGTACAACAAACAATACGAGTCCTGGGTGCCGTGGATCGAAGACAAAGTCCTCGGCTGGTTCGGCGAGAACAAGACCAGCTACGTCGCCAAAGGTACGACACAGCAGCAAGCCTCACGCAGCCAGCCCAGGCCGTCCTTCGCCATTCATGCGGCCTTCTGCTAACTAACCGCGATGTAGACAACCTCAACAAGACCAAAATCACCGGCGACGAGAACATCGATGCGATCCAGGACGACGTCAACAAGGGCGTTGGGGGACAGTTCGGCAAGGGTGGCTTGCTTGAAGGGGTGGGAAATCTGACGAGCAAAGAGGTGCTCAACCGGGGAGAAAGACAAGGAAAGAACGACAAGGGCGGATATGGACTGTGAGAAGAAAAGATGGAGGCGGATGGAACTTTGTGAAGCGCCAGAGGCTTGCGTACGGCGCCGTTCAGGATACCTGTACTCGGTTCTTGTCGGGAGTATAGTTCTGGGAAAGCCTGTCTTCTCTAGATGACTGTTCTAAATGTGATGATACCACGATATATCGACTTTGACGACCCGTTCATGATCAGACTGTTTGATGTTTGACTACATACCTCGTACGTTGATGATGGATCAAATTGTATTTTGTCTGACAAAATAAACCACCAAGTCATGGTGGTCCTCTGCCATTAATCCACGTCAGACGCAACACCTCCTTCCCACTTCTCTTCGTCGTTTGACACAACTAATTCCAGATGTCTGCCCCGACCTTCCTATTTTTTCTCCTTGCATGTGTCCATCCTCGACGCTGTGCATACTCTAAGCCTCCTCAGAATGAGAGAAGAGAAAAGGCTCATGGCCCGCATGGTAGGTAATAGGACCGCGTCTCGTCAACTCGGGAAGAAGAGAGCCGCGCTGCGATGTCTGTACGTTATGCTCCGGCCGCTGAGCATAACGCAACGACGCCCTTAGTCTTCCACAGGGCGACATAATGCACCTTGGGTACATGTATATGAATATATATATATGGAGGAGATTGTCGCTCGTGCAGTCCTCATTCTTGACTACTCTATCTACATCATCATCACCCACAGCTGAAAACCTCGACTGAATTCGCCTCTTTTCTTCTAACTGACCAATTCATATATATATATATACACACCATGTCTTCCACCACCATGACCACCCCAACAACAACAACAACTCTCCTCGACGGGCCCACACATTCGACAAGGCCGACCTACTTCTCCTCGTACGCCTTCGCGCTGCACTCCGTCCCAGCGGCGTACCTGCTCTCGGTGCCGCCCCATGCGTACCTGTTCACCAAGCTGATGGCGGCGTCGGGCTATGCGTACTCGAACCTGGTGCCGCGCGCGCAGTTGCCGACCCTGGCGCCCACGCTGCCCAAGGCCACGGCCGACATGCTCTGGCGCGCCCGCGGGTGCCATTTGAATGCCCTCGAGGGGTTCCCGCTGTTTGCGGCCGCGATGGTATGTACCTTCCCCCCCCCAAAGGAAGAAAGGAAGATGGACGATACTATTTACCACGTTCCTTTACTCCTTGGTTTTTTATCATATCATCCTTCCCTCTCCCTCCCTCCCTCCCTTCCTCTCGCGCCTACACTTGCGTTCTAACACCCATCTTTCTCTGTCCATCTACAGCTCGCAGGAACGCACGCCCGCCTCGACGCCCGAGAACTCAACACCTGCGCCGCCGAGTATCTCGTGGCCCGCACGCTCTACAGCGTCCTGTACATGACCGTGCGCAGCGAGCGGGCTAGCTACCTCCGCTCAGCCGTCTGGGCCTGGAGCGTGGGGATCCCTGTCTACGTGCTGTGGAAGGCCGGGAGGAGGTTGGTGGATGGGTCTGACGACGGGGTCGGCGATACGGAGAAGGAGAGTCTGTCATAGAACGAGAACTAAGACGGGACGGATACGGCCTGCCGAGAGAGGTTCGTTCGGTCGGTGGGAGCAGAAAAGGACCCAGAGGCTTTTCTGGACCAGGATGCCCGCGAGGTTGGGTCGAAGGTGTTAAACAACCAGGGGGGTGTGGCAGAAGGGTCAGATGGGGGACAACTACAGAAACGGCGGCAGAGGCAAGAAAATCTCTCATTGGCATTCGGGCATGGCCAAATACCTGTTCCTCTGGTACTAAAAGCCCTAGACGGCGCAGGAAAGTAGCTGCTCTCGCGTCGGACGATTTCCAATGTATATATATAATATAATAAACAACACACAAGAAAATGCTCAGGCTTGATGTTGGTGTCGCTAATCACTTTTCTTGTCCTTTTCAGATACTTCCCCAAGAGCCTGGGCACCCTTCTTACCCTTCTCCCTCTTTTCCCTCGCGTACCGGACACTCTTCGACCAGCCGGCCGTCACGGCGCCTTTGACGCTCTGCACCAGACTGGGCCACCGGATCGTACTCTCAATCACCTGTTTTACTTCTTCCCTCAGCCCTCCACCCTCGGTATCCTGAGCGATGCGTTGCTCAAAAGGCCCGCCTTCTCGCCGACGAATGCGATCTGGGTCTTCATCTTTGGTCTTTTCAAGCATTGTGTTGAATTCGCCTCGTGGGATTCTGAATTTGGATTGATATTCAAAGTACAATTTCTTTCGAAAGGCGTTGGGAAGACGGCGGACCATGTGCCCGCGGGTGACAGGGTCCATATTTTGAGCCAGCTTGGAATTGACCGTTGGGTCATCCAGCCAGTCTCGGTTCGAGCAGACGGGATCATTGAAAGAGATATTGGGAAGGTTGTCAATCAACGGTGCGTAAAGACGGCGGAAATTGGGCAACTGATGTTTGACAATGTTCTCAACCTTTCGAGGGTCATCTCCACCGATGCTCATTCGCGGATCGCCCATGTACGAAATCCCTGCGATGGTCGAGTACAATTCTTTTTCAGTGAACTCGGGTGGAAGAAGAAGCAATGCCGTGCGGACTGCGGCGATGAGGTTGACCTGATTTGCCAGGCGGACCGCAGGATTGTCCCGTAAGATCTTCACCGGCTTCTGCAGGCGGCCGGCGAGATATAGGGTGTCCCATTCCGACAAATCTCGGCAGAGAGTATCCAAGTTGACCACTCCGTACTTGATCAGAGTTCCATTGACGGTGACGTAAGGGTTAAAATACACCCCTGCCCCGAAGGACTCTTGAACTTTGGAGACAGCGTAGGATCCCAAGGAACCCACCCAACTGTAGTGGTCTCGGTGTTCTTGCAGATTTAAGGAGTGCCAGTGCTGGGAATACGAGACCCCGAAGATAAAATCAATCATTTTCTGGTTCCCATCCTGCACTTTGGCTACCGCTTCGGGAGGATTTGGGTGCAAGTTCTTGGAGCCTCCGCTTTTCCCGGCGCTCTGAGGAAAGACACCTGAGCCATAGGCAAAGGCGTAGCGAATGGGCGCCCGAAACTTCCACAGGATTTGTCTCAATGCCTCCTTAAACTCTTCATTGATGATGATGTGCTGATTGACACCGAAATCCTTACCAGGTAGCTCAGAGAACTTTGAAATGCTCAGGTCCGGATTTTCCTCCCAATCCGTTGGGGCCGAAGTCGAGGAGTGAGGTTTGGAGGAGCCACGAGAGGAAGGAGTCTGCTCGGAGGGTTCGGGGTTGCTGGTGGTCGACGGAGACGCACTGGGGCTCTGCTTTGCTTTGGAGGCATCAAATCCTGGAGGCGGAGCACTATCGCGGCCTCGTTCTGCCTCGACAGTGGCATACTGCCTGATGCCTAAGTTGAGAGGGAATCGCTGAGCTGCAGCGAGGATTGGGAGTCGAGGGGTGCCGTAAAGCTCTTGAAATCCCCTCTTGCCCAAGATGCTGGGCACGACCCGTAAGGTCATGTTTGAAGGACTGGGATCTTCTGCTCCAAGTATGCAACCATCGCTCGGATTGCTTGGGCTCACTGTAGCAAGTCACAAGTCATGTCGGCGTCCCATGGGCTGGAGGCTTCAAGCGCGCAGGAGAGCAGAAATGGGGTCTGCGCTGGCCGTAATATGACGCGACACATCCGGAAAGTCACGCGAGCGCGCACGTCATGCGCCAAGCCCAACGCGGCCAGATTCGGCAGAATCAACAAACACCGACAGCACAGCACAGCTTCAATGCACAGGTTCTGACCACTCCTGCAATCGATTTCAAGGCATGACCGACAATACAATGGAATACGCAACCTACGAGTCGCGGCTTGCGACTTTCGAGCCTCCGTCGAAACGATCAAAGCTTGGATGGCCGCATAAGACACCGACGCCGGATGAACTCGCGCGAGCTGGCTTCTACTACAAACCCTCCAGCGCCAGCAATGATAACACCATCTGCTACCTTTGTGAAAGACAACTCGACGGATGGGAGCCGGACGATGACCCAGTAGGAGAACATTTGAAACATTCAGGTGATTGCGGCTGGGCGTTATTGATGAGCACGGGACAAGATGCCAAACACGACATCAGCACAATGGAAGACCTTACGGGGCAGCTATTTGCAGACGCTCGCCGAGCCACCTTCGCCGTCGGCTGGCCGCACGAGTCAAAGAGAGGCTGGCGGTGTAAGATAGAGAAGATGGTGGAAGCCGGGTGGCACTTTGCGCCACTGCCAGAAAGCGAGGATTATGTATCTTGCGCGTTTTGCAAATTGTCTCTTGATGGCTGGGAACCGAAAGATGACCCTTTTGACGAGCACTATCGGCGATCTCCAGGTTGTCCCTTTTTCCATTTTGCAGGGACGACCGCGCCGTCTAAACGACCGAAAGCGAAGAAAGGGCGCACATCAAGAGCGTCGCGCTCATCCAAGGCCTCGACGCGGTTGTCGACACAGTCAAACACGCAAGACTTGACCACCCTATCAGAAGCTCCCAGCATCGCCAATGATTTGATACCAGATCTCGATGACTCGATAGATACTAGCACTATGTCGGCCATGTCGATCATGTCAACAGCCTCCACAGCAACAACTAAGGCCAAGCGAAAAGCTGCAGGCGGGCGAGCAAAGGCCACCAAGTCGAAGAGGACAAAGACCACCAAATTGACAAGAACGAAAAAAGATGAGCCTGAACCTGAACCTCAGGTGATAAACGAAGTAGAATTTCCGGCTGAAGTCGAACATGAGCAAATTGCGACCCAGGCTGAAGCTGTGGAACTCGAGGCAGAAGATCAAGAGCAGGAGCAACAAGCTCTACCCAGCCCAGAGCCCACTCCTCCCGCACAGGTCTCATATCCACTGCTTCATGAAAACAACTCTCCCCCGAGGATTTCCAACGAGCCTCGTCATCTAAGTCCTCTCGGCCCATTGCCTCAAGCATCGCCAACGCCCATCAAGACACGTCCATCCACATCTGGCGCGAAGACAGCGACACCGAAGCCTACCACCAACAAAAAGATTGAATCTTCTCATCCCGTATCCCCAACGCCAAAATCTACCAACAATGCTTCCCCTACTCCCTCTCCCTCGACTTCCGACATTGAAAACGCACCACCCTCTACGCGCCCTGCATCCCAACGCCCTCCTGTTCTTCCGAGCTCATCCACTCCCAGCCGCCGACCTCCAAATGCTTCCTCGTCTCCCAACGAAGGTGCCGAAATACCACAATGGACTCCACCGGATATTGAACTGATTTTCAATCCCACATCGCCACAGAAAGCTGATGTAGATATCCTCCTTGGATTGACGGGCTCCCAACTCTCCACCGACGAAAAGGACATGACCGTGCAGGAATGGATCGAATTCATTGCCAAGCAGACCGAGGAGGGACTGAGAGCGGAAGCGGAACGGGTGGTGGGAATCTTTGAACGCGAGGGTGAGAGGGCCATGCGGGTTCTCGACGGGATTGTCTGTGTTTGAACGATGTGGAACGGAGGAGAAACCGGATACTCTTTCTTTCCTCTTCTAACCGACGACGACGGGTTGGACGACACAGAAGACCAAGTCTTGATTTATGTGCTGCATGTTTTTCTACGAAGGCGACTGAGATCTTTGGGATCTCCCGAGGGCTATGGGGTTTCTGCTTGAATGGTGTTGCTCCCACACTATCACGTACTTTGTCAGCGTTACGGCAGGCACACGCGCCGCATGGAGTTTTGATGGATTTTTGTCTGCATACAAACATGCAATGCGATGTTGGATAGAAGCCATGCATGGCATGGCATAGGTAGATCCACGATGAATGCGGCCCGCGTTTCAGGGCCGCAAGTCGGAGGGAGCTGCAAAGAAAGAAAGAAAGCATTCCACGGATTGGAGTAGCACAGGAAGGACCATGAATGTGTCCGACCCAGTGCTTCACTCGGACTTAAAAAATCATATTCGAATTTTCTGGCTTAAATCTCTCCCTGAGGACTCTTTGTAGCAACTGCACATGCAATGCCTCGCCGCCACTCGTTCGTTCATTCGCTCATCACGCAAAAAGCATGTTTAAGACATATATGGCAATGGCGAACACGAACAACACAGTTGTCGGTCACGACAGCCGGTATATAGCATGAAAGTCTGAAGGACCTTGAGATCTTCTTCGTCGCCTTCTTCTGCGATACATCCAAGCACCACTGAAGGGGTGGATGGATGGATGTCACTCGTCCCGAACCCCTCCTGTCGGTTTACACAGCAATGTCCGCCCCGACAAAGTCCTTCTCCTCAATCAGCTGGCTCTTGGACTGTGTGTTCGTCCCGGACACTGCGGCGTCGAGGGAGCGGAAGTTGGCAAGTTCTTGCATTTTAGCTAGACCCCGTGATTAGCACGACTTTCGATCACTCGGGCGATCCCGTTTCACTCACTCTCGCTGACGGGGCTCGTGGTGAAAATGGCCTTCTCCCGCTCGCCCAGACTCGGGTAGATGCCCTCGTTGATCAATATCTCCGCGAGCGATCGCCTGTTCGCGTCCGTCGATTTCCCCTGAGCGATCAGCTCTTGACGCGCTCTCTCCAGACACTCGCGGTAGTATTCGGCGTGGTTGATGTTGCAGACCTGATCCCAACTGACGGATTTGTGGATGGGGCAGAAATGCCGCGAGCACAGCAGGCAGGTCTCGAGGTACTTGGTGGTGGGGGAGAAGTCGCCTGGGTTCTGCTCGTCGCAGAGGTAGCATTGTTTGACGAGAGCGGGTTTCTGAGGCCGCTCCTTTGCAGGTTCGCTTCTGGGAGCGGAGATGGTCGAGGTGGGCGCGCCGGGAGTGTTGATCACAATAGTGGGAGGTGCTGGCGCGGAGGCGGACATCTTGAATAGATTGTGCGAGCGTGGACTGTGTAGGTCAAGCAAGAGACCAAGGGTCGCGTACGTGGAATGAGGTTTCCGCTCCAGCAAGGACACAAGAGAAGGAATTCGAGAGGCGAGCTGGGCGATTTGTATAGTGGTAGGACCGTGGGGGAAAATACGAGGGATATAGCAGGCCTGACAAGCAGATTCCGAACTCGATCAGTGTCAATGTCTTACTCTTTTGGCTTTCGACAGAAGGGTGAGAGAGAGGTTGACTGGTGGTACAAAAATAAATAAAGTCAGCCTCTAGGCTCTATTTATTCGGTCCTCGGGCATCGTGCATGAAGCATGTTGGCTGGTTGCTGCTTCGTGTTCAGCTTTGACGAGGCCCGCATGCAGTCAGTGGCACAACGACAAGCCCCGCAAAAACTCGGTAGCTCAAGGCTCTAGGTTACGAATGTGGCTTGCCAAGGGGGGTCTGGCCCTGAGATGGTGAAGAGGAACCAAGAAGTATGGTGCGAGCGGCTGAGGCGGTTGGTGTTTCGGTGTCCGAGCAGGGTAGAGACAAACAATGGCCACGACGATGGGGGCACTGGGGGTTTGGGGCCCGGGACAGAGAGACAAATGGTGACATGCCGTTGGTCCTCCGCCCAGAAAGACCCTGATAGACAAGCGGCGGCCAAGGGAACGAGGTGGATGGCCTTGGATGAGATGGTGGTGTAGATGTTTGCTTTGCCTTGCGCAGGGGGAGGCCGCAGGGCGCAGGGGCGGGACTCATCATCATTGGAGGTCGGAGGTCGGCAGTTCTGTGGCGCCGACTCGCCGTCTGCATCCTACTGTACATGCGCATCCAGAGACCAGCTTCTGGTTTTCGCTTTTTCCCCTTGACAACCCCCTGGTTGCCCCCAATTGCCCCGCCTGCTGACGTCGTCGATGCCCCCAAGATCAGCAGGGACGCTTGCAAGTCGTCGATCCTGTCCCTGACCAGTGCACGTCACCCTTCGAGCTCCTACATACGGCATGCCTCGAACCCTGTGGGCATTACCGCAGAACGGCACGTTTCGTCTTCAGGTCCACAACCCATACCAGACAGATGATCTTTGAACAAGCACGGACTCTCAGACTCTCTTGCACACGGTGATGAATGGTGACACGACGCCTGTGAGAAGTTACTCAAAAAACCATCGTCGACAGTGTTGGGGAAAACATCGCTTACCACTCATAAACAGTGTTCCTGTCCGAGCGTCATGGATCACCGTCGTCATGACGGGCAACACCTCTCCCTCGGCGTCCTCGATGATTTTCGTCAGTTCATACTCATAACTGTCTGGGTTCTCTCGGTTCAACCTTCGAACCCGCCATACAGTTGCTGGGGGGCTCTTTGGGTTGAGCGGGTCGTCAAAGGCAGCCAGCGTTTTGACTGATTTGGGCAGAGTCGCGGCGAAGATGTCGCCATTGGCATCCTCGGAGAGGTTGTCGATGGGATAATCAAGGTCGATTTTGTGCACCTTGGCCACAGACCCATCCGGCTTCGGTTTGAAAACGGTGACGCCTCCCACGGCTGCGCTGGGCACGTAGACGAGGCCATCACTCCCGAGATGAAGTCCATTGGGGAACTTGAACCCTGAGGCGACCTTCTTGCACACACCGGCCGCAGTGCAATATGAGACGTCTCCCGTGCCGATGAAGGAAGAAATATGGTGTTGCTTCGCACCGAGTTAGTGAGAAAGACAAGACTGTGGCTCTGGACGGCTCCCTTACCAGGCCAACCTTGTGTGGACCGTGGTCATTCGTAAAGAAGAATCCACCATCTGGCATCACCGCGACGTTGTTGGGAGTCGCAATCTGGGAGTTCGCATACGTTTTGACATGTTTCATACTATAAGATTTCGGTGTCGTGGCGAAGACCTCGATGGTCGAGTTGGCCCCAACGACCGCATTGTCAAGTAGGTCTCCTGTTTCTGGATTGACCGAAGGTTGTGCATTGATCAACCACAGCTGGACATCCGAGCCATCTGCAGAGGTGGTGCCGGTCATGCCGATGAGGTGAATTCGACCGTCGCCATGTACGCCCGGAAACCCCTGCATCTTCAGTACACGGTAAGCGTAGCCTCCTGTTTCAGTGGGACTGTCAATATCTAAGGCGACGACATGGTCATGCAACGCTCGACCGGACGCATTGAGGCGATGGATACTGGCGACACTTCTTAACAGCCTTGTTCCCGGACCATAGCTGGGGACACCTACTTTGGCAGCCAGTCTTTCCTGGCCAGCGCGTCCGAGCACGCCAGATACAGTGTTCGGGACTTCTGGTCCAGCCACATGTCCTCGCAGGCCTGGATGTTCGGGTCGCCGCTGATGCGGTGGCATTGGTACGGGAATTCGGTGATGGGCTGCACCGTGCGACCCAGTCCCAGCCCGTTGAAGAGGGCATCGCGCAAGATCAGTTGCCAGAACACGGCGCAGAGGCCGAGCGAGATGGCGACCAGGGGGAGTTTGTTGGCCATCTCTCTATGGTCGAGGTATGCAGCCAGTATCGTTGTTTCCAAGCTGCACCTGCTATGGCTGGACGCGATTATCGAGTCATCTCTCGTTGGGAGGAGCCTCCTGTGAATGCAACGCCGGCACGAACCTGGTCTCGCAGCAGCAGCAGCAGCAGCAGCAGCAAGGACGTTCTGGATTCGTGAGACAGACGTGCCTAGGTAGTCTACAGGAGGTAATGCATGTACGAGGTATTCCATATGGGTTCGGGAATGGCAAATCCAAAGCCGAAGGTCAAACCCCACAGCCGACCGACCCCTCCTCCTCCTCCTCCACCCATCCTCTTCTTCTTGTCCTGTATGTATCTTTGTGGCCTGGCATTATTGCCTTGCGTTGGCTAGTGACCTTCCTCGGCTCTTGGGAGCTGAAATCAAGAGCTGCCCAGACATGTAAGTTCGAGAGCTTACCCACCTACACATGTATCTCGTCCACTGCGGCCTAAATCTGTATGACCTTCTCGGTCATGGTGAGTCCGAGTCACCACGAAGGGTGGTAAGTCAAGGGGATGTGACGACGGGCTGACAGGGTTCCCTTTTGATTTGCATCTGGACAAGGCCTAAATAATAGATGGTAATAATCAAGCGTACGGATATGGGTGAGGAGGGTGGGGTGTGGACAGTTCCACGATTATTAGCTGATTCGAATGGGGGCGGACAGAGTGGTTGTTGGTGGAGATATTCGTAGAGGATCTACTAAGTGGTTAGGATACAGATCAAAGTTGTATTCAGGAGATAGGTAGAGATAGGTAGTTTGGGGAGCCAAAACAATAACTGGTCAAGTCCGTCGAAAACGAAGATGTCATGGGCAAAGGGTCGACAAATATGGACTCATTCGTGGCCAAGGACATAATACATGTGAACAAAGACAGTTTATTTTCAAGTCATGAACGGGTATGGATAAAGACAACAACATCCCCACGAATTAACAGGTGCAAACCAGGTCTCGAACCACTTCGCGTTCGATCGCTGTTTGTTTTCTTCTTCTCACCGCCGAGCAAGTTGGGTCACCTCTTCTTCCCTCGCTCACTTCAAATACTCATCTCCAACCTCTTGAATCATGACATCAAACAGGGGCTTCGCGCTGAACCAACCGGCTCTCGGTGTGCCCACAGACTTGTAGGTAAACGCAGCATCCTCGTCATCAATCTTGACCGTAGTACCTCCACGACCGGCAGCAGCGGCATCGGCCATGAGCTGGGCATGGCAACACTTCTCCAGAGAGCAGAACCAGAACACAGCGGCCTCGATCGTCTGTCCGCATGTCAAAAGACCGTGGTTTTGCAGCAAGCACGCCTTCTTGTTTCCGATGGCACGGGCAATGTTTTCCCCTTCTTCCTTGGCCAGGACCACACCCTTGAATGAGTTGTACACCGCATGGTCGTTGTAGAATGCACAGCTGTCCTGCGTGATGATGTCAATTGGTCGACCCAGGGCGCAGAAGGCGCGGCCGTAGATGCTGTGAGAATGGGCGGCGCAGACGACATCGGGGCGAGCCTTGTGAACCGCGGCGTGAATCATGTAGGCGGCTTGGTTGAGCAGTCTGTTTGGTCCGCCGTCGATGACTTTTCCGTCGTGGTCAACGAGGATGAGGTCTGATTTCTTGATCTGCGAGAAGGCCAGGCCAAACGGATTGACCCAGAAGGTGGTGGGATCCACAGGATCTCTCAATGTAATGTGGCCTGCGACACCCTCATCGAATCCAAACTTGCCAAAGAGGCGGAATGCGAGCGCCAGACGGCCCTTGAGGTATTCTCTCTCCTCGTACTTGTCCGTGAATCGAGGTGGGGAGGGGAATTTCTGCATCTGCACTTCGGCATTGCCTTGCTTCAACTTGGGCTCATTGGGTGCGGTGCCTTCGGGTTGGGCGTCGGCTGTGTCGAACCCAGCAGCGGGGACATGGGAGGTCTCAGTGTATGTTGCGGTAGGAGGGGCCATGGTGACTGCGATGTGGTCTCTAGGTACGAATCTTCGCGTGAGGATATGTGCACAACACTACCGGATGGGCTTGAAGAGTTTTGCTGTAGAGCACGAGATGGGAAGAAAAGAAGGAATGATGGGAGAGATCCAGCAGGAAGGGCGCTGGGAGGGATTGTCCGTTGATATAACCGCGGGCAGATTGTGCTGGTCAGACAGGTGACTGGGGAGAGTGGAAAGTCACACGTGGGGAAAGTGCCGACGGGCGCTCAGTGGCAAAATATCCCAAACAGATAAACATCTTCGCCCATGGCATCTAATGGCGATGGGTGCCTCGGATTTGTGAGCTTATCCTCAGACTTCGGATGATCCCATGCAGCAGCACTCAACTTCGACGCCCTTCGGTCGATATTTGGAGGAGACTGCGGGGAGTCAGCAAAATGTCGCCCATGTCCCAAACACCCTTGGCTCGCCGGATAATACGCCGAGTCTAGCGAAAACACTCCTGAGCGAATGATAACACGGCAAATATCAGCTGGCCACGACTCTGCGTGAGGAGACATCCTTTTTGCTGCTGGGGGCCACCCGAGAGTCCGACGGAAGGGCGGCTGTTCGAGGCTTGGGTCGGTGTCTCAGAGAGTCCATCGAATTGCGCAACCAACGACGACAACGAAACAATTTGGAATAATGGTCAATGTTGCCCCAACCGAGGCATCAACTCATTGGTGGGCTATAGCTGGTGCTCCCGAACGTCTCGTTCAATGAAATTCCACCGCCTTTGCCTTTGTTTAACCGACTGGTTCACCTCGAAATGCTGGTCGCTGTTAAGACGACTCGCTTCTAGGATGCAGTTCGGCCGAGTCATGCCACGAACGGCAACTGTTGCGCAAGGGTTCAACATAAACAGGCCTGGTTATCGTCGGCTCAGACCAATATCATACTCTTCCTAACCCTCTGCTGGCGCTTGAGGTCGATGGTCAAAGCAAAATCTCCGAACTCCTGTTGCGTCTGCACATGCCTAATCTGGACCTTCATGTTTCTCAGAGACTTTGCACGCTTCAGTCCACTTCCAGGGATGGACACATGTGGCTTTTGGTCGTCAACAATGTCATGTAGCTTGAGATGTCGGGCGTCGATAGTCGAGGGTTTTGGCTTCTCGTATCCCCGTATTGATTACGGTCATTTGCGTAACCTTCGTCTAAGGCGGCCCAGTCTTTGGCAGCGCCATTCAATAGCCCATGGGCCAGAGCTCGATGCGGGAGTGCCTCTGACTCAGAATGTTGAGGGGCCTGAGGATAACACTTGAGATGTTTGAAAGAGACTGATCGATGAAATGTTTGCACGGACTCTCTTCGCTTGGCTATCTTTGCTGCCGGAGAAAGCTTCATCAGGATTTGCGGCATCTTGCCACACCAGGCAACAGACAAAAGCTTGATGGAGAGCATTCCAAACGCAATCCTGTAAGACTCAGCATCAATAGGACGGAATAACAGGCTGAAGAAAGTGGGAGGTAGCTCTCAATCACAACTTTTCAAGTGTAAGGCGGTATTGTCCAGAACTCTGCTCTGTATTGAACCATTGTACTTGGATTTTGAGTGTTGACCTCTATTCGAGCCTTCGTCCTTCCTGGGTTCCTGGCCGACGCCAAAGTGCTGGAAGGCCTCGTACATGAGAATCAATCTGGCCGTACCACAGGTGATCGATTAGCCTCTGGACTGCTGAGCAAGTCGTTGCTCTGCTTCGATCCGCAGCGTCGGAGGACGCGGTTGAGAAGCTCGTTCGACACACCAGGTTGTGTAGGCCACCTGATGCTGATCGAAGCTTGACGTCAATAAATAAAGTTTCTCATCACACTATCGATGACAAGCCTAGTGTTGATTCTTCGAAAGCATCTGTCCAATGGTTACAGATATTATGGAAGTGCACAGCACGAGGGGGAGCTGTCGACAGGAACAAAAGGAGAAATATTATTCCGAGGGTGCGATCCCCTATTGTCCGAAAGCAGTTAGAGGATCCGCTCCTGCAGGGTCCAATCGCCGCAGCTGTTCGCGAGTCCCGTAGAAATTTTGTATCGCAGTGTCGGAATCAGGTGCATCCATCGCTTTTCTTTACCCCCTTCACCATCTACACTCTTTCTCTTCTAACACATTTTCTCCTGTGTTGTCTGCGGAGGTCCTTCATTGCCCATTTTTCACTCGCGTTTTTGTTCTGTCATTTGCCTCCGCCATCATGTATGGCGCCGCACGGCAAGGGCGCCATGTCCTGAGAGCATTTCGAATCGTTCCATCCGTCTCGATATCCTCCCCACGGACACAATTTGTCCCTTCAAGCTTGCGGACTATTGTCGCCAGACCCCTCGGCGTCAGACACCTTTCATCCACATTCCATCGATGGCAACAAGCCCTTGCTGAAGACCATGCCCGTGCGGAAGATTTCGGCGCAGAGGACATCTCGGCCGTCAATCGAGAGTTCACCAAGTTTTCAGAGCTCGGAGATGCAGGCATCATTGACAAAAGAATCATTGAAAACCTGGTCAACAAGATGGGCATCCACACAATGACCGAAGTCCAGAGAATGACCATCAACGAATGTCTCGACGGCACGGATGTCATTGCTCAAGCACGTACCGGTACTGGCAAGACCTTGGCTTTTCTGATGCCTATCGTGCAACGTATGCTCCGAGAACCCGAGTTTGGGCGCCGACAACCCTCAATCGGAGACACAAGAGCCCTGATTATCTCCCCTACTCGCGAGCTGGCTGAGCAGATCGGAGAGGAGGCCAGGAAGATCGTCCGGGGCACTGGCGTCCAGGTACAATTGGCCGTCGGAGGTACGCAGAAACAATATCATCTTAAGCTTATGCAGAAGATGGGTTGCCACATCCTTGTCGGCACGCCGGGAAGAGTTAAGGATCTCTTGTCCGACCCTTATAATGGCCTGAGCCTGGAAAACATCCAGACTTTTGTATTGGATGAGGCCGATCGACTCCTCGATATCGGATTCGCCGACGAAATCAGAGAGATCCAGAGTTTCATGCCCAAACACACCCGTCAACATCGTCAGACTCTCATGTTCTCCGCCACCATGCCACGGAGTGTGGTGGGTCTGGTGAGAGAGACCATGAAGCCGGACTTCAAGTTTGTCAGGACTGTCGACCCGGAGGATGCCGCTACACACGAGTCCGTGCCACAACACATTGTCTTTCTACCGGGACTCCAAAATCAGATTCCAGCACTGACCGAGATCGCCTGGAACGCGATGGAGGCACATAAGAAGGACCCGGAAAATAATATGCCTTTCAAAGCGATCGCCTTTTTCAGGTCGCTGAACGAGGTCAAAATAGCATACGAAACCATGAAAAACTTGCGCGACCCGTCGACCAGAGGAGGAATGTTTGCTCCTCACCCACTCGCACCATGCAAGATCATTGAAATGTCATCTCAGCTGGACCAACGGCAAAGAACTGCGAATTCTCAAGCCTTCCGGAATGCTGACTGCGCGCTGATGATCTCGTCTGATGTCACAGCCCGAGGTATGGACTTTCCCAACGTGTCCCATGTCATTCAAGTGGGTGCACCTCATAGAAGAGAAGATTACGTCCACCGTCTGGGCCGGACTGGCCGTGCGGGCAAACCAGGCCAAGGCTGGCTTCTGCTACAAAACGACGAGAGGAATGATTACAGACAACTAGCCAACAGCATTCACGCCCACAATATCTACGAAGATACGAGCCTGGAGACGGCAAAACTGGACATGACTCAACCCTCGCAACTCTCACCACAAACGGCCAAGATCATGCAGATGGTGGAATCAGGTGTCAGACAAGTTTCCAGGCTTGACAAGGCAAAAGCGTACCAGAGCTTGTTGTCTGTGCTCAACCAGGCGGGCAATTCCTCGAGACAAGAGATCGTCAACCAAGTGAACGAGCTTGCGACCTATGGATGGGGCCTCGACTCTCCACTTTCGGTGACGAGAAGCTGGGCTGACAAGATAGGATACAGCGGTGTCCAAGGCCTTACTTTCCGAGAGGAAAGTGGTCCCGGTGGTTCGTTTGGCGGTGGCTCGAGACCGCGGTCTGGAGGTCGTCGTGACAGGTATGACGAACGCGATCCATTCGGACAAGGCGCCTCAGGCTCCGGGCGGGGCACATTCGGCCAAGACGGCTCATCATTCAACGATCGTGGCCGTGGCAGATTTGGTGGCGAGCGAAGGTCCCGTTAGGTGGCCTCTGGGGGTGGGCGATTAACTAGATGCCCAAGGGGAATTGTCAAGGCAAGATTGCTTGATGGACCACCCGATCTGACTCTACGGATCTTACCGGTATCGTCTGAGCCGATTCTGGATGGCTTCCTTCAGGTCCATCTGCTGATCGGTATTGATTGATGGTACTGCAAAGCCAGGCATTCTTCAGCCTGGGAGACCGGCGTCATTCTCCAAGCACCACCAACCCATGAAGATTGCGGTCCGAGGGACTCAATCCAGTGGGCTGGAGAGGGTTCTGGGACAGAAAGGGATGCCGATATTGACGACATTCCATGGAGACGACCGCGCATCCTATCAAAGCGACCGCCAAACGACTCACAGCTGAAGTCAATTTACTCGTCTTATATCTCTCAGCCCTCCTCGCCAGCAGCGACGCTTTTATGGCCTATCGACTTGTACATGCCTGTTTGAATACACATGGTGCGGTGTGGTTTTGTACATATACATAGACGGATGGATACCCCTTTCACACGTGTATCATTATGTGTGTTTCGAGTGGAGAAAAGGGGTTGCCTTGACTGCCCCCACGTGTCGTTCCATCGCATTTGCAACATTGTGGAATGGGCAGAAGGCGATATCTGGCTGGAATCAAGTTACCTGCCGGTCTGGCGGTAAGGGGTTTGCGACAATTGACATAATTACGACGAGCAAGACGAGAATATTAGGTCGAATACCCGGACTAGTCACGAAAACGGAAAGAATCTCCTCTACTCAGGACCATGAAGAGTTCCGAGCATCGGAACCTGTAGATAGAGGCTTTCGTGTTGCGTTGTCCCCTTGTGCGTTTCTACTCAATTCGCCCGTTGGCGTCCTGGAGATCATTGCTCACTAATAATAATGGGGTTTTGTAGGATTTTCAGGGAGCTAGACTGCGACATTACATTTCTCGCTCCCCGGCCAAGCTCCCGGCTCTGAAAGTCTCGTCGAAAGCCCATTTTCTGTCTTCCGCCGCTACTCGCTGCGTGTTTCTGCTTTCTGTACGAAAATGCACCCGCCTGGAACTGACAACTACTGACTGAACTGCAGCTGGCTGTCATCCATCCTGCTTGCTTCTTTTTCTCTCTCTCTGTTCGTGTCCTTTCCTAGCACTGGCCACGAGAATGAATGGAGAGGTTTAAGAAGAGAGGAAGATTCCTTCTCTAATGTGACCTCCGCCACTGCTCCATCTCCTGCTGATCGATCTCGCGCAGTTCGTTGACGTTGGCGACTTCGCCGGTGACGGCACCCTTGACCATCTCGACGCCGCGGCCAAGCATGGTGCCCTTGGGCAGCGCGTACGTGGCGGTCAGCGCCTTGACCTTGATGACGCCGATGCGGGGATCGTTCTCGCTGCCGTCGTGGGTGCCGTCGCCCAGGTCGCCGAGCCAGGTCTTGAGCGTGGGCGTGTAGTATTTCTGGACCGTGGCGCGGTCCGTGATGATGCTCGCCGTGCCCGAGATCGACGCCCAGCTGCCCGACGGGGTCAGGAACGAGATGTTGACGTGCTCATCCGACGACAGGTCCGAGGTCTTGCCCGACTCGGTGTTGGTGTGGAAGAGGAGATCGACGCCGCCAGATTCCTGCGAGCGGAGTAGAAAAAAAGAGGGTTAGCACGGAATGGTATTCATGCTCTTTTCCTCTTTCTTTCCTTGTTTCTTTTTCTTTTCACCTTCTTCCTTCGCTCGTCTGCTGGATGCTGACAGGGCCATATCGATCCATATGAAGACAGTAGGAAGGCGGGTGGTGAGGTATCCCGTCAGATGTGTGACATACCTGTGCAGCCAGAGCCATGCACCTCGAAACCAACAAACCCGAGTCCGCGATACGTGTGGTCATCATGCCGAACTTGGAGGACCTCACAAAGTCATTGAGGGCGTTGACCTTCTCTTCGAGACCGGGCTCGTCTTTGTTCTTGGCCTTGTACCTGTGTTTGCCATGGATATGGGTCAGTCTTTTGGTTTCGTCTGCAGGTAGCATAAGAGGCGATCAGGTAGGAGGGAGTCTTCCCAAAGGACGACATTGCCCGGCCGTGAAGGACATGTGAGGAGGAATGGGGCAAGGACATACGGATCGGATGCCATTTTGGATGGTTGGATGGATGGATGGATGGATGGATGGGATAGATGTGATCTCTAATATGAGAAATTCAGTTTACAGAACAGAAGAATTCTGGGATTGTTAGGACCATGTGAAGGGTATGGTGGCAAGCAAACCGAGGATGGACCTGAAAGAAATAGAGAATACTTCGGGCCAGGAGAGTGACGTCGATGAGGGTAAGGCAAGGAACATTACGTGCCACCATTGGTACCCGAAAGGTAGAGAGTTTGTCACTGAACACACAATGTGGGGTTACAGAAGCCATCAGATGCTCGATCGAGCCGAGGGGAGAGAATGAGGGCGCATGATGATGATCCAGGAACAATGTGTGCGTCACTCGTAGATGGGATTGCGATGTCGGTGATGCTGCCAAGCAGTTTGATCAATTGTCTCCTCTCTTCCTAACCTGGCTGAGGGAGAAGTTGCCATTCTACAAGGTGCCTTGCTGTTGATATGAGGATCGTGCTATGGATTGTTGGGTCCATGTTTCATCAAGTATTGCCTGTTGGTTGCAGATATGTCGGGTGTATCAATTGACGAGGCTGTGATGCTCCATGGAACTAATATCCAGCCAATGACGTCAGTAGTTCCGAGCTGATGCCACCGAGTGCCTCTACAGACTGCATTGCTTGTCCCACGAGATAAGCAGTCCAGCAGCGTAACAGGAGACGTTCACAGTCCTTGTGCCAATGTATGGCAATGTCCTGACGCTGGATGACAGTTTCGTACAGTTCAACCAGGGACCCGGGTCTCAATGTGGCATCATTCGTCACCAACCTCAGTCAGAGTCTTTAAATGCACCAGGTACTGTATCCATTGAGTGATCGACCGTGTTTCTGAAGTGAACGGTCGATCTGTGTCGTCGTCTTTGCATATTGTCAGTTCCTTAGTGTCCCTGTCTGATTTTCCGGCTGTTGGAAAGGGCAGAACTTCCACCAGGTCCGCAATAAACTCATCGAGCTGACTCGAATCGTTCGCCACTGGTGTGCGATGGTTCTTACTCTCGGACATACTTTTGATGTCGAGGACAACTTAGAGGCTGAATCCTGCAACAGCTTCGCGCCCCTGTATACAGCGGATTTGTAGAAGGCCGTTGACGACGCGGTCGAAGTTGATGCACTGAGCAAGTTGAGCAGTCGTTGAGACGGTTGCTTGCTATTGCGATCATGCCAGGTCTGATTTGTCGTAGAATCAGCATATAATGCATGCTTTCCATCCCATCCAGGTCAAGAGATAATCCCCAGTCGTCCCTCCCACTCATCCTCCCTTTTGACACCCTTCTCTTCCTTGGCCGCTCTCCTTTTCTCATTCCTCTTTCTTCTTTTCTCCTCCCTTTCTGCGGCGTCAATCTCTTCGGCCTTTTTGATTCTCGCCTGAATATCGACCTCGCCCAGCATTTTGACCTCTTCCTCATGTTGTCTCTTCCGAGCCTTGAGCATTTCTAACCTCTCCCTTACATCCTGTAACGTTGCTCTTTTCACTTGCCCGGACTGCCCCGTGTTGATCAGGTGCTGCTTCGAATTCAAATGTTCAATGTACTGCACGTTATCCTTGTATGTCAGGTCGCACGCCTCGCAGTAGAAGCCTGCGCCTTTTCCCCTCCTGCCAACTCCCGCACCGGCTGGCACAATCGTACTCTTTCCAACCATGCTCGCCACATCCAGCCTCGAGCCACGCGCGGTCGTAGAGTCCAAAGAGGAGAAGTCCACGGGCTTGTGCCATTTTTTGCCCTCGAGTTTGGCTTCGTAGCGCGCTTTGGCTTCTTCGCGACGTTCATCTTGCTCCTTTTTGGCCTTTGCTTCATATTCGGCGCGGTCCCAGGTACGGCGGAAGTCGGTATCGGAGGCGGCAGCAGTGCCGTAAGCGGACTTGCGGTCGCCCATGATGGCACCCCTTCGATGATGCAAAGGAGATGCTTCAAAAGTGCAGATATCTCAAGCTTGCGAGAAGACAGGGCGGTTCGTAGAGGGTAGTAAAAGGCAGATGCGGAGAAACACAAGATGCGAAATTTAGAGAGCTGCGATCGGAGGACATTTCCGTGCGGGAGGTGGATACACAATTACATGGTGGCACCCACCCAGCAAACTTGAAGATAGACCAGCAGCTACGATGAAAAGCCTTTCTCAGTAATTTAACAACGACTACAAAAATAAAAGCATCGGTTGTGATATCAAGCTAATTTGTATTTTTTAGCAAAAGCAGTGTTATCCTGACCATTACTGAGAGATTAGGGCAGAGCAGCCAAGGTGAGCTTGCCGTCCTGTCCAGCTACCTGGTTTCCACATCTGTTCCGCCGACTCCTTCGCAATTGTCATCAACAACGACACTCCTGCGCTCATCTGGAACAGATCGCCCATGCCACTTAGTAAGACACTGCTGGCGGCACGGCCCCGTCGTCAACGTGCGTTGATTAGTGCTTCGAAGTTCGTTTCATTCTCATCTTTGGATTGTTGAGGGATTTGCTCAGCTGCACCGAGTACTCAAACTTGCTTCTGCAGGACTTCACCATCTGCGGGCTTTTTCGGACCTTACTGGTGGAAATCACCCACAGTAGATGTACTGCATGGTGAGCTGCTTCAACGGATCGGCATTGTCGGTGATGGCGTATCCAATCTCGACCGGCAGGTTCATATTGGTCTCCGGACTGTCATCGATGTTCAAGACCTGCAATTGAGCCAAGAATGTGTTTTGGTCACCAGGGAAATCGGCCGGCCCTTTCACGATGAATTTGATGTCGCGGTAACCGTACCCCTCGGCGCTGATCGGTGTGAGAGTGTCAGGACAGAGATAGACGAAGTTGACGTCCTTGCTGATGGTCTGGGGAACGGACGACGAGGGTAAGGTGACATAGTTGTACAAAGCGTTGCAGGAGGTGCTGGTGTCGCCGACGGAGCCACGAGACTCGACATTGATGTTGACTTCCCAGGTCATTCCGCACGGTGGGCCGATTGGATTGGGACTGATATTGAAGGTGAGATCGTTGGTGGAAGCAGCTGAGCCAGAGGTTTCATTGCGGGCCACCAAGCTGACAAGAGGATCGACACCACTGGCAGGCCAGGGAATTGCCGTGGCATTACTAAGGACCAGAAACATAAAGAAAACAGAGAGCAGAAAGGGTTCCATGTTGCTGCCAAGTCAGTTGATGAGCTTGCAATTCCTCTGAGAGCAAATATTGTGTTGAGAAGCGTTTGAGCTCGGTGAGGGAAATGTGTGTTGCTGTCTAAAGACAAAAGTCGAGATCTGGACACTGGACTGAGTACATCTTATATCTGTGACCTGTCCTTGTAGACTGAACGTGAATTCCCCCACGTGTCAGTCTGTGCAGGCCAAGGTGACAAGGTGACACCGAGTACTTCACATGCCGACCGTGAAATCTTCACAAAGGATCACTTACACGTTAGTCAGGCCGGATGCGAACGTCCAGCCCAGGGGCAAGTGTCCCTTTCTTTCTTATCTGGCACTCTATGGTGAAGTCTGACCAAAGACCTATCTCACAAGGACCTGTCACGGTAACGCAATGCTTAAGCCTGCTATAGATAGCAAGTACATCGAGTCTAATATACCGTGACAATCAACTCAACTATAGCCGCTTACGCACTGAGAAGTGAGGCGAAATAGTGACCACCATTAGAGATATTGTCATAGCGACAGTCGAGCGACTATACATGACATTGTGGAGGAAGGAGGTCAATAGTAGAAGAGACGGAAGTCTACAAGTAGCCTTAAATTGAGAGCAAAGTTACTCAGGGTAGTCACTGGACAGCCCACGGGGTACTATATACTGAATTCTAAGCTGGGATATCGTGGGGAGCAGGGAATGACTAGTGACAAACCGAGCCAGGCACCAGGTACTGTACCTGTCCAGCTCGCCGGATTCCAGGGATTTGCACAGGTTAATTAAAGCACAAATAAAACGACGAGTCTTTTAAAATGAGTGTGCACCTGTCACCCATGGCGTACCGAGATCCACCTGGTGCCACCAGATCGGGTCCCTGTCACTAACCACCAGTCGCCCACCGTCCCGGGCTCTCGGCTATCAAGTATAAGTGAAGTCAGGCGTCACTGGCGTCTCCAGCCTTCACCAAGTGACAGGCTAGCGGGAGTCTCCGCATGCGCCAGGCACTGCGGAGAAGATACAAAAAGGTTGGAGATATTTTTCTTTTTTAATCAAGATTCGACTCACCAGTTCCTGGAACATCCGTTACAGCTTGACAAAAAGACAAGATGGCACCGAAAACTTCCCCGTTCGATCTCTCCAAATGCGCGAGACCCAACATCCTGAAATTGAAACCGTACCGTTGTGCGCGAGAGTATGTCTGTCCAGGCGCATCGCTGGCTGTTCACTGACTCACCTGCCCAGTGACTACAAAGACGACGGCACCAATGTCCTCCTTGATGCGAACGAGAACGCCTATGGCCCGGGGCTAGCTCTCGACAAGAATGGTGTGCATGGCAAGGATGACAATACGACGGTCGATTTCCTGGGTTTGAACAGATACCCCGATCCACACCAGGTCGAGCTGAAGGAGTTGTTCTGTCGTCTGAGAAACACACACACCCATACAGACAAACAGTTGAAGCCAGAGAATATGTTCTGCGGAGTCGGTTCAGATGAAGCCATCGACGCGCTGTTGCGCTGCTTCTGTGCGCCTGGAAAAGACAAGATTCTGACCTCTCCTCCCACGTACGGCATGTACGGAGTCAGCGCAGATGTCAATGATGTTGAGATCGTTGAAGTGCCCCTCGACCCCGAGAATGGCTTTTCACTGCGCCCCAAACAAATCTTGGACAAACTCTCCTCCGACCCTTCCATCAAGATGGTGTACGTCTGCTCTCCTGGAAATCCCACCGCCAGTCTCATTCCGAAGGAAGACATTCAACAGATCTTAGAGCATCCAACGTGGAATGGCATTGTCATTGTCGACGAGGCGTATATCGATTTCTCACCTGATGGGTCCAGCTTGGCGGAATGGGTGTTGGAGTGGCCGAACTTGGTGGTGATTCAGACATTGAGCAAGGCATTTGGCTTGGCCGGCATCCGTTTGGGAGCGGTCTTCAGCAGCCCAGAGATTGCAGCACTGCTCAACAACATCAAGGCACCATACAACATCTCAAGCCCAACTAGTGCCATCGCCATAGCAGCTTTGCAAGAAGAGAATCTGGCAGTCATGCGACAATACCGCGAGAAAATCATCCAGCAACGCGAACGACTCCTTCGAGAGCTCCCACGCATTCCAGGTGTTGGCCGTTTCCGCGGAGGGTCTGCTTCGAACTTCCTGCTGGTCGAGATCTTGGACAAACCGCGTGAGGAGGGTGGAAAACCCGACAATGCGACGGCTTTGAATGTTTACGAGACCATGGCGGGGCAACGTGGAGTGGTTGTTCGGTTCCGGGGAAAGGAATACGGGTGCACGGGCTGTCTGAGGATCACAGTGGGCACCGAGCAGGAAGTGGATCGCTTTCTGAAGGAGCTCAGATCTGTTTTGGGTCACATTTACTCGGCTGCATCGCAAGGCTCGAAGGTCAATGGCATCGACAAGGAGAGTCAGAGTGAGGGGGAACGCGAGATGGCCGCCAACAGTGTGATATCATAGGCGTCACGGTTCGTCCCTAGTGGATGCATACGGTGGGTGCACGGGCTTTTCTAGGGGCTGCCTGGCTTGTGGCTGCTTAGGGCGAGTGGGGGGGTGCTTAGACTTTTCTTTTTGGCAGATCCCAGGGCCGGAAGTGCCCATGAGCGGAAGGGGTCTTTTAGTGCCTTTCTCCCAATGGCATTGCCTAAACTTTCATAGCTATGCCCAAAACTGATAGAAAGAAACAATAACACCTTGTTTCTCCCTGGCCCTGTTACATCCTGCCAACACATCGCCCTCGACTCCTTCAGAGTAATCCAATCCAGCACCACACCGCCTCGCCTCTCTCACTCTCAAATTGCAGATTTGCTCCGATTCGCTTTGCAGCCTGGCGCTCGAGGTATTGCGCAGGAACACGGAACCACCCTCCCATATCTTTCGTCCCCCAACTTTCTGCCTTTTGTGTGCCTTGCGATAGGCCACACCCTGATCACAATTCTGATGCCCTATGCTAGTGACTGAGCGAATGATATGATGGACATGCTTTGAAGCGGTACAGCCACCGTAGCCACCTGCCTGTCACATCCTGCACCTTGATCTCATCATCCGCCCTGCGTCTACGTGGAGTCAGTTCCTCCCCCTCCGTCTCGAGCCTCCGAATTGCTGCCCTTCCCTCTCGACAGTCGCTACTTCGTCCCACTCTCGTCACTCCTCGGCTGCGGCTGAATTGTCAATAAGTCTGGTCGATTCACTCCTCCGTCACTCGGCCTTCGCCAGGATACGCAGACACTGGCGACCCTCGCTTTTGCGAAACCATGTTGATTGATTTGAAGAGAAGGCTGTTGATCGTCGCATTGCAATTGTGAGGAACCGTTGCCCGAAAGATATTGGTGAATCATGGTCAAGGCGGATGTGAAGCGGGATTACTACGCGGACTTGGACCTCCCTCCTACCGCCGATGCAGAGGAGATCAAAAGGCAATTTAGACTTCTGGGTAAGAGAAACGAACGGCGTCAACACCTGACTTGAACTCACAGCGCTATAGCGAAACAATATCATCCAGACCGAAACCCTGGCCATGAAGTCGAGGTCGTCCCGAAGTTTCAAGCCGTCCAAGCCGCCCACGAAATCCTGAGCGACCCGGTAGAGAAGGCTAAATATGATGCTGGTCGTGCGAGACTGGCTGCGAAGGCCGCTGCGACTGCCTCAACTGCGTACCCTCCCGATCCCTACGGTTTCTCTAGACCGAACAACGCCAAACAGACTCCTGCAACGAAACAGCAATTTCCTTTTCCCCCGCCTCCCAAGGCGGCGCAAAATCGTGCGCCGTTCGCTACGCCAAATCAGAAACAGCAGGCATCTTCCGGCGCCGACAAGTTTAATGCGTTTACTCGAGGAGTACCACAATCATGGGATCGGGCGAAATACGACGAGGCTCGAGCGGAGGCCGCAAGAGTGTTCCCTACCATGAGGCCTACATCCTCCGCTCAACCAGCGCCACCTCGCTCGACGCCGAGGCAGGCCCCTACTGCTCCCAAACCCCCTACCAGCTCGGAAATGCCATACGTCCCGAACATGCCGCCCACAGGTTTCCCGGGCTTATCGAGAACGGCGAGTTCAAGAAAGTCGGAGTACCACGGGGCAGACGCGTCGCAGTTTTCTCGTTCGGCTTTTTCTTACGTTCAAGGAACGCGTGGACAGCCTCCGTCGAATCCACATATCCATATGCCAGAGGGCCAGTCCATGCGGTCGCCTCCTGTTTCTCGAGCTCGGCCTGCGGTCAGTCCCCTGCGGCATGCCCGATCTTCCGACTATGACATGAGAAAAGATCTTGGAGGCCGTCCATCGGCAAGATATGCTGGCGCTGGCGGGGAACGAATCGACATCAACGGAGACGGTGTACATCGTTCGTCCAGTGTTCGCAATTCTCCAATTGATGATCGAGGGCCGTTCGGCAAGCCGTCGACTCGCTACGAGAGTGTTCCACGCCATCGGAGCGCTAGTCCCGGGATGCGAAAGACAGGGCGACATTCAGATTTCTCCGAGACTTCGTCGAGCGAGGAAGAATCACTGCATATGGACTCCAGGCCGAAGGCGGTCCCTCGGAGCCGACCACAAGTCAGAACAGGACCCAGCTTCAACGCAGACAACAACCCGGGCCTGACGGGTCAATATCCCAGTACTAACTATACTAGAATCGTCGATGACAGTCGTTATCAGTACCCTCCTCCCGAAGCGAAAGAACCGATCCGCAAACCGTTCCCGAGCATGGCGTCCCCGGATATGGAGGCACCCAAGGCCAATGTGTTGCATGGTGACGGAGGAGGTTCGGACAAACACAAGTATGCTCCCTTTTTCCTGGATTCCCGCACATGGTCCCGAGCAAATAGATGTGATGGTTCTGCCCAGAGAGGACATTCCTTCAATGGCTTTCCGTCGTGGGCAGTTCCGTCGACTGTTTTCCCGCAGACCACGCCTCCCCGGTCTCATAAGCAGAACGATGAAGCCCTCAAGGCCGGAGGTAGCCTTCATTTTGTTCAGTCGTGGAGCAATAAGACTAACCCAAGCGTCAGTAATGACCCAAACCAACCGAAAGTTCAGACGACATTTTCGGCGGCGGATTGGCACGATAAGGTGACAGCCGAAGACATCTTCCGGCCCGATGAGTCTCAAACGCGCAAGTCCCCCTCGAAACTGAATCGAAGCAGTAGTAAGCCCACATCGCGGGGAAGAGCACAGTCACGGTCCGCAGAGCACGATTCAACTCCTTCGTCAGAGATTCCCAATGGTCATGGAGAGGACAAGTCGAGCGCATTCCAACCTGGAAAGCTGGCGGATGATTGGGCTGCTAGAGCATCGGCGAAGCCAGGCCCTCGCAATCCGAGAGCAAGCCCCGCATCCGACACCACGGATGACTCGAGAGATCGTTACATTGTGGTGGAGGAAGATGCAATGGACGTCGACACGCCGCCAACAGCCCACAACATCAAGGTCCCAGCCTCGAATGGAATCAAACATCCAGTCAGTGCGGGACCGCCCCGTCCCGAACCGAAACGGCGGTCGACGAACGGGGGAGTAGACCTGAAGGAATTCACTCAACAAGCTCCATTTGCGCCAACGTCAGCCGGGCTCAAGGGCATGAAAGACGACCTCGAAACCTTCCTTCCGTTTGAGTCACGAGCGTCACAGGATGTCAACCTCAACCGTGCGACGACCGCACGCATCCGGGCGTTGAACCTTCCCAAACCACCCAAAGTGGTCACTCCGCCGGCCGAGGATCGGTTAGACAAGACCAATTTCGCGCAGTACGTCGAAAATATGGAGAACTACATGCGTGAGTGGAACAAATTCAACGCAAAGATGATTGAGCATTTCCGATCCCGGCAGGATCGGATCTGCGGCACGATGAGCCCGCACTGGATCTCGCAGCCGAGCGATGGGCCAGAAGCAGATGCTGTGGATGCCGATGGCTCTGGCGACACGAAGGCGGGCTATGGCGCGTATATGCAGTGGCTGCAGGACGACGCGCAATGTCGAAACTGGTGGGAAGAGGCCAACGAAAAGCATTTACAGTGTCTGGAAGACCTGGGAAGAGCTAGGCAGGCTGCGAAGCGCAAGCTGCGGACGTGACGACGATGGCACAAAGTTTCGGGCCATTGATACCCGCAATCTGAGGTCAATAGTGGCTTTTTGGAGCGAAGAAATCGGGCGCAGTGCGGATAAGATACCCTTTTGACCTTGTGGCGCCTTTTGTTGGCGTCGATAGTAGTGGGAGACGGCTGAGAACGCTTCTGAGACCGTAGTTTTTGGGAGATTCTGGATGTGTACTCGGTACCTCGTATGTATGGAGATCCCATGGTGTCTCACGTCGCTGGAATCTTGTGGTCGCCGGCAAGCTCGGACGACGGAGTAACATAAGCTTCTTCAAGCATGCGCCAAGTACGCCAAGCTTTTCGATGCTCACTCGGACAGTGCCATGGTCCGATGCTTGCTGATGCTTGCGTCCACTTGCTTATCTTATCTTGGCCTTGGATCCTGGGGCTGGAAACGGCAAGAGGGCGGACACACCACTTCGTCAACCTATCGCCGACGCCAATTGGAGCACCTCCTGGGAACAGAGTTCCCAGCTCACTGCATCGGATGACTGGCTAAATGTTGGATCGTCCAGTCAGGCCGCGCAATCCCGCCTGGTGGCATGGGTCCGAAACCTGGAATGTGCCAGGAGTTTAAATTGACAGCTCAGCTACCAGTTCACATTCAGCTCCCCTTTCTTTTTTCTTCTTCTCTCATAAGCTTCTTGAGGGAAAACCAGCCGTTTGTCTCGACAACACTCTCTTTTCCAACGATACTTGCTCGTCACGACAGACTATATACGTGTCACATATCCAGCACAATGGACGCCGAAAACCAGCAACAGAAAGTCCAGGCTCCTGAAGCCCAGGCCGGCGCTGACAGTGCCATCTCTCAGCAACCCGTGAGTGACAGATTTATCATGCATTGATCTCGCCTTCCTCCCTATTCACCTTCCGGTGGCTCTACCGCTGCCTTTTTGGATAACTCTGGGAAACTCATCTGCTGACGTGCCTCGTACACAGGCTGCTCGTGAATCCATGGATGCCAGCGGTGCCAGCAACAAAGTTGGTCTTCGAGGCGGTGGTGAGGGAGAGGACATTTGCTGTGGCCTGTATGTCTTTCTACTCCGTGCTTTGACTCTATCGCGATGTGCTCCAAATTGGACAGTTTTCCACTGACACATTTCATGCAGGTGCGCCGGGTTTTTGTGCTTCGAATGCTGCAAGGACTGCTGCTAGATGCGCTGCAATTTCACAGCCAACTGCAAGGCCGGAGAAGGCATGGAGACCAGTACCATGAAGCAACAATCCATCGATACCCCATAGTCCATTCAGCAAGCCCGTTCTCGCGCTGCTTGACAATTCAATCAACCTACAATTCAAACTTGTCTCTGACCGCTCCACCACGCAATGGTTGTGCATTGATATTTCCTTGTTGTGCTCGTGGGATCCTCATCCTTTTCGAAAATCTGTGACTACGTGGATTTTGTTCGTCTTTTTGCCGTAACGGGTAATCCCCACGGTGGTGATGTGACGCGACCTCCTTCTGAGCTAAGACCTAAGGAGGTGGCTGTGTTCGACGCTCCCTGCTCATTCCGAACTACGCCCTTTTGGATTGGCAAGATCCTACCTGCGCAAAATGTGAGACATGTCGCAAGGGGCGGGAAATCGTATGTTGGTCGTCTTCGTCTCGTATCCATGTTACCCTTTCGTTGTCCTCGTTTTGTTACCCTGCATGCCAGTTCCAGCGAGCAAGGTGGAGCTAAGAGATCTTGAGTGAACGGATACAGAACCATGTGTGCATCGTGACACTCTCGAAAAGTAGCAGCTGTGCCTGCTACGTACGCAATGTCTCTGCGGAATGCTGCTCTGTTAAACTCCTGGGATAGTGCATCTGTCCTGGGTTGAAGATGTACCACTGCTCGCATTACTTTCCATTCTCGGAGCTATCGGCTCAGTTTCCCTACAAGTCGAGTCTGTACCAGTATTAATACAATCATTACACAATCATTTCAATGGCAATATCTCGGTGAATCGGATTTCTCCCTCAACATCACCCCTGTCGCCCTCCTCACACGCAGGTCCCTGAAATCTCTCCACGCAACAGCTCGGAGCAGAATCATACTACTGCGTGTTCCTACAGGAGCTCGTCCATTGAGTGGACTTCAGCTGCTCTGGTACATATCGCCCTCGGCAATCCCAAGGTTCTAGGCTTCGAAGATGCGGGGGACGGTGGACGCCACGGCACGACCCCCCTGTCTTGGTCAATGACCTGCTCTACGTTCCTTGCGAGTCAAATATCGACATCTGTCTGCTCAGGTATTCTGACTCAAGGTCTGATGACTCGGGACCTGGATCGATTGGAAACTTGGCCTTCGATCAGCCACGCCAGTAACACACTTTGCTTGACCCCAGATTGTCTTTACCCCAGATGCTGGAGAATTGGATCCATTGTGGAGGTGGGCCTTGACTCGCAACTTCGTAGTCAATGGCCCATGCGAACCAGATCATTCTTCCGTTACCCCAGATGTCGGAGACTTGACCTTCACCTGAAGATAGGTACCCCATCAAGAATTCGGAGATCAGCATCTGGGAAAAAGACACGGACGGTTGTCAACAAATCTTGAGTAACAAATTGCTCAACAGGTTCCCTTACCCGAGGTGTACAACCCAACTCGACCCAGCTCAAAATGTTCAGGTATACCTATAAGTGGCAGTCGAATGCCTGCCTTGGTGGCAGAGCTTCCCCAACACTCCTGTTGTTGTACAACTGCTCGCGACGATGGTTCTAGGAATCACAAAACTTCTTTGGTCGAGCGGCAACTTTGCTGGTCACTCGCGGAAACGACTCAATGCCTACAATGCATGGATGATATTGTTTGTGTCTGTTGGCTCCCTCACTTATGGTTATACTGCAAATGTTATCAGCGCGACTCTCGGTCAGTCTCTTTCCTTGTGTAGCCCTGTAACAAACCTCGCCTGCTGACTGTGGTTCGCTTGCAGCGCAGCCAACATTCATCACCTACATGCATCTCGACACTCGACCAGATGCCACGGCTCTTCTCTCGGCCACCAATGGAGTATTCCAAACAGGCGGCGTGCTCGGAACACTCACCCTACCGTTCTTCAGCGACAAGTTCGGCAGGAAAGGTGGTCTCGCAATTGTCGGTTTCCGCCTGTCTTCCCTTTGAACAAAACGTTCTGTTAGGATGGCCGACTGACAAGCAGTCCAGAGTGCGATATTGTGCATCGTCTCTGGTGCTGTCCTCGCCGGTAGCGTCAACATGAGCATGTTCCTCGCATTTCGTTTTTTCGCCGGAGCAGGCGCATTCATGATCCTCGCCGCGGTGCCTATCTGGATGGCTGAGGTCGTCCCGCCCTACCTGCGAGGTGCGCTGGTGCAGCTCCACGCTGTCGTTCTCGTCATCGGGTACATGTGCGCCTCTTGGCTTGGATTTGGTATCTTTCATTGGGAAAACGGCGGATCTGCCACATGGCGGATTCCCTTCGCGGTCCAGTGTTTCTTCCCGCTGTGCTTGCTGGTGGGACTGTACTGGTGCCCTGAGAGTCGTGAGTGTCACTCTAAGGATCTACCTAGGCTCTGATGGAGAAAGAGACCGCTGATGTTGTCATATACAGCTCGCTGGCTTATTCTCAAGGGACGGACCGAGGAAGCGCGAGAGCTTCTGCTGCGTTTGCACGATGATCCGGACGATCCACATCACACCTTTGCTCGCACAGAATATCTCCAGATCACCAAACAGGTGATTCAGGTCCTTGATCGTTGTTCAGGACCGTTTCTGACTTCTATTCTCTTCTGTACAGCTCGCCATTGACCGTACCTTACCGAGCAGTTGGTTGCACATTATGAAGAAGCCATCCTTGCGCAAACGTGCCCTCATCACCATGGGCACCACTGGTTTTATCCAGTGCTCCGGCATTCTCGTTGTCAATAATTACGGTCAGTGGCTTCAGGTCAGCGTCACATATGGGTGAGTGTATGTGTTAACGCGGATCAAGGTCCGCTATTATACAAGAACCTGGGCTATGACACGGCCACGCAACTCTTGTATGGCGCGGCTTGGCTCACCTTTGCGCTGGGACTTGACCGTAAGCTACAGCAGAGACCACCCCATCCTCGATTACCCACTGACCAAATCTGCTTTTTGCAGTGATTGCCTGTTTCCTCAACGACCATTTCCCACGCAACAAGTTCCTTGCCACCGGCGTTCTCGGATGCATGATTGACTTGTCCGTCGTGGCCGCCATCGACGCCAACGTGCAGAAATTCATCGCCGACGGCAACACCGGCGCCCTTAAGGCCGGTGTCGCGTTCCTCTTCCTCATCGAGGTGCCCTACGACTTCTTCCTGAACGGCATGCAGTTCATCTACATCAGCGAAGTCTGGCCCATGCACCTGCGCGCCAAGGGCATGAGTCTGGGCGTGGCCATGATCTCGCTCATGAACATCGTCTGGCTCCAGTCCGCCCCGATCGCCTTCCAAAACATTGGGTGGTATTTCTACCTCTGCTTCATCATCCCGGGGACCATCGGTGCCGTCATCATGTGGTTCTTCTTCCCGGACACGCTGGGTCTGCCCCTGGAAGAAGTCGCCGCCATCTTCGGCGATCACGAAGAGGTCGCGGGCTACATGCGCGACATTCACATTACGGACGACGAGATCGACCATGTCGAGGGCTTTGGATCGGCTGTCGAGGGTGAGAAGAGCGGCGCCACTGCCCAGAAAATAGAACATGCAGCCTAGTCGTGAGCCTGACTTACCGCTTGCTGGTTGATCCCCCAGGGGAGCGAGAGGTGGCGGGTTACCAACAAATTGTTCCGGCCGAGATTCTGCCCGGCTGGGCGTCCATAGCTAAGCAAAGGAGGAAGGAAGAAAGGTATCCTAGTTAGGAGGTAGACAGACATCCTCCATTATGAGGAATGAACTCATCCAATCCAAACAAACACACAGCCACTGGGCTATAACAATGTTGTTATGAATCGATCTGAGGTGGGTCCGTTCCTGAGCAAACAGAAGGTATAGTGAGACATCTATTTGTCTAGTAATATCTGTTCTTGGCCTTGCGAGACACTCTAGATATACGTACAACGCAACGAATTCAACCGAAGGGCGGCAGTGGTGAGTTGGTGGCATTCAGTGCGTATGCGTGCTTGCTCGTCAGGCCATGGCCACCACGACCTCCCACGGTCTCAGCAAGATGGCCCAGCCTTTCTCACCGTCTTTGCGGACCGCATTGCCTTCCTCCCCGGTGCGCGTGTAATTGCGAAAGTCTTCCAGGATGGCGCCTCGCCTCAGCCCCGCGCCGTCAAACAACACGCCCTGTCCTGCCCCCGGAGGAGGTGTCCACCAGACGTCCTCGTCGGAGAAATTGGTCACGACGAGCCCGGTGGTGGCGGTCCTCGACTTGTTGTGGTGGACTTCTTCTGCGCCCGGGGCCGCCGCCGGCGCCGAATTGTCGGTCCGCACATACGCGACCACGGCCCCGCACTCGTCGTTGTCCACGTCCACGTCCAGCATCTGGAAGGCGCCGTAGACGAAGACGTCCGTGTGCCGCTTGCGCAGCGCGAGCACGCGCCGCCAGTAGTGGAATGCGCTGTCGTGGTCGGCGAGTTGCGCCGCGGCGTTCCACTCGGCGAAGTCCGGGTGGATGGACATCCAGGGCTTTGCATCCGGGGGCGCCGCGTCGGGGAGGAAGCCGGCGTAGGTGTCGGCGTCGGCGGTCCACTGCATCGGCGTCCGGGCGTTGTCGCGGCCGATGAGCCGGTACTGCCTCCTGTAGGCGGCTTGTTTCTCGGTGTCGTGCGGGAAGTCTCGGAGCACGGTCTGCCAGTGGTTGAGTGCCTCGATGTCCTTGTACTCATCCATCCCCCAGCTCTCCGGCACGTTGACCTGCGCCAGCTCTTGGCCCTGGTACACGAAGATGGTGCCGGACAGGAGCCCCATGTGTGCGGCGAGCAGCTTGGCCGATTTGGTGCGGTGGGCCTCACTGTCGTCGCAATACCGGGAGACCGAGCGTCCCTGGTCGTGGTTCTCCATGAACACGGCGTTCCAGCCGGCGTTCTGGAGCATGAACGATTGCCATTTCGACACGACGTGCTTCAAGGTCCGCGGGTCGAAGTCCCGGTGGTCCCACTTGATCCCGCCGGGCTGGACGTCCATGCCGACGATGTCGAATTGAAACACCATCGCGAGCTCGCCCCGGTCTTGTCCCACCGCCTTGAGGATTTCCCGGGTGTCCTCGACGCCGGGCATCTCGCCCACCGAGAACGCGTCGTATTGTCGGAGAATCGCCCCGATGTCGCGCAAGTATTCGTGCAGCCGCGGACCGCAGGCAAAGTATTTCGCACCCGACTGCAAGTACCCCGGCCGCGTGACCTCGCCGTCCGGGAGGTGCGGCTCTTTCGATATGAAGTTGATGACATCCATCCGGAAGCCGTCGACCCCGCGGTCCAGCCAGAATCGCATCATGGCATGGACTGCGTCCCGCACCGCCGGGTTCTCCCAGTTCAGGTCGGGCTGCGCACTTGCGAACAGATGCAGGTAGTATTCATTCGTGGCGTCGTCGAAGGTCCAGGCAGACCCAGAGAACGCCGATTCCCAATTATTGGGTGGGATGCGATTGCCGTTGTCGTCGAAGCGTGGCGGGCGCCAGATATACCAATCCCGGTATGGACTGTCTTTCGAAGAGCGCGATTGCTGGAACCACTCGTGTTGGTCGGACGTGTGGTTGACCACGAGATCCATCACGTACTTCATGCCACGATCGTGCAGGCCCTGGATCAGCTCATCGTGGTCCTCCATCGTGCCATACCCCGGATAAATGGCGCGGTAGTCAGAGATGTCATATCCCATGTCGACCTGCGGGGATTGGAGGATGGGACTGAGCCACACAATGTCCACCCCCAGGCTGGCAATGTAATCCAGCTTGGAGATGATGCCACGGAGGTCACCTTTGACCGTGCCCGTCGCCTCGTCCACCGTACAGTTGGCTGATTTGAAGGATGCCGGATAGATCTGATAGACCGAGGATTCTTTCCACCAAGCACGACGGAGAGGTGGCTTCTTCAGCACTGAGACTTGTGATGTATCTGCCATTGTGTCCTAGCCAAAGCACTCTCCTCCCACGGGGGGACAACGGTGCAATTCTTATGGAATGTCTAAAGTCAGCTCTTTCTTTGACATGCTGAAGACTCGATCTCTGGGAGGCTTTGTCAGAGTCGGGGGGGATTGCCCAAGACAGCGATCATGCCCTCGATATGCACAGGCACCCGAGGAAGTAAGTCGAGCAGCGAATGACACGTCATGTCACGCAGTCATGAATCAGAATCTGATACTTACTGGCTTGGACTGCCACCATTCGAAGCCGCCGCAAGGCGAAGCATGCAGGAATCTCCCTCGCCGCCGAGAATTTCTCCGAGCTCGAAGGATGATGAGGTCAGAGTATTTATACAGTATCTTCTCGGAGGAGCTTACCTCCGAGACTAATCACCCAGTGCCATTGAATGTACTCTCAGAGGTACGTACATACACTGGACGGCGGTCAATTGACCAGACATATGTAGCAGACGTCACCACTCCCTGTTTCTCGTGAGAGGCTCTGAGCATAATTGCTATATGGTAGTTGCTAAAGACAGGACAAGACAGGACAAGGGCATTACATTGCACTCCACACACATACAATAGAGTCCCATGGCTGGCTGGCTGGCTCTAATTATGGCTGTATACCATACTCTACGTAGGTAGGTAGGTAGATAGATAGATGCCAGGCTAAGGCCACGACATGAACCTCTGCCTGCCTGCCTGTCTGTCTGTCTGAGTTCGTCGCGTTTACTATCACCACCACTACCACTACCACTACCACCACCACCGTCATATCCAGGTCTTTCTTTCTTTCTTTTGGGGCCTCCCCGAATGGGCGATCATCTTCATTTTCATATGGAATCCGTTCCCCCATTCATTTTACACATCGATCGTAAACCCCCAGGGAGCGTGGAGAGCGTCGCGCCCGCGCAGATAGTTGGTGTCTGTCAGTTACTCATACTCTTGTCCTTTTTTTTCTTTTTCCTCTTTTCCTCCCCCTCTCCTCCTCTGAATCTCCTACTCGTCCCCTCCCGCACCCCCCGCCAATCCACTGCCGCCGACCTGCTTGGCGCTCTTCGCCCCGCAGATGTCGTCCACGCGCAACAGCAGACACGCGCTCTCCACCGCCGTCTTGATGCTCTGCAGCTTGACCGCCTGGGGCTCCCACACGCCGTACTCCTTCATGTCCACCACGTTGCCCGTGTCGCCGTCGACCCCAAAGGTCGACTTGCCCTCCGCCTGCTTGGCGCGGAGTTGGGTCAGGATGCGGATGGGGCTGGCGCCGGCGTTCTGGATCAGCGTCCGCGGGATGACTTCCATGGCGTCGGCCACGGCCCGGTACGGCCACTGCATCACGCCCTCGATGGACTTGGCCTTCTGGGCGAGCCGCACCGAGACCGCCATCTCGGTGGCGCCCCCGCCGGGCGAGAGACGTGGGTGGAACATGACGTTGCGCGCCACGGACATGGCATCCTGGAGGTTGCGTTCGATCTCGTTCAGGATGTCCTTCGACGGTCCCCGGAGCAGGATTGTACACGCCTTGGGGTTCTTGCATTTCGTGAGAAACGTAAAATACTCGTCGCCGATCTTTTCGATCTCAAACAGACCGCAACCCGTGCCCACGTCGGACTCGACCAGGTCGTCGACCCGGTTCACAATGGTGGCACCCACAGCCCGGGCAATGCGGTTGTTGTCCGTCTTCCGCACTCGTCGTAGTGCCGTGACGTTTGCCTTCTGGAAGTAATGCTGTGCCAGGTCCGACACGCCCTTCTCGGTGATGACCAGGTCAGGCTTGACCGCCAGAACGGCGTCGCACATCTTCTTGACCTGCTCCTCTTCGATCTGTAGAATCTTGTTCCACGAGTCCTCGTCCGTGATTTCAATGTTGGTCTGGGATTCGCCCTTCTTGTACTCGAGCGGGCAGTCTAGCAGCACGATCCGGGGGTTCTCTATCCGTCGCCGCATCGAGGCGTGTGTAATGTCCTTGTTCAACATGACTCCGTCCAACACTCTCGAGTCCTCGATTTCTCCCCCGGGGATCTTTTCCACTCGCGCGTATCGCTTGATGTCGATCTCCACGGGTCTCACAGGAGCCGGCGCGGCGGCGGATTTGGTGGCGCCGTTCGCTTGCGGGGCATTGGAGATAGACGTCTGGTCCTGGGAGACGGTCCGGACGGCGTTCAAGGCAAGGGAACACATGAGTTCCGAGTATCGGGAGATGGTCTTGGTGCCGATGGAGGATTCAATGAGCGAGATCATGGCCTTGTCGCTCGAGGTGTCGACGGGTACGGAGATCTCTTCGACGATGGCCAGCGCGTCCGCCAGCGCCTTTTTGAACGCCTGGATAATAACCACGGGGTGGATATTTCGTTCGAGTTGGGGGAGTGCTTGTGCAAGGATTTCGCCCGCTGTTCCACCGGATCTCGTCAGTACTGACCTGTTGGAGAATGAGAACAACAAGTATACCTAATATGATGACCGTCGTCGTGCCGTCGCCCACCTCCTCGTCCTGTGTCCGGCTCAGCTCGATCATACTCTTTGCCGCAGGGTGTGCGACCTCGATCTCGCGGAGGATGGCGTGGCCGTCGTTCGTGAGGACGATGCCGCCCATCGGATCAAGCAGCATCTTCAGCATCGCTTTGGGCCCGAGACATGATCTGATGATATCCGCCACCCTGTGTTGTGTTAACGACGATATTTTTCTTCCCTCCGTGGGGGATCCTCACGTCTTCGCAGCGGTGATGTTGGATATCTGCGCTTTTCGACCCACTTGTCTCTCGCCGTTCGCCGTGTCTGTCACACAGGTCAGCGTCCGGCCACGGCACCAGAATCAATAGAATCGGGGAGTCTCACTCATAACCACCACAGGCGCCTGCATCCTGCCTGCGGTCGAGGCCTGTGGCCCGGAAACAGATTTTTCAAGGAAATTCCACCTGCGACACCGGAAGAGGGGATCCCGAGAAGAGGAAGAGAAGACTGTCACAGGTCAAAGAGCTTGCAGAACGGTCACAATGAAATGGCCCTCCGTGTGTTGTGGAATGTGGCTAATACCCAATATGTGTGAATCGGCAACTTTTTGATAATTTACCACTGGTCAAGGCTGCGCTAGTCTAGATTCGGAGAACTGGGATACCCCTCAGCCTTGCGACTGTAGCCAATAGCAGCAGGCGGCACTTTCTATGACTGATCATGTGTGGCAGGAATATGCTTCCATCGTCCTACGTCCCCTCTGTGTCAAAGATATTACGTCTCACTGTGTCTGGGGCCAATCCTTTTATTATTTATACTACCCTTCCCGTCTCCCATGTTGCCGCTCGCCTTCCCCTCATAACTAATGCAGCAGAAGTCAATGACCCTGACTTTTGGACCTACCACCCCTATGTAGCGCACAAAAGAAATGAATTCCCCATCTTAATCCTCTCGAGGCTGTCCCCTCCAGGCAAGGGAGGCTGTCTCATAAGATGCATCTCCAGAGAGCAATGATGCGTTCGTGGGGTTTGTAGAGTGGTGGGCTCAAATCGGCTCCTCCCTCGGCTCGATCAAGATCTCATTCACCGCAACATGCTGGGGCTGTCTCAGAGCATAGACAATCGAATTGGCCACGTCTTCTGGATCCAAGATCTGCGCACCAGTCGGCTCCCCATATTTCTTGACGGCTTCAGCGTCCGTGGACATGCCGAAGAGGTCGGTGGCCGTGTTACCAGGCTGCACGCTCGTGACCCGCAACCCGGTCCCTGCGGTCTCTAAACGCAGGCTCTGCAGCGTGGCTTCGACAAAGAACTTGCTGGCCGAGTAGACACCGAGGCCAGGAAAGACCTTTCGGCCTGCGTCCGACGATATGGCGACAATGTGGCCACCACCGCGTGAGATCATGGACGGCACGACCGACGAAAGGCAATGGAGAAGCCCCTTGCAATTGACATCGACTGTACGGTCCCAGTCTTCAACGTGCGCATTTGCCATCATGGTATAATACATGACTCCAGCGCAAGAGATCAGGATGTCGACCGGCCCAAGCTCGTCAGTCGCTGCTTGGATAAGGTTCTCAACCTGCTTCCTGTCGGTCACGTCTGTCATTCGGACGATCACCCTGCCCTCACGGACCACGAGTCTGCTCTTCACAGCCTCGAGAGCGTCGGTGCGGCGAGCACCAAGAGCGAGGTGGAGGCCTTCGCGTGCCAGAGCAGCCGCAACGGCAGCGCCGATTCCGGATGAAGCGCCAGTGATGACAGCCACGCGACCGCTTAGGGGTCCTCTCCGTATGGGCTGTGCAGTGCCGCCGAGAGCGTGTTGGCGTGACGGCGGATGAGGCAGCCATCCTCGGGCAAACCAATGGCGGGCATACGTTTCGAGTAATACACTGTCAACCTTGGGTCGTTCAACAACGGCCCGCAAGGGCCTGGTGGCAGCGTTGTTCAGCACAACAATACCCCTCAAGAACTCGACGCTCGGCATGCCGCTGCGGAGGATATCAATAGTAAAGGCTCCGTCTCCACCTTTCAAGGTGCCTCTGTTCTGCTGCCATCGACCGACCCAATCGTCCCAGGGTAGTGGTTTTGTGGGGTATCCAAGCTCTTCGAGGTCTTTGAAGACTGACCGAGTTGGGACTGGATCAGGATCGCCGAGGTGAAAAACGACCTGCATGGTACTGATCTGATTCGAGAGATGAATGATGGCTTTGCTCACAAAGTCGACTGGCGTCATCTCAGCGCGCCAGCCTTCCACAACCGGAGCATATCCAAGATTGATGGATTCGACAAGGATCGCATTGAGCAGATCCCACGCGTTCCCTGCCCCTGTCGTACTGTGGCCGCTGATTGTCCCGGCTCGGTGCACCTTGACCGGCAAGCCTCGACGACCAGCTTCCAGCACAAGCTTCTCCGCCACCCACTTGGACTGACCATATCCGTCGGCCAGCTTTTCCGGCACATCGTCCACTTCCAACATGGCGTCTTCATTCCAGCCCTCTCGAGATGGCGGCAAAACACCATTTGTGGAGATGTACTGCACTGTGGCTCCAGCGCGACATGCCAGACGCAGGATTTCCCTTGTTCCGCCCACGTTAGCATCCCGGAGGGCAGCATACGGGTATACAAGATTGACGGTGGCGGCAGCGTGGAAGATAACTTGGACACGACCCGTGAGTTCTTCAAAGGCGTCCGGGGACAGACCTAGTCGAGGCCGGGATAAGTTGCCAGGGAGGATCTCGACGCGTTCCATGATTGAATCCCGCCACAATCCCAAATCGAGGAGGTGCCTTCGCATCCTTGCAATACCTTCTGGCAGGTCGGCTTCGGACGGATCCGGGAAGCGTACAAGGCACAATATCTTGGCCGACGTGCTTTCCAGCAGATCATTCAACAAGAATGCGCCTAAAAAGCCAGTGACACCGGTCAGTAAGATCGTATCTGCTTTGTTGGCGGCACATATAGTAGCATTCGTCGGCCGAATGTTGTCCTCCAGGGTGGAATCTTTCCGAAGGACGTCAGGGAGATGAGCTTGCACTGCTGCGGCGTGACCGTCTCTTACCGATCGCACCGTTTCCAGGTGGCCATTAAGAGTCGCCGGGTCGACGAGTCGTGCAAGAGGCACCTTGACGCCGAGAACTCGAGAGAACCGTGCAGACAAGTCTGCAAGCGTCAAGGAGTGACCGCCCAGGTCGAAAAAGCTATGCTCCGGCGTGATTGTGCTGCGTGAGATCTTGAGACTGGCCGCCCAGATTTCAGCTATGGCCTCAATGTCAATGGGATCTTGGTCTCCCTTGTGCCCATTCAGCGGCGTACTGCTGCCATTGACAGCTTTCGGACTTGGGGGTGGGGGAAGCCGTCTGAGATCGACCTTGCCAGACACTGCATTGGTCGGCAGCTCCTCGACTTCCACCCACAGGGCTGGAATCATATAGTGGGCCAGGTAGGGTGAGAGTGTCCGTCTTGCGGATGGGCTGTGACCCAATTCATTGACCTCCAACTCCGGGCGATCCGCAGAAGATTCCTTGTCGCGGACAACATATGCAACGAGTTGCCGTTCCAACGCCTCGCCATGAGCCGTGACGGCACAATGTCGAACAGCAAGGTGTTGGACAATGGCGTGCTCGACCTTTCCAGGCACGACGGAGTAGCCACGAAGCTTGATCATGGCTCCGACACGGCCGGTGATTTCCAGAAGGCCGGACGGGAGTATTCGTGCTTGATCTCCCGTTCGGTACATGCGTGCTCCCGGCGTTGAATCAAATGGGTCGGGGGTGAAGGCTTTGGCAGTTGTCTCGGGACGATTGATATAGCCACGGGCAAGGAGGGATCCGCCCACGAAAAGTTCACCACTTTCTCCAGCTCCCACCCTTTGGCCACTCTCGTCAAGAATGTAGGTGTGTTCTGCGTCTAGAGGAGGGCCGACCGGGCAGTAGTTTGCCTCGTCGTCCAGCATCTCGGCAATATCTCCACAGGCAATTTCGTGAGTCTCGCAGGCGCTATAGCAGTTGAGCAGGGTGGTGTTGGGGAGCGCCTTGATTGCTCGACGGGCCAGGTCGGTCGTCACGACCTCGCCATTAAGCCACAAGGTCCGCAGCTTCGGCAGACGAGCTCCGATCTTCGGATGGCGCGAGAGCACGGCGGCCAAGAGCGTCGGGGTCATGAGGGTTTCGGTGATGTTCTTGGAAGCGAGCAGGTCCACGAGCGCGGGAGGGTCATAACTGGCCTCGTCAGGCACTGCCACGACGGTTGCTCCTCGCAGCAAGGGACGTAGAATCTCCCAGATGAAAAAGACATTGCAAGCCACACGATCACCGGGCTGCAGATCGCGCACCCCGAACCGCAGGTTATACGAAAGGACTGGCGCTCGATGGGGGTTGGCAATCCCCTTCGGTTTGCCCGTTGTCCCTGAGGAGTAAGAGACGAAGGCGAGTCTGTCCAAGTCATCGTCCGCAGGGGCCGGAGGTAGGTCTTTCACATCTCCATTGGTGTCTGTCTGCTCCTCATCCAGCGTGATGAGAGGGATACCCTCCTTGATCTTACCAACCTCGGCCCGGTAGGTGACGACTACAGCTGGTTGGGCATCGTCAATCACGTCTGCTAGGAGTTCAGGAGGGTAAGCCAGCTCGAGGACGAGAAACGCCCCGCCCGCCCGGAGTGCGGCGAGACAGGCAATGACATAGTGGGCACTGCGTGGAAGCAGCACGCCTACCAGGCTGTCTCGGCCAACTCGGTGCTTGCGGAGGCGATTGGAGAGGTCTTCGACCGTTCGGTCCAGTTCGACATAGGTGTATGTCGATGTATCGTCCTCCAACGCCACTGCATTGGGCGTGGCTTGGGCCTGTTTCCGGAACAGGGCCGACAGGTCCTTATTGATGTCGATGACCGGCATGATGTTTTTGTCTCTTCTCACAGTTGTCCTTTTACAGGGTAGATGTTCCAACCCGAGCTAACCCTGGGTGGTTCCCATGGTGTTTTGTGTTGGTGGTGATGATGGGAAAAAGGAAAGAACAGACTCACCCTCTATCCCTCCCACCTCTTGGGGGCGTCACAGGATTTTCCGATGGATTTCTGTTGAGAGGGTCACCAGCATGTTCAGTGACCAATGGTGGTTCGGGATCCCGAAGACGTCATCGCGAAAACTTCGAGAGATGGGCTTGGATAGACGTTTGTAATTCGCCGAACCGGGGCGAGAGATCTGGCGATAGCCAATACCTCTATACTGCTTGTACTTGGCCGGATTGGCGTCCCGCAGTCTAGGCTTGCTGGGAAACTGTACAGGTAATACCTATTGTACCAATACTGGGCATCTGTGGGCAGCGAGGCTGCTCTAGTACTGTTTCGACCGGGACCGAGCACCTGGTTACACGGAACTTGTCGCTTCTACCGAGTAGGGTGTCACGGTACAGAATAGCGATTGGACAGGTGACACTGGGCAAAAGACCGAGATTACTCTCCCACAATGCCACCCGAGGGAACAAATCATCAACACATTTACTGCTCCACTATCCTTCGTCTTGGTCCATATCATCTCGGCTCCGCTTCCCACCCACGCCCTTTGCCGTCCGCTTGTGTCGCAGCGTTGCACCTTTCTTGCCCCGATTGTCATGCAGCTCCTTCATCTCCATTGCTGCCGCCCGTTGGGCGTCTCCTACTCGTTCTGCCAACACCATGACCTCTTCCTTGACTGTTTCGTACTCGTTCAATTTCTTGCCCAGTGCCCCCTCGATCCTCATCCACAGCTCCACATCATACTGAGTGACAAATGAAATCGCTTTGCCGCTCTTGCCCGCTCTCGCCGTACGCCCGACGCGGTGGATGTATGTTTTGCTATCGTGGGGAAGATCGAAGTTGACCACGAGATCAACGGATGGAATGTCGAGGCCACGCGACGCCACATCTGAAGCGACGAGCAGATTACGAGACTTTGCGCGGAACTTGTTGAGAGCGGCCAATCGCGCCTGTTGAGATAGCTGGCCGTGGATTGGAATTGCGGAGAAGCCCAGGGTCCGAAGTAGGATCGAGATTCGCTGTGCTTCGTTGACTGTGCGTGTAAAGATGATCCCTGTCTGGCCGGCAAGTTCGTTCAAAACATGTATGAGGTAAAGGTCTTTGTGCTTGTGGGGGATGAAGAGGTATGACTGGATCAGCGTCGACACGGTTTGGTATTTGTCCTGGGAGACCGCCACACGGAGGGGATTTGACAATGAAGCTCGTTGTAGGGATTCGACCTTGCTCGACATGGTAGCAGAAAACAGATACGTCTTTCTCCCTTCCCTTGGTAGGATCTTCAGGATCTTGTCCAGGATGGGCCCAAAGTCCAAGTCGAGCAGTCGGTCGGCTTCGTCCATGACCAGGTACTTTAACTGGCGCAGGGAGAATCCCTTTGTGTTTTCCAAATGGTCCAGCAGGCGGCCGGGCGTGGCAACAATGACATGGGGTTTCTTTCCTAGAGCAATCGATTGTGGAATCATATCCATTCCACCGACCAGCACAGCGCACCGGACGGCGATCAGCGAGCCTAGGGCTTCCACCGCCTGGGAGATCTGGTACGCTAGTTCTCGTGTCGGTGCCAGGATCAACGAATGGAGTTGTTGCGGTTTGTCCATGAGTGCTTGCAGGATAGGCAGGACAAATGCAGCCGTTTTGCCGCTGCCTGTCTCTGCCAGCCCGATGAGGTCACGACCTTGCAAAGCCAGCGGTATGGCTTCAGCTTGGATTGGAGTAGGCGCCTTGTACCCGAGTCTCTCGCATGCTTCGCACAGGGAGTCAATTATTCCCAGCTCTTTGAACGTCGTTGGTTTCGTGGACTTTGTGTGCATTTCTTCTTCTTCTTCTTCAGCATCGCTGGTCGGTGCGCTCTCGGACCCGACAGGCGACTTTGCAGACTGATCATCATTATCGGAGGAGGATTCATCGTGGCTCAACTTCCGTTTCTTGAGGGGCGGCATCTTTCTGGTGGAAGGGCGGACAGGAAAGGAAAGTTTCTGGGAGATAACGTTGAAAATGCAGCGGGAAATTTTGTCGCACAGATCAGAGGGCTTATCTTATCGCCTCGTGATCTACAGCCTTGTGCTTGTGGGCACGGGGCAAGGCCCTGATTCCGGCTCGGAAAATCTTCGGGACGGAAGTAAACAACTCGCCGACATCAAACTGACTGATGGAGGAGAAATTACCGCGTGGACAGCCAGTTGTGATTGCAGACGTTGTATCTCTTTGGCGATTGTGCCCTACGTCAATTTTCACTGCCCAATCACCAACGTGTGGCTGAATGTATACATCACCTAGAGGGTGGAAAACAGAGCAGATAAGATGTACGAATACAGTCCTCATTGACATGGACTCCAATGGAGACTCTCAATCTAGATCTCTCGAGAGAGCCACATGTCGAAAAAAGGAGTTGGGGGTGACTGGAACCTGAAACCATGAGGTGGACTTACAGTAACGGCCCTGCTTGCAAGCATCACCCGCGTTATGCCCGAGGGAGGCAGAGTTTCTCAACTCACCCAGAGAGAAGATTGTCTTTTCGATAATTGCTGATGTGACTACCATACCGATGCTATGTCAGGTTAACATCTACAGGAAGCACCCAGGGGTAGAGACAGTGATGTCATAATGGCCAGTGGGAGCAGGATCGACCAAAAGAAAATCATGTTACTTCTGGTCGGGAGATGCATTGGAAGATATAAGTTGACCGGCGCTGATGTGTTGCCACTGGGCATGACGGCGTGCGTTTTCTTGCCCTGCTATTCCCTCCGGGCCGAATGTGGCCTGCCACTGACTAAGGATGCGAGATCCAGAATCCTGAGGGCTCTTAATGCCCTCGATGAGACGTCGATGTCTCGCAGATCTGAGCACGTCATGGGGAAAAAGAAAAAGCACGACATGTCGCTGCCGCCGACAACAGATGGTGGGAAACTCTTGCTGGAGTTTTTGACGTCATTGTATATTAGTTTATGGCTTATGGTGGTGATCCAATACTGTTGTCTTCCCCAAGCCAAACTATTGTTGCGCGATGAGATAGGACATTCCACACCCGACCTCGCTTGCAAAGTACGAATCAACATCACATGGAGGACTGGTTCCCAAACAAAGAGACCGACTTTCGACTCGAGCACGATTTTTCGTCATACACTCACACACACATACACACGCTCAATCCCTCAGACTCTACAAATCACTCTTGGTGGGGGGCGCATTTTCGACCTGCACCGAGTGTCTCTTCTCGTCCATCTCGTGGTGTTGAGTGACGGTGGCGTCGAGACCCATCTCGGCCGCCAGGACGAGACCCTTGTTGGAGGCAGCCGCGCCGGCAACCAATGCCTGGTCGCCATCGAAGTGCTTGGCAATTTCTTCCACTGTAGAGAAAAAGAAAAATCAGCGGCAAGAACAGTGATATACCGGGGATGGAGGGCCACTTACGAGGCGTGTTGCGGGTCTCGACGTAGAAGAAGTAGACAATGGCCAGCTCGAAGCCGAGCCACACGCAGTAGAAGATGTAGTACTTCCACCCGATGTGGTCCAAGGCGATGGGATTGATGTACTGGTTGAAGAAGAGCGCGGCGTCAACCATCAAGAACATGACGGTCAACCCCTTGGCTCGGATGTTGTAGGGCAGGATTTCGGCTGTGTAACCGACCAACATGCCGGACCAGGCGATGTTGTACCAGAAGTAGTAGATGTAGATCATTCTAGTCGAGGCAGTCAGCGATAGTTCAGGGAGCCGCCACAGCAACAAAAGAATCACTCGCGACTTACCCGACAACGGCGTTGGCGGCGCCCTTGGAGCCAGAGATCGCATATCGGGCCGAGCAGATGGTCCAAACGATGAAGGTGATCAACATGCCGGTGGTAGAGATGAGGAAGAGCTTGCGACGGCCGACCTTGTCGACGAAGAAACAGGCAATGACGGCGATGAAGAGATTGAAGATTTGGAGAACGCCATTGATCAAGTTCTGGGTTAAGGTATCGGTGTAGCCAATGTTGTTGAGAATCTTCGGCTGACGTTAGCAAGGGATCTCTTCTGGCAGCAAGAAACGGCACGAGGGTGACGCTTACCTTGGTGATGTAGTATGAGACGAGACCGTTACCAGACCACTGGGAGAACAGACCGGCGGACAACAAGATGATGAGTCTGCGGCGGTTGCCCTTGGTCTTGACCAGCTCGAGCCACTGGTTTCCCTCGACTTCCTTCTCGAGTCTGATGGTGTCGCGGATTTCAACGAATTCCAGCTGGACCATCTCGTCGTTGCGGTTGCCGTTGGCATGGACGTTGTACAGGATGTTCAGACCCTTCTCTTCTTTGCCGTGCGCGATGAGCCATCTGGGAGACTCAGGCACGAACCAGATGAAGGTGATCTGAATCAAGGAGGGGGCGGCCTGGACGATGGTGGGGATACGCCACGCCCAGTTGTTGGTGATGTGGTCGGTTCCGTAGGTGAGCCACGCCGCGACAATGCTCCCGGCGTACCAGGTGGTGTTGTAGATGGTGGTGAAGATGGCTCGGTGCTGGGGGTGCACGAGTTCGGTGATCAACAGAGGAGAAGAGCCGTGGGCAATGGCGATACCGAAACCCAGCAGGAATCGGGCGCCCAAGAACATGCCAAAGCCCGCCGAGATGGACTGCAGCACCACCCCGACCAGCATGATCAGGCAGCCCACGAGGATACCCATTCGACGGCCCAGGAAATCGGCGACGTATGGCACAAAGGGAATGGCGGACAAGGAACCGATGGACATGATGGCGTTCAAGATACCAATCTTGCCGCCTTTCGGGTGATCGAAATGCTTTTGCCAGGGGGGAAGAGTCTGGAGACCGTTCATCATGGAGCCATCATAACTGGGATCACCAAAGTCAACACGCGGTCCTTTCTGGTCGTACCAGGCATATCATTGGCACACTCACCCGTTGGTGGCACTGGTCAGAACCACAAACATAAGACAGATATAGGTCTTTCTCAAGGCAGGATCCTTGTACCAGGTCACTGCGGGAAACTGGCGCCCTGCCAGTTCAAAGTATGCTTTCCCCATGCTGACAAGAAGACAGTGATGGCTGATGGGGATTTCTTGAACAAGGATGAACCAAGGACGTAGAGACAATATCTACGTGAAAGTCTTGATGAAGAAGGGAAAAGAAAAAAGGACAAAAGCAAGAGGGAGCATGGCAAATGCTTTATATATACAAGGTGGCATCGTCACGGTGCATGTTTTATCTCACACCTCAGGGCCGTATGGACGAAATGCTACCGCAGTACGTTTCGGGTGATAGCGTTCTAGAAAGTCTGCATTCAACAGCTGACCAGGGCTGCAGGAAGCCAATGACGGACTGGATCAGCCACCCAAATCTTGCCATATCGGTGGATCGATTCCTCCAAGAGACGGTCTGGGTTGTGGACGATCAAATCCGAGGCGAAAGGCTGGGTAAACAGGCCCGCCCACTGGCGGAGCGAGTCATGGTCTGAGAGCCTGATCGATATCGAGCCCGCAAGACCCGAGTCTGGATACCGAAAGCGACCAGGGGAGTTTTACCGGTCCGGCAGCCAGAAGCAGCATCGAGCCTCTCGGAATGGATCGAGAGACCGACAAAGAGAGCGACAGAGATTCAAGCCGGGGGGTCGGGAAGGGAGAGAAAACACATTGGGGGGGGTGTGGCTCTCTCCTGGATCCCGACCAACTGAAGGGACTTTGGTTTCTGATTGATCTAACGGCAAAATTATGGGCGAATTCACTGCTGAGCACATGTCCGAGTGGATTCAGGTGGGTGGATGGATGGGCGTGTGGAGGACGAGGAGAGGACGAGGAGAGAATGTGGGATTTCCAGGAAACAGACCCCATGTGGTGGCCGAACGGGATATTCGACGGGGGCGGCGGTGGAGGATCTTCGGGCAAACGAGGGCATAACAGCCAGGCCAGACGATCCAATTTATCCTATTACCCGGGCAGCACAGGAGAGGGAACGCCATCAATCAATTATTCCATGATCCATCCCTGGTATCGCCACCTGCCTGGAAAGGAGCTTCCTGTTCCGGAGACAGGATCAGACTTTTCTAGGCTCCATGCATCCATCCATGCATTCATCCACCCAACATCAGACTCGTGGGTTGCGCGATCGGCTACGTTCTGGGAAAGGAAGAGAGACTCCCTTCCAGATCGACATGGCCGGGGCGCCCCTAGGCTCGTCGTTTGCTATACACAGGACCCTCTCATCGGTAAGTACGCAGTGCAATATACTATAGCCAAATGAGGACTCGTCCTCCGGCCGGGAAAATAGGGAATGGAGATCGTCCACATGGGTATGGCCCCGGCAAAGAGCTAGCCAGAACATCATCCGCAGAAAAACGGATGGAACAATGAGTGACTGACTAAACGCCATCCATGCTCGCGAGGCTGCTTAGGTGCAGGTCAGGATGGGATCAGAAATAGCTACCACTATACTATACAAGGCTCTCCTCCCCAGTCTCAAAGCAAAATGAGCTGCATATACGGAGGTACCTCTATCCCCACCACAACCTCCAGCCCGGGGCATTGGTTCGTGAACCTGTTCCGGGGGAATTGGCGACTAGGTTTAGTTGCACTCCAGTGTCAACGGTGCCCGCATTCGCTACCTACCTCAACCTGCATGACTCCTGGCCATCGTCGCCGAACAAGGAAGGTCTATAATCGTGCCTCTCTCTTGTGTGACGACTACATCGCCGGCTACCTGATCACTTCTTCCCTCTCAAGGCCCTGTTGCGGGGTTCCGGTTGATATCAGAGAAATTGAACAATGGCGGCAGTATCCCCCATCTGTCCGTCTCCTCTGCCTGACGCGCCTGCTGGAGTCGGTGTAGTGAATATATGCCAATTTCGATCCCTGGTGAGTTGCTCCAGCGGTTATTTGCCGGTGTGGAATATAAAAAGGTTGCGGGGGAATGCAAAGGGTGCCGTGGTAATGCTGGTGGTTGAGCAAAGTGTAAGAGCTTCGTGCCGTTGAGCTGCTGTCTTGCGTCCTTCTTGTCCTTCGCTCCGCCCCGTGAAAACCAAACATGTCTCTTGCCAGGCTTGTCTCTGTTGTCTCTGCCCTCGCGGCCCTTGGTCTGGCGAACCCGACGTGGCAAGGATGGTCACCGCATGGAAACTATCCACCACCACCACCACCGCCGCCGCCGCCGCCGTCTCCTCCTCCTGCTTCTTCGCCAGTAGTGACGACAAGCTCATCAGCCGTACCACCGCCAGCAACCTCGTCCTGCGCTGGATACTTTGAACCGTTGGCACCTCCTTTCCTCAATGATCTAGCGCAAGCAGCCGGCAAGCTGTGGTTTGGCAGTGCGACCGACCAGCCTGTAGGTATTGGTGTGAGCAGAGAAAGAACGGCAGAACTGATAGAAACCACGCAGGGAACCGGTGAGGACACCAACATCCTCTATCAAGAGATCTTGAACGACACGCACATCTTCGGCCAGATCACCCCGGCCAACATGATGAAGTTCCAGCTGAGTGAACCGGAGCCAGGAATCTTCAACTTCACGGGCGGAGACATCAACGTAGCCCTTGCACAAGACCACGGAAAGTATTTGAGATGTCACAATCTGGTCTGGGTCAGCCAAGTTTCCGATTGGGTCTTGGACGGGAACTGGACTGCCGATGGACTCACGGCGGTCATGAAAAACCATATCCAGACCATGATCGCCCATTTTGGAGGCGCCTGCTACTCGTGGGACGTCGTCAACGAGGCCATTGCCGCCAACGGATCGTTTGCTGAAAGCATCTGGGTCGGTACTGGTGGTTTCATGTTGGGTCTGATCTGTGACTGACTCTCTGCAGTTCGACGTGATCGGTCCAGAGTACTTCTTCCTGGCGTATCAATTTGCCCGTAAGTCGTCCTGAACCAGCCTTGAGGAGCTGAGAGGCCGTGAGAAGGGACGTGCAGGGACTGACGACCGGCGCAGAGGAGGCCGTGGACGCCCTGCCAGCCGGCACACGCAAGCCAAAGCTGTACTATAACGATTTTGGGATCGAGTCTGGCAACAAGTCCGTGGCCGTGCTGGGCCTGATCCAACAGTTGCGAAACCAGGGCCTTCGCATCGACGGTGTCGGGCTCGAGAGCCATTTCGTCGTCGGTGAGACGCCCTCGCTGGAGGACCAGATCGCCACGAAACAGGCCTACATCGCGGCGGGCGTCGAGGTGGCCATCACCGAATTGGACATCCGTTTCGAGCAGGCCAATCTCACCAACGCCACGGCCTTTGCTCTCCAAGCAGAAGAGTACTACAACTCGACGGCCAGCTGTGTGCAGGTGGAGGGTTGCGTCGGGATCACGGTCTGGGACTTTGACGATCAATACAGGTACGTTACGGGTTGCACTTCCCCCCTTTTTACGGAGGAGAGAGGGTATCGCGAGGAGGAGGTGACTGACTCCACTCACTTGAACAGTTGGATCCCGTCGAGCTTTCCAGGGCAGGGCTTGGCCGACCTCTACAACGCTGACTTCAGGGTAAGCAAATCCTTCCCTTGAGTTCCCCTCGTACCGAGTACAGAGGATTGACTCCACTCGCTGTTGCCTGCCCCTGAGGCTGTTTCGTGTCGTTGTTATGCTGACGAGTGATGGTCACAGCGTAAACCGGCATACTACGCTGTAGGCGAAGCGTTGCAAGGTGTTCCGTGCACGGTGTGTTCGGCTTGATGCTTCCACACCGCCAGACACCGGGGAATGGTGTGGCCGTATCAGGGCGTCTCACACAGGACACCACGTGCAAGTACATACAAACTTACATATGACAACTAATACTCAACTGGAATGGTTCATGATTCCCCCGTCCGTCGTACGAGCTTAGGAGCCCCGTGGAGATGGGTCACTCCCAGCCCTCCTCCCTCCTCTCAGCTGGCCGCACCCACCGATCTTCTGTCCAGTAACGAATGACCCAACGATGTCTCAAATTTCGGTGACTTGTCCTGCAGGCGCCTAGTATTGTTGTCGTTCTCCATCTGTGTCACTTGCGTGATCTCGCCAAACCGCCTGAACCACGGCTTTTTTCTGGGCGGGTGAAGGGACCCAGCAAACCGGGAGTAGTCGCGAGAGCCGAAGATGAGCCGCTGGAATTCTCTAGCGCAGCACATCACACCTTGCGGGTTTCTCGTCCTCGCTCGTGGGTGACGAAGTCAGCCTGAGAGTGCGGGTGCATTGCGAGTAGGGGTGAACAAGCGTGTCCCTTGTACGTATGTCCTCCCGAACCCGAGCCCCGTGGGCAGGGTGGAGTGATGCACGCCTAGTTAACAAACACCACGGGGCGAATGGTTCAGTTGTTTGGTTGGTCACTTCAGGGCGCCCTCGACATCTCTTGCACACCTCCGCTCGGGGACGAGCGACGAGTCTGGAGTTCTGGGCACGGCACAGAGCTTCGTAAAGCTTCGATTCGACGTCAAGGACAGAAATGTCGATAGGGTATCGATCGAAGATGATGGGTTTGTTTTGCATTCATTGCCCTAGGGCTGTGACGAGGCTGCGATGTCCTTGCGAGCAAGAAGCATGCATGCATGCATGTCTGATCGCCTATCCGGCACCAGACTTCCTTCCCAGACCCTGGTCATTACTGGGGATGGTCGTGGGATAGATCATTGCGACGGATCATCAAAAGTGCGTTCCATCCGCCTCTTCCTGACCTGTCCCAAAAGAAAATGGCGCAAGTCTGGTCCCCTTTCACCGAAGCACCTCCGGGAGACTTGCAGAGGAGGAGTGGAGATGTCGATATGCTGCGATAGGCATGGTCCACGTACCATGCATAGCGATGAACCCTTTGATCATCGCACATTCAGGGTGCTTTCGAGGAAAGGCAAGCGAGGGCGAGAAACAGGCGAGTGGGTTGGCAGAACAAGTGGACACCGTCTCCCCAGCAGGGCCAGAGGCAGACTGTGAATTCAGCCAAATATGTCCCGCTGGCCAGTCCAGCCCAGTCCGGCCGGCCATCTCGTGGTCTGAGACCCGTTTCCTCCGAGGATCTGCTGATCTGCCCGCCTGCCTGCCTGGGTACCATCACGACTAACTGAATGACTGGTCCGAGCAAGCTTTTCTTCGTACATGCTCTGCATGGTCCAAGACGGGGCGGCCGGACTGGGCGCTCGTGGGATAGACAATGGAACAAAAGGACCGGCGATTGGAGCACGCGATCGCTCGTACGGATACGGGGTACGCTTGCGAAGAGTGGCGTGAACGTCGTCCCTATCTCTCTTGTTTGAGTCTGAAGAAGAGTTCACCGCCCCGGACGTGGAGTTAGGGAAAGAAATATTGGTTCCTCTCCACGAGAAGACCGACCGCAACAGGAACGACCAACTTTCCAGTCCGAGTAGAGCAAGCGCTCTTTTCACTTGACTCCCAGAATCCTTGAGTCCGACGGCCAACAGATATTACTACCACGGGTTACGGAATATACCTCTTCGATCCAGCTTTTTTTTTTGGCAGGTGGCTTCGTAACCACGTAGGCCGCCTCTTTTGTCTCAGAACAATAGCTCTACAGGCGGTCTTAGAGAGATATCGCTCACCCCTCCAATATCAAGCACAGATTTCGGCACAACAAGGCCGGTTCGAACAATCACAGATGCAGAATGTGAGCACCGGGCCCGCCAACGACATGACATACGGATGCCTTGTCAATTGGCACCTGGATCTACGGGCATCTTGAAGGTTCATGAAGATAAGGCGCGGTTTCATGATAACACTATTGCAGTCGTTGTATTGATGTCGATGGAAGACATCGTAGATCCCTTTGGTGCATTTGCACAGTCAATGGCATCGACCGGTCGCGAGGAAATAGCTGATACGGTTTCTGAAGTACGCAAAGCCAATATCTCTCGTTTCCGGTATCAGAAGGGTGGAATGCCTACGGCAATTTGAGCGGCCACAATTGGCCAGCATTGAGCCTCTATATCAGGCGAGCCTGCCGTTCGTGCCCTTGATGCAGCTAACTCCGGTCCTTTTGTAGAGAAATAGTGTCGATGCACGACGGTCGTCGCGCGGAGTCGGACAATATTCACCCATACCAAGAGGCAGATCTGTTCAATTGCTCGAAAATGCCATATATATCATATAACAAGCTTCGTTTATCAGCACCAGCAACTCCCACCGCGCTGCTAGGCCGTCCACAGGCTCCGACACGACCTGTGCTTGGACCAGAGCTTGTACTTAACCCATTATCTCGAGCACGAGCACTCACAGCTGGCTGGACATGGTCCATTCATTTTCACTGACCGAGATCGTCAGTGCCAGTCGCGGAAACAGCTGGCAAAGAGCCTCGGACAATTCACCGAGGCCAGACAGTGTTTGCTGCGTCCATGTCATCCCGCCACATCAACAGAGAAGCAAGACGATGGAATACAGGGCCGCCACATTGAAAAGGGCCCTTGAGGAGCTTGGTAGGAAGAACAAGACCTCCCACTGTCGGCGTTGCCCAAACGGCGATTTTCTCCGCGAGGTTGAGATCACAGTTGCCTCTGGACGTCGAGATCCGTCCACGCTTCTTCCATTCAAGGGGAGCGGATCAACAGCAGCCACAATCGTCCTAGATCTCCGGTGCCACTTTGCCTGGCCAAGAAAAGGAAAAAACATTTAGCCAGCTTGCTCAAGCTCTGTAAAGATGCGGAGATGGCTAGGGTGTCTGGAGGACCCGGAAGAGAGGTGCCCCGGGATCTTGGAAGCGAGTTGCTTGTTTCTGGCGCGGAGGCAAATCTTGAAGGCAATCAATCTCAGGTGCCGTAATGCCGTTGAGCCCCTTTTGGCAAATGGCTAGTGACTCTGATCTTTAACAATGCCAATAAGCTGCCGGCGTCATTCAGCCTAATTCCCAGTGTTGCTGGATCTGCACACGCATTAAGGTGCCGTCGTCATAGATTGTTCTTTTTTAACACCTCGAAAAGCCCCTCCACGGCAATATGCCAGATGTTTCTTCTACCGAATGGTCCTGTCGACTCAGTGGTCCAAAGGCGATGACCTTGTCTGCATTCAACCGGCATCGACGTGACCACCTCCGCAGTTTGACCAGTCATTGTGGGACAACAGCTGTTCGGACGCAATAGCTGCCTTCCTGACTTGGAATGGCCGTGTGAGGAGTATTGCTTCACGACCGGTGTCCGTCGTGAAATAGGATGAATTGGCGGATTTGTGCCTACGGACCGGCGGAAGCTGGTTTTCAGACGATGATGGAATGCGCTCTCGTCGAACTGAGTATGATTCTGGTAAGAAGACCATGCTGCCCTTGTTGCTGTGGCACCTTTTCTACCACTCTCTCTCCTCTAGCTGCTTGTTGAATCGAATCGACGTCCTGTGATGACCATGGCCTCGTTCTTTCGGGTGCTGTTGCCCGTGGCTTTGCTCGTTGGGCATGCCCTTGGCCATCCTCAGGATATCGCTCGCCGGGCTAACGTTGTCGTGTCTAATACTGGGAGTTCACTGACATATGTCTTTCAAAACAACCTCAATGCTTCAGACGACGTCAATCATGTCGGCGCTATCCTGCTTGACCCGATGCCAGCATCTGCCGGTTCGGCTGCTTGTCAGGCGTTGAGCGAGACTCTGTTGACTCAAGCGACCATTCAGAACTACAGCAGTGATTTCTCTTCCGCTTTATCATACCTGGCGTTCTCTGGGAGAGTGTCTCCAAATCAGGTGTACCACATTGCCGGTGGCGCTTTGCAGGTCTCCAGTCAAGCACAACTCTCCTTCCCTGCCATGGCACAGAACGACTCTGCGTTGCCTGTACTCTGCACCCAGTCAAGCAATGCAAGCCAGCCTCCAAACTCGACAGCAAATGCCTCAAATCAGGTCGTGGTCGCGGCAGCCGACAACACTTATATCGGCTATCGAAACCAGAAATCGTTTCGCTTCCTGGGCATCCGATATGCTGACCCGCCACAGCGATGGGTTTACTCCCACCTGTACACGGGAACTGGCAAAACGGTGAACGCCACTGCGTATGGCGCCCAGTGTTCTCAGCCGTTTGTCAATGGGACGAGTGAGGATTGCTTGTTCCTCAACATTCAAACCCCGTACATCCCCAAAGCTGGATCATCCGGGGGTCTGAGACCCGTCTTATGTGAGTCTTCCCTGTATTGAATGCCCCTAGATGGTGCAGCAAGGCTGACTGAACTAGTTTGGATCCACGGTGGAGGATTTACTGGAGGCACTGGAGCCGATCCGCTCAGTGATGGTGGCAACCTAGCTTCTCGAGAAGATATTGTGGTCGTGACCATCAACTACCGACTGTCAACGCTGGGCTTTCTCGCCATTCCCGGCACCAACATCAAAGGAAACTTTGGCATTGGAGACCAGATCGTCGCCTTGAACTGGACTGTCCAGAATGTTGCCAAGTTCGGCGGAGATCCGACCAAGATCACCATCATGGGCGAATCTGCTGGAGCCGGCTCAGTCCGAACCCTGCTCGGCAGTCCTCCTGCCATCGGGTTGTTCCAGGGCGCCGTCGCCATGTCCAACCTGGGCGGCGGGGTCACCCTCGGGCTTGAAGGCAACTACGGTACCACTTACTCGTCATACTACACTGTGAACGAGTCCTACACAGTGGCCGGACCTCAGATTTTCAACTCGTCAAATTGCACCCAGCAAACATTGAGCGGCAAGATCGCGTGTCTCAAGAAGGTCAATGCCACCGACCTGGTGAATTTCGAGACTGTGGCCAGATACGTGGTCCAAGACGGCACCATTGTCAACTCGTCTGAACTCAACGTGGTCAAAAGGAATGCGGGAAGTGCCTATGTCCCGATCATGTTTGGCAATGCTGCCAATGACGGCGCCTCGTTTTCCACCCTATCCCCGACTCCCGTGCACAACGAGACCGAAGGGCTGATGACTGGTCTGAGCATCAACGCCTCTTACGCGCAAGCCATCATAAAGTCGGGCCTGTTCCCCTACTACAACACAGGCAATATGACGTTCGACTCGTTCAACGTCACGCAGCGCGTCGCGACCGACACGACCTTCCGCTGCATCGATCAAGCGACCGTCTACGCCGGGGCCGAGACCGGGACGTTCCCTGCCGCGTACTACTACGAGTTCGAGCGCACGATCAACGGATACAACCCAGAGAACGTGCCGGGCGCCCCGGTCACGCCGGGCTATCCCAATGGCAACCCGAACCTTCCGTACTTCAAGCTGCACGGCGCCGACATGGACTGGGCGTTTGGCAACTTCTACGTGCCTCTGCGCGACGCCAACGACCTGTACTCCGTGCAGTTGGTCAGCGCATACTTTGCGGAGTTTGTGAAGAGCGGACAGCCGAATCCGCCCGTCCCTTACCTGCAGGCCAGAGGGTATTCCAAGACCTTGCAAGGCGTGCAGGAGTCCGGGCCGTGGGAGAAAGTGTCCAACGCCACGGGTCCCATCAAGCACTTCAACTACCCGTCTCCAAACGGTCCTTTTGTGGATTTGCCCCAGTGTGCGTGGCTCAACTATAGCATCAGCTACTATCTCGATCAGTAGATCAGAGATTACCCTGCAGGTATAGACCGAGGAATGAATGTAACGAATTTCAATAGGCCTTGGGTCAACAGTCTATCACAGGATCATGTGTAGTGTATGTACGCAGCCTCGTCCCGACGAAAGGAAAAAGGGGATAGCATAAGCCCACGAATGGGTCGCACATCATCAAGCCCATCCGGTTTATGTATCTGGACCCCATCTCCGCAATGTGTATTACATTACGAGACAACAGACGACCGGACATTATTGGATTGATTGGATTAGATCTGTGTAATGCCAAAGAGGCTATACGGCTAAAAGGCCGATCGATGGCGGTCATTGTGTGCCATTTCAACACCCACCTCCGCCGGTGTGTATATCAGGCGGGTGACCACCCCAAGGGGCATTTAGCCGGTCCGCTTTTCTCGCACCACAATGTACTCGGTAGAGAAGCCCGTCCGAGACTGAGAGATGATAGAAGACGCTCCTCACTGGCACAGGGCGCTTCAAAAGTTCTTTGTGTCCGTCCTCTGTTTTCTATTCGTTACATGCGTGCGGATCAAGAAAAGGTACTGGTACGAGGTACTAACTACTTCCTCTAACAACCCCCCCCTAAAACCCCTCCCTCCGGCCCAATGCTCAAGAAGTCAGAAAAGGCCTTCGTTTCGTCTCGTTACGCACATCTCTCCTTTTCCCTGACTTACCCCTCCTCTCCTTCTAATTACCCGGGAGAGCAATAAGGTAAAAAAGAAGCAAGGGACCGCTTGCCTTCGCAGCAAGAGTCAGAGTCAGAGTCAGAATCCACCTTTGATCCGTGGTTTACAACAGTAGTGCACACAGGATGGCGACAGGCTACCTCAAGGTCGATGGCGACAAGGTGGTGGATGGCAATGGGCAGCAGGTGGTGCTTCGAGGAGCGGCCATTGGAGGATGGATGAAGTAAGTCGGTCCTTTGCGAGAGTGAGAAAGGCCCGGGCCCCCCAAATGAAGAGGTGACCAGCTGATGATGTCCCTCCGCCCCTGTGGCAGCATGGAGAACTTCATCACAGGCTACCCGGGACACGAGTTCCAGCATCGAGCATCGATGAAGAAGGTGCTGGGAGAGGAGAAGGCCGACTTCTTCTTCGACAAGTGGCTCGAGTACCACTTCACCGAGGCCGACGCTCGCTTCTTCGCCAGCCTGAAGCTGAACTGCATCCGGCTCCCATTCAACTACCGGCACCTGGAAGACGACATGAACCCGCGAGTGCTGAAGGTGGCTGGATTCAAGCACCTCGACCGAGTGATTGATCTGGTGAGTCCATGGTTGGTATTGTTCTTATGGTTGGCTGGAGGGAAAAGGTGATGCGCCCGAGCTGGAAACTGATCTGTCTGTCACGAACCTCGCAGTGCGCAAAGCACCAGATCTACACGATCCTCGACATGCACACCGCGCCCGGCGGCCAGAACCCGGACTGGCACTCGGACAACCCGACCAACTACGCCGCGTTTTGGGACTACAAGGACCACCAGGACCGGACCATCTGGCTGTGGCAAGAGATCGCCAAAAGATACAGGGACAACACGTGGGTGGCCGGGTACAATCCGATCAACGAACCCTGCGATCCCGAGCACGTCCGCCTGCCGGTATTCTACAAACGCTTCGAGGCGGCGATCCGTGCCGTCGACCCCCATCACATCCTGTGGTTGGACGGCAATACCTTTTCGATGGAGTGGAAGGGTTTTGACGAGGTCTTGCCGAACTGTGTGTACGCGCTCCATGACTATTCGGTGCGTCCCTGAGGTCCAGGTTGAGAGTCGCTGTGCTTGTGCTGATGAGACGCAGATGATGGGCTTCCCGACTGGCGACCGCTACAAGGGCACCGAAGACCAGAATGGCAAGCTGGAGCGACAGTTCCTTCGGAAAGCCGAATTCATGCTTGAACACAAATGTCCCATATGGAACGGGGAATTCGGCCCCGTCTACGCGGACCCTGCCGAGGAACAAGACGCAGCAGGCATCAACCAGGATCGGTACAACATGCTCGGCCAACAGCTGAAGGTCTATGACAAGTTCAAGATCAGTTGGAGCATCTGGCTATACAAGGATATCGGTGTCCAGGGGATGATGCACACCAGCCGGAATTCCAAATGGAACCGAACCATCCAGCCCTTCCTGGACAAGAAGAAGGCGTATCGACTGGACGCGTGGGGAGTACACCACTCGGCCGAGGCGGAAGCCGCGTTGAATCCTCTTGTGCAGTGGATTGACAAGATCTGTCCGACGGCGAAGGATGCCTATCCAGGTCCATGGCAGACCGAGAGGCATGTCATGCGCGCCGTGATCCACACGTGGTTGAGCGCCCAGTTCTCAGACGAGTTTGCCAAACAGTTCGAGGGCATGGATTTCAAAGACCTGGACGAACTGGCGCACAGTTTCCACTTCGACGAGTGTGTCCAGCGAGAAGGATTGAACAAGATCTTGACTGAGCATGCTCCTCAATGAGGAGCAACTGACTCAAACTGAATCATCCACCTGCTGTGTGCTGCACAAGCCTCCAAGTCCTCCCGGCAAGCTCAAATACGGTGGCAAATCGATGCTGATTCATCAGTGGCAGACTTGGCGCGGTGTACGACTTCGAGGATCACCCGGCAAATGTTAGACATCAAGCGACGCAGATGTGAGATGAGACAGGCATTATCTGCTCGCGAAAAGAGGATATCAACCAGAATATCGGCGACCAATTAGGCATGCACAGATTGCAAAAGACAGGTTTGGGAGTGATCCTGCAGAGTCCTGCAGAGGTACTAGTATGGCGCAGGTCGCAAGAGTCTGGGCTGCTCAATATCAACATTCTCCAAAACGGGAGAAGGTCATGTCGCTCCACTGTTGCATGACCTGTGCACTCGGTAAGCTTGGTAGGGGGTTTCGTTCCTTGGACAATCGACAGTGGCCGGGACCACAGCGGTAGGTTGCACACCGAACTGTAGAGAACAGGCCTTTCTGGAAGATGGTGCTTGACTCCTGTTGAAACCTGTGATCATGGAACTTTTGCACTTGGGTAAACTCTGCTAGACATTAGAAGAATATCTCACCAGCTACAAGTCACTGACAGCTAACTTCAACGCTTTACTGCTGATTGGGCTGTTGGTGGCAAAGATTCCCACCTTGGGAGCAAGCAGTCAACGCACAAAGTCCGACGTGTCGGCACTTGTGGGCAGCTGAAAAGGTGGTGAGGTCGAGGAAAGTGTGCGTAGTATTGAGATCACGAGAATGCGACATGGGCCGAGCAGGATGTGGTTGGACAGCAGAGCAAAGGTGATGATGTAGTGGGATTTTGGTGGCGGAGGGTGGGGGGTTAGAGGCGGGTTAGTGAGGTCTGCTAACCAGGTAAATTGGCTGCGGTAGGGCGTTGTTTGGGGGCCCTCCCTTACCTGTGCTCGGTCGGTGCGAGGTACTCCCAGGTATGGGTTCTACCTACGACAGCCCGAAACTGCCTGGGACGGCGGTTGCCCCGCATCGTGCGCCCTAACTCCACGAGGAAGCTGCGAAGAAAGCAACTGGGAAAAGACGCACCCACACCCTCTCTCCCCTTTTCTCACTCATCTTAGCAAATCGCCATCCGCCCACCGTCTTCGAGCAGTACGTGCTGTCGAATCACTCTGAAGGCGGAAATTCAATCCATGGTAGACTTGGGCCATCACTCCGGGTTACACAGGACTCCGTATATACTCTATGCCACCAGTCACTCGCCGAGGCAATGCCTTTCAGCGGCAGAACGTTGCTGGTCGTGAGCCCCACCCTCTTATTGCGAGCATCCCTGCACGAGTCACCAGCCTCCAGGCGAAGCCAGTATCCTGCCAATGAAGAAGCCCGTCCTGGAGTCCTCTCCTACCCCGGCTTGCCTAATAGGCTTAACGGGGCGGGCCCCCAGCTTCCAAATGCCCTTAGCTACGGGTCTTCACCCAACACCGAAACCACACAGAAGAACGATTGCCCAGACCTTGCTTTTGACCAGCAGTCCTCGCCTACACGCCCCCAGCTTCTGCCAATCCCCCGCTGCATCCATGCTCATGGTCGAGGCTTAACTCGCCCATGTGCCGCCTCCTCTTCTGATCCTTCAATCATCTCATGTGAGCGAAAAAAATCTCCACACGCACGCTGCCCTTTCTGCTGCTTGCTGCCGCCCACCGCTTCTATCACGCCCGAGGATACGGGTCCTGTCTCCGGTCGCTTGCCGTCGACAACCACCTCGATGCTCTCAAACTGCGTATCTTCTCCTGAGAAACAACTAACCACCCGACAACGACGGTGCATTCCAGTTCTCGAGCTATGACAGTGGCTTTGTGCTGCTGTCGCCAGCGAAGCCCGCAGACATGCTCTCCCGCATTCCCCCACAAACCCACAACTCATACTCGGAATTTCACGACTACGCTCAAAGGTCCGACTTAATCACCCCCCAACCTCAGCAGCTCGCCTCCATGCTTCAAACCCAAACCAAACCATTCGATAATGAGAATCTACAAGCCGGTCGCAAGAGGAGGGAGTCGGAGCTCGATCAAAATGATTCCAATGATACCGCCGCGGTTCGACGAAGGATAAGTCGGGCATGCGATCAGTGTAACCAGTTGCGTACCAAATGTGACGGCAAACAGCCTTGTGCCCATTGTACCGACAATTCTCTTGTTTGCGAATATGCCCGCGCTCACAAGAAACGAGGGCGGGCTCCCAAGAAAGAGACGGATGCCACTGATGAGGCCAACTATATCAACTCTACTCAACCGTCTTCCAACAATGCGTCCTCTGTGCACCCATCGGCCGGACCTAGAAAGTATTCCACCCCTTCTTACAACGGTCGCGATGGCATGCTCGATGGGAATACCTTGCCCACCAACAACACACCCCCAAGTGCTGGGTTTGAAGCCAACCCTCATCAAGCCGCCTTCTTTACCAATTTTGATCCTTCTACGGGAGTGAGTATTTCTGCCCCGCGCCAGTTGCACGAAATGGATCAGTCTATGGTACCGCAAATCACGCAGAGTCAGGCCATTGATTTTGCCGTCCCCAACCAGGCGTATGCGCCGTCCACCCTCGACTCCATGCACGTGCAAGGGGCGGCACAAGGCTTTGGATTTCCGCTGGGAGACGATTACTCCGTCGCGTTCATGGGCAAAGCGCCGATGGTCGAGTCGCCGGATTGGCTTGCTCTCACATCGCCCATGTTCATCAACGACCCTTTACCAGCTCAGCCTCGCATCACAGATACGCTCAGATATCCCGTGCTTCGTCCGCTACTGCCTCATATTGAATCAATCATCCCCCAAGCTTTGGCGTGCGACCTGTTGGAACAGTATTTCACGAGTTCGACTTCGGCTTACCTGAGGCCCGCCAACCCGTACATATTAGGCTACATCTTCCGAAAGAAATCTTTCTTGCATCCTACCGATCCCAGGCCTTGTACCCCGGCACTCCTGGCCAGCATGCTCTGGATCGCGGCACAGACCAGCGATGCTGCTTTCTTAACAAGTCAGTTAGATGCCAGAGCTCGGATCTGTCAGCGACTGTTGGAGCTCACCATCAACATGCTCAAACCTCTTATTCACAGCCACCCCAACACCTCCGCCCCTACGCCAAACCCCAATTATCCGCAGATGGCGGCTAACGATGGTGGTCTGGGTGCTCTTGTCGTCCCAACACACTCAGGAGGTCACGGTGTCGATCGGGCACAGGTTGACAACCTTGCGACCTACATCCACCTGGCCACGGTGGTATCCGCAAGCGAACGGAAGGCAGCGAGTCTTCGGTGGTGGAATGCGGCTTGGTCCCTCGCTCGGGAAATTCGACTGGGTCGTGAGCTCCCTCCCAATCCACCGGAACAGGATGGCGAGGAGAACAACCCTGCGAGTAATCATGCCGACGGCCACTCGGGAGAGAATCGAAAGTCTTCCGTGGACGACACACGGCGCAACTCTATCGGCTATGTGTCGGAGGAAGAACGAGAAGAACGACGACGGACATGGTGGCTGTTGTACATGCAGGATCGGCATCTAGCGCTGTGCTACAATCGGCCCATGTTCTTCCTCAACAAGGAATGTGAGGGCCTGCTGCAGCCATTGGACGATGATGCTTTCCAGGCAGGCCGATTTGACAAGGCCTCGGATCCTGCACATCGGAGAAGAGGGTTGAACATTGAATGCACATCACATAGCGTGTTCGGCTATTTTCTGCCTCTCATGGTGATTCTGGGGGAGATCTTAGATCTCAATCATGCTCGCAACCGACCACGGTTTGGACCACGAGCTAATAAGGCTAAGAACTGGGACGACCACACAGACGAGATCACTCAACAACTGGAGTCGTATGGGCAGAGTCTGAAAGATTTTGAGGCGGCGGGCGGACATCTTCAAGATACCAGCCACAATGATGTGGTAACCCCATCAGTGGTATCGGCGGGAACAAATGAGTCCCACAGTGCTTCAGAGCTGGCGCTGCAGACCAAAACAGTGGTGGCATATGGGACACACATTATGCACGTGTTGCATATCCTCCTGACCGGCAAGTGGGACCCGATTGCATTGCTGGATGACAACGACCTCTGGATCTCTTCCCAGTCATTTGTGACTGCGACGGGACATGCGGTGAGTGCCGCCGAGGCAGTGGCCGAAATCATCGAAGATGATCCCGACCTGAGCTTCATGCCATTCTTTTTTGGGGTCTACCTGTTGCAAGGCAGTTTCTTGCTGTTGTTATTCGCCGATAAACTGCAAGGCGACGTCAGCCCCGATGTGGTCAAGGCTTGCGAGACGATTGTTCGAGCGCATGAGGCATGCGTGGCTACATTGGACACCCAATATCAGGTGAGTGAATTCCCCGACGCCCAAGGCGACGATGAGATGTACAGAGACTAACACCAAGGCCAGCGTAACTTCCGCAAAGTCATGCGATCGGCCCTTCAGCAAGTGCGAGGGCGTATTCCGGAGGATCTGGCCGAACAGCAGCATTGGAGACGCGAGGTGCTTGCTTTGTACAGGTGGACTGGTGACGGCACCGGCCTTGCATTATAAAGACAAACACACCAAAGCCCGGGGAGGCGAATGTACCTGAAATCGGGAGGATTCTTCTGCTTGTGTGTATGCCACCCAAAAGCAACTACTGCAGTGCGAGGCATGTTTGCAAATGTTTTGTTTACGACGAACGACACCATCCCCCCTCCACGACGGATGGGGGATTTGTTATGACGGGAGAAATTCACGATACGGAAATTGGACGTGGAAAACCCTTGGGTGATGGCGCGTCGTCGCCTGCCTCTGGGCTACGGTACTCGGTGATGTACTTCGGGACCTTCCTAGAGGCACAGGATCTGTATATCGGTGCGCCACGGTGTCGTGTGCGATAAGGTCGATTTCGTTGATAGCTCAGACACCCATATGTACCTATGTAAGCAAGCGGACGAGGCGAGATTTGTTTCTTATCCAAGGCTCTGACGAGTGGCGAATGATTGCCGGATCATGGAGTTCATTGGGCTTTCTCAAGGCACACAAATCAGGAGTAGTACCTGAGCACACGCTCGGCAACCTGAAGTTGTAAAGAAAAGAAAGCCAGGATCTGTGATTGAATGCTGCGCAAGGATGACGGCTGGCCCTGGTCTGCCCATGTAATATTACTCCGTACTATGGGGAGCACTCGTCAGCAAGGGGCAACGGATTGTACTCGGTACCTCGTATCTCCTACGCCACCAGGGGACGAGGCTGCTGCACGCACTGGTTGCCACTGAGACCCAGTGAGACCCAGTGAGTCCGGGAAACAATCAACATTTTCTGTTCCGGCCTTAGACAATCGGCATGCGTATGAGGCTGTTGCATTGTTTCACCCTGATCCTCTCTCCAGAGTCAAGTGAGCAGTTGCGTGGCAGACAGGGTTTGGGGCTGTCCAAGTGGCGCCCAGTGGGCGCTGAGGGAGCCGCAGACGCCCGTTTGATGCCCAAGTAGTGACTTTTTTTACTTGTAGAGAAGTCCGGATGGGCGGCTCATTTCAGTTAGGCAGTAGCCTAAGCCCGCCTAGGGTCCCCGACTATTGTTGTGGCGAGCTCCCGTGGGCCCTCCCCCCAAAAACCACGGCCCGCAGAGCGGATTGGCGTGGCTCAATTTGCCCAAGCCTGGGTGACATTTTATTGGAGGGTCGACGCCGCGAGCTTAGACAGTCCCCAAAACCTAACCAACGACTTCGCTAGCATCTCGCGCCGCAAGACTCCATCAAGCCCATCCACCTGATCCCGCCATTCGTCCCAGTCCATGCTCAATCTGGCCGATCCTCCATCACCATGGGCAAAGAACGAGGGGTGGAGAAAAGGTGCAAGATACCAGAGGAAGAGCAAGGACGAGGAGCAACAACAACAATAACACAAAGGAAGAGGATGGTGGAAGACTGTCAACAACAGACGAAACAGAGAGAGCAGATGCTTTGCCCCGTTCAAATACTGACCATGAATCATCGCCGGCGCCATCAGAGAGTCCATCGGTAAGAATGCGACAAGACACCATGTCTGCTCTGGCAGCCACACCAGTGTTCAAGCTCCAGGTCCAGGTCCAGCATCTTGGGTTCCGTCGCCAATGACCACTTGCCCCTCTCTCCCTGCGATTCCCAGACCACCATTATTTCCATCCACGGCAATCCTCCATCCTTCATCCATCCGTCGAGCCGTCTATCAATCGATCGGTCGTGCACACACGGCACCTCCTCTCCTTTCGTTTCTTTCCTTCCCATCACTCGTTCAACATCCAACAACTTCGCTCTTTGTCGTACCCATCGCGCCGTCTGGCGACCCGACGCCACTGTTCCCTCGCAATCGCTTCTGACTCCGTCCACCAGCTTCCTGGGTCGCAGGAATCCCCAGCCGAGAACGCCGCTTTGGGAATGACGATCGCACCGCCATTTCCACACCGCAATCACTGAGTCCCCTTTCCTGCATCCGAACACCGTTTCCAGTTCCCCTCGCAACAGATTGGGCGCCGGGCTTGCTGCAAGTTAGCGACGACGTCGTGCATCCGCGATTGAGATTTTGCGTAAAATCGGAGCAGCTTTCGCCTTTTTATTCTGTGCTCGCCTGAAGCGCGAGATCGTCCGGAGTCCTGGGGGGGCTGGGCCCGAACGCACGACTGTACCACTGGCTGTGCCACCACAACCACCAGCTGACCGGATAGCCTACAACGGACTCGGACGGAATCTTCTAACCAGCAGAGGCTCTCGTCCAACGCCAGCCATGCCGGCGATGGCTACCGTACATCCATCGGGTGGGTATCTTTTTCTTGTCTCAGTTGGGAAGCTTAGTTTGCAGAGGTCCAACGTTCTGTTTGGGCTTACCACTGTCATCTTCGCCAACCATTCCGTTGACTGACCTCACGGACCCATCTTTCTCAGCCCTGCCCTGCCATCTTCTGCTGTCATTATTTATTTGGTTTAATTCTTTTCTACCAGCTCTATCCATGTCTTCTCCGACATGCACTGACTTATGTATTTTATTTTCATGCAGACGAGTTTGATATGGCCAAGCTGCAAAAGACGCTGAAGCAACGACAGCGTCATGCAGCCCGAAACAGTGCCAACGTCACCAAGCTAACGCCCGCGGAAATTCGATCGCTTAATAATAGTGCCCTGGCTTCGAAGACAGGTAGTCAATCCAGTTCAAAATCGACATCAACTCAATCCCGATCGAGACGTTCAACCAATGCCACTCCTCCCGCCACTCCTGATGAGCTTCCTGCCTACGGAGCACAGACTCAGAGAAACGCGGTCTCGAGGAATAACAGCGTCAATATCCCGACCCCTCCTCACACACCCATTACCCATCGAAGATCGTCTCAATCAAGCACCCATGGCCACCATTACGGCCCTCACGTGGTCCATGGCCACGCCCATGGCATTATCCACGCCCCTCGACCTCGAGGATCTGCGCAAGCTGCATTCATGTCTGCGAATGGCTGGTCTTCCCGTCCATCAAGCTCTGGATCTTCGTCATACCGTGGGCTTCCCACCTATCGAGGTCCTGAGGTTACACGTACCGGATCCTTGACCATGCTCCAGCACCCGTCTCACCAGATCGTTTCTAATCCGCTTTCTTACTTTTCGAGACCGCGGCAAAGCCAGGTCAGCACGTCACCAGAGCATGGAAGGCATGAATCCCCAGATATCAGCATTTATCGCGCCCAAAGTCTACGGAACGTGCGATCCGATTCTGTGCCGACCGTCAGCGCTCCGTCATCGAGGCCTGCGAGTCCACCCAGGGTGACCGACTCACCCGTCTCGATGATTGTGGATGGAACGGACAAGTTCCCGGTCGTAGACGCGGCGGATGATCCGCACAATCAGCCCAAAGTTCAATTTGATGAAGAAATGGCTCCGAACGAATCTAACCTGGAAAGCGTGGACCCTCAGTCCAAGCAGGCGACCGATTTGCCCGTCGAACCAGGAAAGCAGATCGTTCAGCCCGAATCGCCAAAGAAGGAAAAGGAAAAGCAGAAGCGGTTCACGTTCCATGCGGCACTCTTTGGGGGAGATAAGAGCCACCAAGAGAGCGCGGAAAATGTAGGCAAACTCAAAAAAGGGCGAAGAAGGACTCTATCTTTCAGCAAAAATAGTGAGGCGGAAAAATCAGAGAACAAGACTGCGACACCGGCCGAGGCGAACGACGAAGTCAAAGTGGACGGCGCGACGATTGAAACCGAGGACTTTTTGACACATTCGGCAGTTCGTCCACTCTCACTGATCATTCCAAGCGAGTTTAAAGGGAAGGAAAAGGAAATCGTCTGTGCCCCAGTCTATGCTCGATGTGCCTGTTGTGGGAAGTTGAAACGGCCTTCAGGGTACTCCGGCGAACTCAGTCCGGTGCTGGAAAACGAGAATCTCCGAACCAACTTCAGCTTCGAGATTGAACGAACATCTGGTTCGTCTGAGAGACGAAGTTCCGATGCGAGCCGCCATAAATTTGTACCCATTATCCCGATGGAAGTCGGTGAAAACGAAACCCGCCAGGCGACGATTGAGCCATACACGGGTCCTTTCAACAGCCACACGGATGAGCATGAGCAAATATCGCAGACGGACATGAATATCGCTTCTTCGAGTCCAGTCAAGCAGCCTGTTGGGCACCTGAGTTCAAGTCCACGAAGAATGAAGAGGCACTCCACACCGGCTCGATTTACTAGGTTTGCCAGCTTGCATGGACGACGAAATGTGGATTCAACCGTGATCGCGGAAGAAGACGAGGAGGCTGAAGCGGAAGGGGAAGCGGCCGAACATCAACCTCTTATGAGCGAGGTGACGGGGCCTGAGACCCCTGGTATCGTCAATCAAATTGTCGCTGCCGCCGCCGCCGCAGATGAGGATGTGATTGCGAGCAGTCTACCACTGATTGAACCGATTTCATCAGCCGACCGAGCATTCATCGAATCAGTACCCAGGATGGCCACTCACGACGCTCAACTTCTGACCAGCGAGATTGTCGAGAGTATTCCTCTCAGAGGGTCGAGTTCACGATCAGGATCAGAGATGTTCTCCACACCCACCCGGGGCACCACCCCCGTGCCCGAGAATGCTACGGCCACGGAAGGCACTCCCATCCAGCCTGTCGCCGCGACTCAGGCTCAAGCCATGGTGCAGGAGAAGGTGGAATATAGTCCCAGCCCTCCCTCGATGGACGACACACCTACCTCAACCACTACCGCAACGACAACAACCATTGCTACGCCCTCCGATATTCAAAACCCGGCTTCACCGAAGTTCGCCCCGGAGTTTTCAGCCTCTTTCTTTGATTCACCCGATTTATCTCTTACTTCACAATTTGAACCAGGCACAAAGCCAGCTGGAATTGTTGGGAAGTCAGAGAAAGGAAAGGACAAGGCCACCGGAAAGAGGAAGTCAACTGCGACCGAATGGGTGGCCGAAATGATGACTGTGAATGCTTAGTTGGCGAGTTGGAGGCAGCAGTAGATTTCCCAATGGGGGAGCGGCTGGAAGACCTTTGTTGTTTCGAGACATGGGACACGAACTCATGAGAGACTGAATATGCATATATTTCGTAGACTACATATTAGCGATTTGACGTGGGACGGACCACTGGAGGATTGGAGATCAGCGATTTCAAGGCTAGTGGTCCATTTGGGTATATATGGGTAGATGCAGCAGCATCTCTTCAATCAAGACGTGACGACGAAGGACTGTGAGAGATATGGCGTCCGAGAAGGATTGAGAGACACATGCTGGTGTGGAATTGACGGCCATGTATGTGTGTATGAATATGTAATATAGGTATGTCTATCCGTGAAGCTCAAGTTGAACCACAAAGAGTTGGTGCCACGTCTATTGTATCTGTAGGATGCATGTACCGAGTATGATGTGCTGGCCTTCTCAGCCACATCCGCAAAGGCACTTGCCTCGCTGCCGTTTCAGCCTCACCGACTGAACAGCCTCCTCTCTAGTGTACTTTTTTGGCCCCCAGGGACAGAAGGCAGAGCGTGAAGCACTCCTCGAGCTTGACTTGAAGGATGCGACTCCCGCGTCAAACTCGCACGAATCAGTGAACGGGCACTCTGGGCTGGGACATGTGTCTCTTCAATAAGTTCCTGTATCATATGCCCCGTGTCTGAATCACTGACAAGGCCGTCGATGTGCCTGATGCATTCACCATCACTCCAGCACATCTGATACATGCGTACAGCCTGGGACTGTTGTCGATGCCTCCATCAAAAGGTCCTCGTACATCCACTAAGTTGACCAACACCAGAATCAGACACGTTGGTAGTCTAAATGGACGGCCTCAGCGACGCTGCCAGCCTCATCGCTGTCATTAAACTGTCATGTGAAGTGATCGGATTCGTCGGGACGGCAAGCGGAGCCACGAAGGAAAGGAAGCGCGTTCGCGAGGAGGTCCAAGCCTGCCAAACCATCCTCCAACAACTCAAAGATGAGGCTGACGAATCCGAAGAAGGGCAGACGTGGACGAAAATAATCAACGCTCTTGAGGAACTTCATGCGCCACTGGGTCGGCTCTCGATTGCTTTGAACCTCCTCAAAACGAGGCTGGAGCCCAGGTCCGGCCAGAGGATCCTCACATCCTTGAAATGGCCATTTCAGGAGAAAGAGGTGGCAAGGATCATCGACGCCATCGAACGAGAGAAAGCATTGTTGGGTTTGGCATTGATCAATGATTACCGGAGACTGATCCAAGATCTCCAGAAGAGCTCCAGAGAAAACACACGCCATGTCCTGGAGCTCATCGACGTAGTCAGAAGCAGCTCGCAGGGCACTGAGGGCCAGCTTGCCGAGTTGAGAGACGGCCTGGCCCGTATCGAAGTGCTGCAGGCTGATGTCAACGACGGCCTCGGTCGTCTGACCGGTCGAGATGATCGGCGAGAAGCTTCTGAAGAGCATAAGGCTGTCCTTGACTGGCTCACCACCGTCGACTATGCTTCTCAACAGAGCGACTTCATTAGTCGACGACAGCCGGGGACTGGACAGTGGCTTCTCGACTCGACAGAGTTCAAGACGTGGGTGGAGACCGACAGGCAGATATTGTTCTGCCCAGGTATTCCTGGCGCAGGGAAAACAATTCTTACATCAATCGTTGTCGAGTATCTCCACGACAAGTTTCGAGGGGCACATACCCATAATACCGACCATCACTCAGGCGGCAATATTGGTATTGCATATCTCTATTGCAACTTTCGGCGGCAATACGAACAGGAGGCCAGTGACCTGCTCGCGAGCCTACTCAAGCAGCTAAGCCAGGCGAGGTCGTCGTTGACAGAAAGTGTCAAGCAGCTCTATAGCCAACACAGACACAAGCGAACACGACCCTCATTCGACGAAATATCAAGAGCACTCCAATCTATTGCCAGCACGTTTCTCCGAGTCTTTATTATCGTCGACGCAATTGATGAGTGCCAAACAACTAATGGCAGCCAGACGAAGGTCTTAACAGAGGTTTTCAATATCCACGCAAGCTCCGGAGCCAACATCTTTGTGACCTCGAGATTTATTCCGGACATTACCAGAAAATTTGAAGCGGCTACCTCATTGGAGATTCGTGCCAGCGAGGAAGACGTGCGAAGATATGTTGACGGCCACATCTACCGACTCCCTGGATTTGTTAGCGGTAATCACGACTTACAAGAAGAAATCAAGACGGGGATTGTCCGGTCGGTAGGGGGAATGTACGTTAATATCACCCGGGATATGAATATACGCACTAAATCATACTCAGGTACCTCCTCGCTCAGCTCCATCTTGATTCCTTGGTCGGCAAGAGATCCCCCAAAGCTATTCGTGCAGCGTTGGCAAACTTATCCACAGGTCTGAAGGCACAGGTATATGATCTCGCCTATCAAAACGCCATGGAGCGCATCGAAGGTCAAGTAGCAGATCAAGCCCAGCTTGCCAAACAGGTTCTATCCTGGGTCACCTGCACAAAGCGACCGCTCACCACATTAGAACTGCAGCACGCTCTTGCAGTGGAAGTTGGCGAGGCTGAGCTAGACGAAGAGAACCTCCCCCAGATCGAAGACATGGTCTCTGTATGTGCTGGCTTGGTCACACTTGACAGAGAAAGTGGCATCATCAGGCTAGTGCATCATACGGCACAGGAATATTTCGAGCGGACCCAGAAGCACTGGTTTCCGGATGCTGAGGCTGAGATAACGACCTGCTGCGTCACGTACTTGTCCTTTGACGCCTTCACATCCGGCCACTGCGCAAGCGACGAAGCGTTCGAGGGGCGGTTGCGGTTATATCCATTCTATCGTTATGCAGCGCATTATTGGGGTATCCACGCCCGTCAGGTATCAACATGCTCCACGCTCCTGATCGATTTCCTGAGGGAAATATCGAATGTGGAAGCAGCCGCGCAAGGACTCTTCGCCGTCCGAGATTCGTGGGAACCGCAGTACAGCCAACGGGTCCCAAAACAGCCGCTGGGCCTCCATTTAGCAGCACACTTTGGAATCGAAGAAGCAACGGGTATCTTGCTGCAGCATTGCCAAAGTGTAGAGGCAACAGATGCGAGCGGCCGCAAGGCGCTGTCTTATGCCGCAACTGGTGGGCACGAGCCCACGGTGCAACTGCTGCTCGACAGGGGCGCCGACATCGAGGCAACAGATGACAACGGCCAGACGCCCCTGTGGTATGCTGCCAGGGCCGGGCACGAGGCAGTCGTCCGGCTGCTGCTCGAGAAGGGCGCCAACGTGGAGATTCAAGACCGTCACGGTATAACGCCACTACTCCTGGCCGCCGGCAGAGGGCATGAAGGCGTTGTACGGGTTCTGCTCGAAAAGGGTGCTACGGTCGAGATCAAGAACAATCCTGGGACGACGCCGCTCATGCTTGCCGCCGACCAAGGGCACACGACCATCGTGCATTTCCTGCTCGACAACGGCGCCGACATCGAGTTCAGAGACGCCGTGGGCATGACACCGCTGTCCTGGGCGGCCGAAGGCGGGCACGAAGACACCGTGCGGCTCCTCCTCGACAAAGGTGCCGACCTCGAAGCACGGGACCTGCACCGCAAGGTGCCGCTGTGGTACGCCGCCCGGGGTCGCCACGAGGCCGTCATGCGGTTGCTGCTCGAACGCGGCGCTGACGCCGAGCCACGCGACCACCCGGGTGCCATTCCCATGTGGTATCTCTGGCAGATCAGGGACAGGGTCATCGAGAAGCTCTGGCGCGAACATGGCCACACTTGAGTCGACCTTTGCTCATGCATGCGCACGCGCGCCGTGTGCTGAATCTGTTAAATGTATGTGTTCCATCGAAACAGTTGTTGGATTTAGGGCCAGCCATTGTGAAGGGGGCAGACAGAGAAGGGCGGAATAATGTGCTAGTATAGCTCTGAAACTGAAGGAAGGAAGGAAGGAAAGCGGTATTATGCATGGATAACTATTTATCTCTCTATCTATGCATATATATACATACAGGCGTGGGATGAGGTTCCATGTAGCGCAATGCAATGCAATGCAATGCATACCTGCGTCAGTCTTGACCAGCTTATACAGTACGTCTCTTTCCTTCCTTTCTTCCTCCTTCCTTCCTACCTGCCTGCCTGCCTGCCTGACAATGCCCCAATAAGCCCATACACGTAGATAGATAGATAGATAGATAGACAAATATCTTGTCTTTTTTCTTTCCTTTTTTCCCCAACTTCTTTCGCCTTCCGCTTCACTCCTCATGACGACTCACTCACTCACCCACTCACCCACTCGATCGACTAACCAACCTCTCAACCTCTCCTGTCATTTTTTCGTATGGGCGAATCCCAGCCCTGGGATTCCACCAAGGCCATCCGCCCATCATCTATCTATCTATCTATCTATCTACGGAGGCACTTGTTCGGACGCAAACCCCATAACACTGTCGGTCGATCGGTCCGCTGTGGGTGGTGTGTCCATCTGCCAGGTACGACAGGGCTTGGTGTAATACATAGAATAGACTTTGTGGTGTAGTTGAGCTAAAATCTCCTACGAGACACACATACACACACATCCAGAAATGCATGCATACACATGTATATGTATGTATGTGTGTGTGTAACCTAAGCAACCTCTGCTTCGTCGTCCCATTGAGCTTTCTCCGCCCTAACCCAATTCTCCTGTATCATCTCCCTCATATTCATATTGGCCGTCTCAGACAACACAGAAACCCCATGAAAACCCTGCCCAGGGGAGATCTGCTCTCTCCCCTTCTTCTTCGAGTACTGGCTAGACAAGAACCCAACTCGCCCAGATCCAACCGACCTCGCTGCCCAGGCCGAGCAGGAGGACGACGACGCACAAGACGAGCCCGACGCCGACGCGGCTCTGGGCGTCGCGGCGCCAGCTCAGCGTGTACTCTTGGCCCGCCACCGTGGTTTCGCCGTTGCCGTCCGCGGCGCTGCGGCCGGGGTACCCAAAAAGAACCCAGAATGTGGCAGTGAGGCAGGCCAGCAACAGGACGACGAGCGTGAAGAGCAAGATCGAGAGGAGGGAGAAGGTGTGGTGCAGGTGGATTGTGGGTGGGCCTTGGTGTTGTTTCTCTTGTCGTTGGAGAAGGCACGATGTGTGAGGATTGGTGGCAGACGGAGAGGAAGCGGAGGAGGAAGAAGAGGAAGAGAAGGGGATGTGAGATGAGGTCAGGGCCGCGAGGGATTGGGTCCGGTGGAACGACATCGCAGACGAAGGGGGTTGGAAGGGCATTCGCGGTAGAGACAACGAGGGTTGTTTTGCGGTCAGCCCTGTGCCTCCTACTGTGCCGACGACGCTGTTGAGACCGTGTGCCTGGCTGATCGGCGACAACTCGTTAGGGCCCACCACACCGTCACTGTTGTTCCGCGAATGCACGAACGAGAAGACCGGGCTTGTCGCAGTGGCGTCACCTTGAGGACTGTAGCCGTAGCCATATCCCTGCGCGTAGCCGCTTTGCTGCTGGGGCAAGTAGGACCTGCGGCTACGGCCGCGACGTGCTAGATCGTTGGCATTGCCGTTGTTGATGCTGTTGCTGGTGCCATGTGAGCCGAGGGATTGGTTGTTGCGGAGCCAGAGCAGCCACATCTTCCGCCGCCGGCCAACGCGAGGGTTGAGCAGATGCCGGACAAAATCTGCGCCGTCAAATTCGGCTCCGTTATGCTGCAGACCGTGCCAGAACGCCGCTCCGGTGCAAGGCTGCATGATCCCGGTGCTAGCACCCTCCAACGTCCTTGCGCAGAACCACCGTCTCCCCCACCCCATCAGCTTCGTCACGTAGCTGTCCCGCACGAGCGTGAACAGCTGCTCGTCGTCAAAGGTCGCCTTTTCAGACACCTCCACCTCCACAGTCACGCGGGCGGACGGGTGGCGGGCCAGACGCAGATCCAGGAACAGGATCTCAGGGGCAGACGGGGACGGGAAGCGGTCAGATTTGGCCGTGGGCGCCGGCACGGGAGTGGGCGAGAGGAGGGTCGGCTTGGTGGAGAATGGGATGTCGGGGGCGATGTCCCTTTTCTCGTCATCCTGGGAGTCCTGCACAGAAGTGCTGTTGTCGTTGGTCTCGCTCTCGGCGTCTTGTTCCGCCGACTTTTCGGTGTGGTGAGAAAGTGGCCTCGCTCGCTTCAGCTTGGGCGTCGTCTTGTTTCCCGTTCCTTGGGTTCGGGGACCGGCAATCTCATCAAGTTCTCCGATACTGCTGTGTCTTGCCGGGTAGGGGGTGCTGACGATACTCTCGCGGAACAGCTTGTGGTCGTGGGCTCCCTTATTGATGATCAGGTCTGTGGGCCGGATCATCACCCGACGTGCTGGGTTGCGCACCGGTGCGGAAATAGCACGGGAAAGCTTCCTGTCGTTCTCGGTGGGAGGATTGGAGCGAAGACCATCGGTGATGATAGAGGAAGGAGACACATAGGTAGTATTAGTGCTCCCGCCGGTCGAGTATGTTGCGTCGGAAGTCCGAGGAACCCGTACAGACCCAAACCCGCCAAATGGTGTGGGCAAAGTATCGAGCGCTTCAATACGGCTGGGAGTGTCTGGCCACTCGAGGATGGTTTCTTTCATCGTGTCACGCGGCTCGGTACTGACTTCGACAGGAAGTTGTGGGAGGGTGGTGAGATTGTCACCTGTTGATTGCGGCTCCTCTTGGCCTTCGAGCGCCTTGAGGGCTTCACTGGGACCACCTGAAACAACAGTCGTCTCGCTCTTCTCAACAGCTGGTGTCAGCTCGTAGAGATTTTTCAGTGCTTCACCCAAGGTCTGCGATACTTTTGCTATGGATGGTCCGTCATCCGTCGATATCGGGGTCGATTGAGGAGCGTACAGTTTGGGCACCGAGCCGCCAGAACTGTTGCTATGCTGCACAATATGCGGCTTGCTCACACGGACGCTGCTTGCTCTGTGGATGATCGGGCTGGTCGGGTCGAGCTCAGACGAACCGTTCGAATCCGAATCATACGTCGCTCGAGGCTCTTCATCTCGGCTGCTGGAAAGGATGGGAGGAGTGTCCCCGATCGAGTGGAGCTGCCTGGTCACCGGGTCGTAGAATGGGTCTGTTGGGCTTGAATTTGTTGTGTCCTTCGATTGCCTCTTCAACTTTGATTTCTTCTTGAGGAAGCTCCTTCTCTTGTGTGACGGTGACGATGACGAGGGGGGTTCCAAAAAGGCATCAGATATCTCCGATTCTGTGGTGGTTCTGGACCAGCGACTGACCTCTTTGGGAGGCGTATGTGGTCGGTCCTGGGACGGTCGCACGAGGCGAGCAACCCCTCCGCGCCAGCCAGAAGTCGGCGAGCGTGATCTCGGCATATCGGTGGCAGACATTTCGTTGGTCTTTTTGGCCGTGGTGGCTTTTGATCCCTCTTTGTTAGTCTTCGGAGTCGCTCGATGGATAACGACTGGTTGCCAGGCAAAGACTCGAATCGGGCTCGAAGGATTGAGGACCATGAGTAATGAATGTCCACCACTAGAACGATGTCGAGGAGTTCGAATTTAGTATCATCGCTGGAGGCTGTTTTAAGCGCCGCCATCTTGGGTGGTTGCTTGCGGTGAGCGCTGTTGAAAGAATATTTTTCCGCTTGCGGTAAACTCTCAAGACCGTCGATGAGGATTTCAGAATCCGGCGTAGTCTGGATAACTTGACTGCTTCGGATAGAACAAAGAGAGCAGTCAATCGGATTCTTTCTGCTAACATGACGGGAGCGCCGGCAAACCTGTTTGCAGGTCCAATCTCTGACGGTGACACAGGATGGCTTCATCGAGCCGCATTCCAGCCTCAGCCCCGGAACTTGCCTTGGCAGTACGGGCAGACATCGAAGTGGTCGAATAGCGCTTGACTCAAGCTTGGACCATCGGCGCATTCCAGCTTGCCAGGGTCGAGGAATTGCCTACCGCATTTAGAACAATAAACGGAAATTCCAGGCTCTTGGATGGCAACGAAGGAAAGACTGCACCGACTGAAATGATGGCCCCGATTGCACCTTGCTCGACTTGGGTCTGCTGAAAATGGTATGATGTCACCGCAGAGCTCGCAAAATTCGTCAGCCAGAACGGTATTTTCGCCGCCCGATCCAGTAGTTGCGGCATGGTCTGTGTCATTATCAGACGGTCGCTGATCAAAGCTACTGGGGTTTTGACCGGAAACTTTCGTCGGAAGTAGATTCAGCAGATCATCTGCCCATTGGGTGAGTGACGAGAAACTTGTGGAATCCAGTTTGATCAGGGCAGCGGCGGTCCGCACAATATGTTTATCCAGGTCGGTTTTCACCAAACCAAGTGGCAAGTCCCTCAGAAACTCAAGAATGCGCTTCTGCACCTCTGACGGAGTTTCTGAGCTGTTATCCGACGTCAGTGGCTCGTGCAGGCGCATGAACACCACTGTCGTCCGTTGGCTTGAAGGGATGCCGTACTCAATCATGTCTGAAGGGTGCAGTGAGATGCATGCCGCTGCAAGAGTACGGTCGGGAGAGAATACAGCACCCCAATAGTGTATGCGAATCCTACCCCCGAGCCCAAAGTTGCGGTCGAAATCTGAACGAGGTTTCTGAATTGCCGAATCAAATTGGCTCTGGTTGGGCATTTCCGAGTACGAGAAGCTCGACGCTGACTTTAAAGGTGTAACCGAAAGCGCCAGCTCACGTTGATTTCTGCTATTGGCTTCATCCATCCACTTGACTCGTAGGGACAGATACTCCGCCTCACTGCACTGGCCAAAGCTTACCTTGACATCCAGAGCTGCTGTTCCTGAGGGCTTACTTAGGTCATCTTCGAATCGCCATTTGCTTGTCTCCAAATTCGAGATGGGTGAGGATCGAGCCAGAATGGTTCGCAGACCGAGCCTTTTCATTGCACTTGCATCCAAGTGCTGGAGACCGGGGAATCTGTACTGCGCCAGAAGCTTGCATGACCAATCTCCGTATATAGCGCCGTTGGTTTTGTAAAGGTGAAAGAACAGGACCGTGAAATCATCATCGGCCAAAGCCACGAGTTGAGAGCCCCACCTGAATCCCTTGGACAGCGAGAGGGCCGGTAGCCAGTGGAAGGCTCGCACTCGTCGCTTTTCTCGGGGATTATTGAGCTGCTCGTCACTAGGAAGATATTGATTGATAATCGCCGTTCGCTGCCAAACCCCAAGTCTCCCATTCGACTCCCAGAGCGAGAGGATGAGATTTGACGTCAAAACAGCAAGGACACTTCTTCTGTAAATACCCAGTCCGGCTGGAGACCATGAAAGTGACACAACTGTAGACTCAGACAGTTCCTCTCCTACGGAAAACTGCGTAATAGTGGCCAATTCCTGAAAAGGCCATTCGGACGGCTCGAACTGGTTGACGCGGAGAGTAAATGTGTGCCACTGCTTGTGCCCTGGATCACCCAGAGAGCGGGATGCATCGCGAGGCGTTAAGATATGCACCAGCTCACCTGCAGCGACTGCCAAATCCTCGGGTGACCAAGTCAGCGCATTTTTGCAAGTTGGCCAGTAGGGCAGAGTGACGGGCTCCAGATGGCCTCTGAGAGTTTCCATTCAAGAAGGAAACTTAGATTGGCTGACTGCAGCCGAGCGGTGAAGGCCTTGCTGCACAGGGAGAAGCGAGGAAGTGGCTCAGTCTGACTGGCTTGCCAACTCGAGATTTTGTGGACGACGAAAGCAGGTGTCGGCGTCAGCTTGGCGAAGGTGTCTTGTCCGAAGGGAATCCTGGCATAAATTTCACGGATAGAACGGCATGTGCATCTTCATTGCGAGAAACAGAGTCATCAAGTCGTACAAAGACATTCGAAAAGAACTGTCCGGAGACCAAAACCGTTAGCATGAAGACTGGAACGCCAAGAGATCTCAGCCTTGCACGTGGTTAGTTTGGCGAAGGCAAGGCTGGCGAGGAGAGATTAACGCGGCTCCCCGATTTCCGAGAAGTAATTCTGGGGGCAAGCCTACTACCACATGCGGTAGCTCGGCAAGTCAAAGAAAGGAGACCGTGAACACCGTGGGAGCCCTTGGTGGTGGAGCTAGAGGGCTCATTGTCGTGGGGAGACATCTAATTTGCTCCTCCTGGCGATGAAACGGTTCTCGTAAGGGAGAACTTAGCTGCCGGGCCTGAATACTCCTGTCAGCACGGGAGACTTGAGACTGGGAGCAAGGAGGAGCAGGAGAGATGTGGTCATACTGTGTGCCTGTTGAAGCCGTTGTCTGGTGATGATATGGCTTCGACGCGATGCGGCGAAGGATCTGGTGCTGCACATTGGGATCCAAGGTTTACGATGTTTCAAAATTCGGCGCGTGTTATTGGCGGGTTTGTGTAGTGGCGGATGATTAAACGGGAATCCACTCGGTATTGAGATGGTATTGATGAACACCAGATTAACCATACGAGCACGTGATCTCGCCTACCGGAGGGCATCTTGCGTCAGGCGGCACCAAGCTATCCCCGATGCAGCTCTTAGCGCCACTACGGACATACCAATCTTAGCAAGGCGGCGTCAGGGGCTGTATCAGGGGAACACTGCGGATACCCCGTGGCTGTACTGCTCGCGTTCCAAAATTGGAGACACCGGGGCCCACTATTTATCTCTTTTAGGTATGACGGTGTTATGATTGACAGCCACTAGTTTTGCCTAACGTGGGCTAATGGATTGTCTCGTCCATTTTCAACGCTGATGCTGGGGGGGCTGAGGGCCACCTCCTGGGCAGCCAGCCCTGGTAGCCACGGACAAGGTCTGACTTTCTGTGCTCCCAGTCCTGATTGCCAAACTGCGCCCTCCTGAACGCACCTATCAGAGGGTCGAGATTGGTTGTCCTGAGTAATTGCCCAGTGGGCGGCCCAGCCCAGCTCTGGCTTTTCCCTTATGGCTGGCTCTAGGCAATATATGCCCGACTCCCTGACGCCCACATTTCCCACCCCGGTCCCCTTTTGTTGTCCTCCTTTATCTATTCATCACTTCCCTTCGTTTGGTTTCTGCTTCTCTTGCAATTGTCAGTTGCAGGGCAGTTCCCCTTTTTGTTCTTGTTGCCTCCCATGGCGGCCTCTATCTCGCCGTCGGTCATCATGACCCAGATCTCCAGCTATCTCAATGCCAACGAGACCTCCAACGTTCTTTTCCAGTCGCAACAGGCGGTCAATGCCATTGGGACCTACAAATGGTTCATTGGTACTGGCATTTTCGTCCTGGTCACCACTATCCAGATCATTAAATATATGCTCCGGGACCGTCCTCCCCCAGGACTGAAGCTCATTCCGGGCCCTACAAGCACAATCCCTTATATCGGACGTGTCCACGATGTCGACCCAATGGCACCTTGGTTTGCCATGAAGAAGTTCTGTGACGAATATAATGGTATTTTCCGCTCCACCATCTGTGGTGAGATGCATATCTGGGTCGGTGATGCGAAGATCGCCTACGACTTGCTCTGCAAGAAGGCCAGAATCTACTCTTCTCGCCCCATGGTGCCTGCTGTCCCAGGAAGTGATTCTCAAGGACAATACCTGCCCCTTTTGGCGCATGACGGTAAGTCTAGAAGTGCACCGAGTCATCGAGGGGTTTCAATTCTAACGCTCAATGCAGACCACTGGCGCAACCAACGCAAGTTCGCCCACACTGTCCTGACCCAGGGCTTCAACCAGAAGTACTATGGCTATGTCAGCCACGAATGCAAGCGATTCATGTACAAACTCCTCATGGACCCCAAGGACCACTTCGCTTTGACCGATCGATTCTGCGGTCGCATCAGTGCTCGTCTCGGTTACGGTAGCCCGGCCTCTGCCGCTGCCCACTGCAAGAACGCCGGCGAATTCATTCCTCAGATTTCCCCCTCAGGTCCCATCACCAACCTTCTGCCTTTCTTGGGCAGCCTCCCCGAATGGCTGAACCCATCGATCAAGCGCGTGCGTGAGCGACGTGAAAAGGAAGAGAAGCTCTGGAAGGGTCTCATGAAGCAGGTCCGCCTGGAAATGGACCAAGGTATCGCCCCCATCAGCTACGCCCGTACCTACTTTGAGCGTAAGGAAGCCGAGGGTGGCAACCGATCCTTCGGTTTCGACGACCACGAGGCTGCCTACGCTGTTGGTATGTTGGTGACTGTCGCTATCTTCACCATTGGTGGCCCTCTGTACTGTTTCTTCCTCGCCATGGTCCTGCACCCCGAATGGCAAGAGAAGGTCCGCAAGGAATACGACGAAGTCATTGGTGACCGTGTCATTGAGGTCTCGGATGCCCCCAATCTTCCCGTTCTCCGTGCTGCTATTAAGGAGTGCGTCAGATGGCGACCACCAGTCCCATTGGGTGTGCCCCGTCTTCTCGAAGAGGATGATGAATGGAACGGCTACTACCTTCCCAAGGGTGCCGTTATCCACGCTGTCGATCTCGCACTTGCCCGCAACCCTGAGCTCTACCCTGACGCCGAGGAGTTCAAGCCCGAGCGATGGCTGGAGAAGGAATACCCCACCTACAAGGAGCCTCTTACGGAACATCCCAGACTCATGGGCCACCATGGTTTCGGAATGGGTCGTCGCATGTGCCCCGGTATTGAAGTCACTGAGGCCGAGTTGCTCGTCGCTTGCGGCAGCATTGTCGGCTGCTTCGAACTGAAGCCATACCTCGATGCGAATGGTCAACCCAAGTGGCCTGATTCGAATGCTTTTACCCCTAATTTGATTGGTGGTCCCCTGCCTTTCGAGATGGATGTCAAGGTCCGAAGCCCCGAAAAGGCTGCTCGCATCAAGGCTTGGTATGAGGAGAGTGTTGCAGATGAGGCTGCCGGAAAGATCGCCGCTGGCTTGTGAAGAGGTGATTGATAATCTATATCATATGCAAGGGCAGCCTTAGCAGTCCTTGGTGATATTCGGCTCACTTTCGATTAAATGCAAGGCGTTGTTGGGAAATCCAATTTCAGACATGTGTTGGATATTTGAGGCCGCTGGCATACTTGCGCGCTGATGAGAATGACTCGACGCTCAACGCTTCGTTGGACAATGTACAGATACTGTCTGAGATCTCGTGGAGTGAGATGTGTTGGGAGCAGGAGTAAGCAAGTTCGCAATTTTTTGGGTAGAAGCAATTTAACGACCATGTAATCTGCACCATTTAACTATTCCATTCTACTTCACGTCACAGTACAGTACGTACAAGGAGCACAGCAGCTTCAAATTATTCTATCTGCCGAGTGCTTCTTGCTCTGCTGCTGATCGAAACCCTCGTTCATGGCCACGTTCGTCGGGTGCCAGTCACTGTCGGTAAGCATCCATCCTCTTTGCCAGGGGTCAACGTGTCGAAGTCTGGATCTTCTGCCCACCCTCAACACTGACAATCAATCTTTTCGCGTGGCTTCCGTTGATAGCTTTGGCCGGCTAACCTCGACCTTCCTCAACGCTTCAAGTGCACAACGAAGGGTACCTTGTAACTCTGCATCATGATTGAGCACTGGCCAGTTCTGGACTCCTTGAAGTCCCCGCAAGGGATCGTCACCTCTCAATGGCGATTTGTCAAGATCCGTCAAGCCTTCCGTCAAGGTGTCGCCGCGTGCAACGCTCTCCAAACGATTGCGCTATCTAGACTACAATCCATTCCCCTACGGTGGCTACAGACCTAATGTAAAATTGAGTCCTTGGATTTTCAATCACTCATGGGCAGCTGGGGGAGTTTCTGTCGTCCCTTTAGATTCCATTTGTTGTCGATACAATCGTCTGGTTCTTCAAGTCGTGGAACTTCAATCGCTCTCCTGCAATATTACCCAAGATATCTGAACGCCGTAAGAGCAGACCCGTCCTCAATTGCTCAAAATGAGCGTTTAGGATGGGATGGAAGTCCCTCTCCGTCATGACAGCAGCGGAGGCGACGGGACTTACACTAATGAGAAAACACACGACTCGAAACTCATCTCAGCTACGGACGAAGAGTTTCTGTCCGACAGCAGCGGACAAGAAAGTCACCATGGACTGTCTGGTGACACCGCTCAGGATATCAGGGATATGTTCAGATTCGGCAAGCGCCAGGAATTCAACCGAAACTTTTCTCTCATTTCAACACTTGGATTTATATCGATGTGAGTCGAGTAGAGTGTTCGTCGATCTTACTCGTAAACACTTCTCGATATGTCATCGTTGGCCCTGTCCTTTGTGAATGCGCTTCGTTTCATGTATTCAGCTCAGCCAGTGAGCTAATATCAATATCAATCACTAGATACACGGCCACATGGAAGTTTGTCTTTCTAAGCTCTTAGCTTTCTGGTCACGATTAAACCACTCTGAGGTAGGTGACATGCCTCGAAGTTCACAGAATATAAGCACGGCTGACTTGCACCCTTCTTCTGAATAGCCATGTGTCCCAAGAACGGCGCAAAAGATGTATTCGGGACCTTTATCGATAATAGAGGCTGGGGAAACGTCGGAACTGCGTGTGATGTCTCACCAAGTCACTATCTCATATTGCAACTTGGTTAAGCACGTATCATATGGTACGAACCTCTAATCAAGTCTGATTGCCTGTTGTCGGGTCGGATAACGCATGCCGTATCCCAGAGAAAGTCGCGGATGCCTTGTTGAACGTTCCACGCCCAATGTGGTCGAGTTACCTTTTGGACCTCTCCATGGGAATCATAACGCGAATCACGATGCTGCTCTGTATTGGAACACTCGATGACGCGATCAACGCCGGGAACACCCTATCTACAGCTCTTCCTCAACACGGGGTCGAATGCTGTCGCTTACGTGCTGTCCCTTTTGCTCCTGGTGCTCATCTTCAGTTGCGGTGTCACCGCGCTTGCAACGACCAGCCGCGAGGTCTTTACATTTTCACGAGGCCACGAATTCCCCTTCTCACGACGGCTGAGTAAGATCGAACGAAGGCGAAACATCCCATTCAATGTAGTTTACGCCACCTCTTCTGGTCAACGGTGCTCTGCGTTGTCATCATTGGCTCAACAACTGCATAACTATACATTCTAAGGATAGGGCTTTGGAGAAGTCATTGTATTTTCCCTGCAATGCCAGAAGGCTAACGAGGACTTGCAGGTTCAACATTATAGTCTCTCTCACCTTACTGGCTTTGCTGAGCACGTACATGGTCTCGATTGGATGTGTTTGTCTCAAGCTGATACGAGGGGAGCCACTGCCAGCGGCGCGGTGGAGTCTGGGACGCTATGGGGCTTGTCATCAACATGTTGGCTTTCCTTTATTGCGGCTTCACCATCGTCTTCTGCTATTTTCCATCAGCCTCACCGGTCGACACGAGCATGGCAAACTGGACGCCGGCAGTATGGGCAGGAGTGATGTTCCTCAGCGTACTGTCCTATCTCCTGCATGAAAGACATCACTTCAAGCCACCAGTTGTCTTTGTAGAGGGTAAAAGAACCGGGGGCTTCCAGGCAACTGAATGATTCAAGGACGGGACAGGTCATATTGCTGGGGTTGGGTGCAAAAGATTACATTCTCAATGAGCTCCGCTAAAGCCTTTCCTGACCGCCTTCTCGACCTCACTTCCCGCTGTGACTATCGCTAACGAGGTTATTTTGTCGATGAAAGAACATCGAGACAGTCTTGGCCTGCTTGAGCTGAAGCCGACAGACAACCCGCTCCGTGGCGAGAGCATAGGAAGCCCAAGGTCAGTCGAGCAAGGCTTCTACCCGCCTCATTTCTAGGCTCCTTGGCGTCCGCCCTTCCGTAGCGAAGGGTGTTCCGCTGACATGGAGCTGTGGCAATGGCAAAGCGAGAGGGCAATCAGCTGAACTATGGGAAGTAAAGAGTCTGGCGGAAACTCCTTCCTCCTTCCACGCTGCATCTGCGCCGAGATGCCCAGACGCCCAGAGTCTTGGCAGCTGAAGTCTTCTTTCCTCCGCCTTTTGAGCTTGAAGACGCTTTACTTCTTCTTGATCCAACAAGACATAGACCAAGCCATTTTTTCGAAGTCCTAAGCGAGGCCGTTCCAGGAAGTCCCGGGCCAGGTAACCTTGTCGTGCTTCTTGAAAAAGAGACTCTCTATTCACATAATTTGTGGGCTCGATCTCGCACTATGAGCCTCCTCTTCTTTGTCTGACCCAGACCCCGTATTTCCGGACGAGGCCTTTGACTTTGGCCAGATCAAGGTCAAAAAACTCACATGCAATCAGCGTGGGAGTCTAGTCTCGATACATGATTTAATTGTGTGCCCAATCAAGCGATTCGGCCAGCCTAGAGTGACCTGTTTGGTTGGAAAGGTTTCGTGTTGAGCCTCGTATCAATTGGGGTCCAGACTTGGATCCACCAATCCGGGCCAATACATTGTCGCCGCTAGAGTCGAGCCATGGGCTACCTGGCACTGCTTGTCGTCGCCTAGACGTCCAGCAGTGACAGCGCAATCGCGAGTCCATTGGGGCCATCTCTTCGTGTTCGTGCCACTTACACAACGGCTCTGGTCTTGGAGGCTGGTAGCTTTTCTGAGACGGTTCGAGTGCAAGGTAAGGGCCTGCTTGCCCCGGCTGTGCAGGTCAATCACGAGCCATCCCGGCCTCGTGGTCAAGGGTATATCGAACCCGACCGCCGCAGGGCTGCAGATCTCCTCTTTTCCATTTCGGTTTTCCTCTCTTCCTTCATACAGGACAGGGCGCTGCCCTCAAAATTTGAGTTGCTGATACCAGTATCGAATACCTGTTGGCCGTCACGATGGGGTTGGGAACGGCTTCTCTTTTATGTTTGCTTGCTTTACCCTCTGTGGCACTCGCGCAATCCGTGGTCTACACCACCGATTTAAACGGAAATGCATACACAACCACAGTGTACACTTCAGGTAGCACTTATGATGGAGCAACCACCACCTCCGGTTATTCAGCCCCGAGCTATGTCCCTGCTATCCAGACCGTACCATTCACAGGCCAGGCATTGCTCGTTGGAACGTATGTTAACGTGTCCGCGCTATTGGGGGTATCCGTGTTGATCTTTCTTGATCAGGTGCAACATTGCTCGATTCACCCTCCTAACATTCCCTGACGGCAGCTCGGTCGAAGTTCCACTTGTGGGATGTTCCGACGACCGGCCAGAATGCTGTCCATCATTGAATTTCACACATTCCGAGCCAGAAGAGACGGGTTCTGCTGCTTCGTCGGCCACAGATGAGGGAGACGAACATGAGTCCAGCACGTCCTGGACAGGCACGACTCCCAGTCCGACTCCAACGGGAATCATCTCCATGCTGAGCAATGCCCCACTTACTATTTGTCCAAGGTATCATCAATTCTCGAAGTCATAGGGCGGAAGGATGTCATCTGATTCTTTGCTTACAGTGATATGGTTGACATCGACCCAGTCTGCTGGTGAGTCCCGGGCCTTTTCACTACTGTCCCTTCATCGTGTGGTATGTACTGAACGAATCTCCTAGTCCAAGTGGCTTCACCACTTATGGCGAAAGCATCATCGGCAACCTCCCTTGCGTAAGTACACTCACGACGACGATCTCGCCCGATTCGGCCGTGCTGGCATCCATAACCTCGATGGTATCAGCTTCCTTGGCCGCCCAGTCGACGGTGTCAACCCCGACTGTAAATGTCATCGTGAATCAGTAAGCTCAACCTCGATTCACGGATTCTCCAGAACCGGCCTGCTGTATTGGAACTAATGTAATTTCCAGAGTGTGGGCATTGGGCCTTCCTTGCGCTGACGACGAAGATGAAGAAGACCACACTCATTTAAGCACGGGCGCCAAAATTGGGATCGGGGTCGGGGTCGGTGTCGCCGGTCTTCTCCTCATCGGCTTGTTCTGGGCGTGTCTCGCCGTCCGCCACCGCCGGCGGGCAAAGATGCGGAAACTCGAAGCTGCCAACACCGCCGCTGGTGGCCCGATTCGTCCTGAGTCGACGGCGTATGCCGCCGCACAGGAGAACCCCAAACACATGTCCGTGGCGACGACCATGGCCCCGTCTCCCTCAGTAGGCAGCCCGCACATGATGCAGCAACAATACGGCTCGCCCACGCACGGCTTCAGCCCAGCGTTCGGGTACGCGGCGCCGCAGCAGGGCCAGCCGCCGCAGATGATGCAGGTACAGGACCCCTACGGTCATCCGTATGGCATCCAAGCTATTCCCGAAGGATACCCACCCATGGGCTACCCGCAATCCCACTCCCCACCGCCGCCATTCTACCCCTCCGGCGGCGGCGGCGGCAGTTACAGCCAGGCCGGGCCGTACAAAGACGCGCTGCCCGCCGAGGTCGCGGGGGACGAAGTCCGCCATTTCTCACCTCAATCGCACCGTGAGAGCATGGGCTTCTCGGCCAGCGACACCCGCAGCCAGGTTACGTCGACCACCGCGGTGGGCAGCTCGCAACCCGGCGCGGAGCCGCAGAAACCGCCTGCAGAACTGAGTTAGCAGGGCGAGAAGCTGTGCAATATGGAAAGAAAAAAAAAGAGAAAATGAGAGAATGAGAAAAACAGAGCGAACATTTCGCGCTGTACCAGGATGGAGGTACGGATACGTCGAGAGATGTCCGTTAGCCGGATGGTCGATGTAGTTTGTGTGTGTTTTTGGGGCCAGGAGCCAGCGGGCAGGCAGGCAGGCAGGCAGGGGACCAAATGCCTCAAAAATAGAGGGAACAAAGGGGAAAGGAGGAAGGGGGGTAAGAGTCAAGAGAAGGAAAGGCAAAGGCCAAGGAAAAAGGAAGATTTGACCAGATATCAACAATACGACTCTTTCTTTCGTTCGTAGTGAATTTCGAATGGTGTTTCAAAACATCGTATACATGGATGGTAACTGGATCTACACGCGGAAATAACGGCAGCGACTCCAGTTCTGTATCACGGTAAAGGAAACTTGTTGTGGTCCTGCAATGCTATGCAATTCCCCGATCAACCCATCAAATTGTGTTCGTGAAGAATTATCATTAAACACGTCAGACCGTACATGAAGCTTTGCCCTAGGGCTCATGCTTTGGGGCTCTTCTGCCCTCCGCCGCACCAGCACCGTTGTTCCCCTTCCCTTTCTACCTGAACCACGACATCCATTTTTCTCTGGCGTAAATACATCGAGACCCGCTCCCTGACATCCTCCAGGTCTGCATTCTGTGAGGCGATGATGTGGATCACACCCAACACCGTAGGGTCGGAACTTTCGCCGTCACACTTCTTGCCATCACTATCCTTATGAGAGTGAGAATGCGCGTGTGAGTGGTCGTCGTGTGCATGGGAATGGCCATGATGGTGGTGATGACCGGGCTCCTTCTTGATATCTTCGAGCCAGAATTTCGGCACCGTGTAGCCTACCACGCCGCGAATTTCGGCCACACCACTGAGAATGTCTCGAAGATTGTATTCGATGTCGGAGTTGAGTGACAAAAGGAGGATCTTGGTCGTCGCGGTGACGAGGGGGATGGTGGATGCAAAGATGAGAACCGCAATGATACATGATGCGAGGGGATCAAACCCGCTCCAGCCGGTCCAGCGGACAAGAAGCGTTGAACCCACGACCGCCAAAGAGCCGAGCGCGTCCGCCATGATGTGGAGATAGATCCCTTGCATGTTTTCCCCACCATGGTGGTGGTCGCTTGCTGCTCCTCGTTTGTTTTTCATTGGCGAAGCCGACGCCGTCATGGGAGCTCCGACTATTTCGTGGTGGCTGTGATCGTGTTTATGTCCATGATCATGATCATGGTCGTGGTCGTGGTCGTGGTCGTGGTCGGTGTCGTGATGGGAGTGGCCATGGCTGTGTCCTCCATGACTATGCCCGTGCCCGTGGTCGTGAGCGCCATGAAAAGCAAAAATGCCGACCAGGTTCACAAACAATCCGATCGTGCTGACCACAAGCAGCTCCGCAGTTCGACTGACATCGGCACCGGAGAACAATCGTTCGATCGCCTCGTAGACAATCTCAATGCTGATCAGCATTAAGAAAATGCCATTGCCTAACCCTGCCAGGGTGTCAATCTTCCCGTACCCATATGGAAATTTGAGACTGGGCGGCCATTTGCTCATGACTGCAGCGCACACTCCGACCAGCAAGGCCACGCAGTCAAAGAACATATGGATGCTGTCGCTGATCAAGCCCAGAGAGCCCGTAAGAATGCCATATGTCGACTGAACCAGCATAAAACAGAGGTTCAAGATCATGAAGTAAAAAATCCGCCGGGACTCGTCGTCTTCAAGTATCCCATGTAGTAATGAGTAGTTCTCGGTCGAGTGTAGTAAGAATTGCGTGGGTTTGGAGAAATTCCTCTTGAAAGTCGGCCTTCGCGCTACGGCAGGGGATGGGTATGAGGTCTTCTCTGTATCCCTTCTCTTTGGCGAAAACTGCGGACCCGAGAGGTCACGCGAGGGGGCAGGGCTGACACGTCGGTGCTCGTGAAAATGAGTGTTTACGGGAGGTAAACGGTTCACGCTCATGGCGGCCTCATTCTGCTGAATGATCGATTCGGAGGGAATTCGTGTCAAGGGGAAGGGGGCTGTGAGGCGGCTTCCTGTCCGACTTCGTTGGTGAGAGCGTGTATTCAAGCTCGGATTCGAATGTAGAGGAGAGTGGGAGTGGGAGTGAGAGTGGGAAGGACCATGAGGATGCCCATGCTTGCAGTTGTCGGCAGCAACGGGCAAAGTGAAAGTGGCGCTCATGGTCCTCTCATAGGGTCCCGAAGGTCGAGGGGACACTTTGATCGAGGCTCAGCAGACACACTCGTTGTAGCCTCTGCAGGCAAGACTCGACAGACGAGGTGTCAGTGATATTGCCGTCTTGACAGGTAGCAAAGGGTTGTTGACGCGACCAAGCTGATTTCCGTCGTCCGATACCTCGATAGGCGCAGGCGGGGAGGGGGGAAATAGAGAGAGAGGTGGTCTGGGGAAAGAGATTACAAGGATAGCTGTGTACACATTTCTTGTCTAGTCTGCTGCCCCTGGCCGACCGTGTCAGTGGGCAGCAGTAGCAACAGTGGCAGCAGCAGCATCATATTTCAAGGGGTAGCAAACTCCCAAGGGGTGGAGTCTTTAGGAAAGGCGTATCCCGCCTGATGGATCTTGTGCATTTCGCAGCTCGGGCATGCAACTTCTCTTGCTTCCCATGATTGGCTGCGGTCCAGGCGAGGATGCCCCCTTTTTCGGCCTCTCGAATCTTTCAAGCCTCTTTTCCACCCTCGAGTCTAAACCACTTCCATCAATCTGACCACCCTGGACAATCTGACTGGTCGACGTCATTGTTCTTTGACTTCTGGTGCTCTGATGCAGCACGAAAGAAACAGCAATACCTCCCAAGAGGATGCTATTGACCATCTTGGTGGCCATATCCACCCTTGTCACCGTACTGTTACTGCTGTTGCCATCTCCGAGGCAGGCTGATGATCCACAATGTTCGGTTCAGGTCGTGGTGCTGGGCGATCTGGGCCGTAGTCCCCGGATGCAGTATCATGCTCTGAGCATCGCGACCCACGGTGGTCGTGTCCAGCTTGTTGGCTATAGAGGTGAGGAGTAGAACTGTTCGACAGCTACTTCTGGCATCAGTCTAATTGCATGTGGTCCAGAGACTGATCCATTGCCTGAGCTCGTCGCCCATACTCGTGTCACGCTTGTTCCATTAACACCAGCTCCTCGATGGCTTCAAACCGGCAACAAGCTGCTGTTTCTCGCAGTTGGACCCCTGAAAGTCCTCCTGCAGACATGGACGCTTTGGAACACCTTGAGCTACACTACTACCGCTTCTAAATGGATGCTGGTCCAGGTTCATTTGTCCTGCGTCCTTGTTTGTGGGCTATACTAATGATTTCATCTCCAGAATCCGCCCTCGATACCTACTTTACTGGTTGTTGCGATTGTGTGTTTCTTTCGACGAACCCGGCTCATCGTCGACTGGCATAATTTTGGGTATTCCATCCTGGCTCTAAAGCTCGGTGCAGATCATCCGCTGGTCAGGATATCCAAGTCGTATGAAGTCAGTCTGGCGAAAGCAGCGACCACAAATTTTACCGTCACAGATGCAATGGCTCGAGTTTTGAAATCCAACTATAAGATCACTGCTCCGATCTTAACCTTGCATGACCGCCCAGCAGAGTTGTATCAGCCTCTAACAGCTTCGAAGCGGCTGGCCTTCTTACAGCGTTACCCCCTCACTCAGGACCATTTTAATGCAATCGTCGAGTCAAAGGTCAGACTGCTCGTCTCTTCGACCTCTTGGACAGCGGACGAGGACTTTGGTCTTCTCCTGGATGCTCTCTGTAGCTACTCTGCCAGCGCCGCCTCGACGCACCCACAGCTTCCAAAACTTGTCGTTGTGATTACAGGAAAGGGCCCTCAAAAGCAATTCTACCTCGACAAGATTCGAGAGCTGCGGTCAACACAAGCTCTCGATATGGTGAGCATCTACACCGATTGGCTTAGCTTCGAGGATTACGCTCTTCTATTGGGATCTGCAGATCTCGGTGTGTCCCTCCATACCAGCAGTAGCGGAGTAGACCTGCCCATGAAGGTGGTTGACATGTTCGGTGCTGGTCTGCCCGTCGCGGGCTGGAGCAGGTTTGCTGCATGGCCAGAGTTGGTGACGGAAAACGTCAATGGCAAAGGCTTCGGCAGCTCGGAAGAACTAGCAGACATTCTTCGTGAATTATTTGATCCCGGTTCACGACAGCTCGCAAGACTAAAGGAGGGGGCCATAAAGGAGAGTCAACGTCGATGGAATTCCGAATGGGATCCTGTGGCTGGCAAGCTCTTCGGTCTGGCGGATTGATCCCATGATACGTCCAGTCTGGGACAAGGCATGCTCGATGTAACGAAATCCTGTGGGATTGACAAGGAGTGTTGTCAGGAGGACAATTTAGCACACACTGCGCTTAGAATGAGGCTCGGTTCATGACCACATGTTGCTGGCTACGAGGCTCAAACGTCAATGGCTTCGGCTCCTTGCGTCGTTGAAGCAAGTATAGCCCAGACGACTGGGCGGAGAAGCATCGTCCGTGTTTTGGCTCTGATCAGTATATTATGACATTGGCAACAACGAAGTACGGGCTTCGATAGGCTTTGACCCAGTGCGTTTCCTTTCCACGTTCCAAGCTCATCGAGAGACAGATCTGGTCAGTACCCGCGTCGCTAGTCTAGATTTGGTTGATACCTGGTCAAGTCCTCCTCCATCTTTTGCTTGCTTTTGGGTCAAATCCAAACGATGCCTGGTCATGATGTATTGGGTGAGCAGTCGGTTGCTGGTATTAGTTATAGGAGCATCCGAGAATCCATTTTGACGTGAGGATGGGTTGCTGCTGCAGCCAACGATGAAGTTGGTGGTTAAAGCGGCAATGCGCACCACATGTGTTTAGGAGCGTTTTGCCATTTTCTGCCCCGTATCATACTGCATCTCACTTGCACACAAACAACTTCTTCAACGGTCAGCAGTCAGATCAGATAGCAGGGAGCATGACAACTTCATCCCAGTTGACACTGTCTGACATATGCAGGCCCAGGAGAAGTTGAGACTAATGAGGTAACATCCAAGTGTGAGCATATCCGACTGTGAAGACGGCATTCGAAAACGCCGCAAAGATTCCCCCTTCACCATGACGAACCCGTTGAAGCAAGAAATTAGAACTGCAGACGTCTACACAAAGCAAGTAGCAGATCGTGGAAATGGCATTTTCGCAGCACACGACATCGCACCCAGGTCAGAGGTTATCTTCGTTGCCCGTCCGTTGATGGTGGCACTGTCGACTTCAGAACTCCAAAACCGCTGTTATTATTGCTATAGCTCACCGGGGGACTTGGACTACTCTCCTGAAGCCGCCAATAACCAGGCGTTGAAGGCTTGCAGCGGATGCAAAGTGGTTAAATTCTGTGACAAGGTAGGTCTGACGTCTTCCTACGGGGATGAGTTCAGGGGTCGGAGGCTCTAATTCCAAGTGCAGAGGTGCCAGGCTCGGGCATGGTCAGAGTATCATCGGTTAGAGTGTAAGCTCTACGGCAGACTGCAGCCGAAAATCCTTCCAACCACAGCCAGAGCCATCATTCGATTGCTGAAGCAGCACAGGGCCAATCTTCTTCCTCATTCTGAGTGGGATCAGCTTCTGGCGCTGGAGAGTCATCAGGAAGACCTGCTCAAAGCTGGAGGCGAGCGTTGGCAAGACGCCTTCATCGCGATGAAGGGCATCAAATCCTATTGTGGTACCGAACACAGCGAGGCGACAATACTGCGAATAACCTGTATGGTAAGCATGCCCCTACCCGTCGTTCAACAAATGACGACTGAGAACTCTCAAGTTGCTTATCAACTCTTATACTATCACAAACCCGACATTCGACTCTTTTGGGCTCATTCTCCATCCCAGACCAGCTCTTCTGAATCACTCATGTGATGCCAATGCGTTTCTAAGATTCGACATCCCGGCATGGAGCGATCAAGAGGGCTTTCCACCCTACGGAAGCATATCTGTGCATGCCCTGAGGCCAATTGCCAAAGATGAAGAAGTTACGGTTTCATACGTTGATCCGACCTTTCCCCGTGACAAAAGGCAAGAAGAACTGAAGGCTCGGTATTTCTTCACTTGCAGCTGTAGCTTGTGCGCTAGAGGTCGAGACTCTCCTCTCGACAGGTTTCACCAGCCTACACGTGCCATGACGACAGATACAACACAGCCAGCAATTAACGCCATAATTTCTGAAACCGGTGACCTGGTGGAGCAGTTTCTCATGAGCCAAAATTCTTACCGTGGACGTGAGCACACCCAAATTGATACCATCAAACAGCTCATGCACCGCCTGGCTCAGACGAAAAGCTGGCCGCTGCATCGGTACCCTTGGCCTCAGCTGCGGCAGCAGTTGCTCCTTGGACTGATCGCTTCTCAGAGGTTTTCTGAGGCCCTGTTACAGTCGGCGGTGTTTGTCAGAGGAGTTCATCCTGCTTTGTTCGAGCAAGAGCACTATCCAATGCGAGTCGTGCAGATGTGGACGCTCTGGATTTTGTGTCGGCAATGCCTGTTGGCTCTCATGCTGCGAGGGCGGTCGCCGCACAACATCCAACTCGACCCCCAGATGCTCGGGTTCTTGAGCTGTGCCCTGATTGACGACATTCGCAGAATCATGAGCCAAGGGACCAAATGGGGCGGAAAGCTGGAAAAGAAGTTTGATCGGGGGTTTCAGGATCTGAGGAATGAAGGTCGCTTCTGGGACGCATACCAGCAAAACAAGGCAGAGACACGCAAAATGGTTTTTTCGTGGATTGATGATCAAGTCAGGACTCTATTACAGCAGGAGGGTGTCTCCCAAGATATCATCGACTCGGCCGTTGAACCACAAGGCTGAGTGTTTGGCCCCCAAGCTGGAGGGATTGGGGGCTGTGCATCTGAAACATCCATGGAAGCGATCGACGCCAGAGCTTGAAGCTCCCTCGCCGATCAATGCTGGTGCCTGGGAGAGCAAACTACCTCGACTTATTCATTCCCTCCGTATTCCATACCTTCCGACCGCTATCAAGTCCAGGCTCCCAATAGCTGTTGAAGAACAATGGATTTCCATAACGCCCAAGAATCCGCGGAATCCGTATCCGGCGCCTTTTTCCGCAACGCTTCGGCATCCCGCGTCGACACGGATGCGGTCATCTTTGACACCATCTCGAATGCCCATCCCGGCATTCCCATCACCATCGTCCCCGAATTCAATTGTAACTTGAAAGCGTACGCCGCAGCAGGGCAGGCGTCAATCGAAGTGCTCCAACAAAACAACATCGACCCCAAAATCTGGCCGGACTCGCTCAGATGGACCTTCTTCGTCCCGCCAAGCAGGCGCATGGACGGCGGCAATGGTATTGTCGCCGAGGAGGCCTTCTTCGAGAGCTACATCTACAAGTGGGAGCATCTGACATTTCTCGTGTACTTTGCCGATGGTAGAGACGGATCCATGTCGTATCCGCAGATTCGGAACCAGTATATCCTGGGCGACAAGGCCGCAGCGCAAACGTTGGTGGCCACCGTGGGACGCTGGGGATCTGTCTTGCACGACGAGATTTGGGTCTTCAACCAGGGATACTGGCAGAAGGATCCTCTCCTGTACCGGAGCATTTTGAAATCTCGCTGGGAGGATGTGATTCTCGACAAGAAATTCAAGGATGACCTCCGAGATACTGTGCAACGGTTCTTCGATTCGAGGGATGAGTACAGCCGCCTCCGCGTCCCCTGGAAACGCGGCGTCATCTTTTATGGTCCTCCAGGGAATGGCAAGACTATTTCGATCAAGGCCACTATGCACTCTCTGTACAGCCGGGACCCGCCCGTACCGACACTCTATGTCAAGTCCCTAGTCAGCTTCTTCCCGCCCGAATACAGCATCGACACAATCTTCCAGAAGGCCCGACAGGAGGCACCCTGCTACCTGGTCTTCGAAGATCTCGACAGCCTCGTCACCGACCGAGTGCGCAGCTTCTTCCTCAACGCGGTGGACGGCCTCTCTGAAAACGACGGCATCTTCATGATCGGCAGCACCAACCACCTGGAGAGATTGGATCCGGGTATTGCCAAGCGCCCGTCCCGGTTCGATAGGAAGTATCTGTTCGACAACCCCAACTTCCAGCAGCGCGTCAAGTATTGCCAGTTCTGGCAGAAGAAGTTGAGCGACAACAAGGACATTGAGTTCCCGGACGAGATCTGTACCGCCGCCGCCAAGATCACCGATGACTTTTCCTTCGCGTATATCCAGGAGGCGTTTGTGTCTGCGCTGCTGGAAATTGCGCAGGACAAGGACAGCGACTGCGCAGGAAAACTATCTGTGACAGACGCTAGGATGGTGGAAGAGCTGCAGGAACAGTGGGATCTATTGGAGATCGAAAGCGAAGACTCCATGGTGTCAGCAAAGAAGGAAAAGGACTTGGATGACTATCTTCTGTGGAGAAAGCTGAAGCAACAAATCGATCTCTTGAGGAAGCAGATTTCGAAGGACAACCCGGCCACTGTGCAGGAGACTTAGCCCCTAAGTCAATGGAACTGCCTCAACCAACTTCTGTAACAACTTGTTCAGATACGGCTCAGGGCTCTCGAAGACGCTTGCGACGGAGCTGTCTCCTCTGCCCCAAAGCTTTGCAACTTACAAAAGAGAACCGCGTCCAAAAAGGTTGAAGAGGATTACCTCCAGACTAGTAATTTGACTATTGATTGCAAGGGATATCGCTCTTGATCTGTCGGGATAAGGATATGGAGAAAAAGGATAAAGAGAAGTGGAAGTTGACTTCAAAGTGGACGATTGGTAAAGTCGAACGTGCTTGACATGCCTCTGCCGATGAGGTCGATATCAAGACTGTGAATACTGTTGGATTGAGTCCGTATATCTGTCTGGCTCTATGCAGATACCCCTGTGGTTCTCTCAGTTAAACTCCAATGCAAAAATGCACGTGAAAAATAGCCAGCTGGCCAGGACAGAGGAAAGAAGCCATTGGGGAGTATGTGCATATTTGGCATGAAAAGGAAGAGTGTCCCGGATCCAGCGTGCCACCATGAGACGTTCGTTCTCTTGACTGCAGATGATAACCCTGGCCGCCCCATGCAGGCTGCAGCCGTCTGGATTGCGGTGGTTCAGTCCAACATACAAATGCTTAGATGTCGCAGTCGTGCGTGCCATGTTCAACATGTATGGAAACCGGACCGAGATGCAATACTGGGCTTCTCTTGACCAACCATTTGTTTTCCACCGGTATCCAGGTCTCGTCACAACTTCTTGTACAACCACATCTTCGGGGCCTTCACCTGCCTGTCCTGGCATAAAGTCTGCCTCAACTTCATTTGGTGAAACCGGACAACGCTTGGGTGTAACGGGCGGAAGGCGTGGCGAAAACAGGCTGAGGAGAACGTGGAGAAAGAAGGTAGGCAACGGAGGCAGACGTGCTATCATGAGACAAGCCCAAGGAGGGAATGGGCATGGGATTTTGATCTGCCAATTAGTCACTGAGCATTGCAATAAGACCACAGAGCACAGAGGTAATGGGACCAGAGATCGAGGTTCTTCCCAGACATTTCTCTGAATGCGCAGGCTGATCATTGCAGGGGATGTCGGGGGCGGAATATGTTTCGTGCTTGGGTCCTGAGATAGATATTGTCTAGAGACAGCTGGAAAAGAATTGACCAGAGTAAGCAGCCAACATGTTTGATGCTATACCGATTACCTTGTACCAAGCAGCAGCGGACGGAACTCGGAAGTGAGGAGATGCAAAGTGCGTTTCACAGGACAGTGCTCTGCCCTGCCGATGCTACGGAAAATCATATCTACCCACGCCGCGGTGGGTTCGAACTTCAAAAATCGGGTCTTCCAATCACGCCTCCGCGACCTTTGTTCAACAAAAGCGCTGTGCCCCCGTCTGACCGAAACATCACCCTGTGGTTCATCCTTGGACAATATTTAGGGTCTCGCATGATGTTGCCTGCGTCGCTGGCAACAATTTCTGCTGAGACGAGTGCGACACAAGATGGATGAAATGACGCCGACTTCGAGGAAGTCCAAGACCACTTGTATGCAATGTCGTGCTCGGAAGGTAAGCACCGAACAGATCGCTCCAGGCAGTGTGGGTTTTTAGCCAGTGGCTGAATTTGCGTGGCAGGTTCGTTGCGACGGACGTCCTAATTGTTGTCGCAATTGCGAACGCCTGAGGTTTGACTGTTCATTTCAACCAAGAGAGGCTGGTGTCTCGGGCGACTCGCCCTCAGGCGACCAATCCCTCGTTCAGCTGGAGCGAAGACGCGGGATTCGCGCCTGCACAGAATGTCGTTCCCAGAAAATCCGATGTGGCGGAGAGTCTCCTGCGTGTTCCAACTGTCTTCGAAGAAATCGACCTTGCGTTTATCCTGCTCTCAAGCGGCCGCATCGGACGCCACAGACTTCTAGCTTACCGTCACCGGCCGTGTCGCAGCGCCCTGAAAATCAGTTGCAATTTCCATCTCATTTCGAGCAGTCGACCACCGAAAGTGGCCATACTCTTCTGTCGAATGAAGGTGCTTTGCCAGACCGTCAGGAAGTCGTTTCTTTGATCGAGGCCTATTTTCAGCACATCTACGCGCTGCCCTGGTATGCGTTCTTGCACAAACGATCGGTGATGCAAAGATGCCACGAAGGGACGATCGAAGACTGTTTGACATTGGCAATCTGTGCAGTGACGAGTCAACGTCTCAAGATCGAGCCATACGCTCGGGAACTGAGTGCCCAATGGGCTCAGAGAGCCGAAGACTTCCTCCTGGAGAACTTGGAATGTCCTTCCACTTCTCGACTTCAGGCCCTTATCTTAGTTGTGCGATACAGGGTGGAAGTAGGTCACTTCTCGAGAGCTTTTATGCTTGCTGCACTGGCTGGCCGATCTGCTGTTGCGCTTCGATTGAACTATGAACGCCCTGAACTGCGTTTTCTGGCCCAAGAAGTCCGTCGGCGGCTGATGTGGTCATGTTTCGCCCTCGATGGCAATTTCTCTGTCGGCCTGCGCGAATTCGAGACGTGCCCGCCAGAGAACGTCTTCCTTCAACTTCCATGTCCGGAGACGGCATTCGAACAGGATGCGCCGGTGGAAACAGCCCCATTGAGGGCAATCTCTTTCGACAGACCTGAGCGCATTGGCACCTATGCTGCATGCATAAGGCTGGCGGCCATAAGAACAGACATCATGAGGTATGCCGTAAGCCGTTGAATTCGCCGTTCTACACTGACTGATGCAGACTGACTCGCCGGCTTGCGTCCTCAGTGGTTCCTCCGGGGGAGCTCATGCATACGGTTCGGCGATTTGAAGATGAATTGCAGCACTTATACCGCAGCCTTGCCGACTCTGATCGATACAACTCTAAGATCTTCTCCTACTGTGAAAGACCAGCCAGAATCCTCATGGTACACGAATGTTGGCACCAAGCATATACTGATTTGTATCGAATCTTTTTGACAGGGTACCGAGAGGCTGCCCCTCCGACGGCCATGGAAGGCATCAACCGTGAGGATATTCTCCGAAGGCGTACTCTGTGTTTGAACCACGCATTGTCAATTGTCCAGATCTTTGCAGCATTCTCAGAGCAATGCAAGGTCCTGACCATTGACTTTGACACGGCGATTTGCGCGTACCATAGCGCTAGAATCATCCTCTTTAGCGCTCAAACAGATGTTGTCACCCAAAGCCTGAGCATGCCTGCGGCTCTGGAAAAGGCCCGCTTTTGTCAGTCTATCATGAACAGGTTTTTCCGTACCTCTCCCGTGGTGGAGCCGATGAAGAAAGAACTCGAGATGCTCATCGCGCGCCATTCGTCTCAGAGCACCAGCGCTGGCATACAACTACCTCAGCCCGAAGAGGTACTGGAGGACCACTTATCAAGACTCGCAGATGAAGCTAGGACCAGACAACGCCTCGCGATCCACAGTCTAATAGGCCGAGCGGATTTTGTTGACGACAGCAATGAAGTGACCAGTCCTGCACCACCCCGGGACAATAATCTTAACGGCAATTCGACCGCTTCCTTGAGATCGCAACGCCAGCGTCAGCTAAGAAATACTATGACCGTCAAACCAAATCCTCAAATCCTCCTTTCTCAGAGTGTCCCTGAGCCGACCCCACCGGCACAGGCCAAGCAACCAGATGGAATCATCGAAGGCGTAAGCAACGAACCAACGAACCACGCTCAAGAGGATCAGAGCCAGTGGCTGGATGGTATGCGCCTCGCCTTTAATCCTTGGATGGGGTGGCCCGAAACGTTAGAAACATATGGATTTTCGCAAGATCTAGACGATGATTACTTCTAGCCGATATTTTTCCAATCTAATCTCAACATCGTCGACAACGGCTTGCTCCTCATATTATCAAAACCAATCTGCGCCTTCGCTAGCAATAATGTCAACATACGATCCTCAACGATGCTACCACATCAAAGCCAAGCCACGGCAGCATGGTGCATTCATGATTGTCACACGATACTCCGGGACTGCGGTGCCTTCTCTCCTTTGTTGAGTAAGAACATGAAGGTCACTATGAGTTTCCCAATTGCTGAAAACAAGACCGAAGTTGCCGTGCCTATACCCCTGTATATGCCCGCGCCAAAGAAAGCGCCGGCCACAAGGGCTACAAGAAAGCTGACTCGACGGTTCCGAGGGCGATTCTTTGCCGTGAGCAGACGAGGATCCGTTAGCAGGTCAACCCATGCCGCCGTCGCCATCGCTGTGCTGATTTCAGTGATTGCCAATGCTCTCGATAAGACGACTTGGCTGCCGGCCGCGAAAGCTAGCAAGCCGATAACCACCATGGTTCTTGTGCCTTCCAGCTCAATGCCATAAGCGTATTGAATTGCAGCCGCAATGAAGACCAGTATACTCTGGATCAAGTTGCAAAACACGATCCAAAGACGAGATCGCGGCCCAACGATGTGACCAACTTGACCTGTTATCCATCCTGCGGCCAGAAAGAAACCCAAAGCAACTCCGATATTTTCCGTCCGGAACAACTTGTCAGTTAGGTCCGGGAGGAGGATGGCCACTGCCAGCATGACCGTGTTGCCTGTCTGGTTGGAGGCAAAGCAATGATAGTCAGGGAAGGTCGTCGCGTCTTGCATTCCCGTACAGAAGGTGAGGATTAGGAGTTCGGTCTCGGCGAGGATGTTGACTTCGACATGGCTTGTCAGGTGTTGTTTTAGACGTGTCCCGACGGTCGTTTGTTGCGTTTCCTTGACCGCGAGGTCTACCTGCGCCGCGTGATCTTGCTCTTTCACTTCGCCCGAGACGGAACTATTATCGTTCGTGGAAGGCATCGCTGAGATCGAAAGAGCAAACGAATGGCTTGAGAAGAGGTCAATGGCTTGAAAAATGGGTCTTCGAAAGGCTTGCCAGCGGAAGAAAGAAAGAATTATGTTTCTCAAAAGCAGACAAGAGAATCTGCCAGTATTTGTGGGAACCATATAACGGCATACGAAGTCCTCGGAATTCACCTTGTTGGGTTCGCCCCTACTGCGTGGCCAAGGGACCCGTCCCATCATCGTGCAAGGCTTCGAGTGTCCGCTCAACCTAGAGATGTCCTTGTCGTCAGTCCGAAGTGATATCTGACAAGGATACTGTCATTTACACACAATTACAACACGAGCCGTGAGTCGATACCGGAGCCTTGCGCTCTAAACGAATCAGATCAATGGCCGACTACCGCACCGAAAAGCGACTTGCCACTCAATACCTCGATTGTCGGGCTGCACAGCTGTTGGCATCCCACCGAGAGGCCGTCCGACTCCCGGGTTGACCCCGATTACCGTAGCAGACCGTTCAACTTACCTCATTCTATGAACCGTGGTTCGACTGTCTTCTAGTCTCATGGTCGGATCGCCGGATGGTTGGAGCATGCGGAAGGGATCGATCGCTTGAATGCCGTGCCTTGGCGTTCAGCCCAGTAAGGGAAATTCTGGCCTCAGATGAACAGGAGTCCACGGTTGCACTCTCAATCCATGAAAGGATAGGGGATGCTGTCTGTGGCACTGGCTCGATATCGATACCGAAGGTGGTTTTGCGAGCCAACTCGATTCATGAAAAGGCGACAATGGAGACCGGTGCTGCATCATTGACCGCCCACACCGGGAAATGTGCAAGTCGGTCTGCTGGTGGTCCCATCCTGAGAGACAGAGTTGGTCGATTCCTCTACTGGCTCCACGTACCATTGACCCTTTGTCTCGACGGAATGTTTGGTTCGGATTTGGTCCCGCGCACCCGGGTTCAGAACAACAGTCTGCATGCCAGGGAGTGAGTCGAACACTAATCTCTATGCAGGGAAAGGGACAATGGCGGCAAGGAGCAATTGCTTGCGTAACCGCAACCTCCTTCACGCTCTCTCGAGCAGAACTCTGGCTCCCTAGCAAGACAGACGGCATAACGCCGGTAGAAAGCGAGGCGACTCTCTTACCTTGCCGTTGTACTGCCGGAGCGGAGCAGAAGTCCACACCAAAGTTGCAGCCCCATTCCTGCAAGAAAGTTAGGATAGTGCTTCAGCTCGACTTCTTGGACAACCAAGATTAAAAACGAGCTCGCGTGGCGAGCTGCTTCGGGTGAAAACAAAATATCTCATCCAGGACAAAACTTTACATATCGCAACCTTGAAGTACACCTGTGTGCAGCAATTACAAAACTGAGTTGGCTGTCCGTTGCAGTCAATCTTTCTCGCAAGTTGGTCACAGGATTAAACCCCGATGGCTCAGCGTGAGCACACACATGGGGTCTTATGCCCCAAAAAGACGGTGAAACGCGCACCACCGAAGCATCCTGAAACTCCACATCGTCCTGTCTCCGTCCTGTGTCTCCGTCCTGTGCAATGGGGAAGCCGACAAGAACAAAGTCCCCCAAAGAGCAAGATTTGGCCTTCAAGCACCAGGATTCGGCAGTCGGAGGCTTGTGTCGGTAGTCGCGATGACCGGCTGTACGGATTACAGTGGGCACACAAACCTAGTTACGCCGTTGGAAAGCGAGAAAAAATTACGTCGCATCCACTACCGACCAAGACTGAGTCAGTCGACGTGGGCTGGCCGCGATAACCAAGGCTGACTGACTGCTTGAATGACTGTAAGGGGGCACTGGTCGACCATGATCCACGGCCCCTCGTCATTCCCCGAATGTCGCCTCAACCTCGAAAGCCCATCGTTGTGAGATTGTAATGACACGTCGAGACTGGCACTGGCGGGACTGGAGCCACCTTCGCCTGTTGAGAGACCCTGGATGATTATTATTGGTGTCGAATCAACGTTCGCTTCTTTTCTGCTGGGGCTTTGATCGAGTCGCGTGAGCAGCGATTCCCGAAAGCCATGCCGCACCGCAGTCTGCTCTGAGACAAATCATTTAGCCGTCAGGTTGAGAATTTCTTGCCTCCACACAGTCGGGGGATTCCTGCCCTTGTTGAACTCATTCGGTGTCCATCATGCTGCCACCGATGAGCAGCATGCTTTCTGTGTCTATCGTTCCGCTAGGCACATGGCTCGCTGTTCGAGCCAGCACCAATTTCTTTCCGTGTCATTTGTCTTTCTTGAAAGGGTCATTGATCAAAAGTATGGAGAAATCCCCCCCTTTGCACAAACAACCATCTTGGAGCTCCGGCCGAAGGAATGTCGTACAAAGCTCTGAACGTGCGGGACCTGGCTCACAACCCAAGTTTAAAAAACCTTCCCGTTCCCGTTCGATCCTAGTACATTAGACGCTTCAGAATTCGGGGTATTTGCGGCAGGAAGTTGGCTCTATTGTTATTATTGCATTCCTTGTGCAGAGAGTTGCGAGCCAAGTGTCAGTCACGTGCGTATATAGTGAACATATCAGGTATTAGAAGAGCGGGACACGAGAGGGAAGGATATATATAATGGACATTGATTCTCCCTCCCTACTTAACCACTGACCTTGTGTTTCGCTCATTCTGTGTCCTCTCCCCAGCAAGGGGGGGCCCGTTCGAGGGTCAATCGAACGCCCTGTACTCAGACTTGATGTACGTGTCCGCCAGCGCCGGCTTCAGGTCTTTGGTGGTCATCTTTGCGATGCCGCGCTTGCGCTGCTGTAGCACCTGGATGTCTTCCTCGACCGAGTTCTCGACGACGTAGCGCGTGACCACGACGGCCTTCTGCTGGCCGATGCGGATGGTGCGGCCGATGGCCTGGGCCTCGACACTGGGGTTCCACTGCGGCTCGACGAGGAAGACGCGGTTCGCGACGATGATGCTCAGACCGAAGGCGCCCACGCCCGTGGTCATGATCAGTACGGGGATGCACGGATCCCTCTCGAAGCATGCCAGCACGGCTTGCCGGTGCTCGACCGAGTGCTCGCCGTCGATGCGCGCGAACGCGATCCCCGCCGCGTGCAGATGCTGGCCGATCAGGTCCAGCGTTGTCGTCCAGCACGAAAAGACGATGCTCTTGTCGCCGGCGGCGGCGGCGCTCGTCAGGTCTTCGGTCAGGGCGACCATTTTCGACGAGTAACCCTTGGGGCGGAGGCCGCCTTCGTGTAAGCGCGACTGTGATATCTCTCCGGCGGTTGTGTGGTGGCGGTGATGTTTCAGAGGTCGGAATGTCGCCTCACACACAGGACAGCCGTCGCCTGTGCCCTCTTTGCACTCTGCGCACAAAACATGTGCACACTGGTCGGACAGGCCGGAGGCCCGGTTGGAGAGCATCGCGTGCACAGTCTGTTCACAGGCCGAACACTTGACCTCGCCGTCGGTGCCCGCAGAGGTTAGCGCATCTTCTCTAGCATCCCGGGTGTTCCTACTTCTGGCCCAGTGGAACTGATGCTGGAAAGTCCCGTGGTTGCAGAGGAGTCGTAGTTGTAGCTGAGCTTGGAACATGCTGAATCTGCTCCGGCTCTCGGATGCCCCTACGAGATGCTGCAATGCTCGTTTCATGTCCTCCTTCGTCTTTTTGTACTGCTCGCGCTCTTCAGGAGAAAACCAGACTTTGCGTGGCGTCTCAACAGGGACAGTTAAGTTCAGATGTTCCTTGGTACGTCGGATGCAGATTGAATCGAACAGTCGGACCAGATTCTGTTGGCCCTCCAGGCGCCGAATTCCCCCTTCGTTGAACGGGGCCGTGATGTATTTGCGGAAGACTCCCAGTCTGTCAAACGGAAAGATCTTGATGAAAGCGAACAGTGAGCCGATGTCATCCAGGGTGTTTTGTATAGGCGTGCCGGTCAGACACCAGCGAAATTTTGCGTCGAGCTCGGCAACTCCTTTGTGTAGAAAGGTGGAATTTCTCCGGATGAAGTGTGCCTCGTCCAGGACGATGCGATACCAAGCGATCTCGGTGGCAGGATCCGATCTGTGCTTGTCGGCGATGATCGTATGGTAAGTGGTCAAGACAATGTCGGAATCGGCCATGACTCTCGGGTCATTGGTTCTCGCAGAGCCGTGATACTTCAGGATCTTCAATGGCAGGTTGACGTGACTCAGGATCTCACCTTCCCAAGTATCCAGTAGTAGTGGAGAGGGCACAACAACCAATGTCGCCCTCGAAAGAATTTTGGTGGGCAGGATTTCCTCTGCAATGTGAACATCAGGTTCGTTCGACCACTTCGTTGCCTCATCCAGAGTCCGAACAATCAAAGCCAACATCGAGAGGGTTTTCCCCATGCCCATTTCATCGGCCAAAATCCCACCACCTTCTTCAGCTGGGACAGTCCGAGATCGTATCCCTGTGATTTTGTGGCGGTACCAGGGCTCCGTTTCAACAGTTGTGGCCTCCCATAGCTGAAATTCCACTGCAATAGGACCTGTCTCTCGTTGTATCATGAAATCAAGCGCCTTCTCCTGGTGGTGAAGAAGCGGGGTGCGAAGGCGAGCATCACCAGCTAAGCCCTTGAGATGCGAGTCGCGCGTCAGCATCGAGTACATCTGCTCAACCGAGCCTTGGAATTCTGAAGTTCCAGAGGTCTGTTGAATTTGGCTAGGTATCTCCAGTTCACTCTGATGCTGGCCCGTGCCAAACTTGAAGACGTGCGGATTGTCATATGTAGAATTCGGCCTTATCCAATCAGGTCGTTGTAGCCATATTTTATTCACAGATAAATGGCGTCCAACGGAGTCTTGTGATTCTTCAGTCCCATAGACGTTAATATTGATGGTTGTGACCGCCTCCTTTGCTTTTGTGGCAGCTCCGATATCTCTGGATAAGTCAGCCTAGTCTCGTAAACTCACGCAACGCTAACGTGATAGGGACGGCCGATTCTACATATTGGACGGATGGAAAGTGCGGGCGCAGCAACGAAGCCACTGTCACTTGATCCTGTATCTTCAGACTGCATTTCCCGCACGCTTAGGTGGGGAACTTACTCGAATATCGTCCTTCGGTGGACGAGAGCTTCAAGTCGGATCGTTCGTGCTTTGACCTGCTCCACCAGTGCTACGGTCAAGTGGACGTTGAGATTTGCAATCCGCATGCCACCTGGAATGCAGACATAAAGCTCATCGTGAACGCAAATAACGTCCAGGATAAAATGTGTCCCAGCCTGACATCCCTGTTCCCTCAGAGCTCGTGACACGTCTGACATAACCCCCTGAAGCTTAGATTTGGCACGGTGAATCTGCACAGGAAATATCAGAGAAGGAGTTGAGAGAGCGAACGTTTCCAGAGCGGGCAAATTCACTGACCATGCCATAGCACCGATTGAAATCGTTTTGCGGCTGACCGACCGTGTCTCCCTGGTCTATTTGCAGTCCATCTGCATTTTCAAAGAGAGGTATTCCAAAGTCTTTCACTAACAAAGATTCGATGTTGTCCTGCACATTGTGGATAGCAGGAAAGAAATTGTTTGCTGTGAGGTCCTCGTCCGCATAGTAGATGCCGGACTGGTAGCTTGGATCTCCAATTAATTCGTTCCAGACATGGTTCCAATCACGAGCACCAACATCGAGATCTGGTGATGAGCCGTCATCGAAGCTGTGTGACTGCTGTGAGGAATAAGATTGAGACGAGAAGGGGTCGTCGAGGTCGGCGGCATATTCAAAGTCATCGAGGTAGTCGGCGGTTCGTTTGAATGATGTCATTCTGCAGGCGCCCTTAGGCCGAGCTTTCTCTTGTAAACAACTGCGGTAATGGTACGAATGTTCGTGGGTGCTGCTGCATCCGTTTCCAACACCTCTATACAAGTGAAGAACCTGCCCATGCCGGTGTCCAGAATGTTTAAGGGGGTGGCGAGGCTGCACAATATGCAGCCATGGCGTTGGGCCACTCAGCCTCACCGTGGACGCCTTTCGCTTGCGGGCGAGTCTGCCTTTCGGCGCCTGTACCTGCGCCTTGCTCCGTCAGCCTGATCGTGCTCCTGCTCGACATGACTCTCCGAGCCATAGTGGTCCTTCTCCGAACGATCCAATGCATCAAAGACCTGGGCTTGATGCGCAACAATTCGCTCATGTGCTCGTTTCCGCATCTTTTGAGACCCTTCGAGACATACGGCGCCTGGTTTGAAGAGATCAGGGATACTGAGCAAGAAATGGCCTGAAAAACTGGGAAAATACCATCGATCGGGCTAATCTCTTTGCCCGCCATATCCTCGTTGTACGCAATGGCTGCTGCAACACCCGCCCCTTCGGCTGCGTCTAGGATTTTCGAAGATGAGTTGAGGAAGTTCAAAAATCGTCTTGACGGGAAGCAATTACGCGGCTTCGAGTGTACATCTCTCAAGAACGTTGAGGATGCATTAGAAGATATACAGAAGCGTCAAGAAGCACAGCGGGAACTACGCAACTTGACTCGAATTCGGCGATTCCTGGAGGCAATAGAGCAATTTGGCAGAGTGATTGAAGTCTTCACCAATTCTAGTCAATACGTTGGCTACCTCTGGGGCCCGCTGAAATTCCTCCTCCAGGTGTCAAGTACCTGGGCAGATACCCTCGATCAGATATTGGATGCCTACGAGCAAATTGGAGAAGCATTGCCCCTGCTCGCGCAGTACGAGCCTGTTTTCATACAATACCCGGAGACGCAAAGAGTACTCGCCTTGATGTATAAGGACATTCTCGAGTTTCACCTGCCCGCAATCCGCTTTCTTAGCCGTCCAGGTGAGCAAAAGTACATCACCCACGATTCTCCCTGACTGATATTCCGCGAGCCTGGCGACAGCTTTTTCGATCATCATGGAGTGACTTCAAGGCAAAGTTTGATGGAATTCTTCGAAACCTCGCTCGGCATAGACGTTTGGTTGAATCGCAATTCATCCTGCTACAAGCCCGTCAGCATGAAGCACATCACACGGAGGTACTCAAAGAAATCCAGGCGCTGGAGTTGGAGATGCAGTTTACACGCGGGTTACTGGAGGGCGAACAAGAAGCTCGTAGAAAAAGGCAGCGGTCCGCGATATGTGAGTGGATCGCAGGAAATAGTACTTACGACTCCCACGAAAGGGCTCAGAGAGATCGCAGGGACTATGCTCAGACGGGACTCTGGATTATACAGAATGAAAAAGTGTCCTCCTGGCTCTCGGACGATCTCCCCCGGTCTTCAATGCTATGGGTGCACGGCATTCCAGGAGCAGGTGAGGAAGCCACCTTTCTGATTGATACCAGCTGAATCGGATTAGGGAAAACAGTATTGGCATCGATCATTATTGAAGCTTGCCAAAAACAACCGAACAGCCAGACAGCATACTTCTATTGCAGACATGACGACGATACCACCATCACATGTGTCTCAATCCTCAAAGGTCTTCTCGCCCAGCAAATCGGTTGGTATCCGGATCTCGTGCCTTATTTTGATGAAAAGCGGGCACACAGCGGTGAACCCGTCCTGACGTACGAAAAAACCGCAAAGAGTCTGTTCGAGACCATTTCCAAAGAACAACAGCGCCAATATATAATCCTCGACGGTTTGGACGAATGCCGACCAGAGGAGCGGAGGTCGATATTGCCGTTTCTCACCTCCCTGGTCAACCGAATTGACCTTATAGAGACGTCAAGGCTTCGTGTCCTCATCGTCAGTCAGGAAGAGCCTGATATCAGAAGATTTGTATCGTCTGCGGAAGAGTTTCCGATCAAACGCGACGATAACAGCCAAGACATTCGCACCTTTGTGAAAGCATGGACAGCCAGGATTCAGCAGAAGTTTGAACTTGATGATGATACGTCAACTCGACTAGAGGATCACACATGCCGGAATGCAGCAGGTACGGATACTCTGTTGCTGATGGGGACTGGCTCACTGATCCTAAAAGGTCAATTTTTGTTCGCCAAACTGGTTATGGAACACCTTCATAAACAACCCAACCTTCATCTTCTCCAGCGTGAAGTTGATACTGAACGCTTTCCGAAGAAGTTGGCGGAAGCGTAAGCATCTACCCCTTCGGTTCCTGTGGCTGGGAGATTACGGGTGTTCACCGTCCGTACACACTTCTACAGCAAGCGTAGACGTCGTTTGCCTGTGCTGACAGTGTGATGTTGACAGGTATGATCGTATCATTGAACGCATCAAGCTACGACTCGGCGATCACGAATGGGACATTGTGCAACAGTTTCTGGGGTGGATGACATGTGCCGCTCGACCACTCAAGTGGCACGAGATTCAGGGTGCAATGGCAATTTGTCGAGAGGAGCAGGAAGTCGATTTCCACAGATATCAGATCCGAGCAACAGCCCACGACCTGTGCGGCCCGTTGGTAACAGCCTATGGGGACCGTATAAATCTCGTTCATGGTACAGCTAAGAGGTATGTACAGCCGTGTTGTAATCCTCGAGACTTGGCAGCATTACTTTGGAATTCCCTTGTGACGTTTGATCTTGGGTTGAATTAATAATCGTTAGATATATCGCGGAGTCAGAGCACGTGGATCTTTTGACCGTGGAATGCCGGCTTGCAAGCTTGTGCCTGGAATATCTCGCTTTCCCTTGCTTTGACCAAGACATTGACAAAGAGGAGGAGGTGCTCAAGGGATCCTACGCATTTGCAGACTATGCGGTTGCCAAATGGATGAGCCACTTCGACCATATGCTTGATAAACTAGGCAGTCGAGTTGACCATCGCGAATCTGACGCATACGAGACTGTGGTGCAGGAGCTCTGCGAAGCCGTGGAGAACATGGTACGGGAATGTTCGGACAACCTTCAGATCAGCCAGGCCGTGGCTGAAGCGCCACAGCTGGAAGTCGAGCTGGCGCCCGAGATCCGCCGCCGACTCACGGTATTTGACGGCGCCGAAGTTGGATTTCAATCCCTGTGGGCACACATCGTGCTGCACCGGTCAAAGGATATTGTCAAGCGCAACGAAATCAGTTTGGACAGGCTTAAAACAGCGATGGAGGGCATTCGAAACATCCTGGAACGGCTCTTCAAGGACAGAGCCTTGCCGGCGGAAGATCACCAGAGGCTGAAGTCACGTTACGGTTCCAAAGTTTTCCGATGCTCGAAAGTCACTTGCTTCTACTTCCACGAAGGCTTCACCGACGGGCACACGAGAGACATGCATGTGATCCGACACGACCGGCCATTCCAATGCGTCGCGGCCGATTGCGATATTGGCGACATGGGGTTTGGATCGAAAAAAGAACTCGACAGCCACATGCGCAACTTTCATGCAGACGTCGAGATGAAGGCTGAGATCTTCACTGAAATCAAGCCGGCGACCCCCAGCCACGCAAAGTATGGCTGCGGCCAGTGTGGCAAGAGTTTTGTGCGCAGGTCTATATTGCGAGACCATGAATTAGCGCACAATGGTCAGAAGCCGTACGAGTGTGCTCGTTGTGGGAAGTCGTTCACGAGGAAAAACGATTGCACGAGACATGAGAAGATTCACGAAAACCGACGCTGAGGCGGAGGAGGTGTTCGGGAAGTACGTACTAGTTTTTTGTTTCGGTAGATCAACGACGTCCCAGACTTGAACAAGGATCCTCACCATCAGATACTAATAAATCGAGCAAACACTGCACTTTTAGTGTCCTCGAGCGCATGTGATGGAGAGCCAGGAGTGGCTCCATTGGACGATGACTTTTGCCTCCCCAGGGTAGCCTCTCGATCACTAATTATTTACCCCTTCACCGGTTAACAGTTGTACACTGCACTTTTAGCGTCCTCGAGTGCCCACGAAAGTTGGTGGGGTTGAGCCCAGTAGCCTCACGACTTGCACAGCCTTTTTAGTGTACAAGACCGCAGATCCCGCCACCCAGCGAGCCAGGTGCCTGCGTGCCTACCCGTTTTGATTTTCGGCCATGAGGCCACGCATGGGGCGTGTGCTGTCGTTCTATCTCCAAAGGCTGGAGCTCAAGGGATTGCTTGCTGAATTGCTTGTCTGCTGCTGCTGCTGAGCTTGTTGTCTTCTCCCGTACGTATACATGTACACAGATATTAGATGGGGGGACGAGATAGAGAGGGCAATGTCTCTCTCCCCTCCGAGGGAAAACATCACATACGCAGAGATGCAGGAAATGCAAGAGCACTTAATACCAAGGCTGAGCAGGGCCACAGGCTGCTTGCTTGCTTGCAGCCGGTTGGTGGGTGGGTCGGTCGGTCAGTTGGTGGAGCTCCAAATACTGCTGTACAGGTATTCGAAAAGACTAAAAGTGCAGTGCTACAACCAGCCTTACTAAATTACTCCCTCCCTCCCTCCCTTTGCATTCCCAACCCGATGCTCCCACCCTGGTCGACCCAAGCCTTAGTCTTCATCTCGGTTTAACCAGTCTTTTGACCTTTAGCCCCGTGCCTGTCCTGCCATATTCCAATTCGGCGATGAACAGAGCTCGAACCCGACAGCCGGGGCAGACTTTGCCCTCGTACCATTCCCGGCTAATGTCCGCGTGGAACGCCATGTATCGACCATCTTGAATCACGGCCGGGCCGCCAGGTGCGTAGAGCTCCACACCCACACCATCAGGCTGTCGGAATACACCGGATTTCAACACCACATCGTAGTGGTTGTTGATGGTGTCCTTCAACCCCAGGAACGCCTGGCCCCAGGATTTGTAGCTGTCGGGCTGCATGGCCCCAAACGTGCAGTCCCGGAAAAAGGGAACGTACGTGGGGTCGTGCGTAGTCCACTGCGTGGATACCGCGTTCAGCTGTGTGGCGCGGCAGACAATGTGTTCGATCCGATACGACTCGTCCGCGAAACAACCGGCGTTGTAGATCAGATGGTACGCGGAGGTATCCTCGGCAGCAGCGAATCTGCCCTGAGCATTGCCCCTGTAGAAGATCTGGGGACTTTCCACGTTGGGCCCGTCACTCCGATCGCTGAACAGAATCCACGTGGCATTGCCCACCGGGGTCCAGGTGTCGTTACCAATTCGCGTGGTATAGTCCGCGTTGTCGACCATGTTGAACTGAAACGACGTGGGCGTGTTCGGCCAGTTGCTGTTACTGCAGGCCCCACCAGATCCAATGGCGTTGCCGTCGTTCTTGTAGACGACGAACGACATGTTCTTTCGTCGGTCGTAGATGAAAGTGGGGTCGATGGCGCCGCCTTGGTCAAAGGGACAGGTCAGTGGCTCTTCCAGTGCGACGTACGGGCCTGTGACGTTGGGAGAGGTTGCTGCGCCGACACAGTGGAAACGACTGTTGGCGTGCCATGATGCAGAGAAATAGAGCACAAAGCTCCCATCGGGCTTAAGCTCACCGTTAGCAAGATTGGAACCACGAGGCCTCATAGAGGAGACTCTTGACAGGCAAGCCATGGGTCAAGATACTGGACCATTGAAATGATTGGTACTTACCCGCTGCACCACTTCTGGTGCCCACACAGCAGCATCGCCCTCTTGTACGGCCCATTTCGGGAGGGTCGGCAGAGCATCATATCCTTCATGCAGAGTCCAATCCGATATATCCTTGGCACTTGCAACCTGAATATGGAGCGACGGCTTAGGTCGCGTTGCAAACGCGTAGAACATGCCGTCCACACTCAGCAGGCATGGGTCGGCGAAGTCCGACTTGATCACCGCATAATGAGAGGGCGATACTGTCTCGACCTTGGAAGTAGAATACGTGATAGCTGTCACGGTGGAGAGAATCGTCAAGAGAAATACGACGAGGCCGATTCCTCTCATCCACGCCGCTCGAGGGTGGTTCGTGAAGAATGTCGAGAAGCGTTGGCACAACGTGGAAGCCATTGTGCCCCGAACTCACCGAGCGACGACGAACAGGAGCACTTTCTCTTGAGCAATCTCACAGCGGAGCTGGCGAATGTGGTTTGAAAAAGCCCCCTCCTGCCATCAGAGTCGATTGGGGCCCGATATGGATGGCTATATTCGACGGGAAACAGCCGCGTCAACAGCCTGGGATGACGCGTGGCATGTTTACCGTTTTGGGGCCTTTATCTGAACCGACGGGCAAGTCTTCTTGGTCTCACTCATCTTGACTGCCAGAAGCTGGCCTCCCGTTGCCGATCTCCCCACGTATCAGAACTCATGCAGGATTATCACCAATTACATTAGAGCGTTGGACGTCGTATACTACCTACCCTCGCTACCTAGATAATATTCATCAATACAAGGGGAGGGGGTCTCCCCCTTTCGAACGCCTCTGGAGCACCAGCGTGACTGTCATTACAAACCTTGGCAGCCACCGCAAGTCCCTGAGACAGATCTGCCTTTTTCTCTCTCCTTGACTCTCAGATGACACCACTCCACAAGAGAAAGCTGTGGCTGTCTTGACAACGGATGTGCTCTGTAGACGCTCCATTAACGGAGAAATGCATTAGTCCGAGCTATGTGTGGGGAGGAGCAACTCTTCCTCGCCTCTTCAAAGATGGGGTGGATGAATAGAAAGACCTTTACTCGACCCCGACTCCGGATTAACGCCCTTTCCCATCTAATCTGCGGCTTTATCGAAATTGCTAGGATTCTCTGCCTGCGGTATCTCTGGGTCGACTCACTGTGCTTCTTACAGGACGATCTCGAAGACCGATGGGAAAACATTAAAGACGTGGACATGATATATGAGGAGGCATACGCAACCGTTGTCGCTGCGAACACAGTCCCGCTGCAAACGATGGGCTTACAGGTGACTGAAATCCCGTGTGCCGAATCCGATGGTCCAGTACATCAAGATGTAGGTAGGTGCATGTAGGGATATGGGTTGTACGGCCATGGCGAACATGATTCTCAACGAGACCATAACCATGACCATGAAGATAGTGATGTTGATGATGGTCATGATAATGAAACGATACTCCGCAGATGATGATGTCCCTCGTATTGTCATTGCCTCATTACACACTTTTCTTCCCAATGGGATCAAATTATAGAATAAGTATTCTTCTCTTCCTGTTCCGCGTTCTTTCTCCTTCCCGTCCATACCCGGCCCTGTCCTCGAAATATCTTCCGGTTCCCGCCTAATGGAACGTGAAAAGAAAACATGGAGACAAAGACGCAATAGGACGGGGATATATATAACAATAAGCTGAAACCCCCAAAGCCGAATCCCCAACCCCCGGGAAACTGAACCAGAGCCCAAAGTTTTGGGCAAAAGGCAACGATGAATTAGAGAAGAAAACAATTATTCTGGCAGACAGGTCCTGTTGTTCCCCCCTTTAAAACAGGTAAAAAGAAGGAGAAAATATTGGATATCGATACCACCAACGCCATGCATGCCATCCATAGGATCAGAAGTCGGTGCTGGACTGAAATCCCAAAGCATTATTTTTGTCCAAGCGAACCAAACCAATGAAAAAGACAAAAAGAGAACAAGCAGGGGAAGGGGAAAAAGAACCGACAAAAGAAGCAAAATCAACCGGTGAACTTGCTCCGGGCTCTCAGCTTGGCGCCGTAGAAGTACAGGCCGTACATGCCGACGATGCCGACGACAGACAGGGCTGCAACGAGGGTGACGCCCTTATCGATGCCCAGGCGTGTGTACATCTGCCGCGAGAACTGGACGAAGGCGGCGGCCAGCAGAGAGCGGGCGCAATCATTGGCGGCAAACAGGCTGGCCACATAGCGCGGGTAGGACAGCGGCACGTAGCAGATCAGGGCCTGGAAGATGAAGAAGGTCGAGAAAGCGAAGATACTGATGCCCAGCGTCGGCACTATCCAGTGGACACTGGTGTGCGCCGTCCACGCGAACAGCAGTAGGCCGACCGGCGGGCCCCAGACGCCGAAGAGTCCCGGGAGCAGCCACTGCTCTTGTGCGACGGGGGTGCCGTGCTCTGCGTGATGTGCACGCGCGCGAGGGATAAAGTAGTGTGTGATGTACAGGTAGTAGATTATCAGGCCACAGATACAGCCGACGGTGAGAGAGGTGAAGATGAGTCCCATGCCGCCGAGCGACATGCGGTAGGTGCCGAGATAGACCAGCGGGAAAGCCTCGAAGAACGAATAGTAGGTGGCGTAGACGATCGAGCCGTAGACACAGGCATACAGGATAGCCGGGTCTTTCACGGTGATCTCCAGTGGCTTGTTGAGTGCCTCGTGGAGCATCTTGCCAAAGGCGAGAGGTTTGAGTTCGGAGGGGGCTTTATAGGCGTTGTTGCCGGTGGCCTTGCGAAGTCGTCTAGCCCTGTTGAGGAGGATGGTCTGAGGCGATGTCTCGGGCAGGAACGGGAGGACGACAAGGACCAGACCGCCCATGATAACCACTTCGTAGAGCGGCCAGCGCCAGTTGTCCGAGACAGCGTAGCCCGCCAGCAGGGGCCCAAAGGCCGGCCCACAGTACATGCTGGCCACCCACCAGATATAGCCGTAAGGCGCGCTGTACATGTCATAGACGTCTTCAATGGAGGCGGCACCGCTGGCCAGACAAGGACTGCCGAACCAGCCCTGGAGGAAACGCAGGATGATCAAGCCTGGGAAATTGTTGACGAATGCCAGCCCAATGGAGACGAGGAAAAAGGCGATGAACGAGTAGAGGTATGGAGGGTTTCGTCCTATGGTTGGGACTTCACTGAGAGGAGAGAAGAACATCGGGCCTGTCCCATCTGCATATCCATCAATAATAGGTTCTCAAGGAACAAAGTGTGGGAATGGGTTCAACTCACAACCAACGACATACATCGATAGACCGAGACTAGCAACAACCACCGAGACATTGAACTTCTCAACAATGATGCCAGCAGTGGGGGTAATAATCGACGCCGTGCAGTAGACAACAAAGGTGTAGACATTGATCAGAGTGACAGTCCACGTCTTCTTCGCGGCTGACCAGTTTCGTGGGTTGCAGCTGTCGTCGTCGGTGAAGGAGACCACAATGGGATCCGTTAGGGCCTTCTGGGACATGGCGCTCGAGACTTCATCGGGAGGAGTGGCCAGTCTGAGCGAGACGCTGGAGAGACTCTTCTCGATGTCCTTTTCGCCGGTAAGGTCATTCAAGGAGGGAGGTAGGATCTCCTCCGATACAAAAGGCAAACTGGGTAGTTCGAAGCCAGTGACTTCCTCCGGATAGTACAGCCATGACTTGAAGCCGATCAGACGTAGGAACTGGCCGGCCGGCGTGTCTCTGATGGACGACATCTCGAAGACGGCTGCTGGGCAGAGAGAGCTGGGGCGGAGGAGGTCTGATGGACGTCCCATCGTTGTCGCCGCGTCCACCATCTTTTATTAAGACAGACAGCCATCACAGTGGACCATCACGACATGAGGAAGGATTGCATGGCTCGATAGCCGTCGTGGACCCTGAACTCCCCTCTTCCCAAAGCTGAGGAGCTGTGCCAACGTGGAAGACTAACTAGGTTATTAGCTTCCCTATTCCCTGCAAGGCTGGCGGGAGGACGTTTCCAATGGAAATTCGCCTGTATTCTGCCATGGATTGAGGTGAACGAGAGTCTCGACTCGGGAAGATGGCGCAATGCGTGTTCGGCTATTGGCTCCAGAGTCACCTGTGCTGTGCTAGACAGGTGCCCGAAATTGACATGACCGCCACTGTTGCCCGTGGCGGGTCCTCACTAGGTGGTCGATATCGATTTCGATTATCGCGGGTCAGTCATTGGTTCGATGAGGAATCGAGGCCTTGTCACTGCGTCGATGGGAGGGTTGTGTTACTATTGTAGTTCACCTTAGTCGACCCATGCAGCCGGACATGCTGGGTTTCAAAAGGCCCCAGATGTGGCGTGCTGAGGCATATCTTGGCAGCTGGTGGAGCTACACAAAGCTGGCATCATCGGGGGAGACGGAGAAGGCTTCCTTGAGTGGCGGCGGACGACGGCATGAACGCTCCTTTGTCTGGTTGGAATTTGTTTCCCAGAGTGCACAAGTTTGGTTCAATATTGAACGTGGGGGAAGGCCATGAACAATCCAGGCAACAAACCCGGCTGCAGGAGCTGTCTTGGACAAAGGATCAACCTGCAAGTATCAGTCGTGTCTCTCGGGAGGCACGGAGGAGATGCAACTCCCAGCTGCATTTCCTCTTTCCGGAGCGCCCGAGACAGTCCGTGGAAGGGCCAGCACGAGGCGAGGATGGGGAAATCAGACCTCGTCATCCCAGGACACAACCAGGACATCAACAAAAGGTGTTTTGAGGAAGATGGCGGTCGTGGTAAGTTCGGCTAATTTCCACTTGAACGGCCCACGACGCCATCGGTCAAGCCACATCGAAGGTGTCGGTGCAAAAAAAGTACGTACATACATCGAATGCATGGACTCGGGAGATAGAACTTATCCCTCTGCCCCCCAGATCTCATGATGTAAGTCGTTACGAGTACGAGTACGAGTATGAAGGTACCAGAGTGTGTTGCTGAGAGATGGAGTCAGTCAGTGTTGTTGTAACTGTGGATGTGGGATGTGTTCCACGGTGACAGGGTGAGAGACGGTACATGTTCCTCCAATAGCATCTCTTCTTCTGTATATTTCTCGTGACCAGTCACTCGTAAAATATCAACGACGACACGTCCACGCTCGTGCTGGTCGTGCACAAGTACTGGTCCGCTTTTCACATCTGAAACAGCCACCAAGCCTCGCCTCTTTTGTTTGATGTCAGATGGTGCCATCGCCTGTCCTGGATTGGTGGTAGGGGGCCTTAGGTGCCTTGCTCGCCCAGGGCCCGGGGCAGCCACGGCTAGTGAGGTTTCTGCAGGCGGTCCCAAAACAGGCGAGATCGGCTCGCCATGTGTGCCTCGCTAGCCCGCGATTACCAGATATTCGGAGATTTTCCTGCCAGTCGGGGGTGCAGAAGTACAAGGATTTGGGTTGATTTCCCCCTTTCATGAGTTTTGGTTTCCTCGTTGCCACCAGTTCGTGCGCACGGCACCCGTGGCACCCATGGCACCTGCTGAGATGGCTCCTCTACAGTGTCTTTCAGCATAAATGGTATTTCCGTGCGAAGGATTCATCATGCCATGACGATTTCGGAAAGTACGACCGAGATTTGGCATTAAGCAGACATGCGGACTGCCGCTTTCAGCTTTGCCACGGCTGGACGCCAGTTTGGGCTTTGGAAAGAATCTACAAGGAGAAGCAGGGTGCAGCACCTCGTTCTGACACTCGCCAAATTGCTTCGACCACGCAGTACTGCCCAGATACGGAAAGGGACAACCCCGGAACGGCTTATGAGTGGACACGTTCAAGCTTGATCGAGAAGTTTTTCGGCTGCAATTTTTGGAAAACCACAGTCCACGGCTCCACCTCGTCCCGTGCGTCCTTCTCGAGTACTCCATAGCTTGGGCCGTGTGTACCTGCCCAGAAATGCAAGTCAAATCAGTCAGGCCGAAAGCCGAGAGCGAAGCCCGTGTAGTCAGTCAGTGTGGGCTTTTGAGATCCGCCATGCAAGATATGCCGTGTTTCGATTTTCCAGCAGAAACCAATGGCACGGCACAACGCTCCCAGACCTGAGATCCATGGCCCTGTGGCCTGAGCTCTGTCAATTAGAGGGAAAACCCTCCATAGATGTAAGTTTACGAGAAAAAACCACTTCCCAAGAAGCTTGCGCGAACACTCCTGGCGTCGCATTAAACTTCGTTCAGCCGAAGTTCACGAGAAGATGGCTGCTGGGAATCCTCGTGCCAGTTGGGGGAAAGACAAGAGGCATGTTGATGAGATGCCAGATTTGCCGTGGACCAGTGCATATCTGTGCACACTTGCACAACGAGTAGCAATACGCTTGTTCTGCCGGTGAGTCTCATCCAGCTGAAGCAGCTCGAACGAGTTTGGTGAGCCTCTTCCATGACGGTGTTTTCCGGGTACTTCTCCTGACCACGTCCATGATGCCATCAGACCATGAACAATTCGCATGGTGAGAGGTGCCAGAGTTCGTACCAGTGCAGTCAAGCCCTGTCAACTGTTTCAATGGAGGTCATGGCGAGTGCGACAACTCGGGCCAGTCTTGAAGATTTAGAAGGCGATGGAGCACAGGTTTCCATTGAGAACCATCACAACTCTTGCATGGGATCTATATGCTTGGGTGATACGACAGCGACTCGAGATTTGTCGCGCTCTGCTGTCGAGATCACTCCCTTCCAAGTCTGGCGTCGCTATACATGGCCAGGAGCGAGACCCGGGTGAGGACGGTTCGCACTGGACAGGTATCCCGGAACGCTCATTGGTCTCACGGGTACATGTACCCGACCGGCCAACAGCACAAGCGGGATTTCCCACCGGCGGTAATGCGGCTGAATATGCAGCGGGTACTTGTACCCGTGACATATGTCTGAGCTCCGGACTCTGAGACAACACGACGTCCACTGTAGTGCCACCAGGGTTGTGGCTATATCATGTTGACAAGTCCCATGTCGTCCCTGTCGTGATTTTGTTTTTAAATATCGGTTCACGGCTACCTTTCTAATTCACCTCTGATCATTCAAGCATACTGGAATCAACTCTCATGGAAGATATCACAACTCCCTGGCGTGCTCCGTCTCAGCCAAAGTATGTATTTCAGAGGGCCAATCTTGTCGATCCAGCCAAGGGTATCATCATCGAAAACGCGACCATCTTCCTTTCCGGGGGCGTCGTGGTGTCCGTGAATGGCTCACGTGAAGAGTGGGAGAACGACTCTCAAACCATCAAGATCGATCTGCAAGGAAAATATGTGTGCCCTGGGCTGATCGACTGTCACGTCCACATGGCTGCTGTGCCACGAGAAGGGGGCCTTCGAGCCTTGAAGGAGATGAGCCCCGCCGTGTCCCTCTTGCGCCAACCCCAGGTGTGCAAGGCCATGCTCGAACGAGGTTTTACAACGGTGCGAGACTGTGGGGGTGCCACGCTCGCCCTGAAAGAAGCAATCGCGGACAACGTGTTCCCAGGTCCCCGCCTCTTCTTCGCTGGGCACGCTTTGTCTCAAAGTGGTGGGCACGGAGACATGCGCCAGAAACACGACAGCAGTGAGTGCTGCTCTGCAAGCATACTGAGCATTGGGAAGGTCGTCGACGGTGTACCGGAATGTCTCAAATATACCCGAGAAGAGTTGCGTCAAGGGGCTGATTTCATCAAGATCATGGGCGGCGGTGGAGTGGCCAGTCCGACAGACAAGATCGAACACATTCAATTCTCCGACGAAGAAATCAAAGCTATCGTGACAGTGGCTTCAAATGCGGGTACCTATGTCACTTCTCACTCATACACCCCTGAGTCGATCCAGCAGGCGATCCGACAGGGCGTGATGGGCATTGAGCACGGAAATTTGATCGACGAGGAGACAGCCAAGCTGATGGCCGAGAATGGAGTCTTTCTGACTCCAACCCTCATCACATATGCCACCATGGCCCAATTTCCCAAGTTTCTGCCACCAGCATCGGTTCGCAAGAATCAAGAAGTGCTAGACAAGGGATTGCATGCCATCCGCATTGCGTCCGATGCAGGAGTCACGATTTGCTTTGGCACGGATCTCCTGGGGGTGCTGCATTATGCCCAGTCCCACGAGTTCGGATTACGCAGCAAGGTGTTGTCTTCGCCGGACATTCTAAGAAGTGCCACGGTCAACGCCGCTCGCTTGCTCAGGCAAACAGACTTCTTGGGCCAGATCGCTCCGGGGTTTGCGGCTGATCTGTTGATCTTGAAGGCTAATCCTCTGGAGGACATTACGGTCTTGGACCAGCCAGATCAAAATGTGTTGGCGACGATAAAGGACGGCCGGGTTGTGGCGTCGCGATGGTCGCAGCTCCAACTCGACGTCAAACGGCTTGCTAAGCTTGCATAAGAAGGATTGCCATCTTGAGTCTTGATTTCATGTACCTGCTATTTCCTTTGATAGAGCGAAATGTTTTCACACAACTCCATGCAGTATTATATCTGCACCGTATCGAGAGAGGTGCTGGGCTGTTTAGAACGGCGATTTTCTAATCTAACTAAATAGGTTAGCTCAGAGAGTTAATATGAAAGCGGCGCAATAACTTGTCCTCCTGGACGTGTGCTATCTGAATGCCAGCAACCAGTCAAGAATAAACCATCAATGGCATTGTGTCGACGTCATCACGATAAGCTGGCTCTCGCTTCATTAGCTCTTCCCCAGGAGACTCTCTTGAAGCTGTTGGTGCGAGTCACCGCAGACACCGGCAGTAATGCAGCCAGGCAAGCCTCAATCTTCCAAGCGATATCGTCCACATGTGCCCTTAGACCAGAGAAAAAGGGCCGTTAAGGCTTGTGTCCCGTGCCGCACAAGTAAGATAAGATGTCGACCTGGACCTCGAGATCAGTGTGCGAGTTGCATACAATCCCACCAGGCGTGTATTTTCGAAAATATATCCCCACCAAAGGAACTGGCAACTCCACCCCGTGGATCCCTCAATGAAAAGGATCTTTCTAGAGCTCCATCTAGCTTGATCTTGTGGGACAGAGTCGCCAGTGACGTCTCGAGCAAATTCAACGACATGTACCCCGGGCACGGCTTGGAGCCGTATCACTTCTCAACCTTGTCAGAGCTCTTTCGTCAAGCGGTCACACAGGCCATGCAACATCCCCATATCGAGGATGACATGTCTGAAGTCGAGTCGGCACGCTCGGGTCTGAATGGCAAACCTGTTGGTAGGCAGATCCATCTTCAAAAGGGGCTATTGACTGACCCTATCTAGATGACGATGCGCGGTTCTTGGCCGCCGTGTCCGAGGCTATCTCTCCAGAGGATGTTTCGCACTACAGCACGCAACCTCAATTCGATGAAGTGAGTTAAACCCGACTAGTGAGTTGCTACCTGAGCGGCATAACTTATTCTTGGTCAAGGCTCCTTCTCGCGTCAGGGTTTCCAAATTTGATGATGACCCGACGCTACTCTGTGGTGCTCTGGCCAAGCTTCCACCGTATCAAGAGTCCAAACTTCTCACCGATATCTTCTTCAAATATCTCGAATCCAACTGGTACTACTTTGACGAACGTTGGTTTCGTGACTTGCTTGTACAAATCTACCAAGCGACTCCTCCCAAGCCACAACTTCGGTGCACGACCGTCTGCTTGGTCTTCCTCGTGCTGGCTCTGGGCGGATCTTTCGCACATCTGGATCAGTCGGCTACAGCAAGTCTAGTTGATCACGATCATGCGTCAGAGGAGCTACCAGGTAGCGAGTTCTACAGCGTTGCAAACGGATTGATTCCCGGTGTTCTCGCTGCCATCTCGGTGGAGAGCGTGCAGTGCTGTGTCCTGATGGGATTGTATACCCTTCCGATGGAGAGCGGCGCACACCATTACACATATATCGGACTAGCTATGCGCCTCTCAATTAGTTTGTCCCTTCACCTCAATAAAATGGACGGTCAAGTTACGCCCCAAGCCCGCGAAATTCGAACGAGAGTCTTCTGGACAACGTATTGTCTTGAGAGGTTAGAAGTATTCCTTCGCCCGAGGATCAGAGCTGACCTTCCTCAGGCGAATGTCGGTGATGATGGGGCTGCCGACGATGTTGCAAGCGAGAGATATTACTGCCCCCCTCCCCAAGTGGACACCGGATTTGGATGAGCTGCATCCTCAAAAGATTGATCGTCTTATCGCCTTCACAAAGCTGACGATGGCTTTGAACAAAGTCACTGACGCCAGGTAGGAGTTCCCCATGCGTCAAAATGGCACTTACTTATGAAACACACAGCCCAGTCGACGAAACCCCTGGAAAGTTTGCCCTCGCGTGCTCGACTCTCGAGGAGTGGAAGCGCTCTCTCCCAGTTCATTTAGTGACCCAAGACGACACTACTTTGCGGGTAACCGCTCATCTAGATATCATGTACCAAATGATATGGATCTACATCGGCCGAGGGGCTTCGCTCCGACTCGCTCGCGAGCGAATCCGCCAGTTAGACGGTGTTAGCGACCCTAAACTCCCGATGATCCCTGTGTCGCAAAAGCTTTCAGAAAGATGTACCGACGCCGCCTGCACAATTGTTGAGTGGATCGACCTTCTGAGAAGTCGCAAGCGACTCGCCAAATTCTCTCACACGGACTTCCACTCTTGCAGCTCAGCCATTATCGCCCTGCTCCTGAACGAGATGCGCGACCCTCACATGCGCTATCGGTCAGCCATTGAACGAGGCATTGAGGCTCTTCGCTTCATGGCGAGCGGCAGCCAGCTCGCGAAGGACGCGCTACGCTTAGTCGAGGGCTTACACGCGGGTATACAAAAATCCAAAGGACATAACGAATGCACGTCACATAGGCAAGACGAGTCCGCTGCGCAGGATTTATACCACCAGGTGGCCCAGAGTGAATCTCTTGTGGCCAACGACACTGTGGAATACGCTCCCGCTGACTTTGCAACACTTGACTCGATGATATTTAGCGACCTGGAGCCCTCGCTGCTGCAATATCCAGATTCCGATCTCGCCCTCTTTGGATTTCACGGGTTTTATTCCACGTTCGAGACATGTGAATATGAGGGCGAATAGCGGCCACCCAAGCCCCTTCTCCAACTGACTTCCTTGACCCGCGAGGGTATCTGCTTAGGTTTCAACTTGCAACTGATTTCGACTTGACTGACGATGGACTCTGGAAATGTGGATGGCATTCGCATTACTGCTGCAGGGATAAGGGAAATTTTTCAGACTTCTACGTCCATCTATAAGCGAGGCGCCGGGGCAAATGCCTTCCGCCTTTTGGCCAGGAACGCATCGACTATCTCGAGGGCCTTGTCCAAATACTCCGGCGTGAGCGTGAAGTGCATGCGCACATAACCGCAGAAATCACTCTGCTTTTCCGTGCTGAAGCACAAACTGCCGGGGCTGATGAGCACGCCCTCCTCCTTGAGGAGCTGCTCGCAGAATTCCACGTCATCCACCACTTGCCCATCCGGAGAGGAGAATCTGACGAAAGCAATCGCTCCCGCCGTCGGCCGCACCCAGGAGACCATGTCGCTGTTCTTCCTAACGAACGCGTCCAGTACGGCCAAGTTTCGCTGTGCGTATTCGAGGTGTCTCTTCAAAATCTGCGGGCGACACCGAGGGCCCAACGCCTCCGTGGCGACGACCTCGTCGATCAGGCCGGTCGACATGACAGTGTACTGGCGCGTGTTGAGCAGCAGGGCGAGGATGTCGCGGTCGCGCGACACCATCCAGCCGATCCGCACGCCGGACATTCCCCACACTTTGCTCATCGAGCTGGTCACCACGACCCTGCTATATGTATTTTCAACCAGGGACGGCGTGGTCGTGGCCGCTGGGCTGTGGAACAGCGGCCGAAAGATCTCGTCCGCGAACACGATGATGTTGTGTTCGCGTGCAACCTCAAGGATTTCCCTTTGGAGCTTCCCGTCCAGGTGTACCCCCGTGGGATTGCTCGGATTGTTTAGGATGATCATCTTAGTCGATGGATTGATCAACTTGCGCAGCTCGGCGATGCTGGGCTGCCACCCATTGTCCGGATCTAATCGCCAGTAGGAGAGGTCGCACGGAAAGCTCTCGGGCAGGCCGAGCAGTTGCGGGTACGTGGGATACTGGCAGATGGCGTGGTCGCCGGCCTGCAGCAGGCTCTGCAAGACGGTCAGGTTCGCACCTGTGGTGCCCGTCGCGGTGATGACGTGCTCGGGCCGGATGGTCTCGTTGTATAGACTCGCGATCCGCCCGCGCAGCTCTGGCGTGCCCTGCGGTGAACCATTATTCATCTTCATGGACCGGAATTGCAGCGCGCGCTCGGTGGCCTCAGGGTTGCTGGACAGAGAGACCAAGTCGTCTAGGGATATGCTTGGAGCGGCACTCCCACCGAGGACATACTGAGCATTGTCTTTGTTGCCTTCGATCCACTACATAGACAACTCGCAGAATGAGTCATAGGCTGTCGAAGAGGTTGGTGAGAGGAGCGGAGACTTACATTCGGAAGCTGGAATGTCGCGAGTCGCACCATTGTGTGCGTATCAATGTAACGAACGCCGTCTCGCTCTCGGAAATTTCAACGAGTAAAGTGTCCGAAGCGTCGAATCTGTCGACCGTGGTGATAAATAGATAGATATAACTCGACGAGGCCTTGGCCATTATGTATACGCGCCCTTGGCTGACATGTGGCTCGGCTATACTCAATACTGCGTAGCACGAAGACAAGGCGCCCCAGCGTGCACCTGCTAGTGACTCCTTGACATCACCTACGCAATATTATGGGCCTCGTCCCTTTGAGCGAGATCGACACCGCCGTCGCTAATACTAGCCTACTTAGCCAGTCTAGTGAGCCCCAAGAACAACCCCAATCTCTCATATATTTATGTTCGAGCTCATCGCGCTCATATCCAGGCTCGGGTTTCGGAGATGTGATTCTGATACTCTTCCCTACAAGTACAAGGGGTGGGGTTGATTGCAGAATTTGCGAGTCCGAGATCCATGATCACTATATCGAGTTAGGCGACACGTGGGCATCGCCCAACCCAGCCCATGCTTCCGACCTCACTACCACGGAAGCGGTCCTTCTATGGATGTAAAAGTGCCATTCGGCCCATCCTCGTCGGTGCTGATGATCAACCTGCACGCCTCGACGGCCCCCTCCGCCGGGTCGCCGCCGTACTCGTGAAACCCATTCAAATTGGTGGACCGAAACCCCGGGTCGACCATGTTGACCTTGAAGCCGCCGCGTTTGTTGCCGAGCTGCACGGCATACTGCGCGCCGAGCATGTTCATGGCGGCCTTGGAGGTGAAGTATGGTTTCGCGTCGTAGCCGTAGAACGGGCGCGAGGCGTCCAGACAATATGTGATGGAGCCGAAGTTGGACGACATGAACACAATGCGTGGGTGGGGTGACTTCTCCATCAACGGGATGAAGGCCTCGGTGACGCAGGCCGCGCTGATGGCATTGGTCTCCATCACTCCTCTCAAGTCATCGCGGAAGCTTTTGGCGCCTGGCGTCGACATGATTCCGGCGTTGTTGAGGAGGGCTGTTGACGGGAATTAGCTTGTCATAGGGGGAATCTGGATCTATAATAGATGGGCGAGATGGGAGTCATACCGAGACTGGAGGAAGAAGGGAACATGTCACTTACCATCCAGTCGGTCATACTTCTCTTCGACATACTTCGCAGCCCGCGCGATCGATTCATCGTTATTGATGTCCAGTTCCAAAGCTTCGACAGTTGTGTTTTTTGCGAAGTGGGTAACCGCAGCGGCGGCTTCCTTGCCCTTTTGAGCGTCCCTAGAGCAGAGAATGATGCGGTAGTTGGGCTGCTCGGTGGCTAGCTTCTTCACACATTCGAACCCGATACCCTGATTTGCCCCGGTGATCAGGACGACGGTGTAGGATGAAAGCGACATGGTGACGGTCAGCTAAAACAATGTCCAAAAAGCGGTATGGCCCTCCGGCGGCAGTGAAAAGGGCTGTAAAATAGTTGGGAAGAAGATTGAGGACATGAATTCGCAGCAAACTCTTCTCGAAGTGGGAGTCTTTTATAGACATGGGTCGCCGTCATCCGCCCCAGTTGGCCTTCTGGATTGTTAAGCAAGGGAGCATCCATAGACCCCGAGGCGAGCAGACAGCATCCCTCTTTCGGTGGCCTGTGCCACAACGAAAATTCTCCTCGAGACTGTCGATGGCACCGTGGCAAGAAAGGATAACCACATAACCATATTCGGAGATGGCGAGGCTCTGGTAATAAAGATCGGAAATGCAAGGTGGAGGCCCGCGAGCTGCAGCTAAGGCTTAGTTTCGCGAGCGGACGAATCGTCTTCGATGCTGCTGACGGCGACGACATCAGCGCTGATGAGCATGTGGTCCGGTGAAAGTCGGTATACCTCTATATGCCGGTTGTCTCATGGTTAATGGGCATGTTTTTGCGCAGCCGATGGTTCCGATAATCCAAACGAGTTGCTGCTGGATTTTGATGGTGCTCATACAACGATGGGGTAAAATGGCTCTATCTTCTCCGGGGGTAATATCGAGGACAACCCATTTGCAGTAGTGCCAGCTACTATATTATTTGGGTGAAGACTCAAGCAGACAATCAGCCCTAACTCCAATCAGATGTCCCAGAAAGAGAGCGTCTCATCAGGTGCACAAGGAAACCCGCATTTCCATCCATTTCTGCTCCTTTGTTCAGCCGTCCATAGTTGAATCACAAGATAGGGGTTATTCCTCTCAATATCAGTGAGAGATGCAGATGTGACACGAGAATACCCGTAAAGAAGGTAGGAGAAATTCCGTCGCTGCATCGACAAACAACATCACAAAAGGACGTTCAAGAGCAGGACCTTGAACACCCGCCTGTACGACCAAAAGCTCCTCGCAAATTGCTTTCCGAGGTGAAGCCATCCAAGTAACACCCACTTATCTTTCCCTTCTGTGTCAAAGATATGGGGGTCCAGGCTGCCAAACCAGCAGTCAAACTCGTCTTGGATGTTGATTTCATCATCAATTGATTCACCCAGATAATCACTCTGTAGCGAGGACTGGCCGAATGCATTTCTCTGGTCTGTTTCGCCGGAGCCAACCAGCCAATTGATCTGTTCTTTTCCGCCGAATGATCGAAGATATGGTCGGACAGCCTTCTGGGGTGTTCTGGAGGCGGTGGATGAGAGAGGCCCATTACCGCCTGATGGGTCTCCCTTTCCCAAATAATCTGGCAGATACTGGTGTGCGACACAGCTGGGTCGAAGTCCTTTGTCGCCACTTGACTTAGTGGCACCAATTTCCTGGAGGAAGTCTCGGTACCTTTCCAGGTCGTGCATGCATTCGACCCAGCATTCCGCAAATTCTGGGAAATTGGCATCGAGTTGCTTAAGCATGTCGAAGGACAAGTAGACATAGGAAATCATATACTCCGCGTTGTCTGGGATTCGATGCATCAGCATATCCAAAAAGGCCTTGTTGCCATTCCGCCAAAGTCTCCCTGGCAAATCGTGTCGGTGGGCCAGTGTTCGAAGGTCATCAGAAGCTGAACGGTGACGACACGCCAGGAAAAAGTCATGTTGTTCGTGGAGTAGGGATCGTTGGAGGGCTATTAGTGCTTGCCACAGTTTAGGACTTAATTTTCTGTCGTTGTAGACTTGCTGGGTTTGAATCTCGATACATGTCTTCTCAATCATAATGAGCCGCCGATATATTTCTGCCAACGTTATCAGCATATGGTTGGGAGTCTTGCCCACTATAGAGAGTCACCTTGGACCTCCTTGACAAGTTGTTCTGGTGAAATTGGGCGGGTTTCTGGCTGTAAGAGCATTTGAGTGTCTTCATCAGTCTGCGAACATTGCCCATTGCTCATCCTTTCCAACTCTTCCATTAGAGGATCATTTTCGGAAGTAGAGGAACAGCTGTGCTCGTCTTCCCAAGGTTTTGTCCCACATTTGCTTGCCAACAGACTGTTCCATGCCGGTGGATCCTTTCTCTTGGCCTGGATAATCGGTACTTCTTCAAGGCCTCGATGCATATCCCACACAGAAGTGCCTGGGGTTGGCGGTTTTAACGACCACGGCCTTCCAGTTCGTTTTCCTTTCTGGCATGCTTGTGCAGACTCTTGCAGAATTCTTTGTCGTATACTTCCCGAGCTCAGAGCGGGACTAGTGGAGAGTGATGCACATGGGCGTGGGATGCTGAGGTCCGCGTCCATGGTTAACTTGGGTCCTATGCTGGCCAGAGAAGATGGTGACGTGGAATTAGCGGGGCGTGCACGGAGAGGCACACAACTTGTTCTAGGGAAAGAAACACGAGTACACGCATCGAGGCATGTGAGGGATAGAAGAATGAAGAAGAAGGCGAGAACTCAAGAAGTGTGGGAGGTATCTCTTATATAGTGCGAAGGTGGATTGATTGTTAGGGACCTGCGACGGGGGGCTTTGACTGGAACAACCCCAGAGTCACTATGTCGGGGGGACCGGGGATGATATGGCACTAGACCGAAATGAGCAGATTTCTCAAAATAGTCAAGTGCGATAGGACGGAGTGGCCAATCAGAACAGCGTACAAGGTATCAGATGGGACTTCTGTATGCTGCAACGTCTTCTAATTGCCAAATACAGAAATCATCCTGCAGCAAGACCTCAGTACTGAGCTCAGTGGCTGTCGATGAATAACGATGCTCGGGGTTGGAGACTGGATCCGAGCACTACGCTCTTTAGCTCATCCGGTGTGTGCGCTGTACGACACGAATATTGCCAGATGCACCGCTGAGATGCATTGAGGCATAGCGCTCATTTTCTATTTTCAGACTGATCTTCTATCCAGGGAATCAGGACACTGCGACCTCAGGCGAATGATGGCTGAATTTTTCCACAATCTCTCTGTTTCAGTCGCTCGGGTAGATTCGTCTCATACCTGGAGGGAGTCGTGATCAGAAAGGTTTAACAACAAATATAGAGTAGGGATCTTCTTACATGTCCTTTGTCCATTCACAGACCAAAGACCGTGTCATGGCCGGGTCGATGATCTCTTCGATCCCGAAATAGTTCGCCGTGCGAACTGGATTCATCAGGTTGAGGTACTCCGCTTCGAGTCGGTTGTAGACCTGTTTGTAGTTGTCTCCGGCTCTTCGAAGCTCGGCTCGATGGTTCACTATCGCTTGTTAGTGCATTGATTCATTATGGACGGGGACAGAATTGCACACCTTCAATCCCACCATCAAGTGGGAGTGAACCCCAGTTCACTGATGGCCTGAAGACTGTTAGTTGAGTCATTGCAGGATGTTATCACGGTCTCACCATGCAACCCGGCAATTTGGATTTCGGTTGTCGACGAGAATCGCTCCTCCAATCCCATAGCACCGCCGGGTGATGATGGTATAGATAGGGATTGTCGTGGAAAAATAGGCCTAGCTACTGATCAGTAAAACAGTGGGGAGATGTCAGATGGCGCACCTTGCACAGCTCCATTGCCCATTTCATGCAAGCACTCCTCTCCGCAGCGGTGCCGATCGCAAATCTGGTATATTGTTAGAAGAAAAGATCTGTGCTAGGAAAGACATGGCCGTCGGAGGAGACTCGCCCTGGTATATCCAAAAGTTGTATCAAGGGAAGGCCCATCACATCACAAAGTTTGATATGCTTCATCAATTTCTGGCAGCCTGGTGTGTCCATGGCTCCGGCATTAAATTGAGGATCACTGAGAAGTGGTGTTAGCTTGTACCAGTGTCGTGGATTGAACGCTGTTCCTTGAACGAAACGAAGGAGTTGTAGAAGACACGTACTCTGCAAAAATGCCTACTGGCCTGCCCCCCAATCGAGCCAAGCCCACCACCACTGTCCTGCCCCATAGTCGTCCGATCTCGAAGAATGATTCCCTGTCAACAAGGTGGTTGATGATTGATCTGACATCGTAGGATCGTTGGCGTCGTCTTGGTATGGACTCCCTTAGCTCAGGGCATTTTCTGTTCGGATCGTCTGTTGCTGGCACAACAGGCGGTAACACGCCGCCGTGGTTCGGGACATATTGCAGAAACTGTGCTATTTGATCGTAACATCCACGCTCGTCTGCCGCCAGGTTATCGATAACTCCATTGCAGCAATGGATTTCCGCTCCTCCGAGCTCTTTCGGACTGGGACAGCGTCAAACATGCACCGAGAACCACGGCGGTCAACAGCACAAACCTCAGATCTTCTTCGAACGTGGCTCCTTCCACCACCTTTGGGCCGGCGTTGAAGAGTGACCCAATGTCATTTGCCATGACTGAGAAGTGACATCCGGCTGCTCGCGCGGCACCCAGACCAACGGCTGGGCCGACCACGGCAGCGCAATTCGGGATGCCCTGGTCCAATTGCCGCATCTGACTGTCTGTCAGTGAGGTCTCAATGCTCTGGGCTCTGCACTACTGACCACCCATGGCAGCAACTCCAATTGAGGGATGTAAGACGCTTGCTGAGTTCGGTATGTGGTTATTGATCCGCCGCCTGTGGTGTATCAGCACTCGAGGACGCCACTAGAAACACGGAAGTTGCCCACTTACCCGAAGAGCCGTCGACCAATTTGATCATGGGCAGCCTCATATGTACTGCAAGCTTCTCCATGTACAGGGTCTTGGCCATGAGCGCCCCGTCGGCATGGCCTGCGCGGAGAGTGAAATCGTCCGCCGTCAACAATACCCGTCGATCCCGGATGTTCCCAAATCCTGGCCAGCTGTCAGTTGACGTTGCTCTCATGAACTGTTCGCCATCTTGCCTTGGACATTATTGCTAGGCACAAAGTCGGCGATGATCTCCTTTTCGGCCTCGACGAGGTTTTCCGACGACGGATTGGCCTTGACCCACGTCGCCGTGCCGGCCGCACTCCCGACTTCTCGAAAACTGCCCTGATCGAGAAGCATTTCAACCCTCTCTCGGACCCATAACTTTCCTGCCTCTTTGTGCCGAATGTAGCCCGTCGTGTTGGTCTTGGGGGTTTGCGCGAGTTTGCGAACTTGATCCAGCTCCGCAAGCACGTCGGACCAGTCTGCCGGGCCTTCAGACGATTTTGTCTTCTTCGGCCGGCGAGCGTTGGGCTTCCCAGAGACCTGCTGCTGGATCTGGTCGAGTCGGGCATTCGCCTTTGTCTTGCCTTTGGCGGTGTCGTCGATTGTCATGATTGGCTTCCTTGATATATTAGGCCTAGCATAGACCGGGATTGTGTTATTGTGCCAAAAGGCTTCCGGATATGTATTCGGCGTCCCGCAGCTCAGCTCATTCGACACAATGTGCTGGAATTTAATGTTTCAATGAGGCGGATGCGAAGGATGAGCTCAATGACAAGGCTGTACGGAGTACCAGCCTCATCATACCAATCGACATGCCTCGGTAACAGACAATAGCCCGTCCAAGCGCTGGCACGGCCCCTCACGCTTATGTTATTGACTCGTACCGACTTGCCGAGGGCGATCTTACAGCCGAACTTATGATGGTACATACCTACCGGCAAATCCGCCTTTGGTTTAGTTGTTGATCACCATCACTTTTGACAACTGTGGGAATCCCGCGTCCTTTTCATTTCGACGCAAGGACAAGTTGTGCATAAGAAAGGGATGAACGCAAACTGTAACGAGAGACCAAGTTGTGACCCAACGCATCTACTGATTGGAGGGTAAAAAGGGACAGCGACTTCGAGTTTTGATGAGATACATACAGCTTTGATCATTCAAACAAGATACTTTACGAAAACTTCGGCACATTTCGTACCCGCGTCGTCCACCTTGTCGTACAGGTCGGCGTGAGTGAGACCATCGATAACATACAGCTCTTTGGGTTCCTCGGCCTTCACGATCCCGTCTTCGCTGTACCACTTAGTTGCCGCCTTGGTGCCGGTGATTAACAAGATGGGCCTGGGGCTGATCAAGCTGTTGAACGCAAAGGCGTCGAAGTTCCCAACCATGTCCCACTCACGAGGGAGAGTGATGTTGGACGCGTGTGGGTACTTGCCGCGGGGCGTGTAATAGTACTGGAACAGGTCCGTGAAGCTCCCTGGCAGGGCGTCAGCATCTTTCGCATTATTGGGCAACATGTGCACCTCAGGGCTCTTCAGCCCGCCGGCGTCGCTGTTTCGATCTTTCGTGGCAGCCTCGAGCCGGGTGTGGAGGACGTCCACATTGGACGAATCCTTGTTGAAGCCGCGGCGGGACATCGTGCCCACACAGACCGCCGCCGAGGTGGCCACGGCTTTGAAGCGAAGATCAACCTGTGCTGCCATGGGCGCGTAGCCGCCAGAGGCGCAGATACCAAGCACTCCAATCTTGTCCGAGTCGACGTCGGAGCGGCCGACGAAATAGGTCACGGCGTTCTTGACGTCCTCGATGCGCTGATAGGGGTCTTCGAGGTTGCGAGGTTCGCCTTCAGACTCGGCCTGATAAGCGGCATCGTATGCGAGGCAGGTAAGCCCAGCTTTACTCAAGACGCGAGCGTAGTTGGCCGGCGCTTGCTCCTCGATGGACGTCCATGGGTGTCAGATACCGAAGTCTGCCCCTTTGCGGTCTGGTGAGCTGGGTGCAGAGTGGTATAGGTGTGCAGCTAGCTTGTAGGTACGTGAATAGACGAAACATTCTCTGGCTTTGGGATGGAACTCATGAGGTGGAAGTCAACTTACAAAAAGGGCTGGTACAGTGGGTGATTGTGTCGAAGTTTAAGTATTGCTGGCCCTTCTACCACGATAATACCTGCGACTTTCTCTCTCTTTAATACTCAGCAACGACGAACTTGATCCCCTACGCAAGCTGCGGGATTGATAACCCATAGACAGACCTGCACCTGTATTTGGCCTGTGTCCGTGAAGCTTCGGACTCCACTTTCTCGAGGGCGACGGATTTCGGGCGCCATTTGGTTACAGGGTTTTCAGCTGCTTTACGCTTATCTCCTTCGTTTTGTATTTCGCGGACATTGAGGCGCGTGGAATTTGATGATTCGATAGCTGTCTCACCACCAGAGTTACCTCAAAGTCCTTGTCTCCGTCGCTTCCACCTGGATGTAACGATGTGACATGTGTTCTATCAGTGAGTCGAGGCTTGAAACTCGGCATATTCTTTGAGTCGGTGAGTCTGAGTGTCTTATTACTCTTTCGCTAGATTTGTGATCTGTCTATGGTATGCCGCGCTGAGTTGGAAACCCGAAAATCTTTCTTTCCTTCTAGTATGTTGAGACACAGTAAAAGGGGTGGTGGGCGCTTCAGGCGCCGTTGAAGAGCTGTCGTTTCCACGTCTATCTGAGAGCAGTCTACCAATGATATTCAATGCGGACAGCCCGCTCGCGTCTTCAGAAGCCAACCACGGAAGCGACGATTGGCCCCTTTCGAGGCTGGTATGAGGTAATTTGAAGCGGTATCCCAGTCTGCTTCCACCATTTTTCAATAACCGAACCCGCCGCTACGGGAAAGATTTTCATCGCAGCATTGTGGATGACGATATTGCACATGGGGAGAGAGAGGGGTTGATTCTGCACACTTTCTACGCCAGCCAATCTTGAGGTTTCCCACGATGATCTCGTGGAGGAGCAACGGACGAGCTAGAAAGCTTGAGAAGGCTTCGCTGCAGATCCTGGCTGATCGAATGCCGCTACCCGCAATGAAAGAGTCGACCTATCCAACAAGACAGTGTTGATGGGTCTGCAGACGTAATGCAGTTAGTTGAATTCTTCCGAGACTTTCGCCGATCGCAACGTCGCTGCTCGACCTGGTAAGGTTGCTATTATCCTGACCCTGGTAGCAATGAGAGAAAAAGGGTGCGAGGCGTGATGGGGCCACGAGGAATCTGCTGGAGGCTGCCGCTGGGAGAGATATAAAGACAGCGGAAGCCAAGTTCCATGAAGGGCGTAGAGCATCTGACTGGAGGCTCTTCATTTCCAAATATCGCGCTCCAGGATTGCTCCTTCTCTCTACCAAGATGGACTTCGACAAGCCCCTGGACCAGGCTCATGAGGACAGAAAGGGATCGCAACTCCGAGCGATGCGACATCAATCAGTGGCATCTCGGCGTCTGAGTGAAGCCCAGGCCATGAAATTGGCAGAGGACGACACCGCCATCGTCGACGAGGAAATTGCAGAATTCGAGGCCGATCTGGAGGCACGGCCGGTCAAGAGCACCTTTCTCAATCCGCAAATCTCATTCAATGACCCCCGTCACTTCACCTGGCTCCTCGTCGGGTTTGCCTCGATGGGCGGCATGCTCTCCGGCCTTGACCAGAGTGTTATCTCTGGTGCTTTGCTCTACATGCCCGACGATCTACATCTGAGCACGTCCCAAGTCAGTTTGACCAGCTCTGCTGTACCCCTTGGCGCCATTGGAGGTGCTCTCATTCTGGGTCCCATCAACGAGCTGGTCGGTCGAAAGATGGCGATTATCATTGCCTTGATCCTCTACACCATCGGCGGCGCGCTGGAAGCCGGTGCGATTAACTTTGGTATGATTGTGGGCGCACGAGTGGTCCTCGGCATGGGTCTCGGTCTTGAAGGAGGTACCGTTCCCGTCTACGTTGCAGAATCGGTCCAGAAAAAATACCGCGGCAACCTGGTCAGCCTGTACCAATTCATGATCGCCTTTGGAGAGGTCATCGGCTACGTAGTCGCTGCTATTTTCGTCAACGTCCCGTCCGGATCCTGGAGGTATATGCTTGGCTCGTCCCTGGTCTTCAGCACCATTATGCTCGTGGGTGTAAGTGTCCCTCATGAAATCATCTGCCGTTCGCGAAAGCATTATTTCCAATGAATTTCCTATCCCATCTGTTCGATACTGATGATAGACTAGATGCTCTTTATGCCCGAATCCCCACGAATGCTGCTGCACAAGGGCAAGATCCTGGAAGCGTTCGCCGTGTGGAAACGCATCCGAGGCCTTTCCAGCGCCGAAGATCGCAAGGAGTTCTTCATCATGCACCATGCCCTCGATGCTGAGATCCACGAGGGTGACGCAGAGCGCCGGAGATTTGTTTGGCTTGATTTCTTCACCAATCCCCGTGCACGACGAGCCATCGTTTACGCAAATATCATGATCGCGCTTGGCCAGTTGACCGGGATCAATGCAATCGTAAGTCTTCGTTGGGCTGTTTTTGATCTGGATCAAAATTGCTAATTGTGGTGCCTTTTTCCTCATAGATGTACTACATGTCAACCCTGATGTCCCAGATTGGATTCGACAAGAAGCAGTCCGTCTTCATGTCCCTCGTGGGAGGTGGATCTCTCCTCCTAGGCACCATCCCCGGTGTGCTGTACATGGAAAAGTTCGGCCGTCGCTTCTGGGCCAACACTATGCTCCCCTGCTTCTTCATCGGCCTCATCTTTGTCGGCGTCTCGTACCAGCTGCATTCGGTCACCGCCACGGAAGGGATGTACCTCACGGGGATCATTCTGTACAATGGCTTCTTTGGGTCATACGCGTGCCTCACTTGGGTCTTGCCCAGCGAGGTCTTCCCCACATACCTACGATCCTACGGTATGGAGTCCACCGACATCAACCTCTTCTTCGGCAGCTGGTTGGTGACCTACTTCTTCTCCGACATGCAGCGGGCGATGACCAAGACCGGGCTGACACTCGGCTTCTACGGAGGCATCGCGGTGCTCGGCTGGATCTATCAGCTTCTGTTCATGCCCGAGACGAAGAACAAGACCCTGGAGGAGATCGACCTCATTTTCAGCCAGCCGACCGGCCAGCTTGTGAGACAGAATATGCGAAATGTCGCCCGCGGCATGAGTGATATTGCACATTTCAGATTTGGCAAGATCCTCTCACCGGTGGAAGAGAGTCATGAGGTGGAACGGCACATCGACGAAATCAAGGCGTAGTGTGCGGTCGAGACACGACATGGGATAGAGCAATGGACCTGATGCGATTCTTTAGATTTTACTCTCACCATGATAACCAGATATCTTCCACATTTTCTGCAGTGAAACCATGTGTGCCACCATCGGTCTCAATCCGTCACCGCTGCCGCCGTCACCTGTGCTGCACTGGCCACATCCTTACCAAGGTCCACATGACCATTCGCGCCGCCCTTCGCGTCCCCATTCGTCGCGTTCTTCTTATAGTACTGTGTGAAATCATGCTTCAGCACATTTGCACCGTACCGGAACTGCCTCGCAAACTCCTCGTCGGTCTCGGTGCGCAGGCACATTTTTAGGAAGTCGTCGTTCTCCAGCGCCTTGTCCGGATCCTGGCCGAACAGGCGGACGATGTTCGCGCTCGAGATCGGGTCCACGACCTCGTTGTACTTCTGCCGCCGGACTTCCGAGTACTTGTCCAGGATCGACTCGTCCGCGAGCCCCTCGTAGATGCCCACCAGGCAGTCGTACAGGCCGCCGATGTCGACGATGCCGCCGGTCAACCCCATTCCGCCGAAGGGGTTACACACTGTCTTCAGAGTCAGCAACAAGGCAGGCGCCTTTCTAATCTTTTTCTTCTCTTCTTAATTGCTCGGGCACGTACAGTGTGCCGCATCTGCAGCGAGACAGAACCGTCCGACGCGCATACTCGGTGCGAGTCGCTGGTGGATGCGGTACGGACTGAAATTGACGACCCGATATTCGTCGGGCTTGGGGTGTCCAGGCAGCATCGTCTCGAACTTCCACGGCTGTCTCTCCCGCAGCTGTTCGTTGGTTAGGCCCGGTTTCTCCCCGTATGTGACGCGGTACAGGCCGTCCTTGCCGATCTTCGCGGCCATGTACCAGTGCTCCGGGTGGATGATGAAGTTCGAGTCGAGCCAGCCGAACTTAGAGAAGTCGTAGTATGTCTTGCCATTGTCATCATCAGCCTGAGCCATAATTACGTGCCAAAATTTCTCGATATAAGACAGGATCGGATCAGAAGAAAGAAGCTTACATTGGTCGCCACAATCTGCTCGTCCCACGTTTTGCCGGGGAACTCTTTATCCCCGAACAAGGACCGCCGCACCTGGCTGTTCGCGCCGTCGCAGCCGATGACGTACTCGGCCTCGAGCCGCTTCTCGCCCTCGGGGGTCTCGCAGATGACCCAGGCCTTCTGGTCGTCCTGGCCGATCGAGACCACCTTGTGGCCCCACGACACCGTCGCCGAGGGCTGACGGCCAATGTGGTCCATGAGGATCTTGCCTAGCCGGTTCAGCGGCAGACAGACCATGCGGTCCGGGTCCTCCTCGACGCCCATCTTGACGCCCGCCAGGTACGTGCCGTCCAGCTTGCGCCAGCACACCGAGTCCGGGTGGAATCCCTGGGCACGCAGGTCGTCGACGATGCCCGCCCGTCGCAGCTCGTACATCGCCGGGGAGCCGTAGTGTGTGGCCCGCGGCTGCTCGTCGAGTTTGACGGACATGTCGATGAGGTGGACGGGGATGCCTTTCTTCGCGAGCATGAGCCCGAGCAGCAGGCCTGAGGGCCCCGCCCCGACGATCAACGCCCACGGTTTTGATGTGGATGACATCCTGTGAAGACGAAGGAGGATGTCTCTTCGCAGGTTACAATTGGTGAGGGACGGAAAGATAGATGCTGGTCAACTCGTTAGATAGAAAACAATAGGGGCGACATCCAGAATTATTTGCCGAGTTTTCATGCCATCTCCATTCGCTTGAAAGCAAGATCGAATGACTTCTACTGTACGGAGTAGTGGCACCTGCTCGCATAATGTGGGGTAGACCCGAAGAAGGAGTAAAAGGGGGTAATTGTGGGGTAGAGAGGTCGTGGGGAAGGGGAGCTCAGCCTTGCGGACGGACTAACTGACCACAATCAAGTCCTCACACTCTCTGCTATATCGTCCACGTCAAGTACATTACCAAAAACCAAGACCATAGAGAAAGACAGTTGGGGTATTGGGCAAAGAAGGGACTACACGCATACTGAGCTGCATGAGAGTGGATGCTTTTCGGTTCCAGGTTCGATGTGCATGCGTTGAAAGAGCCTCTTGCTTCATCAATCGTCGAAGGAAGTGTGTTATTGAAAGTCACTGGCAACGACGTTCGATCGGAACCAGTAGCTTTGGCCAATTGCAATAGCACTTCAGACGGTCGAAAGTATCAAGATGTTGCTTTCGCATCCTTTCTTATAACGTCGAGAATGCGCAGCGCACCGCAGTGCAGTACGTATGCTGCAGATACTCCTGTCCATACCTTTCATTGGCTCGAACCGCCGTTCTTCATGGGTATTAGATGCGTGTGTATCTCGATTTGATTCGATATGCATGTCATGACAACTTCGGAGTGGCCTAGCTCTCGGGGCGATGCCTGGAGAGATAGAGGCAACTAGGCATTGTCCCGGGAGTGTTGGGCTTCTTGTGCACCTCCCAGATATCCTGTGTGGGCTCACAGGAACAGCGTTTCTGGAGGTGGCCTGATATCCAGTTGTTCTTTCTCCTGACAAGCACCGAATAGGTCCGAAATATTCCCCAACCTCTGCGGCTGGACGCCCAGGATGTGGACTAGGGCTTGGTCCTGACTGTTTCAATCCTCATGGTCCCGAGCGTGGCCACATACCCACGGCCTGATACCCTGGCCTGGACCTGATATTTAGCAACCGCCTCTCTCCGCACTTTGGTAATGTCTTCACTGCCCTCTTCATATGTCCATGCCGCCGTGAGAAAGCCCCCAAGCTACAACATGCTACCGTAGACATTGCCGGTCGCTGCCGGAACGCCGGAGGTTACTGAGTAGGAAACAAAATAGTATTAGACTATGGGACCGGACTGACAAAGAGCCGTTGCTTGCGCCCTGGTTCTGTTCTTCGTACATAGTGCTCATTTGTCCTTAGCTCTCGGAGTCGTTCTGCAATATTGTCCACGTTCCTTGCGGGGCCTTCACGGAGGCGTGGGCGGCCGAAGCTTAGCTGGCCCACAGGCCCCTCCGATCAGCTCAGCCTCCGAGCGAACCGCCAGCGACGTGTGTGACGGATGCAGCAGTTCAACAGAGCCACAGAGACCCGAGGGAGGACTTTCCCACAAACCGACTACCAAAATGCCGAAGCGAAGTTGGTCGTGGTACTCTCCATCCTTCGTGGCGGTGGGAAAAGATCGTCTTGTAGGCGTGCTGTGCGTGCCACCGTCAACAACCGGCCGAAGCGGAGTCAATTGGAAGAGGAAAGAAGCGACGCTCAACCTGTCGAAGAAAGGGGCAGCCTGCGGGATGTGCTCGTCCTTGGACTGTGGACAAACTTGTGGGAGACGACTCCCAACCCGTCCGTAGGGGCCTCCTTTGCAGAGTTACAATATCAACTCCTTTTGTGGGTGAGAACATCAGACTTCCAATTGAATAGGAATGCCCTTGACTCTGAGAGAAGACTAGACGCAGGGTTGGTGGTACGAATAGTGGGCTACTTCAAACGCTCCTCGGTATCGCACTCCGCGTGATTTCTATCTTTCATCGAAGCGAAAAGATTCGTTTCTCTTGGTGCGCGACATCTGACAGCTGTATGTTGTTTTGTTGATGGAATGCATTCCTTTCTTCTTAACAGCTATCAAAGCTCTTTCCAACACGCTATGAGCATTCTTCGTCGTATCTTACCTTGCCTCTTGCGAAGGATATCATCATTTTCAATAGCATCCGCCCGTTCTGTCTCGATTTGAGATAATGCTTGTCCATTGCATTGCACTACTCTGTCCTCGTTAGGAGGGGACTGCTGTCCGCCTCCGCGAGAAGATACTGTTCAGGAGGACAATTCGTCATCAAAATAGTGCTTTTGCGCGTCTCCTCGATTGCTCTGTGGAGGAGCGCTCACAGACGGTACTGTCTTCTCGGGCCTTCACGTCTGCGTGCATAAGGATGTAATGATCCGCGAGGGACGAGAGGATCCAACTCCGCGGTATTGATCAGTGCTGGGTCGGCTTCGTCCAGAGATTTGAGGCCCGCTAAACGCATGGCCGTCTCGACTTCATCTTTCAGAACTGGTCATGAGAAAGGCCAGATTAGCGGGATACGAGCAAGGTGGCAATCAAGAAGTAAATGATGGCAGAGGAGAAAAACTTACTGTTGACAGCATGGATCACGCCTTCTTTGCCGTAGTTGATGGCATACATGAAAGGTCTGCCTAGACCGACGCCACTTGCCCCAAGACAGATTGCTTTGAGAATGTCCGATCCTCTCCTGAACCCTCCGTCAATGAACACCTCCATGTGATCGAATACCTCAGCACACTCTCTATGGAGCTCCAACAACACGAGAATGGAAGCCGGAGCACCGTCCAGAGCCCGACCTCCGTGATTGCTCACCACGATCCCTTGACAGCCCATGTGCATGGCGATTCTAGCATCAACTGCTGATTGAATACCCTTGAGGACAATCGGCAGATTTGTTTGTCGACGCAACCAGGCAAGGTCGTCCCAGCAGAAACCGGGGTCAATGAATGATCCCACGCTCCTGGCGAGGCCCGAGCCCTTGTGGTCGCTCCCAGGAGCAGCGCCTCCGATACCACCGGAATACAACGTGTCGATCTTTATTCGTTCGTCTGCTTCTCTCTTTGACACAACGGGGAGGTCGACGGTGACAAAGAGAGCTTTGATCTGCGGCCGGCTGTTGATAACTTTGAGAAGTTCTTCGGTCTTTGATCTGTCTTTGTTGATATATAATTGGAAGAAGAAGGGGTAGTCCTTGCCCGCAGCATCGAGGATCTCAAGTAATGGGAATGATGCCGTCGTCGATATCTGAAGTATGTCAACCAAAAAAGCCCGCAACGGCGAGATGAACTAACCGTCTGTATAATTCCGGTGGCTGCAGCGCCCTTGCTCAGCGCCAGCTCACCCTCTGGCCCAGCTGTCTTGCCAACCCCGGCCGCTGGTCTTCTGTTAGCATTATAGAATTACCGGAGACGGCGACCTGCGCCAAGTTTCAGGAGACTTACGTGCAATCCATATGGGAAGCGACACTTGGCAACCCATCATTGTCCCTCTCGTAGATACCGTCGAGACGTTCCTCAATATCCGAGGCCTGAACCATAGTTTTCTGAATAGATCGTGATTTGCGTCTCGAGTGATGTTGTCGTTCGAGGCCCCCGAGATAAAAGTCCAGCTCTTCTCTGAGAGAGATTTCTTTGCCGCATCTTCGAAGTCGTATATGTTGATGAAGGTGTCCAGTGATGGCTTACCTCCTTTTTTTGGACTTGCTGTCAGGCCTTGACCAGGCGGCACGTCTGGAAGCCTTGTCCCTGGGTCGAGGTCCCCGATTTGCTCTTGAGGCAAGAGGTTGGTCTTGATGAGATTTGGTTCGTGGACCTCCGAATAAGCCTCGGTGGCATCTCTACCAGCATATGCATATATGACTATCATATCTCATGAGTGTTGCGCTGTCTCCAAATATGAAGTTCCCTTACTGTCTGCTCCACCTGGGTGCTCTGGCGCGAATCTAGTCATGTCGTACACTTTTCCCTCGACGACAATCCAGCAGTCATTGCGCGTGGTATGTGATTGGACATCAGCGGCGGAGATGGATTTCGTTGAGCTTGCCATCTTTTCCTTTCTTCGCGCATGCAGTCTAGCAAGGCCTCTTCATCGAACAGCTCACAGATCCCCAGAATGAAGGTTGGCCGTCGGTAACAGTTGAGAGCGGAAATCCGACGCTGTATCTCAATGTCTTCTCCAATTTTGCGCTGAATCTTCCCCCGCATCTTTCACATCCTCGGTCGGATCACTCTCCGTCACCGGAGACAGCCAGTGCCCTGGTGGATCAAGGTAAGCCGAAACAACTGGGAGTATGGCATTGGCTGCCTGCTGAGAACCCATCAGGCTGAGATAGAATCTCGAGACTTCCTTGGTTTGAGACATGGTCAGTGATAGACGAGGATGGATTACCCTTTTCACAGCCTCGAACAGGCAGCTCGATGAGCTGGAAGCTGAAGGATTCTTGGAGTTGACGGATAGTGCAGACAGACGATTTGATTATGTGAGGCTTGAAAGATAAGTATCCCAAGGCCGAAGGGGGACAGAGGACGCAGGTCCCTCGCCTCATAATGTCCCTCAATTGCCCGCGTTGTGACGAATTGCTTACTGGGCTCTGGGCCAGCAGCATGGGCGTATGAGGACTAAATCGCCTTGATCACACTGCACCTACCTAGTGCTAAGCGTGCCGTGCTGAGTCTCAAGTTCAGGATCGAAGTCGGTGAGAACTTGAATAGAGGGATTAGAGGCGAATTGGATGTGATGGACAAACTACTATTACAGCGAAGAGATGAGGCCGGCCAATGTTTCAGAGCCAAGCGGCAGCATGCTAGTGCCTAAGCCAACGCTAGTAAGTGCCCCGTTAGATCCCTGATGCCCCCCAACGACCAAGCTAGGTTCGCTCCCCGGCGCCGTCAGCCACCCAGTGATGACAGACCCAGGGCCCGGGTTCATGGTTCCCGGGTGCACCTTCCCCAGATTTTGGGGGTTTGATTTTGTCGGCCATCAACGCCAAACAATTCTCCGCCCACCTTGGACATCTCCCCTCCAACTATCACCTCGAATATCGATCGACCTCTTGCAGCTTCAGGCCCATCGACAATTCGCCTTCGTATTGCAGTACCGACATTGTGCCTGCCACTGAAACATTGAATCTGTCTATGTTCCTTCTCACGCAGGACACTGCAAGGGAAATGGCCGTTCCGTGGGGGGAGATTCCGCCTCTCTCGGAGTAACCGCAGTGGATGACCATTGGTGCTCGACAGGATTTGCGAATTATCTGCCATTGCCTGAACCTCTCTGGATACCATGGTTCGATATGCCTACACGCCCCTCGAAAACGCATCGCACACACTGACTGAGGCTTCCAATAGTCTGCTCCAAGAGCCCCACGTACGCTTCGCTGCCCGAACTGTGACCTCGTTGTCGCTCGCCCCAGTCACCTCGCTCGTCATGTACAGTCGCACCTACATCCTTCCCAACGTGAGCACTACTCTTGCGACCAATGCGGTCGTCAATTTTCGCGGAATGATGTCCTTCTTCGGCATCTTCGCACTGCCCACCAAGCAACCATCTCTCGAAGGAGATCTGCGCAAAAGTCATGTTTCCGCTGTGTCAAGAAAAAGTTGAAGTGCGACCGTTTACACCCATGTGCTCATTGCACAAAATCTGCTTCGCTTTGCAAATATCCGACAGACGACGAAAACGAGCAGAGGGGGACTGGAGAGGGCAAGATTGAATCACCAGCTCCGTTGTCAACAGGGCTCCAAGAGCAGCAAGCATGCCAGAACAACTCTTTCCAGAGTACGCCGGGCTATCATCACGAAACAGAAACCCATCTAGGGGTCATGAGTGATGATTCAAGTCTGATCCCCAATGCGGCCCAGAGACCAGCCGGTGACCGGGCTTTCAATGGGAACACGCCTTTCTTCCAACCAACTCCAGAAAACAATCCGATAGATATGATCTCTCCAGATCTCGTGTCTTTCCCGAATACCAGCCCTAATGGTGGCGCCGAGTTCAACCACTCCATGATGGGGTTCGATGGATTTCTGCCTGGTGATTTCAATTTCATGCCTTACGACCCAGCCCCAAGAATTGTCGGTGGAGTGGACTGGCTCAACCTGGACCTTGACTCCCCGGGTAATGGCGGTCTACAAGCTCATTATCAGAATGGAGCTGTCATGCAATCAATGTATTTCCAACCACCAATCCAACTCGATCCACAAGATGTATTGCAGCACAGAAACCATCAAGGCGTGTCTGCACAATTAATGCCAATGCGAAATCAAGAACCCAAGGGCATCTCGACCAAGTCGTCCGAGTCGCGAGCTAGTACTCATCAATGGCCCTTTGACCAGACACGGAACGTTGAATCTCAGCGGTACAGGCTTCCGCCTCTACGCGATATTTTGCAAGGCACTGTTGCCTCAAGTGAAACTAACAACGGAACTACTGTCAGAAGCCTGATTCAGTTGCTATCGTCGCCATACTTACCAGAGAAAGACATCTCTCACGACGCAAGCATGAAGTCTGCTATGGAGCTGCTGAGAAACTCTTTAGATTTGTACTTCGCCGAGTTCCACAACATTTTGCCTTTGGTACATGTTGCTACCTTTCAAATGACCAAGGTTCCCACTGTCACATTGGCGGCCATGGCTTGTATTGGGGCAATGTACTCAGACGATCAGCAGGGGACGGAACAGTCGTGGTCTTTGAGTGAAATGTGTGGTCAGATGATTGCATGGCTGGTAAGTTCTCGACCCCAAAACGAACATGTGAGTGTAACTGATTTATTGAGACAGGGCGTGGGAGATAGCACTCGCTTCTACAATTCACCATATCTCATAGCCTGCTGTCTTCACCAGATATATTCTCTTGGCTCGGGGAATATGAGGCTATACGCAAACGCCGATTGTTCGAGGGGTATATTAATGGGTTGTCTCCGTGGTATGGGCTTGTTAAAGTCTCGTATCAGCACCGAGGTTGAGTGGGAAGACTTCAAAACCCCTCTGCCAAACGAGAATGCAGCAACCGAGTGGCTAAGATGGAAAGACCAGGAGCAGGAGAAGCGCATTGCTTGGTCTTCCTTCGAATATGACTGTACTTTATGTACGCTGACCTCGCGACGAGGGGCGGCTGACTTACAGGAGCTTCCATCCTTTTTGCCCTGCGCGGAGCCTTTGTGGGATGCGAGGTCGCCTCAAGCGTGGGCAGCACTTTACTCTCGACTTACTCCGACCGCCCGGGGAGCATCGACCGCCAAAGTTCTTCGCAACCTTCTGGCTGGAAAGGGTGTCCCTGAAGACCTGCCGGCATGGGGTAAAAGGCTGTGCGCTCAGAGTATCGGCCGACTTCTTTGGGACATCAAACAGCTGGATATCATGGCGACAACCGAGTATCTGAAACTCCCTTCTCTAGCCGCGGCTCAGAGACAGACAAAAAGCACTCTTCTCCAAGGACTCAATTCGCTCTGCGAGAGTATGTATGCTCTGTCTTCGACGGCCGATCTCATCCACTACAAGTAAGTTTTGTTCATATACAAGCAATTCGAAGCTGTGGTTGACTAAATCTCTGCAGCCTGACCGCGCTTATCTGTCATTATTCCCATTTGTATAGCGCCGACGAAGCTATGGACCTCATTGTCCATATTTTCCGCTCTTCTGCTTCACAGTCAAAACAACTCGATCAAAGCCTTGTGTCGGCCAAGCGACGCCTACGCTCAATACTCGTGAAAAACCCGACAAAGGCTCGTAACCTGGCCTGGCATGCTGCTCAGATCATTGCCGTGGCAAACGAGTACCTGGTCTCCGCGCCTTGCGAGATCATGCGAACGTTTATGGGCTACATCTTCATCCTCGCCTTTGCCAAATTCGGGCCGCAACCCTGTTTGGAGCCTGGTTACGCCCCATGTCCCGTCCGACTCGATTTACCGAATCGGATTGACGGTCAGAGGACTGCAATTGCAACCTGGATCGAGAACGGAGGGCCCGCAAGTATTGGTTCTGTCGAAAACGTCTACAGCAGTGGCAGTCTCGAAGCAATAAGCCACGAAGCTCAAGCCATGTTGCGGAAAATGCGGTTCTGGAAGCTCTCCAACAAATTCAGCCGGATACTCGAGAGCTTTGACTTTGATTGCGATTAGACGACTACCACGAGCGAACTTAATCATTACTCGACACTCACAGTCGAGCAACCCTTCCAGCCACAAGGTGGACGTCCCGACCTCCATGCGGAGGGATTGCCCGTGGTCATTTTGAGTCCGACTGTTTCACCAGCTATTGACGAGGTGGCACGCATTCAGCGCGGACCTGGGGGCGGGGTCAGCCTAGACTTCGACAGCAACCCTCGACGCATTCGATCCAGTAACAAGTTGTCCATCTCCCGAACAGCAGAAGCTTGGAGCAACCTCCGGTCTTGTGTACCACCGGTAACAAAGCGTACAACAATGTCGTTGTGGGACGTCCGAACTCCGAATGCAAAGCGAGAAGTGGAGATGAGGCGAAGTCTGCCACTCTGAACAAGTGGGCTATTTGCCAACATGGAACATGCCACCACAGCGGTGAATTGTTATGATTCGACCAAGAGAATTCGGAGAAATTCACCGTCGAACTTTGTGCCCCAACTTTTCGAGCTTCAATGGAGATGCACGCTTTCCACAAGCACACCAATTTACCCAATTGAGGCTTGCAGACCCCGCGTCCACGGAAACGTGTTCTGCACATCAGTCTGCACAGCTGACATCTCTCGACAACTTCCTCGATCATAGCAGACTAGGTCAAACTAAACGTGGGGTTCTGGCTCCCGTTGGCTTCAATTCCCTTCGATCATGGGCTCAGTTCAAAAGAATGTTGATCACAAAGACCCTCAAATACACCCTCTGCACTTGACGCCATTTGACGCCCTGCTCGACAAGAAACGGGTATGGCCGAGCGAGCCCAATACGAGAGAAGAGGGTCTGGGACGTCTCGTTTTCCTCACGCCAGACGTTGTCGCCTCTGCGGCAGCAACATGCATCCGAAGCGGACATCGTGTGAATCTAGGATGGGAGTTGAATAAACTGGAGATCGCCAATTTCGGACGATTACCTTGTAAGCACCAGATTGTCGACCTTCTCGACGGCGCCGCTTTTGACGACATTTATACATTCAACCCGCAACAAAGTAGCCAATGGGATGGGCTCAGGCATTTCTCGCAGCCCGATCCAACCGAGAGTGAACCAAATAGGAGGGTTTTCTATGGTGGTGTGACGACTCGGGAGATTCTAGATCCAAAGAACCATCGGATAGGAATCCAGTATTGGGCGAACGAAGGGATTTGTGGGCGAGGTGTGCTATTGGACTACGTTTCGTATGCAGAAAAGAGAGGCATTGAGTATTCGACATTCAGCGACCACTCAGTTCCTCTCAGCGTACTTCTCGAGATTGCGCGAGAGGAGAATCTAACTTTCAAACGTGGTGACATCCTCTTCGTACGCATGGGGGTGACCAGGGAATGGGATACGCGCATGACATCCGAGGACAAGAATGCGTACGCCACGACCAAGACTCCTCAACACGCCGGCGTCGAAGGAACCGAGGAAATGCTACGCTGGCTGTGGGATACAGGCTTCTCTGCCGTGGCGAGCGATGCGATATCATTTGAAATCTACCCAGCCAAGAAGAGTTATCCCCGCGGTCAAGGGGAGCCTGAGGTGGAGGGTGTCTTTATGCACGAATACTTGTTGGCGGGCTGGGGCATGCCCATTGGTGAGCTTTTTGACCTTGAGGCATTGAGCGAGATGTGCGTGAGAGAGCAACGCTGGGAGTTTTTTGTTGCGAGTGCGCCATTCAACATGCCTGGGGGTGTTAGCAGTCCGCCGAATTGCATCGCGATCTTTTGAGCAGTTACTACGGAGATATTGGACCCGAAGAGATGGAATTACAAGCCGATTATGTATATGAACATAGTTCCAAGGGGTCAGGTCTCAAGGATAGGAGCCAATCTAAGCGGAAGAGTGTCTGCATCTGTTTGCACCTGCAAAAATAAAGAAGCTACGTTCGGCTTTCCTTATATCGCATCCTCGATTATTTGCGTTGTAAGCTATATGTACGCATTGAAGAGGTAGAAAGCGGATGGTCGAAAGCGGAGTGAATTCTTTAACTCGATAGTGACTCGTAGCGTCAACTGCTTTACATTATTTCTCCCCCTTTTCTCTTCATTCGCTACTCTCCTTTTTTGGCCTTCCGGTTCGTGGTCGTGCATACACTGATCGATCCGAAATTCTCCATTCGTATGTGTTTTGTGACCACAGCCCCAATGCAGACCCACGCACGCACGTACGCAGGGATAAAGCTATTTTGTCCGGTTTTCTCAAGTAGAAAGCGGCGTACCCTTCACATAGAAGTATACCAGACATCAGCCACGCTGTCGAGCCTCTAGACTTTCTCGCTGGCCTCCTCCTTGATTTCGGTTGCCGGGGAGCCTGAATCGTCAGCTGCGGTGGCGGGCGACGACGACGAGTGGACCAGATCCTTGGACTTGAGGAACTCGTCGAGCTGGCGGCGCTGCTCGTCGCTGATGTCGTTGACGTGGACGGCGACGTCATCCCCAAACTGCTTGGAGATCTCCTCGAGCGAGAGGCGGGCGGTCTCGGGCCAGAAGAAGTAGATCATGGGCAGGTAGACGGCGCACCAGCACACGATGACCAGGTAGTACTTCCAGCCGACGGTGACGAAACCGATGGGCGCGGTCTGCAGCAGGATGATGGTGGCGGCGAACTGGCCGAACAGCGAGAAGCCCATGCCGATGGGGCGGATCTCGGTCGGGAAGATCTCGCTCACGTACAGGTACATGGTCGTGTCGCAGAAGGTGCCCTGGAAGGTCAGGTACAGGAACACGATGAACACGCCGCCCGCGTTGCCGCCCTTGTCTGTCGTTCCCGCGTACGTCGCGAGCAGCGCGCACAGGATCGACGTCGTCACCAGGCACCCCGCCGTGCCGAACATGTACATGAAGCGCCGGGAGTTGACTTTGTCGTGGAGCCACGCGCCGGTCGGGTTGTAGATGACACCTAAAAAGAGGATAGTTGATTAGTGGGGATGGCTCATCGGAAAAGCAGGCGGAATGTAATTGCTTACCGGCTGTGGTGAGCCAGACGGCCGATAGAAGCAGAGGCATGGATCCTGTCTGCCCGAGATTCGTGTATAGAATGACCATATAGTTGTTCTCGGACGGTGTTAGCTGTGGCAAGCGAACGAAGGGAACCTCCACATACAATGACAAGCGGACCAGCAAACTCGGCTCCCCACTGCGTCAAGAAACCAATGATCATTCTCTTGCGGTAACTCTTCTTCTTGATACAGGCCATCCACGGCCCATAACCCACGGCTTTGAGTTTGGCGGAATCAAGTGCAATTTGTTCCTTGGTCTGGTACAGTTCCTCCTTCGCAACAAGATCGTCTGGGTCGTCGGGAGAGCGACGCAGGGCCCGGATCACGGTCCAGGCCTCTTCAGTCCTCCCCTTTTGGAGGAGCCATCTCGGTGACTTGGGGATCCAGATCGAGGTTACCGCTAAAACCAGCGGTGGCAGTGTCTGGACACAGAGGGGAAACCTCCAGGCAAAGGATGGGTTTTTGTCTGTCGCGAAATAACATGCATATCCCAGCCACCCGGACAGCATGTATCCAAACACCAAGAATATCGCATGATGACCGACTAACCAGCCACGATTTTGCGGAGGAGCTAACTCGGACAGATACATGGGACAAGCAGTGACGAGAATGCCAATCCCTAAACCTGAGATGACTCGGCCCACGTGGAACATGCTGGCGAAGGTATCAGAACCATTCTCGGGAGAACCAAGGACACACAGAGGGGCAACTTACGCAAGTGCTGCTGCACCACCTTGGAATGCGCCGCCGATGATGGCCAAGAGGGCTCCCAATTGAATGCTTCGTTTACGCCCAATTGCAGTCGCCGACCAAGCAATGAAGAGGGATCCGACCGCTCCGCCTGCACTGTATAGACCGTTCGCTGTGGCAATTGCATCGGTGGTCTTCCCACCATACCCTGGTTCTCCCTGCATGGGCAGGTCGAAGAACTGATACCATCCCGGTTGCCCAATGGTGCTCCCGATGATGGCGGAACAGTAGCCATACGTCTGCCATAAGTCAGTCACTTTCTCGCAGCCCCAATACACAGGGATCGTGAAATAGTGTATGGACCGCCACTTACCATAGAACCAAAGGCGACCGCCACCGTCACCAGTCTATTGTAGGCACTCGAGTGAGACGAGGTATGCTTCTTTGCAGCCCCCATGATGGTCGACACCGCTGGAGTATACAGCAGCTTAGGAGGTATTGCTCAAACGAAGACCAGCAGTCCTGCAATAAGGACAGGTTAGGGGGAAGGAGAGATGACAATTCGAGTGATCGGTCCAGAGGAGGAGATGGGGATAATGTGGTTTGCGGCAGCCAGTCGCCATGCTACCGGAGACTGAAGAAATCTGGAGAAGGCCTTCTCGAGTCCCTGACAGACCCATCCATCCTTTTTCCTGCGGGGTTCTGGGGCTGGAGGGCGTCTTGAGGCCTCGGGGAATGATGCTAGCCTTCCCGGGCATGAATAATCTCTCGATTTCCCATCATCGAGGTTGGGGATGAGAACCGGCCAGAGGGTTTCGGGACTCAAAACCCGCTGTTCAGGCCAATTGAGAATATGTGCAAGATTGCCACCGCTGTCTTTACCTCGGATCAAACGACAGCAAGGTTGAACATTTCCTGCTGCTCCAGCCAGAAAGGCCCGGATGGGGACCACAACAATCTCCGGCAACACCTGAAAGCCAAGAACTCCGGGCACCTCCATGAGTTCGTCGAAGCTTGCAGGGGCCTTGTCGCGCCCAAGCGTCTGGGCCTAGTGTAGCCTGGCCTGGTTGACCGGGAAGAAAATCTTGGACACCGAGCGAGCGAAGCATACCCAGACCGACTTGCAGCCTTCTTTTGGAAAAACGACGTCGATGATAAGAAGGCAGGCAGCCCATATACCGGCACATTTGTTTGTCTTCTGTAGATCTGTAAAGGACGCTGAGACATGCGCCTTGGGTTTTGACGCCTCGCTGGTATTGGACTGCCCAACCGGTACCAAGCCGTCATTGGTGCCTGTTGAAAATCCATCGGCGCGAGACGGTGAGCGGCGCCAGTCAGGAAATAGTCTCCTTAGCAACCCACAGAAGCATCAGCAACGAGCGGACCGGCGTTCTGCCTGGTGTTTCGGTCTAGACTTCTCGTGGGAAACCTCCAAGGCCTTCCTTCCTCTTGGACGACGGGTCAGGTGGATTAGGAGTCAGTGTGCAGCTGGACGATTATCTCTACCCTTAGCAGCAGTAGAGATGCCAGACGAGTTTTCCTCCAGGTCATTGATGAAGAGCTTCAAGTAACCATTCTTGACGGTGAGACCTGTGGAAGTGATGGTCTTTTGTTTTTGGATGCGTTTGATGGCCGTGGCATGAAGCTGGGGAAAGTTGACGCCCGCCAAACGCAGCAACAACGACATCCCATTGTTTTGCTCATTCTCCCAGCCACGCAGGCCATCTTCGCACTTCTCCTACCATTCGCAAAGTCAGGGGAGACTGCTGATCTGGTCTGGAGCTGGTGCTATGGAGGCTATATCCGATGCAAGCAACCGGGTTGACCCCAAAGTGAAAGGCTCCCTCCACGGTGTATTGCAATGCTGGGTTGCACGGCTGAATCTGCCTACATGCTTCATCCAGCTTGTGGTATCGATAAGTGCCGTCTAGTCTCAAGAAATTTGCTGTCCCCTTCTTCCTTGAAGTTGCACCTCCTGGTTGACATGAGCCTGCACCGGGTAATCTATCGGGCTCCCTCATAGTCTCTGCGGTCGAGATTTGATCCCGATTCTATGCCATCTAACCCACGCCGAATCATCCGGACCGTATCCTATTTCTTTACCTCTTCATTTCTTTTTCGACATCTTGCAAAACTTTGATCAATCTGGCAAACGACAAAAGGTCAGCGCAACGTGATCCACAGTCTTGGACAACGAGCCAGGCAGGAAGAGCCGCAATGTCATACCTGTCCAGGCCCAGACTCAGCTCCTCTCGGGGTGTCGCGAAGGTGATTCGAAAATTGCCGTTCTTTTCGCTGGCAAAGCTCGCCCCCATGGCTACCCACACCCCGCCATGGGCCATTTTCCAGTTGAGTTCCAACTCCGCCTCGACGCTGTCCTCCCGGAGGTACTTACTCAGATCGACCCAGATGAAACTTGTCACGCTCGCCTTGTTGTACGGAATACCGTGCCGTTTGAGAAATGAGGTGGTGAATTCATACGCGTCCGTCATCCTCTGTTGAAGGGTCGGGAAATAAGAATCCAAGAACGGACGGTCGGTGAGGAGATTCAGCCAGGCGTGTTCTGCAAGCTGCGATGCGCGGCTGAAGCTCGCCACGGCACGGAAGCACTTCATCACCGTGCCGTTGGCGGGTGAGATGAGAGCACCGACGCGGATGCCGTTGGCGCAGAAGTCCTTGCTCATGGCGTAGATCACATGCACCAGTGACGGGTCGATGTAATCGTCCAATTTGAATGAGAGGACCGAGACGAAGGGAGGTGGGCTGGGGACATCGGTGCTTGGGAAGTTCGACCGCGCATAGACCTCGTCGGAGATCAGGTGGATGTTGTACTTCGAGCAGAGTCGCATGATCCCGATCAGGAAGTCGTTCTCGTATGGTCGGCCGAGCGGGTTATGCGGGTTGGACAGGAGGATCGCCCTGATGGGCACGCCCGCAGCGTTGGATTGCTGGAGAGCGGCTTCGTAGAAGGGCACAGCTGCCGCCGAGGTGGGATCTGTGTCGACACCAAAGGGGACAAGGACGGGCTTGACCCTGGCGTCCTCGACTCATGGTAAGCTTCAAGCTTCCAACCAGACGGACAAAAACTTCCGGCAGCGTCAAGGTCTGGGCTCTTACGGTCGACACAATCCTGTATCGTCCTTCCGATAACCCTTACGAAAGGAAAAAGAGAAAGATAGAAAAGACGTACTTGGCCCGCGCCTCAATGTCCGGGAAGAATCCCACGTACAACGGCCTGCCCACGAGAATACCGTCGCCGGGCTCCCCCAGACAGAAGGAGAGATTGTCCACCGCGTTGCCCGCTCCCAGACAGATGCAGACGTTGTTCTCGTCGATGTGCATACTCGGCCGGAACACCTCACGGACGAACCCGGCCAGCACCCTGCGCAGCTCGATCGCCCCGGCCGGCCCGTGGCCGTACGTCAGGTGCCAGGGGGTGATGTTCATGTGGGCGTTGATGTGGGCGCAGATCTCCTCGCGCATGAGCTTGTTCTCGGCGATGGCCAGCGCCACGATGCCCCCCGGATTGGTCGCCGGGTCATACTGGTTGTAGAAGCAGTGGGCGCGGACGGCGTGCAGGTCCGGCGTCGGGCGAATCAAGTTGGACAGAGCCCGTTGCGAGACGTAGCCGTCGGGCATCTTTTTATCTTTGAGCGTTTCAGCGCGAGCACTTTCGCTCTCAACCACACTCTCCCTGCTCGTGTAGGTTGAAAAGGTGGCAGATCGAAAAGACAGACTCGTCCTGCCACGAGGACGCAACAGACGAGATCGTATGAACATGTATATAATTATAGCCTTGATTGGAATTGCTCGACGATGACGGAATATTTGTTGGTAGATGTCGACGCTCCATTAGAGCTGATACCAGATCCCAGAAGTCGCCCGTGCGCCAATGAGAATAGAGGCATGTCGTTAGTCAGATATCAATCCCTGTTGGTGTGCCGGATGTCGCAATATCAACTGTCACCTCATGATACATATATCCTGGTCTGATAGGTTGTCGTTCTTCGCATTTCGCACTTCGCACTGCGCACTGCGCATTTCGCACCTGCGACAGGGCAGCTGGCTCAGTCAAAGAAGCCTTCATCTTGTTCAATGCTTAATTTCCTTCCGCTTTCTCCCGGCTACGTACAGTTAGTTACTAGACTGAAGTTCTCCGCCTCCCACCCGTACTGCTTTACGATTCTACTACCTTTTCGTTCAGACAGACCCAGCCGCATAGGCTTATAGCTGACGAGATTGGCAAAGTAAAGGGTAGCCGTGCCTCTTATGGCTCCAACTCCTGGTCTTTCAAAACCAGTTGGCTACCGTACGAACCATTGAGAACCTCCTTTTAGAATAGGTCTATCTATGTCCAAGGACGCCACTCCAAGGCCATCCACAAGTGGAAACTCTTTGTCCTGAAAGTCATCACGAAGGTAGGCCATCAGAGCTTCGCACCGCCTATGAACCAGTCTCCCCCGAGACCGAAGCCCTGGTGCCATCCATTCGCCCTCATTCTTTTCTCGCGGATGCGCCAGAACAGCGATCCCTGCGCCAGCGAGTCAGGATTCGGCCGGCCACAATCAAAAGACGTATGGAAAGGAAGTGTACTTACGTCATACAACTGGCGCAAATCCTCCTTGTAGATCTTCCCATCCTTTTGCAAGAGAAGCCAGGTAGTACCCCATTCGAAGAAGTTGGCTCCCCATCCATATGGATCTGCTGCGCATCTGTGGCCTTTTATCATGCTCGCTAGTTCGCTTAATCGCAAGGCGCCGTCACCGTCCTTGTCCCATTTGGAGAATAAGTTTTCGAACAGTTGTGGGATGAAGCGTCCTTCGGAGTCGTAGACGCCGCTGTCGGAGCCGTGCTGGAGATTCCGAATGTCAGCCTTCCTAGAATGCAGCGACCAGGCAGTGCAGCGCACCTACCTTTGCTTTGTGTATACTGTCGACATATACCCGGAAGAAGGGATCCGGAAGGTACGAATGAGCGAGCCGCGTGGGGTAGGAGAAGTTGATGTTGATAATAAGGACTGCAAGGATACAGAAGAAGATGTTGAAGCCCAGCTCCCGGAACCCGACGTACGTGTCCCACGGGTAGATCAAGCCGTCTCCGTCTCTATCCCAAAATAGAACATGCTGCTGAAGGACAGTGTAGTCTTTGTACTTGGCGCCATGCTCTTTGGAGCCGTGAGGAACTTCAGTTGAGACTGCTAGGTTCGCACGTGCGACGCCCGGTCGGTCGATGGATTTATATAGTTCGGTTGCGGGAACGCGGGTCTGGGAAACAGGACAGGTTTTGACGGTGACTGCGAAGTCCACGCCGTTGGCCAGGCCGTCTGCTTCCTGGACCATTTTCCTCGGTAGAGACCAACCTGTTTGCTACCCGTGGAGGAGACATTCTGATGCCCGAGCACGCTAGCGATGTGGCAGCTTAAGTAGCCAGCTTTTCCTATGTTGAAGAGCTTTTCCCACGCTATAGTCTCACCTTTCTTTCATCATTAAATGGGGAATCTCCGTTCTACCCGACAATCCGGTATTAAGGCAACGGATATCATTTCGACGCATGTGAAAATGGTCCTAGTAAACACAAGCGAATTGGTTCTCCGTGATGTCAAAATACCTTCATGTTTTCGAACTGCGGCGTGCGCAGTCGACTAACTGGGATGGGATTGGCCGGGCAATGCTCCGAGGCGACCTGACAATCCAACCTCCACCGCGCTTCTTCGGGCAGCGGTCCGGTGAGAGACACGGTTTTGATATGCGTCAGACGTGTTGCATTCCGGCACCACGGCACAACGAACATGCGATGGACCTTTTGTGGAAACTATCATGGGCGGTATCCAGCAGACAAGGATCTAACGTGGAGGCGATTCTGCCGGCAAAAGATGTTGGCAGCTGCAACCATTCGGGCGGCTGATTGTGACTCTGTGACGCGGCTTAACGGGTGCATTTTGACGTACTCCTGCATCTCAAATGGTAGCCTCCAGATGATCAAAGGCATAGTATGCGTGAGGTGAAAATTGACATGTGAAACTGAAAGATTAGCATCTATACTTGAAAATGTTGGAAGATAAGTCATGTCCCTGAGAAGCACTGTCTCTGAAACACAAAGAGCAGTCCTCCATTGACTGCGTCACGATACTGCTCCAGTCATTTGACTCGACGGAGAAACAGCTCATCACTCTTCCTGTACCACGGTCAAGGCTTTCACCTTCTGTGACCGGGGCTGAATAATGGACGTCAAGACTACTTACGATTTCATTGTGGTCGGAGGTCTCACATTTCCCCTCCCTCGGTGCTGCTCGATCCTTTACTAAACAAACACAGGCGGAACTGCAGGCCTAGTCGTCGCGGGTAGACTGGCCGAGAATCCCAAAGTCCAAGTCCTCGTGGTCGAGGCAGGTAAAGGGTCCGTTTGCTCCCCTACCGCCCATGATGAGAATGGCCAGCATTGACTTGACAAAAGAGACCCGGAAAAGGTCGAGGAGATCATGACTCCTGCACTTGCATTTCATCTTCCCGAAAGTGAATATGACTGGGCCTATGAGACCAAGATGGTCAGCAAGCCCGGCTACGAACGAACCGAAGCAAAGAACACCCGAGGTAAAGTGCTGGGAGGAAGCAGTTGTTTGAACTACTTTACCTGGCTGAAGGGCAGCAGTGCTACATATGATGAATGGGTCAAGTATGGTGGTCCGTCGTGGAGCTTTCAGAACTGCTGGCAGTATTTCCGCAAGGTTCGTCGACGTCCCGTATCTCTAAGAGGTATTCCGTCTCGGAAGATTGACGGCTTCCCAATAATTAGCCAGCGTCATTCTACGACGAAGACCACCTATTGAGTTTCGATCCGCCAGATGTGGGTGAAAACGGGCCAGATTCCTTGCTTCATGTCTCCCCAACGCGGCCTATACCACTAGCAGAGAGGCTTTTTCAAGCATGGCAAAGCCGTGGTTACTCGGTATCGGGTAACGTCTGGGGCGGCAATGTCGACGGCATGACTCATCTGATTCGCACCGTACACAACGGTGTCCGATCCACCAGCAATTGCTTCATCAGAGGGAAACGCAATATAACCGTACTCACATCTACTGTGGCAGAAATGATTGTCACGAAAGACGGCGCGGCCGAAGGTGTTGTGGTGCAAAGTCCTGAAGGCAAAGCATATTACCATGCAAGCCAAGAGGTGATCGTCTCCTGCGGAGTGTTTGAATCGCCTAAACTTCTCATGTTGTCAGGCATTGGGCCTCAGGAAGAGCTTCTGGCAAGAGGCCTGCCCTGCTTAGCCGACTCGTGGCACGTCGGGAAGAATCTGCAAGACCATCCGATCTTGCCTCACGTGTTCCAGGTACCCGAAGACCTCTCGATGGATGATGTGATCCGACCAGGACCCCGGCACGATAAATATTTGCAGCAGTACCGAGATTCGAAGACGGGCCCTTTGACGAGCGGGCTGTTAGAGGTCTCTGCCTTTGCCCGGATCGAGGAACGGTTGCAAACGTGTAAAGAATGGAGAACACTGAAAGATACGGAGGGAAACGACCCGTTGGGACCAGAAGGACAGCCTCACCTCGAAATTGACTTCGTGGTATGTTGAGATCGATTTCCATCGTCCACTGCTTCCACATGCAGAAGCTCAATGCATATAGCCTTGCTTTGCAAAACCATTCCAGCCACATATACAGCCCCCGGCGTCAGGTGGCTATCTCACCGTCATTGTTTCCCTCCTCCGGCCACGGTCTCGTGGGACTGTCTCCCTCCGATCCAGCAAAGCCACAGACAAGCCACTTATCGATTTGAACTTCCTAGCTGAGCAGGTCGACGTTGTGGGCCTGAGGGAAGGCACACGTTTCGTCGATGAGATCCTGCAGAAGGGTGATGGCATGCGCGAAGTCATCTTGGGCGAGTATCCGAAGAAGATGCCTCGAGACTCGGATGAGGAGATGGGCACGTACATACATCAAAGGGTCTCAACTGGCTACCGTATGTGCGAGCCTGTCCAAGTTAATCAACCAGGGCGGGAAGGAGCTAATAGCATCTGGTCAGATCCTTGCGGAACCTGTCGGCTAGGCCAAGATATCGAGCATGGGGTCCTAGATGAGCGCCTTCGAGTCTATGGCATCGGACGCATCCGTGTTATCGATGCATCCGTTTTCCCGATAATCCCTGACGCTCGGATTCAAAATGCGGTATACATGGTTGCTGAGAAGGTTCGTGGACAGTGGGACCCCGTGGGATTCCAGAGGTTCTGAACACTGACTTTGAACAGGGAGCTGACATGATCAAAGAGGACCATGCGGACCTCTTTGGGCTTTCCGATGTGGGATCCAAGCCTATGGCGAAAGCGAGAGGTATCTGGAACGCATTCACGACCGTCGTGACGGCGAATAGAGAGCTTTGGAGACAATTGTGATAGAGTAGAGGGGGGATGGTTTTCCTGGTGTAATATTATCAGATATCGGGCTCCAATGTCACAATAATTGAATAGGACATCAAGCAGTCACGACTCACGAGGAGATTTATTCAAGCACGCCCCTGGCTTGGACCATCCGATTGCCTTGTCCTTTGCGAAATAATAGCTTTTTGGGCCCCAGTCAGCTTAAAATCTTGTGCCGTTTTGTATTCACAGGGAATCTGCACCTTGTTCAGAGAGAAGATAGACTCCTGGTCTAGACTAGCAACGCACATGGCGAGAGCGTGGATAGAACACACAGTCCTTCACCTCCGGTACCTGTCAACGACCAATTAATGGGAGATTAGTACGCGTCCAGAGCTGCTCCCGCCCTTGATCGTCGTATTAGTGAGTCGCAACGACAACTATTTTCCTAACGGCCTTCAGACATTGAATATCAAACCAGATGTCCCGTCGAGGTACTAATTACTGTCCGCGTCGTCCAAACCTGCTCCTCCGGCCTTCTACGACGGTTCCGTTCGTCCTGATAAAATGATACCGTTACGCAGCGAGGTCTGGTACAGTTTGCGTAATTCCGTGCAACTTCTGTGAACCGGATGATTCCGAGAATCCAAATGCTCTTTTTGTGGCTCAGTCGGTAGCAGATCCACGAGTGCAGATCTCAATCAAGACGTGGATTGCTCCCTCAATCACTTCTACCACGCCCTCGGTCTCCATAGGATAATGTCCTGCCGTGCCCTTGGCGACCATCAACCACCCATTGTGCACCACGGAACCTGCCCCTGATCCGACAATACTCAGCCTAGGATGGGGTTGCGAGACGGTCTGCTCCGGCTGCTGTTGTTGGTGTTTGATAGATAGCTCCGGGGGTGGCTGTCGCAACTCCAACCCTGCGGGTTGTTTGGACCGTGGGATCTTCTCTTTCGCCTCGCTATCTCCCTCCGTCTTTGCGTCTTGGTAACTATCTTTCTTGCGCTTCTCCCGTGAGATCGATGGTATGGAATAGTCCAAATCTGGGCTTATGCAGGGACTGACTTTAATACTTTTCTCGAGGATGCTCTTGCAATCTGTCAACAAAGGATCGTCAGGTCCGAACACGACGAAAACGTTCTTCGGTGGAATTGCTGTTGGCGGTGAGAATGTGGTGTCATTCACGGCAGTCAACAGATCGCTTTCAGAAGAGACGTTTTCGCGGCTAATGACTTCCGCATGACTATGGCTCGAAGAGTGAGCTCCGAACCACCAATCCCTGACACTTCTGTCTCGATCGGCGAGCCTAGCCTGAGCCGTAATATTGGTGAAGCGCTCCGGCCCAAGTAATCCTTCGATGAGCCGCCAAACGGAGGTTGACCGTAGGTTCAGGATGAAGTCGGGTAAGCCGGGTACGATGTGAGCGAATCGATTGATGCTGGCCTTCGCGCTCATGGGCGTGGATTCGTACGGCCAACAGTATGCCTGTACGACAGTCGAAGTGATGTTGGGTGCCATAAAGCGCATGACCATTGACTCTGGCAGGAGCGGGCCGAGGATACCGGTGCTCAGAAACCAGAGTAGATATAGGAGGTAAGAGTTAAGTGTGATGTCGCTCGGTCGAGCTGGGAGGAATGAATTCATTAGTAGCAACCCCTCGCATCTGTGGCTCGCGGGTAAATGTGGGATGGTACAAAGCGCTACACAACCACCCCAATCATGTGCTGCTATGTAGAAGTCCTTGAGATTGAGCTTTTCGACGACGTTGAGAAGTGTCCGCATGTGCAACTCGAAGGAGATGTCGCGGACTGATGTAGGCTTATCCGAAGCGCCATGACCAAGCCAGTCGACAGTGAAGACCTCGTGGCCCGACTCCGTGAGAGGCTGGATGATGGCTCGCCAGACGAAGCTCCAGCTCGGGTTCCCGTGGAGAAGAAGTATCTGCTTCCTGTCGGGAAAGGAAGACATAGGCCTTGTGTGGACAACACGAACAGATAGGCCGCAGACAGAAACACAGACCATGGGGGCTTTCCAGCGTTTGGCGCTAGCTGAGCCTGAGATCGCGGCAGTCTTCGGAAACCGATACGTGTCATGCCACTGCTGTTCAGCAATGTGTCTTTCCTCGCGCCTGCACACCTCTGATGCGTTGCGGAGACCGCGGCGCCCAACACCACTGAATAGTCTGACGGAGTTTCGGATAATGGTGGGAAGAGCCGAGAAGATTTGGCAGTAGAAGTAGACTGGGAGTAGGAAGATGACCAAAGACAATCGGACCAAGGTATACTGTGTGAAGCGTCGGCTCAAGGTGAAGGCCGGTTGTAGGACCAGGTCAGTAATGATGTCTCTCAGTTCGAACCTGGACGACGACTCGATGTCGACGAGCATGGCGGCGCTGCCACTACGATAGATGGCGGAGGTGGCGTGGGCAAGGCTTTCGCTAAAAGAGCGAAGAGCTGAGCATGGTCAGAGGACACCCGTGGGTTTCGAGGACGCAAGTTGTAATCAGATGCTGGTGAGGTCGTGGTTCGAGTAAACCAGATGTCATCAGGCTCTAGGACACGATGATCAGTAGAGGGGACTTGCCCCTTTACTCCCGGCTCAAATTGTGCGATGTCGCTCAATACAAGCATGACCCGAGGAACCCCATTGGTACATGTCGAGTGCAAAGCGACGGCGGAGCAGACCCAGCCAGATAACAAACACCCTGTGCCGGGGTTGAGGAGGCGTTGCTCTATAAAAACGTGACCGAACGGAGTAACCGCTATTGATATGTTGCCGCTCAGACGTCATGGCTCAGGCCGAAGGGACCCATCGTTCTGGCAAGATCTTCAACGACCGGGTGATCGCACTGATCCGGTTCACGCTCTTAGGGCTCGTGAAGGCGCTGGGATCCGTTTCAGTTTTTTTGCTCATGCATTCCCACAGCAGGATCCACTTGGATGCAGCTCAACAAGCAGGAAACACGGCCTGATGTTGGGGGACTTATACGTACCGCAACATCCGTTGCCGTGCGTCTGATGCGCACGGATAGTGCGGGACAGACCCGATTTTGTTGACGCATATCGTAAGGACTGCTCGGCTCCGGGGATGAGGTGAAGAATGAGCGTATTGAATCGGGCTTAGAACTTCACGCAAAGCTATACTCTTGACAAGAGACGGATGCTAGCAGAGGAGGCGAAAGCCATTGATGAAACCAACCCCAACTACACCTCCACAGACGACCCAAACTCCAGACTATAACATGATGCATCGGTTTCTCGCTTCATTCATCCAACTCCTGTTCAACACATGGCAAGCAACTCGCTTACGGTATGCTTTTCAATACTCTCTACCGCATCCCGGATGTTCCTGGCTTTCTTCTCGCCGTATATCGGGTTCACCAGACTGAAGAACTTCGCATCTACTTGCTCCCTCGTGAAGGGGTGTTGCAACTCTCCCAAGGGATAGGGAATGTCGATCTCGGAGACCTCCCCGGTCGCATACTCGACTGTCATCTTCGAACCAAACTCCTTGATAGAGCTGTCACCCACGCACCTGATCTTGTCGGATAGTTCCCGGATCTGAGGGTCCATGAGCCGGTCCTTGTCGTAACAGCGGACGCCGTTGTCCGATCCGTACAGGAAGCTGTTCGCAGTGGTGAAGTAGGCAGAAAATTGGGCGTCGACCATGTTCTCCGGGTGGATCTTGTTAGGGATCGGTGCTCCGACAACGCTCACATTGGCAGGGCTCAGCGCCAAGGTAATGCTCTTCACATCCTGGGCTTTGGAGCAGCCCTTGTCACGGCCCAACCTCACGGCATGTTCGATGAAGCCGTGCGTCATGCGGCATGCCGGGAACGGCTTCAGAGACGTCTCGAGGAATTCCCATCTCTTGCCTAGATCGGCAGTGAGGTAGGCCAGATCCTTATCTGGTTTGGGGCTATAGGCGTGAAGAAAGCCGAATGTTCCTTCAAAGATCTTCGCCGCGCCAATAACGCCGGCTTCGGCTAGAGCCACGCACATGAAGGCATCGTGAACAGCGAAACCAGGGTGGAGCCTCTTGTTCCAGCTTCCATTCTCGAGATACTGCATTGACCCGGCGGCCTTTGAGCCCGCGAGGCCGAACGCGTTTTCGACAACCTCGACCGATAGGCCTTTGAGGACCGCGAGTGTGGCCACAGCACCAAAGATGCCGGCGGTAGAGGTATTGTGAAAGCCGCGGGAGTAGGCGTCGTTGCCGAGTTCCTTGCCCAGGCGACAGGTGATTTCGTATCCCACGGCCACAGCAAGCAGGAACCGGTCCATACTCGCCTGATCGCCCAGCAGTTCCGCCTGCGTCAAACCAGCTCCGATGGCAGTGACACCGGCATGCAACGTCCCTTTCGCGTAGGTGTCGTCGAAATCCAGAGAGTGGCCCAAGGTGGCGTTGAGCAGGCCAGCATATTGAGGGGTGAACGATTTGCCCTTGCCCAGGACCGTACACGAGCCATTGTTCTGGCCGCCCAGGGCCTTGACAGCGTCGCAAAACGCTGGTGTCGATTCCGACGAGTGGCTGGCCGCGAGGGTGACACCGATGAAGTCGATAATGTACTCCTTCAGACGGCCTCGTATGTGGGGAGTCAGATCCTCGGTACTCGCGTTGGCGACGAAGTTCGAGAATATGCTCGTGACAGGTATGTGTGCCCCGTTTGCGCCATTCTGTGCGGCATGTCCATTCACGGCTTCAGTGGTAGCAGGCATGGCGGGAAATGTATGTAAAGTCTTGAACCTTTGACTCTGTTTTGATCACTCACTCCTTAAGGACGTCTACTCCCCGGGATACATGGGATAAGATCGAAACACCTAACCTATATATCAACCATCTCCGTTCTCGTTACTTGGTGATTCCGACGTCGACCTTTCCCCAATAATTACCGACAAACCCCTCATTGTCACTTGTTTCGAGTCGCCATTTTCGCCTCGGGAACTTAAAATCTTGTTTAGTTGGAGAAAGCAAAAGAGCACACGGCGGAAGCTGGGGAGGGTTTCACTGGTGTGCGTCTCGAAACTGTGGACGGCGGGCCGATCTCGGAGTTGCGGTCCCGTGTTCGTCTCGGAACGTGTTGGAGGCGCATGAGGTGCGAGGTAAATTTAGTTACTTCTTAGCACGACGAGACTGGCCGTTGCTCGCGATCGTACCACTGTAGCAGGGATGGGAAGATGTCTCATTGTTTTGCTTTTTCTCCGTGGTCGAGTTCGTCCATCCTCTTGGACTTAGAAACCCGAAGAAGAAGAGGAAGCGTTTCTACTGCAGTACAGTTCTTCGGTGGTTCTTTATGTGAAAAGTATTTCATCGCTGCCTCTTCTCCATCTCTCATACATTGTTATGGACGATGTGCAGTTACTCCTCGACAATGGTCCAATATTCCTCTCCCGGTGAAAATCAAAGCGATCAGCAGCAGATCATTGTGTCGTGGCATAGTCAGCCAGCACCGTCTGGTTGTAGTACAGGTCACAGGCGTGCGGGTGCTGGAGACAGTACTTGGGGACGAGGGGCGTGGCCTGGACGCCGTTGGCGACGAGGTACTCGCGGAAGTTCAGGATGCGCTGGGTCATCTGGGTGGTGCGCTTGATCCCCGTGACGGGGTCCCGGTTGCCGGACCAGGCGAGCTCGGCGGCGGCGGCGGCGCGGGGCCACATCTTGGACGAGACCACGGTGTCGTCGACCTGCTCGGACCACAGAGGCACTTCGGTGCCGAGCACGTGGGCCTTCTGTGCGTCGGTCAGGTTCAGAGTGAAGTCGTAGTCGTAGATGCGTTGCCAGGTCTTGTAGGGCGCACACCACGAGCCGCCCCCGCCGCCGTAGTTGAAGGTCGGCACCGACGCGTTGGGGTTGGCCATCTCGTTGTACCGCGGGTCGTTGGTCACCCAGCCGCCGAACCCGCAGTCCAGGTAGAAAAAGTCCGACGACGACACCACCACGTCGTACCCCAGCGCCGTCAGGTTCTGGATGTTCTCCAGCCCGTTGTTCCACGCCTGCATGATGATGTTGGTGGGCACGCTGTGCGCGTGCGGGTACGAGTTGAGCACCACATCCTCCCACATCATCAGCGTCTTGTTGGACACCGAGTTGAAGATCGGTACGGCCGTATCGACCCAGATCTGGAGAAGATCGTTGAAATCCCGCGACGAGTTTTGGGCAAAGTATTGCTGGACCAGCGTGCTGAAATTGTAGCAGCCCGTTTGGATCTCGTCCGCGCCAACGTGGAAGATGTTGTCGGTAAACAAGCCCGAGAGCTCGGCGTAGATGCTCTTGATGACTTCGTACGTCTTGTTGTTGAGGATGTCGAGCTGTCCTGGGTTCGGCTCCACCGCTGTGTGGTACGCCCAGACGTCGTTGGACCACCAGGAGTTCGCGCACGCGACGATGCTTGGATCAACCTCCGTCCAGCCGGACGACGCGTGGCCAGGCATGTCGATTTCGGGAATGACTCGAACGCCCCGAGCTCGCGCGTACGCGATGACTGACCTAACGTCGTCTTGCGAGTAGACCATCTGGGGCGAATAGGCGCCTTGGGTCATCTGGGGATAGCTCGTCATCTGAATCGGCCATGACTGAGCGTCGACCAGATGCCAGTGGAGCACGTTCAACTTCGAGAGAGCCATGCCGTCGATCTGCTCGTAGATTTTGGGAACGCTGATGTAGTTTCGTCCCGTGTCAATCATGACTCCGCGGTACGGGTAGTTTGGGTGGTCGACTATCGAAACTGGTTGCTCAATCAAAAGTCCTCCTTGGCCGTCGGAAATGATGATCTGCTGGAGAGTAGTAAAGGCATTAAGAGCGCCCCAGACCGTCTGGGCGGTGATGTTGACCGATTGAGAGGCTTGGGTTATGTCGATGGTGTACGATTCGTCCACTCCTTGCTGCAGATCAGCTTCGGTGTCGACAATGGTGAGGTCAATTTCAATGAGGATTGAATTCCATCTTTTCACCCTAGACGATGGTGTTGCAGTTGGAAAAGGCGCGAAACTACTTATCGGGGCTTCAATCGCCACGGGAGTCCATTTCAGCGTGCTGATGGTGTTCCACGTTCGTGTCCACGCATCATTGATGACCTGATTGTACGGCGAATTCAGCACCAGGTAACCGGCCAACGGCTTTGGTCCCGACGTGCCCCATGTGATGTTCTGGGGCGCTGGAAGAGGGTTGGCGGCAATCGCATCTCCCAGTCCGCTGAAAAGGCTGACAACGAGCGTAGCCACGGGAAATAGGAGACGAGGATACATTTTGTATCTGTGACACGCAAGAAGAAGAGTTGAAGCCCATCGACGGTTCACCTGAAAGGAGGGAGGGATGGAGGAGTATTATGAATTTGGGAGGCTGAGGTAGCACACAGCCTGAGACTCCTTGCAGCCCGTCCAGTCACCGCATGTTTAGGTGACACAGCGTCTGCAACGTTCCGTAGATTTGGTGAGCAGCCTTTTGAAGACGACCATGTTGGCAGCGTTGAGGTCGCGATAGCGTGTTGTATCCTCTGATGTAACTATAGGAGCCGTCAACGGGTGCGGAGGGATGGTTTCTGCCCTGTTAGCGATTGGTGTTGCGACCGTGACATTGATAGATAGATAGTGGCAGTGAGTGGCTAGTGAAGCCTCACTAGCCTTGTTGAAGCGACCCAATGTGGCTGGTAAGGCTGGAGATATTGACGACTGCGGGGAAAATAGTCGGAAGGCGTCGATACTACCTCAGCATTGAAACGCTACGGCCACCTTCCTTTATCGGCTGCTATCGTAGCCCCGTATCAAGGATACGTACTGTTATAGAACGTCGGCAATCTCGTAAATGGTCGATCAAATAAGCCTTATCGTGCTTATTTGCTGAAAGGGGGAAGAGTGAGCAACCTCAATAACTCTGGTGAAGTCTATGACGATGACTGGCTTGTGGAAATAACCACCACATTGGCTACACCAAGCACATCTCATCTTCCTCCCTTGGACAAAATCATGGTGTGTGGTATTCTGCGACATAGTCCCTACCAGTCAAGCATGCACCTCACCTTACCTAAATTTGCCCCTGGAGTGTGCAGACGTCAACTCAAGTATGACATGGTTCGTGGAGACGATGCCGTCTCTGGCATGTAGCACAGCGGTCACCTGTCCGTCAAATAATCCCGATCCTTTGTGTGATCCGCATCCCCAAAGCCCCCAAGAGGATGGGTGGCAGTGCCAGAGTGTCATGGTCCCCGACTTCACCTGCTGCAGGACTTGCGACATCGCGATGATGAGATGTTGCACTGTCATAGTCTAGAGTAGATGTGAGGCGGCGAGGTCTGCAGCAATGAATACGGTGCCATGGTAAGCAGTGTTCACTGTTGTATCTTTGAAAATGTCCGTGTTCATTGTTTGCAGCCAACAGATGGGAGCTCCCAACAGCCCTAAGCCATTCTAAGGCTAGTGTCTTGGCACCTGGAAGTCGGTCTCGGCACCGAAACTCATAACAAACATCGTCGCCGATCTTGCTATGCTGCGAGAATGGAGTAGAGTCGGGCCTCCTGCTGCTGTAAGAACGGTAATGACTGCCGGTGGATAGCGATGAGCTGGCTGTTGTGCTCCAAGCGAAGAAGCTGGGGAAGAACAGTAATTTCGCCAAATGGGTGACGACAACCGCAGCGCCCTTGCGCCGGGCGACGAAGCGCCATATGACGATTCGAGGCCCGCAAAGAGGCAGCGCAACTTCATTGCCCGCCAAGCATGCGAGGCATGCCGCATGAAGAAGACCAGATGTGACGAGGACATGCCTTGTAGCCTCTGCAAAAGCCTGGGGATCGAGTGCACCTATGCAGAGCGCAAGCCTACCAAGTGAGTCACTATCCACATCCGTCGACCAGAGGCTGACTGAAAACAACAGGAATGAGATCTCGATGGGGATGATATTCAACACGCTGAGGCGAATGGAGTCGAAGATTGATCACTTGTCTGTTCCAACCTCTGCTAAGTCTGTGCATGAGCTCGACGGCAACAGAGTCGACTCCAGTCTGCCGCATACCGAAAGCCCCTACCACATGGACTCAGTTGTTTCCCATCAATCGCTTTCTTCGCCGCTGTCGAGTACGAGACAGTTGCCTCGACAGTCAAACTCCCACTTTGGAATTCTGTCATTTAGTGCTCGTCAAACGATTCATTGGCCAGGGGTGCTGCCTTTACTTCCCAGCAATCTTACTTCTGAGGTTCGCAACTTGGAAAGAAGCTATCCTACTCGGCTGGAATCAGAACGACCTTCGCTTGAGCCTGTCATCTCGGCGCAGAGTGTTATGCCCACGCTTGACTGGCTCGCCTCTCTCAGCCTGTCTTGTGTGAAAGATCTTTCGAACGCTTACTTCGACACTTTCAACCGGGTATATCCATGCATCGACCGCGACTTCTACTTTTTCAGTACTCTTGCCGTGGTGGTGCGAGAAGGGTTTGGCCAGGACATCGAGTCATGCCTCGTCCTGAATGTCATGGCGTTAGGATGCATGGGATTCAAAGCATACGAAGAAGGCGGTTTCGAGAATTCGAGTCAAGCCTCGATAACCCCACTCGTCCGACACATCATGGAAGAAGAAATCCCCGGCCTAAGCTTTTTCAACGAGGCCCGGAGACGAGTAGGCTTCTGTCTCTCCGAGCGGGACGTCCAGGCTGCCCAGTATTACCTGACGTCGGCCGTGTTCTTCGCGCAAGCCATGCGGCCGGTTGATAAATGGCTGGAGGCCGGTCGGGCGGCAGTCATCTGCACCGCCTACTGGAAATGCCCACCCGAACCCGTTGACGAGTGGCTCGCCGACATGCATGCAAGACTGTTCTGGTGTTCGCTCATGCTTGAGAGTCTGGTTGTTCAAGAGTTGGAGCTGCCGCCCAGTGGCCTGAAGGCGTGGGAAGACGACGTACCCCTCCCAAAATTTACCGTGTATCCTTATGCCAATGGCACGCGCCCGCAACATTCCGATGACTCGTTCTACCACTACCATTTCCTAGCGCAGATTGCCCACAGAATCATCCTCAATCGGATACGGGACGAGCTATTCCTCAGTAACCCCTCAACCAAAGTCGCAGAAGAGCTCCGCCACCAGCTTGAGCAATGGCGCACCAACCTTCCTCCGGCGTTACACTACCCCGGTGAACGGGAAAAGCAAAGCTTTGACTGCCCGGCCGAAGCTGTGGTTGTCGCCCTACTTCAGATGCGTTACCGGGTGTCGATTTTCCACCTAGGGCGACCATTCCTGTACAAAGCCATCCAAAATCCCACCTCAGTCAACGAGACCGAGCTGAAGTTATGTGCAGAAGCACTGGAGTATGCCATGGATTGGCACATGACATTGGATGTTTGTGTGAAAATGCGGAATTTTGCCCCTGTCAAATACTTTGCATGTGGACAATTCTTCGGACAGCTCCTCATCTTCTATGCCTTCAAAAACTCACCTGACCGACGGTTGCGAGAGAGCCTGCCGTCTGGGTACGAAGTCTGGTGCAACAAGATGCTGAGGTTCATTTACGATTTTGTCGATTCGAGTCCGACCCTTGCGAGGGATATGGAATTACTCTCCTCGCTGTATCATATTCCCAATAGATAAGTAGTGGTGTGTTACTGGGAGATCTCTTTCCGATCGTTAGTCTAATGTTGGTTTATGTCGACATCGAGCAGACCACCGAGATCCAAGAGCTCAAGTCTTGATAGTGCCGCGGGCGGCTTTAGGCCCCAAGTCGGTGCTAGAGACAGTCAATGACCTGTGCCCATCAAAGCTGCAAATGTGACATCCGATCTTTTCTTTAGCACACACGGTGCCCGCTCAAAACTGTTCACCCTCGTCTCTCTGGCGACAATAGGGATGAAGTGGCAGAGTCGTTGCATAGGCCATCCTTTCAATGTCCATCGCACTGAGAGAATATCGGTTCCATCAGAACGCTGGTCGTCCAGTGTCCGTTTCTGGTGGTCAATGGTCTTCAGGTGTTTCTAGGCTATCACTCACTTACAGTTTCTCCTGCAGCCTCCCGCGGTTCTCTTTCCTTCCATTCCCCAGCCACGCGTTCATCTCTCTGTATCCCTTTCTGGGATTTCTCCCAACCTGTCCACACGATTTGATTCAATCTTCCCCAGAGCTCGATGATCTTTTGGATACAAAAGTTCTTTTCGATGTCTCAACGCAGCTCCTGTGCCTCTCCTGTGCCATACTTAGCCGCGGCGGCTTCCGTGGACGCTGCGCCGGACTTTCAAGCACACACCTCGCTTTGCAAGTCGCGGCAGGGGTTGCATCGCTTGAGCCTGACGAGGTTCTACTGCTGCTGAAAGATTACGCCGGGTAGGTCCATTATTGGACAGAGTGCTCGACGAAAGAAGGCCATGGACCTATCCGCAACCTGAACGTTGTTCCGGGACCCGGGATTTTACTTGGTTGCGCAACCCTGGCAAAGAAGCATGGATGCTGCTGAATGTGGCGAGAACTCAAGCCCTATTTTAGAATCCTCGAGGAAAGGGCTGGCTCGCTGGCTGGCTGTAGCTGGCGTCAGTCGTGATTGAGGACGAAAACATATCGTTTAGCGTCATGGCAACGCTGCCGCTCGACACGTCACGGAATCTGATCACAGTGACCATCCTACAGAAGTCTGGAAACCTGGAATATGGCAAATCACCCTCGGGACAATAGTGGTTTTGCATTGGTCAGGTCAGACTTTCTCCCTCGAGACAGCTTGTGAAGACCGTGAGGGAAGCATTAGTCCCGGGCTTGACATGTCGGCAACCATGCGGAGGAAGCCTTTGTTCCATGCTTTTTGTCATTGTTGGTCGCTGCTTGTGATATGCTGGTCAAACTTCGAATGACAGCGAGTGGTGAGTCGTGTCGGAGCGCCTCTGTAGAGATGAGCCTCAAGGGAATAGCTATTCACCGAGCCACGTTCGTTGCCGGGCTTCTGGTTTTCCACAGTGGCCAACCTGGCTTTGTGTCGGTCCCGCTATTCCCAGCTCCTGACCCTTGCAGAGCCAGACGCTGGGAGAGGCAGCGTTACTCGGCATATGCTGAGCCCCAAAAAACGGGTGGGGGGAAGGGGTCGTGATGGCGAAGCAAGATCAAGATCCATAAGACTGACTTACCATCACACAAGGCTGAGAAATCCAAGGGGCGACGTCGACAAGCATCGCGTGTCCATCTATCTATCTAACACTCAGTACCCAGTCAAGCTATGTAATAGCGCGCCTTGATCTTGGTGTATCCCTGCATAACTCTCCATCATCTAAACTGCCCAGACGAGGTACATACACATACATACATAGCTGTATATACAGTATATCGCGGGTGCTGTTAATCAACAAGCAATTACTACCCACTTACTGCACCGTGTCAAAATCCATGACTGGCGTGCATGGTTTGTCTAGCTTCTATGACCTTCACGGTCTACAGTTTCGAGATCCATCACAGATCCCTAGTGATACGCCGCATGCATTGCCTCTGGAAATCGCAGGAGGATAAGTAAGTCCTCGTGGTGTGTGTGTGTCTGCCGTCTGCACTCTCTCGCTCTCTCTTAATGAGGCGGGCAGCGGTGAGATCAGGTCAGATCTTCAATGATTCCCATTCCAGGACGTAATAGAGATTGACTTATGTATCCAATCAACCCCGCAACGCCAGAACGCCATGCCCAACGTCTTTTTCTTTTTTTCGACAGACAGACCGGTCCTTTTAGTACTGGATTTTTTGACACCTTTCCAAACATAATCCCGTAAAAGTGAACCAGGAGAGCTCTTAAGCAAGATATGCCATGGTTCCAACCCTCACGCGCGCTCTGCAATTGCAACGGGGAGAGAAGCACCGCTGGACCAACCCCCCTCCCCTGGTCTCGTGTCTTTTTCAAGTGCTTGTCTTCTGAGCCTCGCCATTGACCTCGTCCTTGTCCTCAGCTTTGTCCCTTAAATTTGCCTTTGCTTCCGATTCCGCAATCTCCTCCAGTGCCGCGATGGCATCCTCATCATCCTCGCCTTCAAACTCTTCCTGCCGCACTATTTTCTTTCCATTGCTCTTCTCGGGCAATTCAGTGGCCGGCCCAGCGTTCTGGGGCTCTTCCTTCTGCGATGCCGTCGCCTTGATCGGTTCCTGCACGCCTGGGGCCGCGATGGGGTGCTCCGGCGCATTCAAGTCCCAATTTATAATCCCCTCCTTCCCGTAGCGTGTCTCGAGCCAGTCATTGGTCTTTCTGAAATGCCCACACGTGTAGAAGCCCCGGCTCGCACTGAGTGGGGATGGATGGACACTTTTCAACACCAGGTGGCGCGCTCCCGTAATCTTTTCACAGCGCTTCTGCGCCGGCGTGCCCCAGGCCAAGAAGACCACGCCGCGGGTTCGCAATTTGACAACGGTATCGATGACCTTCTGAGTGAACTTTTCCCAGCCATGCCCAGCATGCGAATTGGCCAGGCCCTGGCGTACGGTGAGGCAGGTGTTAAGCATGAGGACCCCTTGGTCTGCCCACGGAGTTAGTAGGCCGCCGTTCTTGGGCGGAGGCTTGAAACTGGGGTAATCATTCTTGATCGCAGTGTAGATGTTCTTCAGGGAGGGAGGCGCGGGGGTGGGTGGTCGCACGGAAAAACAGAGACCATGCGCTTGGTTGTGACCGTGGTACGGATCTTGGCCCAGGATTACAACGCGGACTTTGTGGAGCGGACAATGCCGCGACCTGGCGAGTATCGTTGTCAGTCGGCGAGCATCAGGCCACGGAGGTATGGAGGCTTACCAGCTATACACATCTTCTAGCGGTGGAAAGATCTTCTGCTTCGAATTGATTTCCTTCTGCAAGAAGCGTTTCAATTCCAGAAAGCTAGGTGTCACAATCTCCTCTTTCAACACTGCTAACCAACTCGGGTCCAGTGTATCGATCTCCAATTTGAGGAGCTTCTTCTGCTCATCAGTGAGACTTGCGACCCATTTGTCCTTGTCGAAGTTCGCGGGTTGAGGTTCGTTCGTCGCTGCGTTCGGTCCACCTGCTGAAGAGGCTTTCGGAGGACCAAAGAAGGAAGTAAGGCTGCCATTCTTCTTGGGTTTCTTTGCGTCATCGGGTGAGGAAGTGGGTGGATCTTTTCGTTTGTAGAACGACATGGTGGATGAGTGGCAATCCCGTCCTGGGACAGCTCGAGGGGAGATTGCTGAAATCAATGAAGCAAGACGATAGGACACACGAGACCTCAGCATGCACGAATGCGTGATGCTGTTATATGACCAGGAGCTGGTAAGTCGAACGTTGGATATTTGAGTACATTGGCAACAGGCAGGACGCGGCCTAAATGCCTCCGAGTGTTGCGGCGCGACTTACGGACGCGTAAACGGCAAGACTGGGGAAGACTAATTAAACCCCCACGATCTGTTCAGTCTGCTAACCGAAAGTAGCATCAGCTCTGTCATTAGAGTGGTCCCTATGATGTAAAGAATCTCTAGTCTTCATTCAAGATACAGAGTGCTGGCAGTTACTCGTGATGCCAGCTGAGAAACCTCCGTCCATAAGTATTGACTATCATAAAAGGGGCGCCAGCCACCTGTTGGCTTTGTTGTGTAAATGAAGTTATCCATCCCATTTTGGGTATATCGTCACCAACCCCCCATCGAGCTCCTCCGAGGCCATTATGAACAAAAGCAAAGGGAGAAATTGAGAATCGTCAAAATAACATTGATACACGAGCCACGTGTTGGTTGCAGGTACCAACGGCTAGTCCAGCATGATGACCTCTTGTTTTTGCGCGCTGTTGGTGTTCGCCTTGTGATTTGGAGGCATCGGTCTTCCCCCAGGACCAGTGCCTGAAGGTCGTTGGACCTTGACATTTGCCCCATTGGGGATCATACCACCAGGTGCTTGCATCTTGCCTGGGGGAGCTTTCATGGGAGCAGGAAGTCGACTGTTGGGACCATTCGGAAGGTTGGCGTTGTTTGCATTCGGGTTGCCTGGCACAGCTTTGGCTTTGTTCAGTGGCAGATTGATGGGCACTTTGCCTTCGGACGCTTTCGCCAGCTTGGCCCATTCCCATAGAAGATCATGCATAGCTTGGAGCAAAGGCTCTGGCTGGTCAGCCATGCAAGCCGCCGCTTTATCCAACGCAAGCCATTTCGATTGCCCGTCTGGACGAGTAAATATTTCCTGCTTCAGCTTCGCCCCTAACTCTGGTGTCGAATAAGCCGGCCTAGAGTATGATTGGAAGTCCTCAAGCGCTGCGCGCACAAGCCACATTGGTTTTCTCGACATATTAATGTGGTGCAGAACTTCCAGACGTGCGAGCATATGTGGTTGAGAATCGGCTTTGACATCTTTCGGCGCTTGTCCTGCCGGTGTGAAATATTGAATCGCAAAAGCTGTCGCACTCCTGACGAGGATATGCACCCGCAAGTGATCTTCTTGCCCGGGCGGATCCGTTTGCTGCTGTGTCTCGGGGTTCAGTCCATGTTTGTCCTGGAGTTTGTGGAGATAGGTTAACAGTGGGAGCGTCAAAGTCAACGAAGTGAGAAAGTCGCGTATTCTAGTGGCAAATGGGCCGCGGCTGGCGGCAATCAGTTTTGTGTATTGTGCCGCGAGGAATTGATGTGGATTCTCCCCAGCTGGGAAGAAATCAAGCTGCGGTGCTTGATTGCCGCTCGGGAATCCGATTCTGAGTTCTAGTTCGGCAGGCGCTCCTTCGTGATACGCTATCGTAAAACTGGAATTCGATATCGCATTCAATCTCAATCCTGGGAGACGATGAATCTGCTCGACTGTTGAGACGACCTTTTCAACATCCATGGCTTTGTCGACAATTTCCGGGATCGCGGCTTGTGCTATTGCAGTTGTAACTCGGATCATAACGGTCTTGTCCTCGGGGTTAAGAGAAACGCAAGCATCAAGGACAGACTGCTCGATACGTCTGAGCACCGCAGAACTTGTCTGGTAGTGATATTGAGCGACAGCCCTGACTTTGTTCGTAGACCGATCAACTCCACCAAATCGGACTTTGATCCCCTTTTGTAGAGCAGGAGGGTTGGGCGCACTGTTGGCCGTTTGCAACGCCGTGGCGGAGCCGAAAGCTGTGGGTGGTACGGGTTGCTTCGAAAAGGCTGGCCTGGCCATATCCAAATCAAATGAGATTTCGGGTAATTCATAATGCTGGTCGAAGGCAGGCAAAGGTCGTAGATCGAACTTCTCCTTCCTCTCCCTGAAGAAGTCGGCGTTGCGCTCCAAGAATATCAAACCCATTAAGTACTCCGCAAGTCGATCGAAATATGCGGAAGATAATTCTTCTTTGACCTCTATCCTCTGCTTGTGAAGAACCCTGTAACGAGTCTGATGACTCAGAGCGCCGGCAGCGACTTGTTGTAATAGCCACCAATGGTCTCCATCAGGGGCGTGTGTGATCGCCAGGGTATAGGCCATTGTCCACTGGTTCTGGCGAAACATGTTCATCCTCGACACTGGCCCTCCAAACAATGCTCTCGCCTCTGCTTGGCTAAGCTTGAAGGAACGCAGTCCTTCCCAAGAGGTGCCCAAAATACCGACAAGAACCCTACTTTCCATGATGCTGCACCTGTAATTGAGGAGTTTGGAGACAACATCATCTGCCACACCTTGGACCCGATTGACCTCATACTGAAGTCGCTCTGTCCTCTCTGTAACAGGGCTGAGAACAAGGAATCCCGTTACAGAGTCGATTTTCAGCTGGAGGTCTGAGGATCGAGAGAGTTGCATGGTCAGGAAGCACTCCTCCGGATCTTCGTAGGAAAGCGATTGTTCCAAGAAGAGTTCAACATTGGCAAACAGAGGTGTGAGGATGAGTTTGTCATAGATGTTGTCCAGGATCTGCGTTATATGCTGTGCGATCACTTGCCGGAGGATCGCTTCGAAACTAAGCAGCGCATCATTCAGGTGTAATTGTAAAGAGTCCACTCTTTTGCCTTGTCGCATCCATTTGACTTCGAGAAAAGGCGGCGAGTCCGTCTTGGTTATTTTCTGCTTCTCTCGACCACTGGCAATACCGACCTCAATCCAACTTTTCCCAAGTTGTCTCTCGGGCCAATACTGTACGACAAGGTTCCGGCGAATAAGTTCAACGCGTAGGTTGCCGGCCCATTGGTTTCGAGCCAAGTCGACCGCTTGCTTGTGGAGCTCAGCCAATTTATAAGATAGAGCCAGCTCATGCAGAAAGTCGTAACACCCTTGTAGCCCGTCTCGATCGATATTGGAATTTGCGTATAGCTCGATCTCCGAGTGTAGACTGTCGGGGATATGAGGGGATGGTTGGAAAGAAAACCGGAAATCGACCATGCGAAAGGGAGAATCTTGGCTGTCTCCTAATATGGAGACATCTAGTTCGAACTCGTTGGGTACAGTGAAAGTAGCACGTCCGTCATGAATTCGGTATCTTCGCAACTGAGGGGGCAAGTCATCCCAAAGGGCTAGTTTGACGCTCAACACCCGGTTGAGTGACTGGAGGATTCTAAGTATCTGTCTGCTGGACAAATCTTTCTGTGGTGTATAACCCAGGCGGGGCAGACTGAGCACCGTACCCCTTGACAGTACTTCAGCTGCTGTTTTGAGGTCGGGATTGGGGATCTGAAAACCTGAAGACTCCTGTTTCAGAAGGGCCATGGACCCGATGGCATTCCAATACGCTTCTCGGCGTTGCATGAGCCAGTAGTTGATTGAGATAGTCTTGCTCACTTCGTCCACGTTCTTGCTCCATTGCAGCAATACCAGAAGTTTTATGAAATCCGCCTTTTGATCATTTGAGAATTTCAGGAGCCGATCTTTCTTTTCCAAATTTGCCTTGGACTGGTTGTTGGGCAGGCCAGTAGGTAGGAGTTTTGCCTGATCAGGTGGCAGTTCGGGAACAGGCATTGAAGCCAAGTGCGTCACCAAATCGGAGAGGCCGTTCCAACATGATTGGGAAGCCCGATTTATCAGAGCGGCCATCGGCAGGTAACTGTCTTGAGAGATGAGGTGCAGGATATCGGATGGCGCTTGTTCGTGAAGGTGGGCGACATCGCTGCCCTTGTTGTCGGAGGGTTGCTGACTTGACTCAACATCTCCATTTGCACAGTTTCGCGTGTTGTCGATTGAAGGCGGCGGCGGATTTGAGGGCACCGATTCTGTTTTTAATTGCCCAGACTCGGGCGTGGAATCTGCGACGGTCTGTTGGAAGCCATTTGCAATTTGCTCCCCGTTGGCCGCGGGCCTTTCCCCGTTCATATTGAAGCGGAATCAACCATCAAGCAATGCATGGCCGGCACACCTGGGACGTGCACCCTAGACGCCAATGGAAACCCGAAATCGCAGTCACCGTTGTCTTTGTCCTTTATTTCCCACTCCCGCAGTTCAGGCGGGCTGAGCGCTGTCAGTTCGGGCGCAATCAACCGAGCCCGGTTTCGCAGGAGTTGGAATCCGCAGAGCTCTACCGGCAGCGATGTCAAAAGCTAGGTAAGTTGTGAGGGTAATCGAGCGTGGGAAAAGAGAGGCAGAATGCGCCGAGGAGCGCGAATTCGAGCGGTTGCGGTTTGGCCGTTTGCAGAGAAGCAATTTTATCGACGGTCGGCGACGGCGCACGAGGCCAGCCGGCGGTATCGAATCAGGCGCACAGGCTGACACTCTTGTGCAGCAGCTCAGGCAACTTGGTGACTGTGTCAGAAGAGGGGAACAACGGATATGTGGTTGTGTTTTCGTATGAAGGGATGACCGCGTGCAGTTGGGATGGAATGATGGGATGAATGAATGAGACCCGCGCGGAAGTCGGCTGTCAAAGCATCAGGCACAGCAAACCCGGCCAGGGCTGCAACCTAAGCCGGTGCCAGCCAGTACAGCGGGTGACACGAATGCGGATTGGACAGCGTCTAGGGCGTCTAACAAGGCCGAAAAAGCAGCAGGATTGAAGTTTAGAAATAGCCTAGCCTATATTTACATCAGATACGAGATAATACGGAGTTCTAACCAAGGCTGATACCCTAGTCACATTAGGTATGTCCCTACTTAGTGACCAGTATGCCAACTCAGTTAGAGGCACTGATAGCGAGGGCACCGCATTGCGCTACCTCTCGGTAGATGCTGATTTACATCTTATTCACCTGGGCGTGCAAACAGCAAACGGAGAAAGACTCCGCGATTATGACTTGTTTTTATCGCTGTTCTCCTTCCACTTAAACATTAATTTTTCCATTCCACATCGTTACTCGTAAATCATGGGTTTAAATCTGTGACGGGACTGCGAGACACATGCAGCCAGAAGTGTCAAAGTGCACACCCTTTCGTCGAGATGTCGGCGAGCAAGTTCCAAGGGGACATCTCTGATTGGCTACTGGCTGACCTGGACACTGCGGACATGGGTGATGGTTAAGCTACTACTGTCCAGCTGTTCGCCATCCCATGGGCGCCATCCCTTGGCCGGATGCAAGTCATTGGGGAGAGGGTGCTCCTGGATGGCCTTTGGTAGGCTGCACAGCCCATGACGATGCCAAAACAACCCAAGATCACCGCCTCCTAGCCCAGCTGGTGGTAGTCAACGGATTCTCAATGGTCATGAGATAAGTCCCCCTGGTAGCAATCTGGATATGCTTTCGGACGAGTTTGAGGTGCTAGTTACGAAACAAGAGATATGGACTCAGATATCAGCTGGCTCAAAAAGAGACCAAGGGTCGATCCTGCTCGAATAAGAAGATCTGCGCATCCCTCTGATGGTGGATCTTCTCTTGAAGCATCAACCCACGGTGAAGTCTGGGGTTTCTAACACCGCAATTCTCACATTCTGCCATCTGGTCTAAGTCGACCCACAGATTTCTCTCGCGCATACTCCAAAGATAAAGTCCCCACGACCCTCCACAATGATCGATGGCTCTCTCCTCCGTTCCAATTTGTGAGATGGAGGAAGATTTGGAAATCCCAGAAGATTTGATAGTGTAGAGAAGGTGTAGTCAGATGGTGGAGTTTTGGGGGAAGACCCTTAAGGAAACATGGTGAGTCCCCTTCCGCCAATCGCCAAACCTAGAACGCCCTCGGCATGCCTACAGGCCACCTTGAACCCTCACCATCTCGACCATCAGATGCCTCAGAGACATTGTGTCGCAGCCCTTTGCTCTCGCATTTCTTATTCCCAACCATTATCTGTTCTCATCATTACAACAGGTGCCTAGCCATGATCCTGTCTCTGCTGCCGCCCGTCAGCGACCGCCTTTGTCCCGCCAGTCGTCCCATCAGTCCCAAATCAGCTTGATCTCCCCGACGCCTTCCGTGGAAGCAGATGACGAGAGGGAATCTTCGTGGGGTTATTCGGATTCCGACATGGGTGACTTCACAGAACCTGAAGCTGAGATGAGGTACGCGGACGAAGATACGAGGCCAACAAGCCAGAAAGAGCTATGGGGTTGGTACTCCTATGGTTGGGCCGCGGAGGTCTTTGTCATATGCGCAATGGGTGAGCACAACACTGGGGAACCATTTGCACTGCACATCCCTATTGACCTCATTGTACAGGATCTTTTCTACCAATTACCCTTGAAGAACTGGCCAGGGAGCGAGGAGTCCTGTTAAGAGACAAGACAACACCCTGCAGCGCAGGCTGGAAAAGCGATGATCGCATCTCGCCGAACGCAACCATCTTCGATCCCCCCAAACACCCACACAAGGAGCTTCCTGCTTGTGTCGTCTATATCTTGGGCGCCGAAATTAATACTGCGAGCTTCGCCATGTATACCTTCTCGATCAGTGTGCTGATCCAAGCTCTCCTCATCATCTCCATGTCCGCGGCGGCCGACCACGGCAGGTTTCGGAAGACATTCCTTCTCGCCTTCGCCTTTACTGGAGCGACTGCTACCGCTCTTTTCATCAGTGTTATACCCAAGATTTACTTGCTAGGAGCTCTTCTCGCCATCGTTTCAAACACCTGTTTTGGGGCGTCGTTTGTGTTGCTGAATTCTTTCCTGCCTTTGCTAGTAAGACATCACCCGTCTATCGAGCGTGACCATGAAGAAGACGGGCCAGCAGGCGACGACGACGAATACGTCGAACACGAGGACCACGTCATGACGAGTTCGACTTCAGGCCTCCTACCTCGAGACCGCCCCGACAATACCTCTCCCGCCGAAGAATCCCCTGCCGCCATCTCGCCGGCGCTGAAGTTGTCCACCAAGATCTCATCGAACGGGATTGGCATTGGATACATTGCTGGGTTGTTCGTGCAAATTATTAGTATCGGCATAGTGGCCGCAACAAAATCCACACTCCTGTCCTTGAGACTGGTCCTCCTAGTTGTGGGACTATGGTGGTTCGTGTTCAGCATCCCAGCCGCTCTATGGCTCCGACCTCGACCAGGACCACCCCTACCAACCGAGTTAACAGGACGCTATGCTTGGGTGGCCTATGTCACATATGCGTGGAAGGCACTGTTCACAACAATTGGACACGCCAGAAAGTTGAAGGACATTGTGATCTTTCTTTGCGCTTGGTTTTTAGTCAGCGACAGCATCGCGACGGTCAGCGGGTAAGTATTGAATCCTGTCACCTCTTGGAGAGCGCAATGCTAAGGAAGTACAGGACAGCCGTGCTCTTCGCCAAAACGAGTCTTGGAATGAGTACTCCAGCCCTTGGCTTGATCAACGTAATTGCAACGATGGCAGGCGTTATTGGTGCATTTTATTGGAGCTACATCTCTCGAATTTTCAACCTTCGCGCGTCGAGGACGATTGTGGCGTGCATCTGCTTGTTTGAGATTATTCCTTTGTATGGGCTCCTGGGATTCATTCCTGCCATCAAACGATACGGCGTTTTTGGTTTGCAGCAGCCATGGGAGATGTACCCTCTGGGGGCAATCTACGGGTTCGTTCTTGGCGGGTTGTCGTCGTATTGTCGAGCATTCTTTGGCGAATTGATCCCACCTGGGTTCGAGGCAGCATTTTACGCCCTATATGCGATCACGGACAAAGGGTCCAGCATATTTGGTCCCGCCATCGTTGGAGCCATTACGGGTCGGTATGGGGAGATACGGCCTGCGTTTATCTTTTTAGCGGTACTCATCTTCCTGCCGCTGCCGTTGATGTTGTTGGTTGATGTTGATCGCGGCAAGGCTGAAGCGTATCAAATGGCGTTGGAGCTTGAAGGGCGCCGCAAAGCAGGAGACGAAGATACAAGATACAGGACGATACCTACCATAGTGCTCTCGGAAGAGGAGGATTGACCTTGGGCTGATTCTAAAAGAGAGGCTGGAGGAAGTGGTGATCTGTGGCTGGGTACCCGGGTTCCTTACCGAATACTCATCATTGCTTAGAAATACCAAGCGGGAGAGTCCTCGCTACAGTTTTGCCTACTGAGAGATGCTCAAGCACCCTAAAAGGCGAGGAAGCCCATATTAGCGGACTCGCCGCGCCTTTCGAAACAGTTCCATTTGAGATCAACACCCATTCTGGTAATGGAATCGGCAGGGGATTTGGCGTTCTCAAAGGGGTATGCTCGAGAGACACCCATCCCCACAGTGAGGAGGAGGCGAGCAGGACCCCTGAATGTGAGTTCCGCGTTTCAGGGCCAACGAGTCGGCGCGGAAAGGGGCTGCAGCTGAACCCTGAATGGGGGGCGAGGGCGCGTTGCCCGTGTGTGTGGAGTTGCTGGTGGCCCCCCCAAAAAAGTAGTTGACACCTCTCCTCAATGAGGTGACGGCGGCAAACCGCTATTAAAATACTTCATAGTTACCTGCTGGTGTTCACTTTACCAGAAACCTGAGCCTCACTAGCCTCAAGAATAAAGGGTTCAGTGTCCCCTAAACTTCTCGAAAACCTTACACCTGAATCACTATCCGATCTTTCCATTCCTTTGTGTCCCTCGAAACATCTGCGATCGCTCTTTTCCCCACTGTACACTCGGTTCTAATAGTCGTTCCATCATGCGATCCATCGCATCTCTGGCTGCGATCAGCCTTGCCTTAGCTGGCCTCTCCTCCGCCAGCGACGTCCATGACCTAAAGACAGACAACTTCAAAGACTTCATCTCCCAACATGATCTGGTACTAGCAGAGTTCTTTGCCCCGTGGTGTGGCCACTGCAAAGCTCTGGCACCGGAGTACGAGGAGGCCGCAGCCACACTGAAGGAGAAAAACATCCCCTTGGTCAAGGTCGACTGTACTGCTGAGGGTGATCTGTGTAAGGACTATGGTGTCGAGGGCTATCCTACCGTCAAGGTCTTCCGAGGCCTCGACAACATCAAGCCATACCCTGGCGCAAGAAAGGCTCCTGCGTAAGTCACAACTCAACGCCGCCAATGATGTTTGCGACTAATGTTGAACAGCATCGTCTCATACATGACCAAGCAGCAACTGCCTGCTGTCTCACTGCTTACCCCTGATACTCTGGACGAGTTTAAGACGACGGACAAAGTCGTCGTGGTAGCATACATCTCAGCCGACGACAAAGCATCTAACCAGACCTTCACCTCTCTCGCCGAGTCGTTACGGGATGAATACATTTTCGGTGCCTCCAGTGATGCCGCACTTGCCAAGGCAGAGGGTGTGAAGCAACCTGCTGTTGTGCTGTACAAAGAATTCGACGAGGGCAAGAACACATTCACAGAGTCATTTGACGAGGAGGCTATTTCGAAGTTCATCAAGACCGCCTCGACTCCGCTGGTCGGTGAAGTCGGCCCAGAAACCTATGCTGGTTACATGGGTGTATGTATTCCCTTGGCAACCAGTCACAAAAGTTTTGATATTAATGTCTTTGACAGGCTGGAATTCCACTCGCCTACATTTTTGCTGAAACCCCGGAAGAACGATCCTCTTTGGCAGACACTCTCAGACCCGTCGCTGAGAAATATAAAGGCGTCATTAACTTCGCAACCATCGATGCCAAGGCATTTGGCGCTCACGCTGGTAACTTGAACCTGCCTACTGACAAATTCCCTTCCTTCGCCATCCAAGAGACAGTGAAGAATGAGAAATATCCCTTTGCCGGCAACGACCTTACTGAGAAACAAATTGGTGCTTTCGTCAAGGATTATGTCAACGGGAAGCTCGAGCCAAGCATCAAATCAGAGCCTATCCCAGAGAAACAGGAAGGACCTGTCGCTGTGGTTGTCGCTCACTCCTACAAGGACATCGTCCTCGACGACTCCAAAGACGTGCTGATCGAGTTCTACGCTCCTTGGTGTGGACACTGCAAAGCTCTCGCTCCAACATATGAGAAGCTCGCGGAGCTCTACACCTCCGGCGATCTGTCCTCTAAGGTCACCGTGGCCAAGATCGACGCTACCCTCAACGATGTTCCGGACGAGATCGCTGGCTTCCCCACCATCAAGCTATACCCTGCTGGCGCCAAGGACTCTCCTGTCGAATATTCAGGCTCTCGCACCATGGAGGACCTTGCTGCCTTCATCCGCGACAATGGCAAGCACGGCGTTGATGGTATTGCCCTCTCCAAGGACGAGGATGTCGAGATGGAAGATGTTTCATCTGCTGCCAGTGACACCATGGCCAAGGCTGCTCCTGCGGCAACCACGGTGGCCGAAGAGGTCTCCTCGGGCGCAGCTGGTGCTGTCAAGAGTGTAGTCAGTGAAGCTGCGGAGGCGGCTAAGACGATGCTCGCAGATACCGATGAAGGTGGCGTCCAAGAGCACGATGAACTGTAAACTACTTGATGCTTTTCGCATCCCTCTGGCGCATATTTCGTCATCGCCTGCGAGGGGTGAATGGAGTTTTGACCTTTCCGAACTACTATTTATTTTCCGTGTATTGCCCCGAGGAGAATCTGCACTTTCGGGTACGGCCAGGTCAGGAAGATTCACGCCAACGAACCAGTGTACTGGAACTTCTCGACCGAGGAGGGAATGGGACGGCATCCCAAACGGGATGCGAAAGATGGAATTCGCCGGCATTCGCGAGATCCAAATGAGAAACGAATGTCGAGTGATCTTCTATGAAGGTCCGGAAGGAAACGACTTGAACCAGTCTTCAAGGATACCAGCGAAGATGACCTAGATCTTGACCCTGTGATGGATGAGGTACGTCAGGAACAGGGAAGAATTGCTCACGTCCTGGATTCGGTCAATAGTCATGAGCATATGCAGTCAGGTAGAATGAGAATTGAGCAAGAACGGAAATATTGGTTGCAAACATCTCAGGACGCCGTCAGTGCCCCATTGATATCGCAGGGACCATTCCCACATCATCAGGCAGATAATTTTCAAGGAACTCTTCCACGCTTTTCATCTTCCGTACGAGAGCGAAAATATGCCTGGGCCAGCAACGACATTTCCACGTCGACTTGAGCCAGCCTCTACTCTAGACCGTGTATCTCGTGCTGTAAGGGCGACACAATCCTTCGCAACAATGCTTTCCACTTGCACGAGGCTGAGATATCTCCGAGGGTACCGCCTTGTTTCAAGGTGCGGTTCAATCCCACCAAGGGCTCGTCGTCGGAGCGCATCAAGGCCAAAATACAATAGCGACATGCGCTGCTGAGATCTTGCAATCATAGCGGACCAAGGACTGGGAGTAGAACATCAGTATTTTTTTCTCTCGGCTTTCAACTCCCCTCTGTGGACCTGCCTTACCTGTGGGATCGCGATAAATCCAGTCACCGCCCGTGATGCCACCGCCCTGTCTGCGGTACATGGCCTCGACGTCTTCCTTGTGCCGGCACAGATACGCCTTGAACTCTTCGGGGCTCATCGTCTTGGCCTTGTCCATCAGGCTGTTGAAAGCCGTCTGCTCCTCGTTCGACGTCGTCCTCATCGGGTCCGGTTGGCCGTGACCATCCGGTTTGACCAGCGGTGCCGTGGATATCATCGAGGCGGCATCGGAGAGGAGCTCGACTTTGGTGGTAGCGGCCGACTTTCTGCGGAAGATCTTGGAGATCAAGGTTTGTTCGGTCTTGATGAGTTCGGGCGCGTTGGGGGACATGGCTATACAACACTTTATTCGGGCAATGAAGTGGTACAATAAATAAGTATATGGCGGGTTTCAGCTGTTCAGTGAGTGGATCCGGTGTGAAAGAGGATCGTATGTTCTAATTTCTCTTGTTGTTATCTGCAAACAGGCTGTGAAAAGCATGGAGCGCTTCGCTTATAAGTACTACATACTGTGTCGCAATTCATCGTATTCGCCTGATGACCCAAGCTGGGGAGAGGGCAATGATCCCCACTCCATGTGGGTGAGAGATATAATTGATTGGTACCGAGTTCGTTTAGAGAAAGCAAGCGAGAAGGAGATATGGTTAAAAATAGAGGGTAGATCTGCTGTATCACTGTCACTGCTTGTCACTGTTGGAGTCGATCTGCACCCTCGATTGTATCCTCCCCCAGTGCCGCATTACCCTGCTTCATCCAATCTCCCGCGTCACCACCGTCACAAGGTACCGAGTCATTTCTTTCTCCCGCACCACGTGTACATACGTTCCGGGGCACGACAGGGGCGTCTCGCTAATGAGGCTGTGAGCTTCTGCAGGTTGGCTGCCCACAGAAGTCCTCTCAACTGTTCAGAATTCCAAGCCGGGGCCTATCGGGAAGAAAGCTTGGATTTGACGCAGTCAAAGTCAGAAAGCAAGGCCGATACATAACGGATTCGAATACAGACTTTGTGATCCTCATCTCTTATGACAAATCCAGCCACGAATAAATCACGCAGGAGACCGGGTTTTTCCTGTTGTTTGACAACAGTCTTCTGTGTCAATGGTATACTGTCGCGCCCCCAGCAAGGGCTGCGAGCGGTGTCGCCAAAGGAAGGTGAAGGTAAGTTGTGACGTATTTCTTCAAACCCTTGTCTGTATTCACAGCGGGTTTCGACTTACCCAGACTGGCTTAATCTTGCCAGTGTGACGAAGGACGCCCGGGATGCTTGAAGTGCGCGAAATTGAAGCAAAATTGCCCGGGCTACCGCAACCTGGACGAGGTCAGGATTAGAGATGAATCCGAACGAGTGGCCCATCGACATCGGCAAGAGGACAATTCGAGCGAGGTTTGGATCCCACAACAGCCTCTGGCTCAATCCCTGTGGCACACTACACCAGCGGGATGCTTTGCGACTTCTCCTCAAGCTTCTATGACCATTGAATATCCGCTATCTCCGTCTAGTCATGCCCTCGGGGCGAACTTCTTCTTCGCCAAGTACTCCCCCAATGATGGCAGCTCGTTCAGGAACTACCATGCTTGGTTGATTCAGTCCTACTCTGAGCAAGGGCCCAACAATGTTTTGCGGAAGGCGATTGAGGCAGTGGGCATGGCGGGACTGTCGAACGTCTTCTACGCACCTAACGTCAAGTCTCAAGCCCGAGCCCAGTACTTTGCGGCCTTGGTATCCATGCAACAAGCACTGAACGATCCCGCCCAAGCTGTCTCGGACGCGACGTTCATGGCGCTCATGTTACTCGCATTTTTTGAGGTGTGTCAAGTGGCTACTTTCGTCGAACTCTGAGGGAGCCGTTACTCACTTGTCTATAGACCGTTGATTGCAACAACCCGGGTCGATATCCACACTGGGCAGCTCATGTTAAAGCCGGCACCGCCGTACTAGAGCTCCGAGGCCAGAATCAATTCGACAGTGAACGTGGTGGGCTGCTCTACGTTCAGTTTCGCTCCTACCTTGTGAGTAAAGTTGCCGACCGTTTCCCCTCAAAGGTGGTCCACGGTCTGCTGACAATTATAGCTCCTGGCCTGCATGCAGGAGAACCTTGCGGTTCCAAAAGCACTGGTCAAGGCAACCTTCAGTTTCCAGACAGGTGCTCTAAGGCAAAATTGGCAGCGTGCAAATATTGCTAGCCCGGGGTCCATAACCGAGATTTGTATCCGAGTGGCCAACCTCTGCGCAGTCTTAAAAGGTCAAGAGGTGACAAATCCACAAGCCATCCGTGCAATAGCGCTGGAGATCGACACAGACCTTGAGACCTGGAGAGCCGGCTTGCCCCCAAGTTGGGCATACGCTACAATCCAAGTTCGTGATGCTGCCAATGACACCTTCAGCGGGAAGAAACACGTCTATAACAATCTCTGGAACGCAGAGGCTTGGAACTACTGGCGCACCCTCCGAGCACTTGTCACCCAACTCATGCTGGAAAATGAAGCCCGCTCGACCGAACCTGACGACGCACTGATGACACGCGCTCTTTCCACTCTCCGGCAGTTGTGCATTGAGATATGCATCTCCACATACAGTTTTAGAGACTCTCCACGCAAGTCTCCCTCTGTCCCGCTCGATGTATGTCTCTAAGCTGACCGTATTGTAGGCATCCTCTCGCTCATGCACTCGCTGTTTCTGGTTGCTCTGGAGGAACGTAATGACCTCTCTGTGGTTTCTTTCGCTGTGGAGCAACTTCGACGCATCGGCACAGCAATGGGGGTCCGACAGGCAAGTTTTATGGCCGATGCCGCAATAGAAAAGTCTCAGGTGGTTCGGGCGAGTCGGTAGTTCCCTCACCGCCGATATCGACTTGTCTGAAACTTTCTCCCCCTTTCTTCGATTAGGAGTACCCAGGGGACGCTGATTGGGGCCTCGCAATGGTACCCTGTATTAGGCCTAGTAGAGGCTCGCTTAGCAGGATATTGCGACGCTATTGGCTGGCCTCTATCCTCCACAGCCTTGCCAAACCACCCAACATAAATATCTAGGTCTACCTCCATCCTGCTCATCTTCCACGATCTTCAACGCCGTGCGATCACGAAGCCAGGCACGAACAATCTGTTTGATTTTCATCCGGTTCTCTTCGCCTCTCTCTCTTCAACCTCAGTCTCTTCAACCTCAGTGAGGCAGAAGACCACCACCCTTCTTTTTCTGCTGCCTGCTCTTCTTGCTGAAAGCACCATGTCCAAGCCAAAGTCCGCCTCTTCCCCATTTCCGAGGGAAAAGACATTCAGCTCCTACAACAAGGAACAGGGTAAGGCTTACGCCCAAGCCCGTCGCGACTACCACCCAAAGGTGTATCAAACCGTCATTGACCACCACACGTCCACTGGTGGCGGCCTCGATACACTTCTCGATGTTGGCTGCGGTCCCGGGCTTGCTGCTCGTGGGCTCTCGTCCCACTTTGCTCACATCATAGGGCTGGATCCTTCGGCAGGCATGCTCGCTATCGCTCGCTCCCTGGACATCGTCTCATCCACGTCTGAACCGGCACGTTTCGAAATCTCCACGGCAGAGGAACTTGGATCAAACCTCTCTCCACCTATTGCAGATGCCAGCGTCGACCTCATCACTGCCTCCAATGCTGCTCACTGGTTCGACATGTCTGGCTTCTGGCCCAGTGCAGCCCGCGTCCTTAAGCCGGGGGGCACAGTTGCAATCTGGACTAGCGGCGAGATTCGTGCTCACCCGTCCATGCCCAATTCTGCTGCCATCCAGGCGGCCATGGATGAGCATCAGGAGCGAGATATGAAACCCTATATTGAGCCAGGCTCCCTCATTGTGCGAAACCGTTATGTTGATCTCCCCCTTCCATGGACGCTGGCCCACCCTGTTGCCGAATTTGACCAGACAACGTTCGTGCGGATGGAATGGGATCCGAGTGAAGACTTCTTTGTGGGCCTACCTGAAGGGGATCTGGACATGTTCGAGAAGGTGATGGCGACGGGGAGTGCAGAGACACGCTGGCGTCAGGCACACCCAGATGACGTTGGCACGGAGCGGGATGTTCTTAAGATACTTCGCAAGAAGATTGAACAACTGTTGCACGAGGCAGGTGTTGAGAAAGGACAGGAGAAAATGAAGGCAGCCGTGTACGGCGTGTTGTTGTTGGTCAAGAAGAAGGCTTGAAGATTCAACTGCGAGAAGGATTGTTAAGATCGAATCGACGCTACACGTATCAAGCTTCGTTGTTGGAAGACACATGACTCATATTTCGTCCATCTCTTCTGCCTCCATTAAATGTTTTCCCCTTCCTTTTGGGTATCCTGTGTAGCGTCTGTCATAAGACCCTTTGGGGGTTATCAGAGCCAGTGTTGGTAAAATACATGAAATCTATTACCAGCCGTAAGAACAAGCGGATGAGTACCCGTATTATGTTTGTATAACGAACGTTCGCGGCCCCTGATACACTAATTAATTACATTAAAGTACTAGTGTCTAGCTACTATAGTAGATAGCTAGCATAATATCGAAGCGCGAATAAGCTTATCTTTTAGTGCCTCCTGAAAGAACCGAAATATTACTGAAAAAAGCCTGAATTGAAATGTTACATGAAATCTTTGAAACTTTCAGTAACAATCATGGTCGCAGCCCAGTCTTCTTGTTGATTGCCGACAACAGTCAGGTGACGACCAGCCGATAGCCGATCTGTCACGTGGCGTCTGCGCGGGGCGATATCTGCTTTCAGATCAATCCGCCGCCTCTGCCCCCACCAATTCCCCTTCTTCATTAAAATCTAATACCCCGACGGGCAACTTTCAGGATTCGATGCAAGTTGTCTGGGAGGCGGACACGGCGGCCTTCGCAAGCCGCAAGAGAGCAGCACGAGCGTGTCAGAAATGTCGCGCCGCGAAGAAGCGCTGTCACCACACCTTCCAGCGCCCGCCCGAGCAGCAAGCAGACTCTGACGGGCTCGAGCGAGTCCTGCCCAATTTGACACACAAGGAACCCATTCGCTTTGTGGGAGACCTGAACCCGGAATCCATCCTGACGGATCTGTCGTCCAGGAAGCAAGGCGGCCAGAGGATCAGCCGAGTCGGCACCTGGGTTGAACAGTCTCGAGATCTCCAGGATGGGCTGCCTCCAGAGGACCTTGGCCCACCGCTCCCGCAAAAGTCGGGGGACAAAACGCCGCTCAACGTCGAGAAATATGGTCGGGTTGAAGGCGGTCGACGGACTCTGACCGGTCATCAGCGCAATTACTTACAAGCCGTGGGAGCTTTTCGAGTTCTGCCCAAGGCCACCCAGGATGCCTTGGTCACCACCTATATTGCGTGTTTTGACGGACTTCTACCCATCCTGAATGGCATTAAACTTCTTCGGGACTACACTGAGGGCCGGTGCTCGATATTCCTCATGCAGGCCATCTGTCTCGTAACCTGCAAGACCGAGGAGGCGGCGCCCTATCTCCGACTTTACGACGATGGTCCCCTTCTTGACCCCATCCCATTTGCCCGCAGTCTGCATACCGGGTTGGACGCAGCCATGAAAGCTGATCTGGAGCCTGATAGAGTCACGAAAATCCAGATCCTGACACTGATGCATCTACACAACGACGGACCAGGGGGCATCGAGGAATCCTCCCTACACTTGTCACAAGCAATCCACGATGCCTGGACGGCGGGCCTTCACATCCACACGCCGGGACGATCTCCCAAAGATCAATCAAGCATGCTGTGGTGGACCATCTGGACCCTTGACAAGATCAATGCCTGCCTCGGTGGGCGACCGATCGTGATTGCGAATCGAGACATTGATATCGCACGTCCACCCCTGGAAAGTGGCGTTCCCAGAAGCAATGTCATCAACCTGTGGCTGAGATTGGGAGAGCTTCTGGACGAGGTCATTGAATTCTACAGACCAACTGCCGATCCGGAGTGCACAGGGTGGGAAGCTGAATTTCCAGCCTATCATTCGTTGACTGAGGGCATCGATTTGTCCTTACTTCCCGTCTCAGAACAAAGTGAGTGAACTCTCAAAGCGATCCCAGCCATTTCCACATCGATATCGGTCTACCTTGGTCGTGTGTCATTAACTTTCTCTCTAGGCATCCTCGAAATTTGTTACCACGTCATCGCGATTCTTTCTTGCCGCGCAGGTGGCCCTTCTACGACCTCCTACGCCCGTCGTATCTCGGCGGCTGATCGGATCCAAGAGCTTCTCTCCAACGGTCGTCATACGTCCCTTCAGCCCATCCCCTTGGTGCCCTACGCCGTCGGCCTTGCACTCACGGTCACCTATCGCGGCCTCCGTGACAATGCATTCGAAGATGCCGATCGCGCACAGGCCGATCTCGCCACGCGCTGTGAGACCCTGGAGGCGCTGAGCATGTACTGGTGGACTGCCGACGCGATGGCCCGACTGGGCCGGAAGGCGTTGAAGTCTTTGCAGCAGACGGGGGTGAGAAAGGCCAGCGTGGCCGGGATCGCGAACGCAATGGAAGCGGAGGTCAGTGCGTGTAGATTTGGACCGTTCGAAGGCAAAGGCCATCATGGAACACGTCACTCGCACAGTTCTTCCACTCCCGCTGCAATTCTTAGCGCCGCCACCGCCAATACCTCGCCGAAGATGACCAGGTCATTGTCTTCTACCGGTTCTGGAGGTCGTCCTGGCGGAAATGGACTGCATGTCCTCTCTGATGCAGCAGCCACCCACTCGACCGGAACCGCCACGAATCTGGGCTCTGCACCCTCCGCCGTCAACACCGGGAATCCCAGAAACAGCAGCGACACCAACAAGAGTCTCGCAAACACCCCGATCGCTCGGGCCGTCACCGAAACGCCCGCCTCGCTGTTGACCACGCTCCCCAAAATGTCGCCGTCCCAGCAGTTCAACCACAGCTACGCCTCAGGCTTCAGCCAGATTCCGCCGGGGTCGGCCGTCCAATACCAGAACTACAACAAAAGCACGCGCTTCCAAACGGCCGCACTGGGCAGCAATCAGCACTTCCACCTCCACAACTACCACCACAGCCCACTGGGGCCCACGTCGTCGACGGGCACGGCGCCGACCACCAGCGCCGCGTTCGCGCTCGACATGCCGTCTTCGTTCGGCCCGAGCATCTACGACCCGCACTTCACCAACCTGGACGAACTGTTCGACGGCTTCTTCGACCTCAGCATGCCCACCATCTTCCAGGACCCGCTCTTCGACGGCGACGCCTTCCTCAACGCCGACCCGGACTTCGGCATGGATCCCCGCATGGCGACCATCGAGGGCCTTGGCTATGCCGCAGACATGAATGCCGGCGATGTTGGTGGCGGTGGTGGTGCGGGAGGCAGAGGAGGTGGTGCGGGAGGAAGCCCGCTGCATGGATTATCAGGGACCGTGCCCGCGTCGGCGTCAGCGTCAACTCCAATATTAGCATCAGCACTAGCCTCAGCGGCCACTGCTGCGTCTGCAGGACCACCTGGACCCGCGTCTTCAACGGACCACCCCAAAGCCTCCTCGCTCGGCACGGCGTATCCGGACATCAACATGTCATCTTGAATTCCAATCACTCACTCGGCTCTCTCTCTCCACGCAGTATGCTTTGGTTAATTTTTGGGTGCAGGCGAGAGAGTTCAGGGGGGCCTAATGAGGACATGAGGCCGGGGAGTATTTGTTCAGTTTCAGTTACCTAGTGTTGTTACGTGGCGTTCAGGTTGCGGAAAGGAGAAGCATGGTGACGGGTTGGTGGGTGGAAAAGGGATTCCCAGCCAGGGGGAAAAGTGAACGAGGAAGTATTTTAGTATACATATATCAAGACAGACACGACGAAGACGGGGGGCTACATAATTCTACTCTATTCTCTCTACTACTGGAACAAGATTGTTTACACCGTTGGTCCATCGAATTTTTTTTTCTCTTCTTCTTCTGCCGACTTTGCTTATCGCAGCGGCATTAATCGAGGGTGGCAGCTCCGACACCAACTCCCCATCTTCCCACCTCTAACATGGCCTCCTCTCCGCCTTCTGCCAACACACCCTTTCCCTCTCCAAGCAATCCCTCGAGGCAGAGCCAGGGATCCCGACCGCCACCCCACTTTAGAACCTCCTCTTTGAACCTCTCTCCACTGGCACGGTCGATCGCGCCATTGTCCTCACCGCTGCGGAAGACGTTTGTCCACACGCGTCGCGCGATGGCCGTGTCGAACAGGTACGAATAGTAGCTGGCGCCGTAGCCGTGAAGGTGGCCGAAGAAGCCTTGCCATGATGTACCCCACGGCTCGGGCACGGAGCCATGCTTGTTCCATACGTCGTAATATACAGCGGTCGAGTCGTACCGCCCGCTCCGGAGGGCTTGGACAGGCCCATCCCCATGGTACACCTGATCCAAGATACTCATGAGGATCTGGCTTTCGTTATTCCACGCACCCTGTCTCGACGCTTCTTTGGACCCTTCTTCAGCAAGTACCTTGAGCATCTCATCGGGCATGGGTGCATCGGTTTTCCAGTGTCTCGCAAAGAGTTTCAATACCGCTGGATCTGTTGCGAAGTTTTCCATGAGAACAGAAGGCAGTTCGGAGAAATCAGTTGCCACTCGTGTTCCCGATATGCCTTGCATGGAGGTGCGGCCTAGGACGCTGTGGATAGCATGGCCCATTTCGTGAAAGAGCGAGACAAGACTGTATTGGGAGAGGAGGGGAGGTTCGCCGGGTACGCTGGACTGTGGGAAGCCGCATACTAGAGCGATAATGGGGATTTGGTGATGAGAAGTCACGCCTGAAGTTGGGTTGGTGCTGAGAAATGTCGGCATGCCATTGTTCAGTAGTTCCTTGCGTTCTGCACACTCGCGGACCTCTTCCTCCGAGATTTCTCGTGAGCAGAGAAGCGTGAAGTGGGCGGGATGGCTCTGTTTGCCCGGTCGCGAGAACAAATCACAATACATGGTGGCAATATGCTCTTGTTTGTCGGTGTAGACATCCAACCGTCTGACGTCCGGGTGCCAGACTTCGCCTTGCTTGGTTTCTTTTGGCACAAAGCGGACTCCATAGAGAGACTCAAAGAGGCTCGACAGACCCTGCATCACATGGCCAAGAGCGAAGTAAAATTTCGCACTTTCCTGTAGACGGGACTTTGACGTGCGGGGCCCCGAAGCGCTGTCCATTTGATTTAGTTTTGCCAGGAGATAGTGGTGATCCCACGGATTCAATCCCTTCGCGCCTTGGTCCATCTTGCGCTTGAGCTCCAACAGTGGAGCAAGCTCCTTCTGCATATGTATCTTGTTATTCGCATTAACCGATTCCAGGAAGTTGTTCACAGCCTCTGGTGTCTTGGCCATTTTCTCTATCAGAGCCATCTGTGCGAAGTTGTCGAAACCCGTGAGTTTGGCAAGCTGGGCACGACGGAGGAGCAATTGTTCAAGTGTCGCAATGGTCTTCTTGGAGGCGCTTCTCTCAGCAATGTACATTTCTTTCCTCGTTGCAGCGTCTTTGACAGAGCTAAGAACCATTTTAGACCACTTACTCGAGACCGGAATCTGTGCTCTTTCGTGGTTTTTATACCCTTGGACCAGCGTTGGATCTATACCGTCCAACTGGCGTACGGTGAATGACACATACTCCTTTGCATGATCCATCTGATTGACGAAGTCGGTTCCCAGCTGTACGATGTCGTTGGACAACGACACAAACTGTCGCCTCTGTTTTTCTGGAAGGTGAATGCCCGATTTCGCGAAATCCCTCATTAGGAGCAGTGCAACCATTTTCTCCTCTTCGCTCCATTGGGTCTGAACCTCTGGCATAGCCCAGGCCCTTTTAAGCTGCTCATTTAAGCCAGTGGTCGTATTGAGCTCATTCATGTACTGGAACATGAGTGAGTATGAAGCGGATGCCGAGGCGGCGACATCGTTGCTAGGGTGTATGCTCCTGATGAAATCGGAGAGATCTATAACACGACAAAGCAGGTCGCTGAGTCTATCAAGGTCTCTGGGTATGGCTCTGTATTGCTCCGCCGTGGAAGCGGCCAGCGTCCTCTCGACCAGTCTCTTGCATTGTATCACAGACGCCTCTGCAAATTTTTGAAAGCCTTGTGGAAGAGTCAGAAAAGTGTTTCCTATCAGGCCCGAACTCTGCGTGGATGACGTTTTGGAGAGGGTCTTTTTATTGAAGATCTCACGGAGGAGAGCATGATCGCTGCGGGTCTTGGAGAAGGGAGACGCGTGGAGGTATGAAGCATCGAAGGTGTTATCGTCGGCGACAACTGTTCCAGCGGCAGTAGAATTGAATCTCTGCTGCTTGCGCAGGCATCTGGGGCAGGTCCATTGCTGCCGCCGCAGAGCCCTATGCATACCTAGACAGTCGGACGGTGTGAAGTGAGCATGTGCTGCCTCACGCACTGACTGATTTTGTTACACGACTTGGGTTATGTCTGGCCTCGGTCTTGGCAGGAAGATAAGCAACATGCGCTGCTTTAAAACAAGATCAGATAAGATGGCTTGGTAGAGTGCCACGGATCAACTATGTCCCGCTGGACCCCATCCGGCGCACCCGATGGTGTCATTGTGCTTCGGCTCATTCAGCTATTCGTTCCTAGCGAACACGATGTTAATACCTTCCAATGAGAAGATCAAGGAGCGACGGGGAAAAGTGCCAAGGGTCTGGAACACAGAACATGATTCAGCTCTAAAGTCGGTTGCAGTCTTGCAGCTGGATCTTTTACTCTCAGTCTACCACCTTCCAGGTAAGTCCAAAGTGACGTGCAAGACACACCCACAGCGGCGAACTTCGGATCGGTGCAACGTTACCCACCCTCGGCGGGTCAGACGAATATAGGCGCAAACCTATTCTTAGACCCTGAGGGTGACCTCTTTTTAACGCGCAGCCAGCCATGAATTACCTCAAACCCGTTAAATGTCTCCAGTGCCGGCAGTGTCGTCCTGTAGTACTGTTGCAGAACCGTCAATCTATTGCGTCTTATTCCGTTCATTTGGAACTCAGAATCCCAGTTGCAAGAGACAGACTCATGAGACGCGAAATCGACGAGGCTCGTTAATCTGATGGCCACCGAAGATGCGGCTAGGAATGTCGAAGCTGAAGAACGGCAAACGAAAACCCCAACGGACACGACGCAGGGGGGAAAGCGTCAGTCATGCAGCGACGCAGAGAAGTTCCTTCCGGCATCAGATTGGGTCACCTTATCAGTACGAAGAGGTCACTATCGACCGCTACAGCCGGGTCGGTTGAGGAACAGCTTGCTTGCCGGAGTCGGATTTCTGGAGCTGGGAAATGCAGGGGACTTTGCTGCCAATGTCTGGAACGAAATTCCGGTGAAGAAATGGGTCGCCGCTCTCATGGCTATTGGAGCAACAATGGCTCTGGTAACGTCTCTTTTCGCTTTTCGAGATGTCACACTCAGCTGGCGCAACATACAGGCGTTGAGGGCGGAGAGAATGTACTTGAAGCGAGAAAGGGCGCGATGCGGCCACAACAAGGCCAGGTTGCGCAGTGTGGACGCCATGCTGGGCGTCAACTTCCGTGAAAGTGGCACCGAGCTGCTGGACCGCCTCATCGTGGACGCACTGTTAGGCTTCGGTGCCTTTCTAGTCAGCATCGGAACCTATATGGCCATTGGAGGTGCAAACCATTCCGTGTTCGAGGCCAGCAATCTGCTCTCGGGTTACATTGGCAATGCAGCAGGAGCAATCTACGGTCTCCTCAACGCCGGGTGGTCCACTTATGTTTCAATACGAGCATATCATCACCGCTCTGCCGGGCTTGCCAAATTGGAATCAGATCTGGCCAAACGATTGCTGCGACACCGCACACACAGAGTACAGACTCACGCGTTGGTGCTTGCGGTGAGTGGCCTTTCCGCCGGGGCCGGAGGTCTCATTACTGCCACGATGTGGTGGGGCTATCTCATCCTCGTCCCCTGCATTGTCTCTAACATCTACTGCAATTGGATGTGGCGGCACCAGATCGGGTATGAGCGACCCCTTGCTGGCAAGATTGTCCAAATCGACCAACAGTCACTAGTCAAAGAGCTGGAATACGTTGACGCTGTGGGCAGTTACCTGGGGAAACTGGCACCTTCGAAATCTCCCAAAGATGACGTGGTTTTCGATACCACATCGATCGTCTCGATCATCCAGTTCATGCTATCCATCGATATCTTCGAGAGCTTCTGCGTCCGAGCCATGCAGGAGTGGCAGTTGTCTGCAGCTCTTTTGAAAGCATCGCAAGGAAGTCTGACGATCAGCGAGCAGACATTTCTGGACCTGGACCAGAAGCATCTGCCCTTAGTATTGGCGATCGCAGAGACACATATCAGCAGGAGGGGCCCAGTACAGCTACGGTATCGGGAGAGATACCTGCTGGAAACTCTGGGGTGTTACTTGCAGGTACAAGACGACACAGTTGTTAGCACAGAGCTAGATTCTCCCCTTTCGAAAGAACCAGTATAATAAATTCCTTAATAATTAGAATGAAGATTTCTTTTCTCCTCTTCTACTTTGCGACCGCTGTAGCTGAGACACAGTCTCCATAGAAGAACTTGCTAGCCCACAAAACCGTCTCCATTCTCTTCTTCGTCTATGTCTCGTCCATGACCTTTCTTCACATCGGAAGTATGAGGTCCTCGGCGTCGCATGGGCCTTTACAATGGGTATTAATATGAGCCGCACGGTTTCCCAATTCCTGTCAGACGTTTGAACCATGAAGGGTGGTCAAGTTCACTAGAGTCTATTCAACATAGAGCGCGATGATTCGATTCAGTCGAGAAGGAACGAGAGCTATGGGCACCTATCCAAGCAAGGTTCGGCAAAATAGGCATCTCTAGGCTACGTCATAGCCCCACCAGGTTTTTGTCGTATATATATTTTTATGGCCAAAATTTCCAAGAAAATCTGCCCGATTTTCCACGGTTCTATAGTGTAGTGGTGATCACTCCGGATTTTGATTGACATTCGAATTTCATCATTCGCGTCGAGATATTCCGGCAACCCCGGTTCGAACGTGAGTCTGACCGTTCCTGAAATGATATTCTTCGCAGGTTATACTAACATTAAAATAGCCGGGTAGGACCTCATCATACCTTTTCCTTTTTTTGATTCCTGAATGTGTTTGAATTCGAATTTTTTTTCCCACATAGGCTGGGCAAATGATCGGTGGACAGTGCTGATGAAAGGACCTGGCCATATGTTTGGCGGATGGGGAAAGAGTAGCGATGACGGAGGATGATTTCTCCGCCCCGGGATAAATATCGACCTCTTAACTTCTGACATTGTTTTTCTTCTTGCTATTCACCATCGCACACGCAACAGGACTGGTGTGACACAAGGACTCATGTCCATCAACTGTAGCAATCACGATACTCACCAGGTTGCGAAGACGTTGTCGATGCGTAAAGGAAGGGTCTAAATATTGACCTACACAATTCCTGCTATTGACCTGGTCAAATGGCTGGGCAGACAAAGCTGAAAACGGCTACAACTCATTCAAACGTAGGAATCCTCCAAGCTCCCTTATATGAAGTGCAGACTGTCCCGACTCGCGCCGCCACCGAGCACAGTCCAACCTTCCTCGTCAACTTGACCCTCATTGCCCGGCTCGGAATACTTCCTCAGATGCTCGATGGCCCATCTCGTCTCGTCCCCCAGCACGGGCGGATACCTCCCGCGGCCCTTGAGCAAGGGCAGCCCGGCCAGATCGAAGAGGCCTCGGAGCCAGTCCATGGTCTCCCCGTTGTCCCAGGGAATGTCATGGAACTTCCTTCCCTCCCTGCTCACGAGTCGCCACCTGTCCCGCTCCCATCGTTCCTGTGCCTCCCGGGGCGGGAGCGGGAGGGCGTTTCTGCCTGCGAATAGCCGCGCCAGCGCAATGGCCTGGTACTCGAAGGAGCGGAACGTGAGGACGCGCGGGACCCCGACAATGCCCAACGTGGGAAAGTCTCGGTGGTACGTGTGCCAGTAGCTGCCGACGAGGCGGTTCTCGGTATAGTCCCAGAGTGGTCCCCCGTTGGCGCGGACGTTCCAGAAGGGAAACGAGGCCTTGTAGCCTGTGCAGTAGATGACGACGTCAATGTCGGAGAGGACTGAACCGTCCGCGAACACGATGTCGCCTGTGGGCAGGTATTGCTTTACAATGGGTTTCCAGGCAATCCCCGAGGGTGGCTTGTCCCCGTCCCAGCGAGATGATGACCTGCGCGACTGATAAACGGGGAGCCGCGCGGATTCGACCAGCGCCGCAGTGACGTCGTGACCAGAGGCAGAGTTGCCGATGACCAGGACTCTTTTGCCATGATATGCCAGTGTATTGCGGTAGGATTTGGAATGCATGACCCTTTGCGGAAACAGGCGTATAAATCTGTCCAGACCGTCGACTTCGGGTACCTGGAGTTTAGGTGACAATCAGGACAGGGAAAGATCAGGGCCATTGCAAACGGGGACAGACTTACAAATGGTACGGAATAGTGACCGTTGGCGAGGATGACGGCATCGAACTCTTCCTCCCACCAAACATCCACGTGCCGGACTGAGTCTCGTCGTCGAAGTGTGAGTTTCCACCCATCCTTCCCTGGCAATCTGGACAGATCCTCCACCGTCGTATTCAGGACGAGAAACGTGTCAGTCCGGTGCAGCGAGAAGTAGTTCGCTATGTATTGTCGTGGTACCCAGTGGGGTGGAAAAGGTCCATACGGGAATCGGTCGTCTGAAAACGACATGGCAATGTCCGGCACATTGGTCCTGTCATGTCTCTGTTTGGAATCACCCCTGGGCAAAACAAAATGCTGGCTAGACTTACGTCAGGCTATCGTATATCGGTGTCTTGTCATATCGTTCTTGGGAAATGGGTGATGTCAACCTGGGAAGAGTATCGGGGATTTTCAAGGGAGGGTCGGTCGACGGTGGTAAGCCACCGGGGAAAAGCTTGAAGCCAGGCCCCGGGTCAGGATCGTATATCCTAAACCGTTTATTCTGTCATCCACAAGGCTGCGAGGGCTAGATCCGGATGGTGTAGTTCCTACCATGTACCCCCGGGCGCTTCTCGCCGTTCGAATACTCGAATGCGAGTGAAGAATTTCTCCGCAGCAAAGGCTGCCGCGGCCGCGGCTCCTGATTTCCCCTGTATGAGCGACACCTAGCTAGAACAAGGGGAGATCAGAATTCATAAGAGATGCAGTATTACCTGCGGCACCAGCGCCGATAATGGCAACAGATTGAACTGGGGGCGGTCCCATAGCTCCTAAACAAGAATATCTCGGGCCACGGACGATGTTGTGTTCAGGGGATTAGTGTGTGGTCTCAGTGCAGTACATCTAGAAGTCGATGTTCTCGACTTCAAGGTAATTGGACAAGGTATCATACAACCTGGGGTGCCTCCAGATTCGCCATCCATGGCAGGATGGCGTGCTCGATCCCATCAGAATGTGGGTTGTTCGAGATCTAAAGTTGACCTCTAAGAATTGATTGATTGATGCTCTCGCCAGAAACACGGCCTATGTGGGATATTTAGAAGGATTATCATATCAGATATTCGACGTGGCCCATAGATGGTCGATTGGGCCATTGCCTAGTAGAGCGTTTCCAAATAGATCTATTTTCACATAGCCTGTCACCAAGCATGCAGCATGCTGCCACCAGATTTAGCAGACCCACCAGCCGGGGAAACAAGTTGGATAGTTTCGCAGGAGGGAACCTGCCGTGTAGACTCGGGTCCTGGTCAAGACTGGATGGACGTAGTGCAAAGGCTTTGTGAATGCCAACATAAGGGGTAAGCAGCCCAGTCAGATGCTAGCAAGGAATTCGATTGTGAAAGCTGCCAGGAGACTAGATCCTCACCTAGATGAAGAGTATCTTTTATCTCCATCTATGGAGCTGGAGGTAAAGAAAGTAAACTCGTTACCTATTATGCTGTGGGAGATGTGTATCTTGCTGGAATGGATGAGCCCAAACATTGGTAGCCAGGTAGACAATGGCCTTGGCAGAAGACGACGTCAATACGGAACAGTCGTAGTATTTTGTTTGCCTAGGATCCAGCGGTGAAGCCATACGTACCCTTGTTCCTGCGCAGGAGGAGGTGATGATTGAGCAGGACTCACCATTGGAAGTCTGCGGAGTGCGCGCCCGGCATGTCGCCGCACGTGCATGAATCAGAGAAGGCCGTGGCATTCTGCCTGAATTTCCTTTCCTATGCACCCTAACTCTTGCATGAATTTTCCCGTCCTCGAATGGGCTCGAAAGGAAGGAGCGTACTAGTACTATAATATATAGGGATAGAATGGGGATATGGGGTGCTGGTGGGCTGCAGCCGGGGGTGGACCTGGAGGGTGGAAAGTGGTTGTCTCGATATCTATACTCCGTACTTCCGTACTTGGTAGAGTATTTCTAGTCGACCTGAAGCCCACTGAACTGGACCTGGAAGTCCTGTCCCGCACCCACCGCAAAGATGCCCATGATTGGTCCGACAAAATCTGGTCCGGTCAGGTCCAGTGTATCCAGGGACTCAAGGACTGAGAAGTCCGTGGAAAGCTGCTCGTCTCTAAATGAAAAGCGATACGTCGTCTCCGTGTATTCAATGCGTAGTGAAACAGATTCTCCCAGCTGGAAGCTTCGCTTTGATGTTCGTGCGAGGGATTTGGCGTTATTGACTATCTCGAACACCAGCAAAGATTCTGCAAAGTCGTAGAAGATCCGGGCGTAGCGATGCTCGTCCTGGTAGCACACCAATCCAGCTTTGGCATCTAGTTTGCCCTGAGCTCCAGGCTTGTGCATCGTGACCAGCGACGTGCCGCTCAGTAAGCGTTGCCGCTTTCCCACAAATGTGACCGGCTTCGGATACTGCGAAATGTCATCTGGACTGGATGTGAGAGTGATGTTGTTGCCATCGGCCGAGAATTGGTGTTTCTGGAGATCCGCATCTCGAATATAAACGTAGTCAACCATTGGCGCGGCAGTGACTGCACGACTGCCTTCAGGTCGAACCATCTCTTCCCCGTTCGGCAATTTGGGATCCAATTTGACCTGACTCAGGCTCGGCCACTCGCCCTCAGGCCACGCAGCAGAGGTAAGAAAAGTTTCACGGCCCATGATGAACCTCCCGTCAGCTTTTCTAACTCCTAGACAGACTCCCCACCATTGGCCTTGTTGGTCCTGAAATACATCACAATGGCCAGTATATCGTATATACTCGTTCGTCCCTCGAGCAGTCAGGATCGGGTTTCCGCTGAATGACTCGTATGGGCCCCAAATATGTTTGGACCGCGCCACAGTGATCATATGATTCTCATGCGTACCTCCTTCAGAGATCATAAGATAGTACCAGCCATCTTTTTTGTAGAGATGAGGACCCTCGGGATAGATATCGCCATTTCCATCCCAGATTTTCCTCTCCTCTGACAATTTCTTACCGGTCTGGAGATCAACCTCGAATTGATTGATCTTCGTCATTGGTCCAGGTGAAGCTGAGCCTTGAATGTATGAGCGTCCATCATCGTCGAAGAAGAGGCTCGGGTCGATTCCATCGAATTCGAAGTAGATGGGGTCGCTCCATTTGTTAGACCAGATGTCGTCGGTAGTGACAATGAAGTTCTGCTTCAAGTTGTCCATAGAAGGGTCGTCGTCATGAATCACGTTGGTGCATAGAATATAGACTATCCCTCCATAGCGACGGATTGTCGGAGCGTACAATCCACCAGTTGCAAGCATCACTTCACCAAGATCTTTCAAGTCAACCAAATTTGTCCGGGACCTTGTAAGGCTCAGCTGGCTTTGTCTATTAATAGCATTTCCTAACTGTTGTCAGAGCCAGGTCTGAGGGTAGATCTGTATCTTACCAATTTGTTTCCACGAGATGAGGTCTTTCGAGGCATAAATAGGGAGTCCGGGGAAAACATGAAACGAAGAATTCACGAGGAAGAATGTACCGTCAATCAACACGACAGAAGGATCGGGAGCAAACCCAGGAATTATTGGATTGACATGTGGTTCCGACATGGTGCCGGTACAGAACCGCAAGCAAAGAATGAATTTGTCTGTGTTTGTGGTGTAGACAGTTCCTTGTAGTTTACTGAATTATAAAATCCAGATAGGCCAAAGGTCTGGACGCAGTATTTCGAAAGGTGCGAGTCGAGTACTGGCAAAAAGGTCAACATGGTTAATTAGGAATGTGTAATTTTGTCAATCAGGATATAAAGAAACACGACGACCGGCTAAATTCCAGTTCACTAATTTCAACTCTTGTTAGCGGGTACTTCGAGGCGCGCTCAGTACACGGGATATGGCACTTCCCAGAATGCGACTGGCCGTAAGCATTCAACATCGCAGCTCTAGTCACGCGCTATTCGCCATGGGACGGATAATGATTGTGACTCGGATTTCTGATAGTGTTGGCGAAAGTCAAAAATACGCCGAATGATCGATCGCGATATCTTCTACTCAGATGCGCTCAATGGGACAATGGTGCTCATCATATATGATTTTCCGAGAAGACTGAAAGGAGTGTAGAGCATATTTGGACAGGTTCTGCCTGCTTGTTGAGGGTCAACACTGATTCTCCCTCTCCAGACTGCACAACGAGAGCACGGCTGTGGTCGGTCAGGTTCTCGGAGCTGGGAACCTGTTAAAACTTCAGTAAAATGTCCAGGACAAGTAGGCTAACGGTCCCATTGACATATGCTTCGCCATGAGAAAGCACAGAACCAAGCTTTGATGTTTTGTGGATTCGGGCTCATATTGCCCCGAGCCATGCAGCCCTTGTGGCTCATAGTATGAGGAAGATGGACACAATCTCGAACCGAAATCCACTCCCCATAATGCCGATGCTTGAAATACGACAAACGCGACTTGCTCAGGAACACACACTGACCGGAATATGGCTCGATATTCCACAGGAGGCCCTTCCGGGTGCTGCAAGCTAGTGATGGTTGCAAGCCGCGAGAGCAAGTTGGTTAGTAAGAAACCAAACGAGGGATAATTTCTGCGGTTCGATTAACTACCCTCAAGCAAGACATCAAGCCGGCGTCTGGCGTGTGCAACCGCTATGTTTGGATTGTTAGCTCGGAAGACGCCTTTGTGGCCCTTCGCTCTTGTCTGGCCACCGTTCCTTAAGCTTTGGACGATCCCAGGGTCCGCTCTGTACTCCAAGCACCCCGTGGTAAGCAAGAATCATGTGCTGGGTGAATGTATAGACCCGAACAAAAGCCTTTGGGTGATAGCAAGATTGTGGACAGTCAAACTCTGTGCTGGGTATCGAAGGCAGCCCTCCATCGATCGGGAAGACGTAGGCTTCACGGTGCATATTCTTTTCTCGTAGCATCAAGATTTGATCTAGTTATAGAGTCGGAACTGAGCTGTGAACGCCATACAAGGGACGATATGATAGATGCGACTGCGACCATCAAAGGCTAATCTCGAACGGTAGCATTGATAGAAATAAGTCAAGGTAGTGGCGTGAGAGGAAGTGAGAGGAAGAACAGGCGTTAGCAAGTCGCACATTGAGCTCCGACCAGTTTTCGCGCGTCCTTTGGCCGCTCACCCCGTTTCGGGCACGAGGTCGATGCCGCCCTATACATAGCTCCCGTCGTCCCCTTTCCCCGTTGACTTTCTTGCCTTTTAGTATCCCCCTCCATCTGTTTCTTTTCACTATGCCTTGGCTCATAGCTAGCAGCTTAAGGTGCAGCGTTTGGGTGAGTGTCGGGTGCATTGAAGGTGTAAGGTGAGGTGAGTTGGAGGAAGGGGGGGGGGAAGGGCCTGGCGTTTTAAAAGCGGAGCAGGGCGGGTGAGCATCAGGTGCTCGTCTTTTGCCGCCAAGACCGTATGCTCTCCCAAGCTCCGATTGAAGTTCAAAGTTGGCTCTCGAATGTCTCTAGAGCCTGCGCCAGCAGCAACACTTGCTCAACCACCCTTAACATGGCGCGACCAAGGCTCCTGCGAGCTGTGAGTGACCTATGCTGACTTCCTCAACGACACTAACCCTTGTACAGTCGAGACAGGCCGCAGTTTTCGCCCTGGGAGCGACCGCCGCGACCCAGGTCCATTCCTTTCCCTCACCATTCCGAACAGTTTATGCAGAAGCTCCCTCAAAGGACCAGGTATGGAAAAGTCGTTGCTACTACATGGATACCTCCTGATCATGCTTCTGTAGCTTCCTGACAAGAAACCCATATACTCCGACTTCCCAATCGCACCAACAACTCCGGAGCCTTCTCCTACTTCCCCGGTCTCCAAACCAAATCCGCACTCACCCACACCTACCGATCGACTCGCAGAGCAAGTGAAGAAGGGCCGTTTGTTTCTGTACCATCAGTCTCTCGCTGCCGAAACATCTTTCAACAAATTTCTATCCTGGGCATTCCGAAAGGAAACCGACTTCAGCAACACCATTGCTTCCTTAGCCCCGGCTCCCGAGACCGGAGAACAGCTCCTTCCTGGCGCTATCTATGTGTTGGTAGCGACACTCACCGGCTCCATAGTGACCCGGAATCGAGGGATCTTCCTGCGGACGACTTTCCCTCTCGCTGTGGGTATCGCGGCGGGCTGGTACCTTATTCCGGTGACGATGCGGAACACCTCGGACTTGATCTGGGAGTACGAGAAAAAGGTGCCCGTGATCAGTGAAACCCATGCTCAGATCAGTGGCTTCGCAAAGGAAGCGTGGAAGCAGACGAGGGCGCACACAAAATTTGCGACCGACTGGGCTGACGAGAAGGCGACTGAGGCAAGGAAAACGGTCGAAGAGTTGGTTTCGAAAGGAAAATAAACAATTATCTTTTTTTGCGAGAGGGGGAAAAACTTTGAAAGAAAAAAACAAGAAGACTCAGATAAGGAGTATAGCTCCCACAGGCAGGCGAGACCGTTTATGAGATTTGGTGGTTGGCCAGCTTGCCCAATGTACAGAACAACAGTGGCGTTTGTCCCTTTCATGTTCCAAGCCGTCGACTGCTCGCGTGCCCGTTCAAGGTAGTGCCTCTCCAGCGCCCGGCGAGTCCTCGGCGTCAGAACTCGGTAGATGTTATGGCACTCTTGAATCACAGTAGTGACTCGCACTGTATATTTGTTCTTCGAGCACCTTGAGCAAGCCAAAGGGATGAAGGTCCGCTGCTCGTCTATTTTCCCCATGTCAGGCTTTTATCCCTTTCGACAGTTTTCCACCAATCACCGCCCCTGGTTCTGTCAAGTAAGCATTGAATTGTTCGCGAAGCTGGCGGTAGGGTCATGTATAAAACACAGGCCAAGTATTTGTGAGACGACGGCAGGATGTTAGATCAATACATTCGCAGCAAATGCTCTATGGAGCCAATCGATGACGATATTGGAATTTCCCGACTTCAGGCTGGATTGCTTTGTAATTATCAAATCCATATCTGATGGCGTGGATATCCCTCTATATATTCCTGTCTTCTCCAGCATGTGGATGAAGACTGCTCAGCAACACCTTGCCGATTAGATGGAGAGAGAGAGAGAGGACTCCATGCACGTCCTAGAGCCCACCGCTCTCATGCGAGGGCTCAGTCTGGAGAAGACTGACGAGCGGTTCCAGATCTCGAGCTTCTTACTCCCTCTACGTTCTCGACGTTGGTCCATGTCATTTCTCCAGGTGCAGGTGGTACTAGTCGACCAGTCCATGGTCAGCAGCCCACGCAGTTTTCGCAATAAGACTTCTTCTCCCGCCCAATTGTCAAATCTATCGCTCACCATGCATCATAGCCGTGTCACTGGCTGGCGGAAGTGAGTTTTCCTCTTGGAAATCGGCTGGCAAAGGTTTTAGGCCTGTGGAGATCGTATGGCGCTCAAAGTTGCCTGCTTTTTGCTGATTCATGCTTTCGGTCCTGGCTGAGGTTCCCTGATGCCAGAAGACGAAGTGATGGGCGACAAGCTCGGCATGTCTTTTTGAGGATCTGATTCGATAATATTCCCTTAGTCTGCTGACGATCGGTTGGAGATCCTCCAATGCCGGAACTTCTGCAATAACGACATCGTCTCGCAGCTCATCGTTCAAGTCGTGAACAAAGTATCCTCTTCTCTCAGATACTCGCCAACATCACCCTGCCGGAACGCCACGATACTGGTGGGTTCCAGCTTCCTCGCCTCGGCCGTGCTCCTTGCAGTCACGCCAAAGCCCAAAGGAGTATCATCCATTGCCAGTATAACCACTCCCGAATGTTCCGGGCAGTCTTCACTCCACCGCCCAACATGGGCTTTTACCACGTTCCCGCCATAGAGAAATGGCATTTCTCCATTCGGCTTGACCCAAAGCTTGTACCGAGCGTGCGGAGCAATCACATCCAGGGCGGTGATGTGTAGACGGAATTTTCCTGTCTTGGTGAACTTTCCAATGCAGGTACCGAGAGAGAGGAGGTTGTCACGAGCAATGGAGGTCGCTAGATTGGCGATGGAGAGACGGACGTAGTAGACGCGCGATTCGTGCAGGCGGAAGACGTAGCGGTCGTCTTTGTCGGTGTCGCTCGGTGCGATGAGCTGGGTCAAGGAGCGTCCGGTGTAGTTTGCCAGTTTTGTGAAGAGAGTCTGCGTCTCGACGTCCGTGAGGGGCCTCATATTGCCTCCTGTGTTCTTGAAAGAAGCTGAGAAGCTGTAGAGAATACGCTCCAAGGGGCTGGAGAGTACTCGGTACGTGGTGCATGAAGAGTGCGGGATGTAAAATCGAGCCCGAAATAATTTTTGCGGAGCGGTAGATCCTCGGGCGAACTTTTTTCTCTCGATGCTTGACCGAAATTTTGATCCTCCGCTACTTTCGAACGGTGCGCAAGTGCAAAGGCCGCTCGTAAAGTGTAGCCATGCCTCACGGCCGTCCAGCGAAGCGGAGACGCCTCTCTCCACCCGTCGATGACAGCAAACCCTCAGAGACCATCAAGGCCTCTGACCTCTTCGTCCGCGCCGCAGATTGGGATCTCGAGCAAGAATACGAAAAGAGGTCGAGGCAGAAAAAGACCAAAGAGTCGACAAGACTCCCTATCAAAACCGCAGAGGGCAGGGTCCAGAGAGTAGAAGAGAAGGTACCGGTCGAACAGGAGGATGACTCCGATAGTTTCCTGGGATCTGGAACCGACGACGAAGGAGATGAGGATGAGACGCCTCCTACCGAGACAGAGCCCTACGTTCCGCAAGTGCCTCTCAAGCAACAGATTGTCGCGGCGAAAGAAGAAATTGCTCGCATCGCCGGCCTGCTGAATGAGGACCCCGAAGAACACGCCGGCTCTTTCAAGAAGCTGGCACAAGTCGCCGGTCTCACCTCTCCCGTGGCTGTTCAAAAACTTGTCCTCGCTGCACAAGCCGCTGTGTTCAAGGATGTGATACCGGGCTACCGGATACGATCTTATAAAGATGAGGAGCTAGGAAACAAGATCTCCAAGGACGTGCGACGAACGAGACAATACGAGCACGCTCTCGTTACTGGATACCAAGCATATGTGAAACAACTGGGCAGTCTTGCGAAGATCCGAAAGGGTGACGCGGATATGCTGTCTTTACGCACTGTTGCGATCAATTGTGCATGTACACTTCTTCTCTCCGTGCCACATTTCAATTTCCGGACTGAACTGTTGAATATCCTCGTCCACGAAGTCGCCAGCCGCGACCCCTCGCCGGACTATCTGAAATGCATCGAGACACTTGAAGAGTTCTTCTCCCACGATGAAGATGGAGCCCCGTCCCTCGAAGCCGTCAGCCTGCTCACGAAGATGATGAAAGCCAAAGACTACAGAGTCAGGGAGGAAGTGGTGAATACGTTCTTTCACCTGCGTCTGTTGTCTGAACTGCCACCGCCGGGTTCAAGTGGCAATACAGAACGGTCTGAACAGCCAACGAAGCTGCACGGACGCAAGGTGAAGCAACAGACCTCGCAGCACATATCGAAGCGCGAACGAAAACTGCTCAAGCAGCGCCGCGAAGTCGAGAAAGACATGGCCGAAGCCTCAGCGCTGGTCGACCACGAAGAGCGCGAGAAAATCCAGTCTGAAACGTTAAAGATGGTGTTTGTCACGTATTTCCGCATCTTAAAGGCCCGCGTACCCGAGCTCATGGGCGCTGTGCTGGAGGGACTGGCAAAGTACGCCCACCTGATCAATCAGGATTTCTTTGGTGACCTCCTGGAGGCGCTGAAGGAGATCGTAAGCGCAGCCGATGATGCCGTCAGAGGGGAGTTGGACATGGAGGAGGCTGCTGAAGCAGAGAAGACACTGGCAAACGTGGATGGGGAGACGATCCGCAACAGGAAACGTGAAGGCCTCCTGGCGACGCAGACTGCATTCACACTGCTCTCGGGGCAGGAGGTCTCTAGAGCTGCTTCGAGCTTACATCTCGACCTCAGTTTCTTCACAGCGCATACCTACCGCTCACTATATCCTCTCTCGCTGGACGCAGACGTCGAACTGGGGCCGAGATCGCTGCGTCTTCCCGATCCCCACTCGTCGAAATCTGCGCCGTCGTCAAGCTCTGTGAATAACAGGATCAATATCTCCACGCCGATTCTCTTGCTCACGCGTGTCTTGACATCTATCCTGTTAACACCCTCATCTCCACCGCCCACGCAGACGGTGTTGTCGTTCTTCAAACGTCTCCTGACCGTCTCCCTTCAGTTGCCTGAGAAATCCACGCTGGCCGTGCTGAACCTGATGGCCAAGATTGCGGACAAACATGGTCGCAAGATTGAGGCCTTATGGTACAGCGACGAAAGGAAAGGAGACGGGGTATATAGGGGGAACAGCGAGAGTGTAGAAGGCACAAATGTGCTAGGGACTGGTAGCGGCGTTTGGGAGGCAGAGTTGCTGAGGAGGCATTACTGTCCCAAGATCAGAGAATCGACCCAGAGGCTCGAGGGGATCATTAGAGATATGCACAGGTAGAGTGAGCAACCACCTGTTGCTGATAAACGTATCTTCTCCCTATCTGGGTGCATGTAACCGTGGAATTCTCACATGTCTGTGCAAACCAAGCAATGCTTGGTGGAATACATCTACTGGGGCCTATATAGATATCGCCTACATCTGTGTGGTCTCTGCTTCTTGTGAGAAGAGACAGAGACGCCCACCTCTGCCCTCATGGTGCCGTTCCACAAGCCCCTCCATGTCAGGAAGCCCAAGCAAATGCTCCTAATGCTAGCCAATGCGAATAGAAGGCAGTTGACGTTGTTATGCGAAAATACCACCCGACACTTGATCTTCACTTGGAAAGGATCAACGAGTTGTACCTTCAGACCACCTCCACCACCGCCACTGTGGCTGTCGATGACCGCCGGGAGTGGACAAGGAGCGGCTGATAGGCTGATGGGGCGTCGGCTGGGCTGGCATGGCGCAAACCGACGACGAAAAGCCTCCATAAGCTGCACGTCCCAACAAAAATGTTGGAAACATGGGCAACGCACATGCCATGCTTTCCACATGTGCAGCGTCTTCGCTTCCGCGCCAATCGACAACATGTCAGCCACCCTTGCAAGATGCAGATTGACATGCATTCCCGGCACAGAACCTTGCGGGCACCAAGCATTTGTCTCCGGTCCTCAAAGCTAATGCTGCTGCTGTTGTTGCTCCTGCGTGCCAGTGACGGCTCTGTTCGTCCCACTCGGCATGGGACGAGCTTGCGACTTCCGCCAGCTTGCCAGGCCTCGTGGGATGTTGGCAGCTCACACCCACTCCCCTAGAAAACTGGGGTCCGGTGGTATGACAGGTGGGATTATATGACGCTTGCTTTTGTGTTCTGGAGTCTTGACGTGTTGGTTGCTTTGAGAACTTCCGAGCACTTGTTCTCTCTCCGAGGGAGGCGTTCATCTGTGACAGGAATTCCCCGAGTTATCCCTTGATAAAATTTCCATCCCTTTCATTTCCTCCGATCTGCCTGTCTTCGCACACAATCTCGGTCCGAGAAAGCATCGGCGAATTTGTGCTGAGGATCAACCGGGTATTGCCGCTCAGATACAGCTGAGGGCTGACATCTCCTGACTGTAGATTCTCGGATTCAGGGTCCTGCTCCTCTGTGATAGCCCTGCAGCTTTGGATTTACTGCTGGTGGTCGACGACGCTTGTTGTGACAGCTCTCTAGCCTCCAAAAGATTGTCACTCCATTATCCACAAGGTACGTAGCGAATGCTAGCTCCCCATTCTCGTTATCTCTGGCTATCTGTTGTGGTTTCCTTTACAACAATGGGAGTGGAAGACAGACAGGACTGGTGCCGCTGCGTTCTCATCACTCGGACAATGACTCTGATGGTGCACATTGTCATGGTGGCTGGCCAATAAATCTGTGACTGCAACGTTCCAACACGAAGCAGAGCTTCATCCGGGCCGTGGACGGATGATTGAAGGCAATCGGTATAGCCAGGAAGGAATCACCACGAGCCTCGAGCCAGTTGCGGCTGTCTCGAGGTAAGTGACATGAATGCACTTCAGGCGCGACCTGATTGAAACCACCGATTGTCATTTTGAAAGCCATGGCAACCCAGCTATTCATGATACACAACTCCATTCTTACCATCACGAGGTCTTCGCTGATTATGATTTCTCCTCGCCTCATGATATCCAGGCACGTTCCTATGCGCAGACTCCATCCTACGCCTCATTACCGTCTATCCACGTGGTGTTGACTGTACTTTCTCTGAAGGGCTCCTCGGACTACCCGTCACGCCTCCAACCTACAAGATGGTGTCAACCACCATTACCTTCGAAAAGGACAACGTCCAGCCGCCAGTTTATATTGCTGGATCGTTCACGGGTTGGTCGCCGATAGAGATGAGCTTCGAAACGAGCGAATCAGACGGCTCTACCCATAACGTCTTCTCTTACAAGGCTGACCTCGAGCCTGGTGACTACCAATACAAATTCAGGCTAGGCCCTGGTGATTGGTGGGTTCTAGATGAATCAAGCCCAACAGGTCTCGCCTAACCCTCTTCCATCAAAGGCTCGATGCTGACTGATTCCAGTAAACGACGAACAAGGCAATGTCAACAATATTACTTCCGTCAAACCTCAGGTGTCCAGGTCCCCGCCTGGAGAACTAATTGAAACGATCTCTAAGCCGGTGGCTCTAATCCTCAACACAAAGGATGCTCACATCATAGAAGATGAGCCTGAGCATCCAAGTGAGGATGGCCTTCCACCCCAGCACGAGGACGTTGAGCCGTACCCTCCTGCTGCAGAGGTTATGTCGAATATCCTCGACTCTCACGGTCCGAAAGAGGACCAAAAGCCAGAAAATCTCAAGGGCCCTGACGTCGTGCGGCGAGTTCACTTTGACGGAGGTGTAGGTAAACTAGCAGAAGGTGATATCACCACCAGAAAGGATTCAATCCCAGACTTTGCTCCACCGCCATACTCGATCGCGACGAACGGGACGGTTCTGCCGCCTGCAGCTTCGCCAACTGATGCGACCCCCTCCGAGAAACGGTCAGCAGCATCGGCCGCCAACAGCCATCCGGACACCAGAGCTACATCCCTTATTTCACGAATGTGCAAGCCAAGGTGAACCTCTGTCTTCCACAACAACCAATCTGCCGTATCTGACAAATTCTCCAGAAACCTAGTCTTGATCGCAGCAATAGTCGCTGTGCCTGCTGCTGTGTCGTATTATCTGCGGCGATAGTGTTCTCGTGGTGTTGGCATGCAGACCTAGCCTCTATCGAGTGCTCGGACTTCTAATTTTTGTTCCTTTCATCGGGATAGGGTTGGTCGAATACAAGCAGGGGGCAGGATTGACCATGGCGGCCTTTGAGTGCGTGTCCGCTCCTGGCGGAAATTTGCGGGATATAAAAGGGGCGATCTTTCAACTCGTGCACTTTCGTTTTCGCGCCTCGTTAGATTGTTCTTCGACTCTGCAAAAGCATACAAATCTTGGACAATTAGCTGTTTTCCCTCTCGACTTCCGCTCTTGATGGCCCGACATTTCACAGATGATATTGCTTTTGCGGTCATAGCAATTCACAGCCCTCGAATTGTCTTCTTTTATTGCTCCATAGCCCGGATTTTCCAATTCCTCGTCCTGACTTTGACCTCGAATTCCCCAGCATACTTACAATACCCTCCCACCTCCCCCCCGTCCCTAGGGACCCGCATACACACACCCTTCAACCACCTCCCTTACCTACAAACGACAAAATGTCTCGACCGCCTGCTTGGTCTCCTCCTTGGTCTCCTTGACCAGGCCGCTGACGGCGCGGAACTTGTCGTCCTTGGCGTCGCCGACAAGCTCGAAGAGGATGCTCTCGCTGGTGGTCACGACAGCGCCCTCGCGCGCCAGGCGGTGCAGGGCGACGGGCCGCTCGCCGGCATTGCACGACGACACGCCGTCGGCGATGACGTAGACGCGGTGGCCGGCCGCGAGCAGGTCGAGCGTCGTCTGCGTGACGCAGATGTGCGTCTCAATCCCGACCAGCAGCACCGACAGCTTCTCGTTCGCCGAGCTGGTTAGGCTCTGCAGCTGCGACTGCAGCTCCGGCACCAGCATCGAGAACGCCGTCTTGTCGATCGCCTCGGGCGTGCCCTCGGGGACGAGCGCGGTGAGTTCCGACACGGTGTCGCCGAGGCGCGAGGCGTTCTGCGTCGTGATGAAGATCGGGATGTTGAGAATTTTCGCTGCAAAGGGCAGAGGCGACGGGTGGTCAGCGTGGCTTGCCCGGGAGATCAGAGGGGAAGGGATGAATAGAAGCATGTATGTTCTCCTCTCTCTCCCGAGGGAGAAGGAGGGCAGCTAACAGCGGTGGAGGTATGAGACGGCATGAAATGGGAGAGATGAGAGGGCGAATCCCCTTCTTCTGGTGCAACTGTACCTACCTGCTTTAACCAGCTTCTGACTCGTGGCGATCCTGTCCATTGCACACACACGCGCATGAGTATATATACGTCAACCCGATCACATCCACATTTCAATCCGCCCCCAAAGGGGGTATTGAGAGAGGAGACAAGGGGGTTCTCGAAAACCACTTACACCTTGGGAAACTCCCAGATCGCATTGCGGAATTTCTCCTGGATGTCGCAGATACTGCCGGCCACCAGACACACGAGTTAGTGAGCAAGCTTGGTAAGAGAAAGAAAGCTGTGCGAGGTTCTCCAGACTGCAATGCTCTGTCTGCCACTTGGCGTCTCAAAGGTGATGATGCTCCCCAAGACGTCTGAACCAAGCCAAGCTGGGTGTTCGTCGGGTATGTGGTGGGCAGGGCCATATATATGTATGTCTTTGAGACCGGGGAGAAAACGTACAACAAGACTGGGTTCGCTGTGACCGGTGGTGAAGCGTCAGCAAGTCGAGTCAAAGGCGGTTAGTTAGCTATTCAATCGCCACGCCAGTCCATCTTTTGTCAACCATTTTCTGCACATTATTGACAAATCGCCATAGAGATTCCCAACCGAAGAGGCGGACCTGATGGCGAACTATCGACAGGATCAAGGGCGAGAGAAAAGAACCAGAAAAGAACTGCACCCCGGGGCACACTGACCGATTCTTCGACTGTTCACCGACATGTTTCTTTGCAGCCTGCGCACACAGAACTATACTCTCTCAACCGACAAGACTAGTGGTGTTTGGTTCACAAAGAAAGAATGGTAAGGACAACAAATTCAGATGGACGACGGACGATGGAATGATCTCACTTCTGTCCCCGTCGGCGAGAATCGGGCGAACGGGATTTTCGCGGTAAATCGAATTCCCACTGCGGCGTGTGGGGGAAGCAGCCTCATGCCTCGTTCATTTTGCGAATATTTCGATATTACTTTTGCAAGCTTTGCCTCGTATGAGGCTCTTCTGAATTCTATCTGGCCGGCTTGTCCCACGGCACGACTCGACCCAACAAGGCCAGACAACAGCTTGGAATACACGTCAATTCAACTGGAAGCCTGCCATTCCAATCCTCTCCTCCGTTACCTTCATCATCATGGCGTCAAACAGGCTTCATCAAGTTCTCAGTTGAGGATCAACCATCCCGGGTCAACCTAAGAGCCCTCTCCAAAAAGAAACTCCACTCAACTGTTCGCGGTTGTTCTCCGTTGTGGCCCTGCGTTCAACCAACCAAAGGCAGTGCCTGAACCAATTGGATTACTTCGTGCTGTGGCGGTCGATTGCGCACCTTTCGACTCCCCGCTCGGATCGGATTGAGCTGCAGCCTTCCCAATGTCGTTCGCGTTTCCATGCGTTCCTTCTGTACCGTTGGGCGCTGTGGAGGACGCAGAAGGAGTTCTGGTGGCATTTGCCATTGTCTTTGCTGGCCGCAAAATTTTCATGGTTCTCTGCGTGTGAGGTCGTGCGTAACTAGACAAAGTCTTGGAGCCTGCATCGTTTGGAGTGCCCGAGGATACAGAACGCCAGGAATTAGACCACACCCCCGAACCAGATTTCGAGGTTGGCGCGGTGAATGATTTCTCGCTGCCAGTCGTGGACTTGGAATCGTCGGGAGGCCGTGGTTGAGACATATCCACACTGGATCGTCTTGATCGCTCCGAGGGTTGGTCGGCTCTATGCACATCTCCTGGTTCAGACGGGGCAGCGGAGTGCAAGCCACTGGATTGAGCTGTTGTAGGGGATACAGTCGTATGCGCCGTGTTGAGTCTCTCTGATTGGCCAATGACTCCCACTGGTGAAGCTGGCGGCGGTAGAGCCTCACCTATCGAAGACGCATGGTGGCGCGGAACCGTGCAGAGATCCTTGAAAGAGGCATCGTCTTCAGGTCGGCACAGGGGGATCGAGACCTGATTACGTTCCTCGTCAAAAATCATGACCTTGTCCTGTGAGAACAAAATGTCGGCGTTGTGTGATCTCAGAACATCGCTGCCTAGGATGATCTGAATCGACGAACCGGTCACCGTCTGTTCATCGATCACAAACTTGACCATCAAAGTAGGGATGGGTGGGATCGGGCTGGCTGATCTGACAGCGGCAGGACTGTGGATTTTGGCTTCGGTCAGATACACGGGTAGCCGAATAGAGCGATAGCCTCCGTCGTCGAATATGGTGTCGGTCAGGTTAAGTTTGGACAACAGTGACTGGCTGACAGACGAAACCGCCGAGCCGGTGCACAGGGCAGCGTAGAGTAATGAGGTATTGGAGAAGGATTGAGTCAGCCAGCATCGGATGATGGCCGGACATGGCCCTAAGATGAAGAACCCTGGTGGGGGATTGCCTGAAACTCGAGGCGAGTTGTGAATGGAACCAAGCAGCCGACTCTGTTCGAGACCAAAGCTGTTCGTACGACCAAATCCAGTAGGTGCGGGCCTCCCGTCAGAACGATGAGAAAGAGATCTCTCTGAGAGCGCATGGCCACCTAGTCCACTGCCTGTGCGTGTGGGCAATTCCATAGACTGTCTCGAGGAGCCATAGTGGTTGTTGGCACTCTCGTCAAAGCGTACGGAGTTGGCTCTTGATGCAACAGCTCTCCGCGGGTCGTCGGTGGGGTCAAGGGTCAAAGAACTTATCATAGGATCTGCATCAAAGTTGCGGAAAGCTTCAGCAGCCGGGTTGAGCGTCGACTCTAAGCATGTACATTAGTATGAATGAGTTTCCGAGAATGGATCAGCTTACCGTGATGGGAAGAGCCCAGGGGAAATGGAGAGCTCGCCCCCCACAGACTTCTAGGTCTGCTGCCATCAGGAACCTTCTGCTCCAAGCGCATGATGCGATCTGAGTGAAGAGCCTGCGTTGCCGAGAGGTCGTTCAACGTCTCTTGAATGCGCCACAGTTCGTCTCTCGTGGCAAACTCGCGGGTGTCCATAGCAATCAAGCGCGATCAAGTCCCACGGGCATTGACGTCGGAAGGAAGTGTGATAGTAGGCTGAGGAATAGAGACTGTGCGACGCATAGGCAGACACTTCAACCGACCCTGGGGCGGGGACAGACTCTCGCAGAACAGAAACAAGACAGTAGCCACACCGCCCAGCTACAATGCTCTCCTGGCTTGCGCCAGCCCGGCCAAACTCTTCCACCAACCGTTGTTTATTGGCTCAGTCTCTTTATCGTCTCATCTGTTGTTCGCTTTGGAGATATCCAATACTGCCAAATGTGGCCGAAGCGGAGAAGGGAAGGTCAAAGAATGCGCCGAAGTTTGCACAAGGGTTATCTCAGACTGTCCGATGGATTTTCTTCCGGCAGAGAGGCCAGGATCTGACAACAAGTTCTCCGGACTGAAAAGGGACACGGCAAGGGGTGCAGGTAGCGCAGAAGTGGGCTGAGAAAGAAGTGAAGTTGGACTAGGAGTGTATGTGGAAGGGTGGGATGCGGAAGGAGTTTCCCAGCAGGTTTTGGCGGTGTTGGGGTCCTGTACGCGCAGGATGGTCGCGTGTCTTGAAAAGGGTGGAAGTGAAGGATATATTCTGGTGTGTAAGAGAGTGATAATCAAAAGACAGTGTCTTGGTCTGGGAGAGACAAACAGCGACGTTGTAATTCTGGGGCAACGACGACCGTGCATCATGAATCTGCATCTCGCCAGTCTGATGACGCACCGTATATCGCCAAGTTTCTGCCACTGCAAATCCACCGTAGACGTTGAAGTGGCACGTGGTGGTGGAGTGGGTTTGATGTACTAGGCAACTGAGCCGAGGGTCTGAGACGCTGAGACAGGGAGTGGCGGCGACAAGGTGGGACTATGATACAGACATATATTCACCTGTACTGACTGGATGGCACAAATATAAGAAAATGAGCCTGTAAAAGTCCTAGTCTTAGGCCGTATCAGTAAACGGACAAGTTCGCCTCAGCCCTTGATGCTGCCAGGACGAGAGCTCGAGAAAGAAAAAGCGGATCAAATTGTTCGAGCAGCAAGCTGCTTGAGACTGTAGCAGGATATCTTCAAGCCCCTATTGCAATTCAGGCGAACTGGCGTAGCTGGAAAACACAGAGGGCTCAGATGGCTCGAGGTACCCTTCTGGTGCGTCGACCGATGAGTGGCAGAGGAATGCTAGCCAGGTTCGGAGATAAAGAGCCGTCTGTGAGGGACACTCTTGATGGAACCCGTGGATTGATCATTTTGGAGTTTCTGACGACGTAAGTATGGTGGTGACGCTGATTGGGCTCATCGAGGAGGGACCCAATCTGTTCGCGCCGCGGCCCTTCTTGTGGACAGCCTTTCAGAGTGTTGCAGATGTCATGCAACTGTTGATTCGGGGTGCCGTGCCTCGGCCGTGGGATGGCTTCGAGGGCTGACTTGACAATACTGAATTGGGTGCCTTTGGTTTCATTAACGACGGCAACTCGATAGGGCTATGTTCGCACGGACATTCGGGACGCTAGAGAGTCGGTAGAGCCTTGCAGGTCGGCTCTTTCAATCTCAATTTCTTCACCCGCCAATATGACATCTGCTTCACTACCTTCCTGGTATGAAACCCGGTTGATAACAAATTCACCTCCGGTCTGTACCTATGTATACATCTTAACCTACCCGTGTGACCTTTGGAGGGTGGATTTCCCACAAGCAGCTGGAGGACGTGCCTCGATTGGCCAGGGACAATTCAGCAGTTGCCACAAATAATCGTGTCGTCAACATTGTGAGCATGCCATCTGGGATTCATCACCCTCTGAAGATCTGGATTATATTCGCTGCGCTTTTAAATGCCACTGTCAAGAGCCTGGAGCAATGTTGCTACAAATTCTTCTTCGTGCACTATCTGGACAAGAACTCTTTCCGCAGGTTTCGAAAAATGAGTGTTCTCTGTGCTGAGCCCACCTTGATAGCACCTGGCCTCTCTTCGATATCTGCGTGGTTATCAAGGTCCCAATGGCGTGGACGCCTTCCTCATAGAAACTGAGAAGGCGACTTTCTGCAATACAGCTGAACAAAGGCATGCCGCAAAATGAAATACGTGTGTATTTATATCAGTAGTCTTTGGGCTAGAGGAAACTCCCGCAACCCTCGTGGTGCGTAACCCCCACCTTGCCTGTACCGAGTAGTGTGAGTCTATCAATTTCATGGGTGAGGTGGAGGTTGTTGCCCCGCTTTCGCGTCCCAATGTGCCTACTTTTACCTCTCGTGCCCTCCGAACTCTTTCCTTCCAGCACCAGCTCGAAGCCTTCACTTTCCAAGATAGTCCGGGACACGGTGGACTCAAGCTCTATATACACAAAGCTACTGGGGTGCCTGAAGCTATTCTCCAGTCTTCTGACTAGACAGGAAATTTTCGAACCGGTCTTCCGGCTCACAGAAATATGTTTTTGGAACCAGGAAGCTTGGGAGACATAGGCTATGCCCCGCGAATGTTGGTACCTATCAGAATGATCAATCTTCTCCAGCTGAGCGGTTGAGAAGCGCGGGGCATGTCAAATCGCAGATTGTCAACTTGTCACAGATTCTGAAGCTGACTTGGCGCGATCTCGAAGAGGCCCCATTGCAACCAGTGAAGGCAGCCATCACAACATGATGTCCACCGTCCTTTCTGGAACCCTCGCAACTGATTACGAAGAGGGGCGTTCCGCTGTCAGATTCGAGTTTTGAAACTGTAAGTGAACGATGAAGACGGCTATCTGCCGATACGAAGCGAGCCTCTTAGGGACGGCACAGGGACGATTGACTTTTCGGTGGCATCACCCTGAACCTATCGCAAGACGACACCTCAAAAGAACCTGTCATGAGGCCAGTGGGGAAGCCAAAGGTATAAAGACCAATTCCAGCAAGACTTAAGAAATCATCATGACATCTGTGCTACCTTGGCTGGCTGGCGGCGGGTTCCGGGGGATGAAAGCCACAACCTCCCACAGATAACACAGCAGGTTCCTAATCTCAGCACGAAGCCAAAGATGCAGCCAGATGCCTTTAAACTGTGTCACTCACACCTTGATCCGTTGGTCTCTGGAAGGTCTGTGCTATATGAACTAGGACTCTCAAATCCACGATGGCCATTTGCGTACCTCCCGGGGTGTCCCCGGACAAGCTTCCTGACGGCCAGCGCTGTCATGGATGGCCAAAATGGATAATGTCTGGACGGTAAGTATGGAGCCCCGTCTCTGCTTGTCTTTTGAGGCCGTCCGTAACCGTGGGGAACCGGAAACTTGAGGAGGTCCCTCGGAAGCACCGCGAGATAACAAGCTCGCGGGGTAGCATTATTCCCACGTCTTTACCACCTGTTTTTTGACAATGGGATTCTCGCTAAATCGACGTTACATTTGCCTCGCTCTTTCTCGACTAACTGGCTGCGCCAAGATGGCGGAATGCTAGGATCTGCGCTTGGCAGCGGAGGATCTGAAGCAAAGAAGCAATAGAAGCAAATTTCCAATCAGTGGCGAAGTCCACTCTCCTTTTTGCATCATCCCTTGCGTCCGCCAACCACCCCCCTCTCACCTCTCTCATCGAGATGGATGTGCAAAGCCGGTCTAGCCAAGTATACATGATGTCCCATTTCCGAGCCAGGCAACACGTCACTGGGTTGGGGACGATACGCGCTGTAATGATTAACGGGGTAAGCATGTGGCACTCGACTACCAGGAAGAGATTCTCAGATGGGTTTCAAGCTTGTCCATCAAATCGACCGACGTACCGGCTGTGTGGCTAAGAAAGACCTTTCACTGATCTCATTGCGCCTGCTGTCCCAAGAAATTTGAACCCATGCCGCCAAGTCCTTGGGATGCATCACTATTGTGGCACACGGCCTCTCATTGATAACGACAAACGACACCTTCCTCATTTGTCGGATTGCTCCGGCCCTACGCTCTAGTGATATGCAGATGAATGCTGTCGATGGCGAAATAGGATCGAGATATATATCTGTGCAGTGACGACCCATGCACGGCCACCACATCAGAGCAGATATAATTTTTGTCTCATCAGTGTTCCTAGGCACAACTTGTCAACATGAGCGCAATCGCATCTAACGAAGCTCCCATCATCGCCCAGGCTCAGGTGGATGATGCAGCTCTCGCCGGCACCGTGAGGGAGAAGCGCCTTGGGCGTGGTTCTATCGACGTGACCTCCTTCCAAGAGACCAACTCTTCATACGACGATGAAGTTACTGAAGCTGACCTCAACTCTCTTCGTCGGGTCTCGGGGAAGATACCGTGGCCGGCTTTCACTGTCGCCTTTGTCGAATTGTGCGAGCGTTTCTCCTACTATGGCACCACCGTTGTCTGTAAGCAGCAATCGTCGGCTGTTGAATCATCACACTCTCTCTAACTCAATTCAGTCGTCAATTTCATCCAGCAACCTCTTCCGGAAGGCTCCACGACCGGGGCGGGTCATTCAGGCCAGTCTGGTGCTTTGGGGATGGGCCAGCGAGCCTCGACGGGACTCGTGACCTTCAACCAGTTTTGGGCATATGTGATGCCGTTGCTAGGCGCGTGAGTCCCCTTTGGAATAAAGAAATGTCGTGTTATGATCAATTACTATTATTATCAGATCGCGTTGCTGTGCTATTAGACCACGCTGACAGATGTCCAGATACATTGCTGACGCTCACTGGGGTCGCTACAAAACCATCCATGGTGCCATTGTCTGTGCCATTGTTGGGCACGTCATCTTGACAGCTTCAGCAGCTCCGAGCGTCATTTCTCATGGAAGCTCCGCTCTCGCCGCGTTCACCATCGGTCTCATCATCCTGGGTGTCGGAACTGGTGGCTTCAAGTCGAACATCGCTCCGCTTTTGGCTGAGCAGCAAACAGAGACCAAGAAGAGGATCGAGGTGCTCCCTTCTGGCGAGCGTGTCATTGTGGATCCGACCGTGACGACCTCTCGAATCTTCCTATACTTCTATCTCTGCATCAACATCGGCTCGCTGGTTGGCCAGATTGTAAGTCCTCTCAGGCTCCTGTGTTTGGGTTACATGAACTCTTCAAGTTCTGTCTTCCCCACTTGCAATTGTCAATACTAACAAACGCCGTAGGGCATGGTCTACTGCGAGAAGTATGTCGGCTTCTGGCTCGCCTACATGCTTCCCACATGTTTGTTCCTGTTCGCACCTGTTGTGCTCATTGCATGCCGCAAGCACTACGTCTTGACCCCACCAACTGGATCTGTCATCGCAAAGTTCTGGCACTTGTGGACCTACGCATCCAAGGGTCGATGGAGCATCAACCCAGTCACGACATACAAGAACCTGTCCGCTGCCGATTTCTGGGAACGCGTAAAGCCTTCCAACATTCCCGCCGCTCAACGGCCGACCTGGATGACCTTCGACGACGCTTGGGTTGAAGAAGTCCGCCGTGGCCTTAAAGCATGTGCCGTCTTTTTGTATCTGCCCCTCTACTGGCTCGCTTATGGCCAGATGACGGGCAACCTCACATCGCAAGCTGCGTAAGTGTTCTCATCGTCACAGAATCGAGTTGTGTGCTTACAAAACTCTAGTGTTATGGAACTCAACGGCGTCCCCAATGAGTAAGTCTCACCTGGATCTGCAATGGGATCGCGGAACTCCTCCACTTCCATCCGCACAGTTTCTCCAGGCTAACAATAATCCAGTATCATCCAAAACCTCAACCCGATCTCCATCATCATCTTCATCCCCTTTATGGACTTCGTCGTCTACCCAGGCCTCCGCAGAGCACGCATCAATTTCACCCCCATCAAGCGCATCGCCTTCGGCTTCGCGCTCGCCAGCCTGGCCATGGTGTCCGCCTGTGTCATTCAAGTGTACATCTACCGCCTTTCGCCCTGCGGCCACCACGCGTCGGACCCAGACTGCTCCGGCCCGGCGCCCATCAACGTCTGGGTGCAAACGGTGCCGTATGTCCTCATCGGTTTCTCCGAGATCATGGCGAGCATCACGTCCCTGGAATACGCCTTCACCAAGGCGCCGTACAACATGCGTAGCTTCGTCATGGCCATCAATCTGCTGATGAACGCCTTTTCCAGCGCCATCGCGCAGGGCCTTGTGGCGCTGTCGGCCGATCCGCTGCTCGTGTGGAACTACGGTGTCGTCGCAGTCTTGGCCGGCGTCGGCGGTATCTTGTTCTGGCTGAACTTCAAGAAACTTGACAGTGAAGAGGATAAATTGAACATGCTGCAGGCTAGTGCTTACGTGGGCAAGAGGAAAAGCGTGGCTAGCGTGAGTGGGCCGGTGACACAGGAGACATTGGTGGAAAAGGATCACGCATAGATCTTGCATTCATTTCATATGGATGGCAGAGTCCGAGATCAGGTCCGAAATGCAATGGGCACAGCTCGTAGCCGAAACGAAAGGTTGGTGAGCCAGGATCCAGGATCGGACGGTAGGCATTGTCACAGACAATGTAGATTGATCAATTGCTGTCGTCGTGTTCCTGCAACGCAGAAGGGAGGAACTGAAGGACAGCCTAAAAAGGAGAAAGAAGACGATGAATGACATAAATAAGAGCATTTGACACCTTCTCCTCCCCTTCATCGCCATCTTTTTATCCGCAAAGAGCATTAATGGCCCTAAAGCAATACCCTGCTTGCTTGTGAACAAACGAAGAAATTCGATCTCCAACTACGATATGACCAAAAAAGCCCGAGCGAAGTCGTCAGGATCGGTGTTCATCCAGGAGATGACAACTTGAAGCTAGAATCAGGAGAACCTCCTGGGAAATGATTGAATGATCGACGTAGAAGCAGACACCAAGACCGTGATTAATGACGACATGCAACCCATTACTGGTTCGTACTCCCGTTACACCGTAGCTGGTGCGGCGGCAGAGATCCAGTATCTCAACAAGATGCAGTAATGATATTGGCTCATCGTCTCCTAGTAAGCGGTAATCCCCAACCACTCTTTCAGATATTCCAGCTGGAACTGCTGCGCCTGCAGAACGCCCGGCTTGGTCAAAAGGCTCGGACTGAACGAGTCCTCGGTATGGCCGCCCTCGGGCACGACCATCAGGCTCGACGCGTTGCGGTTGGGCGTCATGCGCGCATAGAGCAGCCACGGCGCCCAGCCGGAGACGGGGTCGAGGGTCCCGAACGTGAACAGGAGGTGTGTGGCCGCGAGCAGGTCGGTGTCGGTGAAGTGATACTTCGTCGACAACTCCTGGCGGGTGGGAATGGTGATGTTGTACGTGTCCCGGCAGAACTGGGCGCGGTTGGAGCTGGCCCCGAGCTGTCCGGGCGGGAAGATGGTGCCGTTGACGATCAGATCCGCCGCGATGGGGAAGTAGCGACACTCCAGATATTCGAACGGCGCCGCCTCCGCCCCGGACAGGCCGAATGCGTTTTGTCCGGTCCAGTCGACACAGGAGCCGTTGTAGAGCACCGAGAGGCTGGCGTTGAGGACTTCGAGAGTGCCGTTGGCCGCGAGAGTCAGGTTGAGGGCTTCGTTGAAGGGATTAGGGTTCAGGCCCGGGACGCCCGGCTGGACCCCGTAGCTGAACTGGGAGTTGGACGTGTAGGCGTTGAGGATCTGGCCCTGGTAAATGCTGACGAGATCGCTGGTGTTCTGGGGAACCTCGCAGAGGTTGAGGCCGTGAGCGAGGTCCTCGTAGTCTGTCTCTGAAAGATAAATCAGTATCCTTTCTCCGTGGCGCAAGAGGTGTCTGCTATACCGTTCTTGACGTAGCCTTCAAAGTCCGCAAGGGCTGCTTTTATCTTGGCAGCAGCTTCTGCGGAATGGGTTGAGTAGATATTGGATAGCTGCAGTTTGCGTCAGTGACCTTCTCATCATCTATCTGTCTGGGATGTGCATACCACGGTGTACCAATAGGCACGTGCAGGGTTCGAAGAGTCTGGTCCGAAGCTCTCCGTTGGTCCGGCCCAGGCAATAGAGCCATAGAAAGTCTCTGGACGGTTGAGTCGCAGCATGGCAGACAGCCAGCCGCCATACGAACCTGGAACGCGGATCAGCCCTGCCTCACCCACCAAAATGTCCTGAGAGACCGGCTTACCGCCATGTGCAATCACCTTCGCATTGCTCAATGCGGTGTTGTTTTTCTTCAAATATTCGACGAAGGTGACCGAGTCGTCGAGGACATTATCCAATGTGAGTGTCGCATAGCGTTCTGTGATGTTGGAAGCGGTACTTGGATTGCTGACCCCAAAGAAACGGTGCTCGAGTTGCGCAACGGCTGCACCCAAGGCCGACGCCCAGTCCATCAAGACCGTAAGTTCCTAAACATGGTCAGTACAAGTCAAGCTAAGCCGGCTGAAACATACCACGCATGAGATATTCGCGGTTTCTGCTCCCTGGAAGAAGAGGATCGGGCCTCCCGGTTTGTAGTAGTCCATGATAAATTGATACTGTTGTTTGAAAGTGCCACTTGTGGTGGCATTGTGGTCGATGATTTGGTCATAGAATGCGGTTGGATGAGTACAACTGACTCCAGTCTGCCCCGAGGCTGCCCTTACCACAGTCAACACGAGAATAACAACGAGAGAAGTAAACATGATGAAATGGTTTCAATATATGTGCGCGTGGACGTCGAACGCGGCTCCTGACCTGTGTACAGAAGCTCAGAGAGGGACGAAAGAAGGGATCTTTAAATACTGGATCAGTGAGATTGCATTTGCGATGCTGTCCAGGGAAAAGTCCTTTGAACACAGTCATTGTGTGATGCTCGCCTTGCTTGTGACGTAGCTTGATAGCAATAACTGCCATTCTGTGAACGACGCACTTGCTCGCAGTGCCACGGAGACGTGAACAAGTATCGACATACTTGACCTTAGGCCTCCAACATCGCTATACTAACGAGATACGAGCAGATCTGCAGGCGTATAAAACAGACGTTTCGGAGCGACAAGATGGAAAGGGGAAAACGTGCACACTCATCTTGGCGAGCAAGAGGCGGTCAGGAAATCATTGAGGCTGGTCTCCGTTACTTGTCTGTGACCACAATCTCCGGGCGCCAACAAATTGAAAAAGTTGGTACCGGTACGTGGTTACATTAATACTGTGAGGTTCTGTTTTTGACGAGACTTCGAACTTGGCAAGGCTGAAAGATTGGATCGCAAAACTAACCGCAGATGGAAAATCAGTGTCGCTCACTCCACCGAGGATGGATCCCACGGTTCCTCGTGTAGATCATCAATCAGGCCCTCCACGATCCCCTGGAGATCGTCCCGCAAGTTTCAACGTCAAGTTACTTCCCCAGCCATCAACAGTCTAAATCGAGAGACTGGAGGCTGAGAGTGTGTCGCCTACGACCAGCTCTGCTGAACAGTTGGGGTCGAAAAGATCATTGACTTGGTCACCGTTAACTTAGAAAAGTTAAGTCCACGAAGCCATCGGCCCTTCATTTCAGCTTGCGAGTCTCAAAAAGCAAACGAACAGCATGATCGCTATGTGATTCAGCCATCATTTTAGGTGATCATGGTGCCGTCTGGGGCCATTACTTGCTGTGGGTGGTTTCGACCTCATCCCCGACCTCGCTTTGCTTGAAAAGGAGAATTGTCCGGCATACCTCTGCGTGTCTTGACACAGGAAAGGACCTCTGCTTCGGGACCTTGTTGGCCTGACAGGGACGATCTTTGAGGGCAAGGCCTCTTGTCGCCAACTCCTCCCTTGCTCATATCGCTGTCATCTACGAGTATACCACCACTGTTTTATGTCATTTTCGCCGATCTGGTAGGCTGCTGCGGTCCGAATATGGCCCCAGCTGCTCCCGTCCATGTTTCATTCAGCCTCCCATTGTTACATTGGCGTCATCTTCATTTCAGAACAATTTCCCAAATACGTCTCCATGGGGCCTGTCGAGCATTGATGGAGATTGATAAATTCGACAATGACCCCTCTGCTATCAACGGCTCTAGCTTGCCCAACACGTCCTTTTGAACAAAACATCCCTCCCAGCAGAAAATCCGTTGATAGCCATCCATCATGGCACGAGTCTCCGATACAGTCGCTCTCGACGCTACGGAGATAGTTGTCTACATATTGCTCTTCCCGTTGATCATATTCCTGGGAATTCGCCATGGCAGCAAGCATGCGCTCGCCTTTGTCTATCTCTGCCTCTTCTCTATCCTCCGCATTGTTGCCGACGTACTCGGCATAGCCAACCGGAACTCGACAGATGAAAACACCATTGTCACGACTCAAGCCATCAGCTCAGCCGGCTTGTCTCCCCTGCTCTTGATTTTCGCCGCCTTCGCCCACGAAGCCCACCACTATCAAGTCAAAGCCACCCTGCCTCACGATCAGGCGCAAAACGTGCTACGCCAACTGCGGAGCCTTCAAGGAGCCTTTCATGTCCTGTCAGCCGGCGGCATGGGTTTGATTGTCTACGGGGCCGAAAAATCCGCCAGCAACGACAATAACCACAACTCCAGTATTTGGGCAAACCTCCGCAAGGTCGGAGTCGTCATGATGCTTCTTGCTGCGATCGCAGAAATCCTCTACGCGTTATACGTTTGGAGCGCTGTACATCGAACAAAGAAGGCTGTCCGACCAATTAACCTCATCTCGTTGGCAATCTGCACCTGTGTCAGTGGCTTGTTCGTCGGGGTCAGGGCGATTTACTCGGTCGTCTACACCTTCGATACGAACCCGGATATCAGCCCGGTCACGGGCAAGTTTCTCGTCAAGCTGATCTGCATCGTTCTGGTTCAGTTCTTGGCCGTCGCTTGTCTGGTCAGTGGTGCCTGGTTGAGCAGGAACATCCGGAGGGACATGGAGTATATGTCGATTCAGCCGGCTGAGCGCCTTTCGGCCAATGGTGGCTATGGAGACTCTGCCATGCCTCTTGTGCCCCAGGAGTATTCGAACAAGTGGACGCCACGGAGTTATGATGCTTGAGCCAGGCACTGTCAAACAATGCGCCATTCGAGGACTTTGGCATGGATCTCATAGATGCGGGCATACAAGAACTGCGTGGGTCTGACGGCGTTGGGGCAATGTAGTTTAGAGAGCTTGTTGAATCCTGAGGACAAGTCTGCTGCCGGTGTGGTTTTCCTGTCCCAGATATGAACGCGAATAGACTCGAAGCGTGATAAATAGCAACCTCATTTTATATGCGTGTCATATTCTCGTCCAGTCGGTGAATGGTCAGTACATCTTATCATCAGTGTTCTCCACCTAATCGATTCTCTCTCCTATTCGATCTTGTGTGCAGGACTCCCAAAGGCGTATCGTGAGCCAATGGAACATGAGGTCCCAAAAATCACCACTCAGAAGAAGATATTCATTTGCACATCTCGGAGCATTCGCAGACGATAGCAGTGAAAGGACAGACTGGTAGCTGCACACACACACACACAGATACGATTCATAGAGAATCAAGGGGAAATGGCACGGGATAGACATTCGTTCAAGTCAACTCCGTTAAAATGGGACTTCCCGACGGCACTGCTTAGAAGGAAAGTCCGACCAAGCCCTCATTTAAACCCCTCGCTCTCGTCGTGTCTAGCCCAAAACATACATAATTCATTACACCCAGCCCCATGTTCCAGTCCAACGCAGCATGCCAGCCCGCCCCAACGAACCAGTCCGCGCCTATCTCACTCCGGAGATCCCGTGCCGCTCAATTGAATGCCCAACTCAGTAACAGACATCATGGTCCGCTGGCAGGCAAGCACTTGTGACCAGTCAACCGACGTAGACGCTCCCTAGAGGTCTGGTTCCACGTTCCACAAGGGAATCGCCTACTATCAAGCCATGGTATTAATGATATCCATTCGTTCTGACCACACCGGGTCCGCGCTGGGAATAGGCAGCCGATCCCGCTGCGAAATATGGATGGTTGCATGCCGCCTTGGCCGAAATGCGATGTGCAGGGTCGTACTCGAGCATGGCGTCCAGCAATTCAAGACCGGCCGGTTCCAAGTTCGGGACGAATTTGGAGGTGGGTTCTCGGCGCCATTTGGGAAAGGAGGTTTTGAAATCCGGAAACGACGTGACGCCCGGCCAAGTGGTTTCATCCGGTGTGCCGAGTAGTCTGCTTCGTGTTAGTGGAGACACCATGTGGGTGGGCGCCGCAAGGTGGGAAGCTCACTTGAAGATTTTGAAGATTTCGTCAATCTCAGAGTCGCCGGGGAAGAGAGGCTTGCGGGTACACATTTCGGCGAAGATAGCGCCGACGGACCACATGTCTACACCCGTCGAGTACTGTCGTCCACCGAGGAGAATCTCTGGGGCACGGTACCATAGCGTAACAACCTGTAGAAATAAGTAAGCAGCGGCATTAGGCACGAGTCGCGAATTGACCAACTTCATGAGTGTATGTTCTCAGGGGCACACCAAAGGCTCTTGCAAGACCAAAATCAGCCAGTTTGAGATTTCCCTCGCGATCAATCAGAAGATTTTGGGGTTTCAAGTCTCGGTGCAAGACACGATGGCTGTGACAGTATCGAACGCCTTCAACCAGCTGTGCCATGAACTTCTTGACCATATCCTTGCCCAACCCGAGCCTCTGCATATCCAAATTTGAGCCTTCGGGCAAGGCCTTGCCTCGTCCACCCTCTGATACTGGCAATGCCTCCATGTATTTCTTCAAATCCAGGTCCAGGAACTCGCAAACGAGGTATAGCTTGTGCCCGTCGGCATGGACGATATTCAGCAAACGCACGATGTTGGGGTCGTTCATCTCCTTCAACAGGGATATCTCGCGGATGGCAGTGCTGGGAACGCCTTCGTCTTCGGCCTCCAGACGGATCTTCTTGAGGGCAACGATTCGACCGCCATTGGAGAGGTCTCGAGCCTTGTAAACCACACCATATGTGCCTGGTCATCGAGTTGTCAGTCCAACAGAGTAATAGGAATCTCTCGCAGTGTCCGCCCTCACCTTCGCCAACCTTTTCAATCTTCTGGTAGTTCTCCATCTTGTTCTGGGAACCTCTATTGAATCATCAATCTGCGGTCCGGGGAGCAAATCCTCTCTCGTCGAACGGTGGCGACAAACAGGGGTTAAGGGGTTGTGTTTGATCGTGCAATATGTGCGGGGCCTGACGACGACGGCGACGTGACGATACGGGGGAAGACCTAGAAGTTAGTATGTTGAAATGGAGGCAGCGAACAGTATGCACAATCCTTGTTCTGAGGCTACCACAGAGTTCTTCCCAGATTGATGTAAGGTTGTGCTGCATGGCTTGTCGAATGCTCAATGTTTGTTTAGGCCCGGAGACGCGTCTGATTGGCTGGGGAGAAATCGTGCCTGCCAAGACATTTCCGCGCCCGCAGTTCGGGTGAATTGCGGGCATTGGAAAATTGCCCGCCAACGACTCATCTTTGGTCACAGACAGTCAGTCACTCTGCAAAGACCACCGACTTGAGGCTGAGAGGCGTTGACAGGCGCTTTTTCCCTTTTACTTCCTGTAACTGTTCGAGTTCCCTGCCCGAGTTCGTTATTCACACTTCTGGAGTCTCTTCCTGCTCTCCACGACCACTGACGAACTCCTCTCCGATCTCACCCTGCCCACCATGGCGGGCAAAGACTTGTCACCGCACGAGAAGCTCGCACTGATCAAGGACCAATTGCAGGAAGTTCTACACGAAGACATTCTTGAACATGTTATTCTAAAAGAGCAGAGACCATTGATAATCTACTGGGGCACGGCCACGACAGGAAGACCGCATTGCGGCTACTTCGTGCCAATGATGAAAATTGCGCACTTCCTCAGGGCGGGCTGTAGGGTCAAGATCCTTCTGGCGGACATTCACGGATTCCTCGACAATTTGAAGGCGCCAATCGAATTGGTCAAATTCCGAGCGGAATACTACAAATACATCATCCAGTCCCTCCTCAAGGCCGTTGGCGTGAGTTTGGAGAAGTTGGAATTTGTTCTCGGCTCCTCCTATCAACTAAGTGCAGACTATACCATGGATATCTTTCGACTGAGTAGCGTGGTGACAGAGCACGATGCCAAAAAGGCTGGTGCCGAGGTCGTCAAACAAGTTGAAAATGCCACGTTATCTGGACTGATCTATCCCTTGATGCAGGCACTGGATGAACAGCATTTGGGTGTCGATGCACAATTTGGTGGAGTCGATCAGAGGAAAATCTTTGCTCTAGCGCAGGAGACTCTCCCCAAGATTGGATACAAAGAACGAGCGCATTTGATGAATCCCATGGTGCCCGGTCTGGCCGGCGGCAAGATGTCTGCATCAGACCCCGACTCCAAGATTGATATTCTTGACACTGCTGATGCAGTCAAGAAGAAGCTTCGCAAAGCCTATGCGGCGGCTGGAGAAATCGAAGGAAATGGCATAATATCCTTTGTCGAGTACGTGCTACTGCCAATTAGTGCTCTGCGAGACCCTGAAGGCAAAGGGACCTTCGTGTGCGAGAGAAGAGAAGGAGAAGGAGAGCCGCTGGTGTATCATGACATTGAGAGCTTGAAGGAGGATTACCGAACCGACAAGCTCACTCCACAGCTGCTCAAAGCTGGCGCTTCCGCTGCTCTTGTAGAGTTACTGGCTCCCATCCAGGCGGAATTCCAGGCGTCCCCGGAATGGCAAGAGATCGAGAAGAAAGCCTATCCCCCTCCCGAGCCCGTCAAGAAGAAGAAGCAACCAAAAGACAGAGGCTCAAGGTTCCCAGGGGCGGCCAATGTCACTGCCAAACCAGACGGATCGATCGAAGGCGAGGGAAAGGAACGAGTCGAGGTAGGAAAGACTGCAGAGCAAGCGATGTCGAACCTGGATATCAACGGTCAAGCTTCATGAGCAATAGGAAAGGGAGCCTTCCCTCGCAGGAACCTTTTCGACGTCCAGTCGCTGTCCCGGACAGGGCAAGATTTCCTGAGGAGCATTCGCTGGATATGTCGACCTGGACGACGAGTTTGACGAAAATCTCGGAAACTACGATGAGCTGTGCATGAACGCCAGGTCACATCGCTGCAGGAAATGTACCCACTGTTGAGCGTAAATGATTCGAACCAGGCCACCGCAGAACAGAGAGACTCCTCGCCACTTGATTAGCTGAAACAGGTAGAATTCTGGAACTTTGATACAACGAAGGTATTCTGCGACTGGAGTAATTGTAATTGTGGATTTTGTGAAGAGACATCGTCTATACCTGGTCCCGCTGCAGTTTTTGCGATCCTTCCTGCACACGGCGAAATTCTCGGCGCTATTTTTCGTCGCAGGCTGGCAGCCAGCATTTGCTTCTGCCAACTCTTTCTTTCCCCTTTACTGTTCCTCCTCCACTCAACGGACGCAATTTCGGTGTCTCTATTGCGACCCAAATCCCCACCGAATCTCTCTTCCTGATGTGGCTTGTTGGGACTGTCAGCGGCCTTGCCTGGTAGGGCATGTCTGCTGAAGGCAAGCCTTTCCAAGCCTTCCGGCATCGCAAGACCGCAACAAGTTTCCCGGCATGGTAAGGAGGCACACTAACCGCCAAATGGACTCCCCACAAGCCTTAGGAGGTGGCTGTCGGGTACGATCCAGGTGCAGGACTCGTAACTTGGCTGGTGCAAAAGTGGCCAACCCATCACTGACATGAGTGTAGTCTAGCGCACGGAGTATCCATTTCTCAGGCAAACATTTCCGTGCGCATGATGACGGCAGCTTGCATGAAACGATATCCCCATGAAGCCTTCACAAGCGGGTCTGCCTCGACAGCCTCGACTCTGAAACAATGGATAGGGAGCGAAGGGTGACCGACTTATGCATTAAGGCTTTGCCAACTTCTAAGCTATAGTGAGACTGGGCTCAACCATAATACCACGGAAAAAAAGAGAGACGCTGTCGGCCCAGAGCACCCTTTACAGTCCCTGATGTCAGAGCTTAGGGTAAAGAGGAGGGTGGTGTCATGGTCGCCATGGAATGCCAACCAACACACCCTCCCCAATACGAAGGCCAAGCCACCCACGCAACCTTTGTCCTTAGTCCGTCCTGAATTGGTTTTGTCTTCTGCTAGACTCGACGAAGGTCGACAGAGTGACGAGAAGATCGTCAATGATAGACACAGTTTTAGCGAGACAACATGAACGTTTCGGCAAGACGGTACCCTACAACGTCCCTGACACCACAGCCACCGGTACCCAGAGGACGTGGTGACGTTTTCTATTTCGTCCAGTACCCGGGCAGATCTCGATGCAACAAGAACCCGCTGAAGGTGGGACCTACTACAGCTATTCGAGGCTGAAGGCTCGTTCTTGCTTGTTGATGACCAGGGTTAGCACAAGGGTGTTCTGATGTACTAGGATCACAATTTCGCCGGTCGCGTCTCAGCCTCAGATAGGGAGTCAGACTCGTGCCAGCCTAGTCACTTTGATTACAGAGGTTACAACTGTTCTGTACGGGTGTCGGCACCATCTTGATGGCGTCTCAAGCGCGGATCCTCGAACACACATCAGGCAGACCCTAGTTCCAAGAAAGACGGTCAAGGTCTCTGGACGAGCGGCGGCTTACCGAGGAATGTGGGTGAAGGAGCTGATCCCCCAGATCACTAAAGCGCCGAGCATCTGCCCGCATCAAGAACGCCCGGGGATGATCAGACTTTCGAGGCAGATTGGTCCGGAGGCATGTTGGAAATAATCCAGACATCGACATAGTGGAGAAGATCTGGGAATTGACATAAGTGGGCACTTTGGGCGAGAGAGAGTGCGGGGTTTGGCTCACCATCAGCAGCTAGGGCACGACATTGAGGGTCTAAAGTCGCCCTTTTTGGTTCAGCAACCAGTCCCGCCGCGGTCGTGGAGAGGGTGGGTGGATGCTCGAGGCAATGAGGGTCGCGGTAGCGCCCCGGACAGCGACTGGGGGGCACATGGGAAAGCGAGGCTGTTTGCACTCTCTCCACTCTTTTGCCGGCGATTTCTGCGATCTCCTGTGCCTGTGCCACTGCTCACCACAAGCATCAGCCAACGACCGCTCGTCGTCTCTTTTTTCCTCCTCGTCGTTCCTTGCCCACCTGCGTTTCTGGGAAGGCTCCGGGACTATCCAAGCTTCTTGGAACCTCTTCTTTCGGATCCATTGGTCTGTGAGCTGGCAACACCTGACCCGTCTGACCTTTGACCAGCTCGCTTAACCTTGCTCAGGGAGCTCCAGAAGGAGCCAATGATGCAGTCTGAGCAACGTTGATTTGGGTAGCTCGTACCGCAGTCATGCGAGTACCAACCTGATTTGGGTTGCGCTGATTGGAAATTTCTCCGGTGACCTCTTTGCCAGCCTCTTTGCCATTGGCAGACTCAAGGCGCGACCGAGTGCTTTGGTTTACCACTGCCCTAGCGATCTCGAGCAGTCAGTGCGTCATCTGAGTTCACCAGAGGGGATGGAAAGTCGACCACGAGGCATAGGAGTATATATGTACGTGGTGAACCCTTCCTCAGAATTCAATCCCTTCGACCACAGGCCAGGTGTCGAGATAGCTGAGCTATTCTTTTGTGTTTGGACCGGGACCATCAAGTCCGCGTGCTTCGTTGTCCATATACTTGACTGAGCCTTGCAACCTCTCACGATGAGCTACGCGCATGACGAAGAGAGCGGTGGCCCTGGCGGCCGTGCTGGCCGTCACATGAGTGTCTCCAACTATGCCAACAATATGGGAGCACCAACCTATGACACGACCAGACGAAGGTCTTCTATTGTCCCTGCTGCAGCTGTCGCAGCACAACAAGACGAGACGGTCTTCAACCAGAAGGATGAAACCCTTCGCAAGATGTCTGTGGCCGTGCCCAATCTGGCCGAGCTTTCTGCCGATGCCAAAGCTGCCGCAGAGTTGGAACACAAGATGGGCTTTCGCGAGGGTTGCCGACTGTATCCCAAAGCCATCATGTTCTCCTTCTGTCTTTCTCTCGCCGTCATCATGGAGGGATACGACACCTACCTCCTCGGCAACTTCTTCGGGTTGACCACATTTGCTCGCAAATATGGGTCGCCCGCTGGGATCGTCGACGGCGCCCAAACGTACCAGGTTTCGGCGGCATGGCAATCGGCACTCACCAATGGCACAGCTGCTGCACAAATTATCGGCTTGTTCCTCAACGGCATCATCTCCGAGCGCATCGGATACCGCTGGACCATGATCGGCGCCCTGGCCTTCATTTCTGGATGCATTTTCATCACCTTCTTCGCCGTTGATGTGAAGATGTTGCTCGCTGGTTACGTCTTGTCCGGTCTCCCATGGGGTGTAAGTTTGCTCTTTTGTTCTCCCCCTCGCGGCTATCAGAGCGAGCACGCTTCGAGCAACGATGCTGACATTATTCTTCGCCTAGGTCTTCCAAACCCTGACTACCACATATGCCGCCGAGGTGACTCCAGTCCCGCTGAGACCGTATCTGACGACCTACGTCAACCTCTGCTGGGTCATCGGCCAGCTCCTTGCTGCCGGTATCTTGAAAGGCTTTGTGAACCAAACAGACCAGTGGGCATACAGAGTGCCATATGCGATCCAGTGGATATGGCCGGTTCCCATTGGGCTGGCAGCGTTCCTTGCGCCCGAGAGCCCATGGTGGCTTGTTCGCCACGGCAAACTGGAGCAAGCTCGCGCGGCGCTGCTCAGATTGACCTCCAAAAAGAACACCGAATTCAACGTCGAAGATACGTTGGCCATGATGATCCACACCAACGAGCTTGAAATCCAGCAAACCGCTGGTACCAATTACTGGGACTGCTTCAAGGGAGTTGACCTGCGCCGAACCGAAGTGACCTGCATCACGTGGTTGATTCAGCAGACCTCAGGGTCTCCCATGATCGGCTGGGGCACCTATTTCATGATCCAAGCTGGCTTGAGCGAAAGCAATGCATACTCCCTCGGTGTTGGCCAGAGTGCAATGGGTTTCCTTGGAACCGTGTTGTCTTGGTTCTTGATGCCGCACTTCGGTCGCCGCACCTTGTATCTCGCCGGGCAACTTGCCATGTTCATCATCCTGATGATCATCGGCGGGCTTGGAGTTCCGAGTCTATCCACGTCGGTTGGCTGGGCTTCTGGTGCTTTGATTCTCATTCTCACCTTCATCTACGATTTTACGGTGGGGCCTGTCTGCTACTCGCTGGTGGCGGAACTTCCGTCCACTAGACTTCGAATCAAGACTGTTGTCTTGTCCAGGAATGTTTACAATATCATGGGTATTGTGGTGGGCACGCTTCAGCCTCGTATGATGAACCCCACCGCCTGGGGCTGGCGCGGAAAGACTTGCTTCTTCTGGGGCGGTCTTAACTTGCTGGGCTTGATCTGGACCTATTTCCGTCTCCCAGAACCAAAGGTACATCACTGTTCCTTGTCGTCTCCTCCTTCCGCCGCTCAGTCGACTGACAATCTTTCCAGGGCCTCACTTATGCCGAACTTGATGTCTTGTTTGAGAACAAAGTCTCTGCCCGTAAATTCAGGCAAGTCAAAGTCGACCCATACCGCTCGGACAATCTGGTTGTTGTTCCCGACGAGTTTGGGGACTACGACGTGGTCGAGAAGAAGGGTTACTGAAGGGCATCGGACTGTCAGAGTGCTTCGACGGATAGGCGTATCAAGCACGTCCCGTTGTTGGGCCTTGCTCGGTGGGCTGTTCCGTGGCAATATTGGCTTTTCGTCCAGACAATTTATTTGTTTAAAACGGGACACATACGCAGAATCGAATTTCTATCAAGCCGATGTCAACCGCGTGAAATAAACGGCGGGTCTTTGTATGTGTTGTTGTGCACGGACATTTGCGCACCCCGTCGCCTTTTTGGGGGCCACAGAAGCTGCCTGGTTTGCCTAGTGAAGCCCAGCCACTGGTTCGTGTAAGACGCCCAGGGAATCCAGTCGAACCAGCACCAAGTGAGGCTTGTGAACTGATCCAACTAATAGTGTGTTTCGCCTGTCACCAGCCCAAAGACAAGGCATCGTGGCGTCCTCATTTCTCTCCGTCGCAAAAGTCCTGGGCTTTTGGCCTGCATCTCAGCCGCACGACCACTTCATGCGTATGGCGTATGGCACCACCAAACGTTGGCCATGGCATTGTTTGGCGCCAGCTAGTTCATGCAGTGGTCCAGAACCGAGATCCCCTTTGTGCAACGGTGCTGGCCTGACCGTTCGAGTTCAGATAGTTTTATCTGTCACTCGCTCGCTGCCTTGAGTTTGTTGTTTGTTGTTGTTTCCTTGTGTCGCCGGTTCTCAGCCTCCTTCTTCCCATTTCCTCGTCCACTTTTCACTTCAGCTCTTTTCGCTGTCGATCTGATTGTTTTTCCACGAATAAGACTAACTGCTCTCTCGAGACCCGTCCAATCCTCGTGTTGTCTGACTCAGGTATTCATTGCTCATCAGGCTCCCACTGCCGTTGGGCCTCGTGCTTTCCCCGCTGTCGTGCTTCGATCGTCTGGGGGCTGTATTTCAGCAGCCATCGAAGCTTGTTTGGCCAACGCAACCTTCCGCTTGACTCACTTGCGCCTCCATTTGGGCTCGAATATCTCTGTTCCCAACTCATAGAAAAGCTATGGATGATCGCAGAGACAACATCGGCGGAGGTGGTCGCTGGTATGGTCCTCCACCGCCCGATCTTTCTGTCGCCCCGGCTCCCATAAAGATGCGACGCAAACAGCGCAGACAGCCTCCTCAGGAGACGGTAAACCAGTTCTGGAATCAACTGAACCCCAAACACCCCGGTAAAGTGTTCACCCTCCTCCCCAACAACCCCTATGCCCGCAAGAAGGCCGCGAAGACTCCTCATGGCACCGTCTCCGGCCAGCGCGCCGCCAAATCCTACGAGGAGGCCCTCGCCGAGTGCAACAGGGACGTCGACAGGATCATCAGAGAATGCCGTCGACTGAACCAGAAGTACCGAGACATGCACTTTGACATCGAGTGGGATCTCAAGTCTGGGCAGAGGAATTGTCTCGACGGTCTCAGCACGCCTGGCGATTCCATGAAGCCCAAGGGTGTCAAAAGGGTCACGGTAAGTTTTCTGCTTGTTGCTGCCTTCTCGACGAGATCTACGATGGCTAAGAAGGGGGTTAGGAAATCTTCGAAAAACCCGAATTCTTCATTAACGGACCGACTGCTGGTGATGTGCGGCAGGGGCGTGACGGAGATTGCTATCTGATGGCAGCGCTGTGTGGATTGGGCAATATGGAAGGATTGATCGACAGAGTCTGTGTCAAACACGACAAAGATGTCGGTGTCTATGGCTTTGTCTTCTTTCGAGGTAAGACTCTCACGCTCCGGGTGAACACAAATAAAACGTCCTAATTTATTCCTGCAGATGGTGAATGGCAGCATACGATCATTGATGATAAGCTTTACAGTAAGTTTCAATAATTTTTTGCACCGATGTCTCCCTATTGTTGTCGTTACCATCTACGTGGGCGAAGACTGACAGATATTCAGCTCGAGCACCCGATTATGACGAAGCCCAGGACGAACGGGTTGTCTGGGATGACATCAATCGCGTCGACAGTGCCGAAGAATACCGTAAAGCCCACCTGACAGGCTCGAGGGCACTGTATTTTGCGCAATGCAGCGATGAAAATGAGACGTGGCTCCCGCTGCTCGAGAAGGCCTACGCGAAGGCGCATGGGGACTTTGCTTCCATCGACGGAGGATTCACTGGCGAAGCCATCGAGGACTTGACTGGCGGCGTGACGACCGAGATATACAGCACTGACATCCTCGACCGCGAGGCCTTTTGGCACGACGAACTCATGCAGGTTGGCAAAAAGTTCCTCTTCGGCTGCGCCACGGGGTTTTACGCCAACTGGCTCGACACCACCCGGGCACCCCGCGAACGTGAAGGCATCTCCGAAGGGCATGCTTATAGCATCATGGACGCACGGGAGATCAAGGGCGAGCGGCTTCTGAAACTCCGCAATCCCTGGGGCAAGAAGGAATGGACCGGGAGATGGAGCGACGGCAGCTCCGAATGGACTCCCGAGTGGATGCAGTTGCTGGACCACAAATTCGGCAACGATGGCATCTTTTGGATCAGCTACGAGGATCTCCTCAGGAAGTATCAGCATTTCGATCGAACGAGAATCTTTGGTGCAGAGTGGAATGTCACGCAGTGTTGGACCAGTGTTAATGTCTCGTGGTCAGCCGAGTATCACAGCACCAAATTCTCATTGACGTTGGAGGAGAAGGCGCCCGTGGTGATTGTGCTGGCGCAGCTGGACGACACCTATTTCGGTGGGTTGGAGGGTGGATATGGGTTTGACCTCCAGTTCCGCCTCGAGTCCGACAACAAGGAGGACGAAAACGACTACATTGTCCGGTCCAACGGTAATTACGCCATGGCCAGATCTGTCAGCACCGATATTGAGCTGGAAGCTGGCACGTATTCGGTGCTGATGAAGATTACCGCCACCCGGAACACGGACAGAGAGCACGTCGAAGATGTATTGCCCGTCTATGCCGCCACAAGACGCGAAAAGCTCATTCAGATGGGTCTTTCGTACGACCTGGCGCATGCCAAGGGCGTGTTGGTGGAAACGAAGGCAGAACGGAAAGAGCGTAAAGAGCGTGAGAAGGCTCGTCGGGCAAAGGAGAAGGAGAAGATGAAGGAGAGGGCGAAGGCCGAAGCGAAGAAGCACTGGGAGAGACAGAAGAAAAGGCATGAGCTGGAAAAAGAGAGGCGGGCGAGGAACAAGGAAAGGAAAGAGAGGAAGAAACGGGCAAATGGCCAGGTCGACCAGGAGCCTTCAGAACCGGTTGTCGAGAGGCAGGGAACCTTTAACAGCATGATCAACGGGAACCCTGAGAGCGACAAGGATAGTCCGACGATGCAGAATGGGCACGTTGACAAAAGCGAAGATTTGAACCCCGTGTCCGAAACAGTCGAGGTCGAGTCCGTCGCCGTGGGCGTGAAGGAATCCGCGGAACGGTTAGAGGAGTCCAGCGCGACCCCTGCTTCTCTGGAAAAACCGCCGGAGGAAATCACCGCCGGCGATGTTGTTCAGCCGCTGGAAGAAGTGATCAAAGTCGCCGACGCAGAAGAATACGCCAGCAAACTGGAAGATCTTTCTGACAAGAGGCCCGAGACCACCCCAGCAGGAACTAACGATGCGCTCGTCCAAGCAGACGGCTCCAATGTTGTTACCGACATCAAGCCGTTGTCGAAGCCGCCTCCACTATCTCGTCCAGAGCATGTCACATCTAAAGACATCGGCTCCGGTAACGATGCGACTTCTGTAATCACGAGGTACAGAGATCCTCAATCTAGCACGGCGAATGGACCTCATCGAAGAGCACCCCAACGCAGCGATACGTTCAACAGCACAGCCGTCATGCTGGGCATTGGGAGCGGCGCTGACGGGAGCAGGGATGAGATCCAAGACGGCGACGAAATAAGAGACTTTGACATTGACCGCGAAAACGACGGCAACCAGGAGCCAAACGAGGGAGGGCCCACGAATGACGACGATGTCTCCGACGCAGACTCCTTCCCGCCGTTCGATTGGAATTCAGAACTCGACATGTCGCCCTACATGAGCAGCGACGCCGAGTCAGATGCCTCCTCGACTCCCAGCTTCGTTCCCGGTCTAGGCCGACTCAGACCCAATGTCCGCCGCGGGCGACGCCGCTCACGCTCGCCACTGCTCAACCCGGCCATCGACATGGACGGATCGGGCATGAAGCAACCAGGCAGCGGACCTGATGACGACGGCGATGGGCCCGGCGAGCCCTGGAATGCCGTGTGCGTCGTGGGGCTGCGGGTGTATTCGACGCTGAAGGGTGAAGGGATCAAGCTGAAGGTCGTGCGCCCGAGCGAATATTCCGACGACGACGAGGGTAAAGAGGACAGACGCAACGCCACAAACGGGGCCAGTGGGAGCCCAGGCACCGAGAACAAGGCCCCCGCCGAGCCCATCTTGGACCCGGACGATATCTCCAAGGGAGCCGTGGCCGCCGAGCCTGAGAGCACGGGTGCCGTGGTGGTCGGCGAGCACCAGAGACGCGACTCAAATCTCCTGGGGGACCGCATGAAACTAAGCGGTAGCAGCAGCAGCAGGAGGATCTCAAAGCTTGGTATGCGTCCCCCTCCAGCGGACCGGTTGACGACGAACGTGAGGAGATCGAAGAAGGAGATTCAGCTTTCGCGGAGATGAGTCCGATAAAATAGTGCAGGCGACGAGAGAAGGAGGAGGAGGAAAAGAAGAAGGGAAAAGGCAAGGGTCTCTCTCTCTGGTTTATTGATAGGCGGGAGGGTTTGCTCAATTGGTCCCCAGGGCTGGAAGGGCGTGTCTATACAGTAATATACGACAAACCGGGTTCGGATATGGAACTGCTGCTCATTTCTTTGTATCCATCCCTCTCTTCCCTTTTCTTCCTTTCTCTCTCTCTCTCTCTCTCTCTCTCTCTCTCCTCCTCCTCCTCCTCCTCCTCCTCCTCTTTCCTCCATGTCTGATATCTCTCCCTCCCTCCTCTGCCTCAAAATGTAATCACATCACGATTTTGCAACATACGTATCACCGGTAGATGTCTGATGAGTTTACGAAGCAAATCAAATCACGACCTAGGTAGGTAGGTAGGACTTGACGAGTCACACAGACGGAAAGATACACATACATACATACATACATACATACATACATACACGTTTATTTACATCTTGTTGGTGTTGTTGCGTGTGCGACGTGCATCCATCCATCTATTTATCTACCCTTGCCTTGTCCATGTTGTCTAGGGACATAGGTAGGGCTTAACAAAAAAAGCCTGCCGAGGAAAGAAAGCAAGCCCTACCGATTCGAATGGCACATATTATTCTGGGCTATGCGCCTGTGCTCTTTCTCTTGCTATATATACATCTGACCATACCATGAAATGCGATGTGGTGATTAATACAGGCATCTTCGTGGACTCAGAGTGCGGAAATCTGCTGTCAAAGTTGGTAAAGGCGGTCGAAAGGGGCGTTCGTCCATAACAATTTCCATAGCTATGTAGCCGACCACATGTCCTCGCCAATTGGCATTAGCAACCCCAGTACTACCACTTGGTGGCTCAGTGACGGGCCCGGGATCATCGTAAGAGTCTGAGGTAGAGCCAACCGGGCCTTTCGTCCCACTCTGGCATGCTATGATACTGTTGTCTCCCTCGATTTCTGGGTTAAATCGTCTCTTTTGCCACCAACCTTCACGAATCTCCCGACGGAGGATAGATACAGTGTGCGACACTGCCACCAGAAGTCCTCCAATAAAACGACCCGGAGGGCCGAAGCCTGAGCTCGGATCATAAGACACCATGCATCGGTACCATCGTCCTGGGTCAACATATGCGTCTGTTGTTCGCCTGGCGCAAAGCAATTCTTCTCTATCCGACTTCCTGCTCTGAGGATGCCTCGATCATATGGCTATGCTTGTCGATGCCGAGTCCGATTTCAGAAGAGTGCCTGCGCTCCTTTCGGCCGAGTATCTTCACTGTTGTTGTCAGGCTCAATGGATGTTTTCTGATTCTTCTTCCCATCATGACAACGATATTACCCCGTCCTCATCCAAGAACCTTCAGCCCACCCTTCGTCTTCGGCTGTTTCTTGTGCACACCACCGTGCTCTACCTTTCCGTGGCCACCAGCGCCGCCTTTGCCCTTGTGTCCTGGCTGCTTTGTGCTTGTAGGTCGCACGTCTGTCACAGCTTTTTTCACCACGATCGGATGGCTGCCAACATATTTTCCGTTCATATCTCTTGCAGCACGGAAGTAATCGTCTCCGTCGGCGAAACTAACGAAGCCATACCCCTTGGATTTTGTGGTGCGTTTGTCGCGGATCACACGGGCTTTCTGGACCGAGGGGTATTGTGCAAAGGCTTTGAGGAGGGAGTCATCGGTCACTTCGCCCGCGAGATTGCCAACGAAAATCCGAAAGTGCGCCGGGTCCCATTCCAAGAGGGTCGGATCAGTCCAACTGGTACCACCACCAGAGCGGTATACCGTTTTAGGGACATCATCTTTATGTTGATTTGTGGTTTCTTTGTGGGATATGATCGTGTTTTGGGTCGGGTTTGCCGGCGCTGCCCCCACTGGTTTCGGCGTGGACGTGTTACTAACCTCTCTGCTCATGTATGCACTTTGCCACTGCTGCACTTGGGCTTCGTAATCGGCGTCATAGCCTGGATATGGGTTCGCCGAGGAAGAGGATGCGTCTGGAGTCGGCACGAAAGGGTTGCGGATCTGAGGAGCGCTCGAGTACGATGCGTCATATTGAGGTAATGATGTAGGTTGCGGATACTGCGCAGCAGGACTGTAGGTGGTGACCGGCGCTCCAGCGTAGTGTGCTGGACTGCTTGTGCGATATGCGTTCGCTATCGACCTTGGAGCAAAGGCTGTGAAAGCCGGCTTGACAGAGGCGGCGCTCGATGTCGGTTTAAATGCTGGTGCAGGGCTGACTGCAGAGGGCGGCGGCCGCGCAGGGAGTGAAGCTGGAGGTTGAGAAGTATTGAGACCTGGAGAGGCCGAATATGACATGATGAATGTTTGATCTGGCAGTGAAACCACTGGTTGATGAGACGTACCGGAGACCCTCTTCGGAGGTTAGTCTTGGACCAGCGTAATAGGGATAAACGAGCGTAAAGGCTGCTGGATGAGAAGAGGTGCACTGCAATTGTATCTTGTCTACAAGCTTGAAGGTAGGGCGGTGAATCACTGATGGACCGGTTCTCGAAATCTGTAGAAGAGCGTTTGGCGATCACCTACCGAAGCCTTTGATCAACAATCATACGTAGATCTGGACCAAACAGAATCCGCATCAAGTTTAACGAAGCCACTAGGTCTCATTAAGCATAGCTCCATCTCAACTACACGTGACAGAGCTTGGCATGAGAATATTTTTCTGGCGGAACCAGTTTGTTGAGAAAGCTCCGAGATTTTAGTCACGGGGATACGGGGAGCATGGGAAACCCAAGAGGCGGCCAGAGAACTATGAGTCCTAGCAAGGACCTGTGGCTTGATCTCCCGCATCAGTTACAATCAAAAGGGGGAGCAATATACGGAGTAGGGTGACCACAGCCTTCGCTGGTCTCCTGCGAACCGGTTGTTTTCGGACGGCTCGGGAGAATGATCTCGGAAGTCGCAGCTGGCCAGCGTCCGATGTCTTCTCGGCTCAGGGCAATGCCATGCCCAAGGCTGGAAGACTGAGCCAATGCTGAGTCACCAGTGTCCTGGTTATTCACGAGTCCTGATAGCACATGGTCTTCTGCCAGACGGTTGCTGGCTTATTGCATCGTCTTCATGAAGTCTACGTAATCCTTCATTGGGGAACTGACCGTGCCTCGATGAGTGGTCAAGACGACTAGTCCCAGCGACAGGAGTAGTCAGCCGGCGGAGGGCGACTCAGTACCCATGACCACAGTGGGTGGGTGGGTGACTGCAGCGGCCTTCCCAATGCCCCTCCAACGAGAGAAATTTGTTTGGTGGGGTTGAAGCCGTGCCTGAGCGGTAATCCATGCCCATGACCAGCTCTAATCAACATATTATTACTGCCCGTTCCGCTGTTGCAGCTTTCTTCTCTCTTCTTAACGTTCGTGCCTCTCGTCTTTTTCGGTGCATTAGACAGAGACTCGATTGCTGCCTTCAGACTTGTCCGTTGAATTTTCCTGTGAAACGTATAACGATACCTAGATCTATTCAATCATCACTTCATCACTACCGTCAACATGTCTGGTCCAGTGTGCGTACCTCTCCCTCTCGTTGCGCAACACTACCAATGGCCCCCCACCCTCATCTTCCTCCCCTTCCTACATTGAGAATGCACTTCGGAACGTTGCTCTCTGCCTCATATAATTACACTCGATTGACGAACAGGATGCTGACTTTAGAGCGCGACTGGCTGGCCTCAAGGTCGGCCCTGCGCAGTCCGAACCCAGTGGTGATTTTGGTCTCATTGGCCTTGCGGTCATGGGTCAGAACTTGATCTTGAACGCTGCCGACCATGGTTTCACTGTCGTTGCCTTCAACCGAACCGTTTCCAAGGTCGACCGTTTCCTCGAAAATGAGGCCAAGGGTACGGAACAACAATCCCGTGGGTAGCGAAAGAGCGTGCTAACCGAGCGTGCCCAGGCAAATCCATTGTCGGAGCCCACTCGATCGAGGAATTCGTCTCCAAGCTCAAGAAGCCCCGCCGTATGATGCTCTTGGTCATGGCCGGTCCTGCCGTCGACGACTTCATTGAGAAGTTGCTCCCTTACTGCGACAAGGGTGATATCATCATTGACGGTGGAAACTCCCACTTCCCGGACAGCAACCGCCGCACAAAATACCTTGCAGAGAAGGGCATTCGCTTCGTTGGAACTGGTGTGTCCGGCGGTGAGGAGGGTGCCCGGTATGGTCCCTCTCTGATGCCTGGTGGTAACGAGGAGGCCTGGCCCTACATCAAGGACATCTTCCAGAGCATCGCTGCCAAGTCCGACGGTGAACCCTGCTGCGACTGGGTCGGTGATGAAGGTGCTGGACACTATGTCAAGATGGTCCACAACGGTATCGAGTACGGTGACATGCAACTGATTTGCGAGGTGAGTTGGCTGGCCGATGTGTTTCCAGGAGATGTGCCACTGACCACGCCCAGGCCTACGACATTATGAAGCGTGGTCTCGGAATGAGCTACCAGGAAATGGGTGACGTCTTCGCGGAATGGAACAAGGGCGTTTTGGATTCGTTCCTCATTGAAATCACCCGCGACGTCCTCCGCTTCACCGACGATGACGGCAAGCCACTTGTCGAGAAGATTCTTGACTCTGCTGGTCAAAAGGGTACCGGCAAGTGGACTGCCATCAACGCTCTGGATCTCGGCATGCCTGTCACTCTGATTGGCGAGGCTGTCTTCGCTCGTTGCCTGAGTTCCATCAAGGACGAGCGTACCCGTGCTTCCCAGCGAATTGAAGGCCCCAAGCCCTCGTTCACGGGAGACAAGGCTGCGTTCCTCAAGAACCTTGAGCAGGGTCTCTATGCCTCCAAGATCATTTCATATGCCCAGGGTTTCATGCTGATGCAGACTGTAAGTCAACTGCAACGATTCTCCTCCCAGCTCACCAAGCTAACAAGATTGAACAGGCTGCCAAGCAGTACGGCTGGAAACTCAACAAGCCATCCATTGCCCTCATGTGGCGTGGTGGTTGTATCATTCGATCTGTCTTCTTGAAGGACATCACCTCTGCTTACCGTGCTGACCCTGACCTGGAAAACCTGCTCTTCAACGATTTCTTCAACAAGGCCATCCACAACGCTCAAGAGGGCTGGAGAGACGTGATCGCATTTGCCGTCAAGTCTGGAATCCCCATGCCCGCGTTCAGCACCGCCTTGGCCTTCTTCGACGGCTACCGCACAAAGGACCTCCCCGCCAACTTGCTCCAGGCTCAGCGTGACTACTTCGGTGCCCACACCTTTGTGATCAAGCCCGAGTATGCCAACGCGAAATACCCCAAGGGCGAGCACGTCCACGTCAACTGGACTGGCCGTGGTGGCAACGTCTCTGCTTCCACCTACAATGTCTAGGCGTATTGCCGTCTACGGCCCTTCCCCTCTGTCTCTCTTTTGCATGTCTTCTAGCATCGCCTTGGGAGATGGGTCTTCGAAAACATGTCCATGCAGGCTCTGTCGTTATGCGTGGTACTTGGCTTGGAGGGCTTCAGGATTGCATCTAAGGCATAGATAGTGTTCATAATTGGGCCTTGTTTTTGTGCCTGGAAAATAAAACTTGATCCTGGGACTCCCCCTTTACGGATTTCGGTGAAACTCCTCCTCCGATCGACCAATCAGATGCGGCTAGTATCCCGCACCGACTCCAGACTTTCCCTTTCCCCTTCTCGCCAAATAATAAGTTTGTCCACCAGACTGCGACCGCACCCGTCCGTTGCGGCTTCTCGCGCTCATCAACTTGGAGGGTTGAGTTGATCGACCACGCGCCTCATTTTCCTTTTCACTTCGCTGTTGCTATTCCATTCAATTTCCCAGAAGCATTGGCATTGGGCGCCTGGCGTATCAATTTTGGCTTTGCATTTCGCGCCCGGGAGCATCGTGGCAGCCGGTACGGGCCAGACCTGTCACTGCTTCACGACGAATTTGCTTTCGACCTTTCGAGGCCCACGCCGCCTCTGTTCAACCCCCACATATTCACTACTTCCCAACGCATTAGGAAGGTGATAGGTTCTGTGGGAGGGTCCTTTTATAGCCTGACCTTCTTCCGCGAGCCGCTACCGCATGATGATGGCAGCCGACACAAGACGTCAGAATGCAGGAACAAGAGTGCCAGTGGCCCTGCCCAAGGGCGAGCCTTCTCAGCCTGCAGCGTCGTCGTCGGTGTCTCAGGATATCAGTTTGCAATTAGCTATTGGAAGCCGGTAAGACTGTGGTCGACCAGATCAAACCGAGTTGGTTGCTCACTGTGGTCACAGCGTCCGCTTGACCACCACTACGCCGAATCAAACAACGGTGGAAGGTACTATCTACACAGCTGATCCCCTGACCAACCTTCTCGTTGTAAACACTGCTGCCAGCTCTACCGTGTCCATTACCTCCACCTCCCTCGCCGCACCAGCTGGTGCCTATCGAATCATCCCTATTTCGCAAATCAGCACGTTCCAGCTCCTCTCGCTCCCTCAATCACCCCCGGTATCTGCGAACACCTCCACCCTCAATACAGTCGACACCAATGGTGTGCAGGCCCGGCTTGCGAGGAACATTGCTGGCCAACAAGCGGCACGAGCTCGCGTCGGTCCCAAAGGCACTACCCCGGTTGATCAGGCGCTGTTTGATGCGCTCTCCCGGACTCATCCGGCGCGCTGGTCTGGCAACATGATGGTCATCTCAGATACTTTCTTGATCGACAAGCCGTATGGTGCGGCCAACGTTCGGCACGCCGAGGGCCGGGATGGTGACCTGGACCGAATGAAGAAGGTGGTAGATATGGAGCGGCAGAAAATCACTCTGAGATTTGCCAAGGGATCGCTTGACGGGAAGCTAGGATCTGAGGTCTCGCCGATCAAAGCGGCTTCACCCGCCGGCATGAAGAAGGGTGGCTGAGGTAGATTAATGGCATACACACCCGAACGTCTAGGGTTCGGTAAAGAGTGGGACGGACGGCTGACTGTGCGGAATCCCGCATAGGAACCAGGAGCAAGCACGGACTGGCCCTCGGTATTGAGGCGGATTATTTGGCGTCAACATCAGGATATCAACCAGCACGCCATGGAGTGCCGACGACGGTTGGTGCCCTAGTGACTGCACCCTGATCATCCCGGGGTGGCCTCATCCAGACCGAGGTCTTTACCACCTTCGAGTTATGGTGGCAGGTATCTTGATCGAGCAGCAGGATAGCAAGGCTCAACATTCTGTCAGTCCATGGAAATTGGGCCGTGAAGAATCTCAGAGGGTTGTTGTGCACAGAGCTCGACCCACCGTGCGTCGATAACAGCGTTCTGCAAATGTGCTCGTTTCTCTTATGTGTCATATTTGGACTGTCTACACGAAGTACGGAATATAGGCCAAGTATTCAGCTGGTGGACATCTCTTGCAATGATTTTCGTCTCCGCTGTGCGGGGGCAGCGGAGATCGACCCCCTTTCGCACGGCAGCCTTGCGGGTGGCTCGACCATTGACCGCCTCACGACCATCCAGACTCGTGTGGTGTGCTTGTAAAAGGGTGGTCAGATGACAACAGAGCATTGTACTCTTACTAGGCTCAAATGGCTATGGCTGATGACGCCTTTCCCAACCTAGGAACACAATGGCCATGGCCACTCATGCCCTACTCCCGGTCGGACCGGACATCTGGCTGTCTCTCATTTCCCACCCTCAACTGTCAAGTGGAGTTCTTGCGAATCTTATCGTCCAATTCTGTGTGTGATATGGACAGTGTGATCGGGATTGTATTGAAGCTCACATGAAACCCTGCAGAGTACTTGTCCCTACAGACGCAGAATCCGCAGCCAGCAGTTCCCCACTAAGTAGTACACCTTTTCGCCTTTCGGGATCAGTTGGAGTCTCCGTGTTGTACCACTCGCTACGCAAGAAACCTGGCATTGGCTCGAGAGATACTTTCAGCTCAGAAAAGCCTTTTCCACGCACTCGATGGCGTCCCCAGTATTTCCCATATGCTGATGACCGGACTCATACTAGAGCACCGACTAGCCCGACAACAGCAACCACAAAGACCTCCTGTGACAGGCCCCTATGTTCTGCTCCAGCACTGCTCGTTGCGCTTGCGACCGAGGCTGTCGCACTGGCCTGTGACCCGGTCATCGAGGCGCCACTGTCTGTGGTCGTTGCTGCCGCCCCTCCGCCGCCGCAGTATTGCGAGCTCAGTGACATCATGTCACTCGTGGAAGGGATGCTATCTCCACAGATTGACGTGTAGCAGCTATGAGAGAAGATGTCAGTGAAGTGCCAGTTGAAGGACGTGGGGGAGTCACTACCTGAGGGCTGCACGAATGTAGCTACATTCGCACGAGCTGATGACTTGGAGGTTGGTCTCCGTGGTGGCGCACTGCACGACAGATCCGAGGCATTGGAGCACGGATCTACATGGAAATTGTTAGTCATTTTTGCATCCTGCATCCACTGCAAGGGAGGTTGTTGATGATGCTGGTGGTGTAGCTCACTCAGGCCCTGGAGATCCTGCTGTAGTGCAGTCCATCTGTGCCGACACCATATGGACGGCAGCAAGCGGCATGCCCAGCAACGCAGTTGACAATCTCATCTTGAAGTTCAACAGGAGCCCTGAGATATCGAAGAAGAGAGTCTGGTGGTAGATTTTTCCCTTTTCCAACACAAGGGAGAAATGAGAGAGACAGGCCCAGTGCAAGCAGGGAGGGGGAGGGCTCTGGTCGATTTATGCGCCCTAGAAATTCCCCCCTCCCCCTTGCCTTCCCCCTTGAAAGGGGCCGTTTGAAAGCCCAGTCCACTTTCACGATCACGACCACGGCAGGAAGCACGAAGGGGGTTTCGAGACACGAGCCCAGAAGATATGGATTGGCGTCTCGGCGAGAGGCTGGGACTCACCGGTCAGGTTGTGAATGGGCTTTATAAGGTGTTTAGACTTTCCAACACCCCGACGGCCAAGTCTCTTGTTCTTTCCATACGACTTGTGTGACATGGTAACGAAGAGGTCTTTTCTGTATTTCTCACATTCCGCGGTGGCATAGGGCTTGGCGAGGTCTAGAACAGACAAGCTTTGACTGCTAAAGCTCGTGTCTGCAGTGGCCAAGAAAGCTTCCTCATGACAAGTCACAGCTTATCACCCAACAAGTGAGAGAGGAAAGGCATCTCAAGCTGGTCTTTCCCGTGTGTCGCTCGTGTGCGGCTGAGAATCGTCGCTTGGCCTCGTCTCGTCAGTCGCCAGCGGAGCCGACACGAGAGTTTTTATGACCAAGTCCGTCCTGCATCTCACACACAATAACGTGGTGGCCCGCTCGCCTCGTGTTTTGTCAAAAGGCCCAGGGCAGTGGTCATAGGGCTGATCAGAAAAGGGTCTCGTCGACAAGGCAGAATCGTCCCTTGCTAATGCCAATATGGACAGCACCGGGTCGCTACAGAAGGATAGCGTCGAGAGCTTTACCGTTTATCGACCACCTCCGACGGCCATCTGGCACGATACACGGGACGACTTGCATACTTCGTACCTTTACATGTCCATCCAGTACACCAAAAAGAGTCAACCAGCAAGCTTGTCTTGTTGGCTAAGCTTGTGTGTGTCACAAGCTTGTTGGTTGAGCTTGTGCGTGTCTTGAGTATTATTTTTTCGTGGCGTTGAGCCCGCAAGATGCCGAACTTCCAGCCCTCTCACGCGCCTGGCGAAGGCTCCTGCGGAATGATGGATCGAAATAGCTGCGTTGGAGCACAACGAGGCGAGTTTGGAGGGTGCCCATGGAAATATGTGAGTCCTTGGGTTCTGGAGGCGGAAGAGGTATATCTGCTCCAGACACCCTCCCATCCTCCCTTCCTCCCTCCCCACAGTGCTTCTTCGACACCACAATGGCTGCCAAAATGCTTCCCCGTCTGCTCTGCACCATGATATGCGTGCCCTTTTTCTTCCTCTATCTGGTCGACGCAGCCTTGATTGAGGCTCGCAGGAATCCGACCTTACTCTCGCCCCCACAGATGTATGGCCAGCTCATGAAGCGCGATACCTCGACCCCAACCAACTCTTGCTTGCCAGCCCTGGATGCGACTTCGTGCGATGGCCTAACGGGCTGTGCCGGTAGGTCTCGAGCGTCGTCTCGATATTGGAACACGCTATGATGCATCTTGCGTTCGGTGGCTGACGATCACTACTTTTTGTCTAGTATACTGCTGCCCGGCGGACCAAGCGTGCTGCAACGCCCTCGGGTGTCGTCCCAAGGACAGCATCGGCTGCGGAGTGGGCTATGCCGCCGATGGATGGTCATGCTGCGGCTCGGCCTGGCAGTATCCTAAAAGCCAGGGAGCGACCTGCTGCGGCGGCTCCCAGGGCTGGTGGTGTCCGGCCGGCTTCCAGTGCATCAAACATCTCATCGTGCAGTATAGCTGCTGTACCGACGACACCTGCAATGTCTACTGGAACGGGACGGACTCGGTCACGGTATCTGCGAACTCGACCACGCCGTCGACTCCCACCCTTCCCTCGCCGACCACCATCTCCACGCTGCCGGACACCGCCCCACCGTCCACAACACCGGTGACCACCCTGCCGCCGGCTACGACCAGGTCCACCAGCAGCGTCGTCGCTCCTGCGACGCCTACGACATGCAACCCGTCGGGCCCGCAGCCGACGTTCCTCATCCAGCAGAACAACAGCACAACCAAGGAGAACGGCACGTACGCGGTGCTGTCCAAGCCCGGCGGTGGCCGCGACAAGATCTCCTTCTACGGCACCACGGCCAACGCGACCAAGTTCACCTTCAACAGCGCGTGCAGCCTCATCGGGGCGGTCAGCCAGAACGTCGCCAACGTGCACCCGCCCGTCAACGCGACGGGTCCCGCCATGACCCTGTTCTTCGACTCGCCCGCCAACATCACCACCATGGCCTACACGACCCCGACGTTCAATGTGGCGAGCGGAGGTTTGTTGACGTGCAAGGTCAATGCCGTGGCGGAGAAGTGGTTCTCCTGCGGTGGGAACCTGGCCGTCGGGGGGAGTGCCGGCACCGATTGTGTCAAGATCGGCCTGGCGCCGTATTTTGTGAAGAGCTGAGCACGGGGGGGCAGTCATTACATTGAATTGTTCTTGGTATTTGTGGGGTAGTATCTCACGGGTAGCTGGTGACCTCCTCTAATGAGTTACAGGTAGTATGATTCATTGCGTGTTCCCTGGGATTGTACGAGCATAAAGTCGGTTTCGAGCTCTTGAATGACCTGACGCCGTCCTCAAAGCGCCATCGTGCCAGACGTCCCCGACCGACAGGACTCTTCGATATCAGGAATATCGGAGTTTGACTGTTGCCACTGCACTGCACTGCCCTGTCTTGGTTGGCCCTTGTCCTTGTATGCGTGTGTGTGACTTCAACATCCTCATGTTTTCGCACAAACCACAACCAGACCAATCTGCTCTGTTCCGTTCCTTTGAGCCTCGATACTGTGGACGAACTATTACTCGTTCCTGGATTTGGTCTCCCTGGAGAGAGATGCCTTTGAAGGGGGTTGTTCACCATCAGTTCCGGCGGTGGCTGGGCTCAAGCACGCGTTCAATTCCACCTTACATTTAGTTGCGCAGTTACCTCCCACAACTAGCAGGGGGCCATGTGGGAGGGTGAGCACAATCGATGGCTGGCTTGTGCAGCAGAGGTGGACACACCTTGGAGCAGCGAGACGAATACATAGCCAGATGCGACTGCGCTTATCAATCTCGAATCCCAGTTGAGGTACTGGGTGGGTATTCTATACCAAGTATTATTATTAATACGGTCGCTAGACAGTCTCCCTCTATACCTCTTACAGAATAGAATGTATCATACCCATCAAAATTAGCGCCATTTTGGTGATATGGCGCGGAATTGCCAGGCCCATGTTCGCCCCTTTCGTCTTGTCTGGCAGCAAGCAACCACCACAAAGGTCCCATATGTAGTCGTCGTAGATTTTCCGATGAAAGTTTAAAGACTCTCCACTTCCATGTTTCCGAGGAGGGGAGGGGGTGAAAAACAGAAGAAAAAGACTTACTTCCTGAAAGTGTGTTGGTTGCTGGGGAGTCTCGGAAGAGCCCCCGCGTCGATGATGGCCAATTCCCGAGCTCGGATGCGAGATCAGCGCCATTGGAGGCGGGCGGGCGGGCGGGGGAGAACTTGTTGCTCGATGGTCAAGTGGCGGTGGGAGAGGGAAAGAATACAGCAGCAGGATGGGAGAATTAGCTTAGCTTGATGTCGATGATAGCAGTGCATCGGGTGTGAGCTGGGGAGAGCTTTCAACATGGACATGTGAGGCCACTGACAGGGGCTCACTAGGTAAAGGTAGTAAGTATTACAAGCAGGATGCTCACAGGAGCTCATTTGGTTGAGCTTGTAGGAGTTGATTCTTCCAAGAGGCCGTGTTTCCTTGAAGAATCATAACAATAGAACAATGAGTCTGTCTGTACAAATGTTTGTTTTGAGTGCAGCTTCCTAGCTTCGATCAAACCCCTTCGGATCTGACCCACGCTCTTACGTTGGTCAGTGCTGCACAGCTAGCTCACTTCTAACACTCGACGATTGCGTCTCACGGAAGGCCCCTCGCAGTTTCTCATATGACCTGACTTGCTTGAAGACAGACCGACCCCTTCAATGTTCAATCCCGCACTACAGCTTGATCAGGAACCCCTGCAACTGCTCCGTCGTCCGCGCCCCGACGTCGTGGTGTCTGTTCTCCTCCCAGATCTCGCCTCCTTCCCCAAACTGGTTCGACAGGTGGCCCAGGAAGAAGTCCAAGTTCTTGTCCGCCTGCGGGAAGGCCGCCTTGAAGACCTCGAACAGGTCCTTCACCTGTGGCTTCTTGTCGGCATAGGTGATTTTCTCCGAGAACAGCTGCAGGTACTTCCGCATGTGCGCCATGTCTTGCGTAGCGTCCGGGACCCACCCAGCCTCCAAGTGGCCGGGGATGATCTGCACAGGCTGGAGAGCTTCGATGACGTCGAGCGTTTTGTTCCATGCCTCCAGGATCTGCGGCGTTTCAATCTCTTCAACCCTGTGACCTCGCCGTCAGCGTTGGACTGATGAAACTGTGGAAGTATTTGGACACTAGACCTACCAAACGTGGGTGCTCCGGGCGTAGACGGAATCACCGCAAATGATGACCCGCTCTGTGGGCAGCCAGAACAGCGTATGGTCCACGGAGTCGCCCTGTAACGGACCCAGAAGGACAATGGGCGACTGGGGGTTGCCTTCGAGCTGCAGGAAGCTGAACGTAAAGGGGGTGGGCTTTCGAGGCTGGGCCGGCACGTTTTCCTTGCCAAACACCGACGGCCAGTACTTCACCTTCTCGTCATATTCTCGATCGATACCGGCACAGACGTATGGTGCAGCATAGAGGGTTGCGCTGGGGAATGCTTCGAGAATGGGATTCGCGGAGAAGTAATGGTCCGGGTGGTGGTGTGTGATGAAGACCGCCTTCAAAGCCACGTTGGTCGTTTTCTTGACCCATTCGACCACAGATTTGGCATCGGGGATCAAGAATGGAGGGTCAATGAGAACAGCCAGACTCTGGCCCACAATCAGAGTCGTGACACTCGAGAGGCCTTTTTCACTTGAGGAATGAATGAAAGTCTGCAATTTTGACGCCATCGTGATATCGCGACAAGAAATCTGACAACAGTTTCAAGGGGGTGGTAGGGTACAGATCGTGTATAAGTACAGATCAAGAAGTTGTCTCCGGAGGCTGAAAGCCTCCACCTTCCATCTTGCGGAGTTGCGGAGCCCCGGAGGAGATTAGCATCATCGTCCCGGATGCGTTCTCCTTGTCCTGTAAGTCGATGTCCTGGGGGTTAATCCGAAGAAACCACATACGCTCACCAGCAGGTCCTTGGCGGAAGGACGAAAGGAGCGAATCTTCAGATATAGCTGCAGGCAGGAGAGATGGTGCAATGGGGATGAGTGCAGGATACTTGTTATAGTTCGAGATTTTTGAAAGCCTTCTTCCATGATGAGCAGATTCCAGCCAGACACCTTCTTAGGCCGATTGAAAGGCAAAGTCGTTTTATTGACAGGTAAATACGAGCTTCTTGAAGTGTGAGGTCACATTCTCACCTTGAGACAGGTGGTGCTCATGGTATAGGAGAGGCACTGGCAAAGTTCTGTACCAACCAGGGAGCGTATGTCTGCTTTGGAGACCTGGACAAGAAAGCAGGTCAAGCTCTCGCGGACGACCTCAACAAAGCCCACCCGAACTCGGCGTCATTCAAGACCACAGACGTCACGAACTATCAGTCCATGATAGATTTGTTCGACTTTTGCCTGGGAAGATACGGCCGAGTCGATAGCGCCATATCCTGCGCTGGCATCATTGAAATTGGGAACTGGTTTGACCCTCATCTAGATTTAACATCAGTCCGAGAGGTATCAGCGAGAAACTTCTACCACAAATGTGGGCAAAAACTTACAGGAAACAGGTCCCCAACCAAAAGGTTTTAGACGTCAATTTACTTGGATCGTTGTACTTTGCCAGGATCGCCTGTGTCTATCTGCGACAGGGCCGCAAGGATGGAGACGACAAGTCCCTAATTCTTTTCTCGTCCGTGGCCGGGTTCAAGGAATCGCCCGGCCTGTTCGTCTATCAGGTGAGGGTTGAAGTGCCGCAAAGCGTGGAGTCAATGGTACTGACAATTTCTCGTTACCAAACAGGCGACGAAGCATGGTATTCTTGGGCTGATGCGCTCGTTAAGACTATACCTGCCCCCCACGATGGGTATTCGCGTCAATGCCATATGTCCGTGGATGGTCCCCACAACCATGACAGCGGGGATTGAGGCCAGCTGGAGAGCAGCAGGCTTGCCTATCAATGAGACCGATGATGTAGCCAAGATAGTCGCGGGCGTTGCTTGCGATGAGCAGCAAAACGGCAAGGCCTTTTACATCGAAGGCGGCCGAGCATGGGAGATCGAAGACAATATCAATCGTTTGGAGCCGCAGTGGCTAGGAGAAGAGCAGGCAAAGTCTCTGGCGAAAGGACAAGAGGTCTTGGGAGCGGTAGGGACTCGGACTTCCATGCCATGTTTGGGAAACTGGACTGACTCGAGACTGATGACAGGGGATGGAGTGGACCAAGAAGTCCGGAAAGTAGTCAATGCATCTTCGGTTCACGAACGAGAATTGTTCACTCGCCCCGGCCCATGATCGTTCTGCCTTCACGCCTTATTGACTCTCGGCCACTTTCAGTCGTCGCTTCACACGATATCGCACGACGCATTGGAGAGGCCGACAACTAGGAACAAATGTCCCTTGAATTGTAGGGTCTCGAGGCCGTGCCGCTGAGACAAAAACGCTGTAACAATGTACAGTCACGTCTGAGAGGTTCCCTTTGATTGGTTCGTTCGTCAAGAGCTGAGGCCGTCGCTCAGCCTCAGGCATCAGAAGCCTGATAGCGATATTGACTAGGACCAATGTGGTCTAGATACACGAAAGAACTGTTCTCAGGCGCCAACGTGATATTTCTCGCAGTGTGGAGTATGCTATTCCAACCATGGGACCGATTGAACGTTCTTAGACTGGATTAAGCCATTTCTGGCAGAGCCCCTGTCATCCCCAGGGAAGAATACCATTGCCGTGTTTCCGTTGAGATGCCCGGGCATTTTACGAAAGACTCGCATGGTCAGCCCCGCATCCTGACATCGTCCGACTTGAATTCCTTTCGAAGGGATTGTGTTGAAGCCTTGTCGAGGCGCGCATCTAGCATGCATTGTGGAGCGTGTGCACGGATGCTGAGGGAAGTCCAGCTAGGACTCCTCCGAGTGCATCCAACCAAGGATCGCGTTATTGAAGAGAACGACCCAAATATATCAAGTGGGGAACATCATTCATCCTGGGCGAATCTGCTTCGTTCTGTCGAGCAGGGATGTTTCATCTGTACGGAACTTTACGAGGCTCTTCGAACGGACCGACTCGATGGGCAGCTGTGGGAGGTCGGTTTTCTGAACGGTTCCTTGAGCAGTATCTCCTATTCTTTCATCTTAGAGCTGTTGAACGGCCACATGCCACCCTCGCTCACACACGCTGCACGCTTCGAGTTCAACGCCAATCAGCGACCCGGTGCTGCGGTCCCTACGGCCTATGGGCCTTTCGCTGTCCTTGCCTCGATACCCTCTGATAGTGAGTGGTCGATGGCACGCTTTCAGACCGATTTGACAGTTGATTAGTCTTGAATCTCAACGTGGTCGGTTATTCGCCGTCGAGTCAGAATTTCCCGCCTGAGAATCCCGTCCTTGCCGCCCACTGGCTTCGAACATGTCTCGAGACTCACAGCGACTGTAATGTGAAGAGCCAAAGCAACCCCTACTGGCGCCCGTCTCGGCTGATTGAGGTCCAATACGAGAATCGTCAGCTCTCAGCACGGCTTCAGGTCGACGAGAAAGCCAAACAAGCTAGCGGTTACCTAACCCTGTCGCACCGTTGGGGGAGTCAAACAGTTTTACAACTGCGAAATGATACTCTGGTAGCCTTTCAGACCTCTCTGCCCATGGCAGAAGTTTCTCCAACTTTCCGCGACGCGATGATGGTGACCATTAGCCTGGGCTATCGCTTTCTGTGGATCGACTCGCTTTGCAGTACGTTACCCTCTCGCCCGCTTGAAACTTCCCATATTTTTTTTTCTGGAGGTTGAGCGTCCACTTGAAGAATGTCTGGCACAACAAGGGCTTCCCCCTTTGCGTTCACCTGCTTTTGTTGCCGTTCATCGCATATATTGATAGATTGAATGGGTAGTCATCCAGGACTCGCCCTCCGACTGGAACGAACAATCGATGCTCATGGACAGAGTTTACAGCTGCTCCTCCCTGAACATTGCGGCCACCGTTGTCAACGACGAGGGCTCCAGTGGTTGCTTTTTCCAGAGAAATGCTCAAGCGGTGGTCCCACCGTTGATAAACCTTGTATTCAGACTGAAAGGCACCATCGTTGAGTAAGCTCATTTGCATCTCACTGTACACATCTTACCGTGCTGATTGCCAACCTACTCTGCCAGGCAAGACATTTCATGCTATTATTTTCGCTCATACCCGCCGTGGAAAAAAACTCTCCAATCGTCTGAGCTGTTGAACCGGGCTTGGGTCTTTCAAGAGCGATTTCTGTCCCCTCGAATGCTCTATTTTGACCGGCGGCAACTGTACTGGGAGTGCCGACAACTCAGCGCCAGTGAGGTGGCCCCATGGGGTCTCCCTGGTAAGAGTATGATTCCCCTTAAACAGGAACAGGACCAATGGGATATTCGGAATTTGATCACTCGTCCGCTGGCAGATTCGCAGCCGCGTTACGTTCTCGACGACTCGCAGACGCCCAGTCCTGTACCGGCGAATTGGGCGCGAATGGTGGAAATGTACAGTGCAGCAGGGCTGACGGTCAAGAGCGACAAGGTCGTGGCTCTTGCCGGAGTCGTCAAGGCAATCAAGTCCCTCACGCGAGACGGGTATTATGCTGGACTGTGGCACGATACGATGCTATGCGGGCTCTCTTGGTACCTTGATCACCACTGCAGACCATCCGAGATTGCACCATACCGACGATCAGCCACCTACCGTGCCCCGTCGTGGTCGTGGATGTCCATGGACGGCGCAATCTCAATGAGTCATACAACCTATCCGCTTGATGCGCGCCTTGGACGGTATACATTGGCGACAATCCGCGGCGTTGACGTACACACCGTGGATGAGGATGGAAACGGGAACATCATAGACGGATCCATCACCATCGAAGGTCACCTTGCGGAATGTGAGCTGAAAGCACAACAGCTCGCAAAGTCTTCATTCCCTACGGTGATCTTGCTCCCCAGGTCTCATGAGCATACGACTGATTGCGAGCCGCCGTGGTGCATAAGTTGCATAATTGGGTGCAAGGTCCATTTTGACGATGGTTTGGACACCATCGACTGCTACGCCTCTGTGTACATCCTTCCCCTGTTTAGAGAGGTCGATTATGGTGATCGGAGGACTTCCCTTGCCGAAGGGTTCCTTGCCAAAGAGACTGTCGTTGGGTTGGTCCTGACGAGGCAGCAAGGAGGGAAATTTGCCCGTGTTGGCTGTTTTGCAGCACATTACGACGTCTCGAAATTTACCAAGTGGCCGAACGGGACAGTTGAAATTGTCTAGGCCAGCTGAATCGAGCCACCACGTCGTGCCTGACAAGTTTTGCTATATGATTGTACGCCGTTGCTTTGTTCTGCGGATGTTTGGGCTGTGCAGCACTGAAGGGAGAGTGGGAGGACTCCTAACCATTCACAGTAGGGTTGAAAGAGTCGATCCGCGGGAAAAGCTGTGAACCAGATTGGAGGAAATGCAATTGGGCGGTCTAGAATTACCGCATGAGTCCAGGACTGAAGACGAGAACGTACAATGCTCTCAAGTCTCTGTTCCGGCCAGGCGCCACACAAACAACAAAGTTTGACTGGCTAAATTTCTATTCTATATTTTCCTTTCTCTTCACCGACGGGCCCAGGACGCTGTTTGGTACAGGGTCGGTTCTCGGACCGGAGCCGGAGTCGCGGGTTGCACTACCGGCATCTTGGATGAATGAGAAATTGGCCGCCGCAATATCGCTGATCTCGTCGTCATCTTCATCTAACTCGCGATATTGCTCCGCGTCTTTTTTCTTCAATTTTTCTCTCGCCTCTTCCCTCATTTTGACAATCTTCAAATAGTTGTAGCTGGCAATGCTGACAATTGTGATCAACAAGCCAGTGATATTAACCATGGACAGCTCGTCATGGAAGACGATCCCCGCGGCACTAATCGTGACCACTTCTTTGAAGATGCCACAGATGCTGAGGGTGACGACACTGGTGCGTTGAAGCAATGTGAATTCGCTTGCGATCATGCAGAATGCAATGCACCCCGGAACCACGAGCAGAAGCAGAGCTTTGGCGATCCCGTGTTCCCTAACCAGCAGGACGACGCCTGTGATGACGGCGGATGGCGTTTCGGAAACGCATGCTATGAAGAACAGCGTGACGAACATGATGGGGGCGATGAAAAACATTGTGGCAAATGGGTTGCAGGTTGCGGGATGGCGGAGAAGAAGGATCTGCGTCAAGGCCCATCGGAAGCCGGAGAAGAAGGATGCGGACATGGCCAACGCGAAACCGAGAGCATGAAAAGCCGTTTCGCCGGCGACCATCATGAGAACTCCAAAGGTCATGGTGAGGATAATGAGGATGAGTTTGAGAGAAGGCTTTTCCAGTCGGAAGAGGAAGGCGAACACAAGAACGAAGATTAGTACCGAGGATTTACACATGGTGTAGAATGTCAAGGTGATGAAGCGAAGAGAGGTGTTGCCTAAGCCGATGTCGAGAGATGTCGTCGTCCCGGTGGGCACTAGTCGGGTGAAATAGAATAGAGGGGTGACTAGTGGTTTGGCGGGCTGTGCTTCGTTCCCATGTATCCGCGGGTGCGGTTGAGAGGGTCGTAGGGAGGGAAATATCAAGAGGATGGCGGAGGCCAAGATGAATTGGACCACCATGTGTAACGAGGTTGCGAAGAGCGGAAAGTGGAAATCGAGGTGATCGGATGAGAACATCATCTTGTTGTACTGCCAGCCAAGTCAGTCGCTTCCAGATGATCAGCAATTCGAGACTCACAATAGATATGGCCAGTGAGAAGAAATACCACAGGCCAATGAGGACGGCATTGATGACCAGGTTGCGGACGACATTTTTATCTGCCTCCCGAGCCTCGTCTTTGGATATCCCCGTGGTGCCAGCAATTCTCGCATTGAGCCCATCGCGCCGCCTCTTTCTTTTGATGTACTTGCGTCTTTCGTGTTTGTTCAACCCGCTTTCTCCGTCATCGTCGGCATCCACGTCCGAGTCCAACAGCCCTAGTTCGTGTTCTTCTGATTCCGACATGGAGGAACCTGCCTCATCTTCTGAGCCTTCGCTTTTGGTGTCGGAGATGGAGCCAGTACCTCGCCGTTTGTACTTACGACGAGGGTTGATGAACAGAGAGTTCTCGTCAGCAGGAGTTATCGGCGGAGCGGTGGAAGAAGGTCTCGAAGCCTGGTCACTGTAGGGTGTGGTGTCCATGGAAAGGATGTGAGAAGTGAGCACGCGGAAGGAGGGGATTAAGTCATTGGTACGAGGACGCTGGATGGAAGGAGCGGTGGACTATGAACGAATGACTGGTAGCCTGAATTCAACAGTGAGAGAGAGAGCGAGAGATGAGAACAAATGCAAAGGTCCAACGGGTATGCAGGACAGTACGGAGTAGATCCAAGATGAGGGTTGCCGTTGATGGGGAGACAGGGGTGAATCGGTGAAATGGGGGTGATATGGAGTCAGACTGCGGATTCCCATAATAGAAGCAATAGACTGGTTTAGCGGGGCACGTGATCAGCTTGTCTATTAGTGCCGGAACAGTTTATCCGAGCTGCTAACTCGCCTTATTACTGTACCGACTCGCCGGGTACAAAAGGGGTCTATCCACAACCCACCTCGAATCAGATAAGAACAACCAACTTCCAAGATTGATAGCTTACTTGATCCTGTGTGCGAGTGGTGGCTGACAAGTATCGAATTGATGAATCAGGCAAATACTTCGTTGTTGTATTGGGCCTCAACGGCTGCCAGCTCTCCCCTCCCTCTGCCTTAGTCATCCGTCTTTGTCTCTTTCGGCTTGACCCCGTGATCCGATGTGAAACCCTCGACGTCGAAGCTGGCTCCCCAAAGACTTGGTCTTTACTTTAGTTCCCTGCCGTCTCTCAATTTTCTCTACACCAAAGCACGCTGGATCCAGCATGGGCGAAATGGCACGACAGGTAAAACCCCTCCAGATCGAGGACTATGGGCTCATCGGCGACATGCGAACCTGTGCCCTGGTGGGTAAAAATGGGAGCATTGACTTCATGTGCTGGCCTCACTTCGATTCCCCGTCCATCTTCGCCAATGTGCTTGACACAACCAAAAGTGCGGGAGGGCATTGGAAGATCAGCCCGCAGAGTAGTACAGTGTGCAAGCAGAACTACCGAGGATCCTCCAACCTCCTTCAAACGAAATGGATTGACGAGGACGGCGTGGTCAACCTCACCGACTTCTTCGCTGTCTCGAAGCATAACAAAGTCCTGCGAGAGAAATGGAGCGGTTCGACCTTGGTGAGGAAGCTGGAGTGCGTTCGGGGGAAGATGTCCATCTATATCGAATTGTGTCCGCGCCCCGACTATGCTCGAGGTCAGGGTTCGATGAGAGCGTCCGAGGTCAAGAGCGAGGACGGCACCTATCACCAGACCCTTGCCTGGGTTCCCGACGACAAGGAGAGAGCGGGATCCGCCGACATCCCCGAATTCCACGCCACATTCTGTACCCACGACCGCCCGGTCTCCTCCACGCCGAAGATGTTCCAGCCCATCAAGCTCGGCGAATCTGCTCCCAGTGGCAGCAAGACACGATCATTCAGAGCCCGTGTCGATCTTGAGGAAGGCCAGCAAATCTTCATGATCATGTGCAATCGCCATGTGGCTCCGCATCTGACCAAAGACCTGGTGATGAACTTGGAGAACGACGCCTACAAATTCTGGACCAACTGGGTGCGCGCATGCCAATACCGCGGGCGCTTCCAGCAAGAAGTCGAAAGGAGCATGCTCATCCTCAAACTCCTGACATATGACCCGACAGGCGCCATCGTCGCGGCACCGACGTTCTCGCTTCCAGAGGCTATCGGCGGGCCACGGAATTGGGACTACCGCTACTCCTGGGTGCGGGATTCCAGCTTCACAGTCTATGTGTTGCTCAAAATGGGCTTCCCCGCCGAGGCAGAAGCATATATCAACTTTATTTTCGCCCGCATTGCCGAATGGCGCAAGAAGGCCGAGGCGGCGTCTGCGGGAGAGAGACAACATCTCCCGTTGATGTTCGGCATCGACGGCTCCACGTGCCTGCCGGAGCTCACGCTCGACCATCTCGGGGGGTATCAAGACAGCGTGCCTGTCCGCATCGGCAATGCCGCCACGGATCACGTCCAACTCGACATCTACGGCGAGCTCATGGACGCCATCTACCTGTACAACAAGCATGGGAAGCCCATCTGCTATGCCCAATGGCTCGACATCCGCTACTTGACCGACTTCGTGTGCGAGGTCTGGACGCAGCAAGACATGTCCATCTGGGAGGTGCGCGGCCGCAAGCAGCATTTCACCTACTCCAAAATCCTCCTGTGGGTGGCCGTCGATCGCGCCCTGCGTCTCTCCGAGAAGAGAAACTTCCCCTGTCCCAACCGCACCAAGTGGCTCGAGACGAGAGACACCATCTACGAGGAGGTGATGCAAAAGGGCTTCAACTACCAGATGAACAGCTTCGTGCAGAGTTACGAGTCCAACACGACCTTAGATTCCGCCGTGCTGATTGCGCCCTTGGTGTTCTTCATGAGTCCGAACGACCCGCAGTTTGTTGGCACGTTGGATCGCATCCTGCGAACCCCGGAAAAGGGGGGGCTCACGAGCGCCGGGTTCGTGTTTCGCTACGATCATGAGCAGACTGACGATGGTGAGTCCCTCTTTCTTTATTCCCGCCCTATTTCCCACACGCTGCCATCGATTCTGACTCTGGTACCTGGTAGGCGTGGGCGGCCGCGAAGGCACCTTCGTGATGTGCACCTTATGGCTCATTGAATCGTTGATCCGGGCGGCAAAATATGACTCCAAGTACCTCGAGCGCGCCAACATCATGTTCGAAACCGTCACCAATTTTCGCAACCACGTTGGTCAGTGCCTCTTTCTTGACTTGTTTCCCCCCTCCTGTGGCTGGCTCGCTGTGGCTTGCTAACTTGTTCTGTCTGCGCTCTCCAGGCATGTTGAGTGAAGAGATCGCCCTCTCTGGCGAACAGCTGGGCAACACGCCGCAGGCCTTCAGCCACCTGGCGTATGTGTCTGCGGCGATCAATCTTGCACGGGTCACCCGAGGAGATTTCGAAGGCGGCTTTGGCACGTAGCAAGGAAGGTCGGAGGAATCGACGGGCGCAGGAGATGCTGGTCGCGCTGTTTGTCTCGTCTGGGCGCATGTTGCATGGAGGATTAGGGGTATACCGACTTTGGATGGGTGCATGATCGAGCACGAGTTCTTGTGGACGATATTGGGGCATTTGAAGCTGTCTTGGATGAGTCTGTTGCAGGCTGTTGCAGGCTGCGCACAGGTCATCGTCGTCTACAAGAATCTCTACGCACGAGGAAAGACAAGAAGAAGGAGAAGTCGTGGTGATTCAAAGATCTGCTTCTGCGTGCACATTCGTCAACTGCATTTGTCTTCTCCCTGCTGCTCTCCTGGTCCTGGTAGTGTTTTCTGTACATCCTCCACCGAGTCCGTGACGACTTCATCTGTACTCTACCCTCACCTCCGCTGACTGAATGCTGCACACCTCCTCTCCTCCTTCAGTGTCGCCTGCGACATCTATCTGTGATCTCTGGCTCTGGCTGGCCCTGCGATCCCCCCCATTGTTCCTCCACCGAGTCCGTCCTGACTCTGTGCCGTGTTCTGATATCAGAATCGTGCACACACTCACTCCCACCAAATCATCCTCCACCAAGTCCGTCATGACTTTGTATCCTTTGACTTTGAATGTCCCCCCTGAAATCCTCCACTGAGTCCGTAGTGACTGCTGGTTGGTATGTTTGACATCGTCCAGGCCCAAGATCTGGGTGCGCTTTCTTCGGCGTCAGCTGTTCTGTTCACTCCTCCTCCGAGACAATGGACGATTCGTCCACGTCTTCCTCAGCCGCCGCTGCTGTGGCGGCGGTCTGAGTGGCTTGTGGAGGAGGAGGAACCAGCTGCGCCGGCGCCTGGAGGTGCTGGAAGACGTTCGCTTGAGGTGCCTGCGCCGCCTGCTGAGAACGATCAATGTGCTCTTGGTGGAGTCGGGTAGACGGCAGCACGCCTCTGTAATGACGTGCTGTCAGGATCTTCTTCTTGGTGTCCTGATTCTTCTTTTGCTCACCCGGACTGTCCTCGGCGGCGCTGCGTTTGTGCAGGCGCGGTGCATCCGGCTCGTCGTGGACCGCGCGGCTCTGCGCCTGTTGTTTGTACAGGTCGGCCTGCATGCGCGCTGCATCCACTTGGCCTTCTTTGAACTGCAAGTCGAGTTGCATGTTCTGCACCGACGCCTGTGCCTCGTCGAACTGCGTCTTCCAGCTTTCGGCCTCCTCTTGGGCCTGTCGGATGTCTTCTTTGTCGTCTTCGTAGAACTCCCGGGCGAAAGCCACATCCATGGCTTCGTCGGTGATTTGTTCCCGAAGCTTCTTGACCTCCGCCTCTAGTTTCTCCCGCTCCTGTTCGAGCTGGTCCTTGGTATCCCACAGTTGCTTGAGATCCTTGGCCTGCGAAGCGATTCTGCTTTCGAGCTGCTGCTTCTCGATCGCATGCTTCTTGGTGTCTTCCGCATGTTCGCGGACTTTGTTCTCGAACATTTTCGAGAGGGGAGTCTTGGATGGCGTGGGAAAGGGCGAGGTGCCGACCCGGTCGGACCTTGGTGTGCTGATGGCGGCGTCGGAATCCAGCTTCTGCTGGTTGATTTCCCGCCTCAGGCCCCGGATCTCGTCGTCTTTTGTCATGACCTGTCTCTGCAGGCTTTCGACTTGGCTGTTGATCATGGGGGCCTGGGCGTCCCGGGCGCGTGCTTCGCGCTCCGCCTTCAGTTGTTTCTCGAGGTCTCGCGCGGTTGCCTCGCTCTTTTCCAATCGTTGGCTCAAAGCATAATATTGCTTTTCGCCCACCTGGAACTTCTCCAGGATTTCCTGGCGGCTTCCCTTTGCTTGCACGTTCTCTGCGTGCAGGTTCGCCAGGTCTCTCGAGAGGGCTTCCGTTCGCCCTCTCCAGTATTTCACCTCTTCCGTCGCTGGCAGCTGCTTTTCGGCGGCCTCGTTGCAGCGATGGAGCTGTTGCATGAGGTTTGTAGCCTCCTGCTGGCGGTGGGACAGCAGCTCTCTGAGCTCTGCCACCTCCCGCTTGCTCTGCTGCAACTCGTGGCCGCCTTGGTGGTTCCGGGAGCGCAGCTCTGCTGCCTCCTTCAGGGCCTTCTGCAGGTCCCCGTTGCAGCTGCACAGGTCCTCCGAGGTCTTCTTCCAGGCAAACTTGTATGCCTCCAGGTCCTTGCCTGTCTTCTCAAGCTCCTTCTTGCTCGCGAGCAGCTCGGTCTCCAGGTTCACGAACGCGGCGTTCTGAGATTGGTCGTTCAGACCGATACACTCGGTTTGAGTGCCTGCCTCAACACCTACCGGCGTGATAGCCGGAGATGCCTCGACAGCGAGATCGGTCTGAACGCCAATCTCTGCGGTGGCCACCACAACCACCGCGGCTTCGGCTGTAGCCTCCGCCATCTGTGCCTTCAAGACGCTGATCTCAGCGTCTTTCTGTTCGCGAACCTGGTCCGCGGCTGCTCGTTCGGCCTCGGCCGCCTCCGTCCTGACCTTTTCGAGGAGTGCTCGCTCGGCGTCCCTCTCACGCGTGAGCAGAGCAACCTCCTCTCCAAGGCGAGACTCGAGCTTGCCAGACTTGGTCTCTTCAGCTTTGAGAGAAGACCGGAGTTTGTCAGACTCGGCCTTCTCAGCTTCAAGAGCCGCTGTCATGGCTCTGACTTTCGAAGCTGCCGAAGCAGCAACGGCCGTCAGCTCGGCCTCTAAGGCTCGGATTCGCTCATCTCTCTGAGCGGTGGCGGCACGGACGCGCGCCTCGGCGTCGTCGTCGAGGGCCTCGAGCTCGGCGATGTTGGCTTGGCAGTCCTCCCACTGCTTCCGCCATCGCTTGGCGTCCTTTTCGGCTGCCCGACAGTCCTTTTCGGCCTTCCGGAGAGCTTGGGTCTGGAAACAGGTCGGCGGTGCCTCAATGGCCCGCCGCTCCTGAATCCAGATCCCTTGCTTGTCCTTGGGCGCTCGGAGGATCTGAAGGGCCTTTACTTCTGCCGTCAGCCGTGCATTCTCCTCGGCGAGCTTGGCGTGTTTCTCTAACGCGGCTCTGAGGGCCTCGCGACCGCCCCGTAGTCGGAACAGAAGTTCCGAGATTGTCTTGACGAGGGCGGCGACGAATTGCATCGGCTTTTGGAGCTGATTCAAGACAGGACGAGTAACCGGGTCCAAGGTGTTCTTGATCGTGCTCCAGCTTGAGATTTTGGTGACGGAGGTGCAGAAGTGCCACGTCGTGGAGCAGACTCTGTAAATGGCGACGGCGACCTGGACAAGGAGAGCGACCAGGTCGACAGAGTCTTTGAATTGTCGTATGCCCCGTGACAGAAAAGGAGTTGCAAGAGTGCGCGCTTTCGTAACAGCGCGACAGTACTCTTGGAAGAAGGCGAAGAGAAGTAAGAACCCACAAATGGCAGCAAGGCCGGGCATTCCTAGCACGTACGCCATGACTAGGAATAGCCCGCTCATTTGCAGGGTCTGGAGGACGGTTTTCAGGTATTGTGACACCGAGTGTCCGAGCTGTTGGAGCCCCGTGTCGGGATTCTGCGATGCCGCAAACAACGCAGACAGGACTCCGTGTCGGGCCAAGTGGTAGACCATGAAATAGAAGAAGAACATTGTCATGAAGAACTCGAAGCCTTCCCAGTCAATCTCCGTAGCCAGACGGGATTGGATGTACTCCCGAAGGGAGGGGAAGGCTGCGGTCTCTGGCTGCATGGTGAAAGGCATTGTGTGCTTCAGGAAGTGACAAGCTGCGGAGGGACTCGGTGTGGTCTGGGCTCGTGGCTGAGCCAAAGGAGAGGAGAGGAGAGGAGAAGAGAAGAAGTGAGGTGGTGGTCGTGACTGGACCACAGAGAAGTGAAGAGTGGTGGTGGTGGTGGTGGTGGTGGGTGTAGTGAATTTGTGGTCGTGACGGGACCAACAAAGAAGAGAAGAGAAAAGTCGTGGTGGTGACTTTGCGGTCGTGACAGGACCGAAGAGAGAGAAAAGTGCTCAGAGCAGTGAATTCAGGAGCAGAGAGAAAGGAGTGATTTCTGGTGAAGTCGTGAAGGTAGAGAGAAGTGACAAGAGCAGTGAACTCGAGATCACAGAGGGACGACTTGATTCTGGTGAAGTCTTGAGAAGAGAGAGAAGTGCTGAGAGAGAGCAGTCAACTCAAGAGAAGTGAGGGAGGAGTGATTTCTGAGAAAGTCTCAAAGGTCGGCGTGGCAACGTTGCTGTGATTGTGGTTGCGGTTCTTTCAGACCTGGTAGAGAAGAGTCGAGACAAAGACAAGGGATGATGATGAGACAGGAGAGAGGAAGAGAAAGTTGAAGGCTTTGTTGACAGGATTTGGAAGGAAGAGGCAGAGAAAATTTCACATCACGCCAAGGTGTTGTTGATTAAGTGAATCGAGGAAGTGAGGCAGTAAACAATAAACAGTGAATAGTGACAAGTGATAAGTGTATAGTGACTTTGTTTGTCACCCATCAAGTGAATTCAATGCCTCACCTTGTTTCTGCCAGACCTTTTCCTCTCATCCAGCCCATTGTTTTGTGGTGATATCATTCCCAAAGACACATGGTCGTGAATTGCGCATCAGAGGCGATACAATCGAACAATATCAACATATTGTTTGGCTTTTCCATAGTGGCCACCAGCTCTACTAGTCGCCCAACAGTGGTTCACGTTCCCCCTTTCCGTTGCCGTGGCCTTGTTTCCTTCTCTGGCGCTTTTTCTTCTTGGAGTCACCATCATGGGAGTCAGGGAGATGTTCATGGTTGCTGCCTCGTAGTTTCGCTGCCGATGGATTCTTGCGTTCACCGTACGCGTGATGTCCTTTGTTGGCCCCCGAATTCTCTTCTTCCTCGTTTGACTCGCTACTTGACGTCATCTCAAGCACGACTTTTCGGAAGCCGTTAGTGTCGACAATGTTTTCTGTGATACTACCACTTCGGGCTGGACCCTTGGAATGGTAATAGGGGCTCCTCGACTGAGTTCGAGATTCCGGCAAGCTGCCAATGGTGCTCTGGCTTTCAAGTGTCTGTGCGGGGGGTCGAGCTTGCTGTATATCTTTGGCTTCGGTGCCAAGATGGTTGGACTCCTGTTCATGGACTGAATCTGTTTGCGATGACTTTACTGCACTGTGTGGCCTCCTTTCATTGGGCGAACAGGAAAGAGAGCCATATTCCTGCTTCAAAGCCTGTACGCCTCGGGAAGCAACTTTACCACCTGAGCTGAGCATGCCCTCACCAATACCAGTTTGATATTCAGTAATATTTTCAGAGATCCGCCGGGCCGGAGTCGCTCGGTTCTCACCCTCCTTGGGCGCCGTGCTGTTGCCGGGTTTGATTTTCACTGTGTTATACCGCGTGGACCTCGGCCTGCTCGCCAGGTTGGAGGGCCCTAAGTGCTTCAGATGCTCCTTGAGTTCATCCGTGCTTGCGGCTCTTCGGCCAGCCTTGCTGTCGCCAACACTGTTTCCTGCACTCGAGCGTCTTCTAGCGCCTCCCGGCCCCTTCGCCTTCTGCGGGAGAGTGTCTGCAGTTTTGGCCCTCTGCAAGTCCTCGGGCGAGAGTATTTCACTTTCATCAATGTTGACCAAGTCAGGGGCAGTGCCAGTGATTGTCGAGGGTTCGTCAGGAAGGATGTACGTCTTTGGGATACGCCTCGTTGGTGCAGGCATGGCTCGTCGAATCGCTTTGTGCACATCGACAAACACGTCAGATTCATCCACAATCTCTTCGCCAATCAGCTCCTCGATAACGTCCTCCAAGGTGACAACACCCAGGGCGCCGTGATCTTCCCCAGGATACTCTGATACAAGGACCATGTGGGATTTGCCTTCTTGGAAGAAATTTACAATGTCAAGGCAACTAGTGTCAGGTCGAGTCTCGGGGAGTGTGGCCAGAGCGAAATCTCGGACAGGCTTTGCGTCTTCTGGGTCATACGTGATGAGCATTTTGACTAGCAACATGCCCACAAAGTTGGAGTCGTTGTCTGGGTGGTGGATGGGTATTCTCGAATAGCCCTGGGACAGAATGTCGTCCATGGTGGATTCGTCTAGAACGTCATCGAGAGACAGGGTGAATACATCTTCCATTGGAGTCATGATGCTGCCCACAGGCTTGTCCTTGAGGTCAAGAACTGCACTGATTATCGTCACTTCATCGGCATTGAGCTGTTGACCAGCCTCCCCAAGATTCCTGTGCAACGATACCAAAGTTTTCAGGCCCGCTTTTTTGTATGTTGTTCCATGATCCTCTCCAAGGAGATAGTCGAGTAGCTTCGCGGTTGGCCACGCCACAGGAGCCAAGATGTACATGAGGATCAAGACAAATGGCGCCATCCAAGAGCCGATGGGGAGGCCATAGCGGACACAAACGGACTGGGGAGCTATCTCGCCAAATATGACTGCAAAGGAGGTTAGCTGGGATGGGGCATCACAATACGAAAGGTGAACATACCGATCAAGACGGTCGATCCCAAGACGGCGGGCCATCCACCGCCTAGCGACCGATCGAGCACAATGGGGAGAGTTTCATTGGTAATTACGTTGCTCAACAACAACGTAACGAGAACCCAATGCTTCCCTTTCCGGAGCAACTTAAGCACTTTGGCAGCATGGGCCCTCTCTTTGCCTTCGCCAGAATCCTTGATGACTTGAAGGTATATCTCATCCTTGGAGCCAGTATTAGTGCCGGGGTATGATATTTTGGCTTCCTTCCACTCACCTGTCCCATCAACGCAATAGTCAGTCCGGCAAAAGCTCCTCCCAACAGAACAAGAACTGCCGCAACAGTCAAGTATATCCATAGCCCTGGATCATCCGGATCTTTCCCTTCTGGTTCGTCGGCGGAGGAGAATAGTTTGGCGGCATAGGCCGGCGCAGCTCGCACGATAGGTACCTGCCCGAGGGAGAGGAATAGGATTTTGGCGAACCCCAAGACGATGGGGCGCACATGGAGGGAGGAGCATGGACTTTGTGGTTGCATGGTTTGATCAGGCTCAATTAGCTGATATCGACATCTTCGTAGGTGGGGATAGCTTGTCGACTTCGATTGGAAATGCTTCGATTCGGCTTCGATCTACTTGCAGGTTGCTGTGAGTGGTTACGTTTTGTCTTGAGGGAAACCGCGGAGGTGAGTGTCGGATACGATCTCTTTGAGCAGCGCAGATACGGGTCAGGAGCGAGAGACACAGAGGTGAGACGATTGAAGCTGGGATGCTCTAGAGACAAGTTATTGAGACTGGTGAAATGATTGGCGGAGGCAGTGCTGCGTCGAGAATGGAACAGGGTGGTGCGGCTGCGAAATGTGATTTCGTAAGGATTACTGCCGGCTTTTAGTACATGCCTGCCGGTTGCCTCTCAGTGTGCAGTGGTTATCTCATACTCTAACAAAGCTTTGTGTATGAAAGAAGCCAGTGCAAGTATAAGTCATCCCGCAGTCCAAGTTGCTCCGCGTCATGGCAAAGCATCTCTCCCTCAGCCGGTTAAGGTAACTTGTGCGAGAGGGTCCCACGTGCCCAGCCTCTCTGGTCCTCATTTCTGACCCACGCCGCTTTAGACAGTATATACTCACAGCTAGTTCGGGATCCATTATAATTAGGGGCTACTAGCATCCGTTAGAGGCGGAACGAGGCAGAGGCTGGAAGCGGACAAGGGAGATATATAAAATGGTGGTCCACAAATGCTCAACGCAGACGATAATCCAAATAATCCAAATTCCAATCCGGCATGGGGGGTTAGGGTTTTGTGTACGTATATCCCTGACGTCTGCAACAAATTCGACTCGAGCATGCAATCAGGCAGTTTGGCTCTTGCTAGGGACCTGCATTCCCTTCAAGCTGGGTGCTTGTAGGGTTGGGCAGCGACAAGCAAAACTAAAGCAAGTCGAGAGCAGCACGTAAGATGCTTAGATACATTTTCATCTGAAGAAGCTTCATTGCACCAGACACCCAGCCAAACGTTCGAACAGGGCCTCCATGTCACCACCCCAATTCCAGAGAAGGTGATGTATTGTTCCGATGATTCACCGCCAACCATAGCTTCCACGAGCACTCTTGCAAACAAGGCAGCAAATGGGCAAGATTGAGACTTGCAGGGCTCGGATCTGTAGCACACATTCGGCTATGGTTCCTTGCTGTGCAGTCTCAGAATCAAATGTGTTTTGTCCCTTTAGGACGTCTTCCACCGTAGGACACTGAGGGAATACCCCTGTTGGGATAATCCACATCACTCCAATTTCGGTAGAGCATTCTCACTTTGTCTCAACTCCGGTGATGTCTTTGTGAAAGTCTTCGATAGAACTATACTCTCCGTGCCAGCAATTTTCGATGATCCTCCCGAACTCGATATTTTCTGTCGGCTTCAGGTCGTCCGAAGTGGGCCAGCACCCTTTCTCGCAGAAATCGTAGTTGAAGACCTCCCAGGTAGAGATAGAATAGAGGACGCAGCCAATCCCAAGAAGATCCTGATTTAATACATCTCTGGGGCAAACATTCTGCATCTTCTCGGTCAGAGGATATAGGATGCTTTCGGTAAAGTCGCAGATCTTTGGCATTCCTTGATGCATAAGCACATTATCGGTCTTAATGTCCTGTACAGCGACATTACGTGAATAAATGTAGAGCAGAGTGTCGGATATGTGTCTCATCATTTTGGAACGAATCTTCTGGTCCGGCTTCGGTTTGTTGTTGATGAAATCTGTTAGGTCGCCATCACTGGCACATACCAGCTGGATCGATCCGCTGTTCTCGTCGTATCCATGATATCCAATGACTCCATCGTGGACGCCCAGGCGCTCATAGATCATCCTCTCATTATCAACAAGCCCACGGAAGATATTCCAGCTATCGTCGTACCCAACAAACACCTTTGGTCGCTTGATAACGAATTCGCAATCAAGTGTCACGTAAATATGGGCAGCAAATCCATGACTGAGATATCTTGTGCCTGGAGGTGGCCTGACAATAAGATCTTGAGAATCGGCAGAATCCATTTCAGTATGGACTTACGCGTGCGAGGGAAGTGGTGATAGAAAAACAGAGTCAGCTAAGGGGGATTAATGCCAAGATGTCGAATTAGTCCTAGTTAATGGCCCACCAGTGGGTCAGTCGACCACAGCTCAAACATTTTGGTGTTTCAGCGCGTACTGTCACTAGTATGTTGATTCGTGCAACCCCAGGATTATTTCACCCATGACATCCCCAGATCATCACGCACCAACTTTGACTGTAAAGTTGTTGCCGGGAAATCCGCCTTCGGTTTAGGCGGTCCGGCCCCTTCGGGTATGGTCGCGGGCTGGGCGCGCCGCCGCTTTGACGGCTATAAGAACCCTCGTCCCCTTCCCATGTCTCTGTCCGTCAACCTGTTTTCCTTCTCACCTCCGTCGCCCTGATGCATCCGTCGTACGTCGCGCACTACTGCCTGCATCCTTCTCTGCAGCATCAGGCCCCCCTCGATATCCACTAGCTGCTTCGAAATCCGCCTTGCCTCTCCCAATGCACTCCGATCACCCTCCCAATCCTCGATCCTCGCGGCCTTCCCTCCCTTCGACGCAGCCCTTTTCGGCCCCCTCGAGGCCTCCAACTCCCGCGTGACCCATTCAGGTCCACCGGCCGCACAATCTACAGGCAGGGCCCAGCTGATCCCGCCCATCATCCACACCTCGACCGAGGATCCTGAGGGGTACCACGGTGCGCCTCCCTGTACCGCCTCACCTGGATGATTTTCGCGATGTGGGTTTTTCTGGCGTTTGTTCCAGATTTGCGAAAGAGTTGGGAGATCGTCACCAAGAACAGCCTGAGTCTCCGCGCGTTGACACTCAGCCCTCTTGCTTCCCCGTCGGTGCCGAACGCTGGGTGGAGGATGATAGGGCAGACTGTGAAGCGCAGCTGATGCTTTTGGCACGGACCGGCACAGCAAGCTGAGCGCCGCACTTCCTGCGTCCAATCACAAAAATGCCGCACGGGTTGATCGGCACTGCGCCTGCGTTGCTGCCTACGCTCCGCCTCGAATTCGCAGCGTCGAGCGGGGGCGAGTCCTTTATTTTGGCCCTTAGCGCTCAGGGGGAAAGGGAACAAGGGTACGCGGCGTGATACCAGTGGATTTTGTGTCTGTCTCATTTGAACTGAATGCAGTACGGTGATTCCCACAATTAGCGTCGGATGACGACAAAACCCGGGGAGGGGGGGGGAACGGAAAGAAAAAAAAAATATCGGCTTCGCAAGACAATTTCGCTCGAGACGAACGCGGACGTCGATTCTCGCAGCTACCACCCATGGTGGGTGGGGGGGTGCTTGTGAGGTTGCCCGCCTACCGGTTTCGAACAAGACCTGCAAGATCGTCCCAAAGCCCGACTTGGAGAAGCCCTCGCGGTGCTCTGAAGATGGTTCTCATCGTCCTTGAGCCTTCAGGACCAGGGAGAATAAGCCACCGCCCCATGCCCACCCCTCATACTGAGACCACCGGTCGTCGCGGGCAATGCCACGCTCGGGATATCGAAAGCCCTTGTCCCTCGTCGCGTTTTGGTGGTATGACCTGCTCCACTTGGTCGCCGCAATGGTCTTATGTAGACCGCAAGGGCCCCCCCGGGAAACATCAGCAAAAGAATTGTTTGCGGGATGAGGGCGTCAATTCGGCAGTTGTGAAAACTTGAAACTTGCAGCTGGGCCTTCTTGAGAAGTCAAAACTGGGTGGTCGTTAGGCTGTGCCGACCGTCTATATGTATGGCTTCAATTCCTCTCTTATCCTCAGCCGTCAAATCCATTCTCCTTCATAATCTTTCTGAACAATTGTCGACCGCTTTGCTCGTGTTTCTTTATTTTCCAGTCATGGCGACCTTCATCGCATATCAACCTCGAGGAAATGCACCACGCTTCGACAACCATACTTTCAGCAAATCTCCCACAGTTGGGTCTTCCACTAGTGTGTCGAGCAGACAAAGCTCCAAATCTCATCAGAAAAAGCCCGTCGGCAAAGCGGGTTTCGTGGATTTCGTGGATATGACTGTCAATCACCAGGATACCCCTCGGGAGTGTCTAGTGCTGCGGGAACTTCTGGAGCCGATGTTTTATCATCCCGACAAGATCGGCACCCGAGTTACTCGAGATCGTGGTAGCGGCGCGACATGCAGTGACAAAGTCGAAGCCGGCGAGGAAGGTGACAAGAACGATGATGGTGACAAGAACGATGATGGTGACAAGAACGATGATGGCATTGATTGTGAAATCAAAGCCAGCGACCTTCCGTCTCTGCATGAGACCTTAACGCAGAACAACAATCACTTTGGAGGTAGCGACGCAATGTTCTGCAAGGTCTTCGAATCGCCAGGCCCAATCGAGGGGACGAGCGGAGAGCATGGTCGCGAGAGTGACAGTGAGGAGATTGCCAGTCCTACCGCCACGACCGTCACAAATGTACAGCTCGGTGCCAGCCAAGGTGAGTCAAAGTCTCATCGTCCGGAGGCGTTTTGGGACCATGCATACTGACAACCTTCTCCTAGACAACCCGATTGTGCTGGACGATGACCAACCAGTTGACATGTGCCGTAAAGGCACCGTTCCTCCTGATGACGAAAGGCCCGCTTGCGAAGCTGCGGGACCGCCATATCCTGGCGACGAGTCCCCAAAATTTTCTGGAGGATGTGCCGATTCACGCACGGATGATGGCAAGCACACCCCAGACTCCTCAGCGAAGTACAACACGGACAACCGTGCAAGTCACGACCAAGAAGGCAATGAATCACACAATGACAACGTTGTCCACACTCGTACTCAGGCTAGTGGTAATGGTGATAACGATCGCAGTGGCAGCGGTGCTGATTCGGATGCACCGGCGTCTGTTGGCCGAATTCACGATGTCTTTGCCGAGTACGAGGAGACCTTCGGCTTGCGTAAGTCGAAGCCAAAGGCGGCACATTCAACTCTACCTGATTGCACAGAGAGGGAGATGACAGGAGGCACTCTTCCACGTGACGTCTTGCAGGAAGAGCCGCGGGTAGCTACGGACGACGGTGTCACGGACGTTGAACAAGCTGCAGAAGCTGCAGGAGATGATGTTGCCCGCCTTTCGAAAAGAGAGATCGGGAGTGGACCTATTTTCCAGCCCCGGCAAGAAGTCGATGGACTAGAGACGAAGACCAGGGAGATTAGGTCTCAGAGTATTCACACATTGGCCGGTGACTGCCACTCCGGTAAGTGATACCGCCGCGCTGTTGAACGTCATCCCTGATTCTGATACGCGGAATCACAGAAAACATTGGTGGTTTTCTACAGCCTCCACTATCGCCGTCTCCCATGACGACAGAAGACGCTATCGGATCTGAGTCTGGCGCTGTTACTCAAGGATCACCTCATCGGAAACGATCTCGGTCATTTACCCAACCTCATGTCCTTCTCGACGAACATGTTCCCCCAAAGCGGCCTCGCCGTTCAACGAAAGAGACGCAGAAGGCTAGAGAGGCCAGAGAGGTCAGAGAGGCAGTAGAGGCCCAACGGGCTCGTACGTCATTTCGTTCATCCCGCGTAAAACAGGTTTACTTCGTTCGCCCCGGTGGCGGTGTTGCTGGAGTGGACGGCAGGGTGGCAGAGGTCGAGGACGTTTATCTAGGGGAGGATGGCTCCATCCAGTGCGTTGTCAAGTGGAAGTCTTCGTTGATTGCCATAGATAGCCTTGTTGGTGGAGAGCTGCGGCAACGTTGCGAGCAACTGTTCGGGAAGAGGTATGGCCGAAAAGAGTGGCAGAGGAGGACGGCGGCGATGAGGCAGCAGATCAAGAAGGAATGAGGCCTGGAAGGCAGGTTGTCTGCGCTTGGATCCACGAGAATTATGAACTTATTTCACCATGATATTGTGATATGGTCAATGTAGACAGGCAAACGTTAGGTCCATTCAATGAAGTTAACGGAATGAACGATCCTCTTCGACCTAGCCTTGGACAATCCTCAATCATCCTCGACAAGTCCCGGCATTCGTGGGGTGCTCCACTCTCTGCCACTGTTTTGCCTTTGTCCTGCGCCGACACCAGCAGCCTTCTCCATCAGACACCTTCTCTCCCAAGTCGATCAAATATCGAGGAATCCGCTGGGGATATATCGCTGTACCTAGAGGGTTTCTCAGTCTGGGGGCCTTAGTTCGCCCGAGTGCGATCTCGCCGGCAAGACCAAGAAGTCACGACTTGAGAAAGGTGTGATTGCATCGAACCGCCCAAGATTTTGTCACATTTCAAACGAGTTTCCTTCAGGATGGCCGAGGTTCGAGGACTGCCCTAGGAGATGGAACCGCACATCGGGTTCCGGGACACAGCCTGCTTAACCGGCCATTTAGATAGACGTCGCCTACCCTTCGACTCGGTAGGAATAGTATTACATAATTATATAGAAGTTATATTCGGAATATTCACTAGGCGCTATCGAGGGCGTTGCCGCGGCCGACCACGACTAATCACGACTATATCTGCAGCCACTTAAATGATTTCTTATGTCCTCTTATCCTATCGACTATATTGAGCCCTAGTTAATATTAATCAATAACCAATAACTTGTCACAGATTTGCCATATAGTGCGGCTTCTACCTTCAGGATGCGTTCTCAAGGGGGAAGTTGGACTGACAAGGCATTTCAGCGGTGACAACCCGCGTGGTCTTGGCACCCGTTTGGGACCGTGACCTGCCGCTTTACTCAGAGATTAGGTGACCTAGCTCAACTTCGGCTTAGCCTCAGCGTGAGCTGCTTTGGAGTTATAGTACTCAAGATCAAGCTAAAACCCGGCCCTAGCCTCTTCCCTATTTGATACGAGGAAATAATGGTGCCCAGAAGGCGTCCTTTGGGGCGGAAGGCAGCCCTTCTGCCATGCTCACTGGGGGCCCACATTCACCCTTCCGACGTCGTTCTGTGCGGAGGTTGAGCCTACATTCAGAGCAAACATCGTCGCAAGTACCCACCATGCCTACTACACTCACCCACCCACCGATGCAAGAAGTGCAGCATGGGCCCGAAAATGGTGCCCCCAAGGTGCGATCGCCTTGTCAACACTGTTTGGATCTTAACCAGCAGAACTTTCGAGACAAAGGCTACGACAGCATTAGGCCACTCTCATACACTGCGTACCAAGTGATGACCGCCGACCGTATCGATTGCCCATACTGCCAACTTCTCGCCAACGGGATGCGGGCATTTGACGATATCAACGCTCTCACTGGCAGGCCCTGGGAGCTGAAGGCGTCGTTTGGCCTGCTCTTGAAAGGCAATGACAATGGAAAAGTCCAACAGCTAGAGTTCTACGTGACGCCCGGTATGTGCTGATGTCGCCGTGGCTTGCACAGTCGTTCTCGGCCGCGCTAACAACTCTGCTGAACAGAAGAAGAAAGATCGCCAATCCTTCCCAGCGCCATCTCCTCGGCGAAACACGTCCTTCCCATCTGGGACGATCCACATGAGATTGAAATCCTAAGAGGACGGTTGGTGAAGGACCCACCTCGGCCGGCGAGATTACCGACACGAGTCCTCGACCTGGGCGTCGGCAAGGACGACCTTGATGATGTTCGGATTCTCGAGAGGCCTGCCGTAGTCACGGAGGCAATCTATGCCGCGCTGAGCCACTGCTGGCTACGAGAAGACGTCGCGGACACCAAAACTACACTCGGCAATGTGGCGGATCGGCGGGTGAGGTTGCCGCTGCACGGTCTCCCTGCCACTTTCAAACAGGCGATATCCGCCTGCCGCCGGATCGGCGTCCAATACCTGTGGATTGACTCCCTCTGCATCGTCCAGAACGACCGTGATGACTGGAAGCGGGAAGCCGCAGATATGAACAATGTCTACGCAAATGCGTGGTTCGCCATGGCAATGCACCAGTCGGCACTTGGGCAGATGCCCTTTGAGGACGTGCCGCTCACAGTGGATGGCGAGTCGACTATTGTGCATGTCAGGCGCATCCCTGAGCTCCTAGACATCGTCGAGGGCCGAGCTGCGGCACCGGCAGTCGGGAAGGTGTACGAAGTGGCCGATAACGAACACTGGAATGCGGTGTCGCAACGGGGTTGGTGCTATCAGGAGCGCGCTCTCTCGCAACGCATGGTACACTTCACCGACCACGAGTACCTGTATGAGGAGAGGGGAAGCGTGGGACGGTGCCAGTGTAACCGGCACTTTGGGTTCGGGCTTGGATTCGCAGGATCGCTGTCGCGATGGTCGGCCAGGGAGGACGACATACACCGCGCGTGGCGCACTCTGGTCCAGCAGTACACGCAGCGCATGTTTGGGCGGCGGTCCGACCTCCTGCCGGGATTCGCCGGCGTCGCCCGTGGGTTTGGTGCGAGGCGCGATCTTGGTTGCTACGTCGCCGGGCTGTGGGAAAAGGACCTCGTCAAGTGGCTGTGCTGGAAGAGCCAGGAATGGATATCCACGCACGCCAGCACATGGGCATGCGAGAACTGCCGACCACATCCCCGACGCATTGCGTGGACGACGGAAAACCCGATCCCGAGCTTTTCATGGGCATCCCGTTTCGGCCCTTGCGAGTTTGTGTACGAGTCATGGAAGCTCAACGACTGCGTCCAGGTGGCGGCGATCGAACGCATCGAGTGTCTGATGGACGAGGACAACCCGTTTCTCAAGGTGCGGCAGCTGACCCCGGAACGGTGGCCGGACGATCCTTGTGCCAGGTATCTGCGTATCCACGGCTCCTTGTACCAATGCCTGCACTTTTCGACACGTCAGCGCGGGCACGCGTTCAACGTGAGCATGTCGCTGTGCCAGAAGGAGTACGCGTGGGCGGTGCCCGACCACTTCGTGGCGAGGTGGGATCTCGGGCGGGATGCCAAAGACATCCTGAACGACGCCCGGAAGCACGGCAAAGAATACTGCATCGACGCCGGGGACGACCTGCCCCTGGATAACTCGCGGATCTACCTGCTCCCTCTGTTCGAGTTCCCCCAAGACGGGGGAAAGTTGTGCCTGATTTTGCGGCCCTGCGTGCAGAAGATCACGCAGGAGGTGTTGGACACGGTGGAAGGGTGGGACCACCCGCACTGGATGGAGAGGATTGGCATCTCGGTTTTCAACGGTTCCCAGTTCGACCATATAAACGAGATGCCGCACCAAGTGATTCACCTAATGTGAATTACGGTCGCATACCGACGTCGGTATTAGGTCGTGGAGGCGCGTTTATGCTTGTTATAGTTTAAGTAAGGGAGTCCCGAGGTGGCCACCTACTAATATACCTATTAAGGGTTAGCCGTATACTAATGCGCTGGTTAAGAATTGGTCGCCTAGTAATCTGATGGTTAAGACTCGGGTATCTACTAATATACTTGTTGAGATTAAGCCGCCTACGGATGCGCTTACTGAAAGTTAATCGTTAGCTTATATAATTATACGTTCCGTATCTTGCTGCCGCTGTTAAGGGGACGGCTCTATCTATATCGTGTACTGCAGAACGCGACAGAAGGACCTTCGCCGGGGCTGAAAGCGAAATCCGCTTCTCCGAGCCCTTATTTGTCAAATCTAGTTTTGTGGTAATGCCTACGGTCCTTTCGCCCTCCGGATCGAATTGGCGTGATTTTTTATATGATGTCGAACTTTGAATCCTGGGGCCACTTCAGCCAGATCGTTTGGAAAATCACCACAGATGTAGGATGTTTTGCCCAGTACTGCCTGGATGGATTAGCAAATTCAGGTGCTTCTCCCTACTTTAGAACTTAGTTGCGACACTGTTCGATGTCCATCGTCTTAAAACACTTGAAGATGCCACAACTAATACTTCCAAGTGGTGAATCGATCTCCACACTTTCTTAAAAGGCTAAAGTAATTGCATATTAGAAGATGAAATCCTAATATTATTAAAGATCAACAATATTTACCATCGAGTAAGAGCTTCAGGGGATAGGAGCTTGTTCCAATAGCCGATTAACAATGTGCATGGTGGATGGGACGTGAAGGGCGTCGAAGTACCGGGCGCTTATGCCGCCTCATAGGGCATTCCACTCACCGGGATATGGATTGTGGCGGCCCGCTGGGAGGAAGAAATGGGCACCGATCACAACAGCACGAGACATAGCTTTCACGTGATTTTATATCTGACTCTGGTAAGCTTAGTTAATTAAAGAGGCGCCTACTCTAAGCAGTAGATTATTTCCTAGCAATAATGACCGAACAAGAGAGTCCGAAATAAGGCACTTCTACGCATCTGAAATACCTTAAATCGGGAACCCAAGGGGCCAAATTATGGGTCCCGACGGGCTCCACGGCTATGGTCACCCTACTCAAGGCACACCTCAGGGCGCCGCCGAGCTAAGCTCAGGGCTGCGCAGCCACAGCTCAAGAACGGCTTAGTCATGACTCAGTGAAATGGCGGGTGCTCAGGTCTGGAAACAAAAATAGACTTTGGGGAGGTCGAGATTCGCCGCTGAGTATCGTGGCATACGAGCCCCTCCGTCTCGAGTTTATGGCCGTCTTGGAGAAGACCGAGCAGGAGCTTCAAGTTTCCACCCCACCGCACCAGAGACTTTCTGCCGTCATTAAACAGGCGTCGGAAACGGGGACGTTCTGGTACAGGTTGGTGCTTCGTAGCCCGATGGGGCTCGTTCGCGTCTTCTACGACCACATCCAGCCGATCCTCGCCGACGAGCACGAAGAAAACGATGAATTCTATACAGTCATGATGGACAATTGGACCGTGAAGACGGTTCCGTTCATCAACAAGAAGCTGACGGACAAGGAGGACTATGATAGGCGACTCCGTCAAGCGTCTAAGGACGAAGCCAGAGAGAGTGTGAAAAATCCCCTCCAAAATAAAAGTCTTTTCGCGTTCGTGTCTGCTCTTGCTCATGATCCTGCTCCTGCTTCTTACCCGCTTCTTCAAGCTCTTTCCTTGCCGCTTCCACGGACTATCCTGCTTGCTCTTGCTCACGATCCTACTTCTGACCAGCTTCTTCCTTCCTCGCCCCTTCCGCGGCCTTCCGGGCCGCCTTGTTAAGCGCCTTCAGACCCTCATTTCCCTTCTTTTCCACGAACATCCGAAGGAGGGAGATGATGCTTTACATGATTCTCTGAAGATGTGCCACCGCTATCCTCAACTGTCTTTCAACGTCTTCCTTCCATGTTCAGGCGTCGGGTGGACCCCAACACTCTTGGTGCTTCTTCACAGAGAGCATCATACACAGTTTCTTGGATAGCTGGTGCTGCCACACTCATAGCCGGCATTGCGGTGCAGACCCAGACCGGAATGGTAACTAACGCTCCCAATCCTGTGAGTGTACCTAGGCCAACACCGACAGCGGCACAGGCACCGTTGATACCCCAGCCCACCACCGGTAGTGTCGTGGCGGTTGAAACTCCTGCTGCTATCTTGTTCAAGCCTTTGGGGTCGAGAACGTTCGCAACACCGTCCAAAAGACTAGCAGGCGCTGCTGGAAGGTTGAACTCGACATACTCCTTAAGCTTATGCTTCTGTCCCTCAACTTTGAATGGCTGGAGGCAATCGGGAAAATGCAAGGGCCGCTTGAAGGAGATGGAATACCATGAGGGAATGAGCAGGTGCAAGATAATGTCTTGTCCACGCCCCGACTCCCTTTTCAATTGTGCCCTAACCTCTTGCATGTACTGACATAATTTGTCCAAGTCATCTGACTTAGCACAAAACGTAAGCGGAAGAGGTGTCTCCGTGATCAGTCGATAAAATGCTGGATGCCAGTCTGTGTCAGGATGGTAGACAAAGAAACGATGATTGTCCCTTTCCGCCTTCCGGATCACACCAATTCTCTCTTTGACGAAGTCGTAGACGTGTTTCGCAAAGCCGTCGGGGCCTCCGCTTCCCGACACGGTGATACCATTTGTCTCGCCAAGATGCTTTCCAATGTCGCCCAGGGCCTGGATTACCTGGTACCCCTGGGCAATTTGGATAGCTGAGAACTTCTGCATCCAACGTCCGTAGTAGTTGATATGATCGACGAGCGAATTTCCAATGACATGGATACCATGGACATGCCTGACCACCTGGTCTGCTGAATCGGCAACTCTTTCCATGCTCTCGACTGCAACTTGGGCACTTGCGGCCACGGCCTCGGCGCCATGAGAAACTGTATCAAGGGCCGCTCTTCCAAATGTGTCCGCAGCCAGCATGGTCGCCATATTCAAAGGCTCACTGGTATTTGCGGTGGCATTGCCGGCTCCGGGTGTCGAGGCGTCTGCAGCGATGTTCGTGCCTATGCGGCCAATCTGGCCGAAAAGAACAGCCAACGGGTAACCAAAGAAGGTGCCGCCTGCCTGCAACAGCTCAGGCCAATGTTGCACAACGTGTCGTAGGATAGGTATGATCTCGTTATCCAAATATTTGACATAGGCTTCTTGGAGAGGTAAGTCCGGATAGCGCGCCCGCACGAGCGGTTCTAACTCCGTGAAAGTCATATCAGCCATCGAGCTATTCAAAAGGAATTTATCGGACTATTAAGCAACAGGATTTCGGCTCTCAAACTGAAATGAGAGCCTCAGGCAACTGGTAGGTCTCAGTTGTCGCCGTTGACCCGCCTTGGAATGTCCGTCAACGGTTGATAGTATTGAAGATGGCTAACCACGTGTCGGTGGCTTCGGCTTCAATAGGAGGGATTCCTTGAGAGACTCGGCGTTTTTGGGCTGTGCTGGTCAGCATTGTGGATGACAACGTCCATCACATAGTCTTACTGACTTTCCTTCGAGGTTTTAAAGGTCTTATGTCCAGCCCAATAGCGATCTTCTATCGGTGTGATTCGTTGTTCGTTAAAGTTACGTCTTCGGAATTGTAGGCTCCTACGAGTGACTCTATTCACGACGACGTAACGTAGTCTGTCAACTATGGACATTCAGCGATGTTAGCAATGGGCAGTCACAACCAGGGCGCGATATGAAGGGTGTAGAGAACTCGCCTGTATTCTTGGGATTTTGGATCTGAGCCTAGCTGAGTTTTCGTCGTTTATAGCATGGCGCCGCTTCCTTGTATACATTCAGTTGATATTTAAAGGCTTGAGAAGACTGAGAAAGATTGCTCACTAGTTGGCTGAATTTGGCCGACGTACTGGTCGGGTTTGACTCTGCCACCTCATGATCAGTTTGTCTCTTACTCCGAACCGCCAGCAGTTTCCAGCTTTCGTGCGACGAGTTCTCAAGAAGCGAGGTTCGCAGCGGTCGGGGAAGATGCATCATCAGTCGAGAACCAACCGTCTGCTAGGGCCACGTTCATGTATAAACGCACAGCCCGTTTTGACACCAGGGGTCAAGTACCTTATTGGAGGCTTAAGGACATAAGCGCTCCAGACAAAAGTAAGTGTGCCGAGAGCCAATCATTAGGAGAGGTTAAACTGGAGTGACCGCCCCCACCTTAAGCGCTGTTGGGCCTGGGGCAACTTGCCTATTTTACCTGTCTGCCAGGCACGCTGTAACTTGACCTCGGCGTGCTTGGATACCACCTACAACCACATGCCAACGCATTACAGCATGCTTACATTCCTGCACCCGACCCCCCCCCCCCCGTCCTCTGACGCTCGCAGCGCGGCCTCAACCTGTCCATCCCGATCTCCTCTGATGTGCGACTTGAGGTGTAGGACGTGGTTTCCCAGACGGCACTCCGAATACACTATGCTTCGAGACTTCGCCGACAGCCCGGTATAGCTGGAGAGCAGCGCCATTTCCCTCTCTAAGCCCTCCGACCCTGACCAGGAGCGACGGTAAGGCTGGCTAGCCACCCCTGCGCCCACCGGCCGCCGGTCCATTTTGAAGTGTGCCTGGCGTTCGGGCGGCTTTCGATGTAGTCAATATGTGGCAGTGTGGCTATGACCGGCGCAGTCACGTCTTGGCGAGATCTTTCGAATCTGCAAAACTTTGTCTTCTTTTTTCCCAGCCTTGTCTACCAACCTTACATCTCTGTCGGCTCCTTGCTTGTGTAGGACCATGAAAATCATAGCCGGATGATTGATGAGTAATCAGTTTGAAATCTGAAGGCTTATAACATTTCGGTCATGAGGCTACTCAATACATCGACTCTAAAGCTGTGTGCTTTCTATGAGCCTAAGCTCCCCGCCTACGTAATTCAGTCTCACACGTGGCTGAGCCAAGAGCAGGAAGCAACACTTCAGGAGTTGTAAAGCCTAAATGCAGCCTTGCAGTGCCAATGTGGCAAGGAAGCTAAAGATCGTCGAATTCGCGTAAGAGAGGGCTTGAGGGAGACGGAGTCAATAGAAGATGACGAAACTAGTAACGTGCATCCCTTTGTGCCAAGAGTCCCGCCGTACTAAATTTGGACTAAATCGAACAGTCTGACCGAAGCTTCTTGGGACTGTGGGTCAGATCCACTAAATTTAGGCGCAGTTCCTGAAAATGGGCTCCAGCTATGCTGGTCCTTGACCGTCGTCTGACGGAGCTTTTGGAAGCGGTATGTTTACAGCCGGTCACGGAAGACGCGGACTACCATCTATCTGTACCACCTTCTCGTCGCCACCATCCGATGCCGCCTGTAGCGCGTTGCCATACTGGCCTCCTTGGGGGTGGACTTCGGCACCTTGGTCGAGCAGCATCTGCACCACCTTCTCATGGCCACGATATGACGCCGCCTGTAGCGCGGTGCCATGCTGGCCTCCTAGGACGTTGACGTCGGCACCTCGGTCGAGGAGTATCTGTACCACCTTCTCGTCGCCATGATATGATGCCGCCTGTAGCGCGTTGCCATACTGGCCTCCTTGGGCGTTCACGTCGGCACCTTAGTCGAGCAGCATCTGCACCACCTTCTTATGGCCACGATATGACGCCGCCTGTAGCGCGGTGCCATGCCCGCCTCCTTGGGCGTTGACGTCAGCACCTTGATTGAGTAGCATCTGCACCACCTTCTCGTGGCCACGATCCGATGCCGCCTGTAGCGCGTTGCCATACTCGCCTCCTTGGGCGTTGACGTCTGCTAGTGACGTAGACAGCATAAACCCCAATAGTTCATCTAGGCCAAGAAACGAAGCATAGTATATTACCGAGGGAGGATCTTGGGCGAACCTGTGGTAGTCCACATCGGAATCCCAAGGTTGATCTAGCTTGTGTAACCGAACCCAACGCTCTTTCATGGAACGCGTTGTCAACAAAGTGCCAACCATCTCCGTCAACTATTGAACGAACTGGCCGTTAGCTTAGCGGTAATGGTGGTACCAGAACTCCGCAGTATATCTCGCAAAGACATACTGTTTTAGTAGATCGGGGTTCAAGGTCTATTGGAGGAATTCATCATGTTACAGATATAGCAAACAAGTTTTACTGATCCGCCCGTGCTGTAATGGCCCTAATAAAGCGAAGTGGGCCGCTCGGCCACTTCGAATACGATCAGATAGTAGATACTCTTGGACCGAGAAATGTTCAATCCGGACTTCTTAAATACTATCAATCCGGAGATTGATGGCAAGAAGACTAGGACAGATTCGAAGGACGTCGTCTAGACCGCCTCTAAATCTACTCTCGGGGTCATAAGACTCGCGGACGTCGATATCAACAGCGAAAGCCTCGGTAACCTCATCGATGGACAACGGGCGCGATGCATGATATAGGAGCGACAGGATCTTCTATGCCTCTTCTCGTAACTCAATGCTGCATAGTATTCGTTCGTATGTCGCATCAAGGGACTGTAACAGCGCGCTAAGCCATTTCTTGAGATGGCTCACGATACAGAGATATTTATATAGCGACCGAAGCTGGCATTCGACCCAACGAAATCTAGGTATAGATTAGCTCTTATTAGAAATAATGAACGCTAGATGGTTAGCGACTCACACTCCGCCCGCATGCTGGGTTAGATAGTTCTTGATCTTCTCCCGATGATCACCCCAGCGTTGGAGCTGACGGTCATAGTCGACTTGAAATGCGACAAAGCGTGAGATATCTTGCTGGACGCCGTCGTTCTTCAATAAGACATACTCAATAGTCTGCTAGGGTGCTGGGACTTACAGATGGTCTCGAATATCTGGAACATCTCGACTAGTAACCAACAGGTGTAAGCCTGGTAGATGCTATTGTCGTATGGTGTCAATCACCAACAGGACTTCGGTTCGCGAGATGTCTATAGGGCTTTCGTCTAATGCATCGAGTAGGATATAAGTGTGGCGGCCCCGAACAACGGCTTGTCGTAGATACTCAAGTGCAACTGACACTAGTGGAATGCCATAGTTATATGAGTCCTTAAGGCGGCTTAGTTCTGCTTCCAGACCGGGCACCTATCCACAGAGCTGGAGAAGTAGTGCGCGTAGCATGGCGGATGCATCTTGTTTCGACTCGTCCCGAAAGTCGAAGAAAAAAAAGACCACCGCGATGTCGGCGGATGACTGTCGTCGACGAAAAGCGTACTGGATCGCTATCGAGCACAGTACGGACTTGCCACAGCCGGCGAAGTCATAGAGCTAAAGGAATGAGTTATTTTACTGTAACCAGTTGGTATAAGCTGGACCTTAGACTAACCACTGCCCCGTGCTCGCGTACCGTTTGGCGACTACGACATTTAAATTGACAGTCGCGTCTGGTGCCTTCAGCCATTGTCGCAAGTCTATATGGATACTTCGTGCCTGTATATCTCGGACGATCGCGTTGACCTCCTCAATGTCGTCCTGGGTATTCTGGTGCTCTTTCAGCTGAAGCGCCTGTACCGCGATCGATAAGTTGTCCTTGAAATCACTGATATCGTCGCTGAGATCTTCTAAAGTGCTTCTCTTGAATGGATACGCCGCCCGTCGTCCAAGCACCACTGCCTTCTTTCTCCAATCATCTGTGGGTTTCTTTTTGAACTTGTCGACCTCACCCTGTAGCGCGTTGATGGCGTCCTCACTATGGGTGATGGACTTTTCAATACTTTGTATGATCGACTGCTCGTTCGGCCGCCCGCTGCGCGTGTGCACGGTCTGGTCGATGTTTCGGAGGGATTCGAGAAGGCCGCCGAGTTGATCTGCGATCTTGGCGAGGTCTCGATGTTGTTCTCGGCATACGGTGTAGTAATTGTAAAGATACTCTGTACTCTGCAGGCCGAGAGACAGTAAGCCCGCCACGCTAGCGGTAACGGAGAGTGGATCTCCCATGACGTCGGGGTTGAGTTCTTTTCGCTTGCTATAGGGTGCGATGCTACTGTAACCAAGATCTTAATAAGACTTCATACAATGCGCAAGCTTGTGGACAGTTTGATCTCAGCAGCTGCATTTCCAGCCTCACGGCTCAAGCAGTCTGATCCCGACTTATGCAGGTCGCGACCGCAGGGTGGAAGGCGCAGTCAACGGCGCAACGTTCTTCCGTCCCGGGAAGGCTTAGCATGCAGATGTGGCCTCTACGACTGCGTGTCGTTCTGGTCGTGTCGTTGCCGTGCAATAACATCGAGTTTTTGAGAAGCCACTGCCAATCACCAACGATGACTCCGGCCGGCATTAGCAGCGAAAATCGATCGTCCCCAGAAATTCCTGCCAGCTTCCCTTTATCGAGAGATCCTCCCCGAACTACTCTACCGATCGGGTCGAACGAAATAGCACCAAGGCGGAAGAAGGCTGTCAATCAGCAGTACCTCACACCACAAGAAGAGAAGGCGCTAGTCGCCTATATCTTACAATGTGCAGACAACGGCTTCCCCTTACCGGTGAAAGCCTTGCGAAGATTGGCCCTCGTGATTCGGCAGCGTCGCGACTCTACACGCTCGACACAGACTCGGGGTAGCAGAGTGCAACCTCCCGACAAGAACTATCCCCAAGCACTGTACTCACGTCATCCGGAACTGCGGGCCCGAAGGCTCAAAGCCATTGACTGGACGAGAGCTAACGAGAATATACATGACAAGGTCCAACATTAGTTCGATGTCATTGGCAAAGAGCTGGCTAACCCTAACATCCTTCCCGAGAATGTCTATAACATGGATGAGGCAGGCGTGCTCCTCGGTTATACCACGACAGTCAAAATGTTGGTGCACAGCAAAGACACGCGACGCCACCGAGGCACAGGGGTGAAACGAGTTCTTATCACCTCTATCGAATGCGTCTCTGCGGCCGGCATCGCTCTCCCGCCTCTGATCATCTGGCCCGCGTCAACCCACCGTAATGTCTGGACCACCCATCCGACACCCGGTTGACATTTTGCGTGTTCCCCCAAAGGCTATACTAACAAACATATCAGTCTATCCTGGATCAAAGACGTGTTTGATCCGCAAACCCGTGCCCGCGCCGGTGATAAACCCCGTGTCCTGATCAACGATGGCTTTACCACCCATAAATCCGTCGAGCTCCTCGAGTTTTGCTTTCATCACAATATTATTCTTTGTCGTTTACCTTCTCATACTTCTCATAAACTCTAGCCACTCGATATCGGCGTCTTTGGCCCACTTAAGTCGGCATATCGGGAACAAGTCGAGCAATTGTACCGTGGCGGCGCTGGCATAGTCGGCAAGCAGCATTTTACATTTTTATATAGCCGAGCACGACAGACCGCTTTGACTGAGTCTAACATTATTTCAGCGTGGAGTAAGGTCGGTCTCTTTCCTTTCGACCCAACCCGCGTCCTTGCCACTATCTCCGGATCTCAAACGGATAAAAACGCACCACAGATCGCAGCTACACAAACTCACTTGTTTTCCCCTGATAAAATACAAGCCACACCCGTGACATCCGAGGATTTTGCGGCACTGCGGCGCCTGATTGAAGGTGAGTCCCAGCAAGTGAGCGAGCTAAGCCAGCACAGACTACAGGAAGCCTTCAACGCCGCCGAGCGGGCATTGACCGAGAGCAGTCTGTTACGAGATCGCAGTCAGGAACTGTTCCTACAGAACTGCGAGAAGAAATTGCGCCAGTCCACCAGATCGACAGTGATAGGGACTGCCCGAGTCATGAGCTACCGAGACATCGTCGTCAAACGGTCGACGCAGGAGACGATCAAGACAACAGAACCTAGATCAGACGCCGGGCGTCAAGGTCCAAGCGTGAGCAGACATCCCTCAACAGTTTCCAGCAAGGCTCCAAGAAAGCGTGGACGGCAGGGAGAGTTAGAGCAGGCTATCCAGGAGATTGATAGGTCGGAAATAGGCAACTACTGCCACGTCTTCGAATTGTAATAACACGCAACAAATAGATCGGAGGTAGACGGGGTTTGGTGGTTTGTCGGAGTCTTTGTGTAGCTAGGGAGAGGCATTGCTATAGTTCTAAACGATAGTTTTCAATGGACGTGGTGTTCATATCAAGCCAAACGCATATGCAAAATACCAGTCAAGTCTTGTCCTAGGAAATTGTTGTTTTCCGCGGATTGAGCTTGGCTCGCGTTCGTCGGATGGAATAGAAAGTTAAAATTGCCGGTACTGTACCAGTTCGCAAGAGTGAAGCAAGTCACAAATGGTCACGGTCAGACAATCTGCGGCTCAAAATAGGGACCCGTGCGCAGGGCCCTGATATAGGTGCAATTCTAAATTTAGTCCGGTGGAGCAGATGGTACCGGAAATAAATCGTGGTCAGACAGTTAATTTTGGTCTAAATAGGGCACACAGGGCTTCTTGGCACGTCGGGATGCACTTTACAGCCTTCGTACACAGAGACTCAAAGTCTTAAGTGTGCTGAGGCATCGCTACTTATCCATTCATCCTCTGCTAATAATGGTACGCCCCTCTAGCCAACCATATGGCAGTACCTTATTTTGTGCGGTACGTGCGGGAATACCCGCATCCTGGCCGGAAAAGCGGACACTCCTGGCAACAATAACCGACAGGGGTTCGGGACTTGAGCCTTCCGAACATCTGAAACGCCAAAAAGGGGAACCAAGGGCCCAACTTGTGGGAACCATTGCAGACTCAGGGCTGTGCTCACGCCACTTAGGCGCGTCAGGCATGCCTCAGGGCCCGTCAAGCCGACTCAGGATTGTACAGCCACAACTCAAAATGTCTGAAAACGGAGATGGATTTTGGAGAGGTCAAGATTCGCCGCAGAGTATAGTGGTATCAAGCCGCACGAAGCCCTTTACGTGGGCACCATTGGGGGCCCGGATACGGGCTCAATGGGGAAAGGAAGGTTAGTCGAATAAGATGCATCAGCACAACCTTTCACGTGAGGTGCCAGGTCCTTCCCACGGTCCTCTACCTAAATGCCGAGAGCCCAAATCGCCCAGACAACATTCACATTCAATATGGCCCGCGGTGATATGTTCTTCCCCATCCATAACGCGCGAAATGAGGCTGCCCATCCCAGAAGTCCATTTTCGGGTCCCTCGTACAGGGAGCCTGTAATTTCGTATTTCGTACAGTCTTAGTCGGTGCGACGGTCATTCTCCAAGATTCAACGTTTGAGGGGACCAGAACAGGGCTCCACCTAGCATTTTGCACGACCAACACCACGAGATGAGGGTGTGGCCGCGCAGGAAGTGGTGATCACCTCATTGGGCCATGGGGGCTGAGCACAGACAGCACTTCAAAATCCTTCCATGGCTGCTGTACCGCACAGTACTGTGTGAGGTAACATTAAGCGAACACGCATTCGATCAAGCAGTGGATGGAGTCGGCTTCGGAGTGGAATCCAGAATAGGGGAATATGACCCCGGTGGGACAGCAGGATACCCCGAATTGGGCCTTACTCTGGATCACAACACGTAAACTCTATCCTACGCAGTACTGAGAGCACAAGATTGACATTGAGAGAACGCGGGCCCGGATTAGGGTGCAACCAGCATATCCTCAATTCTTCGTAGTTTGCCGCTTGGTCACAGTCCTCTACACCCCCGGCAATGGCAATGGTCGTGCGGACTACGGCGGGGGGGGAGGGGGGACAGACTCATGCAGGCAACGTAACGCGGCAAGTCTTCTTCAGGACCAGCGCACTGCGTTATCTCTCGCCTTACTGTCAATCCTCAACACCATAATGGCCGGGTTCAACAATGCTAGCTCTTTACCATTCCAGTCCATCCCGTCTCCCCGGGTCTCCATTATAGACATCCTTTTACCCGGCTTTACCAGTATGTCTCCCGCTATCTAATAGCTTCTGACCGGCAACTTAAACAGCTATACTAGTCTGCTATATACCTATAGAATACTCCTATTCCTAGGCCGACGTACGTACGAACACTTATGGGAATTAGTAGATAAATTTCTTAGTTCGTAACCCTCTTCTAAGGCTAGAGTGATATGGCTTTCTTATAATCCCTAGTTTCGACAGTCTATATATTATATATCGATAAAGCTTACGATATACTTATTATCTAGGCCGAAAGTTAGAAATTTACGCGTGACGCTTACTTCTCTATCGCTACTGTCGATTATACGAACCTATAGGGATAGTACCGTTTATAGTAATATATACGTACTATTCTAGATAGTACTAGTTAGAAGTCTCTATATTATACTCCTTAGAATAGACGATTTTACTTCTAGCATAAGCACTATTTATTGGTATTTCGACGGATATAGAGCCTAGGAGAGTTACGGTCGGAAGAACTATCTATTTCATATTTTAGCAGGTCGATAAGAATTCTAAAGGAGCTCCTCGAAGAATATCGTTATTATTACCTAGAACTTATTCAGAATAAAACGTCTATCTTTGAACATTAAGGCGATAAATGGAAAAAGCCTAGAGTAAGGAATAAGAGAAAGATACCGACGGTTATCCTCGATAAAACGGTAAAATCTTTGTTACTAAGAGATCTTTTAGACTTCTTTAAGCCGATAGCTCTAGATTAGTATTCCGATCGAGGTATTCCTTATTAACGAGACTATTTATAATATAGACTACTCGGAACTGGAAAATCTAGCTTAAGCTTATCTATCGTAGGTGAATTTGGTTTGGACATCTATATCGTTAATCTCTCTAGCATTAATAATAAAGACTTATCGACTTTGTTTTCTGAGCTCCCGCCGCAGTATCTTATCCTTTTGGAAGATATCGATACCGCTAGCTCGAAACGGTCCGAAGTCACTAATCTAACTTATAATCAGAACGATAGATATTTCTCTCCTAAAAAACCTATCCGGGAAATAGTGTCCCTATCCACTCTACTTAATATTATCGACGGTATAGGATTACCTAAAGGCCGTATATTAATTATAACGACTAATTATCCGGAGCGCCTCGATAACGCGCTTATACGACCCGACCGCGTAGATATGAAAGTCGAGTTTTAACTTACCGATAGGAAGATAATAACTTAACTCTTCTATCTTATCTTTAAGCGCTTAGATAGCGACTATAAAGACCTAGAGAAGAGTATAAAAGATAGCGATCCTAATTAAACGAAAATCGCTAGATATAGGAAATCGGTCGCGCTTTTAGTAAAGAAGTTCGTCGTAAAAATGCTAGAGCTAGAGTTTAGCCCGGTAGAAGTGATATCTCTTCTATTAGCGAATAAGTAATTATCTTAGTAAGCTGTCGATAACGTGAAGAAATGGATTAAAAAGACTAGAGAGGAAAAGGGGAAAGTGAAAAGAGTGGAATTATAGATACTAAGTGAGTTAAACGAGAGTAGTGTGTTCTTAGTAACTAGTTAAGAAAGCAACAATAATAGATAGGTAAGGTATATCTATTCAAGTGGAGTTTCGTTTTAAGTCAATATCTAACTGACGTTTATCGTCTAGATTAAGAATTTTATGCGGATAGAAATGGAATTGGCCTCGGAGAAATGAGCCTTTAACGGTGAAGTATCTAATAGTCGCAATTAAGGTCGCAGAAGCATTCGAGGTCGACTATAAGAGGTACAGCCCAACCGTGAACTTAAGTAGGTAATTACACATAGATATATTTGATGCAAAGGGTCGTGAGGGCAGTCTATCGATCCCCGTTGGCACGATTTTTGAGATTAGGGAAGCCCTTGGGAATGGACCGCGCTGGGAGCATAATGTTGGAACCAATGGATGGTCAGACCACCACTTACGACTAGACGTCGCCAAGGCGTCGCCTATACGAGAACTTCAGCCTCGTTCAGCCTCAGTTACGAGCCGTGTTTACGGTGTACTTTTGTCTCACAGAATTGGCAAGTGGTAGCGGGAATACCACCCCAGATTGTCTATATAAACGACCCAGATTACCCATCTGAGACGTGGGAGACAGCTACAGACAGAAATCCACACATGGTCAGACAGTTCTCTTGTTACTGAGTTCCAACACATAACCATCCGATCCGAAGAAATGCGGATTTGCTGGAGCGTCAACGCAATTCCTTGCTTTTTCTGACTCTACTTGCAACGTCGCTATCACCACTACTATAAAAGCTATACCCGCTAGGCTAGAGGGACCCTTTTGCGGGCTGGTAAAGTCGCATATAATTAGTTAACTACTGGTTCCTATTTTCGGGTCCGCTGAGGCTTAGCGTAGTTAAGGTGGACTGGCTTGTGAACTAGAGGCCGTCGATCTGACGCCACACCTTAAGTGACGCCATACTTAAGTTAAACCATCTTGAGTTAACAAGAAGATCTACTTACGTGGTTCCCAATTTTCGACTCCCGACCTGTAGTGAGGGCAATCACCTAAGTACCAGGAATAGCATTTCCTGGTCCAGTGCGCTCCCCTTCGTACCAGGAATAACATTTCCTGGTCCAGTGCGCTCTCCCCACGTACTGGGAATAGCCATTTCCTGGTCCAGTGCTCTCCCTTCGTACCAGGAATAACATTTCCTGGTCCAGTGCGCTCTCCCCACGTACTGGGAATAGCCATTTCCTGGTCCAGTGCGCTCTCCCCACGTACTGGGAATAGCCATTTCCTGGTCCAGTGCGCTCTCCCCACGTACTGGGAATAGCCATTTCCTTGTACATCGTGCTCCCCTACGTACTGGGAATAGCCATTCCCACTAATCAATACTAAGCATATCACGTGACTTGCCTCTTATGGCTCCAGTAGTCCACTAATATCTATACTAAGTCGTCGGGACACCTTTCTCTACTAGACTATAGCCTACGGCCATAAGGTCACTTCGTGACATCCACTGAGGATTGCTTATCCCTTACCTCGTGGACTTTCGAGGGTAACCTCTATCGCATACAGAAGCGGAGTTATACAATGCCAGTAGTTACGGGAACGCGCAGAGCGCAAAAGGTAAGTTACGCTAGTGTCACTATGGTTGACCGAGATTCCCTATTCGCGAGCGAGG